ATATAAACAAACACGCACCGCGCCCTCTCATCACCCGGAAACAGCCGCGACTTCTTCCATTCATACACACACACACACACACACACACACACACACACACACACACACACACACACAAACCATGCCATGGCGACGGCGCAGCAGCGCAGAGCCGCTCCCTGGGCGCTGCACGCGCTGCCGCACGCGTCGCTGAACGCGACATTTCGTGGGCGCAAACTCGGGCCCGTGGCTGCGTGGCGGGGGATCCAGTACGCGCGGGTCGGGGAGCGGTTTGCGGAGGCGGAGGGGGTGGACGACTGGGGCGGGGAGGTGGTCGAGTGCGCTGAGTATGGGTAAGTGGTTTGTTGGTTTTATTTTGTTGGCTGTTCTATTTTTTGCGTGGGGGGATGTGGGAGCAAAGGCTGACGTTATGTCATGGTGGTGGCCTAGGCCGCGGTGTCCGCAGAACGCCGTCGATGTGGGATATTTGCTGCGGTTGCCGGAAAAGGGTGTGGGGTTGGATGAGCATGAGGATGAGTTCGCCTGCTTGAATCTCGATGTCACGGGCCCGGCGGAGGTCGGGGAGCATGAGAGGGGCAGGCTGCCGGTCATGGTTTGGATTCATGGTATCGTGTTCTTTGGAATGGGGATTGTTGCTATTGATTGAGCTGATGGTGCTTTTGCAGGTGGTTCGCAGGTAGTGACGTTTGGCAGTGGAGCGTCAGGCGTCTGTGGTAAGCAATACTGTGTCTGATGACTCTATTATCCTGGCTAAGTAAGTATAGATGCCTACACTATTGTCAAGGACTCTTGTGGGGGCGACACGGGCTCGGGTTTGCAAAGGAGGCCTATCATCGTGGTATCCGTCCAGTATAGGCTCAACATGTTCGCATTTGGAGACGGAAAAGGCTCGCGGAATTTGGCGTTGAAGGATCAACGGCTTGCCATTGAATGGGTGCGAAAACATATTGGCGGGTTTGGCGGTGATCCGGTAAGTAAAATGACAGCGACTGCTTTGAGGGGATAGGCTGATAAATCAGCGCAGAACAACATTACAGTTGCCGGGGAAAGTGCAGGCGCCGTATACGCCCATGCTCAGGTTGTGACGGGAGCTCCGGTGCGACAGGCTATTCTCTCATCCGGGTCGCTGGGGTTGTCGCCTCCGCAGCCGCTGGAACGTGGTGAGACATTGATCAAAGCGATTGAAGAGAAGCTAGGCGCCGCTCTCAAAGATGTCCCTGTCGAAGCTCTCTTGAAAGCTCAAGCGGAGCTGAACATTAACAGCCTTTGGCTCCAGGAGGAGGCGGACCTGGAAGGGTGGGACACCGAGACAGGAAACACCCAAGCTCTTCTTATTGGCGACGTGGAATACGAGGTAGGAGACGAGAGATGAAACGGTGACGGGTGTTGTGCTAATCAGTCTGTTACAGTCGATAATATGGAGGAGGGGAGTCGAGGCGATGAGTGCGGGAGCGATAGTCGACGCCTTCGATCGGGCACCAGAGCTCCGGGGATTATATAACATCTCACATTCAGGGGCGTTGGACTTTATTCACGACGTTCGCTTCGGGCTACCCATCCGGCAGCTGAGCGAGGTCTGGCGATCCGCTGGCAAGGCAGTGTTTACGTACGTCATCGACGAAGCGAATCCGTGGCAGACATCGAGCCGTGCACACCATGCAATTGATCTACTTTTTCTTTTTGGCGGCGTCGACATGTCGTTCAGCGCTACAGCGGCAGCGGTGGGCTCGCGGCTGAGGGAGAAGTGGATTTGCTTTGTCAATGGCGAGGCGCCATGGGCGCGCGACGAGACCTTCGCGTTTGGGCCGTTCGGCGAGTGCAGAGGGCTCAGCGCCGGCGGGGTGGCAGCGCGGCGGAGGGTCGCGCACATGAAGGCGCTGTCGGACATGGCGGCAGCGAAAATTCACAGCGTGTTTCTGGCGGTGGGCGCGGGGCGGGTCAGCCTGTGGAATTGATTTGTTGTGTCAGCGTACCGCTGAGGGCCAGGTGGTTGCATGCGGCGGCGGCGGCCAAGCACAGGGGAGCTGAGGGGTAACTAGTTGAACTGGCAGAAATGGAAGAAGTCGGACTTGGCCGGAAGACGGAAGGTCATATGTAGCAGAGTAAATTGTTCACCCTCCTCCGCTGTCCGCCTCGCTTCTTCCTCGGGACCAATTTTTCGCGCCGACGAGGGCCTAACTAAATGCCCTTTCCAACGTAACTCTTCGAAAACTCCGCACCACTCCCTCTCACCCGCCGCACCTTACTCCGCCCGCCTCTGCAGACGCTCGCCCTCGCTCTGCCCTCGACCGTCGTGTGCCTTGGCCTATCCTGCACCACGCCGTGAGCACACGCGACTCCGGGCCAATTCCGCGCAGGCAAACACCTGAGCTGACGAGGTAGGTTGCGACTGCCGCACAGCGCAGACACCCTCCCCGCCTGTTTGCCCGTCGTACGCCATCTTCTCCTCTCTCCCCGCTGCCGGCCGTGTCCGTCGCTCCCTGTTGGCACGCCTTTTTTTCTTTTTTTTTTCTTCCCTCTTCTTCCCACTCTTGCTCGTGTTAACCCAACCGCCTGCGCCCGACTCACACACTCCCCTCCATCTCCCGCTGACGAACTGGCGCCTAGTTCTTCCTCTGACCCTCAGCCGTAGAGCTTGCCGTCAACGCCCGTTTCCGCCCATCACCCGCTTCCGCACACGTATCTTCAGTGCAGCGCACCCCCCAAAAAAACTCCCAGCGGACGTGCCTGGATCGGCAGCTAAGGCCCTTGCCCGGTGCGGAGAGGTCGAGCGCAAAGCCTCTCCGGTCACAAATTGTCAGCTTGTCTGTCTGTTACCGCAGTTTGACCCAGGCGCACACAGTTGCTTCCTAAACCAAATTTCCCTTAAATCACGATACCCAGTGTGACTGCAAGGTCAAAAAGCACCAAAAATGGCAGCATCATTTTCCTATGCGCAAGCCGCCAAGGGCATCGTATCGAACACTACTTCCACCTCTCAATCCAGCAAGACGCCTTCCGGCACGACTACGCCGGCCGTTGCTTCGGAGCCTAATGGCTTAAACTGGGCTGAGGACGGCGAGACTGATGACCATGCGGCCGAGAACAACGCAGAGGATGCAAACAAGACGGAGGAAGCTGCTGCTAACGATGCTCCATCCTCGTCCCAAAAGCCGGCAGCGAACGCGCAGCCAAACGGCGATTCCGGAACTTCGTCGCCCAGTGTGGGCGCATCATCATCTTCCGTGACGACCAAGGAGGACGACAGCTCTTCGGTCCCTAACGCTTCCTCTGATTCCACTTGGGACAGCAAGTCACAGGCATCGAATGCGGCCGAAAAGTCCAACGAACAGTCTGGTGCGTCCGAGAAGGGCAAAGGCAAGGAGAAGAAGAAAGAGAAGGAGAAGCCACCAGTTGTTCTTCAGGAAGCCCCTCTCCCCGCAGTGAACATCTGGAAGCAGAGAGCGGAGGCCCAGGCTAAGACTACACCGGCTCCCAAGCCTGCTGCTTCTACCCCCAAGCCTGCCCAGACGGGTGCGACCAAGGCTTCTACTGACAAGGCGGCTGAGCCCGCCAAGGCCGATGCCAGGCGGAAGAGCAAGGTGATTGATGAAAGCGAAGTGTCCAAAGTGGGTGGAAAACCCCAGGGAGATAAGCCGCGCCGGGCTGCGCAGCCCACTACTGCCGCACAACCTCCACCTGTGAAGGACCAGGAATCCTGGCCCACTCCTGAAGATGTTCTGAATGAGGACCAAAGGAAAGCCCAAGAGAAGACCGACAAGCCCGAGAAGGATCGCGTGGTCGCAGCTCCCAAGTCGCATGGCAAGAACGAATGGGTTTCGATGCCATATACTCCGTCTGTTGTTTTCAACACCCCCTTGCCCAACACGAATCCAAGGAGAGGAGGTCGTGGCGGCAGCCGTGGCGGTGCCGCGGTGGGAGGCCGGCCTACCCCCAACGGTGCTAGCAACGGTGTGGCTACGGAAAGAGACTTTGTCAACGGAGAACAACCCAGACGTGGTAGGGCTGACGGTGGTTCCGCTCAAGAGGCGTCTGGCAAGGTGAAGAGGACCGCCAGCGCCAACTCCCAGGCCCCGGCCGGTGGTGAAGCCCAGCGTAACGATGCGAGTGTGCAGACAGTTCGGTCTTCGAACGCTGACAATGCCTCTGGCCTCTCTGGCTCTCAAACCGCGCCTCGTAACAACGCCCCTCGCCAGAAGGGCAACAGGAAGTTCGATCAAGCGGCTTCCGAGAAGCGCAACGACGACTCCGTGTCTCCATCCGATTTGTTGCCCAATGGTGCGGGTTCATCAGGTTAGTCATCCTCCCTCTCTCGTAAATTTTTGCTCTTTATCGCTAATCTTTATTTTCTCCAGAGCAAGGTCGCAGGAGGTCATTCTCTCAAGGTGATGGCCAACAAATGCCGTCGCGTGGTGCTGAGCGCCGTGCCGGCCAGTTTGGTTCCATTTCTGGCCGAGAAAGAGGTGAAAACCGCGGTCGTGGAAACATGCGTGGAGGCCGTAACGGTGCTCATGGCTACCAGAATGGCCACCACGCTAGCTATCCTAACGCTCATTCCTTCGGTCTTCCACGCTCGCCTACCGGCTACAGCGCGGAGTTCTTTGGACAGGGCTCGCAGCAGCAGCGTGGCTACCGCGGCAACAACGCTCGCTCGCAGTCGATGCAGGCCGATACCATGTTTGGCCGTCCTCCTGCCGGCTACCCTGGCGCCCCGGGAATGAACCCACTGCAGACATACGGCCTTTACGATTACTCGATGCAGCACCCTATGAGTGCAGTGCCTTTCAACTACCAGATGGACCCGTACCAAATCGCGCAAACTGTTCTGATGCAACTGTAAGTACCAAATTGCCCATGTCACGTTCTATAATACTGATTTTTAAGCGAATATTATTTCTCTGTGGACAACCTGTGCAAGGACATGTACCTGCGCAAGCACATGGATTCTCAGGGTTTCGTTTTCTTGACCTTCATCGCCGATTTCAACCGCGTGAAGCAGTTGACCACCGAACTTGATCTCATCAGATATGCCTGCTGTTTGTCAAAGACTATCGACTACAGAGTCGGCGCGGATGGCAAAGATAGGCTGAGGAAGCGCGAGGGCTGGGAGCAATGGGTCCTGGCTATGAACGACCGTGATGCCTCTGCGCAGAATGAGGGACCTGAAGAGGTCAACCAACCCCAGATGCCTCAGGTTCAGGCGGCGCGTTTCCCGGGCTTCCCTGGCGGTATGCCCGTGAGCCCTCCGTCGGAGGCTTTCCAGCCTCTCAACGGCATGGTGCAAGGAGCTTCGCCCGTCAACGGCGGTCCTGTCGGATCTGATCTCCCCAATGGCGGCGCCTATCCCGAGACGAGCCAGCTTCCTTCGATGAACGTGGGCGCAGTGCCATCGTTTGCTCCCGCTGCGGCGTCCAACGGCATGAACCCCGAGGCGGACACGTTCTCCGATGCGCAGACGAAGGGATTGACCGTTATCGTCCGCAAGCGCGACCAGGCAACTGAGAAGCAGCCACCCTTCCACACGGACGCCTCGCGCACCTTTTCTGACGGCGAAGTCGATGGCAAATCAATTGCCAAGGAATTGCAAAAGACCGACACCAAGCAGGCTGAGGCTCAGACTAACGGTCACGGCCCAGTCGAAGCGTAAGCTCTGTCGTGCAAGCGCAATGGGAGCTGTGTCGTGCTAACGGCACGGTCAGGAATGAGGTTCGGAAGTCTGACGTCCTCACGAGATCATTAACTCCTGCTACACCTGGAAATTCCACAATGCGGCTATATTGGGTCAAGGGTCAGGAGAGTCCTGTTGAATCCGAATCCTTGCCCCAGGACTCCAAAATCGTGCTTTACAACGAACTATACAGAACAGCTCTCGTTCGACGAGATGCCGCTGCTGTTGGAAAATGCCCGTACGACATGGATGTTCTCTTCCAATTCTGGTCTCACTTTCTTATTCGGAACTTCAACACACACATGTACGATGACTTTCGTCGGCTGGCCCTCGAGGATTACGCGCACCGCGCGTCCGACGTAGGCCTGAAGAGCCTCATCAAGTTCTACGGCGAGGCGCTCTCTAGTCAAACCGTTGTCATTCGAGAGCGCGTTGCGCAGCATTACGTGGATTTGATCAAGTCCGAAAGCTCCGAGGAGAACAAACCCGCCTTCAACCAGCTCCAAGCAGCCTGGCGAAACCGGAAACTGAACTTGAAGAACCGCAAGAAAATCAGCGCTTTCATCGATGAAGAGCTCAAAAATTCCCTGGATTCACAGTAATAATGCCCCATCCTCCGCTTGCACGAACCGCATACGAACTCTCGATTTGATCCCATTCCGCACTTGTACACCACCTTCCAGCGAACCATAGTTGATTTGCCTTTTTCTTTTCTTTCTCTGCTCTTTTCATCCCATCCGGCTTGCTGGTTCTTTGAACACTGCTTTTACTGCATCCTGGGTCGCGGCCATACTTGCTTTCCACCAAAAAAGTTTCCCGATGGCGTTTTAATGCGGGCATACGGGGCCAGATGCATCTCCTGCTTTTGCTTTGCTATGCTCTTTAGTTCTGAAAATAGAAATCCACGATCAGCCTTAAGCTGAGCACCGATGGATCTGCTATACCGTAGGGAAAAAATGGAAAGGCTCGGATTCTTCAATGTTGACGTCACCGGAGGAAGGCGGGTGGAAGAGCGGTCCATGACCCCGATCTTGTTGTCTCAGGCCTTCATTCCGTCTACGAGTACCTTTGACGCTGTGTGCCTAGCTACGCGCTACCGTGTGTTTTTTTTTTCCTTCGTTCCGGGTGAAGGCAATGTGCTGATCGGCGGCGGTGGCTGATTTCTCGCGTGGATGTGGACGGGCAGCTAAAAATGTCTGAGCGCGGTCAATGACGTACGGCGCGCGAGTGGCTATTGATAGAGGCTTGGAGGGCCCCCGTCGCAACCCCCCACCGGATCCTGGAGAGCTGGTCGCCTGGTTGGCTGGCGGACGCTGGGGCAGAAGCGCATGGTGACGAGGCACAATCGGATCTGGGAGTTTCGAGCAGCGCCGCGGCCTGGTTGATCTGCATGTTCCTGAGTCAAAGCGCGGCAAGCGAGTCTTACATCGCCGAAGTTGCAAGGCGCCGCTAGCGTGACGGGAGCTCACCTCGTCACGTCCTCCCACTTTGCGCTCCCGCCTTCACAGCATCTTATATGGCTTTCTCCTTTGCTCCTTGACTCTCCACTCTACACCCTCCCTCCACGCGACACCTCCCATCATGGCAATGGGGCGCGACAAGTTCGCGAGACAGTCTCTCGGCCCGTCGCTTCACAGCCATATCAAGCAGGTAAGATGCCTTGCGCGCGCCCATGCCGCCGCGCCGCATCGCTGACAAGCCTCTCTAGGCGCGCGTCCTCATGGTCGGCGCTGGTGGTATCGGCTGCGAGCTGCTCAAGAATCTCGCCCTCACCGGCTTTGGCAACATCCACATTGTCGACCTCGACACGATCGATCTGTCCAACCTCAACCGTCAGTTCCTCTTCAGGCACGAACACATCAAGAAGTCCAAGTCGTTGGTATGTCACTTGCGCCGAGGCCAGGTGAAGAGTGCTACATGTGCTGACCCGTCACCTCACGCCACAGGTCGCAAAGGAATCCGCCGGAAAGTTCAACCCTCACGTTAACATCGAAGCGCACCACGCCAACATCAAGGACCCCCAATTCAACATCGACTGGTTTCAGAGCTTCGCGATCGTCTTCAATGCGCTGGACAACCTCGATGCGAGACGTCATGTCAACAAAATGTGCCTGGCGGCAGATGTGCCGTTGATTGAGAGTGGCACCACCGGCTTCAACGGTCAGGTGCAAGTCATTAAGAAGGTGAGGCACGAGCCACGTGGTGTGAGGTACAGCCGCTCACTCTTCTCAGGGTAGAACCGAATGCTATGATTGCAACATCAAGGAAACCCCTAAGAGCTTCCCCGTTTGCACGATCCGCAGCACGCCGAGCCAGCCCATTCACTGCATCGTTTGGGCCAAAAGCTACCTCTTTACGGAAATCTTTGGCATCAGCGAAGACGAAGCGCCCGAGCTCGATCATACTGAAAGTTCGGAGAATGCGGAAGAGATTGAGAATCTGCGCAAGGAGGCGCAGGCTTTGAAGAACATTCGCAAGTCCATGGGCTTGGAGGAATTCCCGAAGAAAGTCTTTGAGAAGGTCTTCAAGGAGGATATCGATCGTCTGCTCTCAATGAAGGACATGTGGGCGAACAGAAGGGCCCCAGAGCCCTTGGAGTGGGAGAAGCTCACGCAAGAGGCTCTGGGTGTTGGACCTACGGTTGCACAACAAGATCAGAGCGTCTGGACTACGTCAGAGAACTTCGTAGTCTTTTGCGACAGCTTGCGGCGCCTCAGCAATCGGCTGGAGGAGTTGAGGGCGAATGCAAACGTCGGCAATGCCCCTCCTGTTCTGAGCTTCGACAAGGATGACGTCGACACGCTGGACTTTGTCGCGGCGGCCGCGAATCTCAGATCTTACATTTTTGGCATTGAGACGAGGTCCAAATTTGACATTAAACGTATGTGTATTGAGCGAGCCCATCTCCTTTGCCGCAGCGAACTAACGTTTTCCAGAAATGGCTGGTAACATCATCCCTGCTATCGCGACCACTAACGCAATGACTGCCGGACTTTGCGTCCTGCAGGCCTTCAAGGTGATGAAAGACGAGTACGACAAGGCCAAGATGATCTTCCTTGCCCGTTCGGTCGACCGCGTCATCTCATCAGAACCATTGCATCCACCGAAGCCAGAGTGTCCGGTTTGCAGCGTTGCTCAAACCAAATTAGAAGTTGACACTTCTCGCGCAACGCTGAAGGATCTTGTCGAAAACTTTCTCAAGTTGGAGCTCGGCTATGGCGAAGAGTTCAGCGTTAGCACTGATGCCGGAATTCTCTATGACCCGGAGCTAGACGACAACCTGCCTAAGAAGTTCAGCGAAGTTGGAATCAAGGGTGACAGCTTTATCACTGTCATTGATGAAGAGGACGACAATCCGAGGGTGAACCTCGTTCTATCCATTGCAGAGAAGTAGGTTATACATTGGGGAAATCAAAAGTAATGAAACTAACACGACCCAGGCCTATCAGCGAAGGCGACAAGGTCATCAACCTGCCAACGAAGCTAGAAATTCCCCGGAAGCCCAAGGCGGACGTGGCAGCCACGAACGGCAATGGAATCACCGCGACAAACGGCGTTCAGGACAGCCTAAGCGACGGCTTCAAGCGCAAGCGCGAGGCTGAAGACCTGAGCAACGAAGACGTGCAACGCCGCAAGATGGCCAAGGTCGCGGAGGGAGGACCGTCCAAGGTCCCGGCTCCCGTCGACGACGTAATTGTCTTGGACGATGACGGCTCTGCAGGCCACATCATCATCGACGACGACTGAAGAGCACGACCACCTCTCCACCACCCCAACAACTTCACACACGATACCTCAGCCTCGTACGTACACGTACACGCGTGCGCTTTGCTAAGTTTTTACACTCAAGCGATCTTCTTCGGCTCTAGTGAGGCAGGTTTTTTGCCGCCAGCCCCCCATTTTGCCCACACCCCCGAAGGAAGGAGAACCCCCCCTTCAAAATCAGAAGCGACTTTGCGATATGTCCTAGGTTTCTTCATGCATGCGCCAAGAGTAGAACTGATTTTTTCTGCACTAAGTAATCCCATCCCCATGCCCGAGCATTTTTTGGGTCGGCGCTCCCGGGCAGGGGCCATGGGCGAGAGAGCGCACCACAAACAAATAAATTCGAGCCAGTTTATGATGACCAAAAACATCCCCCCCGTTTCCTCCTGCCATGGCAATTTTTGTTTTTGAGAAAGTGTTGTTTGTTTGTTTTGTTTTATACCCAAAAAGACCTGGTGAGAGCCTCCGCCACTAGTCCATCAAATCCATATACCTAGCTTTTTTTTTTTTTTTTTTTTTTTTTTTTTTTTTTTTTTTTTTTTTTTGTTTTTTTGCGTTGTGGGTTGTGGTGCCTGGAGGGGGGGGGGGGGGGGGGTGTTAGAGCCGAATCATAACAAGGCGGAACAAGACAGGAAAGCAGGAGAGGAGCGTCACTTCGCCGCCACCACCACCGTGTCCGCGTCTTTGCGGCCCTCGTCTCTCCCTTCAGCACCACCCTCCAGCGCCACCACCCCCGCAGCCTCCTTAGCCTCGCCCTCCTTCCCCGCTCCTCCTGCCTCTCCTCCTCCGCCCTCCCCATCCCCCTCCCCTTCCCCATCATCCTTCTTATCCCCCGCAAACCCCCCCGGCACCCCCCTAGCCACCGCCCACCGCCCCTCCCTCGCGCCAACAAAACACCCAAGCAAACTACTCCAGCGGGCCGTCCCATCGCGCACGAACCGGCGCAACCCCTTAAACGCATACGCGTCGGCGTACGCCAGCCCCGTCAGCGGGTCGCGGTACCGCGCCGGCTGCGCCGTGATGACGCACTGCGTGCGCGGGGGATGCAGGAGGTGGGAGCGGGAGCCGCGGCCGGGGCGGGTGCCGGGCGGGAGGTGCGGGTAGGGGGGGAGGGTGGTGGGTGCGGTGGCGGGCCAGGCGAGGAGCGTGCGCGTTAGGAAGGCTTTGTCTCGTGTGAGGGCGTTGTGCGTGTGTGTGCTGTGTGTGGTGGACGCTGCGCCGCCGGCGGTTTCGGGCGAGGAGAGCGTGATGAGGTTGCGCGTGGCGCGCTGGATGGTGCGTTTGGTGAGGGGGGCGGGGGGGAAGGGCAAGGGCGTGGGCGTTGATGTGGATGTTGGTGCTGGTGCGCCTGTTGTTGCTTCTGCTGCTGCTTCTGTTGCCGCGGAGGGTTGCTGCGCGTCTGTGTCTGTGTCTGTGGCTTGTGGGGCAGAGGCAGGGTCGTGTTGCTGTTGTTGTTGTGGTTGTTGTGTAGGTTGTTTAGGCGGCGCCGAAGAAGACTCCAGACGATGCGGTAGTGCTGCCAGCGCTGGCGCTCCCGCTTCCCCTCCCCCCTCCTGCGATTGCGTTGCTGGCGGCGCGGGGGTCGCGGCCGGAGCGCTGGTGCGCCGGGGGCTCTGGGGCGGTTCGGGCGCAGCGGCGGCGGTATTGGACGTCGTCGTCGTCGTCGTCGTCGTCGGGTCCCGCGAGGCCCAGTCTAGGATGCCGTCGAGGAAGCCGCCGGGGGTTGCTTCCGGGGGTGGGAACATGATGCTGTTGCCGAAGGACTGGTGGATGGTGGTGGGTGGGGCGGCGAAGGAATCGGGCTTTTTGGCGTCTGTCGGTTGGGGAGGGGTGGTGGTGGTGGTCGGAGGTGGCGGTGGTGGTGGTTGTTGAGTCGACACAGTAGTGTCGGCGGGAGTTGGTTGTGGTTGTGGTTGAGGTTGGTTTTGATTACTGGTAGCTTGCTCTTGGTCTCCGCTAGGGGCTTGATCCTGCGTCGACGCAGCATCTACTTGGGGTGTATTGCCTTCAGACGCCTCCGCCTTTACGGGTGTGGGCGTGGGCTCTTCTTGGAGGAGGTCAAGGTCTTCAACCTTGCAATTTTCCTTGCCGACAAACTTGAGCTTGTCATTTACCCAGATCGACGGGCCGCTGTAATAGCGTATGAAGGCGCCCTCTAGCTTGCGGTTCTTCAAAGCCTCCAACCGCGCCTTGTTCTCCTCGACCTTCCGCCGCTCCGCTTCCTCCCACCGACTCAGCGTCTTGCTGTTCCGCTTCTCCACTCGCGCCGCCTCGGCCAGCCGTTCTTCCTGCGTCATGGGCTTCGGCTGGCCCTGCTCCTTGCGCTGCTCCGCCTGCCTCATTGTCTCCAGCACCTCGAGCCTGTGCCGTTCCTTCTCCTCGAGACTCTGCGCAATCATCTGCCTATTCTGGACCGAGAGCTGGCGCGACGACGACCTGACAGGGCCCACGTGCACTTCAGGCAGCCATGAGACGCGCTCCGATTTCTTCTTCGGGCGCGGCGGTGGAGCCATGGAACCAGGCGCGGCCGCAGCAGCAGCAGCCGAAGGCCCGGACCCCGTCTTCGCTCTCTTCTGGCGCAGCGCGCTGGCGGCGAACGGGTCCTTGCGCTTCTTGCGCTGCGCGGCCCGCTGCTCGCGCTCCTCCTTGCGAATGACCTTTTCGCCGGTATCGTCGTCGTCGTCATCGTCGTTGGCGCCCTCGTCCTCGTCCTCGTCGCCCGAGCTCTCCAGCGCTATGTCGCCCTCGTCCTCGACGCCGTACGCGCCAAACTCGTCGTCGTCGGCAAGCTCGGCCCAGCCCTCGCCGCCGTAGAACTCGACCATCTCGGCGTTCTCCTCGTGCCGCTCTTCCTGGTCCAGCAGCTTGCGCATCCAGTTGCCGGCGTTGGAGCGGCGCGCGCGCGTGACGACCATGGCGGGCTCGCCATCGTCGGAGCCTTGGTTCTCGGGCGAGGGCTGCCGCGGCTTCGTGGGCTCGGAGTCGGCCATTGTGGTGGATTGGCGTGTCGCGCGTGTCGGTCGACCGTGACGTTGATGAGTGGTGAGAGAAAGCGCGACGGCTGCGGGTCGCAGGCAGGTGGACCGAGGCTAGGTACGCGCTTGCTGGCGCTCAGGCCAGGAGCTATGTACATATAGTCACCACGTTGAACTAGTCCGCAACTTGCTACCCTTGAAAAGGTGTCTATTGGTATATCCAGCTACGTTGTTCGTGGCCATTGTAAAGAGTGTAGCGTTATAAACAGTAGCGGTCTGTACTGGTGGTAATATTTGCCTCTCATGCATCAAAAACTACTAGGTTACCACGGTATATTCTCCAGCTGTCTTATGCTGCCAATCGCCATACCATTTTCCTGTCCATTTTGAAAGTCAATGGATATCAGCCCGGCTCAAATTCTTGATGCATCCACTCTTCGAGCGATCTGCGGATCTGTCTACGACGTCCTAGATCTGATCTCTCCGCCACTCTGTGGGACGACGATCAACAACGCAGCAGAGTGGCGGCAGTCACAGCAAACATATTTGTACACACGGATTGGATACCGGTACTGGGCAGCAGAGACTGTGATCAGGCAAATCGGGGCGTTGACAAGCAGAGAACAGCTAGAGAATTCGAATATACCATCTGCTTTGACGTTCTCAGACAGAAGCAGCTAAACTGCGCTCATGCCTCCATCGAGGTTGAGGATGCAGTTGTTTGCGTACTGGTTAGTGGCGAGGAAAATGGCAGCATCGGCGATCTCGGCCACATCACCGAAGCGCTTGAGCGGGATACGCTCCAACGCCTTCTCACGCGCAGCAGGTTGCATGGCTAGGATTGTCTAAGTTAGCAAGGCTCGTTGCGAGCAACATGGACTTCTCCGTCTGCCGCTCGGAAAGACAGGTTGGCCAGCAAGCAATGTAAAACACAAGTGAATGAGAAACATGCTCCAGCGAGGATTCTTACCTGCTGTCATGTCGGTTTCAATGTACCCGGGAAGAATAGCGTTGACTCTGATGCCCAAAGGGCCCAGTTCACCTGCCAGGGCGCGAGTGAGACCTGCCGTGTTCTTGTTTTCAGTAGTCAGATCTCCCATCGAACCCCAACGTTCCACATACCTAGGACGCCCGACTTGGAAGTCGCATAAGCCGCAGACCCCACACCACCCTGGATGGCCAACAAGCTGGACACATTAATGATCGACGGACCAATTCTGTCGGGTTCTTCCTTTTTGCTTTTGGCATGTTGGCCCAACATCGGCTTGGCCATAAGCTTACACGCCCACAGGGTTCCCATCAGGTTGGTCTGCACAATGTTTTCAATAGCAACGGCGCTCTGGCGCATCAGCAGCGCATTCTGCGTGATGCCGGCAGCGTTGACGAGCACGTCGACACCGGGCGCAAACGGGGCCCTCTCACCGCCAGTCGTCTCGCATAGGTGCAGCGAGCGCACAAGAAACTCCCAGAAGCCTTTGGTGCTGATGTCGCCAGCAACGAAGCCGTGCTGCTGCAGCTGCCCCGCCCCCGCTTCCTCTGGCAGGTCGCGCAGCGCGGCGCGCAAACGCTCCTCTGAGCGCCCCACCAGCGTCACTTGGGCCGAGTGCGCGGCCAACTGCGTCGCGATTGCTTTGCCGATGCCGCGCGAGCCGCCAGTCACGAGGCAGCGGAGGCCGCGGAGGGAACGGCCGTGTTGGTGTTGGTGGTGATGACGGTGCCGAACTTGGTGACGCACTGCGGACAAGGGTCTAGGGATGCGCAGGGTCCGGAGGCGGAGCTGCTGGAGGGATTGAGGTGCGCGGGGAGGCATCTCGAAGGGGATGAGGGGACGTGGAGGGGACGGGATTAGTCGCGACGTGACGTTGGTTTGGCGGGGTGAAACAAAACGCGTAGTCGCGTGCTTTCGCGTCGAGAGCTCCACTTCCAGAGCGCCTTTTTCTTCCGACGAGCTTGCCGCCGCCCTGCCACCTTCTTTCTTCTTTCTCTCCGTCGTCGACGTGAACGTCCTTTCAACTCCACCGCCATCGCTCAGACCGCAACAATGGCGCAACCTAACTCAACCGAGTACGTCACGCTGGTTTCGAGAGATGGCTTTGAGTTCAAGGTGCAGCGCTCTGCCGCTTGTCTGGCCGGCGCCATCCGTCGCATGCTCGACCCTACGAGTGCGTTTTTCCCTCAGTCGTTCATCTCATCATCAAAGCTTTTCTTCCACTTCTTCCTAAGCAAGCCGCCGGTTTCACCAACGACGACTAACAACCAATCGTTGTGTGCTTGCAGACAACTTCTCTGAAGCGCTGTCGAACCGCTGCGTCTTTGAGAACATTAACGGCGTCGTGCTCGAAAAAGTTTGCGAGTACCTGTACTACAACGAGAAGTACAAGAACGCCAAGGACGTGCCGGACATGGATATCCCGCCTGAGCTCTGCCTCGAGCTGCTCATGGCGGCCGACTACTTGAATGGTTCGTTTCGCGCTGCTGTCCCTGGCTGATCACCGGGTCACTAGTGTGGCGTTGATCGACTCGCTGACTCTGCTCCAGTTTGATGATGAACGACGTGCTAAAACCTATCGACTGGCCTGGGCGATGTTATTGGCGTTCATTGAGTGATGGGCGGTCTACGGGTCGCGCGCCGTTGTCCCAGCACATCTTGACTGGATCGGCGCAATTAGGGGTTCAGGTTCAGGTTCGGCTGGAGGAGATACCCGCGGATTGCTTCAGAAGCGCATGAGATCCTTTTTTGACCGTCTCCAGTCACAGCGTCACTGATGGCAGCCGGTATCCACACGCGTTGCCACAGATTACGACGACAAACACGCCAACAGCATCACGAGCATATACGTTCAACTCCACGCACTATGCGTTGAATGTCTATAGTTGATGCGAAAGCAAACATCCTCTCTATTCAGTCCGCTCCCCTTTCCATTGGGAGGCCTGGACTTTATTCCAGTAGGAAACATGCCGCCCCGTCGTCCGGGCGGGCTTCAAGCCGCCGCGGGTCGAGCGCGAGACGATCTTGTCTTCATTCCCGTCAGCCGGGAATTCGTGACCACGTGGTTGGCTGGTTTGGGAGGACGGGCACGTTGCTAGAGCAATCTTATACACGATCTTCGCTACCTTGAAACCATCGGGCCGCAGAAGGGCTCGGTGTTGAGATGCGCTAACGCCGACCGTCCGACAAGCGGTTCGGTCGCCAGTGCGGAGTGTGGAGAACGGGCGCCGTCGGCGTTTGCTTGCCTGCAGGTGCTAAGTTAGGTCGCGCTGGTGCTGGGGGGAGGTTGGTGCTGGCAGTGAACAGCGCAGCAAAGCATCATGAGGGAGTCACACGGTCGTGTCCTCGTTCAGCACCGGGCCGCCAACTGCAACGGGCGCGCGCTCGTCCACTCGTCCACGACGTAGATTATGTATTCAATGCTTCCCTTTTGCCCAGTGATCGGCGCGCAGCCTGGCGCAAAACGGCAAGGGCGTCTTCCTTGGTTTCGCGCGCATCAACGCCCAACCAGCCGTACGGGGCAGAGATGGGCTTGCGGCTCTGCAGGCGTCGTAATTTCGGGCACGTGACGGGCTTCCTAATGCCGACGACAGCACAGCCTTGTGTGCGTTGTGGTTCGATTACTTGCGTCGGCGCGGCGTGGAGGTGGACCTGATGCGCTCACGGCTCATCGATGAGAGGACACACAGCCAACGATCGACTCGGGCCGGCTGTTGATGATGAGCACGCAAACTGAGGCGGCGGCGACGATGAGAGGTTATCAGCCAACTAAGAGGGAGATATCGAGCGCGATAGTCGGAGTAGCGCGGGCGGGCGTGCGTCAGTGGAGTCGTCGGACGAGTAGGGTAAGGGAAGGGTGCGGCCACGGAGATTTGTCGCGCATCTTTTCCCTCTTTCCGTCTCTCTTTTTTTCTTCACAATTTTTTCCCCCTCTCTTCACTGTTGGGGTAAGGTAGGTGGGAACTGTTTCGAGTCGCGAAGGGAGCGCGGCGCGCTGAGCGCACAGAAAATCTACCTTTTTTTCTTTGCAGCACCCCCGCTGCGGATCTCGTATAGACGATGTCATCGCACAGGGTCAGTCGCGTTGTTCCCGCACGCAGGGGCCGGTGGCAGGGCAGAGACATGCATGGCGTCGCAGGACGTTGAAAAAACTCCACCACCCCGCAAAAGCGGGAATGCTCACCCCCATTCAAATGACGGACAGCATCGAGGGTGCCGCGCAACCGCGGGATGATCGATTCCCAGCGAAGGGAAGGAGAAGGCGAGGGAAGGCGTGAATGTCACCACTGCGCCTCCACCGCCGCCGTCAGAAGGTTATGTGCGACGTCACCAATGGCAACGCAGGCAAGTATGGCGCAGCAGCAGGCAGCATGGCATGGTGACGGGCTGCGTGCGCAATTGTCTTTGCCACCAACATCCGGCGACATCCAGCTGGCCAGGTGGTTTCTTTTTTGTCTCTCGGGCTTCCGCGGCAGGGCCGGGGGGTGACAGAGATGTAATTAGGCGGGCGGGATAAAGGTAGCCTTCGCTTAACAATCATGACTCTGAGACAGACAGACGAAGAGAAAATGGAAGAGTCAAGAGAGGTGTTTTACGTGGGCGGAGGAGGGACGTCATCCGAGCGCGGTGCGGATCCGCTTTTTCGAAGCCTCCTCCACGCCCCATCATGCTCAGGGTCGTCGGCAGGGTCACGCCTGGCGCGCTGGGCCAACTAAACCAACCAGCCAGCCATCCCGCCGTGCCCGCCCGCCCCGGCGGATCCAAAATAGCACCACCAAAGGCTGCAGGCCGGTGCGAAAATCTCCGCGTCTGGCGCATGCGATCGGCGTATGACGGCTGCGTTGGCCGCGTGTGCGTGCGCCGCCGCCGTGCCTGAGGGTCCAAGGTATTTCAAGGGTCTGGTCTTTGCTCGCTCGCTGAAGAATGCGGTGTGTGCTCCTAGCTTTACCTCCTGAACTACAAACACGCTTCTACATAAACTGCCTCGCTCCCCACCTCCCAAGGGACATACATCCACTCCTCCGAAGATCCCTCTCCCCCGTCCCTCGTCGACTGCCTCATCCGGCAATTCCGTCTTCTCATCCAACCAACCCACCAACATATCAACCACCATATCACCAGTCGACATGGCCGGCTCCAAGTTTGTCGAGATGCTCGACACCGACATCCAACCCACCTACTCGGCCTACAACGTCTCCCTCGACGACATCCTCGCCGAAACCCAGCGCCGGTGCTCCTCGTCCGCCGGCAGCAGCAGCAGCAGCAGCGGCTACTCGACCGACGGCAAAGATGCCACGCGACCTACCAGCCCCTCCAGCCCGGTCAAGAGCAAGTTCAAGCGCTTCTCCCTCAGCGCAAAGAGCCACTCATGAGCAATGGGTCTAGACCGCCACCACGGCGTTTGCCCACCACCACTTTAGAGGAATAAGGTTGTCACGCGGAGGACTCGCGTGTCACGCATCCAAAGCCATGGAGCAGCCGATCCCTGGGAGGAAACCGAGCAGAGGGATGCAGCAGCAGCAGACTAGCTAGCATCACCGCCAGTCAGACGAGCACAAGCTAGCCCGCGACTCGATTGGAGCGTAGCCGGGGCGCAGCGCATCCACGGTTGGCCGGCGGCCGAACTGGTCAACAATGATCCGGGCCGGCGTGCTTCGGCTAAAGCATCCCAAGTCTGGCTCAAATCATCCATCCAATCCGTCTAGCCATCCTCCATCCACCACTCACCCATGGGTCGCTTTTGCCCGACACGCACCGAATGGCTGGCTCTTGGGCGCTGCCTGTCGTGCTCGGGTGTCTAGCGCCCGACGTGCGCGTGGTCCCGCCGACATGTCTCGGCTGCGGCGCCCGGTCTGGACCTTTTTCCCGAGCTGGGGCACGCGCGCACAGCAACGGCTAGGCACAATGACGTCCTGTCGTGCGCCCGCGCGCCCCGTTTACACTTTGCGCATTACGAAGAGTGCTTGGAGTGAAGGGATCTGGAGCGCGCGGCACATTATCGTGTCGACAGGGATCGGTTTTGCGCTTTTCAGTTTTTCGAAATGATGTTCGCAGAAGCGGAGGCGTCCAGACTCATGTAATGCCTCATTTGCTAGATTCGCGGCCTTGGCGCGCTCGGATGGACAGTGCCGGAGCGAGATACCTCCGGCCGTAGCACGACTACCCTACATACCCTACCTACATCTCTGCTTCTTTTGTTGAATGGCAGGTCTAGAATACTGTCGCCTGCAGCAACGGAAATGAATCCAATCCACATTTACTATTGAATCACACCATTCATGCCTGTTCCGAACGTGAACTAACTGATAATTCTGCTAACTTAAGTCCATAGTAAACTTTTCACACAGCAGTAGAAAGCTGCTGTGATCGATTCACCATGTTCAGACAGATCTCGACCCACGATCGAGCACATTCGGCACGGCACGTACTCCTCCGAGCCCTCCGACACAAAAGATCTGCGAATCGACAATTGCCTTTACATCTCACAAATTCATCGCAAACGCTATTGGTTACTCCCTTACCTTGACCTCCAGCACTAGGAGTACCGCATGAAGCCCCTACGTTCCCTTTCCCCAGTCACCAGACCAGACCGCTCTGTGCGTTCCCTTCAAGCAAACAACGCCTAAAACATGCGGCGCAACGCGCGACAAACACGCCATGCCACAGGACATCGTTCACGTAGTCACCGCTCTTCTATGCAAACACCCGCTCTACACCCACGCTCACTCCACCCCGAATTCAGATCCCGATTTTCACACCACCAGCACACCCACACGGCCCAGTCCTGTACAGTACAGCTAAAACGATAGTGCCTGGGCGCTCGCATGCTCCGCGATGATCTCCTCCGTTTGTAGACCCTGAGTGCGCGCCCACGTCCGCGCGCGCTGCAGCAAAACCGCTCGCTACGTCAGCCCCACGTGCTCTGCGCCGCGCTACGCCGCACAGCTGGCAGTATTGTATTGTACCCAAGCATACAATATAGCGCGCAGTGGCAGGGGTTGTGATGGGCGGGCAGGTGGAGCTGCGGCTCAGTGCGCTGCGGCAATGACGGTGGGGCAAGCGTTCATCGGTTGCGCGCCGTTGCGCGTGTGGGGATGGGCAGCGGTGTGTGGGCGGCGAGCTGGTTGGTGGTTGGAAAGGGGTGTGCGAGAACATTCGCAGGTATTCGGGTGGGGAAATAATGGCGACTATGGTAGGCGGTTGGGGCTGTGAGGGGCGCGGCTATAGAGAGAGGTTGGGAGGCTCGAGGTAGGTTTGGGCGGTGAAGGTCGAGGGAGAAGGGAGAGGGGAAAGGGAGGTTGTTGAAAAATGGGGCTCTTCGGATACGGGTAGCGAAGGGATAGCGGCAAGGGGGCTTACTATTTTACCAGGATTGCATTGTTCAATTGATCTATGCTGAGGCCAAAAGATCTCGCGCATGTGAAGCTATGATAGTGACGCAATGCATACAATTTTCCTGAACCGGACTAGCGTCGGCACTGCCCACTGCCGACGCCGACCGGATCATCTTTCAAGCTTCAAGCTCCAGCTCGGCTGCCGCAAGCTATGGACATCACAGACCCTTGATCTACCTACTCTCCTCCTCTTCGCCATGGACCCACAGAACCAGGAAAAGTTCGCCATCCACGAGGCATGCCGTGAGGGCAGAAGTACGGCCCCGCATTGAGCTTCATCCGAGTGCAATGCTAACTCTGCCGCAGCCCAGGTTGTCGAGTCGCTACTAAACGTGAGCCTCCACCCATGATCTTCCTCTCACAGGCTCCCGACTGACCATGTCACGACCGTGCCCCAGGCGAACCCTCGGCTCGCGACCCGCAGAGACGATGACGACCGCTTGCCGCTCCACTGGGCCGTAGCCTACAACCGCGTGCCCATTGTCTCTGTACTTGTCCAGTCCAAAGGCTTCGATGTCGATGCGCAGGTACGCCCCGGAACACAATCGGTCCATATTTGGGCGAAGAGCTGAGAGCCGTGTGCTAGGACGGGTCCGGCTGGACGCCGCTCATGATGGCGGCGAGCCTGAAGGAGTCTGACGAGCTCGTAGACCTACTCCTGTCGCGAGGCGCAGACGTCAACATGAAGAGTAAGCCGAGCGACAGCACCCCGCAAGCATTTTCTAAGCTGACACGCGCCGCGCAGACAACAACGGTCAGGTACCTGCTTCCTTACCCGAACCTCCCTCCCGTCCGTAGAACAGCTACCGACACCGTCCACCACCAGACCGCCCTTCACTTTACTGCCTCGAAGAACAATCTCGACATCGCTCGCAAGCTTATCGCGCACAAAGCGACCGCTCGCGTAAAAGACAAGCGCGGGCAGTTGCCCACGCACCGCGCCGCGGCCGTGGGCTCCGTACCCATGCTCAAGCTGCTGCTCGAGGCCAACAGCCCCATCAACGCGTCGGATATGGACGGCATGACAGCATTGCACCATGGTATGCTCCTCCGCCGCAGGCCTTGATCAAGAGCGCCTGCTCCCATTGCCTACACGCGCTGACAATACTTCTTGCTCTGGACAGCGATAGCAGAAGGCTTCGGTGACGCGGCGTTGATGCTGATGAAAGCCGGCGCCGAGCTTGACAAGCGCGACAACGACGGTCAGCTAGCCATCGACCACGCGCCAGACGCAAAGGTACGTACCCTTCTTGCGATCGTGCACCTATATCTCGCTCCACCTCAGGCACGGCAGCAGACGGCGGCGGCAACGCTGTGACGACAAATACAAATAGGCAAAGTTTATAGACAGCCTGCCGCTTTCACGGATATGGTTGTCGATGCGAACATACCGAGAGCTATACTGAGCGCCCGCGCCGCTTGCCTGCCCACTTGCTTGCTATCTGACCCGCTTTTCTTATTGAAATATGCAAGTGATACACTGCTGACGAGTGCATATACTAGATCAAAAACTATATCCTGCAGACGGCGGAAATTGAGGGCATCGAGCTGCCGTAGACACGTCGTGAATTGCTGACGACACAGCAGTGATCTGACAGCGGGTATAGCTGCTGTGTGGTGTGGGGATGACTGCGTCAACAACTGCTCGCGCGCTCCTGGGTGCGGCGCGCGTCCAGTTGCAGCTAGGAGTATGTAAAGCTGAATGTGAAGCTTCGCGAGTCCAACATCGACGGAGAATAGCAACGCCCTCGCCGCGTCACTGCTTCCTCCCTCACCTTGCTTGCTTCCATTTCGCCACCCCACAAGCACACACGAACCACGCATGTTCGCTGCCGACAACAGTCTTGCCGCTATGCCAGCGCGCCTCGACTCCGATTCCGTCCTCGGTCCCAGCGCGGGCGGCACCTGCATATACATACGTCCAAAATTCCCTGCCTGCGTCCGTGTCCGGACAGAACGCAGATTCCAGACGGTCCTATTAATCTGACTGAGTTTCGCAGAGTCACTTCAGGTTATAGATTGCGTTGTTGTGAGGTGGTTATGAGCGAGAAGGTTGGTAGGTAGTGACATCGCGCACGGCGCGAGTCATTTCCCCTGGTCGCGGCGAGTCATTTGACTTTCGAATCTCACTTTACTGCTGGTCGCATCCATGGCCGCCTCTCACTTCCATCCATCCACGACTGCCTCATCCACGACAATCTACCTACGACGAGCACATCTGCTGAGCTAGCAAAACAACGCGCCGAAACCACGATAAGCACATCCGTAGCCAACAGAACAACACATCAGAGCCATGTCGTTCCGCAAGGGCGCCGGTCCGGCGGTTCCCTCGCCCACGCCGTCCACCTCGTCGCAGATGGCTTCGCAGACCAAGAAGCGACCTCGCCCCGATGACAACATTGTGTACTCCCAGCCACAGTCCACCAGCACTGGCCAGGAGATTATGACGCGTATCGTCTATGCCTGCGAATATCTCAAGGAGAAGAACCGTCCTCTTCTGTTTTCCGATGTATTCAGCCATCTTTCGATCCAGGTGAACGTGGAGGGCCATGCGAAACCCCAGCCCGCCGAGCAGGGGGGTAGGGAGTGGAATACGATCCAGAGCATTCTGCAAAAGCACAAGCAAGTCGACTATGACCCGAACGGCTTCAACGGCAAGGGCTCGTACCGCTACCGGCCCAAGCACAACGTTCGGTCAGCCGACGAGCTCAAGGGCTTCCTACAGCGGCAGACCAGCTCGGTGGGCATCAGGGTTTCGGAGCTCAAGGACGGGTGGCCGGGCGCGATTGACGCGATCAACGAGCTCGAGGCCAAGGGCGAGCTACTCGTGACGCGCAACCAGAAGACTAACCAGCCGCTACTAGTATGGCAGAACGACCCGTCGCTGACGCACGCCATGGACGCCGAGTTCAAGAGCATGTGGCTCAGCATCCAGCTGCCGCAGAACCCGGACGACCTGCGCAGCCGCCTCGTGGCGGCCAACCTGAACCCCACGAGCGCGCCGCGCGAGGTCAAGGCCACGGGCAAGCCAAAGGAGAAGAAGAAGAAGGCGCAGCGCAAGGGCAAGACGACGTCGAATACGCACATGCTGGGCATGTTTAGAGACTACACCGATAAGAAGAAGGCGTAGCGTAGCGTAGCCTGCCTGCCTTTTTGCAACTTCTCGGGCGTTTTTAAATATTAAATTTTTTATTTATTTATTTATTTATTTATTTATTTTTTGCCATATCCCCTTGTAGATTCTTTCTTTCTTTCTATCCATCTTTGCAGAGCGTCTACGCACGTACATGCCGCGGAGTCCTTCTCGTCTGCCTGCTCGTTGCCGTAGGCAGGACCCTTCTTCTTCCTTCCTTCTCTGCGGCTCAGCACAGCACGCTCTTTCCTTGTGTTCGCCCCCGCTCCTCCTCCGGAAAGTCACATGCATGCCACTCATGCTACTCATGCTTGGAGGACGGGGATGGTTTGTTGGGCTGAGCCGCAGGCAAGGCAGGCAGGCAACGGGACCGGTACCTATGCACCGGTACCAGGCGCGAATACTTTGCTTGAGCCCGTTCCTCGTAGTAGGCAAACACACAATCAATCAATCAAATCAATCAATTAGTTAATGTTTGCCTTGGCTTGTATCATTCGATAAAATGAGGACAGACAGACACGTACGTCATTCACTTGTGGTCGTGGTAGTGTGTGCGTGTGCGTGAATAAAGAAAGAAGACAAGGCCGCTCAGCATATTTGTCCTTGCCGCTGTATATATACGTGCGGATAAAGTAGGTACAGTCCATGTAGTACGCAGCAAGCCGTGCAAACAAAAAAAAAAAAAAAAAAAAAAAAAAACCGTCAACGCCAACTGCCGAAGCCCCATCCACCATCCACCAAGGTAAGGAAAGAAAGCACAACCATCCCATTCCGCTAGCCACGCCACGCCCCAACGCCACATGGAAGTAGCTAAGATAGGTAGGTACCCGACCGGGCCGCCCTAAAGAGTACGTACGTAGGTAGGAGCACCTACATGACGATGCAGTTCTTCCCCGTCTGCTGGCACTGCTCCAGATAGCCCTCTTCCTCCCCCGTTCCCGCAACCACTTCCCCCACCTTCCGCACAAGTCCACGCACCACAATCTCCTGCTCGCCCTCGGCATGCCACCACCGCAGGCGCTGCACCGTCGCGCTCTCCTCGGCCCCTTCTCCCATTCCCACATTCACGTCGTCAATGCTCCATTTCCCGCCGCTGACCTCGACCGTCGTCGCATTGTTGCCGTTGTCGCCGCCGCGCGGGAAATGGAACGCGGGCAGGAAGATCTCGGTCGGCAGCGCCTCGCTGGTAGGAGAAGGCGCGTCGAGCGCGAGCCGGAAGGTGCAGGCGCGCAGGTCGAAGCCGTAGGACACGACGCGGCCGTGCGTGGCGATAGGCGTGGGGCGGATGTAGGCTTGGGCGGCGCGGTGGCCGGGCTTCGTTGGTGTCGATGTCGTCGTCGACATGGGCTGCTCTGCGGACAGCGATTCGCGCAGGTTGGCGGGGGAGACGCGCTGGGTTTCCGAAGACTGGCTGCGCGAGTAGGCCGGCGAGGCTGGGTCGGCGGCGCTGCTTGAGGAGGCGGGTGATGGCGAGGGCAGCGGCGCGTCGTCGGCCGAGTAGATGGACAGGTCTTCGCCGTTCCACTGGTCGCCCCACCGGTGGTTGTTGGTCGCGACGTACGTCCACAGCGTGAAGCCCTGGGCGTGGCTGGCCTCGAGGGCGAAGTGGTTGGCGTCCATGGCCAGGATCTGGCTGGAGTAGTCGCCCGTGCGGTACGCGTACTTGTCGTCCATGTCGTAGGGAATGCCGATTTCGCTGAACAGGCACGGCCGCGGGCCCATGTTGTCCAGGCCTTCCTTCATGATGGCCGCCAGCTGGTCGCGGAAGCAGTTCCGGATCGCTGTCTCTCCGATCTTGATGGCAAAGGCGGGCGTCAGATACTTGCCGCGCAGGACGCCAAAGACGTCCACGTTCCACAGCCGGTTCCATTTCTTCGTCATCAGCGTCACTCCGTCGTAAAAGTGAGGCGTGAACACCATGTTCGGATCATCGTCTTCAGTGTTTTTTATCGTCGGGGGGATCTCCAGTACGGGCGGCTGGCAGAACATGATGGTCTCAGGGAACACACCCCTGATCGCGTCGCGATACCTCCTATAGTGCCGCATAAAGAAGTGGTTCGTAAAGTACTCGTAGTCAACGGTCTCTCCGGTCGCCGGGTTCTTCGCGAAATAGTCTTTTCTGAGCAACGTGTCCGAGGACGGATCCCACACACCATGCTGTGCCCACAGGCACTCTCCAAGCTTCCAGTCTGGATCACGTTTGAATCCATAATGCGAGTGGTCATAATCCGCGGGCAGCCACGCAGTCACGCCTTGGGGATCGACAAGAGCGCTCCCTGACCTGTACGGACCCATGCCACCAAAGTCCCAAGTGTCAATCTCGCATGCCCTGCCCGAGCCCGTGAGAATTGCTTGCCACGCTGTTGGAGAAGTACCCTTCTGTAACTTCTGCTCCTTGGGAACGACGGACAAATCCACCCAACCGATCAAACCTCTGTTCGGTTCATTCATGCTCTCCCAACCTATGACGACGTCGTTCTCCAGATCGCCGGCTTCGCGGATGCGCTGAGCAAGGTGTTTGCACGCATTGACGAAATGCCCTTGCAAATAGTCTTCAATATTCATCCCGTCGATGATGGCTTTGGGCGCGAATTCTCTGCCAGCGAAAAACAGGGTGAACATGACCTGGCATGCCATTCTGGTGTAGTTGGTGGCCCAAATCATTTTGGGGAACTTCTCGGGCTCCGGGTAGGTGTTTTGAACCAAAGCGGCCTCGGTCACGTCGAATGCCCTAGGGTTCAGTCCGCATGCGTATAGGGTCCACAGTGGCGCTCCCGAGCCTCCGGAGAACCTCGACCAAACATCCTGGTGAGGGTCCATGAAAATGTAAAATCCATAGTTCTTGGCCAGCCGAAGCACGGCGATGGTGTGTTGTACCCACTCCTCGTCATATTTCTTCGGACCCTCGTGCTCGATGGCCTCCCAGGTGAAGATGTAGCGGATGGTATTATATCCCATTTTCCTTAGCCGGCTGAAGTGGACATGGGCGGAGTCGACGGTGAAGGGGCGACCGATGAATGAGACATGGTCGGCATCATAGAAGTTCTCGGCGACGTGCGAAGGCTGATCCGGGGTGGAAGGGAATTTGGCATCGCCAGCGACGTTGATTCCATGGAGCGTGACTTCGCGGCCGTTGTTGTCGCGGAAGGTCCGCCCGTCGATGCGGAGGCGGAGAGGTGCCATAATGTGACGATTCGCGGACAGCTGTGAGATCCAGAAACAGCAAAGGAAGGAATGCTAAGGAAAGAAGCTGGCTTGGAGATCAGACGTCAAAGGCGGTAGAATCAGCGGGTATGCAGAGATTAGGTAGGTAGTAGTTGGAAAATAGGTAGGTAGGTGCGACCTGTAGCTCCGATGTTCACGTCACTGCATGCCGAGGCAGCTACCTAGCTACTCGTACTCGTACTCGAGTGCGAAGCAGAGCAGCCAACCTAATGACTAATCGGGAGGCTACCAAGCACGGGTCAAAGACCACCGAGCATCATGTATTATTCTTTTTGAAGTTGGTTGGATGCTCGCATAATGCATCATCATCGTCTTATCATCATAATAATAAACTGGTAGACATGGACGTCAGTCGAAAACCAATCCATCCATCCACCTACTGCATCTTCTCGCACAAATCTCTATAAATCCTCTTCAACTCCCGCACATCCCCCTCCAACTCACCAACCCTCTCCTCCTTCTCCCCCAACATCTCCAACGTAGCCTCGAACCTCTCATTCGTCCTCCTCACCTCTTCTTCCAGCGCCGGCACCCGCGTCGCCGCCCGCCTAGCGCCTTCCACCTCCCTCAGCAGCGCCACAACCTCGTCTCGCGCCCCGTCCCGCTGTGCAATCAGCCGCGCCGTCTCTTCGCGGGAGGCCGCCTTTTCGCTCTCGAGCCGACGTACTGCGGCGCTCATGCGCTCGACGAGCTGGACGCTGGGACCGGCTGCGACGGTTGATGCCGAGATAAGGTCCGCAGGGGGCACGGAGCCGCCGCGCATGGGGGAGCTGGTACGCGTAAGGGCGTCATCGTCCGCTAGTATGGATGCCGAGTCGTTGGGTTGGAGGATTGGCGTGCTTGTGCCTGTGCTGTTGTGGAGTTGTGAGAATGTCATAGAAGAGGCGCTATCCTGCCTCTGCGGTGGCGTAAACGGCGCCCCGCCAGCGCGAGAAGGCGCGTACCCCCCAGGAGTGCGCCGTCCTGCGCTCGATGCGGCAGTGTGGTCGAGAGAAAGGAGCAGGTCCGATGAGGAGACGCGGCCGGGTGGCGGGGCTGGGGAGCGGCGGGCGGCAGCGACACCGAGGCCGAGGCTGTCTTGGGCCGAGAGCTTGCGAGCAGGCAGCGACGGCGTCTGTGGGGCGAGGAAGCCGCCGTACTGGCTGGCTGAGTCGGGCGAGAAGAGGTTATGGTGGCTGCTGCCGGGTGTGGCAGTGCCTCCCGACGTCTGCAGCTGCAGTTGAGCCTGCATCTCTGCGCGCAACTTCTGGCGCTCCTCGTCGAGCTTGTTCTGCTGTTCAGTCTCCCAAATGTGGCGCTGCTGCTCGAAACGTGCCTTTGCCTCCTCGAGCGACTTCTCCGCTGCAGCCACCTGCTTCTGCAGCCCTGCCATAGCTGCCGCCTGCTCGCTGAGTTCGTGTTCCAGCGCGCGCGCCCGCTCTGACGCCGTATCCATCTCGTCTTCCAGCCGGCGTGCTTTCGAGTTGACTTCGCGCGCCTTCCGCCGCACCTCGACTTCGCGCTTGGCCAGCTCGTCGCGCTCCTTTTCCAGTGCCGTCAGCCGCGACGTCAGCGACGATTCGATGCCTTGCCAGTTTTCGCTTGCCAGCGAATACTGCGTTTGCAGCGTCTCAATCTGCCGCAACAGCTTGATCTGCGAGTCACTAGAGCCACTGGATGACGCTTCTTCGGTGCGGGCACGGAGGACTTCGAGGTTGGTTTCCAGGTTCTTGAGCTGGGTCAGTATTTAGACGTAGTGCTTGGGTATCGTTTGAAACATACTGTGATTTCGCTCCTCAATTCCGTCTCCACGGCCTTGGCCCGCTCCGCTTGCCGCGTAGCTTCTTCTTTGAGGCCGCGCACCTCACTCTTGGCTCGGTCTTCGGCGAGCTGCTTCTCCGTGCGGAGTTCAGCCAGCTCTTCATCCAGTGCTGCCGCTCGCTTCTTGTCCGCTTCGGTTGCGCTGGCCTGCGCCTTCTTCTCCGCCGAGCTTACCCGCTCATTGGCCGCTGCTAGTTGCTTTTTCAAATCGGCAATTGTCCGCGCTTGTTCTTCGTTCTCAGACTTCCTGGACTCTGCCTCCTTGCTAACTTTGTCGAGCTGCTTTGCCTTTTGTTCTGCAACTTTGAGCTGTGCCTCTGCCCGTTTGGCACGTTCCGTAGCGTCATTGGAGCTGCTTTCTGCCTTGGCGAGCTTACGCTTCAAATCTGCTGCGCTCTTTTCATCCTCTCCAACCTTGGCGCGCAGTTTCTTGATATTATTCATGTAATTCAGCTCCTTTTTTGAAAGCGCTTGCCCCTCCTCCATGAGTAGCGCAATCTGCTCATCTTTTTCAGCGAGCTTCTTCTCAGGGCTGCCGGATGCAGCGTCATTGGCAGCGGCGCGTGCGGAAGTGGCTGCCTGGTTGGCAAGGTATTTGAGCTTGGACTGTAGCGCATCAATGCGCTCGAGGTGGATATGCATCTCTTCGCGGTATGTTTTTTGGAGCTCCTCGTGGGACTGGCGGAGACTAGCGACATCTGTGCCATTGGTCGGAGTGGTGTTGTCGAAATCGGGCTGGGTATCAACTTCGGACGGGGTCTCCGCGGCCGGGGATGTAGCGGCTGGTTGGCTTGAACGAGCGGAATCTAACGACACGCGTGGAGAAGGCACATGGAGGGCATCGGCCTTGTCCGTGTCCTCGGACTTGTCGGCCTCGTCCTGCGCCGCGTCCCCCGCAGATGCATCTTCAGCCTTGTCGGCCGGCTTATCCAGCGGTTCCACCACGGCAGGCTTGTCTTCGGCGGCGGGGGTCAAAGAGGGCACGTCGGAGACCTTGGAGGTGGAGTCGATGCTGGTGCGGGTGGTGTCGGCGCCCAGGGAGGGACTGGCGGTGCGCGAGGGCAGGTCGGACGAGGCCCTGCTGGCGGGGCGCGAAGAGTCGGCCTTGATGGCTTTGGCCAGGCGTTCCTGGAGACGGTCGTTGGGGCGGGCTTGCTTGCGAACAGCCTGGTCGGCCTGCCTGCTGCGAGCCGAGGCCTGTTCATCCTCGCCCAGGATGGTGTCGAGGCGCGACTCGAGGCCGGCCACAGCGCCGGAAAGGAAGGAGCCCCATTTGGCGGGAGCGCTCATGCTGGGCGGGGGATGCGGTGTAACTGGGGGGTGGGCATTGGAAGGAGAGTATTACAGTAGGTAATTAGGTGGACGTGGCCTGAAGTCAGCCGGCGCCCGTCGCACGCATCAAGGAATGGACAGGGTTCGTCGGCGATGGCGAGCGCGTTGAATCCTGGGAACCCACGACCCGAACCCGAACCTACTCTAAACCTCACACCTAGGGAAGAACGACGGCCCGTCATGCATCATACTTAGTGACTGTCAAGCGCCACTCACCCTCCTCCCCAATGCCATCTATCTATCGTGTGACCTTTGACGCCTTCGTCGCCTGTCTCGTTTGCTGTGAATCAACTTTTGGCTGATGTTCCGCAGCCGTCTCTCCTCCGTCCAATCGCCGCGCCCCGCTCCCAGCCCCCGGCATGACGACGCCCATCTAGCTCCCCTCTCGCCGTTTTGTGCCTTGCAGGAACCATTCTTGCCTTGGCACCTTGGAGGCCAAGCGAGGAGGGTTTCTCCTGATGGATGCCACCTCGACTCCTACCTTGGCCGTCTGGACTGCCATCTTCATCTCCCGTGAATCTCTGTACCACTCCCCTGAAGAAGTCTCATAGGTAGCCAATCCGCCTCTCAACCGGAGCCGGAGCACCGTGGCCGATTAACACACTCCGTCTGCCTTCCAGCGATTTCGCGTCGATCGACAGCGCGAGGGCGTCAAGATGTCGGATTCGCTACCATCGGTGGCTGTCGATTGGGCATTGACTTTGCTTTTTGGATGCCAACAGAGAAGGGATGTGGCTTAAGGTTCAAAACGTGTGCCTGGCACAGTTCTGAAGATGGCGTCGGAAGCACGTCCCGCCAGGTCAAGGTTACCAGGAGTTAGAGGGCAGGCCGAAGCGAACATGAGGTGTGTTGCGGGCACGGCTCAGCAGTTCGGCGCGCCCTTGTGCGAGTAGACAGCAGTGTGGGAGCACTGGGAGGCAGCCTCTTCTGCTTCGGCCGTCGGGCTGACGGGGGGCCCAGACGACGGCTGCCCGCATGGTAGGAACTGGAAGGAGCGGCTGTCACTCCCGTGTCCCTGCCTGCCCGATCTGACCGGAAGCAACCGAGCTCTGTTTACGGAAGGGCCAAGCTCCAAAAGCAGAGAGCAGGCAGTCACCCTCGTCGCCCTCAATCAACACAACACATGATGAAGATGGCGGCGTCGCTGTTCGCGCCAGTCGCCAACCCTACCTCCAGACGGCGGTCAGTCACGCCTGCAGCATACAAACATGATCAACCTCTCTTCCCCAGATCGCCATGGCGGTGTCACTGGCGCTTGTCTCAGATCCTGGGCCTTAGCCGTCCTGCATATGCCAGCTCTGGGATTAGTCACCCGCGACGTCGAAGGATACCCCTGCACGTTCCGTACTAAGACAATTGATTCTTCAAACGGATTTGCGCCCTATGCCATCCGGCCGCCAGGATGCCGGTTTCCAGCAGTGCAAGTAGTGCCGCGCATACCATGGCCGCGAAACATACTGCTTTCGGTCTACCCAGGTCGCTACGCGCCTTGGCGGCTTGACGACGGCCATCTGGGAAATTGGTGACTGGTAGTAGGAATGCGCTCCCTCGGCGCCTGGCCTGTGTGACTGCTGGCCTATTTCTCTTGTGTTTGACCGTTTTCGTTCCTTTTCGAGCACTATCGCATGGCGGGGAGCGGCCTCTTCCCTCTCTTAACACTGAGCGCCCACTAGCCCCACGAGGCGTCGATTGCCAGGACTCCCGTCCCAAAACAGCCACCAAGATCACGCCGCTTAGCATCCTCTTGATTCACACGGATCCGGTCCCTATTGACCATCCGTCTTCAGTCGGCTGCAGATCATCCTGGTACGTATGCGGTCGACCTCGACGACGGCCGTCGCTACAAATAACTGCCTGGAACTCTCTCCCTCTCCCAGACAAAGAAGCGCTGCAACATCACCCGGCCCATTTGCCCCCGTCTGCTTGCCCATCCTTCTGTCTCTCTCTGACAAAGAAATAGCACTGAGACTGCGCCAACTCGCCACGCTCGAGCCGCATAGCACTCTGCTTCTGATTGCTGCATCATTTCAAAGCTTCCTGCACGCCCAGTACTCTCAGAAAGTACAGCTCACCGACGGGTAGCCGCGACAGGTTCGTTCCAAAGACTTCTTTCTGGCGGCCCTGCATCAATGCGCCTTCACGTAGAAAAGACAAACCCCTTACATCGTGCAGCGACCACGGGAGGGAAGCCGCAGCTAACAGCCATGGTCTAGGTCATATTCCGAGCTGTTCGGCCTTCAATTTGATCCACAGCTTCCTTTCAGAAGCCTTCCAAAAGGAAACGGTGTCCGTACAAGGCGAAACTATCCAGCAGATACTGTGCTTCGCCAGTACGACCTCGCGCTCGTTCGACGTCATTTATCGCAAGCCGTTGGTGCGACGGAGAGAGAGCTACGCACATTCGGCTTACTTACTCTGTCTCTCGCGGCCACCTACTAAACAGAAGGCTACTTTCGAAAGCTCACGGCTTAACACGGGGAACTTACCCATACGATGATCAAAGCCGCCTCAATGGTACAGCAACACCCACCAACGCCGCCGGCAGGGCCCGCGGAGCTCTCGTATGACATACATCACCTGCCTCCGCACGGCACCAACCCGGGCTTCAAGTACGAAATCGGCGACTCACCGTACGCTCATTCCGGCTCACAGTCGGCCTACGGCTCACCTGCGCCTGGAATGCAGCATCAGCACTCAGGTGACCCGTACATGAGCCCGCAATATGGCATCAGCAACTATCCAGAGCCACATGGACAGAACGATGGCGGCTTGGGTATATCTATGGTACGCAATCCTAGCAACCTCAAGCAACACAACACAACAAAATGGATTCTATGGAGTCTGCTTACACACTGAAGGACGGCTATGGGGCACCTGGTCCAACTTACTACCATGACGAAAGTCAGGCATACCACGGTCTCCTGGTAAGTAACCGATCGACGCCCATTGAATTGAAAATTGATACTGAGATAAGTGAGCCGCAGTACCTTCAGCATGGCATGCAAGCGCACACGCCACCCACTCCAAGGTCTGCCACTGCTAGTGAAGGCGGACGGAGAACCAGAGGCGGTGCTACTCGCACTGGATCCCCCATCACCAAGTCGCGCGTCACGAAGTCCAGGGCGAAGAAACCCAGTGACAACAAGAACAAGCCAAAGACCCCGAAGCTGACGGCGCCGTTGAGTATCTTGACCAAGGACTACGACAAGATCCCGGTGAGGAACATGGAGGAGTGGGTCAACAGGTCTGAATCGGTGCGCCGAGAGGAAGTCGAGAAGCGCAATGGCTATGTTACAAGGCCCATGAACTCTTTCATGTTGTATCGCTCCGCATACGCCGAACGCACGAAGAATTGGTGTCTACAGAACAACCACCAGGTCGTGTCTTCCGTTTCTGGCGAGTCTTGGCCCATGGAGCCGCCCGAGGTCCGCGAGCACTACAACGAGCTGGCCAAGATCGAGCGCATCAATCACCAGAACGCGCACCCAACCTACAAGTTCAGCCCCAGCAAAGCAAACACCGCAGCCCGCAAGCGCAAGGGAACTTACTCGGACGAGGAAGAAGACCACGAGCCTTCCGACCTTGACGACCCCGACGCGGAATGGGCACCTCATGGCCGTCGTTCCAAGACCAAGTCTAACAGACGCCTTGGCTGTGAGCCCACCATGTTCGATGAATATGGCATCAATGCCGCCATCAACAAGTCTTCCTGGGAGGCCACGAACGAGGGCCGCCCTGTCCCTGCCGCTCTCACTGGAGCCCAGTTGCAACACGAATATTACCAAACGACCATCCACGCGCACGGTGGCACACCCGGCATCGAAGATGTGCACATGCACCGCATGGAGCATCCAAGCGCAGCGCTGCGTCACTACCACCACCTCGTGAACCCGCAACATCAACAACAACAACAACAACAACAACAACAACAACAACAACAACAGGCAACAGGCCTGATCGGCATGCCGGGCGGACATGGCCGGCACCACGAGCTTTTGCAGTTGGGCGGTCCGGTGGCGGTACCTGGCGCGTTTGCAGAACCCCAGGTCGACCCGATGCTACTGACGTACACGGGCGGCGAGCAGCTTGGCGGCGAACCGCAACACTTTGATGGAGTCGGTACATACGGCGAACAATTCGGCGGGACGTTTTTGGGTGGCGAGGAGCCGCAGCACAGTCAGCCTGATTGGCGGGTTGACAGCAGCTTGATGCCGTTGGAGGCGGGCAGCGAGTTCGACAAGTGGATGGATGAGCATCATTAGGTTTGGCTTGATGGGTGTTGCGATGTGAAGGTGACGATGATAGTGATGGCGACGGGAAGGTTTTGGGAGATGATAGCACTACACTCATTGATGTGGCAGGGATGGTTAGTTGGAGCACGCACGGCGCGAGGCCCGTTTGTACAAGTAGCCTGGCTTGGGCCGGCGTGGCGGCGAGGAGAAAGCCATTGCATGCGGCGGAGTATGTTTCCTTAAGTGCAGCTTTGCCTTTCCTTAATTCCCTTCTACTGCATGCACTTTACTGGATCCAAAACACAAATCTGCATAGCACAGGGGAACGAGGATATGGATGGGGAGGGGGATGGTATTGGGCGGCTCAGTGGCTTTGTAGACTTCCAGGTTGATAGACGGGGAATCCATATCTGACTTTTTCATGTAAATGCGAGCGACGAGGGCCTGAGATGACGATGAGCGGTTCCGTTTCTTTTTGCTGCTGTGCATCAAACGCATCTGGTATCATTTGGTACGGCGGGTGGGGGCACGTGAGCAGGCGTCGGCGTGACACTGCGCTTGACTGGATCCGTATAGCCGAAATCTGCAGTGCTTGGAGTCCAATTGCGGTTCCCCGGGCATTTTACATGCAACTCGAAGCTCACCTTGCCCATTGGGATTGGCGGGGGCTGCTCCGCGGGGTTGGCAGTGCCTGGGTAGGTATTATTTCCGGCGCGTGGAGCTCCGCGTTGGCGCGTCCCGCTGCAGCGCGCGGACTTTCAGCTAACCTTCCTTGGCCGATTCGTCTCTCATCAACCTACGGCAACCACAACGACGGCTACTACTTACGATCATGTACGGCGAGTTCGGAAACAAGCTGGTGCGCGCGCGGTCCCCTTTCCTGACGTGAGGCTGCTACCGTTGCAATAATACCGATTGGCATATCAGCACGCAAGCTCAGCAGTAGCAAGGCAGACAGCTGAGTCCGGATCTCGGAGCGGATATAGGAGTATGGACAGCGCGAGCAGATTGAGCCTTGGGGAGTACGTGCGGCGTAGGTACAAGAGGCAGTGGACTGATATTGATCTCACGGTGACGGTGTCGCTGTCGCCGGGGCAGGATCTGGACGTTGACGTGCGCGTCCCCAAGGAAGCAGGGGAGATCCAAACCAAGTACGGGTATATATCGACCCTCCCCCACACGCATCCTTGAAGCCGCAGGCGTTTTGGCACTGCCCTGCGATGTAATGCACGTACGACAGACTCACGGGCGCGCGCAGAGCCATGACGCTGGCTAAGAGCAGGCAGGCAGTGGTACGCGCAGCAGGGCGACGTTGAGCGTCTGATCGCCTCCAGCTGTAGCTGAGGTTGACGACAGGCGCGCGACTTCTCACGTCACAGCACTCTGTGGGCGTCGCCAAGCCGGTGCCGGCACGCATGCCCCCCTGCGCGCCGCTGCACTCGAGGCTGCGCGTACGTACAAATAACTGTGGAAACTGGAAAGGGACTATGTTGGCGGCACGATGCGGAGACTCAGGCCGAGGGTCTGCGGGATAGGACTGGCGTGCGGGGGCGGCTTTTTCATAAACGCAAACGGAATGGATCGGTAGTGGGTAGTAATTGGGATTTGTACAAAGCGAATAGTTAGAGCCAAAAGTAGATGATAGTGGCAGGGCCGTGGGCGATCCTTGCATGGGCGGCGCGGCATCTCGCATTGTGTTTTTCTGTTGCGGCTGCGAGACAGACGTCCCTTCTAGAGCTCGGCGGCGGACGGCGGCGCCCCAAGCTCTCGCTCGCAAAAATCCTGAGCGGACATGGCCGTCCCCGTACCTAGGTATCTGCCTCCCGCTATCGCCGGGCTGGCAGGCCCGCTTCTTTTCTACTAGAAGACTATTATTACCTACCGTTACCTCTCGTCCTCCCGCATCACCACCGTTGCTCGTCATTCTGTCCTCAATGATCGCAATTCCGACACCCTAATCTCCCACGAATCCTTGGTTCTCTTGCCCCCAGCGCACCAATGGACTCCCGCTCGCACACCAACGGCGGCGGCGCGAACCTGCCTTTCAGCAATGACTACACCAACAGCTTCGCCAGCTCTGCCTCCCAATCCACGGCCCGGCCCATTGTCGCCTCGCACCACCACCAAGACCGGCCGACCACCTCCGGCAGCAGCTACCTGTCGACGTCGTACGCCCGCACCCCGGCCCGCTCCTTCATCCACCAGGCCTCTCATGGCGCTATAGGTAAGCAAGCAATAGCAGCATGTACATACACAATACTATAAACAATCCACATAGTAGACATACGAGCCCGCCCCACCAAAGTGGAGCTCTGGCTGACTTGTAAACCCGCGCGCGGGTGCTGGCACACAGACACGCCTGCCTACTCCTCGCAGGGCGTCCGCGACAAGACCCAGGAACTCTCCATGCACGCCCTCGCCGACCCCCCGAGCTCCTTCCCTTCTGCCTCCCTGCTCTCGCAGTACAGGCCTACCTCGAGCTCGCGCAGCCGCGGAGCTACCTCCATTGACGCGAGACCTGACACTGCCACCGCAGAGGAGAGAGAACATGACCGCCGAGACTCGTATGATGCCGCGTCGCCGGCTATTAGGGAGCTGCCGGAGCCCAGCTCGCCCGAGAGCATAGCGGCGTCTAACGAGTGGACTTCGCCGCGGCATGCCGTCGCCAACGGCCGATCGTCCGCCGCTGCCCCGCGGGATCAGCGCCCGCTCCGAAGGAAGAGCATCCCTTCCCCTTCATCCTCCTCCGATGACGACGAACAACTGCTGCAAAGCGCGACCGAGAGCTCAGCGCTCCTGCCGCGGAGCAGAGGCAAGCGGTACGGTACCGCCGCCGCCGCCGCGGCGGACGTCGAGAGCCAGCGGGAATGGGGAAGCAGCAGCGGCGGCGGGTGGGCAGCGCAGCCGCGCTTGCTCTACCACGCCGTGACGCGCCGTGTGCATGCGGGTGTGGAGCGTGTGCGCGGGGCAGCAAATCCAAAGAGCTGGGATCGCGAGACTGTGCTGCGGGCGGCGGTAATTGATCCCGCGAGGAGCTTACCCGCCGTGTTTTTGGGTTTGTTGTTGAATGTGCTTGATGGTTTGTCTTATGGTATGTCAAACAAAGCTGTCAAGGGCGGGGAAAACTGTTGTGCGCGGTGATGATGCTAAAATCTGACAGGTATTATATTGTTTCCATTGGGAGAGCCGATTTTCGAAAAGCTGGGGATTGATGGATTGTCCATTTTCTTCGTCAGCTGCGTGGTGGCCCAGCTGGTCTACTCCCTAGGCGGGTCGACGTTTAAGGGTGCGGTGGGCTCCGAAATGGTAAGTAGAAGGCTGGTACCATGGTGAGGAGGTCGGTGGTAGTCGTCGGAAACTGGCTGACGTTCCACAGATCGAAGTCGTACCGTTCTTCCACAAGATGACCTACGTGATCATGGGCCGCATGGGATCAGATGCAGACCCACGCGCCATCATTGCCACGGTCGTGCTCGCGTACGCCGTCAGCTCCATTATCACGGGCCTGATCTTCCTGGCGCTCGGCCTGTTCAAGCTGGGAAACCTGGTCAGTTTCTTCCCGCGCAATATCCTCAATGGCTGCATCGGCGGCGTGGGCTTCTTCCTCTTCGTCACGGGCATCGAGGTCTCTGCCCGCTTGGAGGGCAACTTGGAGTACAACTTCGCGACGCTCAAGGAGCTCTTCCAAGCCGATACCGTCGCGCTGTGGCTCACGCCGCTTGTGCTCGCGGTCGTGTTCATGGTGATCAAGCACTTTTATGACCACCCCGCGCTCATGCCGACGTACATCATCGTCATGACGGCCGTGTTCCACATCGTTGTAGCTGCGGTGTCTCGCTTCGACTTGGACAAGGCGCGCGACGCAGGGTGGGTGTTTGAGAAGCCCGAGTCGGGAGTGCCCTTCTATCATTTCTACACGCTGTACGACTTCAGCATCGTGGACTGGTCTGCGCTGTTCCGTACTCTACCAACCATGTTCGCGCTCTCCTTCTTCGGCATCATCCACGTGCCCATCAATGTGCCGGCGCTGGCTCTCTCGGCCAAGGAAGACGACGTCAACATCAATCGCGAGCTCGTCGCCCACGGCCTCTCAAACGCCCTCTCCGGATTTGTCGGTTCCATCCAGAACTACCTCGTCTACGTCAACAGCGTCATGTTCATGGACCACGGCGGCAATAGTCGTGGCGCTGGTCTGCTGCTTGCTGCCGCTACTACCGGTGTCTGGATGGCTGGGCCTGGCCTAATTGGCTACGTCCCCATTATGGTTGTCGGCACGCTCATCTTCTACCTTGGCATTGACCTGCTCAAGGAGGCTCTCTGGGATACTCTTGGCAAGCTGCGCTGGCTCGAGTATCTCACTATCGTCATCATCGTTCTTGTCATGGGAATCTACGACTTCGTCTGGGGCGTGCTGGTGGGTATTGTTCTTGCGTGCCTCATCTATGTCGTCCAGACGTCGCGCACCCCTGTCATTCGCTCCACCTACACAGGCACTATTGCCCAGTCTACTGTGCGCCGTCCGCCGCTGCACCAGCGGTATCTGCATGAGGTCGGCCAGCAGATCTATGTCGCCAAGATTGCGGGTTATCTCTTCTTTGGCACCATTGTCTCTGTAGAGAACGAGGTCAAGAAGCTCGTCGACGAGGAGCAGTACAATAAGCGCCCAATACGGTATATTGTGCTGGACCTCATGCATGTCATCGGCATGGACTACTCTGCTGCAGAAGTCCTTGTCCGTCTGAACCGCATTATGCATCGCAGGAACGTCAGTCTGGTTATTTCGAGCGTGAGCTTGAACGACGATGTAGGCCAGGGTCTGGTCATGGTAGGCCTGTTCAAGTCTGCGGAGAGCAACGACGAGCATTGCCCGCCTCCGAAGCGATTCGAAACACTGAATAAAGCGCTGGAGAGTTGCGAGAACGAACTGCTGGAAACACTGCATCAGCGCACAAGGGCCGTGGGCTCACCGAAGGAGACGGCATCGCCTGTCTCGATATCGCCCCAGAGAGAGGCAGCGCAGAATCCGTTCGACACAGGTGCCTTCAACTCCCCGCGGCGCGGTCTCTTGCAGCACGCGGCCACGATGGCACTGCAGGAGCAAGGCCAGGGTAATGTGACGGTCGACGAAAACACCAACATGTTGACGCCAGACAAGTGGAAGAACTTTGCGCAGCCGATTCCTCTGATGCTGCTCACATTCCAAGACCTGTCAGACAAGGATATCGACTTCTGGCACCGGGCGGTGCCGTACTTCCAGCGGCGCGAGTATGCCGCGGGGACGGTTCTGTACTCGCGGGGCGACGAACCGGACGGTTTTTACATCGTCGAGCGGGGCAGCCTGCGCGCCGACTACCATCTGGAGCAGGGTCAGTACTACGAGTCGATCCAGGCGGGCACGACATGCGGCGAGCTACCCTTTTTCTCGGAGACGGACCGGACGGGCAATGTGGCGGCGGAGGCGGACACGGTCGCGTGGCTCCTGACGCGCGAGCAGTGGAAGCAATTGGAGAAGGCGCAGCCGGAGGTGGCGAGTGAGTTGTTGCGCATCTGCTTGAAGCTGACGAGCGAGCGCATGAATGCCATCACATCGTAAGTGGTTCCTCGCTGATTTCCCCCTCAATGGCAATAGCAACGGCAGCTGATAAATTTTTGATTGCCAATAGCTACGTGTTGGTCACGGCGAGTTGAGCACAAGGGGGGTGGCGAGGCGGGCATCTGAGATGCGGGGTTGCGTCATGAGGAGCGGCGGCTTAACCTTCCAGAAGCGCGCGCGCATGGCCCTCGGGAGTCGGCCGGCCCAACATTAAGCACCTGGGGCGTGCGAAATGATCCCTCCCCTCCCCCTCTCTTGCTTTAGGAGGGCGGGAGTGGCAAGTGGTTCGATGGGGACGCGGGCTGGTCTTTTGACAGGCAGACCTCAGGCCGTCTGGAAGGGCGCGTAGGGCTGAAGAAGATTGAGGGCGGTTGGCGGAAGCGCAGAGGCCCCCCCGGCATCAGCGCAGCGAGCAAAGAGGAGGGCGGCCAGTGGTGCGGACGGTCCCTTGCATATGCGCGCACGCGCCCGTGGGAATCTCGGCTGGCGCGCCTCTTGCATTTGGAGGCGGGATCGAGCAAGGATGGCTAGCGTCTGGGGTGGGTAGGAGTGTGCGCTGTTCGCCCGAGGAGATTCTGGAAGGGAGGAAGCGAGAGAATCAAAAGAGAGCGCTGGCAGGTGCGGCCGTGGCCGGCGCTATCGAGTGATTGCCCGGGTAATGGTTTTAACTTGCTTGGGACTTATGGGACACGGCGTATTGCAGGACACACAGGGTGGGTTGTTTTGAGTGGACATTCTAGACTAGAGTTCCCTGCCAGCAGTTCACCGTAGTATATACATGATTGTGGCTGACATTCTGCCCCTCTCTGTCTCGCTGGCTGGCATTAGTTCTCGAATCTAGACTCGCTCATTTCGAGTCGAGGGAATGTTGGTTAGCGGGGACGCTCAGACCCGTGGTGGTGAAGAGACAGACGGAGAGGGTAGGGGAAGGATAGAGCCATGGGAAAAAAAAAAAGGGAAAACTCGGTCATTGAGATCAGCTTAGCGGGCAGGATCGGCGGCGACGCACGTGAACAGGGTAGGCCAGTGAGAATAATTGAGAAGACTCGGGGCAGCCGGTCGGCCGTGGGACCCTGCAATTTCGCGCCGGCTCCACCAGACCAGGGCCCCCCCGCGGCCAATGGCAGGCCGGCGGAGATTTGGCGCGGCAGAGGAATGAAATGTGACACCCAGCAGGCTGATAACGGAGGGCGGGTCATGCGACCGGTGCAGCACAGCTTGATGACGATAGGCCCGCGCGAATCACGTTGATTGCGCCGTGTCAGAGAAGGCCGTGGCAGGAGCAAATTGCAGCCCATTAGCGCCCAGGCCCCAAAACATCGCTTCGCACGCCCGCCCCTACTTTCCCTGCCCCCCTGTGTCCACCACCTTCTTCCTCTTATCCTGCCCACCTCGCCCCAAACATTCCTCTCGACACACCTGTCGAGTTTGGCTGTTGCGTGCTTTACCTTCCTTTTCTCTGAGATACCCTAGATACCCGAGTCTTTTCTATTCTCCCTTTTCCCGCGCGCCCTAATACCCCCCTCCTCCCCCAAACACCAACACCAACATACAACAACAACAACAACACACAATGTCTGACGTCCCCAAGAACGTTGAGGAGGTTCCCGTCGTCGGTGCCCCCGACGCTCCCGTCGAGGAGACTCCCGCTCAGACCGAGGCGGCTCCCGCTGCTGCTGCTGAGGAGTCTGCCGCCCCCGCCGCCGAGGCCGCACCTGCTGCGACCGAGGAGCCTGCCGCCGCTGCCCCTGCCGAGGAGGGTGCTGCTGCTGACGCCGCCGCCGCTCCGGCTGCTGAGGAGACGACCGCTCTGCCCGCCGAGGAGAAGGTTGGCAACGACGAGGTCAAGATCACCGCCGAGCCCATCTACTCTGGTGCTCTCGGCTACAAGGCCCCCGGCCTGGTCAAGTAAGGAGTCGCCATTTCACCCCCCGATCACGAACAATTTTTCGCTAACCACTCTCTCAACCACAGGGGCCTGACTTTCTCCAAGAAGTACTTCTGGTTCGGCGAGGAGGAGGGCGTTTCCCACGAGAAGCTCTCCAACTACCTGCGCGGCGAGAAGGCTGATGTCGCCCACCCCACCGCTGCCTGGTCCAGCAAGACCGGCAAGGGTCTGCTCTACTTTGCCAAGCACGCTGACCACAAGGACTCCCCCGCTGGTGTCCTGAACCTGGTAAGTTTCCCATGTTTTGCGCAAATCGCACCGATGAAACACAGCTAACGGCAATGCTACAGTCTGAGGCTTCCGACGTCGCCAAGGAGGGTGCCAACAACTTCTCCTTCAAGCTCCACAGCCACAAGCACGCTTTCCAGGCGTCCAACAACACCGAGCGCGATGGCTGGGTTGTTGCCGTCGAGAAGGCCGTCGAGGAGGCCAAGGCCGCCAAGGAGGCCGTCACCGGCAGCGAGGAGTACAAGTCTGCTATTGAGAAGCTCGGTAAGTTTTCCTCAATTTTTTGGGACGTCGCGCGTCAGGGTAAAAAGCAATGTCCCCGTTGCGCCCTGCGTCTCGCTTGCTCCCGCTCGAACACCTTCAGGCCCGACGCTAACGACTCGCTAAAGCCAAGCCCACCACGGGTGCTGCCGCCGCCGCCCCCACTGAGGCTAAGCCCGCCGAGGCCGCCGAGGATGCTGAGCGCCGCGGATCTTCCTCCAGCAGCTCTTCCGACGATGCCGACAAGAAGAAGGCCAAGGGCAAGGGCAAGGGCAAGAGCCGCTCTGTCTCCCGCAAGCGGGCTTCCATCTTCGGTGGTCTGCTCGGTAAGAAGGAGGAGCACAAGGAGGTGAAGAAGGAGGAGAAGGCCGAGAAGGAGGAGGCCAAGGAGGAAGCCAAGGAGGAGGCCAAGGAAGAGGCTGCTGCCGAGGAGGGTGCCGCCGCTCCCGCTGAGGGTGCTGCTCCTAGTAAGTTTCGATCTGAATACCACGCCGATATCGGATCTGATTCTAACGATGAAACAGCCATCGAGGTTCCCATCGAGGGTGAGGCCAAGCCTGAGGGCGAGGCTGCTCCTGCCGCTACTGAGGCTGCCGCTGAGGAGACCAAGCCCGCTGAGGCTGCTCCCGAGCCCAAGCCCAAGCCCGCCAAGCGTGCTTCTCTCTTCGGCAACTTCTTCGAGAAGGTCCGCAGCCCTACCACGGAGAAGAAGGAGGCCGATGTTGCCCCCGTCGTTCCCCCCAAGGACGCTGAGGCTGCTCCCGTCGCCGAGGAGGCCAAGCCCGCTGAGGGCGAGGCTGCTGCCCCTGCTGAGGGTGCCGCCACCGAGGCCGCTGCCCCGGCTCCCGCTACCGCCACCGTCAACACTCCCTCCAAGGAGAAGGGTGGCTTCTTCAGCAAGTTCGGCAACAAGGAGAAGGCCAAGTCGCCTGCCACCGAGACTGCCCCTGCTGTCGCCCCCGCTGACGGCGAGGCCAAGCCCGCTGACGGTGAGACTCCCGCCGCCGAGGCCACCCCTACCCCTGAGGAGAAGAAGAAGAACCGCACTTCCTTCTTCGGTGGCCTGCTCCGCAACCCCAGCAAGGCCGTCAAGAAGAACAAGGAGGAGAAGAAGGCCGAGGCCCCTGCTAAGGTCGAGGAGGAGACTCCCGCCGCCCCCGCCGCTGAGGAGGCCAAGCCCGCCGAGGGTGAGGCTGCCGCTGCCGCTCCCGCCACCGAGGAGCCCGCTGCCGAGGAGGCCAAGCCCGCCGAGGCTTCCGAGCCCATTGGCGACGTCGTCCCCGAGGCCGTTCAAGTAGGGCAGGCCCAGAACTCGACGCCCGCAGTCCATGCCGCCGCGTAAGCGCAAGGTTTGGTGGGAAGCCACTTCCCTGGATGACTGTCATGACGGAATGACGGAAAACCCGAACCGCTCGTCGCTGTCCCTTGGCTGAATCTCTCCACACCTTCTCCGGTCTTATACCCTTTCTCTCCAAAAGCATTCAAACCACAAAAAACCTCCGTACACACAACCCAAAAAAAAAGACACCTTATCTCCCGTTTGTCTCTCGTTGCATCCAAGGGGTATGCTCTTTTGCATTTGCGGCTTCGGCGGTCTCTCGTTTACATGTCTAGATTGATACCACCGTGCGCAACTGTGTTCTTGGCTTTCAACCACTTCTCTTTGCTTTGTTTGTCTTTAATCCGTTGGCATTTCTGCTTGCTGTTGCGTTGCTCTGGGATCTTTGGCAACTGCGTATACCCCCTTGATACCCTGCGTACTAGCCTTATCAGGACATGTACAAGCGACCACTAGGGCACCCGACACTCGTAATATCTAATAGAAAATGGTCTTTCTTCTTTGGTTCCACGACACTGACAAAACGGGGGGCGCGTGAGTGTGACATGTACAAGGTGGATGCGGGTCGATCGAATGAGTTGGATGAAACGCACGCGCGCCATGTACCCGCTCACACGGGCCGCGATGATCAGTGACAATTCACATGATTTTCCAGCGAGGCCTTGGACGATCGATCGAATGATTCGATCGTGGCTTACGGGCGGCAAGTCGGCGCTCAGCCCAGCCCAGACCCTGGGGGCCGGCGGCGGCGCCTCACGACCGACCGACCCTGCTTTCCACTCTTTTCCGCTCTCTTTCCCTAACATACCTCCGCGCAGTCTCGAGTTAACAACACCCTCGCCAAAGTATGCGAATCTCCGGCTCTCGCGCCGCCGCCGCTAAACTATAGGACATTGCGGGCTTTTTCCCTTCGTTTTCCCGCATCTCTCTACCTAAATACCCCATCAATCTCTTTCTCCCTGTCTCCTTCTCTCTCTTTCTCTTTCTTCCGCACATAGAGGCTACATTTTCTTGTCCGTTCACTCGTTCCTGGATCCCGCCGGCGTTGCGTCTCGATTTTCTACATTTCCGCGGGAAGGCGCGCACGACCCTGTGCGCTTGCTAAGCGGAAAGGGACGAACGGTTGTGACCGCGCCTGTTCGGGATAGGACTGCTGCTGCTGCTGCTGCTACTATTACTGCTGTGCAGCGATTAGTTGGGGCAAAAAGATCATGGTATGCCAACAATGCCAATTGTCTCTCCGTCAGCCTGGTGGAGCATTCCCCTCAACTAACACTTCTGTGCTACAGGGCTGCTGCGCCTCGATACCGCGCTCACGGTCCGGCGCCTCGACCACGACGGAGTCGACAGCCAAGGACACGCGACCAAACAAACGGCTGATGCGCATTGCGGCGGGGCGGCGGAGCAAACCGCCGAAGGTGGACGAGAGGACGGGCCCGCTAACGCGCGCGCGCCTCGCGACCGAACGCGCCGCGTTCTGGGACACGCGCGTGACGGGCCGCGCCGAGATGTGGGGGGGCGTTAAGCTGTCGGTCGAGGCGCTCGCGGCGGGCGATGTCGCGAGCGCGCAGGGCGTGCTGGATGCGGCGGGGTTGACGTGTCCGACGGGGGAGCTGTGGAGGGGCGTGTATGATGAGCGAGGCGAGGAGTACAAGGTGCCGGAATGGGTGGTGGTGGAGCCGGTGGGCTTGGTGGAAGAGGTGGTGGAAGAGGAGGATGTTCAGGACGATGGAGGTGGTGATGCGGAAGAGGAAGATGAAGAGGAGGAAGACAGTGTGATGGGGAAACAAGGGGCAGAGGAGGAGGATGAGGGGGACTTGGGCAAGGGCAAGGGCAAGGACCGGGTGGGCGAGGTGGTCAAGGTGAAGGCACGGCTGAGCGATCGAGGGACGGATGTGGTGGTGGAGGTGGGCATGGAGGAGGGCGTGGCAGCGCTCAAGGCAAAGATAGTCGAGGCGGGACAGGTGGCGGCGAGCAGTCGGGTGCGACTGGCATACATGGGACGGATGTTGAACGAACGGGCAAGCCTGGCGTCTCAGGGCTACCGGGCGGGCGACGTTGTGAGCGCGCTGGTGCAATAGGGTACCCTACTTTAATCCATGATATGCAAGGGAGGCGCCGCCAGGATGACGTCTGCGGGCCTTCGGAACAGCTTTGTTCCACCAACGCGCGCTTCCGCAAACAACAGACCGGACAGCTACGCCTTGCTCCCTCGCACCACCACTCTTGCCCGCCACCTTCCACCACTTGTCTTGAGTGACTGTCATCCCCCCAATTGAGCTTCCCCCTTCCTTCATCATGCTTGCCTGCCGAACTCTCGCGCGTCTGAGCCTGCCCAAGACCTCGGCGCGCGACGTTGCCCACCTCTCGCAACAGCTCCGCTGCACCGTTATCAGCACTCCATTGGCTCTGCGCGCCGGCTACGCCACTGCCACCGCGACCAAGTCTCGCACCACCACCAAGAAGGCTGCCGCTACCACCACCAAGAAGCCCGCTACCAAGACGGCCGCCAAGAAGCCCGCTGCTAAGAAGACCGCTGCGCCCAAGAAGAAGACCGCCGCCGCCGCCAAGGAGACCAAGCCTAAGAAGCGCCTGACCGAAAAGCAAAAGGAGGCCCGCGATGCTAAGAAGGCCCGTGATGAGATCAAGGAGCTCAAGGAGAAGGCGCTCAAGGAGCCCAAGGGCCTGCCTGCCAACGCCTACCAGGTCTTCTTCCAGGAGACTGTCTCCAAGGAAGCCAGCAAGAAGGATGGCCGTAGCGTCGCCGACATTGCCAAGACTACGGCTGAGCGCTACAAGAACATGAGCCCCGCCGAGCTCGAGGTGCGCTGAACCATGGTTGTGTCGAGAAAGGAAAGGACGGCATTGGCTGACTGTCGACAGCAACTCAACCACCGCGCCAACGAGTCCAGGGCTGCCAACGCCGCTGCCTACAAGAAGTGGCTCGAGAGCTACACGCCTGCCGAGATCCGCCAGGCCAACCAGGCCCGCGCGTCGCTGAGGCGCAAGACGGACGGCAAGTACAGGCCTGGAAACATCAAGGACGACCGCCTGGTCAAGGGCAGCAAGTCGGCCTATGTCATCTTCTGCGAGAGCCGCTGGAAGAGCGGCGACTTGGCCAACATTTCCGTCATCGAGGCGGCCAAGCTGATGGGCCAGGAGTGGAAGAAGCTCGGCGCCGCCGAGAAGAAGGTAAGTAGCAGGAACAATCTCGTGAGAAACTGCTCGCCCTGGGATCGCTGCTGACAATCATTGCAGAAGTTCGACGCCGCCGCCGAGGCCGACGTGCAGCGTTATATCCGCGAGCACAAGGAGGTCTATGGCGAGGAACCCAGGAGCCGTTCTTCGTCCCCCAGCCCTTAAAGGAGGAGGACGATCGCAAGGGGAGAGTGGTCGGACTGAGGTAGCTACTATTGCTGCCTTTTGCTAAGTCTGTTTTCTCTTCCTCTCCATCCCTCTCTTCGTCGCAAGGCGCAACCCGCTTGATTCGAAGTCATGAACGACGCTTGTTTCATGACTAGCTGAAAGCCGTTTTCTCTTTCCTTACTTTTGAAGGGGGTCGTACATCTCATATACTTTTGGCTGGCTTGTTGTCGCTGTCTTCTCTCTCGGGGGGCGGGCTTCATGGTAAACCACGGTGAATGGAACCAACTTTTTTACAGGATTGTTTTGATGGTAGTACGGTCTGTCTGTCTAACTAGGTACGGATTGTGGACACATTCTCCCCTTTCCCTTAACCGCTCGCCCCGGCAATTATCGCATGAGCCGTGCTTATTGTCGTTGTTGTGGTTGTGAGAAGAGTCAAAGTCAAACCTACAAGGCGCCCCGGTTCATTTTTTCCGTTTCCATTGTATTTTTCTCTCGCCCGCCCCCCGGCTCCCCCCTGCGCTCTACCTAGGTTTTGCTTGCTTCTTGCGCTGCTGCTTGGCCTTTGGGTGTGTGATCGTGGTTGTCTAAATGGGACCGGGGTTCTGTCGTGCGCTGTGTGCGCTGCTGCTGCCCCTCGTCTCGCTTGTGGGGTGCCGCGCGCGCGCGTGATGCGCGTGTCCGCGTTCGCGTGGGCGTGGCTGCTGGCCCCTTGCAGGGTGCGTCGCGTCGGGCTTTAACCTTCCTATTCTTTGGCTATTTTTTCTTTTTCTCGGCCTTTTTCACTTTTCTTTTCTCGGCCTACCTTCTTTTTTCTTGTTTCTCACTTCGTCACCAGTTAGGTGGGTGCTTGCTGCCTTGGTGCAGTGCTCGTCTGTGATGCCTCCTAGTAGGTCGGGATCGCTTCACTACAATATATTGCGCGAGTGTGGCTGTTTGCTTGGGCGTAGAACATGCGTGCTACGGGTGTAGAGAGTAGGGAGGTACCTAGGTGGATAAGTAGGATGTTCTCTAGCGGACTTGCTGGCTTGGTGTGTGCTACAAACTTGTAGTATTTGGCTGCGGCTTACAGACTCTGCTGGTTGGATACAGGAGGCCGTAGGTCAATTTCACTCCTGTTTGTTGTGTACGGCCTCACGTGTTTGCTTGCTGCTCTTGTCCTGCCTCGCTCTCACTTTCTCTCTCTCTCTCTCTTTATACGCTTCGCTCCTCCGCCTTCAACAATAACAAAAGAAGGGAAAGCTTATGTGTAGCTACCTAGCTAACCTCCCTCTCGCTCGCTCGTCACGTCCCACTTCGTTGTCATGTCAGTCTCGGCCCGTGAGGTCAGTGTATATCCAATGAACCGGTGAAGTTTCCTGGGCATTACATCTCACAAGCGCGGCATTCATGGCAGCATCTGCCTTATAAGCAGCGTAAGTGAAAGCTCAGCAAGCAGAGAGCTTACGCGATTGCATACAATAGACCTGCAAATAGTGTCACTTAAATATTCAGCTCCTGCGGCTTGGGATTTAGAAGTGAAGGCGTGCTGACTTGACGTTTGCTGGGGAACATACAGAGCTTTTTTGCGGTAAGGACTCTGAGTACATTATCAGGAAAGACTGTGATAGTGATTCGCGGTGGTCGTGTTCGATGAAGCATTATAACCGCAGCAACATGCCGTTCATATTGCCAGGCAAAGGAAACGTCACAATAAAACCCCCTGCTATGCCTTCTCCACATCAGCAGCAGGCACTGTCAACATAGCAACAAGGAAGCCAATCCACTACACACCTGCGTAGTTAACAGAACGCAAAAGCTCATCAGGCAGACGACTTCTTCACCGGCCCAGACACGCCGAGCACAGCAATGAAAACGGCCTTCAAAACAAAGGTTCGCGTCAGCCCGCAACAGTGCAATACAGGCGACACCGTGGCAGCGGCCACGACAGCAAAAAGCTGCCGCCGCCGCCGCCCAGGTCCAAAAACTAGTTAATCACGAAATGCACCTCCGTAGAGGGCTTCCAGCGATTAAACTGAAAAGAACAGATACTGCATTTAGATCTAAGCCAAAAGGTAAAGAGAACTGGAGAAAAAAAGAAGGTCAGGTCTGGAGGGGGGGAGGGGGTTTATATACACTGGGGGGTGGGGCCGTGCGTGCGCGGTGAGGTCACTGGGGAGGCTGCTGGAAGGTTGTGGAAGGTTCCGGTGGTCGATAGAAGGTTGTCTTCGTTGGCCTTGGCGGATTCTCGCATCTTTAACATAATTCTGCTTGTTCATGTTCACACTGTCCATGTCACGCTTGATCCCCACTCACCTCCCAGACAAGACGAAGCTAGCGAGACTGACCAGATACATCTACACATGCTTTACAACTAATCAAACCGCCAAAGGCCAACTGTTTCTAAGCAATCTTAGCGGCGACTCGGTGCAGCAAAAGTGAGAAGTATACATCTAGTAAGAGTGAAGTACCACTAGGTCGACATAGCCCAATTAGCAGCTGTCGAGGCTATCTTGGAACGGTGGTTTATTGAGGTTTATAGTAGTGAGAGTGAGATGGAATAGGAGTCGAAACTCGGTGTACTAGTTTGTGCTTTGCGGAGAGGAAGATCATGGGAAACCCTCCGGCCTGTAAAAGTCCTAAGTGAAAAACGAAGCAGGGTCTCGGGTACGAGTGACAATAAGCAGATATCTAGAAGAGAGTATGTGGTGAAATGGTTGTCAGAAAGACTAAGACAAGTGCAGAAGTGACATAGAGGATAAGGATTCGGGGAAACGGGATAAACGAGTGCGAGTGAGCCTCGAGATATTCACTGAATGAACTAGAGCTGGGAGTGCTGGAAAGAAGACAGTTCTATCTCTATTTGCAATACACACATATCTACGCTAAATATCCGTTAATATAAATATCTCTTCCGCCAATCCAATCACAAAGTCAGTGTCCCTGGCCTAGCGGTTTAAGACTTAAACCCTAGTTATACTAGGCGTTCTTTGCAGCGTTCGATTCCCGTATTAGGCCTTGGTATTTGATAAAACTTCTAGTTCCTGTATACTAGAAAGGTTTACCTGTAAGTGCTGAACGGGGGTCCTGGCTTTTTTGCTTTTTTGCTGGGATGGTTTGCGTACATCTCAGTCCTTCGTATCGTTTGTTTTGTTTTTGTGACTCTTGGATATATCTTAGGTTCCTGCGGAAGTGAGAGCAGTGACGTTCGTCGTCAATGTCAAGTGAGATTCACCGCCTAACGAGATAATGGCGCTTGTACGGAGTGGAAGAATAAATCTACTTACGGTGTTCGTAGAATATATGTGCTGTAAGACCCTTTCACTCATATCGAGGAATTAGATTTGTAGCTAGACAAGGAGTAGTCCGTAGGGATTGCTTGTATCGTTCCCTATCTCGCTAGTGGTAAATCTAGGTTGAGCGTAAGGGTGAAAAGCTGGCTAAATTGCACACGGCGTATGGGTGTTGCTTTGGTGTGCATGTGTACGCATATAAAACTGAAGAAAGTGAAGGAGCATGGTATTTAATTCAAGCCACAATCAATGACATCAACACCACACAAGTGGAAAAGCGCACAAGCAAGTGCAAAAGCTTCCTTTGCTTCTTCTATGCCAGTCCCAGGGTGTGTAATCACCCCTAAGAATATGTGAGACCCGCCTTAGTCCAGTGACTGGCCAGCACTCAAGCTCGATGCAGAAGAAAACTTGACGCCCACGCCATGCACCCGACCCGATGGACGCCGATGTGTATCCCGAAACCCAGATGACCATCGACACAGAGAGTGAGAGATGTATGAAAAAAGATAAAGAAAAAAAAAAAAAAAGAGGGAGTATCTACGAAATCAATCGCGCACCAACCTACAAACACCCAACACTACGCTCAAACCGCAACTCCTCTCCTCACCCATCCGCCAGGTCCTCTCCACGCCCACAACCACAACCCACACGCCAACCACACGCTGACAGCCATAGCCCAAAAAGTGGGCGCATAGCACTTGGTACCATAGCACAGCACGTCCTCATCGCCCATCCCGCTCTCATTGCCATCATCACCAATAGCGGACCCCCAGTCGTAAACCGCGCTATAAACCACACCCCACACCGCCGCGCCCACCGCCGGCATCATTGCTACAATGCCCCAATTCGTGCCAAAGTTCTCGACGCCCCAAACTGCCGCAATGACAATTGGCACCAGCGAGAACACGGCGCCGTACCCTGCGCCAATGAACGCAGAGATGACCCAGAAGCGCTCCGCGTGGTGCTGGATAAAGCCTGAGGCGAGCAAGGCCTGCCCCAGTGAGAGCAGCAGCGAGAAGCCCAGCAGGAACGTCATGCGAGACATCGTAAAGCGGCGGTTGCGCGGGGGCAGCGTTTCGATCGAGGATGCAAGGGAGTCCAGGCCTTGGCGGGGACTGGCGGGAGCGGGAGCGAGAAAGTCGGATAGCGTGCCGGCGAGTAGACGGGCGATGGTGGAGGTGATGGCGACGATGGAGACGTGTGTTGCAGGCGTCGTGTGCGCTTGGGAGGAGTCGACGACCGCTGTGGGCGGGTCGTAGAGCGTGCCGATTATGGTGCCGAGGTTGTTGATGAAGGCTTCGCCGGGGCCAGTGACTAGGAAGAATCCGGCTGCGAGCCACCACATGGTCTTGTCGGTAAGGAAACGCCGCGTCTCTTCGTTGAGAAGCCAGTTCTTCTTTGCGCGTTCTTGCTCCTCGTGTAGCTTCATTTCTTGAGCCTCATTGCGCAAGAAAGAGAATTGAGAATCGGAGAGATCCTGCGGCGCCATGGTGCCATAGCCATGGTGGTGGGCGGCGCGGTGGAAGAATTCGTCTTCGTGCAACAGGCCGCTGCGCTCAAGTTCGTCAACGGCCTCATCGATCATCTCTTCTTCGTCTACAACATAAAGCGTCAGGGCACCCATTAACCCGACGACCAGCAGGAAAATAGCCAAAAACAGGAAATACTTGAAGACATCAACGTCACCATGGGAGCCGTCCGGTCGACGCTCGTACAGCAGTCGGCTACCGACCTGGCTCTGCCACATGCCGCTTAGCCCAAACGCCGCAACAGGAACTGCCAGCGCGATGCCCTTGTTATTACCACGACCGAAGTTCTTGGCGCAAGTTGTCAAGGCGCTGAAGTACATAGCGCTTGTGCCCATGCCAACGGGGACGAAAGCCAAGACCATGACGCCGAAGGGCCAGCCATTTGGCCCAGCGCGATAAGTGAAAGCGGCCAAAAGGTAGCCAAGTCCAAAGAGAAAGGCGGAAAGGAGTGACGAGAGTCTGGGGCCGTAACGGTCGCAGATGTAGCCGAACAGTGGCACCGGCAGGTACATGCCAAGCTCGGCGGTGATGGAGACTATGTTGACCTGGAACTGCGAGTAGCGGAGGTGCGACTGGAACAAGGGCGCGTAGAGCGAATAGGCCGTGATGGAGCCAGCAGCCAGGCTGGGCCGGGGTCAGCACACGGGGCTACGAAGAGCAGGGCTGGGGAGATAGGTACCAGCTGATAACGGCGCAGACAAAGCTGCCATAGCGAAGGACGTGGTGGCGCATTTTCTGGCGGTCGCGCTCTAAGATGCCCTCGGCGACGTGCTCGAAGAAGCTGCCAGCGTAGGAGGTTGCCTGGCTGGGGCGGCCGGAGGAGTCATGTGTGTGGCTCATGTCCAGCTGATCCTCGCCCTGCAGCAGACGCGTGGTGCTGGTAGGGGGGTGATAATCGAGCTTGTCGATGTGACTGGCGCCAGCCTCATGACGCGGAGCTGGCATTATTGTGACTGAGACATGGAATAGGAATAGGGAATCGCAAGGGATGCTGTACTGGCCCTCGAAAGCGAGATGAAGCGCGCGCGCGAGGCAAGCTGCCCGATGACGCTGCCGGCCGGCCGCAGCTCGAGCTAGGTAGGTCGCCCTGACCGCCTTCCGCTCCGCCGTCCCATCAACACCATCTTTTCATCCATTCCTTCCGACGTCTGCGGCCCCGCCGCCGACATGTCTCAAGGGTAGACTTGTTTCGTGGGTTTGGAAGACGGTAGGTAGTAGGTAGTAGGTAGTAGGTAGTAGGTAGTACGGCCGGGAGAATGCAAGACTGGTGTCCAGGGGAGAATCGTCGAAACCAGGACTCCCTGCCTTTTTATCGAGAGCAGGTTGTGGAGCTACACTATTATTAGCACGAGAATGCCTGCAGCAAGTCTCACGGCAATGTGCGTCGATAAGGTCATTAGGAAAAAGCAGTAGCGACAAGGAAAAGCAATTCTATGGGCATTTGTCGCACATTTAAGTATGCCGTGGTGACACAGTTATTTGAGAATTATTTGGTGCCCGCAGACGAGCATGTAGGTATCCGCATGCTTGCGAGACGTTTGAAACGTTCTCCTACAGGTTACTCCGTAGATTCACGAGGGCACAAGGGGTACGACATATATAATCGTAGTTCCACCAGCCCGCTCCGCTCCGCCCCGCCCCTCTCTTAGGGCTAGCGAGCGCACATCACCCAGCACTAGCGCCCGAGCGGATATCGCTATCGGGTAACTTTTTCGGCGCAGGCGCAATTGCAGTCCACCGGCAAACCACACCACGACGACAAGACACCATGGCCGCAGTATCGCAGAACAGCCCCTTCATAAGGCAGCTCGCCGCCAACGGTACATTCTGTCTCACAATCTACCCACCCCGCGCCCTCGCTGACCATCCTATGCCCTTGCAGACAAGCGCATCCGCGACAAGGCACTCGATAGCTTGAAGACGTACCTGGGCGGACGGACGGGGCTCGATGAGCTCGAGCTACTCAAGCTATGGAAGGGCCTCTTCTTCTGCATGTGGCATAGCGACAAGCCGCGCACGCAGCAGCAACTCGCGCTGGAGCTGGCGGGCCTGGTCGACATCCTCCCTTCCGAGACGACCATCCCCTTCCTCGACGCCTTCTGGAAGACGATGGCGCGCGAATGGGCCGGCATTGACGCGCTGAGGTACGAGAAAAAAAAGGCTCTCTTCCCCGCGAGGCCACGAGTTTGCACAGCTAACGCCACGCCGCTAGGATGGACAAGTTCCTTTTCCTCGTGCGTTGCTACCTCAACGCCGGATTCCGGCAGTGCGCGGGCCAGCGCTGGCGCAACGCCCCCCTTCTGACGCAATACCTGGACATCCTGCGCGCGACGCCGCTGAACCCAACCGACATGAAGATTCCCAACGGCATGCGCTTCCACGTGCTCGATATTTACGTCGACGAGCTGGACAAGGTGGATGCGGCGCGCGAGGGTGATTTGCCGTTGGACACAGTGTTGGCGCCGCTGCGGGAGCTGGGTGAGAAGTGCGTTGTCAAGGCAGTGAGGACGAGGGTCAAGGAAGAGTTGGCCGAAGATGAGAGGCTGAAGGACTGGAGTAACCCCAATGCTGGGAAGGAGGCGGAGCAGGAGAGTGAGGAGAGTGAAGGCGAGGGCGAGGAGTGGGGCGGCATTGATGAGTGATATCCTGGGAAGGGTTTCTACTGCTGTGATTATAGCAAGGCGTTGGCGGATTGCATATCAAGAACATTGTCTGCTTCTTGGCAGTTTTCATATCTTCAAATAACCTCTTGGAATTAACGCCATGCCATGTGTTTGACCGAGACAGCACCCAGTTCCTCCCACCTCAAGGCCATGGCGGGTCCTCAGGCCGCCTGAAGCATGCCACAAATTTCTTTCCACCGTTCCTCGTGACCTTCTTACCCTCCTCCGTCTCCGTCATCATAACCGAAACACACTCGTCGCTCTCGAGTTCCTCGTCCGGAATGCGCTCGAAGCTCGGGTGGTTAGTGAAATGCTCGACCATCCAGTTGTGCAGATCCTCGACATCCGTGATCGTGTACACGATGCCGCCGGGGCGGAGCACGTATGCGTACTCGGAGTTCAGCGTCGTCGAGACGATGCGCGCCTTGTGCTTGCGCGCCTTGAAGTGCGGGTCCGGAAAGCAGAGGAAGATCTTGGACAGCTGACCCTTGACGAAGAAGTTGGGCAGGAACTTCATGCTGTTTGCCCGCAGGCACGCCACGTTCTGATACAGCCCCGAGCTGGCGTTTTGGTTGCGCAGCGCGCGCGCTTTCTCTTGCACGAATTCTGTGACCGATGTGCGGATTTCCATGCCTGCGGACGGGTGTCAGAGGCGATGATGCTCCAGAGACGTGAATTAACGTAGATAAAGGGACTTTGTGAGACGTGAAAAGTAGATAAAAATGAAAGCGCTTCCACCCACCTAGCAGCAGCGTATCTGGGAAGCGCGGTGCAAGCGCAAACAGAAGCCCACCAAAGCCACATCCAATGTCAGCGATCTCAACCTGCTTGGAGGTCTTGCGCCGAGCCACCGCTTTCTCTCCTTGCTCTTGCTCTTCCGCTTGCGCGGGCGCATCTTTCATTTCCTCATCCACCGCAAAAGCCGGGTACAGACTTGCCCAGTACATCAAACCAGGCTCCGCCGGGCTGCAATCCGCATTAGCAACAAGTCCCTGCCATTTGGGATGCTACCAATTTGCGCCTCACTATTCTAGAGAGTGGTCCGAGAAAGGGTTTGCGTGCGCTCGTTGCCGGTAAAACTTCTTCTTGGGAAGCTCTCCCATGGCGCCTTCTTCATTTTTCTCATTGAGCGTGTTGCGGTACTCTTCTCTCTTCTGCTTCTTATTTGGTTGTCCCGGCATCTTGACGCCTGGTGTTCTTGTGCAGAGGTTGCGTCGACGGGTTGACCGTTTTGAGTCCCGTGAAATTTGGTCGGCGTGGCGGGCCTACACCGGAACGGGAAGTGCATGATACGGTAGCTCAGCATATACCGCAAACTCGTCCGTCAACCACACCTGAGGGCCGATGCCTTCCACGGAACGAGCACCGACTAGTCATGTCCACATAATTGCAGTGTGCATTTTGCCAAACGCCAGACATCAACCGGACAAGGACTGAGTCAAGTGTTGATGAAATACAATACGATTGCTACATTTATGAGAAACGTAAGTATTTACTCCACCGTGAAAAAGAGGTTTCCCGCTCCACCCGAAGCCCAGAAATTTGATACCATGTAGCAATAGCTAAGGTGTTGTACATATTACCCAAGTAAGCAAACCCCTAAACTGCAGCGCGCATAGTTCGCCGCCAGAGAAAACTAGATCCCGACCATGATATCCGGTAATGCCCCTCCAAAAAGAAAAAAACAAGAAACATCCAGACCTAACCCCGAATCCGCGTGCAGAGGTAAACTGCAACCTGCCCGATCTCGCCCAGTATGCAAGCGCTAAATCATCACTCGTGAATCATCGAAATTCAATCGCGCCCATACACCCGTGATCATCAACGTGCTCCAAATCCAATTGCTGATACCTGTAACTTCTTGTCAGTATAAACTCCCTCTTGTAATCATCAAGGTGGCGCTCACTTTTCGCTTTTGGCATGGAAGTATATGCCGCTGATTTTCCCGGTGACCTGACTGAAGCATATGTAGTAGAATCCTTCAAAACTGGCGCCGGAGATTGATCGAACTTTGTGGTCTGGGACAAGGAAGTGTTCCTTCCATCTCATGAAGAGGTTCTCTCTCTGCGCAAAATTCTTGTACGTGAAGTCCGCACGTCTCGCTTGTTTGGCCAGAGGGCGCCAGGCAGGAAAACGTCCCCAGTGTTGCATGTCAACCTTCTCGTTCGAGCCCCATTCCGGCCGGTTGGTCTGGAAGGTGTAGCGAGTTCCTATGATCTCTCCTTCGAAATAGGTCGTAAGGGTGGGGTGATCGTCCGTGAGGCCTGAGGCACATGAGTATGACCATAATACGGAGAGAAGCCTCGACTACATACCTTGTATGCGCAGGTAGCCGCAGAGCGAATGCTCCTCCATGTCTACATATTTGATTTCCACCTGCACCTCATATACTTGACGGTCGGATTGTTGTGTGCCTTTGAATTTGCTTCCGGGTCGCAGGAAGGAGGAAGTTGAGTTGGGCAAAAACTAGACGGCCCCTTGTTAGCGGCCGTGATCTGTCTCCTCAGATGAACAAGCGGGTCTCACCCTGTGCTCTGGCCAAGGCGAGCCATGGAGCGCGGGATACCAGGAGGTGGTGGAGGGTAGCGTAGGACTCCGTTGGGCAGAGCGGTCGCACTCGACGCCGTCCTCGGCAGAGCTCAGGGGACTGGGCGTGTCCCGCAGCGGTGCCTCTTCTTCGGCATCCATCGTCTTCGCATGCGATTCGGTGAGTGGCGGAGCATCCGGTCTGGTGCTCTGATCGGCGGGCGGCGTGGCAAGCTGTGAAGCAGCGGTATTGGTGCCGTCGGTCGAAATACCAATTGCGCGATCAGAAGTCTGCGCGGACAGGCGTGGGTCCTCCGGCGGACATGTCGCGCGAGTGGAAGGCTGGTCGGGCGGAGGGGTTGAGAGCATCAGGGTGTCGTGACTCGGCGTAGGCATGATACAGTTGGGTTGATCCACAGTCAGGGCGATGTACACGAGCAGGCATCAGAAGAAGATTACAAAAAGTGTAGGAGGGTAGAGAAGAATGCACAAGGGAGGATGGAAAGCAGAGAGTCGGAGGACTGCTACAGCAGGATTGCGTAGCGCAGAGCGGCGGTGTTCATGACGGGCTGATGGTTGGATGCGGAAGGGACTCGGCCTTGCCTCAGGGCTTTGCAGCGGCAGACGTTCGCTTGAGACTTGCGGGGAAGCTAGAGAGCCACGGCCACATCACGTGCGACAGGCACTCGACAGCCTGTACTTGAGTACGCCCTTTCGCAGGAGCATAGGTAGGTCCTGAGGGCCAGGACGCGCCGCTTTCAGTTCACCGACCTTGACATCATACACGCTCTCTCAGCGCGACCGACGCGTCTCGGGCAATTTACCCAGTGTAGGGGCCCCGGATGCAGGAGCTGAACAGAACTCGTATGCCTTTTCCTTGGCATCAGTTTTGGTATCTACCTTCTGTGGCCGTGTCGATGCAGTCAGCATCGACACGGCCAACCATCGCTTTCGTGGTGCTGCCCATACCCAATCCTTCGGCTGATCACGCACCGGCATTCGTGCATGCATAGATCCCGGAGTGCTCTACACCACCTCGATCCGGCTGACAAGACACTGTTGCTTTTCTATGCCCCCGGTGACTACCTCAAATGGGCTTGATCTATTTTCGTCGTCGACGTCAGTTGCCTGATGTGCACCAGGGATACGGGGATTTCTGACCTTGAAGTGGAGCGAGATTAATGAGAAAACGAGCGCCTTCAGGTCCTGGACGAGATAGTAGAACACGCGGAGTCCTTCGGGATCCTGGGACTCGGTGACATCGACAAGCGAGCCGATCTTCGCAGTCTGCAAGTTGACGTGAGCATACGAGCTGAAGAAGAGGAAAGCGGCAGGAGAGCTTACTTCGAAGGAGATGTGTTCATTTCCCATCCGGATCTCGAGCTCCTGGCGGCCGTCCTTGTTCTTTTGCGGCCATTTCGCATCATCTTCCCTATAGAACAGTTAGTAATTTCATTCTCAATCAGCAACACCAGGGCCACATACTTCATGATCTCGCTTTCCTTGATGATGCGCTTGATCTCTGAAATCAAAAGAGAGCTGACACACACTAATTAAAAAGAAAAAAAAAGGGAAACAAGGTCAGTGAGGATAATGTAAATATGCGGGTTGCCGCCGCTTACTCTCTTTACGAATCAGAGAATCGTTCCGGTAATTGGAGTTGTTTGCATAACGTGCAGAGGCGCTACGACCATCGCCTAGAGTGCGAAAGTCGAATTCTTGGAGCTGTCAGTACCTTCTTGAGGGAACAAGACCATGCAGGACCCACCAAGGAACTCATGACCGAATCGCCCAGAGTGGCCGGAGCTGGGGAGAACGTTAGCTGGTGTATTTTTGGTTAAGCAGGAGACACGGGGGCATACTAATAACGGATGTAGAAGGGGTCGTTGTCTGCAACCATGGCGCTCACTGAGAAAGCTTGATATTCCTGATGATATCGAGTTGGTGTTGCCTCTGGGGGGACGTGACGAGGTCAGGGCTACGCGGCAAACGCCGAGCCGGCCAAATTCACGTTCTGAACACCTGGAGATCCCCAAAGCCAAGGGGCCCGACGTAAAGCGCCAACCACCACCACTCTTCCGCAAAGGCCGCCTGCTCCATTCGCTCTCCCCAGATCCGCCCGGCAATCGCACGCGGCTCTGCACTCCGCCGGACCCAGAATCTTGTTGCCCGCCCTGAGCAGCGTCATTAGCGCATCGAACGGCTGACGGCCGCGGCGGGAGACCGAAGCAACTGCCCGTCTTCTACGTGTAGCTATCTCGCTACACCTATCCATCAACATCCAGACGGCCACACCACAGACACCATGGCGACCTTCCTAGACAACGCGTACAGCCTGGTCCACCTGGACAATGCGGCGGACCAGCCGACGCTGCAGGAGCTCAAGACGCAGCTGGAGAAGGGAACGGATGATACCAAGATCGAGACAATGAAGAAGGTCCTTACGATCATGCTGAACGGCGACCCTATGCCCGGCCTGCTCATGCACATAATCCGCTTCGTGATGCCATCGAAGAGCAAGCCGCTCAAGAAGCTCCTCTACCTGTACTACGAGATATGTCCGAAGCACGACGCCAATGGCAAGCTTAAGCAGGAGTGGATTCTGGTCTGGTGGGTTCTGCGGCTAGCACATGGTCCCAATGGCATACGCTTACATTCATGACAGCAACGGCATGCGATTCGACCTGCAGCATCCCAATGAGTACATCCGTGGCAACACCCTCCGCTTCGTGTGCAAGTTGAGGGATGCTGAACTTGTCGAGCCTCTTCTTCAGCCTGCCAGGCAATGTCTTGAGCACCGCCACGCTTATGTGCGCAAGAACGCCGTCTTCGCAATTGCGTCGATATATCAGCACCTTGAGGCTCTTATTCCTGACGCGCCCGAGCTTCTCCTGAACTTCTTGGAGGAAGAGAACGATCACACTTGCAAGAGGAACGCTTTCGCGGCGTTGGCTTCGATTAGCCACGACAAAGCCCTAGAATACCTCAGCGGTGTGTTCGATGGTATTCCCAATGCGGACGAGCTGCTGCAGTTGGCGGAGCTCGAGTTCATCCGTAAGGATGCCGTGACGAATCCCCAGAACAAGGTAGGCAACCTGTTGTGCTAAAGAGATAGTCGGACTGTGTTTGAAAACTAATTCTTGCTTAGGCTAGGTACCTTCGCCTTATATTCGATCTCCTCGAGGCCAACACCTCTACCGTTGTCTACGAAGCTGCTTCCTCTCTTACCGCCCTCACGAACAACCCCGTTGCTGTAAAGGCTGCGGCCTCCAAATTCATCGAGCTTAGCATTAAAGAGCCTGACAACAACGTTAAGTTGATTGTCCTGGAGAAGGTCGACCAGTTGAGGCAGAAGAATGAAGGCATTTTGGATGACCTTACCATGGAGATCCTTCGTGTGCTCTCCAGCCCTGATCTTGACGTACGCAAAAAGGCATTGGAACTTGCTATGGAAATGGTCTCGAGCAAGAATGTCGAAGAAGTGGTCATGCTGCTCAAGAAAGAACTTTCCAAGACGGTGGATGAGCAGTACGAAAAGGTAGGTGATCAAGGACTACAGATATGCTGGCGCGTACTGACAGCCTTTCCTAGAACACTGAATACCGCTCTCTCCTTATTCACTCTATTCACCAATGTGCCATCAAATTCTCCGAGGTCGCCGCCAGCGTCGTCGATTCGCTCATGGACTTCATTGCAGACTTCAACAACGCCTCTGCCGTGGATGTCATTTCCTTCGTAAAGGAGGTCGTAGAGAAGTTCCCTGACCTCAGACCATCTATCGTTGGACGGTTAGTGTCGACTCTCAGCGAGGTCCGGGCAGGCAAAGTGTACCGCGGAGCACTGTGGATCGTGGGAGAGTATTCTTTGGAAGCGACGGACATTCGGGAAGCATGGAAGAGAATACGTGCAAGCTTGGGCGAGATCCCCATTCTGGCTTCTGAGCAACGTCTGTTGGAAGAGGTTCCCGATGGACAGCCCGACCCCAAGGACCAAGTCAACGGCAACGCCAAATCCGCGCCAACTGGATCTCGCAAGGTTCTTGCGGATGGTACGTATGCTACGGAAAGCGCCCTAACCAGCCAGGCAGCGGTCAAGGCGAAGCTTGAAGCCGTCAAAGCTGCCCAAAAACCTCCTCTCAGGCAGCTTATCCTGGATGGAGACTACTATCTGGCAACTGTTCTCTCCTCGACTTTGACCAAGCTTGTCATGCGCCATTCCGAAATTTCCCAGGATTCTGCTCGGACGAACGCCCTCCGCGCCGAGGCTATGCTTATCATGATTTCCATCATCCGCGTTGGTCAGTCTCAGTTTGTGAAGACTCCCATTGATGAGGACTCGATCGACAGAATTATGTCATGCGTTCGCTCGCTGGCGGAGTTCGCACAGAAGAAAGAGCTTGAATCGGTCTTCCTGGACGACACCCGGAAAGCTTTCCGAACAATGGTGCAATTCGAGGAGAAGAAGCGTGCCGCGAAGGAGGCTGTCGAGAAAGCAAAGACTGCGGTCCAGGTTGACGATGTGATTCCCATCAGGCAACTGGCCAAGAAAAACACCATTGACGGCGCAGATGAGATTGACCTTGACTTGGAGAAGGCAACCGGAGGCGACAGTGCAACGGAAGACTTGTCTTCCAAGCTTAGCAGAGTGGTCCAACTCACGGGTTTCTCCGATCAGGTCTATGCCGAGGCCTACGTCAAGGTGCACCAGTTCGATATCGTTTTGGACGTTCTACTGGTCAACCAGACCATGGACACCTTGCAGAACCTCTCCGTCGAATTTGCTACGCTTGGTGACCTGAAGGTTGTCGAGCGCCCGACTACGCAAAACTTGGGTCCCCACGACTTCTTGAACGTGCAGGCTACTATCAAGGTTTCGTCAACGGATACTGGTGTCATCTTCGGCAATGTTGTCTATGATGGCGCAAGCTCTCTCGACACCAACGTTGTCATCCTTAACGACGTGCACGTTGACATCATGGACTACATCCAGCCAGCGCACTGCACGGAAACCCAATTCAGAACCATGTGGACCGAGTTCGAATGGGAGAACAAGGTCAACATCAACTCCAAGGCTAAGTCGTTGCGCGAATTCCTTAAACAGCTAATGGCCAGCACGAACATGAGCTGCCTCACTCCCGAGGCCTCGATGAAGGGCGATTGTCAGTTCCTTAGCGCGAACTTGTATGCTCGCAGCGTTTTCGGTATGTCTTTCTCTTTCTGTGCGTACTGATATTTCAAACTGACACGATCACAGGCGAGGATGCTCTGGCCAACCTAAGCATTGAGAAGGAGGGAGAAGACGGGCCTGTGACGGGTTTCGTGCGGATCCGGTCTCGCTCGCAGGGACTGGCACTGGCTCTGGGCTCGCTCAAGGGTATCAACAAGGCGGGCGAGTCGTAGACGGAGATACGGTTATAGCCTGGGGTCGCTTGGAAATGAGCGCAGCGCGACGGCAGAGCATGATAATTACCTAAGCGCGTGGATGATGACATGGATGCCTTTGAGACGTGGACGTATGGTAGAGGCTGTTTTGCTTGCATATGCGGCGGAGAACAGCGTAGGACGAACTGTTAGTTAATGGCACTGCTTTACTTCGTGGTTGGATGCGGCTCGGCTCGGCTGGAGGCACCCGCCCGTACCGCCTACCCTAGCCACCTGCCCATTGCGCTGCACGCGAACTCCGAGATGCCGCTCGTATGTGTCTCCATCTCTGTCGCCATGCATGTGCCGGAAGTGAGCGCGTAACAACCAGACATTGATTCTGCCATTATGGCCGGTCCCATGGGCAAAGCAGACCCCTTCCAAGATCCCTCGCAACAATCGCTGGCCGGTGATGCTCGTCTTCAACCCGCCGCCCCCGGCAATTCGCTCGCTACCGATACCCTCAGCGTGGGCAGGAGGGCCAGCCTTACGCTGACCGAGGATTCTCTCATTGTGCTAGGTAGGTGACCTTGCCATCCATTTGCTCGTCCGGCTGCTAATAGAACCGCCCAGACGAAGGACTCCAGGATGACGACCAAGGAACATGCTGCGGTCTCATCCCAAGCAGTAGGCGGAACCTCTCGGCGTGCTGGTAATCAATTACTAACGCGTCCTTTCAGAGACCAAAGACACTCTATCAATTCCATTTTACAACGTTCTTTGGGCCGAGCTTTCCGAGTTTGACATCACCGTTCATTATGCGCATCCCATCTCCTCGAATGCTGTCCACCCCGCATCCGTAAATTACAGCGTGGACAAGAACCACCGTGAAGGAGCTGGGGCATGGATCGAGAAACTACTTGAGCGCGCCTATGAGGCATCCCAAAGGCAAAAGCGCATCAAGGTCTTGGTTAACCCCTTCGGAGGCAAGGGTAATGCGCAGAAATGGTTCACTCGGGAAATCGAGCCCATATTCGCTGCTGCACGGTGTGCTGTCGACGTGGAGATTACCACGCATAACGGTCACGCTGTCGAGATAGCCAAGGACTTGGATGTCCACCAATGGGACGTTGTCGCAAGCTGTTCTGGAGATGGCCTGCCACATGAGGTCTTCAATGGCCTGGGTAAAAAACACAATGCAACGGAGGCCCTGCAGCAGATTGCGGTTGTCCAACTACCATGCGGAAGCGGCAATGCAATGAGCTGGAACCTGAACGGCACGGATAGCCCCAGCATGGCTGCATTGGCTGTGGTAAAGGGTCTACGGACACCCCTCGATCTGATATCAGTCACTCAAGGCGATCGCCGTACACTTTCTTTTCTTTCCCAATCCGTCGGTATCGTCGCTGAATGCGACCTTGGCACAGAAAACATTCGTTGGATGGGCGCCGCACGATTCACGTATGGCTTCCTCGTCCGCCTGCTCGGGAAGACCGTTTATCCCTGTGATCTTGCAGTTGGTGTCGAAATTGATGACAAGACTGCTATTAAGGAAGCTTATGACCAGGAAGCATCGAAACCCCCGAATGATTTCACGGAACGGCGTCCCCCGATTAACAGCGACGACAACGGTCTTCCTGCACTCCGCTTCGGTACCGTTAATGATGCTCTTCCTCCAGGCTGGACTACGGCACCCTACGACAATATGGGAAATTTCTATGCTGGCAATATGGCATACATGTCCGCTGATGCCAACTTTTTCCAGGCCTCATTGCCCTCTGACGGGTGCCTTGACATGATTTGCATCGACGGCGATATTCCTCGCATGACGTCTATTCAGTCGCTTCTCGCAGTGGAGAAAGGAACCTTCTTCGACCTGCCACACGTGCAATATCGCAAGGTGGTGGGATACAGAATCACGCCAAGAAATCAGAAGGACGGTTACATCAGCATCGACGGCGAGAGCATCCCATTCGAGCCATTCCAGTGCGAGGTACACAAAGGACTCGGGACAGTGCTGAGTAAGACGGGTCATTTGTATGAGGCTTACGGTCCATCGGGCACGGGTTGAACATTCCACAGTTTTTTGACGTTCAAGATGATGGCATGTACAGGTAGATGGCCACGCCTTGTCTAGAAAGAGTGACCTAAAGTGGAGACACTGTATTGGCCTGTTCTTGCGCGTTCATTTTAAACTCTATACCCTGCGCACATTCCTTAGCATACCAATCATCAGTCAGCCTTTTTCCTTTCGAGACTCGAGTTGATGCACTACTTGGCGACGGGGCGGGCATGCAGTACAAAATGCACACTCCCACTCTCCTTCCCGTGTATTGGGAGCATTCATACGGCACCGTTGGACATAGACCTTTGCACAAACACAGTTGACAGGAACGGATGGAATTTTGACTACGCCCTGGCTTTCACTTGCAATCACAGGTAGAGACCGACTTCTTTGTCGGTAGCACCATACTGATTGCCCTATCCATCGAGTTTCATGTCCTACGAGCAGGATGTTCAACCGTCCAGTCCCGTCTGGCCGGCTCCATGGCTTGACGACCGACGGCGGTTTGCAGTCCCTTACAATCTCGCGGACTAAATAGACCGAAGACTGCCATAGAGCTACAGTCGAATTGTAGGAGGCGGTTTGGTGAGAATAGGCTTTATGGTGTTGGGAAAAGGGGCACGAGGGAGAACCTCTGAAGACTATTGCCGCCGCATCAGGCCGAATCAGGTCAACACCACCCACGATATCTCTACATTCTACCTCTTTCGCTCTACAACACCACTGCGAATCAACCTCTATATCACGTTTTGGTCCGCCATCGTCCCTACATGTTTCAGACGGCCCGGACGGTTGAACACCCTTCCCGCATCAGGGAAGTGCAGGCACTAGGCTGTTTGTCTCCCGTTTGGGTTTGCGGGTGACTGCAGGAAGGGTCCTAGTGCGACTGCCTGTTGGCGTTGGCAACTGTCGCCACCAAACGGTTTGGCTTCCTTCCTTTTCTCACGTCGCATCCACAACTCTCGCAACACTATACCGTGCAACATTTTCATCGGAGTTGACGTCTAGTAAAGCCTGTCGCTTGCAAATTTCAATGGATGAGTGAGTCAACCCTTACTCAAACAATAATGACAACACAGCTAACATTCTCGGCAGCTTTGAGCGAGGCGACGCTGCCGGTGAGAGCCCACATGCCTCTAGCCCACCGTATGCGCCGTGTGAGGCCTTGCTAACTCCATACTAGAATGGCAGGCTGTCGAATCAAGAAGCCGACCGAGACCGCCAGCCAAGCCATCACTGAACAATGTCCGCATGAATGCAGCTGCTTCCAGGAGTGAGATGGTTACCTCTAAGCCGCCTACACCGCCAGAGGCACCTGTCTCATCTCAACCAACCCCTCGGACTGAAGAGGATGGGTGGCTGATTGATCTTCACGGTCAAGATTCTGCTCCCCAATCTGCGGTATTTGTGGCACCGGCAATTTTAACTCAGCTTCCAATCTCTGCCACTACGGCAGAGCTCAACAGCCTGACGCAAACCCAATCACACTGGACAGCACCTCGCCCTGATTTTCAACCAACTTCTTGGCTTAAGTCGGATGCCAACTATGTCAGCCAGGGTGATAATTTGACACCGCATGTAGCGGTTGAGAGCAATTCCGAATTCGAGACCAGGGTACGTCATGGATCAAACTCGAGAAAAGCATTCAGGCCCTATTGGCACTGGGCTGGCTCTATCCCTTTGAAAACGGATGACATTGAACCACAGATTCAGACACGCCATGATGACACTTTCCAGCTTATTCCGGAACTTGCACGCCTTTCTACCGCACAGCAGTCGAATGAGCAGCCGTCTTCATCTTCAACCATTTCTACGGCTCTATTCCAGCCTCGTGGTAACCAAGCTGATTCGGAAAACACCCAGCAATTAATCCAAGATTTCCCGGTTGTTTCTACTGGAATTGCTGGCTCCGGAGCGCAAGGCCCGACCGGTGTAACCGCCATGTCTCCTTCCCAGTCCATTCCTCAATACTCTGCATATGCCACGCCTCATAGACGTGGTCGAATGAACCTTGGTCGCAGGCCAGCCAATCAACAACTAGGCACTACACCGCTTGTTGAGATGTCTCAACGGCAGAATAGCCGAGATAATGGCCAACAACGGAATGAAAGACAGAATGCCCTCGGTCAAGATAGCGCCAACTTGTCTTCTTCCGGTCACAGGCCTATCTCCCTTCCGCCTCTCGGTGAGAACAGACCCAGCGCCTACATCTCGTCTTCAGCAAGCCAAGTTGCCACTCCTCAGAGACCTCAAAATCCTCTTCACAATGGACAAGTTGTCAGTAGAAATATGCGCAACGGCCGTGGCAGCAGAGGTCGCCCCCCAACCTTGGCAGCCAGGCCCGACAACAGGGCAACTGCCGAATGGCGAAACAGAAAGGGTAGTGGTCATCAAACGTACAAAATACCTGGAGACATCAATCCTCTTGGCGGAGAGGAGAGGCCTTCGGACGCTCAAGTTCTGATTCCCCGTGTCGCAGATATTGCGGCCGTCTGTGGTGTTCACGTTAATACAATCTGCAAAGGTGGGAAATTTGAATTGGAGATATACGGAGATCAAGCAGCAGCAAAGAGAGCCTACGACATGATCGATGAGTGGATCAAACAACTCAACGTTGTCACTCGCAAAAACCACATATGGGCCAAGACATATGGATATGACGAAAAGAGAGCCAGAAAGGTGCACAGAAAGATTCAAAGGGAACAAGTCAGACAAAGGTATCGACAGTCCTTAAAGGAGGATGATCCTGTTCCCGAATTCTGCTCCGAATTTGAATGGCCTCTGGAATATGCGCCTAGGGACGTTATGGGCCCCAACTTTGAAGCCCTCGATCCTATTCGTATGGATTCTCTCTGTTACATCTCTTGCCAGATGGGACCAAACATCACCTTTTCACTCCGAGGGAATGACAAGACAAAGCTTGAGGAAGCCATCAGTCGCATGAAGCAGATTCCCGCACAGCTCAATGCGAGAGCATTTGAACCTGAGTGTACTTACATGCTCGAAGTTCCGGAACTAGGATCATTGCCGCTTCCATCTGTCACGCTTCTGCCGTATAGCAAGCCAGTACCTTCTTCAAAGTTTCACAGACCAGTTGAGGCCCAACTTGATGCAATCTGGGCCACCCCAAGATACTCCCAACCACTTCCAACCACGTCTGCCAATCCTGCGGCTGCTACTGGACATCCCTCAACAGCAAAGCGACTTATGGAATCTGTCGTCGAAACCATGTCCCACCTACGCTACAATGAGGGTGCTTTCAAGATGCAAATACGCCTAGGCACCTTCGTGGCGACTAAGTACCGTAAGACAGAAAGGGCTACGTACCCATATAATAAGTTTGCGGAAATGACAACCGAATACCAATTTGAAGCCCATGTTTCTGAAGAGCTGGGAAGGAAAGATTTGGAGACGCAACTACTTTCAAGGTGTTTTCAAGCTAATGGTCTCTTGAAACCAACTGGCGTAGAAGCCATACACCTAGCAGATGTCGAGCCCGTCTACTCAGCAACTTTCGTGATCGAAAAATCTGCTGGAGACTTAATTCTGGACGTGGTGCTCTCAAGTTATAAAGGAGCTACTCAGCTTGAATCGAAGCGCTGGTCTCAGCTAGGGAAAAAAGAGAAAACCCCAAAAAGGTTCCTAGATGCCAACATCATCGATCTTCAAGATGGCCTTGCATGGCATGTCGGTCTTGAGCACGCCAAAAATGTCAGCGAGAGGGGCCTGGCAATCGATTATCAGGAGTTTCCCGAGTCACTAGAACTTGATTTAACCGCTGCAAAAGACATCGGCGGAAACCGTGACTTCATCATCTACAGAACGAATGCAAATCGACGCCTCGGTATTCCTATCAAGTCTATCTGTCAGAAACGCAGTTGGCGTTTCCACGTTGACCCCAAGCTCGAATGGAACCTTGAGATTACGGAATTCCACACAACAGAATTGTCTGGGGGTGAACCGTCTGTCCGGTACGAACCACGTTGGTCTGTCAATGTTTGGCATTCTGAATGGGCCAATCTGCTGGAAGCGAACAGTGCCGTCGAAATTGGTCGGCCCGCAAACTGGGCTGTGGAAGATGCTTGCAGTCTCTTCTTCCCGGAATACCACGGTGAGCATGGTATTTCCGATTCTGCGACAATCAATCACCGTGTATCGGACAACGACGACAGTGAATCCGAGGAAACTTATTCACGACACGGAGACGTTGACGATGAGGTGGCTCAATACTGTCCACATGACAGCCAAGACAAGCACGAGCTGGCCTCCATCAAGGCCTTTAGTCAATTAGTCGACCTACTGAGAAAAGTGAAAGACATGGTCACCGGCAAAGGCGTCGAGAGTGCCCGTGTACAGTGCTGACAGAGCCAGTGAGTTTACTACTTCGAGGCAGTTTATGCTTTGGCACGAACCCCGCGGAAGTCATTGCATCAGGGGGAATACAGGATACTCATATGAGCTTATCCGTATTTCTTTTACTTTTTCATTTGAGGTTCTTACTTACTTTTCTTTCTTTGCTCACACCTGCACAAGCTTCAAGGTTGGCACAAGAGACGATACATTGATCAGAGACATCGTGAAGTAGTGGGATGTGCTTCGGCTTCGTTCAATGCCAATCTGGCTTCTGGGTTTCCGGATGATTAAGTGGCTAGAACCTAGGTGTGGACCGCTTCTACGTCTACAACACCTCATTCCACGAAAGTTGCTTCTTTTGCTCGTCGGGATTCATCAACTCATCAAATCATCAACTTTGTAGAATTAGCATCCCCAATAGCATAACCTTTGGGCTAGAAGCCTCTAAATCTGAGAAGTGATTCACACTCAATGGGTCTAATGCTTCTTTTTATATCTACTGGAAATGAGCTAGTATTGCACTTTTTATTTTAGTTGCGCCTCTTTCTTGCTTAAATGGCCTCGGAAAGAACCAAACCCTCGAAGCATCTCGAATGGCGCTAGATAAACTGACTCCGTCTTTCATGCCAAAGATTAAATCTTAGCCTTGTGGGTAGTAAGATGACCCTGCTTGTTGCCAGTGTCTTGCGCGAATGAACACCCTGGCTGGCTTGATACCTCAAGAAAGCTTAGATTTATGCAACGCCGCAGTGCAGTTCACCGGCGATTGGGGGGCCAGGACAGCGCTATCGACCGCTCAAGAAGTAGCGGCAGCCGCCTGGCTTTGAGCGGCCTGTGCCGCAAGCACCTTCTGCCTCAACACTAGATTCGGAGATGACGTTAGCCGGACGCTCGTTCCCTTCTCCTGGTGCTATCAATGCTGATTGGCATACCGTCCTCAATGACACGCAAGTTATTACTCTTGCCGGTGACAATGGCCTCTAGATCCTTCAAGTTCTTCTCAAGGTCCTTGACCTTGCGATTATAGAAATCCGTGGCATCATCAAGCGACTTCTCGACATAGAAACCGGTGCCGACATCGACAAGGACGGACTTGACATCGGCAAGCGTGCCGGAGACGTAGAGGGAGGAGGTAAGAGGGACGAGGATGGGCTTCTCTAGAACGACGAGGAAGTGTTAGCGGGGCGCGGGAAAGTCAGGAGAGACGGAGGGAGTGCACCAGTAGAGCCGGACGCAAGGCCTCCAGAGATGGACTTGAGGCAGTCGCGGAAGCGTGCCTGTGCGCTACGGAGAGATTGGAAAGAAGAGGTCAGATGCTCGAGCTCGGAGTCGAGTTGCTTCTTCAGCTGGCTGAGTTGTGGGGCGGACAGGGTCGCAAGATCGACTACAAAAGCTTGTGTCAGAGCCGAGTCAGGGAGCGGAAGCGCTTGAGTTACCGGTTTGACCGCCCTTGTCACTTGCCGAGGCCATCGCGACGTGTTCTTCGCGTGTGGATATGCCCGGCGATGATGCAGCTTGGTGTTGAGATTTTGGACAAGTCATGGACGGAGAGGACCCGCATTCGCATGAGTCATGTGCTGTCGTACTACGACTGGTGTCGCTGCCCGCAAATTGTTCGCCGCCATCGACACTCCCACTCATCGACCTACCTACATACTCATGCTGCTTCGTCCACAACGCCTCCCTTTGGAAACTATATCATGTCGGCGCCGCTATAATACCGCCTTGCCCTGGGACCGAAACTACTACCCAGCGGTAGAGGCACTGACAACAGATGAAAAGCGTAAACCACGACCGCGCCGTGTGCTGTACGACAAACCTACACTCCTACCACAAGGCACTTTCGACTTTCCATGCTTCATTGAATGGTTCAAACCCGTCGGCCGCAATTGGACGACACACGAACTCAGATATGAGTGGTTGGAGAATTACCGCTACCACCCCAGCATGAGCCAAGTTCTCATGGAGTACACCGGGCCCGATCCGCGTGATCGAACCAAGCAGACGTTTAACCGTTTCAGAGCCCCAATGAAAGTTTTCACCAAATTCCTCAAAGAGCCTGTGCCCAATTCAAATCTATATATTGCGCAAATGCCCCTCGACGACTTTCCGGACGCCCTCCAAAGGCAGGTCCCCAGACCTGACTTAATCCTTAGCTGCTATGGGAAGGTTAAACACGAAGGCAGCTCCTTGTGGATGGGTCGCCCGCCTACGATGACGCCGTTACATCGTGATCCAAGTGCAAATATGTTTGTCCAGCTGGCTGGCAAGAAATTAGTGCGGCTCTTCCCACCGGACGTGGGAGAGAAAATATTTCAGACCGTCAAGTCGAGAATTGGAACGGGAGGTGATATGAGCGGGAGGTTGAGAGGGAAAGAAATGATGCTTGGCAGAGAAAAAGAAGAATTGGAGAAGGAAGTCTGGGGTCGTTATAATAGTGAATTTGGTGGAGTTCAAGCATCCCTTGACAGAGGCTCTGGTTTGTTCATTCCCCAAGGTTGGTGGCACAGCGTAAAGGGTGTTGGAAACAGTGGAGTCAATGCTTCGGTTAGTGTGAGGTCTTTTGAGCGTCAAATATTATATTCTGACAAGACGATATCTCAGGTAAACTGGTGGTTCCGCTTTACTCCTAAAAATACCCCTGGAGATAACAGCTCAAAAAACGCCGTCGCTGGCCCTGACACAGCGCAAACGCAACCAGAACTATACTTCAAAGGCTGGGAAGAGGTGCAGAACAGAGCGTGGAGACAAGACTACTTGTCGAAACGTGCAAATTCTCTAAAGATACGAGCTAGGAATATCCCTCTTCAGGTACGTAATTTATAACGACCCTATTTCTTGAGTAAGGCTTAGAAAGGTACCTTTTTCTAGGGCGCAAAAGGACAGCCGCCTCGCCCTTGAGCCATCAGTCTTTCTTTACCTGCTTTAAACTGGGCCATACCCTTTCCCTCGAGTTTCACAGGGCCAACCTTGTGGATGAGGTAGCCTTGGCTTCTGTACTCTCCATTGCCGGGATAAGGCCGTCCAGTGATCCACTTGAACCAAGCCAGAGGACGCCAGCGGTTGACAAAGCTGTCTTTCACATACCATGGCTCTGGTTCCCAATCTAACCAAAAGTATCTGTTTTGCTTGTCCGGATGTTCTGTCGATTTTTGCACACGCAACACGTATGGCCGGGGTAGTGCAAAGTAACGTAACATGAAAGCGCGGGCACGGAGTGCGACGTTCACTATCTTCTGGTAACTGGCCGGTGGCTTAGGGTACCTGCAGCCGGGTCAACATGCGTGACAATCTGAGAGCGCACTCTTTCGAGCTTACATCATGGCTTTTCTCAGACGGTCATCCATCGAAGCAGTCACGACTTTTAAGCCGGCGTCTTTCAAAAACTCTGGCACGTCGTACAGCAGTATGGCGGTAGTCTCATCGGCCGTCCTCCTGTTAGCGCCGTCTGGAATCATGCATTCTGCCTCATATGCTTGACTCCAGTCTAGAACTTCCTGATACCATTGCAGACCATCACGCCATCCAGCTCCATTGGACGGAAGGACATGGTAAGAAATGTCCATTGCGTCGCCAACGGACTTCCAAAACGTGCCAATGGCGCACAGTTCCATGGGCGTCAGTTGGCGCCATTCGTAGCGGCTGATCCAACGCACTGGCTCTAGCGCGAATAGAGACAAAGTGTAAAGCAAGTCTGAGTTAGATATCTTCCCCGATTTTCGGTACATGTCGTGCAAATAGTTCATGCGGGCAATTGCGGAATTGGCACGCTCTGAGTTGGGAGCGTAGGCGGTGAACTCTTGGATGAGGACTTCGGTATCAACGTAGCGCTATGCAGCCGCCTCAGTCGTGGGAAGGGGATGCGGAGCAAGGCAGAAAGCTTACTCTGGGGGCATTGCCGCAAGTGGAGAGCTGCTTAGTCTGGACGAGAAGCTTGCTGATGGTTGGGATGCCGTAGGTGCGGAAAAGGGCGAATTGCCATGACTTTAACCACGTAAAAGGGAATTCACGATCCATGAGATATTTCTGTATCTCCCACGCGTGCTGCGTGGTCATGGCGGCGAAAGAGGCCGGAGTGTTGTAGGGGAAGCGCCGGTGCTCCTGCCTCAGGCGCCGGAAGCGCAAGAGGCGGCATAGCAGGGCGTATGCCGCGAGGAGAAGGACGGCGATGATTGTGGATGACATTCTGGGGATGACCGGGGGTGGGGTGGCGTTTTCCAGACAGGCTGACAGGCGGGCACCAGAAAATTGGGAAGGTGTGAGAGGCAGGGTGCACGGGCGCGCAGGCAGTACTCGTAGTTGGTCAATTCGGTCAAGTCAATCAAGCCAGTCAGCCAGTCAGCCAGTCAGTCAGCCATCTCACCTCCAAAGGCACAGGGGGAGGGACGTGAGAAAAAAAGGCCAAGCCCTGGGGCCATGCACGCGTGCATGCTCGCACACGTGTTTCCGCACCTCGACTCGCCATCCGACCCCAGAACTATAACTATCCCATCATGGAGCCCAAGAGGCGCACCGCGTGCGATGAGTGCAGTGAGTCTGGCGTTGCGACAACTGGGCGACGTGACTTGGCTGATGATGCCAGGAACAAGGAAGCTCAAGTGTTCGGGCGGACAGCCCCGCTGCGAGCGCTGCGAGCGGGAACGCATCGAATGCGTCTACTCGCTCCAGAAGCAGATGGGCCGTCCGCGGAAGCGGAGGAGGGACGACCCCAACCTGACCCCGACTGACCACTCCGTCGAGTTCGGTTTGCTTCAATCAGCCTTTGCGGCGGGTGGCGAGCTTGACACCGACGCCACCGCACTGCCGTCTCTCAATCACCAGCATGCCATAGACCCGCTGCTTGACGATTCCAGCTTGGATGCAATCTTGGGTGCACACCCGCTCCCAGACTCTGGTTATTCTGGTGTGTTTCACCTGCTCCTGTCGCCTCATTCGCTGACAGTGATAGATTCTCACGTTCAGTGTGCAGACCCGGATGACGCCCCTGCTTTTGACCTCCCGTCGCCCTTTAATCCGCCATGCTCATGCCTCTCAAACATGTATTTGACACTTTCGAGCCTGCAATCACAACCATCCTTCACTTTTCCTTACAGCCTACCGGTTATTCAACGCGCAATGGCGACGGCTGCCGCAGTGCTGAAGTGCCAACAATGCCCAAAGGGAGCCGCCTCGGCAATTCAGAACCTCCATCAGCTAAGCAGCACCCTCATGACCATTGTGGACTGTTTTCACAGAATTTTGATTTCAATTGATGAGGAGGCCAACCGCGTCGATGCGCTCGGCATCACTAAACCCTTTCACATAGCCGACGCATCAGCGCCTCCTGAAATGCATACAGGAACGTCAGACTGCCCCGCCAGATTCGGCATGGATCTCACTGGGCAAGAGTGGAGGACAATGGCCAGGAGGGTGCTAAAGACTCGGTTTGTAGGCTCGGCCTCGGATTCAGACGACATGAGTCTACAGGGTATCGTGACGCAGTTTGAAAGAAGGCAGAACCACTGGCATGAAGACCCTCATATCTGTCGGCTTCGTGCTGGAACGTACGGCGAACAGGCCGCAGCAAGAATGGATTCTGATCCCGAACAAAGAATTTGTGGAAAGATGGTTGAGCATGTCCGAGGCTCAATTTTAGGACTTGGGCTTTGAGTGCATTTGTTTTTTAAAACAGGAGAGGGTATGAGCTGGCGAATCAGCTACATATCTCCAGAGTTAACCAAAGAAACCCTTTTCAACCACGTTTTTCGGAAAGGCATGTTTTTTCATCGTGTCAAGAAGTTGTGCTTGATCTGTGCAAGCCGTCGAAAATAGCTCGAAGTCCGTACCTTTTTGCTCCAACCAGTGGTCAAGCCGCGTTGTGAAATATGGCTGGCATCCAAAAACCAATAGTTCTCTCAGGATGGATACATCGACGTTTCGTAGGTCAGGTACTAGGAGGGCAAAAACTACCGGACCATTCTCTGGAGTACCTACTAAGAAGTAACCAAAGTACGGCGAATGGGATGCGGAAACAGATGAGACGGCGCATCTCTACTGACCTTGTTGGTCCTTCGCAATCTATGACACGTAAAAGCGACGTGTTTCTTTGCTCGGAGGTCGTTAGACTCCAAAATACTGATTTGTTTGCAATCAACTTCGCAAAGATAATACATACATCGGGGCCCCTGACGATTCCACCTCTCCTTGGCATGGCCACCTCATTTCTTGTTCAAACTGGCGCAGCTTTTTTGGGCCATACGCGCCCTACTCATCATCGTCGACGCGCGCCCGCTTCGTGGACCGCTCGTCCGGCTCCTCCACTCCGTACCGCTTGCTTCCGCTGCCACTGCCTGCGGCACCAGCAGTTGCCTCCGAGATCATCTGGTTGATGTTGAATGGATCGTCTGAGTCCTTTTCGAATTGAACTGGGCCCTCGCGTTGCTGCGCAAAAAAGAACCGTTAGCATTAAAGAGACAACGTTCGAAAATCCACATAGTGCAAACTAACCTCGGCATCTTGCGTGCCTTTGAAGCCCTCCTTTGCCTTGCCCAGCACCTCGAAGCGGTTCGTCTTGGTGATCTTATCATACGTATCAGATGGGTCCTCGTCGTCGGCATCCGTGTTAAACTTTGGCCGGTATATGCTGCTGATGGCGTCCTGCGCCGCGAACAACGGCTTGTCGTACGCCTGGTCCTCGTTGAAGCCTGAGTCGAAGCCACTGCTCTGGTTAAACAGCCGCGAGTCGTACATCGTCTCCGACGATGCACTCGGCTTCGCCAGCCCCAGCGCCACCTTCTCTGAGATGTCACGGTTCTGTTCCCGTGCCATCATCTGGATTCGCCGCTCCGTGCCCATACGTGACTGCCGCAGCTGCTTCTCATTTTCTCTCCGCCTCTCCCGTCGCATTTCTTCACGCTCCTTGGCCGCCTCCTCTTCTTCGTCGACAGATCTCGAAGAGTACTCAGAACCACTCCTGCTGCGTAGTGGCGAGCCGCGATCTCCCGACCCTCTTCTCCCGCCACTGGCAGCCTGCTCGCGCGCCTTCATAGCCAACGCGCGCAGATGCTCCTCCTTCTGCAGCTTCTCCTTTTCCGCTAGCTTCTGCTGCATCAATGCCCGCTGCTTAACCTCCTCACGCGCGTGCCTGTCGGCGGTAAAGAGTGCCTCGGAGAAGTGCGCAAATTTGTCGTTGATTGTCACGTCCTGCAGTCCGCGCCCGTCTGCCGCCAGACGCTTGTCTAAGGGCACCGTATAACCCTTCGGGTTCTTCCAATTCGAGACTGGAGGGGGTATCTTCCACGCTTCTTGGTCCTCTGCGGTCAGCTTGCGCGGGGGCGAGTGCATGACGGGCGCGGGCGGGCTGGGCGGTCCGCGCGGGATCTTTTTATGCTTGAACTTGGGTGGCTCCATTGGGTCCTGTTGCCTCTCCACAATCTTCATGATCCTGTCCTGTTTTTTGCTGTTGTCGCCCATCTGGTTCGCGGGCGTGTATCGCACGTACGTCGGGGCCTTGCGGGTGGTACCTGCGACCGTCTTAGGTTTCTGCGCGGCGACGGCACCAGACACGAGTTTTGCGAGCGCTTCTTCCGTCTTCTTCTTCGTCTCCGCAACCTGCTCCTCTGATGGCCTCTCCAGCGAGACTTCTCCAATGTCGGCTCTCTGGCGCAGAGGGATGAGATCTTTGAATGACGCGTGCACTATGCGATTCTCGCTGTGGCCTCTCCTTGCGATAGCATCGTATTTGACCTTGCCTTCGGCGTCGACCTGGATGGCGAGGGCATTGGAGCTCGAGGTGGTCTTGCGACCCATGTCCAACGGATATTGAGCAACAGGAATCTCAGGAAAGGCGCCGCCGTCGCCGTAGTCCTCGGGGGCGCGCGGGCGCCATCCGGATCGCTGGCCGTAGGGTGGAGGGCCGGTCTGCCTCTTAACGAGCTGAGTCTGGTCGATTTCGGCGGCGCCGACGACGCGCGGACCCTTGGGCTGGGCGTGAGCTGGCAAGTCCTCGTCCTCGCCGGAGTACTTGGGCTTGGGCAGCGCCCTAGAGAGCGAGAGGCTGGCAGACATGACGGGATGGGGGTGGACGTGGTGACAGCACGAGTGAGGCGCGTTCAGTTGATGGGGACGGCAAACCTACGAATGCCAAGCCGCTGGCCGGGCCAATGTTTCACCGGCTACCTACCTACCTAAACCCCTAACGCCGGCTTCCGCAAAAAGTCATCCTCACCGTCAATTTGCATAAACTATCATGTTAACCTTGCTGTCTTAGTTTTGCTAAAGCTGCCATAATGCCCTCGCTAGGCTCGTCCTCTTGAGCCTTGCCTTTACTGCCAGCGGCCGTGGGACGGGCGTCATCTGGAGGGCGAGCTCCCATCATCGCTTCTTCTTCATCTTCGTCAGGCTCCCAGTTGCGGGCTTCCTCAGGGACTCTGGAGGACGACTGCTCCTCAGCATCCTGACTGACCACACGTGTAGGCACAGAAGTGGCTTGTTCTACGGAACCAGGCGCATTGATGCCCAAACGAGCTGCGACGCGAGGATCTGGAGCGTCTTTCTTAGAACCTTCTCGGCCTGTTGCGCGCTTTGCCTTCTTGATCCTAAAGGGCTCCCTGACGGTGTTACACCACCGTTGGACCTTCTTACCACCCCATCCCGCAACAAGAGCCACCTCCTCCGGCTGGGCGTTGACAGCAGTCCTAATGCTGCCAAAGTTGGACACCAGGCTAACGGCATCTGTCTTGTTGATGCTCCTTGGAGTGGTGATGAATTCGACCAACTGCTCCTCGTAGCTGTTTGCCTGTGCGGCGCGGATGCTGGTGGGGGCGGCATACTCGTATGTCTTGTAGAGTTCGAGGTAGCGGCCAGCCTCCTGTGCACTCCAGCAAAGGATGATGGTGACGTTGTTGATGAGCGAGGTCTTGGACAGTTCGCGCAGGGCCTCCTCGTGGTTTTGGATATCGACCATGGTCAGCACGAGGCGCAGATTGTACTTGCCGGCCAAGGCGCGGATGCGCGAGTAGATGTACTCTGGGTGGAGGCGGTGGTACTTGAGGGACAGGAAGAGGGCACAGGTGGTAGTGCCGAGGACATAGTCGGCGGGGATGTCCGAGTACTCCCAGGGCACGGCGCGAACGGCGCTGAGGACGGGGTTGCCCTTTTGGCGCGGGGAAACGAGAATGGCGGCGGGGCCCTGGCGGGCGGGCAGCGACTGGGGCTTGGGCTGCTGGGCCATAGTTATGTGATTAACGAGGCCGTGAGGCGAGCGATGTGATGCGACGCGATGAGGCAAATGATACAAAGCGAGGCGGGTCCGTGCATACGCGAGCCTCCGGGCGAACAATGCCCGCCCGACTTCACTTCACCTTTCCACTCCTGCCTGCTTCCTCCAACCACACCCACCACCACCACCACCGTCCCCCCGGCACGATCCACCGCCCACCCACCGCCGCGCCCGCCCTCTGCACTCGACGACGCCCATGATCCCATGAACTAGCCCGAGCCGTCCGCTGCTCCATCCGCTGCTGCTGTGACGCTGCGCCGTCGTCGCCCTTGGTCAGCCGTTCGCCCACCGCCATCGCATCGCCCTCGTTTCCCGCTCCTATGTCGGCCGACCTCCCCAACAAACGCCAGCGACACACAGGTTCCTTCTCGCCCGCCTCTCCGCCTTACCACCTCGCAAAGCCCGCTGGGCCCGTCGACACGACCATCGACCAGCAGCCAAACACGCCCACTTCCCCACCGTACATGTCTTCCATCACGCAGAGTCAGACCCATGCCTCTCTTTCTTCGACCCAAGGACCCGGCTTGACGCCGCCTTCGGTCGCCGCCTCGGCCTCGTCGCAGCAGAACACGACCAACACCTTTCCAACGCCTGCAAGCAGTGCGGAAATGTCTTCCTTCACCTCCAAGGGCGCGGACGGGAACGCGCAAATGACTGATGACCAGATGGAGGGCATCACGAATGTTCCCATGTGCGACGTGCACGTGGGAGGCGACAGCGGCCACAGACACACAGGTCACGACCGGCAAGGCACGGGCTCATCAGCGAGCGAAAAAGTTGGCTTGGACCGCCTGAAGGCTGGTTCTAGTCCATTCTATAAGCTCAGTGAGACTCGTAAGGCCCCCGCATCCGTGAGCTTCTAAAATTTGTTCTTGATGCATGTTAACATTGCCTGTCGGATAGCTTATCCGATCTCGCGACCGCACGCGTCAGAAAACCTCCTAGCAGCATATGGACTGAACCGAATTGCGCAGAGCGTCGCTCGCTTTGATCCAGTGACAGGTGATAAGATTAACAAGCTTCGAAAGTCTTATGAAGGCCACATCAAGGGCTTCCAAATCGCTGGTGGCAAAAACAAGCCCGAAGCCCTGGAAGGCCAGCTGAACGGTCTTTTGGACTGGCCAGATGAGGAATGGCATAGCCAAAGGGTTTTTGGCAAAGAGCTTGAAAAGGGTGTTGATTCAAGTCTGCTCGAAAAATTGAACCGTGCTGTTAAGATGCAACCAGGCAAGTTGCCCGCTGAAGAGGCAGCAAAGTGGAGAGGCAGAATTGGCACCGACGATGGGCTCCTCAAGAAATCTGCTCCCGAGATGACGGATGCTACGGCCAAGAAAATCAGGCCCGTCGGGCAAGGTCCAGGCCAGGGTCGTTTATCTGCGGCGCCCTCTCCGGCCATGAAACCAGCGCGTCCAGACCGTGCTGGCAAGAAGCGCAGCTATGTGGAGTCAAGCTTCAAGGGGTACGGAGAAGGGTTCGCGGATGATGATCCGATGGGAGAATCAACTGGTGGCGAGGATGAAGGCAAGGGCGGCTTGAAGAAGAAGCGACGGAAGGTATGAGACTTTTGCGGTCACACCGACATCTCCATCGACATTTTATCAGAACACAAACTGACCGCCGCCGACACCAGGACTTTGCCGCCGGCAGTCCTCTTGCTTTCAACAATCGCCGAGGAAGCTACCAACCTGGAATGGTTGGAGTTCGACACTGATAGGCTCTGCAGACGGCCTTGACAGACGACACTGGCTGCGCTCTGTCGGTATGGAAGGACGGCACTAGTGGCACGACCATTGATGTCACTGCTACTTACCGAGGCATTTGCGCCTTCCCTCACGTTCCCACTCTACGGCACAACACGACTGTGGTTTATTGACGTTCAGCTTGCCACGCGGCCGATTTCTACGTGCGACTCGCCCCATGTTCACAACATTGAAGAAAACGAGTGGAAGGGGGCACTACCCGTTCTCTGTCTATTTTTGCTATACCCGTTTTGAGCGTTACATTGCATTTGAACAAAGGAGCAACCAGTTCCGGTGGGAAGGAGGCTCTTGAATTCTGCTTTAGCAGATAACGTTGGTTTGACATTTCGGAGTTTTGGGTCTGTTGCCACGCGTGCATGATCAAATGCGCACAACACCTCTGGCAGCGATGCAAGGCCAGCAGTCCCCAGAGGAATATTGTATTACACTTCTTGCTTCTAGTTCTAGCAGATGCAAGGCAAAGGCCTAGGAGAAAAAAAAAAAAAGACAAAAATCGCAACAACCTGCATCTCACCACCATGCGGGCTTGCACGTTTACCTGATGGTGCGTCAATCTAAAACGAATTTGTTTTGGATGCAAAGCTCTGTGCAAAGTGGCTCCCGTCATGGCGCGCGCGTATTCATGTCTTGCCCAGAGCTTGGTCTAAGCGTGGCGGTTGGCAAAACATCATCCTACTCGATTTGGAACATGATGCGGTCCGCTAGGCGAGCATGGGCCACGAAGTAACTTGGTATGTCCTCGTCCAAACAGTGTTTACCTCTCATAGTACTATATAAGTCTTGCTAACGTGTTTGTCTAGGGCTGTATTCATATTAGTGTTCGCAACTTGACAATGGTTTTGATTTACTATCCTTCGGGTATCCAATTCGGGATCTTACAATTTTCAGTTGCATCTTTTATCCCTTGGTCTCATTGGTTATCCATTCTAATAGTCAGTTCTTTCCCGATGTATGCTTTTTGGATAGGCCGCACACAGGGAAAGAAACATAAGCAGACAAAAGCAAGGATGATCAGGCAAAGCAGCTGACGGTGGCCAGTCTCACAGATTATGTGTAGGTTTGGGTCAAGATTAAGAATTGGATGAAAGTTCATTTGCAGAGGCTGTGGCCAATGAGCAAAACAAAAAGGGATAAGGTGAACAATTAAACTTTCTAGGGCAAATGCCCCGTTCGGCTTCCGAAAAGAAAAGAAAGAAAAAAAAAAAAAATCACCCTGAGAACTGATAGTTTTCCCAACCCCGAGAACTTTTCTCCATGCGGCTGCAAACGACTAGAAATGCGCGCAGTCAGCTGTCTGCTTTGCACTTAGCGCCGTCCCGCAGTCGCCAGACCAGCCTTCCCCTTCGCTTTGGCCGAGTCCGTCTGGCATGCCGAGCAAACATGGTCCATCTTGAGCGTCTGCCAGATCTCGCCACCATGGCAAGGTCGCTGGACTAGAGCGCCAGAGGCACAATAAGCGGCGAAAATGGTGGTGGTGTGACCGCACGAGTGAGTGTGAGCATAGTAGCGGCACATGGTGGTGTTGGTCGGGTGTTGTTCCGGATGGGAGCTGAGGGATAGATGGATGCGCTGGTTGAATCGTGGTGATTGTGGACTGGTAATTTCAGCTGGAGAGAAAAGACACGTTGCTACGGATCAGTCGTGAACTTTCACAGGAGCTTTTTATGTAGTCGCATTCCATGAATGAGGTTTGTTTTCTTATTTGGCATGGTGCTGACTTGAGAAACTGTCATTCAGCCCTGCCATAAGGCAGCCCGGCCATGACAAAAGGCCAAGGGCGAGAGGCTGACAGATGTTCATGCGGGAGGATGTGATATTGTTAAGTATATCTTTGCAAGTGACGCAAGCCCGCCTTGCCGCCCTGCCGCCCTCTGCCGCCCTTTGCCGCCCTGTCGCCTTGCCTTTGCCGGTGCCAGCTGGCGGCGGCGCGCTGACGTCCCGCCGGGCCAATCTGCTGGACGTTGTGCCTGGCGTCGGGCTACGGCCACGTAGCTCCAACGGCATCCTCGTCCTGTTGATGAAAGCCTGCACTCACCGCCCATCCATAAACCGTTGCGTCTGCGGCTCCTCGTCGGTGCCGCGCCGCGACAATGCGTTTTCACCACCAAGCCACCGCACGAGGGAGTGACGTCTTCACCATGGGCCCTTTACAAGAAGCCTGCGCGTGCTGGGCTGCGTGAGATTGTTTTTCTTGTGTTCCTCTTCTTTTCCCCACCATCCTTGCGACCACGCGCACGCCTCCCCACTTGCCAAGATCGACTTCTGCTTCCACGGCCGCGGGTAGCAGTGGGCCTTCGACGTGAGCCGCCTCTCCACCATCCAAATCACATCCGTTGATCGTTGCTGCAGCCATCCCGGCCATGGCCTCGTCTGATGTGGATCAGAAATACCTCAGCCGCCTAGCAAGCCACACGGCCACCACCAATCCGCTTCTCTCGGCCTCTCTCTACCAGCTCCTCGGCCTCTCCGTCCTCCTCTCGCGCAAACTCGTCCGGGCCCGAAAGCTGCGGAAGCTCGACGCTTCCCGCGACAACAAGTCATTGGCTCTCTACCATCACATCCTCTGGCTTTCGCGCGAAGGCTTGTCCATCCTCGAGCTAAACATTCTCCCCTACACCCAAGATGGACAGCACGGTCCCGAATGTCGGGTCCTAGGCGCCAAACTCCGCGCGTCCCTCTACCATATTTTTTGTCTTTTCCACAGCCAGCCTCCCGTTTCTGAAAGCAACAGCATCTCTTCCCAAACGGGCTCGGCGCCCGCAGATCATCACACTTCGCTCATGCCTGGTCAAACTCACAAACAGGCAAGAACACATGGAAATGATGGTAACAGTAACGGCGTCAGCAACCCTAACGGCAATGGCAACAGCAATGGCAATGGTCGCAACGAGTCGCCCAAGGCCAGCCAAGCCAAACAAAAAGATGCAGGTCATTCCACCGGGCGAATGCCAACGCTCCGAGAGCCCATTACGTCGATCACCTCCGAAACCTCTTTTCTCACAAACCCTTACGCCAACAGTTCCGGAGGCGGAGGCAACAGCCCTCGGCCTGCCCACCCTCCTGGACTACCACTGAACAATTCCCGACCATCTGCGTTTCTCTTGCCGCCATTGAACTTTCTCCCGTTAACCAACACGCACTTCACAACGGCCGCTAACATGGCTGTGGCTATCCTTCCAGGATCGCATCCGCTACGCCTTTCAGTCGCCCTAGAGCACACTGCTTTCGTGTGGGACTGCCTGAACGATCACGACGGCGCGCGCAAGCTTGCAAGAAAAGCTATAAGGGAGGTCTATCGCGCAAAGGAAGGCATGGACGACGCAGATTTCGAAGACGCAGCCGAGCTCGTTGGAATGCTGGGCAAGGTGATGAGGCGAAAGAGCTGGGAAGGGACGCCACACGCCGGCGACTCGGGCGCCACAACCGCCGGCGCCAAAACCCCCGAGCACAATGGCGGGGGCGGGGGCCCGGGCGGGGGCGCCCGCGCGCTGCAGCAGGCTGCCACCAGAGCCGACGCCGCCGCGCGCCAACAACCGCACAGCAGTCGCAACCCTAGTAGTGGCCACAGCCCCGCGCGCACCAAGGGAAGCAGCGCTCAGCTTGACCCCCTAGAAGCCGGAGGCCCGGTGAGGAGCCCGCGCGCCAGCAGCGAGCGCCTACGCCCCCGGCGTAGCGGAGGTGGCGGCAGCGGCGGCGGCAGTGAAGAGACGACTCCCCGCGCCCTGCATAGCAAGGATGGCTGGGGCACTGGTGGGAGCACCACCCCCAGAGCCGTTCAGCACCTCTCGGCTTCCCAGCAGCCGGAGATGATCCAGGGAATGATATGATTGATGGAAGTGCGTGACATGTTATGGGTTAGACGAGACCACGACTATATGTACGAGTGGATGGAGAGCTGTGCGGTGTTTTGTCGCAAATTCTAGCGTCGATCGCGCTGCAGATAGAATGTAATTTTGTCCTTCGTGGTTTGAAGCACAACATGATGCGTGAGGGGACGGTACTTTTGTACAATGGCTGCTGCTAGTTGCTCCAGTCAAAGAGCATCCCTTTCGCAGATTTGTACGACCGATATTAGTAGACGAGTGCATTTTCCCGTTCTACTTGAAGAGACACCATCAACAAAGTAATTTCAAGATTTCAATGTTTCACCATGAGCCAATGGAAACATATCCACAACACAGTACCGTAAAAGAATATAGTTTGTATTCAGAATTGGAACAAGGCCATTGTAACGCCGTTATGGCATCCAAGCCGGTGGGTATCAACCTAATTTAGAAGATCCGGCAGTAGACCTTTTAAAGCACTAGAAATATATATTGTAAACCCAGTCCCTTTCAATAACTCATGCAAATCATATAAATGTCATTCTCAGCGAGCTGCTAAAGCTCAAGACCAGCGGGCTTGGCTTAAACCTGCGCAATGCGCAAAGACTCACGACGGTGATCTTCGTGCTTGTGAGTTTCGTTGTCGATCTCCTGCGCGAACTTGGACCTTGCGCGGATTTGAGGCCCGTAAAAGTAGAAGATGTAAATCGGAATTGTGACCAAAAGTGCAAGACAAGCAAGAATAGTCGAAGCGTATTCAAGGTGGAACTTGCCACCAACATTGGTGTAGACTATAGCAGAAAAAGCGGTCAGTCCTATCGTCTTGTCAAGTGAGCCGACATCAAAACTCACGTGGTGTGGCATAAAGCGCGGCGATACCCGCAAGGAAGTCTCTGGCAAACCCATTGCCTCCGGTAGCAGAAGCAGAGTAAGGTCCATAGGACGCGACCATATAGTCAATTGTAGCCATGTAGATAGCATACTGGAAAATCCCGTCAGTGACCTAGACCTAATATAGCCTTTCTGTTTTGTCTCATAGAAACTCACGTTGGCAATACCGACGAGCGCGGAGAATATCATTGGTGCGATCCAGTGGACGTTGTACTCCGGCCCAAGACTTGTCCAAGCGAAGCCAAAAAGACCAATCGTTTCGAGTGGTGCAGCTGGAAAGCACGTCCTATGTTAGCATGTACTAAGGAGCACAGCGGACCGGATTATTCTTACTGAACAGCAACCACCATAAACGATACTCCGGCTGGAGAGTCCCTGCTCTGAGCTTCTGTCGTTGCTTATAAAACCAGGGGAAGAAGGAAAAGTAGGCAATCAGATAGCCAACAAGAAGCCTGAGGTTCTTTGTTAGAAACAGCTTCTGCCAGGTAATCGGGCTTTTAACACTTACGGAATGAAGGCGAGACCAATGTCAATCGCACTAAAATCCCATTGCTTGAAGACAGGGCTGTACGACTCAAGGAAGGTAAAGATGAGAGCATCACTGAAACCACTCAGGAGCGAAAGGAAAAGGACGATGGGCTCCGTCAGGAACATTTTAAACGGTCGGAACCAGATGGTCCCGATCTCTTTAAGAGGAAGGCCGCCAATGTTCCAAACGCCCGACTCCTTGATCTTCATTTTCCTGTACTCATCAAGAGTAAGGGCGTCCTTGTCGCCATCCTTGCGTCGCTGGGCGGCAATCCGATTGAGACAAACCGAGGTTCTTGTTTCCTTGACGGTGAGGGCATGGAGAAGCTGAGTTGCGCCTCCAAAAATAAGCTGAAGCCAGAACACCCATCGCCAGTGCAGGTACGTCTCCACGAAGCCACCGACAATTGGGCCAATGACAGAGCCACCGACGGAGGAGAAGACAACATAGGCGACAGCGAACTGCTGGTCATCGGGTTGCCACATGTCGGCCACCATGCCTAGGGTGACAGATCCACCCGCGGAAGAGAGGCCACCGAGAAAACGGCAAACGACGATAGTACCATAGTTGGGGGCTAGGGCGCAGGGAATCTGCCAGATGTTGACAAGGCCAAGACTCAACTGGAGGATGATCTTTCGCCCAAACTCCTCACTCCAGGGGGCCCATAGCTCACAGCCGAAAGCGTAGGCGACGAGGAATATCATCTGGCCGACACGAGCACCTTGGGCACTCAGGCCAAAAGCTTCTTCCATGCCGCCGACGCCATTGCCGTAGATGCTGGCGTTGAAGTTCATGGAACACTGGATGACGAAGATGACGGTAAGGATGTACCACCTGTACCATGCGGGCCAACAGTAGGGAAGTTCCTTGTAGGTCTCCTCATCGTCCTCGGAAATGGTAACCTCGCGGCGCTCGCCCTGTTTCTCGGCGACGGAGTCCTCGGGAGATGTTCCAGACACGGCCTCCCTTTGTTCCTGGCCAGTGCCGTCGGGGCTGATGTCGTGTTTTTTCTCGCCCATGTCGGCAGGGACCTGCTGCCGGATCGACATGATCAAAGAGGATTATGCGAGAGGCTGGTGACGGGATGGCGGAGAAGAGTGTGGAGAATGTGGCAGGAAGAGTAGGTGTATTTATGTGAGAGGCAAGCAAGAAGCGGCGCCTCTCATGATGTGGGGGCGCCGAAAATGATGGCACGGCAGTGCCGTGGGTGGGCAGAGGAAAGCTTCCCATTCATCCCAGGTGACGTAGTGCCCGCCGTTGCACCCCAAAGTCGCATTAGGTCACGGCCTGGACTAATCCAAAGCAGCATTGCCGCATGAGGCGGCGGCGGAAGCGGCGGCCACCCGCTTCAGCCCTTCAGCCGCGGCAGGGCAAAAGGGCGAAAGTATGGAAAGAAAGAAAGTTTTAGGAAAAAATAATAATAACAAAATGGAAACATGGAAGGCACGAACGACTTGTAAAGAAAGGAAAGAGGTGCGCCAACACCCACGAGAGAAGAAGGAAAAGACTTGCAGTGCTAAGGAGGGGATAACGGCCCCAACCAACCATGGCAGCAGATGATGCGCGCTGTCCTGATGATGCAGCGCGACCCACAAAATCTCCAGGCCAAACTCCGGATTCTGCCCAGAACCCACACTCTCTCCGGATTGCCACTTGGCTCCTGCGCGATGCAACTTGGCTCCTGCGCGATGCAACGCAAGCATACCAAGCATTCTCGCCAACGCCGCCCGCCAAAACAATAAAGTGCGGCTTTTTGCTGCGGCTCTCTCTTGCCGCCCTTAGCCTTGTCCCCCCCTGCAGCCACGCTTTCTGGCCGTGTTGCCCGTGTTGCCCGTGCTGCCCCGTGCTGTCCCGTGCTGCCGGCGAGCGGAGACCCCGCAGGCCTTCTGACCGTCGCACTGCCATGCAAGCTGCACACGGCTTGGTGGCGCGATGTGTCTCTGCCGTCTGCGAACGCCAAGCCGCCATCGATGTGGCCCAAATGCTTACTGCGCCGAACTCGTCACTTCTCGACACGGCTCGTCCCGACTCATCCCCGAGACCTGTACGCATGTGAGCTGTGAGCTACTCTAGAAGCATCGCACGACTGCACCCGGCCATTCTCGACGCTTCCGGCATGTCGTGCCCCCGCGAACCAGCGGCGCAGTAGGCTCGAGCATCCAGCCTCGAGCCCCCCTGTCAACGACGCTCACCGTCAGCCGTACATTCTGGCCCTTTCTTATACTTTTTGCTTTTTTCCCTTCTCACACATACCTGGAAACCTCTCAGAGGATTGCATTGTGCACCATCACTTGGGAAACAAACCTACTGCTTCATCACACGCTACGGCTAATGTAACAGAATGCTCGGCAAAGTGCGGAGAATTCCACTTTCTTATTTCCTACTTTTTTTTTTTTTTTTTTTGCAATGCATGCCGCTAAGCTGAAATGCAGAATCAGTGGTCTTGGTTAGTGTAGAAGTGTCAAGCTAATGCACAATACCCAGGCACGGGAAGATATCTTTATGTCGAAGGCGTCTTTAGAATCGTACAGGGGAGCAGCGACGCCATAGCCTCATAGGATCTCAAACTCGTAGTAAACATAAGCCGTGTACTCTGCCGCTGCATCAGCTGAGTGGCCAGCGGCTTGCATCTCCGTGTGAACCGCCGAGTCATCCTTCTTGACCCGGCCTTTGCTGTCTCTGCCGAAAGCGTTGCCGCCCAGGTAAGAGTAGATGGCGTCTAGGTTGTCCTTTGCCTTTTTTGCGAGCTTCGGAGTGGTCTATCGGTTTGTCAGCTTCTTGGTCTGCGGGGTCGGGGTGCTCCAGGCAAAATCCTATGCGCAACGTAACTAACCTGCACCAAGCCACACACAAACTCCAGTGGCAAACCATACCGCAGGACAGTCTCGACAAACACCCTCAATGCGAGCACATGTATCCAGATCATAGCACTCTCGCTGTATCCCGTGCGGCCCATACGCAGCGCCTCGCCCCAAATCTTGCGCTCATCCTTCTCAAGTTTATCCACTTCACGCGCTTCCTCTTCCTTTCCGCCCTCCTTATACTTGTAGTCCCGCGGGGTCCACCGCTTTTCGCGGCACTTGTGGATGAAGTCGGCTGAGTGCTTCTTGAAGGTAGTGACGGCAAAGAGAGTAAATTCATCATCAGATGCGATTTCTGTGGAGGAGCGGGGTACCACCATCGGGGAAAGAGTCTCATAGCTCTTCAGATACTCCTTCTTCAACTGGTGGGGCACAGCGATAAGGTGCGTCTCGAGATACTCGGAATCTTGAATGAGGGCGGAGGCAGGTACAATGGCTGCGAGAGACTTGGTTGCAAGGTTTCCACTATCAAGCGTAGTGGTGTCAGTAACCATGCAGCTGCACACAAAAGGCACCAAAACGTACGTCTGTCTCCTTTGCGATGCTGCAAGATTCGTCTTGACCTGGTTGTACTGGTTGAACTTGGCCTTCACATCGTTGTCTATCCCAACAAGCTCCTAGAAAACCCCCGGTGTGAGTAGGACTTTCGAGCAACAGAGGCACAAGTGGTGCCGTACCTTTTGCAGCGCATCTATCAATTCCGCAATGGGCTTGTCTGCCCGATACTTGACCTTGTTCCACGAGAAAGAGCGAAGGTAGTGCTCAACCGGCTCTGACGCTGTAGTCAGCTAACCTGGCCCGCCCAGGTCACAACAATATGCCACACGTACTGTCATTGATGGTCTTCTGCTGCGCAATCTTGTCCTCGTCGCCGTCCAGGATGGTCCGCAGAGAATCTCCCACCTTGTTAACAACACCCTCGCAGGCAGTGTTCAGTTTTGCTAGATCGTCGGCTTGCTGCACCAGAGCGTCAAGGGTGCCGATCTTGAAGGCCGGTATCGCGAAAGGGTGCGTGGTGCCATTGTCAGTAGTGACAGCCGCACGCAGGGCGCTCAGGGCCTCGTCGCTGTCGTTGGCGGGGGATATAGAGGTCGGCAGGGAGACCAGCAGGTATTTTGAGCCCTTAGACATGGTGTGCGTCGTTGCAGTGTTGGCTGTTGTTGCGGTGATGTTTGGGTTGCAGCCCGAGCTCAACTGGAGCTGCCGGCGCGGTTGCTTCGTCATCTAGAAGCTCCGCCGGCCGGTCCTAGGCTACCTGACTACTCCACCTTCCGTTAACTATCAAATAACTTGCTTGTACAACACACATATCAACACGCCATGGCCGCCCGAAGAGCTATTGCCCTCTTTGCCAATTGCACCGTCCGCCGGTGCAATCCCGCCAGAACGCTGTCGGCTGCGCCCAAAATGCCTTCCATGGCGTACGCCGCACGTCCCCGCGCGTCCGGCTATCAGTCCGTCCGGTACAGCTCCGACATAGCAAACGCTACGGACACAGCCAAGACTCCGCTCTTCCAGCTCCATGAGGCATACGGTGCCAAATTCGTCCCTTTTGGGGGCTTCAGTATGCCTGTCCAGTATAGCGACCTAAGTGTCGGTGACTCTCACAACTGGACGCGTGAGAAAGCCAGTCTATTTGATGTCAGCCACATGTATGCCTCGGCCGAATTTCCCCTTCGTCCATCAGACTGATGCACTGCTCAGGGTGCAGCATTATATTTCTGGACCTGGTGCCGCTGCCTTCCTTGAACGCATCACTCCCTCATCCGTCTCCGTTCTGCAGAATCACCATTCAACCCTTTCCTGCCTCCTCCATCCCACCAGTGGCGGCATTGTCGACGACACTATCATCACGAAACTCACTCCCGAAAAATTCTACATAGTAACCAATGCTGCCTGTCGCCAAAAAGACTCGCACTATCTTGGCCAGGAGCTCAAAAATTGGAGGGAGCAGAAGCAGCCCGAGGTACAGTGGGAGACTCTTGACGGACGGGGTCTCATCGCTCTACAGGGCCCGCTCGCCCATGAAATTTTATCCGCTGTCCTGCCCAGTAAATCCGGCGACCTGAAAACCCTCTATTTTGGGCAATGCAAACAGCTTACTTTTCATCTGCCCAGCGGTCAGGCTGTTGGGGACGTCATCGTCTCACGCGGCGGCTACACAGGTGAGGATGGCTTTGAAATTTCCATCCCGGGCCCGGAGACGGCGAGTATCACAGAAATGCTCCTGGAGTCGGCAGGCCCCGAGAAACTGCGACTCGCCGGCATTGGTGCCCGTGACAGCCTTCGGCTTGAAGCAGGTATGTGTCTTTATGGCCATGATCTTGACGATACGACCACCCCAGTCGAAGGGGCTTTGTCGTGGATCATCAGTAAGGATCGTCGCGAAAAGGGCGGTTTCCATGGTTCAGACGTCATTTTAGGTCAGCTCAAGCCGAAAAAGGATGGGGGTTCAGGTGTGAGCAGAAGAAGGATTGGAATGGTTGTCGAAGGTGCACCGGCGAGAGAGGGCGCAGAAATTGTCGATGAGAATGGTGATGTCGTTGGGAAAGTTACTAGCGGTTGTCCCAGCCCAACTCTGAAGAAAAATATCGCCATGGGCTATATCAGAAATGGGCTGCACAAGAGCGGCACCGAGGTACACGTCATCGTCAGAGGAAGAAAAAGAAAGGCGGTAATCACAAAGATGCCGTTTGTACCATCAAGGTACTGGAAGGGTGGAGCAACGCCTGGGTGAGCGACCAGTCAGCCACTTTCAACCCTACAGTAGGCTCTGGCGTTTCAGCCTCGTATGTCCATTTGTAGATGGCTGTAGCTATTGCAAATGTGGAAAGCAAATCCAAAACAAAACAACGCCTTAACACTGAAACTGTCGGATATCCTAGGCCCCAAAGATCACCTGCAAAACCTCGTCCATTAATGTAAAGACAAGATGGGTGCTGCGAACAGATTTGTTTAGTGTGCTGTGCGCAAAGTACGAAACAGAATAGAATGGACTTACTTTAAACGCTGGTTATTTAGGGTTGCGAGTATTCTTCTGCTGGCTGCTTGTGCATTCGCCCTGCCTACCACGCTGCCTGCCAAGTCCGGTATCAGTGTGGCCAGTAACAGCCCGGCCTCCTTTTGGCTGCGTGCCTTTTCCGCAGGAGTTCTCGGCACAGCCTGCGGCCTTGGTCCGCCGCCTGGCCACATTTTGTCCTTGATCATGCTGATATATCTGGCCATATTATCTTCTTGTGTGAAAATTTTGACGTTTTCGCGGGTTTTACGCTCAATCGTGCCGCCGAGGAGTTGATGAAGAACTACAACCACAGCCCGCCCTCTTAACCAATTGTTCTCGCGGTTCAGCTCGAACAATTCCAGAAAAAGGTCGCAAATGGGTTTGATGAACGGCTCAAGCTCGCGACTTTCATACGCACGTAATTCGGCCTCCGCTTCTGCGGCTGTTTGGGGGTCGTTCGACAGCGCGCTGTTTCCGCCGTTACCCAACGGTCCAGCGTTGTTGAGCTGGTTAGTTGCGGCAGAAATAAGATTCTGTCCTGCTAATGAAAGCTGGTCAAGCACTGGAATATTTCCAAGAAATTCTTCCATTCCGTCTGTGACAGAGCTGTAAATGCGCGCAACGAAGTCTCTAGTATCCGCCTGCGGGTTCGTGGGGTCAGAAGAAGAGATGGTCTGTTGCGATAAGAAGGCGCGAAGTTCACGACTTCGGCATATGGCTGGGATCAGCAGTAGTTCTCGGAGATATCTCTCTAGGGCCACCCGACGTTTCTGGAGGAAATCCTTCTGCAGTTTGAGAACCATCTGCCGGCGTGGAAAGTCCAGGTTGCGAACCATGGGATATTGCGCTCGAAGCCGTTTGTTAAGCTCGTGGAACTCGCTATAGCGTCTGGCCACTACCCAGGCAGCAGCAGGCATGTGTTCTCCTGCCTGTCGGCGTACCTCGATAACATCTGGAATTAATCAGCTGTGATCCGCGTAATAGACGTATATTCATCTTACACATTGCGAACTCGCGCCCATCCTCGTCGTTGCCAACCATGATGGACTGAATTGATATCGTGGCGCGGCCGTAGAGACTGTTGTCGCTCTCTTGTACAACATACTGCTGCCGCTGAAGCTCTTTCCTATGTATTTCCCGTTGTAGACTCGCCTTTGACTTCTTAAGAATCCTTAACTCCGCAGCATTGTTGGTAAGTTCGGCCTTTCTCGTAAGAGAATCAACGATAGACTCTTGGTTGACCAATCTGTCAATCTCCTGGGACAGCGCATCGATCGCTTCAGCGAGACCTAAGTCGCCTGGCGCAGCTTCATGGATTTGGTCTTCCTCATCCTTGCCATTGGTATCCGAATCTTCCAGCTCGTCTTCAAGGAACTTTTCTTCATCCCCGAAAAGATTATCTGTGAAGACACCTCTGTTTGAAGGAACGCCTACAAGGCCAAGCGATGCGATGTTCGGCCTTTCTTTGTCTCTTTTCGAATGATTAGGGGAAGTTGAACGAGAAATCTCCAAAGAACCCCTCAAGGAATCAGTATCTTGGATCGACCTAGGGCCACTATCAGAGAAAAGCGAATCTCTGTCTGGCTCGGCATCCATAATATCGTTCAAGGCGGCTTGCATGGCGTCTACTATCTGACTGTTATCACCATTGGCTCTTGCGATATCCATTTCGGAGTCAAAGCTCTGTGTCGAGCGTGCGAGCGGATCGGTGTCATAGTCATCATCGAAAAGAGGTGCACGTCCGCCATCGTCCAAAGATCTCCGAGCAGGAGCAGCAACCTCAGCTGTCTTGACATTTTTGAGATCCGAGGATGATACTGCTGCTCTGCGAAGGTCCGGTCCTAGGAGTGTGCTTTTGGTAGATGAGGTACGAGAAAGATTTGGCGGTCTTGCAAGAGAAGCTGAGGATGCCGGAACAGTGACACTCCTTTCCGGTCCATTTAATGGACTCTTGGCAATGGAAGAAGCTTCATCGGACGCCAACCACTTGAAGAAGAGGTCGGATCTTTTGAACTTGGGGAAGTGACGCTCCTGCATGACATGATATACCGACGTCTGCACCTGCAAAACAGCGCGCCTTGCTGCCAGGTATTGTGAACTGGTAGCAGCCCTACCGGCATTCAGAAACTCGCTCACCATTCGCCGCGTTTCTCCTGGGACTGCCAGTTCCGGCTTTGTGATGTAAGCCTCATAAATCTGGGCTAGGTCGGCCCGCTCTGAGCTTCCCCAAGAATGCTTGAATCCGGCATCATCCTCTGGTTCATCCGTATCCTCTTCCAATGGGTTGCGAAAGCCATCTACCACAATCCAGAATTGGACAAGCCGCATAAGTCCTTGCCTGTCCATAAATTCCATGAAATACGAGAGACCCGAAGAGTCGTACAGCACTTGGCGCAAGTTGGCAGTCTCCACTCTAGAATCAGAGCGTATGAGGCTTCCTGGAGTTTGCGGTGCTGCTTTTTGCTTAGCTGCGCCTCCAGAGCTCAGGTGGGCAACTCTTTGGTCCAAAATCCGTTTGGCAGTCTCGAGGCGACGAAGGTACAATGGATCCTGCCCCTCTACCGCAGCATCTTTCTTGAGTTGACTTGCAATTTCGTTTCTGAATCGGCGGGCATCGGTGAGGGAATTGCATTGTCTCATAGAACGGATGAATCTCTCGAATCTGCGCTCACTGTCGTGAGGTGCTAATCGTGGGAATGTAGTCGTACTCGGTGAAGAAGGCGCGTGTTCGTCGAGTGCCGCCCGAAGTTTGCGGACCGTTTTCCTATCTTGCAGAAGTGTGCGCCCCTGCCGCGTATTAGTAAATGCATGGGCTGTAGATATACGAAATACCTACATAACCCTCCAGAAGCTGGTTCCACGTATCCGGATCGGAAAGCATTTGCATGACCGGAAATAGTACGGCGCAAGCAACAATCTCTTTTATCAAGGTATTTACGGCAGAGCTAGTCCTCATATTGCGGGGAAGCACTTGCGCCATCAACCGGGCTACAATGCTTCGCAAATGTTGTTGCTGCACGACCTTGGTGTTGGTATAAGTAAGTGAAGCCGCAGGATGCAGTTTGCCGTCCCGATATTTCCCAGCAATCGCCAGATCAAGCTCTTCTGACTCGGTCACGTCCCGCGACAACTTTCGTCCACGGACAATGCGCTCCGCCTCATAGAAGTCCCTCATATGAGCTGTTACTAAGGGCACGGCTCTGGCAATGACAATTTCCACCAGGTCGACAGCCAACAGCCTGTCCCGAATGTTGTCCAGAGCCGCCCGTATGGCTCGGTCCACTTCATTTATGAATGTCGGCCTCCCACTGATGCTGCCATACCAGCTTGCAACGAAGTCGCGTAACAGAAGGTCGAGAAGTCCGTCAAGGTGGTCGGATATGACGAATGAAGGGGGGTAAAGAGGTTCTCGCCGGTACAGCAACCTGTTGTTCAAAGAGTTGATTTCCTGCGACCATTTTGGCGCAGTGATAAATGCCAGACGCGGAGTTGTGCGCTTGTACCGCCTGAGATGGGAATCATGTCCACGAGAGGTTGAGAGGGCCAGGTAACCGAAGGCTGCTATGGAGACGGCGATGCCTGCGATGAAGGCGTGAGGGAAATATCGTAGTGACGGGAGCCAATTGGTGACGAAGCCCCATGCGACGAAGACCGCGACGCAAGCGAGAATCACATCCCTACGGGTGAGTTCCATAGTACGAGGAAATCCATGTGCTGGCGAGGCGGCATGTTGCGCATACGGAGCGCGCTGCCGGTCGTTCGGGAGATGATGTCCAAGTCAATCGTCACGCTCGCTTCAAGCCACCGAACGCAACGCCGAAGGTAAAGCCGACGGCCTCCAACATACTAGGTAGCATTGTCAAGGTATGTTTACGAAGTAGACTGTGCAATAGAACTCGATCACGAATTGTCATGCATGTTAAAGTCGCTTCTTTGGAAGGAATAACCCAATAGGTATAATTTAGCAGGAACAACAAGGCATCTGTGGGCACCGCGGCAAGCCTTTTTAGCCCCATATTCCTAGCACCATGCACATTTAATCACTGTCTGTCAGGAGCCATAGTGTCCATCAGCCGGGTTCATGTAGTTAGACATGAGACAGACAGAAGTCACGATATAATCAAAATCAGATTGGTGAAAATTGAATGCCTTGCTTAAATAGGTTTATTATACTAAGACTTACTATTCATCAAAACCTAAACAACTGTAATCATCAGCATACATATACGGTAAATGCTGGGTGTGATGAAGATAGATATTCGGGCGAAGGGTCAGTTCTCCAAGGTGATAATTGTTTCTTCAACGATGTATCTCAGGAAGAACACAGCGAAATTATTGGGCTCATCAGATGAAAGGGTAAAAAGGAAAACAAATTGTGATTAATAAACTTACAGATAGGCCATGTGCATACGAGCTACTGTCGGTAAACCTACAGTTGACACCGCAACGTATTAGCAAAAGCTCTACAGGCATTGTGTCGCGGGTATGTTTTGAAAAGCCATCATGGATCAGGCTAATTGCAGCGTTAGCAAACAGATGCTAGTGGATTGTTCAATGGGAACCACATACCTCATTAAATCAGAATTTTCAGTGTTGTACGTTCATATCAAAGCCGCCTTCGTTAGAGGCGGCCCGATCAAACAGTGTGAATAGTGATCATCATTTACGATGGCCTGCTTGGTGGAAGGGGAAGAAATGTTGAGCCATACCTAGGTAACAATGTTAGTCTTTCTACGCAAGATCGCTTTGAAACAGGTTCTTGAGGCATTTGCGGATCTGCTGACGAATTCTCAACAAGCATTTCTTCGGGATGACACCCGCAAGGGTTGTAAAGCCTTGTTGTGAAAGGTGCCACCCAAAGACTGCACAGTCTGTCCGCCCGTTCGTTCAAATCTTCTTCATGTATCGCGGGTATAGGGTAAAGCAGGAAGCATAGCATAGGCATACCTGCAAGTCATTTGTTAGCTCAGGTCTAGTGCTGCTAGTACGAGCGTGAAACGAGCAATGATAGCACAGGGTCAGACAAGGCTGAAACTTTAATAGACAAATTCGACACCATGTGTTCGGATTGAGGAATGCCTTTCCGTTGTCGGTTGATCATCATCCTGTATTGGGATCTGATGGGGGAAAAAAAAGAAAGTCTTCTGACGTACCTTAATGTTATGAGAAGCGTGACGGACTTGGCCCTGATGCCAAACTACGGGGAATATGCCTGTATGGTCATCCTCCGCACAATCCCTTCCAGGCACCGCTACCACGATGTAGATCGTCCTTGAATCATTCGGCCTAAGGGCACAACGTGGTAGAGTTCTCTGGAAGGTCATGGCGGGATACCGACGGTAGAGGCGCGAGTGCTACATTCTGTGTGGCCGTGTCAGTTAACTCGGTACCAGAAACGTGCGGATGTAAATGATGAGATACGCGATCATTCTAGTCAGAGTAATTCTAGAGTATGTTTGAATCCTTCATGACGCTATAGGTGTTGGATTGTTCATGGTAAAGATATCATCATTCAGGTGGCGCAAGAAAATAAGGTGCAGACTTACATCAAGGATGCGACAAAAGGTCCTGGGCTTGCCAACGAAGCCGGGCATGCGTGATGCGACTGGAGAGGAAAGTTGATTGTGCGAAACGAAGTTGAAATGGAAAACTTAAACGGCCGCGCTAAGCAAGAGCTCTGACCACCCATCCACTTTGTCCACGTGATAACAGGAACGTGCCCTGAACATCCTCGCTGGCATGTGCATAGCCAATACCTATCTTGCTTCTTTGCAGCGTTGATATATTCTAATCGTAAATCGTCATGAATTATCCTAAGCTACCACTGCCTTTATCTTCATTGCTTTCCATCAAGGTCCGCGAACAAGTTCCACCCAAAGTCCGCTGATGAATCGTTGAAGCGGAGCTTCTTGTCGATGCCATCGATCTTCTTCATGTCCTCATCGTCAAGCTTGAAGTCTCCTTGCAAGTTCTGTTCGATGCGCGCGTTCGTCTTGCTCTTCGGGATCACGGAGTGACCGCGAGTGACGCCCCAGGCAAGCGCTGCCTGCGCCCCGGTCTTTCCATGCTTCTTTCCAATTTCAACAAGGACAGGGTCATCCATCAGTTTGCCCAGTCCCTTTCCGTCACCATAAATCTCGTTCTGGTTGCCAAAGGGGCTGTAATGCGTTAGGTGAATGCCATTCTGCTTGTGAATATCGGCAAAGCTGCGCTGCTGCAGCCATGGGTGCATCTCAAGCTGATGGGCAGCAGGGACCTGGGAAATATATGAGCTTTAGCTTCGCTGGCTCTAAGTGATTGTACATACCACAGTCGTTTCCTTGAGTAACCGCTCCAGCTCCGCCTTGCTGAAGTTCGAAACGCTATGTTACGGTCAGTCAAATGCTTGTTCATGGAATGGCCTGGTGCGTGCGCATACCCAATGGCCTTTGCCTTTCCTGACTGGTAGCACTTTTCCATGGCCTTGTACGTATCAACGTAGTCCGTGTCGCCGGTTTTGATTTTTCCTAAAGTGCAAGTCAGCTTTCGAATCAGATTGAAATAATATAACACCTACCGTTACTGTCTTTCGGCATCAACTCATCTCCGCGTGCAAATGGAGATGGCCAATGCATAAGATAGAGGTCCACGTAGTCAAGACCCAGGTCTTTCAACGAAGCATCCAGCGCCTTCTCCACATCATCGGGGTGGTGACTGTTGTTCCAGAGTTTTGTGGTGATGAAGAGTTGGTCGCGCGGAATGCCAGACTTCTTAATGGCGCTTCCAACAGCGGGTTCGGTACCATAGCTGCAATAACCTGTTAACTGAATTATATTGTTTGCAAAGGGAGCGTTGGCTTCTTACATGCGCGCAGTATCAATGTGTCTGTAGCCAGCTTTCAAAGCGTGGGTGACAGCAGGCTCTTGGGCATCGGCATCCTGCCAAGTTCCAAATCCCAGGGCGGGTATCTCAGCCCCAGTGTTGAGCTTAAACGTGGTGGAGGTTGCCATTGTGTGTATTTAAATGTATGATTGAGAACAGGTAGAATTACAATGCAAGCTGGTTCGGGTTCAAAAGTGAAGAAAACTAGTAGAACGAATGCTGCCTCTTATAAGTTCTATGCGACTCAAAATGTGGGTTTCTGTGGCTCTGAATCACCATGAGGGACCAGCTCCCGCTCTTCCATGCCATGCGAAGATTGACCTATGACGTAAAAGTTACGATTATCGATCCTAGCCAGCTCTAACGAACAATTGGCAGTTTATTGTTGTTGTTCTTCATGGAGCTTGCCAAGCGATGCTTCGCACAGTGTCTCCCAGTATATATGTATCGGCATCTGGTTCTAGCTCACTTCGCAGGCTAGCTTCGAATGATTCGTTCATCTGTCGGGCTCAAAATTGACTTTTTGGATTGTAAACACGGCACGTCGTCACAGAGACCAATTAATAATGGGTCTGTTAGGGCTGAAGACTGTCAAAATATATGGGGAGGGATGCCAATCACCCCAATATTCCTACATTGGGGGCGGTTGTCAGGAGACATGAAGTAATCACCAAACACCAAGTTTGTTCTACTACCACGTGTATTGTACTACCCGTACCACGTAGAGACAACACTGTTCTGGCCCGCTATCATGCATGTAGTGAATCTAACTACACCACAAAGTGCCGCCCGCGCAAAAGCTACTAAATACACGTACCGCACCTACTTGGCCAGTCGACGACTTTCGCAGCGATCAGCAACAACATGTCTCAACCAATCGCAATGCGATTGGCTATTATATAGAATAGTCAACACACTCAGGTTGCTGGCACTTGCTGAAAACTACATTTAAGCGGTCGTACAGCCATGTCTTACCGGTTACTGTCGGCAGCACCATAGGAGTACCGTACGCCATGGCCGCCCCGAAGTTGACAGCTCAACTTTATCAGTTCGAGATTCGACAAGAGCGGAGGCTGCGTGAGAAAGGGGCAAGAATGCTCCGTACGTGATTAATTCGCAGGTTGTTGTTCAGTTGTCGACAAAGCCGCAGCGTTGGTAGCCAATGATCGCAGCAAACACTATATGAAACCAGCATCGGTGAAGCACGTACCGTCCAATCGCGGTCACATGATGCAGGATATGGCTTCATTTGAGCACGGTAGGGTCGGAGGGTGGCAGAGGGAGTTGGGAGTAGGTAGGTAGGCAACGCTCAAGGCTCGTATCTAATTATGCTTCATGTCGCCACTCACCCATCAAGTAAATTTGTAGGTCTCGGCAAAGCCTCGGGGCTAACTGATAGTGCCCCCGGATAACGCTAATGCCCTCCAGACCAAGGGACGGACGATCCTACACATCTCCGTCCGCTCTTTCCTTGCAAACGACTCTCAATTCCACTCCTGCGCGTCGTCGAATGATACCTACGACGGCCCGCGACCATGGCGACCGGTGCTGTACTAGTTGACAGGAAACATCTCCCTGTCGCAGATCTGTCCGCCACCGACGCCGCCGCGCGACCCTCCGCCGGACAGCAAGCCAAGCCCGCGGCGGAAGAACAGCATGATGAGACCGATGATGGATTGGATAATGCCTCGCTGTATGAGGACATCCTAGATGAGGTGGAGGCTTACGAATATGCCAGTGGTAATACTGTACTCTGCTGTTCTTTATATGCACGCTGATGGATCTAGGTCCCGATGTCTGTACTTATGAAGAAGCAAAAGGGTATAGAGACCGATTGCATGAAATAGGTGCTGGCCCTTTCATTTTTGAGACTGTAACCACTCGGAAGATCTCAGCCAAGAAGCTGTGTACCGCATTTGCCATTCGGCCTCCTCCCTTTCTGGAAGGGCAGCCGGATAGTGCATACTACCAGCTACTAGGCATCGCCATAGCACGCGAGCTTTCTAAGAGACGGCGTCTGTCCAAGTATAGCACGATTGAAGATGCTGCACACCTACTCAAGAAATCAAAGAATATCATGGTCATAACCGGCGCCGGTGTATGTACCCTTTCAATTATTTCTAATGCCATTTATACGACGGTGGCAGATACTGTGCACCTACAAGCAGTAAGGATAACAGCTAAGGGACTGTCAGATCTCGACCAGCCTTGGAATACCGGATTTCAGATCAAAAAACACCGGCTTCTACTCCAGACTTCAGGAAATGGGCTATTCGGAGCCAGAACAAGTTTTTGACATCCACAACTTTGACGAAGACCCGACGTAGGTATCGACTTTAGTACCAGGGCGGGCAATTTTAACAATTTTCAGGACATTTTACACCCTTGCGGGCGATATTCTGCCCGACTTGTACAACTGGACTCCGACTCATGAGTTTATACATTTGCTCCAGCAACATGACAAGCTCTTGACGAATTATACCCAAAACATTGACAATCTGGAAAGCCATGCCGGTATCGATCCAGAGAAACTAGTTCAGTGCCATGGTTCATGGGCAACAGCGACTTGTCGAAAATGCGGTTTCAAGATACCTGGTGAAGAAATATTTGAGAACATCAGACAACAGAAAGTGGCAGAGTGCAAGGAGTGCATACGTCAACTACAGATTCCGAGAACTGGCGCGAAGAGGAAACGCAGCTCAAACGGTTCCAACAAGAAACGTCGACAGAGTGATGATGATGATGACGATGACGGACAATATGATATACCTCAGCCAGGTGTCATGAAAGTAAGCACTTCATAATTCGCGATATCGAGGCATCTAACTAAATTCACCAGCCGGATATCACGTTCTTTGGAGAGGCTCTGCCAAAACGGTTTTTCAATCAACTCAGTGACCATGACAAAGATATCGTTGATCTGGTCATTGTTATCGGAACTTCCATGAAGGTGGCTCCAGTGTCTGAAGTACCTCAGATATTGCCCCCTAGTGTACCACAAATCTATATTTCCCGCGATGTAAGTCACATTTTCTTGGCGGATATATCTGTTTTGCTGATATCCTCCAGCCTGTCCGCCATATTGACTTCGACGTCAATCTTCTGGGCGATTGTGACGTAGTAGTAGCCGAGCTATGTCGTCTTGCGGGTTGGGATCTAAAGCATAAAATGCTTCCTGAAGGGCAGAAGGTCGACGTGCAAGCTGTGGAGTCGGGGATCGGGGAAAACCACACATGGAGGATTGTGCTCCGAAAAGATGAAGACAAACAGGTCGCATAATAGGATTAGCTAGTTGGTGCATTGGGCTCTTTGCTACGGGGCTAGCATAGCGATTGCTTCCCGGATTAACGGTGTATTGGTTTACTTTTACGGAGAAAGGAGGCGATCAAGGCGCGGAAATACGTAACTAAGACTTGCTTATACTAGATAGTAGTTTATTAAGAGTCTGATCCTAATAGTAGCGACTATACTATACTTTTATATTATAAGAATCAACTTTATTCCTATTAATATTAGATAACCTTAGTATAATTTCTACTATACCTATATAAGTTATAAAACCTAAGAGAGAAAAAATATATAAAAATAATATTATAAATTATCTTCTAAAATATTCTAATTATTTTATTATAAATACTATTATAATTTAGATAGTTTTCTTATTATTTTTATTAATTTAATAGAACGATAGAATAATAGTATACTTATAAAGCTATTAATATTTTCTAATATATATAAATTCTCTAAGAATAACTACTAATATCTTTTTAAAGTATATTTAGTAGTATATACTTAAAAATTTAGAAAAATATATATTATTATTTTTTATAATATACTATCTACTTTAATTTATATTATTAGCTTTTTACTAAGATTTATATAGCTTAATAATTATTTTTCTAAAATATTTTTTTTTTAAAAAAAAATAACAAATTTCTATATAGTAATAATAACTCTTCTTTAGAAAAAATAAATATATTATATAAATACTAAAAAGATTTTTTAGAAAAGGTTTAAATATATTCCTTAAAAAGATTTTTTAAAAAAGGTTTAAATATATTCTTAAAAAATATATGTTAAAAAAGCTAAAAATATTTTAGGAAAAATATTATATTATACTATAATAAATGAAAATTAATATAATAAAATATAATATAGTATAATATTAATTCTTTTTAAAAATTATAGCTTTTTCTAAAATTTACTTAGCTTTTTTTTTTCTTTTATAAAATTTATATCTTTTTCTAGGTATAACTTTTGTTTTAAATTGAAGTATAGCTATTTACTAAGGTATATATTTATTTTAGAGATAATATATATATCTTAGAATTTTTTTTTAAAAATATATATATCCTTTTTTTTAAAAGGAATAAATATACTTCGCTTTTTTTTAATATATATATATATATATATATATATTCTTCTTTTTTTTTGAATAAATTTTATATTTCTAATAATATATTTTACTTTTTTCTAAAATATATTCTTTTTCTTTAAACTATATTCCTCTTTTTAAGAATATATTCTTAAAAAAATTTATAATCTTAAAAAAAATATACACTTAAAAAAAAAGCGAAATATACTTTTAAAAAAAATAATAAATATCTGAATTTAACTTCTAAGGTATACATATATATTTTAAATTATTTCTCTAAGGTAAATATATATTCGAATTTAATTTCTAAGATATATATTATTTTTTATAATAAATTATTATAAAAATTGTAAAAAAATTTAAGATATATATATCGCCTATTTACTAAGATGTATATTTTTTTTTATATAATTTCTAAGATATACGTAGTATTTCTGAGATATATATATTAAAAAAGTCTCTATAAGATCTAGAACTTTTATATATTTCGCTTATAAATAAATATCTTATAGTATAATATAAAAAATATGTTTATCTTAGAAAAAATTTAAAAAATATATATATCTTAGAAATTTTATAAGAAAGCGTATAACTTAGAAATTAGTTTAAAAAATTATACATCTTAGTAATATCTTTTTAAAAAATATATATATTACTAAAAAGAATAAATATACTCTTAAAAAAGCCGAATATATTCTTAAAAAAAAGTTAAAATATACTCTTAAAAAGCGAATATATTTTAAGAAAAATCAAATATATATTTCTTAAAAAATATACTCCTAAAAAAGCAAAAATATACTCTTAATAAATTCTAAAAAATTATTAAATATTTTCTTAAAAAAATAACCAACTAAAACACCTAAACGCCTAAAAGTAGAACTATATAAAATTAATCTCTTCTTCTTCTTCCTATAACTATAACCTAAATATAAGCTAGGAAAGCGTTATAACTTAGGAATTAGGCTAATTCTCTATAGCCGAATTTTATCTCTTTATTCCCCTAAAATATAATCTTCTAAGATTAATTCTATACTAATTAAAAGTTTTCTAGCGTTACCTTTTAGCTAGGCGCCTATAGTAACTAGTTACTATTTCTTTTTATAGGCGTTTAGTAGGAAGTCGCCCTAGCTTTCTCTTTCTAGTACTATTCTTAGTTAGCTAGGTATCGTTATATTCTAGCTAATTAAATAGTACTAGAGAAAGAAATCTTTTAGGATAATAAATTACCCTATAAGGATTAATTTTCTAGCTAAGATTAATTAAATCTTTAGGATCTAATTCTAAAGTAGTAGCTAGAGCGTAAGTATATTAATAGGGGAGCTTATATTCTATATAATCTTTATAAGAGTATTCTTTTTTAAGAATATTTATAAGAAATTATAAATTTTCTTAAGAAATAAGCCTAATTTACTATTCTCTATTAGAAATAGAGATAATCTAGTATCGAGACTATTAAATAATTTAGTATATTTTCTTTAAAAAAAAAATCGAAAATAAGAGTATATTCTCTTAAAAAAAAAAAAGAAATAGGAGTATATTTTCTTTAAAAAAAAATATGAGTATAACTTCTAAAAAAAAAAGACTTACTATATATAATTTAATACTAAATTTTTACTAGGTATAATTAGTAAATCTTAAATTCATAGAAAGTACTATATAGATTCGATCTTACTATTTCTTTATATAATATAGCTAAATTCGATTTACTTTAAAAAGAATAGGTAGAGATCTTTCTATAGAGAATAGAGAATTAGCCGATTCTAAGATATTTAATATAAATTAGCTAAATTTACGATATTTCTTTAGTACCTAAATTCTTAACTAAGTATCTATAGGAATTTCGCGAATATAGTCTATAGCTAAAAAGTCGATTTGCGTAATTTATAAAAGAATTCTATTAAATTCTACGGCTATTTACCGAGATACACATTTTTCTTCCGCAAAATTTCCGAGATACACATAGTATTTCTAAGATACATAAATATATTTATCTCAGAGTTTTGTGCCATATATATAGTATTTTATTACCAAAAATGTGTATCACAGAAATATATTTTAAAAACATGTATATTTCAGAAATTAAATTCGAAAATATGTGTATCTCAGAAATATGCATTGAAAAATTATGTATCTTAGAAATATTTTTTAGAAAAAATATTCTTAAAAAAATCGAATATACTCTTAAAAAAACAAATATACCCTTAAGAAAAGCCAAATATATTCTTATAAAAATATATTCTTTTAAAGCGAATAAACTTCACAAATAATTTAAAAAAAAACCAATAAGTATTTATAGAAAATCGAAAATATTCCTAAAAACTATTTTTAAAAAAACGAATATATTCTAAATAAAAAAATATATATTGTGTTCTATTTAATTATTTTTTAAGAATATATTTAAAAAAAATTTAAAATTTATTAAGAGTATATTTCGATTTTTTTTTAAGAATATATTTTTTAAGAATATATTCTATTTCTTAAAAAATATATTCAATTTTTTTTAAAGGTATACTTAATTTTTATTTAGAATATATTCGGTTTTTTTTAAGAGTATATTTATTATTTGTAGCAATATATTTTTTTTTAAAAAAAAATTACCAAGATATAAAATTTTTTTTGAACTAATTTCTGAGATATACGCTTTTTTTCACTAAATCTCTAAGATATATATATTTTTCGGGTTTTTCTGAGATATATATACTTTTATATTATACTGTAATATATTTATTTATAAGCAAAATATATAAAAAAAAGTATATATCTTAGAGACTTTTTCGATATGTATACGGCTATTTACTGAGATACACATTTTATTTCGCAAAATTTCTGGGATACACATCTTGATTCTGAGATACACAAATATGTATATTTCAGAGTTTTGCGCTATATACACAGTATTTTACTACCAAAAATGTGTATCTCAGAAATGTATTTAAAAAACATGTGTATCTCAGAAAAAAAATTAAAAAATATGTGTATCTCAGAAATTTAGTGAAAAAAATTATGTATCTCAGAAATATATTTGAAAAAATATGTGTATCTCAGAAAAAATATTCGAGAAATATGTATATCTCAGAAATTAATTCGAAAAAATTGTGTATCTCAGTAATATTTTTTTTTTAAAAAAAAATATATTACTATAAATAATAAATATATTCTTAAAAAAAATTAAATTTATTCTTAAAAAAAATCGAATATACTTTTTTAAAAAATTAAATATATTTCTTTAAAAAAAACTAAAAATATTCTTTAAAAAAAATCGAATATACTTTTTTTTTAAAAAAAAAAAGAGAATATATTTATAAAAAAAATATTTTTAAAAAAGCGAATATACTATTAAAAAACTAAAAATACTTTAAAAAAATAAATATATTCTTAAAAAAATAAATATATTATAAATAGAAATATATATATATATTATAACTACGCTATTATTATCTAATTTAATTAAGTTTAGATTCTTAAAACTTAGAATTTATAAAAATATTTAGTTTAATCAGGATCTGTATTCTAGAACTTAAAAATGCGCGATTAATTTTATAGTTTAACTTTAATTAAAATTCTAAAACTTAGAACTAGACGCCTAATATTTAGTTTAATTAGTTAGATGCCTAATATTAGGATATAAATACTAGGACCTTTTTTTTTTTCTTATTTAAAAAATCGACTATAGGGCTATTTTCAACTTGAACCGAGTTTTTAACTAAAGATGAGGCAAGAAAACAGGCCTTATTCTACATCAACCAGCGAGGAGAATCATGGAAAACAAAACGCAGCGATTCAAAAATACGGCACTATATTTGCCGTAATCTAGCAGCAAATGGCTGCCTATTCGAGATATATATCTTAAAAAAGAAAGGTATGTTTTTTTTAAGAAGATATACTCCTATTTTTTTTTATAAGAAAATATACTCCCATTTTGATTTTTTTTAAGAGAATATACTAATATTTATTAGATCTTTTTGTTGTCAAACGGCTTGTAAATCATACATGCCCTTAATCTACCCACGAAAATTGGAGATATTCGAATTCAACTAAGTTTCTTGCTTGCCATAGCTAGGAATTTATTATAGATAACCCAGCAATTCGCCCACCACAAATTCGATCAAATGAGCGAATTTTATATGGAAAAAAGATTCCATATTAGGCAGCTTGGAGAGCTAAAGATTCGATTTCTTCGGGTATTTAGGGCGACCAAAAAGAAATGATTCAAAAAATTCAGGTACTATTTATTATTAAAAGTTTATTTTTATTTAAATATACTAACGATTTTTTAGCCTTTTTTGAAAAAACTCGAAGAACTATAAGGAAAAGGAGGAGGCCTTACTGAATTTAAAAGAAATTTAGAAACAAAAGAATTCCAGTAAGCTTTTAATATATACTTAAAAATATATCTCCTTTAAAAAAGTAAAATAGGAGTATATTCTCTTAAAAAAAAAGAAACAGGAGTATATTTTCTTAAAAAAAAAAGCGAAAATACTAATATATCTAATAAATAGGCATGCATTTGTTTCTCTAGACGTATTTTCAGAGGTAGCTATCTTGAATTTACGCGAGTATATTTCAATTGATGCTGCCCATATGAGAAATCAACCAGAAAACGCGTTTTGCCATTTATTAATGGCAACAACATTGGATCCTAATAACAATATTATTCCAATTTGTTTTGGAATCGCTATGGGTGCTGGAAATAAAGAAAATTGGGTTCATTTCCTTTAATTCCTGGAAAAGTCTCTTAGTTCTGCTAAAAAGCGAATTTTCTCCTACAGAAATCAACCAGTTATACTAAATTCTGGTAGAATTGCTATTATTTCAGATCGAGGAAAAGGACTAGTTCCTGCAGCAGCCGAAATTTGCCTAAATGCTCAGCATTATTTTTGCCAGCAGCATATTGCGGAAAATATTACTACTAGTTTTGGTAGTAAAATTGCTACCCTTTTTCGCAATGTAAGTTTTTTCTTTTTTTAAGAAAATATACTCAAAAGTTCGAGTTTTTTAAGAGTATAAATTTTTTGTTAAGAAAATATACTCAAAAATTCGAGTTTTTAAAGAGTATATATATATATTTTTAAGAAAATATACTCAAAAACTCGACTTTTTTAAGAGATATACTAATTAAAAAAAGCTTTGCTATAAAACCATCTAACGAGAATTTAATGAAATTCTTTCGCAAATTGCGCAAATCGACCTCTCAGCTGCAGACTATATTCGCGAAATTCCTGCAGATACTTGGTCAAGAATTCAGGCACCAAAGGAATATCCTAGATTTGGCCAATTTACGTCAAATATCTCAGAATCGGCCAATTCTCTATTCTCTACAGAGAGATCTCTACCTATTCTCCATACAATAAATCGAATTTGGTTATATTGTATAGAGAAATGGCAAGATCGAATCTATATAGTATTTTCTACAAATTCGAGATTTACTGATTATGCCTGGCAAAAATTCAGTATTGAATTACATGCAGTAAGTCTTGTTTTTTTTTTTAAAAAAAAAAGTTATACTCCTATTTTCGCTTTTTTTTTTTTTTAAAGAAAATATACTCCTGTTTCGATTTTTTTTTTTAAAGAAATATACTCCTATTTCTTTTTTTTTTAAAAGAAAATATACTAATTTATTTAATAGTCTCGACACTGGATTATCTCTATTTCTAATAGAGAACAGCAAATTGGGCTTGTTTCTTAAGAAAATTCGCAATTTCTTATAAATATTCTTGAAAAAGAATGTTCCTGTAAAGATTTTACAGAATATAGGCTCCCCTGTCGACATGCTTGCGCTCTAGCTACTACTTTAGGACTAGATCCTGAAGACTTAATCGATTTTAGCTAGAAAATCGATTCCTATAGGGCAATTTATTGCCCTGAAAGATTTCTTTCTCCAGTACTATTTGATTAGCTAGAATCTGACGATACGCAGCTAAATAAAAATAGTACTGGAAAGAGAAAGCCAGGGCGACCTCCTACTAAACGCCTACGAAAAGAAATAGTAGCTAGTCGCTATAATCGCCTAGCTAAAAGGCAACGCCAGGAAATGTTCAATCAGCATGGAATTGATCTTGAAAGATCGAATTTTAGGAGAGCAAGGAGACAAAATTCAAGTTCTTCTGAAATAGCTGAAGAAAATTCAGAAAGTTCAGAAGAATTTCAAGGTTTCTCTGAAAATTCGGCTGCAGAGAATCAGCCTAATTCTCTACAAAATTTGGCTGCAGAGAACCAACCTAACTCCCAAGTTACAACGCTTTCCCAGCTTGTATTTGGGTCACAGTCGCAGGAAGAAGAAGACGAGATTGATTTTATATAGTTCTACTTTTAGGCGTTTAGGTGTTCTATCTACTTATTTTTTCTTAAAAATATATTTCGTTTTTTAAAAATTATCTTTAGTTTTTTTTTAAGAGTATATTTAAGAATTTCTTAGAATTTCTTAAGAGTATATTTCTATTTTTTTTTAGAATATGTTAAGAGTATAATTCGATTTTTTTTAAGAGTATATTCGATTTTTTTAAGAGTATATTTATTATTTATAGTAGTATTTTTTTTTAAAAAAAAAATATTACTGAGATACACAATTTTTTCGAATTAATTTCTGAGATACACATATTTCTCGAATATATTTTCTGAGATACACATATTTTTTCAGATATATTTCTGAGATACACACTTTTTTTCACTAAATTTCTGAGATACACATATTTTTTAATTTGTTCTCTGAGATATACATGTTTTTTATAATATACTGTAATATATTTATCTGTAAGCGAAAATTATAAAAAAGTGTGTATCTCAGAGAGACTTTTTCGATATGTGTATCTCAGAAATACTATGTGTATCTCAGAAATTTTGCGAAAAAAAAAATGTGTATCTCAGTAAATAGCCGTGTATTTAAAGAAAATATATATTCTTAAAAAAAAAAGCGAAATATACTCTTGAAAAATATATTCTTAAAAAAGCGAAATATATTCTTAAAAAAAGCGAAATATATTTATAAAAAAAGCGAAATATATTTATAAAAAAATTAGAGATATTCCTATGAAAAAATAATTTCTAAGATACATATTTTTAAAATTTATTTCTAAAATACACCTATTTTTCGATGTTATTTCTGAGATACACATTTTTATAATATATTATAATATATCGAAATATATAGAAATATTTAAAAAAAAATATATCTCAGAGAGACTTTTTCGATATATATCTTAGAAATATTATATATATCTTAGAAATTATGCGATAAAAAATATATATCTTAGTAAATAGCCGAATATATTATATCTTATAAATAAAATTTAAATTTTTTATATATCTTAAGATTTTTTTTAGTAAATTTATTATTATTTTTTTTTTTAGAATTTATTTTTTTATTCTTTATTTTTTTTTTTTAAAAAAAAAAAAAATCTTCTTCCTTTTCTAAAAATATTTTTTACTTTTTTAAAGAATTTTTTTTAAAAAATATATTTTACTTTTTCCTGAAAAAAAAATTTACTTTTTCTAAAATATATTTTTCGGCTATTTACTAAGGTATATAATTTTTTTCGTATATTTTCTAATATATATATTTTTAATTTTTTTTTCTAAGATACACCTTTTTCGGTAATTATTTCTAAGATATATATATATATTTAAAATGTTTCTGAGATACACATTTTTGTAATAAATTACTATGTATATTGCGAAAAATCCTGAGATATACATATATATTTATCTTAGAAATAATATGTGTATCTAAGAAAATACTCGAAAAAATATGTATATGTCAGTAAATAGCCGATTACGAAATGTGTAAACTACTCTATCATGCCTCGTCTCTTTTATCCAAGATTAAAAAGTATAACCGCCCAATGCCATACGCAAAGGGTGTAAAGCAAGATATAAACGCAATAAAGTGCAACCAGGATATCTACCAAGACGTGCTTGATTAAGAACGAACCTCCATTAAGCCATTAAGCCATCATGACATGAACGCAGTACAAATATTATGATGCTGGCTTTGTCGGTGCAAAATTGCTCTTCTGACGGATCTTCTCACCATAAAGATAGAACACAACGGGAACGGGGACCAGAACTGCAGCCACACAACCGAGTAACGTTCCAGCCCATTGGACGCCCATTCCTTGAAACATGTAAGTCGCAAAAAGAGGGAAACCGGCACCACAAAGAGAGCGTAGGAATGTGTTTGCTGCGATGGCTGAGGCAGCAAACTGTAGTTCAGAGTTAGCATATCAACAAGTATTATAGGAAAAGGAGAGCAACATACCATCAAATACGCGTCAACAAGATAATTGAGTGCCTGCAGGAAGATAGACATTAAACCGAATCCTGAGCATAAACCCGACAGTGTGGGTACAATCCAGTGGATGTCTTTGGTGTATCCAGTCCAAGCGAACCAGAACAAACCGACTGAGAAAGATACACCGCCGATGATGACCTCCGGCAGCCGCCATTCGGGGATAGGGACGTTGTTGTTAGCGGCAAGCTTGCGCTGGTATTTCGGTTGGCGGATGACTATAAATGTACCAGCTAACAGCTGACCAATAATCATGCCGAAATAGGGTAGACCGCCAACACCAAGATTCATGCCGTGGATCTGTTGAAAGACTATGGGGTATGCCGTCAGGAAGAGATATCTAGCCGTTCCCCCGGAAAGTTAGCCGATCATCCCATGCAGTCTCTGCTTAGTGGCCTTACAAAATTCCGTAAACGAAGGACATATAGATGGAGAGAAGCAGAACAATGGGCTCAGTGAAAAGCATCTTCAGAGGGCGAGAAAAATTCTTTTCAAGGAGTTCGCGAAGGTCAACTTCGATTTCTTCCTGCTTAGCGTGGATGCCCCAGTTCTTGGTGCGGCGGCGGAGTTCTGAAGCCTTGCTAACCAGAATGACTGGCGGGTAAGTTTCGTTCAAGAATAGCAGGTTCAGCCCAAAACCGAGGAAGCCCATGAAAGCGACTAGAACAAAGCATAACGTCAACAATTCTATGGCCCCTCCATTTAAATCAATTAGGGAGGGAAGCCTTACCGATGTATTCCGTCCAGCGCCAGCCCAGATACGACATGGTGATAAAGCCTCCAGTGAAGGGTGCCAGAAGGGGACCCGTAAAGACGGTCATGGAAAAGACCGTGATGGCAATGCCTCTTGTCCTGTTATCAAACATATCGGAGAATACAGCCGCTACAACCGTAAGGGGACATGCGCCAAAGAATCCGCTCCAGAACCGAGAGATTAACACTGTTTGCAGATTTGCGGCGGTGGCACAGGCGATGAAAAAGATTGAGAAGCCAAAAGAAGAAATGACCAAAGGAAGACGTCGACCATAAAGCTCCGAGGCGGGCGCCCACAGAATTGGACCTGTAGCAAATCCCAAGACATAGAGTGAGACACCCAAGACGCCAACTTCTGTGCTGACCCCGTATTTGCTAGCAACTACCCTCGTTGCAGCGGAAAAAATGCTAGAGCCGAATGCAGCGGTCATTGTCGTATATCCCAGCATTGCAGCCGTCAGTAGCTTCTTTTTCAATGGCCAGTTTTGGGCATGAAGAGGATCGTCTATGCCATCAAATTCGACGACATACTCCTCCCGCTCTGGTAATGGTGGTGGATATGGTTTTCCGCCTCCAAAGTTCGGCAAAGGCTTGTTTGACTTCCTGGATTTAATGCTAGCGCCAACTGTAGCACTATGTTGGCTTCGCGCTGTCTGGATCCTGCTCAGAACGGTAGGGTTGGCGCGGTCAGCTTCGCCGACGTAGTCTCTTGCGGTCGGCACGCGTGACATGCCATTGTCTCCTTGAGCTATTGACGAATTGTCCGAGGAACTACTGGAACTTGAAGAGGCGGTGCGGGTGCGAGTAAGGGTGTCATGTTGGCCTGGAGCCTTGGTGGGACTCGCCCCATGCTCGGCCTTCTCGAGATCACGGTCGTTGTTGTCCATGATTGCGCAATGGAAGGGGAGAATGGGATCCAAGGATGGTGGTCAGAAAGAGGGAATTGAGGCAAGAGAAGTGTGATTTATATGGCGTGATGGACATTGAGCATTGGGGGCGATTGGCTTGATCGGCAGGCGTCCTAAGAGGCCTTGGCAGTGGGAAAGTTGATATCGATGGCGGGGCAGTCTGGCGGTGCCGGGGTGTTAAGGAGGTTCAAGCTCGAGGAGGAATGTCTCGAGATGGTTCGCGCGTCACGATGCCCGGCTTTGATAGCCGATGGCCTCGGCTGTCAAGGTCTCGACTTGCCGGAGGCCCCGTGCTTTTGCCCAATCCCTGCCACGCCATGCTGGCATTTTCTACGACAAGGTATTTGATACCTACCTACTTATGTAATAATCGCGGGCCGACCCGAGCCGATCTTCCTTCTAGGTTATACCGTTCGACGGCGTAAGCACATCACCCAGGAGCTCCCTCGGCTCCTTCGCCCCGTCTACCTCCGCTGCCAGGAATCGTCTGGCAATCGCCTCGGCTTCTGCTAATTCTTGCCTCTCGCTGTCCGGCATCATCGTACACGTCGCAATCAAGTCCTCTCCTCTCGCTGCAAGCAAAATGAGCTCTTCTGCTCTCTGCACAATCTCTGGCCCGATGCCATTTATCGCGGCACAGCAGCTTCCGAAACTGCTTGTGCTGCGACCCTCGCGAAGATTGTAAACGTACGTCAGCTGGTCCTCGAGCGCTGTAGCGGCCGGGTCCACGCGCACCTCCATGTGACCAAACTGAAGGGGCGATTTAGCTCGGAGACAATGGCTCTCAAATATCTCATGGAAATGCGTCACACCGAGCACCTTAGGGCTCCTGTCGCCGAGATTAAGTAAGTGTTCGAAAACGGCGCATACAAGACCGGCCCCATCGTTCGATTCTGTTCCCTTGCCAAATTCGTCGAGGAGAAGGAGGCTGCGTGGTGTGGCGAGGCTAAGAGCAAGGGAAACTTGTTGAAGATCAATCATGAAAGCACTTTGGATCCTCGAGACAGATTCACGCGTTGCAATGCGAGTGAGGATCTTGTCCGTGATACCGATTCTTGCGCTTTCAGCCGGGACGAAGCAGCCGACATGGGCCATATAGACAATTAGCGCCACCTGCTTTATGTAGACGCTTTTCCCCGAGTAGTTTGCCCCAGTCATGATTAACATACTTGATCCTTCCTTAGGATCGATGTCGGTATTCAAAGTCTCTTGCCTTGACGTAGGTGACGGCATTTCGCAATCTCGTGAATCATCGGTCTCGAACTGGATAGAGGACCCAACCAGGTGAGTATCGTTGGTGACATAAGAAGGTACTGTGAGTTCCTGTAGAGGGTGTCGGCCTTTTTGAATTTTGATAACATTCTCTGTCATGACGATTGGCTTGGTAAATCTGTACATCTTAGCGCCTTGAGCGAGTGCAAGCAAAGCATCTAATTCTGCACAGATATCCGAAGTCGAGGTAAGCAATTCTTCGTAATCCAGTATTGACTGCGCGAGGGCATGTATAATTTCAATTTCTCTGTCGCAAATCAGGCCGTGGAGGTCACCGAAATGATCATCCATTTCGCGCACATTTTCATTCTTGTAGTAAGCGACTTGCTCACTTGTGAACATCCGTTCCCAAGGGTCATCGGCCGAGCCTTCCCATACACCGCATTCAGTTTCGGTGTTATAAGGGACTGTGATTAAGAATCCAAGCTGAGGGAAGAATATTACGTTAAGCTCAGCGCTTATGGTCGTTGGGACTTGTTCTGCTATGTGACGTGCCACCTGGGAGAGCAAGTGCTCAATGCCATCGTATGTCCGCTTCATGTTGTCCAGTTGTTCATCGACGCCATTGAGAACGACTGTGCGGCGCTGTTCAGCAGACTGTTCAAAGTCAACCACTTCACTGATCTTTCTTCCCACTTGGGCCAAGCGGGGTCCCTCGAACTTCTCAAAGATTTTTCTGCTTATTGGAAGCTGATCGGTACGACTCAATTCTTGTAGGTCATCTTTGATCTTGAGTGCGTAGTAGGCAAAGTTTCTTAGGCTTATCCAAACGCCACCATTTGTGATGCCTGTTCTTGTGTTTGAACCTCCACTGATGCCTTTGCGAAGGTTGATCGTAACGAGCCGCATGTTTTTGACGGACCGCAAGTTCTTTACCAGGCTTGTCGTTACTGAAGCATTTTCCGGCTGAAGGAAGGCGGCCACAGCATCAAGACGCTGTGTGATAACTTCGAGGTTGAGACTCGGGCGGAGAAAATACTGCCGGAGGAGAAGCTTGCCTTGTGGAGTTCGGGCCAGATGGTGGAACAACCCATAAACAGAAAGACCTTCTTTGGACCCAGAATTTGATTTTGTGGGCCCTTGATTGTGAGAATGTGGGTGACACTCTGATTGCATGATTTGAAGAGAAAGCAATGTATCCATGTTTATAAACCTTAACTTCATTAGTCTGGCTTTCAAAATACGAAGATTTACTCACATATTTCCCGTCACAGTGAACATTTCTATTGCCGAAACGCGGAACATAGCTAACACGGCCTGGTCGCCGGGAAGATATGCAGTGGCTCTTCTTCGTTGAAGGTATGAAAGTACAGCACCAGCACAGCCTACCGTGATTCTGCTGTCAATATTGATCCAACCGGAAAGCTTTAGTAAATGTTCCTGTCTGCCACTGTTATCATCATCGGTGCCGGTATTATCTGCTGCGTGAACATCCCCGGGAATAGTAAATGTAATCTGCGGTCCTTGATCGGAGGCATTTCTGAGGTTGACGAGCTTGTTTTTCGCAGTTTCGTAGGAATATTCCGATGAAGGTCGCATTTCTAATATATACGGGAGAGCGAACTGATCATCTGAGTGAAGCAAATGGCTGTTAGCAACTTTGCAGGTTAGGAAGAAAGTCGATGCAACTCACATGCACCGTCAACTGATCCATACCGCCTTTGTTCAGGATCGAGCTTATCAAGGACAGTTTCATCAATCCTGGCTGGTACTAGTATCACTGTAGGGTCGACATAGAGTTTGACTGTCAATCAATCAGCCGAGTTCTTCAAGGTGGTAGGTAGGCTTGCCACTGACGTGCGTCGACCATGTCCGCTCCACCAAGCTTCATATCCTCCATGAAGTATAACTTCTCTTCACGCGCGACGTAGTATGAGCAACCTACCGTGCCGCGCTCCCTGAGATCCACCGCCATGATAACCTCATTCAAGGCGTCAAGATTGTCCGAATCGTCATCGTCTTCGGGTTGTGTAGAGTTGACAATCGAAATGGCATCATCAAGGTGTCTTTCAGAGGATGGCCTCTGTGGGGTTTGCCAGCGTGCTGTTTGGGAGAAAGGCGGCCTTCGTGATGGACCTGATGGTGATCCGGAGAACCGTACAGTTGAGTGAGAACTGGAAGCGTTGTTTTGATAGCTCCTAGGTGTCGCCACAGACCCATTTCTGCGACGTTTATAGGGAGGTTTGAATGGCATAATGCAAAGATTGGATATCGCTGAATTATCTGCACATGAGCGTCAAGTGTGCGTTGTTGATGGCGTTTGTTAGGTGGACCGGCAGGAGCTTCCGAGTTAGCGGACTACGATTGGGAAAGAGCACGTTGAAGCGTTAGATACAGAAATTGACGATACGAAACTAGCTAGTTCCGTTATCTTGAACTCCAACACCGCTACTGAGTAGAGCCTGATGCATTACTCACTCCGTGTTGTTTTCCGTACTTGTACACCTTGCCCTCCAAATCTGGCTGGATGAAGAACCAAGCAATGCTTATCAACCAGCTGAATACTATATCTATAAACCAGTTGTTCCTCGGGCTGCCTCCTAATGCGCCCACCCTCATTGCTTTGGCCAAAAGGTTAGTCGCAATTAGATAATAACCTTTCTCCAGCTCTCTCACAGCGACAGCAGCGGCCTCGTCTTCTGTCTGTGCCGGGTCACCCTCCTCTAAGATCTTAGTTATTGGATGCTTAGTCGTATTTTCTTGGACGTAACCAGGGCTGAGGATAGTGCCGGGACAAATGAGGTGTATCTTGATCTCAGGAGCCTGATGAGCACCAGCATGATGGCGGCTACCGTTGTACAATTGCACCTCCTGGCGCAACGAATCGGATAGACTGCGGAGAGCAGCTTTGGTAGGACCGTACGGAGCATAGCCTGCGAGGCCAACAAAAGCAGCACATGACGACGTCATAATAAAATGGCGCGGCAGCGAAGAGGCGGAAGTAGACTTCACCGTGGATGATTCAGCGCTCAACCAGGCTTTGAGCGTGGCCTGGGCGAGGAATGCCGCACTGAAGTAGTTGATGTCCATTTGTTGGCGTAGGACATCCACAGACGTTTCCAAAAACAGCTTGGGTATGGACATGCCGGCATTGGCCCAGACAACATCGGGGGGCTGATTGCCGTTCCATACAGTGACCTGCTCCAGAATACGAATGTTCTCCTCAGGCTTTGTCACATCCGCACTGATGTAGTGGAAGCGTTGGGTGGATCGAATAGCAGCTCCCTATTACAGTCAGCGGTCAGTGGTCATAAGCGACGATTATCAAAGGCGCAACGTTGCCGTACAGATATGTATTCCAGTGCCGCTTCAAGCTTCTTGGAGTCGCGCGCCACAATTACCACATTGGCGCCTTTCTGTGCTAGAAGCTTGGCCAATCCTCTGCCCATGCCCTGGGAGCCGCCGGTGATAACAACGGTCTGGAGATGGCTGTCAGTAGCTAGTTAGGCGGATACGGTGTCTGAGAGATTTACCCGGCCATCGACATTGAAATGGTTTTTTCTGCTGAAAAGGCCCATGATGTCTAAGCCTAAGACGACCAAGAAAACGGAGAAAGCAACGGATGCCCAAAACAGACCGAGAGCCATCTTCACGTGCTGTGTCGCAGGTCAACGTTGTGTGGGACAGCCTGATAGTTAGGAATGATGTGTTCACCGCCCAGCCTCTGGCCGGCAGAAAAAGGCCCTGACGCGATTTTGTTTAACGCGATGTCCGTCACCGCCAAGCGAGATTCACCGTTAAGCGAGGTAGAGAAGGGTACAAGCAGTCCTTCCGGAATACCCGTTGTCTAGTTATAAGCCTAACTCTTAGATATATAAGTAAAACAGTCTTAGAGTGTATACATACTACTAATATCGTAGCTAGATTTCCTTTCTACTCTATACAAGCGTTATTATCTCGTTGGACAGTAAACTTTACTTAATAACATCCGTCACCGCGAACCGAGATCTACTATATAGCGAGATAGAGGGCGATACAAGTAGTCCCTACGGAGTACTCCTTTCCTAGCTCCCAGCCTGAGTCCTAGGTATAGGTAAAAAGGTCTTAGAGCGTACAGAGCCTCTATATATCTTAACTAGGTATCTTCTACTCCGTACAAGCATTCCCATCTCGTAAGACGGCGGATCTCGCTTTACGGTGACGGAAGTTAGTGACGGACGTCACGTATTAGCTCTAGAATATAATAGAACATTTAAATTGAATAAGAAAATAGTAGTCTATAAAAATTCTTCTCGCCGGTCCAGGCAATCGTCTGACCTTATCCTTCCTTCTCAAGGTCGGAGGCTTGTTGATACATTTTGCTTTTACGGGATACTGCTCACTGTGAAGATATAAATAACAACGATCAGTGACAAAATGACAATAGGTTTTGACGAAGCTAACATTTTCATCGCGTTGGAGGAGGCTAGAGAGTACCATCAGTATTGTGTGAATGCCTGGAGTAGCACTTCGTAGTAGTAATTCGGTCAGGAACCAAATCCTTTTGCAGAACGTTGGCGATAGTGAGCAATGGCGGATGATCAGCTTGGCTTTGCGTGCCCGTGTGAAGTGCGGTCAAGACGGCCGGGCGCCCGCTCCCGCGTTCCCGCCCGCTCGCCCTGGCGCGAGTCACAAAAACGTCACAGGCTGACAACTACCTACGCCCGTGCAGACATCAATCCGATTGGACTTTGCATTGTTACACCGCAATGACAGCAGCAGCAACATTAGCGAAGACACCTCCCTCTCTTGTACACAAACCTTTCCATTGAACGCTCGCGGCATGACGATCCTCGATAGTGCTACTCTCCAGTCGTTTCTGGCTCTCTTCGTAGCCGTCGCGCTCATCCCACCGGCCATCTACCTCATCCATCGCGACTACTGCGACTTTCTGTCCCTTGGTGCAGGTGGTACTCCTCAGACACCGGTCGGCTACCTGAAGGTCAAATTTCTCGGACTGTTCGCTCTCCCAGACCCCTGCGTCCCTCATTTCCTCCCACATGAGCACTGCGGAAATGGCTACCTCACCTCTCTCCCGCAACGGACTGGCCGGCGCCCTCAAGCGAAGGGCATCGCTCCGCATCGACAGATGACACAACGCAGCCCCAAACACGTCCATGAGGTGTTTGCCGAAGCTTTACGCGATTTAGCTCGAGATCCAAGAAACCTGCTTGTTGAAGGAACTTCCTGCTTCGAAAAGCATGGCACTGGCCTGTTCAGCTTGCGGCCACGGACGCGCACCTGTCGAGGTGAAGTCTGCCACGTACATGGCAGCGACGGCAGTCTGCACATGACTTTATACCCGGCGGATGCGAAACTTGTAATCGAACGGGGATGGGGAGAGCGGCACCCTTTGGCACGCGGTGGCTGGTTAGCAAGGTTCGTGCCAAAACATTTTGTTATGGTTTACGCTCCGAGGAATGAGGAAGAGGTTGGAGTGGTGACGAGGATAGCTAGCGCGGCGGTGTGGTGGGTTTCCGGTATCACCGTACATAAAAACGGAACCAGGGATGACAGGTCGAGGTCGGATATTGATAACAAGGCGATCGATGTTGCTAGAGAGACGAGCGGGGAGGGGCATGGTTCGGCGGAGTTGGTCCACGACGGGTATTGTGTAGGCTGCGAACGCAAGCAGATGCCAGCTGTCATGCGGGACGTCTCATGAGGGCGCAAGGACATCCCGCAATTCAGCTATATCAATTGGACAACCTGAAGATATGAGTACGAAGCATTCGGTTTATTATAGCGGGCGCTGAAGAATGCGGTGCTAGACTTTTGGCCACTAGTAAGCTGTCATGGATGATTTAATCGTTTGTTTGGGAAACTGTCAGAACTGCTCCGTAAAGGCTGTGTCGAACAACCTCAAAACTGCCCTGCTACTCGAGTTTGCAGTCAGTACCATCTATACGGTAGGACCAATTCAAACGGCATCGCATACCCATCTACCAACCCACTCCTTAATCTTGGCCTTCACGCACCCAGTCAGCAAATTCCTTCCGCTTGCCCTGTTAAGCGTAAGCATTGGTTCCATTATCTTAAATGCGAATGTGAGCAACTCACCCTCCCATCCCAGAATCCCATTCTCTCTTCCGTCAACCAGGTGAAAGGGTTGCCACCAGGCGCTTCTCCAGTGGGAACCGCTCTTCCTTTCCCCTTGCGTCTCCTCGCCTCTTCCCTCTCGGCCTCTCCGGCCCACGCACTCCATACAATCGGCTTCAGCGGCGGGCTGCTCAGTACGATACCAGCTGCGACAAGCAACACGGAAATGAGCGTCTCAGCGACAATGTCAAGCGGGAGCTTGGGAACAGGAGAAGCGGTAGCGTTCGAAGGAGAAGAATACAGGGCAGAGTGCTCGTGGGCAGAATAGACGCTGTGCTTCGTAGTTAGCTGGCCGTAGGCTAGTAATTTTGCGGGGCGACAAACGCGTGAGTGAGGAAGACGAGGCCGACACCCGTCAACAGGCTTGAGAAAAAGGCCATGGTTGGCGACGGTGGGTGATGAGAAGTGGAGGCTCCGATGAACGCGTATGTTCAGTTCAAGGCAGGTCGCGCAACGCCAAGCCAGAGTGGTGACGGTAATGATTTGGCGCACGGCGCACCAGTTGCCAGCGGGGTATCAAATATCACGTAGAAAACGATAGCGATCAAGGAATGCGCGCACAACTGCGACTTCACATGCAGCAGTTTGCCATATTCATCTTTTTTATTGGCTTATCTATTTCACAAAGCGCTCGTAAGACATCAATCCATAATACCATGACCTTCCCAAAACCCATCATGGAAGAGGCATAGCGAAGGCAAAGAAAAAGACATGCTCGATGTCATTGCAGCTAGAGATCCAAAGGGGGATATTGAGTGAACACTCTAGCTTTACAGCTTCTGCATGGCAGCAATGTCGGTGGACTGGACGTGGTCCTCGTCCTCCTCGATCTGCGCCTGGAGCTCATCAAGAGAGACCTTCTCGTCCTCAACGACCAGGTTGATGAAGAGCTTCTTGATACCGAAACCAACGGGAACGAGCTTGGAAGCACCCCAGACGAGACCGTCCTTCTCGATGGCACGGACGTTCGCCTCGAGCTCCTCCATGTTAGTCTCATCATCTGAATAAATCGTTAGCACACATCTTATGCGGACCGCAACTTTTAGCTTGACATACCCCAGGGCTTGACATCCAAGCTGACGACCGACTTGGCGGCAGGCTTCGCCTTGCCGGCCTTCTTCTTGGCGTACTCGGCCAGACGCTCCTCCCTGATCCTCACGGCCTCAGCGTCCTCCTCCTCGTCGTCAGAGCCGAAGAGGTCGACATCGTCCTCATCCTCAGCCTTCTCGGGAGCGGCAGCAGGGTTGACCGTGAGGTCGCTGGACTCGGGGCCATAAGCGGTAGCGGCCTTGGACGGGTCACCAGGAAGGGTCTCGAACTCGGACTCGAAGGTGGCAATGTGCTTGTGCCAGCGGTAGGCGTGAGGGTACTTCTCAACGGCGGGAGCCTCCTTCAGCTGCTGGAAGACCTTGACATCGGCCTGGGAAGGGGCGTAGCTATAGCGTTGTCAGTGCTGGTTCGATAGAAAAAACCGATCAATGTGTGAAAACGCGTAAAAGGCAAAAAATAAATAAAACTCAGAGGTGCGCAAAGCGCTTGTTGTGTCCTCAAATGCGGGGTCTTAAGCCGCTCAGAAACACGGACCAATTTTTCTCATCACAGAGTAAAGCAAGGATAGCAGGGGACGAAATACTCACCCAACGATGTAGCTGCGAGTCTGAACCCAGCGGTCAAGCACTGGAAATATCAGTTAGCCAAAAGTCGCGAGACGAAATTTCTGTACGCGGTACATACGGGTGAGACCAGATTCGGAGACGAAGTCGGTGAAACCCATCTTGGAATTGTGTTGAGGTGGTGGGTATCAAGAGGAGTGCGAGAGAGGGAAGGAAGAGGAGGGGCAGGAAACGTTTTTCGAGGTGGTCGGGCCACTAGACCAGTGACTCAGGTCAAGCTAGTCGGACTGTATCGGCCCGGCCGTGGCGCAAGCCCGTGGCCCGCTGTGGCTGGTGGCTGATCGTCGTCGTCGGCCGACCTGCCGAGAGCTTCCATTGCACCTTCGAAGTGCCTCGAAGCTTCCGGCGCGTGGCGCGCCTAGCTGTTATATCTCGCGCCTCCCTGCTCGCCCATTGTCGCCATCGTCGAATTACAGCAATGTTACCGTCCAGAGCAAGACTCGCCGCAAGGCGCCTTTCCGCCCCGCTATGCGAGGCATCCATCTACCCTCGAGCTGCTCGACCACTAATCACCTTGCCTTCACGCGTTGCGCTGAACTTCCCAGCGCTTTCTCAATTTTCACCCCATCTCCCCGCCGTCCGGTACTATGCCAATGGCCGTCCACATCCTCCAGGCGGCACCCACCGCATGAACATGGGTGGCGGCGAAGAAAAGCCAGCTTTGGAAGAGTACGGAGTGGATCTTACCGCGAGAGCGAAAGACGGAAAACTCGATCCTGTCATCGGTAGAGATGCCGAGATCCACCGCACTATTCAAATTCTATCGCGGAGAACGAAAAACAACCCAGTACTCATCGGGGCCGCGGGTACGGGTAAGACGGCGATCCTTGAGGGCCTGGCACAGCGTATTGTCAAAGGCGACGTGCCGGAGTCGATCAAAGAGAAAAGAGTCGTCTCGCTAGACCTGGGACAGTTAATTGCGGGTGCGAAGTTTCGTGGAGACTTTGAGGAGCGGCTGAAGAAGGTGTTGAAGGAGGTGGAAGAGGCCCAGGGCCGAGTAATACTCTTCGTGGATGAGCTTCACACCCTCCTTGGCCTTGGAAAAGCGGAAGGTAGCATCGATGCGAGCAACCTCCTCAAACCTGCACTGTCACGGGGAGATCTTCAATGCTGCGGTGCAACAACACTCGCCGAGTACCGCATGATTGAAAAGGACGTCGCACTGGCTCGCAGGTTCCAACCGGTTCTCGTCGGTGAACCAACCGTGCCGGACACCATCTCCATTCTACGGGGTATCAAGGAAAGGTACGAAGTACACCACGGAGTTCGGATTACGGATGGTGCATTAGTTGCGGCCGCTACTTACAGTAACCGTTATATTACGGATCGCTTCCTTCCAGATAAGGCTATTGATCTGGTTGATGAAGCCGCCAGTGCGCTACGACTCCAACAGGAGAGTAAGCCGGACGCCATTCAGGAACTGGACCGCCAAATTATGACAATTCAGATTGAGCTGGAATCTCTACGCAAGGAAGACGATGTTGCAAGCAGAGAGCGGCGAGAGAAGTTGGAAGAGAGTCTTCGCAAAAAGCAAGAGGAGGTCGGAACACTAAACGGGAAGTGGGAGAATGAGCGTGCCGAGATTCAACAGATCAAGAACGTTAAGGAGAACCTGGAGAAAGCCAAAATTGAGCTCGAGCAAGTTCAGCGCGAGGGTAACTTTGCCAAAGCCAGCGAGCTACGCTACTCAACCATTCCATCGCTCGAGCAACGCCTGCCAAAAGATAGCACCGACAGTCCTGACAAATCCGCGGATAGCCTTCTTCACGACTCAGTCACTGCGGACGACATTGCCGGAGTGGTCAGCCGAACTACCGGCATTCCAGTCACCAAGCTCATGGCGGGCGAAGTGGAAAAGCTCATACATATGGAAGACACATTACGGGAATCCGTTAGGGGCCAAGACGAGGCCCTAACGGCCGTCGCCAATGCTGTTCGAATGCAGCGTGCGGGTCTTAGTGGAGAAAACCGCCCACTTGCTAGCTTCATGTTCCTTGGACCCACGGGTGTCGGTAAGACAGAGCTTTGTAAGAAGATGGCAAACTTCCTCTTTTCCACAGAGACTGCTGTCATCCGTTTCGACATGAGTGAATTCCAAGAGAAACACACGATTAGCAGGCTTATCGGAAGCCCCGCTGGCTACGTCGGTTATGAGGATGCGGGCCAACTTACGGAAGCAGTTCGACGGAAGCCTTATGCCGTTTTGCTTTTTGATGAATTCGAGAAGGCGCACCGCGACATCTCTGCTCTCCTTTTACAGGTTCTTGACGAGGGCTTCCTTACAGACTCGCAAGGCCATAAGATCGACTTCCGCAATACCATCATAGTGCTCACCTCCAACTTAGGCGCCGACATAATCGTAGGAGATGACGTCCTCCATACGCACCAGATCGACAAGAAGAGCGGAGAAATCAGCCCGGCCATTAAGAAAAGCGTTATGGATACGGTTGCACTAAACTACCCGCCTGAATTCCTCAATCGTATCGACGAATTCATTATCTTCCGGCGTCTGCCTCGGGATGCGCTCAGGGATATTGTCGATATCAGACTGAAAGAGCTACAGACGAGATTGGACGACAGGAGGATCAAGCTCAGAGTAGACGATAAAACCAAAGAATGGCTTTGCGAACGGGGCTATGACCCACGGTTTGGAGCAAGACCACTCAACCGGCTCATTTCCAAGGAAGTGGGCAATAGTCTTGCGGACAAGATCATCCGAGGAGAGCTCAGGAGCGGCAGCACGGCCCGGGTGGGCATTAAGGAGGACGGTAATGGTTTGTACGTCGAGACGGCCGAGATGTGAGGTGAGTGCAGAGAGAGAAATGTTCATGACATGATGATCTTAAACGTTTTGTACAAAATTGGGATTTATGTACAGGAAGTATGTAAATATATCATAGTTACCTATAATGCGAGAGCGAGAGGTGATCGTCTTGAGTGGTGCGGGATCGGGCCTTCTCCCCACAAATGGGGTCATCGGCTTTTGCCACGAGTCTGCGGGGTTTCAGGCGTCAGCAAAATCATCAGCCCTTTTGTTCGGACGGTGCTTAAACGACGCTCCATGGCCTCGCCCGGCTGATCTCTGCCTTGCCGTCCATTGAAGATCCCATGCCGGCCGCCCAGCAACCACCGGCTAAGCAGCAGCGAAAGGCGCCCAGACGGCATGTCACGACCGCCTGTCTGGCATGCCGCGAGTCCAAGATCAAGTGCGATGGCGCGCAGCCTAGCTGTGAAAAGTGCAAGGCCAAAGGCAAGGAGTGCAGGTATTCGCAAGACGAAGACAAAAGGAGGTGAGCCTTCTCCCGCCCCGCTCCGCGCCAAACGTCGTCTGACGCCTCCTCCCAAAGGGTCTCACTGCGCAATGCCATTGAGATACTCTCGGCACGCGTCGACCAGCTAAGTCACCACGTCCTCGCCCATGGCCTGCAACTTCCCCCAATGGAGCCTGCCCAGGCCGCTCAGCTGGTCCGCATCCTCGACGTCCTCCGCCTCCCGCAGAGCGCCATGCGCCGCGCTTCTTCGGCCGACGCGCTAAATCCGCCCCCAGACCCTGGTACCTCCCTGGATTTTGCTCCCGCTGGCTTCGACTGGAATTTGCTTGACCCGCAGACCTGGCCTGTCTCGTATGCCGCTAACCAGTCCTTCAATCCTGTCATCGAGCCCCCACCCGTTCCAAGAGCGTCACTTTCCGAGCCTGTCGTCCCACCGCCGCAGCACCACCTGGCTTCACCCTCTCAAAGCCTGCCGCAACCTGCGACTGGGCAGAATACGCCGCAAGATGCTGCAGACAACAGCGATGACGAAAGCGAAGATGAACTGATCAAGCAGATCTCCGTCCGAATGGGCTCTCTACAACTTGCCCCGGATGGACATTTACGTTACTATGGCCCAACGTCGTCTCTTGCCCTCCTACGAGACTTTCCAGACACGGACCATCATGGAGTCAACCGATCTGTCCGTTCCCGTGGACAAGCAGCCTTGGAGGCCGCAGGAGTAGGGCAATCCGTTGACCGTGCCATAGAAGAGCATTTAATAGGCCTCTACTTTGCTTGGCAGGATCCGTTCTTTCACGTGGTGGATGAAGTTATGTATCGGATTGGAAAAGAAGAGTGGCGTGTTCAGAAGCAGGATGTTGCATATTACTCAGAGGTACTCACAAACGCAATGTGCGCCGCCGGCGCTGCGTTCGATGGTCGCTATCACCCGAACTTCGTTACCTGGCCAAAGTCTTTGGGCGAGTTCTTCGCGGACCGGGCCAAAGCCCTGCTCGAGCTTGAAATGGACAGCCCGTGTATAGCAACAGTACAGGCTTTGGTCATCCTAGGCGGCCACGAGATGGCCTGTAAAAGAGATGCTCGCGGATGGTTGTACAGTGGCATGGCTATGCGATTGGCCTTCGACCTGGGGCTCCATCTGGATATGACCTCGTACATAGAAAAGGGGAAGATGAGCTCTTCTGAAGCCGAACTGCGTCGCACAACTTTCTGGGGAACCTATGTTGTGGACCACCTCTCTGGATTTTACTATGGCCGACCTGTCAGGATCAACAATGGCGAGATATCAGTCAGCAAGCCTGCCTCTGACCTCACATCCTGCATGATCAATCCATGGGTAGCTTACGGCTCTCAAAACGCGCTAGCATCAGACCCTTCTCTGAGCTTCCAAGTGCCCGTGGAAATTGTGACTCGACAGTCCGTTGAGTTGTGCGAGATCATGGAGCCGCTTGGTCACGTCCTTTATGGTGTCTCCGATATTTCCAAAAAAGACCTTCAGGAACTCTCCTTTCGTGTTACCAACCAAATGTTTAACTGGAAGGCCAGCCTGCCACCACTTCTCCAGGTCGATCACCATGACACTACCACGGCCTATCTTCCACACGTACTTCTCCTCCACATGTCCTACCATCAATTTATGATCTACATTCACCGGCCATACGTTTCCAAGACTTACATCCAGCCCTCACCTCCCCAGGGCCCAGGTCATGTGCACGCTCAGCAGATGTGCATCGAATCGTCCATCGCGGTTGCAGAGCTTCTTCGCCTCTACGAAATTCGGTACACCTTCCGTCGTATGAACATCCAAGCTGTTAGCATAATCTTCACGACCTCTCTTATCCTAATATTTATCATTTGCTCGAAACGCGGGCTCAGCCACTTCAGCAATTCGAACAATCTCACGGGCGGTACTAGTGCCGATGGAGCAAATGATGCAGCGTCACACCTTAGCGTATGTTTCAGGGCGCTAGAGGACTTGACGCAGAGCTACGACTCGGCAAGGCGGACAAGAGAGTTCCTTGTAGCTCTGCAACGCAGGTGGGAGAACCAGAGCCGCGGCTGGAATTCAGCAGGAAAACGGTTGCCCAAAGACAGAGATAGGCCACAGCCGGCAGTGCAGCAAGACCAGAAGAGGCCACGGGCAAGCACGTACGCAGTGGGCACTGGTCCCTTGGCCGCAAACCCAACCGCCAATCGACCAGCAGCCACAGCTGCGGGAGGCTCGGGTGCCGGTACCGGAGAGTTTGAGCTTGATTGGGGAACCTTTGCATCGGCGCGCGGAGGAGCAGATGCACAAAACGCAAGCCCGGATTCATTGGGCGATGACTTGCTGGCTCAACTATGTTCGATTGGGCCAGCAGGTGCGCCGTTCTCTTGATGTAAAGCGTCTCCCCACCACTCGGTTCTCAACCGTACCGTCGTTGCCAGGAAGCACCATTGCTTCCAGCATGTGCAACTGCTGCCCCTGCTCTGCCTTTGGCATATCATTGGCAACATTTGAGTAATTCCTGGGGAGTATCTCACCTCTGAATATGGGGGATGAAGAAGCAAAGTTGACGCAGAGCTGTAATTGCATATCCAGTACTTGGTTGCTCTCATGGCCATATTTCAGGACTGTTTAGCCATGCTAAATGTCCAGTCTCCGCTTTTGGTTTCCGATACCAACTTACTAAGTGTACTTTGCTAGTAGGTTGTCGTCTATCTAGATGTTGACCTTTACTTCGGTCTACTACTTTACGAACCTTCTCTAGATCTTGGAAGGCTGTTTGGCGTTATACCCTTGGTTTTTAATGAGTTTTCGTGTTAAATTAGAACTTTGTGATAATTTACTTACCACTTTGAAAAAATCTACTACTGATTTGCTTCCTCGTCTTGCTTGTCTGTGCCGCTTTAAGTAGAGGGCCATTTGAAATATCTGGTTCGGTTCTTGCTGTGAAAAACAGTCAGGACTTAGATTAGGCTTGTTTGGGAAATCGACTCTCACGTCCAAGCAGAAACGGCTGGCCAAAAGCAGCACGGCTTAGAAAATTCATGCCATTTATAAGGCATTTATTCACCATAAACTTTGCACAGCAGAGCTTATGCGAGGCAGCAGGGCAACAGATCTAGGTATTTTTGAGTCTATACAAAGGTCTTAACATAAAACAAAGCATTTAAAGCTTGAGCAGGCCCTTGTCCTGCAGGTATTTAACGATGAGGGCAACGGCATCCTCAACGCTAGTCTTCGCGCTCTCGATCTTGATCTCCGGGGTCTCAGGCTCCTCGTAGGGGGCGGAGATGCCGGTGAACTCGGGGATGATGCCGGCGCGGGCCTTCTTGTAGAGGCCCTTGGGGTCGCGCTTCTCGGCCTCCTCGACGGGGATCTGGACGTAGACCTCGATGAACTGGAGGGGCGTGTCGCCCTCCTGGGTCTGGGCGTGCAGGTCGCGGGCGGCCTGGCGGTCGGCCTTGTAGGGGGAGATGAAAGAGGTGATGGCGACGGTGGAGGAGTCGGCGAAGAGCTTGGCGACCTGTAGCAATGATTAGCTAGTGCGTGCGATAGGCGACAGGGCAGCAATGGGGTCTGCAGACGTACCTCAGCTATGCGGCGGATGTTCTCAGTCCGGTCCTTCTCGGAGAAGCCAAGGTCCTTGTTCAGGCCGAAGCGCACATTGTCGCCGTCGAGGCGGTAGGCCGCGACGCCCAGGTGCAGCAGGTGCTGCTCGAGGGCCGTGGCGATGGTCGACTTGCCTGACGCGGACAGACCGGTGAACCACAGCGTGAAGCCCTGCTGCTTGCGGTATTCGCTGCGCTCCTTACGGGTGAGACCCGCGTGCCAGGTGATGTTGCTGCGCGGCGGCGGAAGCGGTTAGCGACATATGTGGGCAATTGGCGGGGTAGAGGGGTAGAGGAAGCACATACGTAGCCATTGTGTCGGACGGGGAAGGAAAGAAGACTATTGGGACGCGGATACGGGAATGTGGGGTGATGATAAAGACAAGGAGGGAGGAATTGGAGAAAACACAGCGGCTACGATGACGGGATGGAGCTTTTATTAGCGTTGACGTGCTCCAGCCTCAACGCGTGGCCTTCATAGGGCTGAAACGCCGCCATCGTCAATCACCACCACAAACATGCACACCTGGTCAAACAAAAACCTGTCATTCTTCAGAGGTATCATCAAAAGAACTTGACATCTACGAGTCGCCCGCTCAGAGGAACCCAAGAAGTATACCAGAAAGAGCAAGGTACCACCGACTACCCCACACGGCCGCCGAGCCTTCAAACGGAGTCGCGGTTGGGCTGCTGTGCGCAGCGGAGGTCTGAGATTGGCTTGCAGTGCCAGTTCCAGTCACACTGGTTCCTGCGCTAGATCCTGTGTCCGATGATGCCACAGGTGCAGTGGTCTCCTCCGGCGGGGGAGCGGCCGCCGTACTTTCGACTACAGCCGTCGTGCTCGCAACCTGGGCCGTCGTAGTCTCGGCGACGGAAGCAACCGACGTTTCTGCGGCACTGGTCATCACTGTGGTGCTCCAACCCGCCGTGCCACCCGCACCCGCACCCGTCGATGCAGCGATTGTGGATAGGGCCGAGCCGAATATGGTCGTCGATCCAGGACAGACTGTAGCCGTCTCGATGACAAAGATGGTTGTACCGTCCGCATCGGTCGTCGTCCTTGTCATGCTAGTGACATAGGTGGTGACAGCCGTGGCCGTCTGTGTGATGGAGGCGCCGCCAGAGCCGCCAGCAGAGAAGCCGGCAGAGAAACCCGCGGACGCACCAATAGAGGCACCAGCGGAGGCGCCGATGGAAGCACCGATTTCAAGGGTTGCCGTTGCCGCCGCCGATGCGCTGCTGATGCAAGTCCCAGAGATAGGTTGGCCCATGATTGCGCATGCGGTCTCGAGAGGCGAGATCAAAAGAGAGGCGTCGAAATGGCTGTCGCAGTTCTTTCGAGCGCAGTTGACGACATTGGTAAGGAAGTCCCCATTGCTAGCTTGGCACAGGCCTGGATGACATTAGTAAGTGTACTATGGTAAGGCAGGTGTAATGTCTTACAAGAGATATCCCAGAAGTCGCAGCTTGCTTTCTGGCTGCTGATGCAGTTCGACCAACATTTCGGAAGCACATCCCAGCCCTGGACGTCGAATGAACCGTCAATATCCAGGCCAGCTGAGATATCTGTTCCGTAGGTCCCGAAAGTGCCGAAGGCAGTCGAGATAAAAAGCGTCAAGGCGTAACCGCTGAGTCGGATCATGGCGAATAAGTAGGTATAATGCTTTCCGGACAAGAAAGAGAATGAACGACAAGGAAGATAGGAAACCTCTGGCTTAAAAGAAGGACATAAACGCAATCCAAAACATCTCACACCAAGTAGACATTGCCTTTAAATACATGTTTAAGCGCTTGGTTATCCCTCGTCCATCTGGTGCGTTGATCGTCTCACGAAACCAGAGATGCTTGTGCACCGCCTCGCACAGCCCCCTCCCCGCGACCACCAGCGCAAGGCGCCGCTGCGGCCCCGGCGGGTTGCTTAGCAGGAGCTTAAATCTGTTTCATCTGGCTTGATTCTCGTCGAACCATCAGCCTCTTCTGCTTTCGCCTTACTATCACTCTCGGGCGGCAAGGGTGGCACTTGTTCTCATTGGACGCTTTGGCAGGGCGTCGCCACTCCACCGAGGTCCACTAACCTTATCCCAAAAAGGAAGGAATATAGGCAAGGGCAGATAGACAATGTGAACAGCGATGCGGTAAAAAAAAAAAAAAACCACGAAATGATGCGGTGGCAGTAGGACAAGAGCACGATGCGATGGCGGGTTCATCTCGCCATTAGCATTGGGACTATACAATACCTGCAGGACCAAAGGCGCGTAGCATCGCATCGGCAAGGGTACCTATAAGGCAATCAAACACTACGCTAACCCCAAATAGGCATCTCTCAGGAAGGCCTAATCTCCATGATGTGCGCTCCACTGCAGACAACTCATGGCCGGTGTCGTTTGCCCAATCGCACTGATATCCATCACGACATCCGAAATGAGTGTACTGCAGAGGATGAAACCGTGAACCTCTAGCGGCGTGATGGGCCAGCAATACCCAACTTGAATATTCTGTCGTGAGACAACATAGCAGATGAACCAGTACCTGATATTCGACCGCTCTAACGCTTCTAATTATGTTTCGAAGTCCTGCTTCGTGCCTTCCAATGCTGCTCCGAGAAACAGCTCACCAACTCTGAAGAACAAATTCCCCTTTTCCGTTATCCCAAAGCCAATATTCGCTCAAAACAATCCAACGCGCCGTCGATGCTATCGTGTACACATTCACTCGTTACCTGCCTTCGTCCCCTTCATGGCAGCACCCCCGACTTTCTCCATTTCTTTTCCTTTGCTCGATTTTTTGATCACCCCTAATGTCACCAGCCTATCCCAGCACTTGTCTTTCGACAACGCGTCCTTGCGGCTGAACTCCAGCCCGTCTAATTGCTGTAACCCTTTGCAGCTGTGCCCGAGCAGCAACTCGTATACTCTCCTTCTCATCTTAGTGTCTTCGTCCAACCTCGACATGTACTGCACGTCTTTGGTCTTGACTGCATTTGGCAGAGCGTTCGGCTCCTGACCTTCCAAATCGTTGTCGTCAAATTCCTGGGATCGCGCAGTCACCGCAGTGACCTTGGATAGCGGTGGGTAGAACCCTACGCTGAAAGGGTTGTCTCTCAAGTCGATACGCGAAAGCGAAGCCACCTTGGCAAGGACCAACAAATTGCGCCGAAGCCGTGCCAATCTGTTGCCTGCAAGCAGCAAGGCATCAAGCTTCTTAACGTTGAGAACCGGGCGTAAGTCCTTCAGAGCATTGAAATTGAGATTAAGGTAGCGCACGTTTGGCGCGAGTTGACCGAACTTCTCCGGAAGGGTTTGCAAACCGCATGATGCAAGCTCCAGACAATGAAGATTGAGGAATGAATGCGGAAGGGTGAATGTAGTAATAGTGTTGGAGGATAAGTAGAGCTCGTGAATGTCAGCGTTTGCGAGGAAAGATGAAACATCGAAGGGGCCTTGAATCCGCTGGTCTCTGGCAGAGAGTGCTCGAAGACTGTGCAGACCCCCAATGCCAGAAATTGATGAGAGACAATTCGAGTCGAGATCCAGTGAGACCAGTGCAGGAAAATGGCGGAGGTCGACGCTCTCTAACCTGTTCTGACGCAGAGAGAGCTTCTGAATTTTTGACACTCGGAGAGATATGGTACTCTGCGAGGGAAACCGGGCTAGCTCATTTTCATCCAAGTTTAGACGCTGTAGTGATGGCAGAGACGACAGGTTGCGCACACTAGCAACCTCGTTTGCAGAGAGATCGAGATCCGTAAGCCGGTCCCTATTCAAGTTAGTATTGCTCCAATCTTCAACATCGCTGGGAAAACCTACAGTTCAGCGCCCTCGAAGTCCGCTTTTCTGATCCTGTTATTCTTGAGACTCAACTTAATAAGTCCGTCCAGACCTAATAGACCCTCCAGACCCTCTATCTGATTGTTGTCCGCCCTGAGTTCTCTGAGATGTATGAGCCCTGAAAATCCCTTCAAGCTCTCAATCTGGTTTCCGCTGATGTCCAAGTATTGGAGGTTCATCAAATGGCCCCAGGCGGTCAGGCTCGTCAAGCAATTACCGCTAACGTTCAACCTCCTGATGGATGGCGGCGCTCCTGCCAGTTGCGCAATATGATTGTCACTGACGTCCAGCTCCTGGAGGCGGTAGCACATCTCATCGAGCCTATGGAGCGTTGGCAGTCCTTTGTCCTTTAATTCAACTTTCCGCATATCTTCCCAGAACGGCTCCCGAGATCGGACGTCTTGCAATGCCTTGACGAGCTCCATAGTGCCGTTACCAAATCGGTCTTCATTGCCGTTGATGATCGAGTTACCGCCAACATGACGCTTAACAAGAGTGCGGTTGGGAAGCTCGCGCTCATCAACTTGGTTTACTGTGAAGTCTGGGAGCTCTGAAAGCATGAAAGTGACGTCTGCATAAGCATATTGGCTGGGAGATGCAGGCGCCGCACCCTGGGATACAGGCCCAAGGCTAACGCGGAATGCCCTGCGAGATTGTTCCGATTGATGTTGGACAACAGAAAGTTCAGTGTGGCCTTCGGCTTGTAACGGGGTAAATTGGCGGCTGGAGTTTGCAGAAGGTTGAAAATTTTGGTTGTTAGCTGAGTGAGAATGGCTGGGCGGGCCTCGCTTGAGAGTACTGGCGTCAGAGGGTTCATGTGGGTTGAACTGCGATTGATCTTCCATGCCGGGTTCGATGACAGGGTAGTTCATAGCATCTTCGGCACTGCTATAGCTCTGACGTGCAGTAGCAGTCGGTCGAGGGTTGCGAGAAGAAGCAAAGGTATGGTCAACATTTATACGTCCCTGTGTACTGGGAGTAGGCTGACTAGCACTGCGGCCTTCGGAAATGCCGTACTCATATTCCACAGCTGGTGAGGACGGAATCTCAGGTATGGTCTCCGGTTGAAGAAATAACCTGGGTTTGATATGGTCCGCGCACTTCTCGCTATAGGACGTCGCTCGAGTCTCAGTTTCGCTGTCGCTCGAAGAGAAGTTGGTTGAGAATTTGGACGGAGCGGTAGTACTACTCCTAGGGTCGGGCAGAGGAGGCTCTGCTTCGTCCCGCGTTCTGGGTCTAGTAGTGTGGGCCGATTCGTCCGATGGAGCTACTACGGATATCGTCGGACCTCCGCGCTTGGAGTTGGTGGTAGAAGCAGTTGAGAACCATTCATCACGGTAGGACCTCTTTGGTGGAGATGGAGATGGCGGGTATTGGCTCATGCGCTTGAGCTCTTCGACTTCGTCGATTGTCAGATCTGGGATACCCCTCAAGGGATCATCCTCGCTGTTGGTCATATTGCTGATATCAGTCGCAGCCGCTGCGCCATTTCGTGCGTTTCTTCTCTTCACCCAGATGCCCTTTTCACGATCAAAACTCATACCCGCAATCTCTTGAGGAATGAGATGCGCCACGGCCTCGGGGGCCAAGGTAGCAACGTTGTCAGACCGTCGCGAAAAAGTGGTATAGTTGGTCCTTCCCATTGAAGAAGCCATCGTGGAAGGTCGTGATTCATACATGTCGTCTGCAGGGGCTGAACGTCTGGAAATCGAACGTCCGACAGAGTGTCCATGATTCCGGTTCCGGTTTGTGAGCTTGTTGGTGAGGATGCGGATGTTTTCGGTTTGATCGTCAGAGAAGTCTGAGGAGTCTTCATCGTGACCTTCCACATGGGGCATTTTGAATGACCGCAAGCTAGTTGGAGTGTAGTCTTCTTCATCCTTTTCTCTGTATTTGCGTAGATGGCTGACTACTCGTTGGTCATGGCTTCGAGCCGCTGGATTTCTCCAGCCACTCCTAGCGCCATCACTACGACTTGGCGGTCTCGAAAAGGTAAACTGCGACGATGGTATACCAGGGGTGAACGGCGACCTGTACCGGGTCGGCGTGCCCGGCGGGCTTGACTCAGTCAGACTCTCCAAAGCGCTATTAGGTCGCCCTTTGGCGCGTATATGATCCATAATTAGCCGAGCTTCATCCAAGAAGTCTTGCGTTGTAACCGAGCGCTTCCGCTCCTCATCTCTCATCCCCTTATTTAATCTGATGCTGAAAGCAGCAATCTCGCCAGCAATAGCTCTTTCGTTTTCGCCGTCTGTAGAGATGTCGCGGGATGTTGGGCTTTCAAGGTGTTCTTGAATAGCATGCAATCTTGGTGTACTCATCAGATACGCGTCAGTGGCATCCAGTATATCAGCTTGAATCTGCTCGCGTCTGCGTTGACTTGGCGTTGGATTCCGAGGGCGAAGTATGGTCCTGCGAGCAAGCACGTCTGGTTCTGCGGTGTGCTTTAAGTTTTCTTCGCGAACACGTGTACGTTTTTTGCTGGGGTCGGTTTCTACAGTCGCGGGGGAAGATGGTGTAAGCTGCGGAATGGGCTCCGAATAAGCCATCAAATCGCTGGAGAGCAAGGTCCGACGCCTTTTCGGTGTCGGATTCTTGAAGGGCGACGTTGGTGGTCGCTTCCCTTCAGACACTTCTGTGACGTTCAGAAGGTCAAGCTGCCCCTTCTTAGCGGAGTCACTGTTCCTGGAGCCAACCCTAGGGGATTTCGGGATCTTGATCGAGTTCTTGTTGGAGAGAGTGGTTGTCCAGCTTTTCACAGACTGTCGTGAAAGTTTCCTTTTCATACGCGTAGTAGTGTTTTGCTCTCCGTCGTCGACACTGAACATAAACTTTGGCGGAGTTCCTTTAGAAGAAGTCCGAGAAGGCGGACCTTGATGGCCCGAGTCTTGTTCATAAGCGTCCCTCGATGATGGAAATGAAAACTCATCATCCGGGAAGGGATACTCATTAAGGTCGCCTTGGCCAAAGTAGCTAGCCGCAGATTCTCGTATGGGTTCATGGATCTCAGGAATCAGGTTGGCCGCGGCATCGTTCTTTTGAAAACTTGCTTCCTCTACGGAAGGGAGTCGCGACTGGCCTTCAATGTTTCGTTTGGCAGGTGATGAACCCAAGCTGCTTTTTTTGCTGTCCTGTGCATTCTCCTGAAGCTGTATGGTGTCTTCCAATTGGCTCATCCTACGATGCAGTCTTGCGGCAGTGAACGTGTCGTGGTCCCCGAAGAGTTTTAATGGTGTCGGTCTGTCCGGACTGAGGAACGAAGCATTTCTGTCAGGGTTGAGGAAAGAAGAATTCAGGCGAAGGGCTGGGGTTTTCGGTGAGATCGGAGGGCTCATGGGCCGGGACATAGCTTCGATATGCTTGAATACACTCGGCGGCCTGTACACTTGCGGAATGGGCTGTCCAGTTTCATTCTTATGGTTGACCGGAGTGGGCTCTTCGACATTTGAGCTTGACAGTTTCCGGCCAAGTGGTGAAGGGCTCAATGGGCGCCGCATGAAGGATCCATCCGCGGAGAAGCCACCTCGCTTGAGATTCACGAATTGGCCTACCGAGAGCTGGTCCGGTGTACCTGCAAGAAGATCTTCAGGCAGTGTCTCCGAGCGGAGCTTTGCGAACGAAGACGAGTCCGATCCTTGACTGGCATTAAAGTCTGGTTTGTTGGGGCTTTCTTTCTCGCCTATTTGGTCCCGCAGGCGCGCCAATTGCGACTTGGTGAGGTCGATCGCCGCGTAGTCGACTCCACCATCCGTCGTATTGTGCTTGGAAATGAAAACTGGGCTGAAGGTCTCGTCGGCAAGGTCCGTCTGTCCGCTTGTAGCTCTTGATTTTTCATCTTCGTGCTCATGTCCAGGATGCAAGTGCGAAGCTCGGGCCTCGTCCGTTTGATGGAAGCTCTGCGGCTGAAAGGTGTCTTCGCCGGCTTCGGCTTTTGCGTCATAGCCATTGTGTACCACCGAGCCAGCGTCCGAATCGTTGTCGTATTCCCCGAAGCTATCCTCAGCGGAGTCATCCGCATCTGATCCGTCCGCGGTGCCGTCTGGCGCGCGGCTAAAAGCCTTCTCCTGCGTCTGGCCGTCGATGACAGAGTCTTTGGCGTGCGCCTCGCCCGTGGGCCACGGCGGTGGGCTCGATGGCAATGCGCTCATGTCTTTGAACAGCGGAAGTCTGCTTTTTTTCTTGCTTCCTGGCGCGCGTTGGGTTGGGGGCTTCTGGAATATGTTTTCCAAGCCCATGGGGCTAAACAAGTCGCGCTGCTCGCCGTAACCCATCTTGCCCTGTATGAGACGGCGCTTCCACTCGGGCGTGTCGTGGGACTTGTTTGCCTTGTTCGGCGGGGCCTTTTGCTCGACGGTGCCGTACTGGACTACGGAGTCGGACGAGGAAGCAGACGGGGAACGGTCGGCAGGTGGTGGGGGCGGGTCATCGGGGGCGTCTTGGTCTTCGGGGGCGGACGAGTTGGTTGGAAGGGCGATGTTGTTGTCGCTCTGGCTGCGTTCGGCGAGGGCAGCTTTGCGCTTGCCGGGAAGCGGCCTGGAGAAGTTGTCGCTCTTGGGGGTGGTTTGGGCGTCGGGAGAAGAGCGCAGGCGCGGGACGCGACTGCGCGCGGGGGATTTGATCTGGACGGAATCGTGCGAGGCCGACGACACAGAGGAAGCATCGGACGGCGACGGCTGGGGAATCCAGTCCTCGGACAGGTCGTCGAGCCACAGATTGGACATAGCGGCGGGCGACAATCTCGGCGCTTCGCGACGGGCGTGGTGGTGGTTGCGCGCGAGCAGAGGCAGACGCGCCTGGCGGGAGAGGGCGTTGGGCGGAGAGGCGGCGAGTGACCTGAGACGCAGGTACCTAGCAGCCAACGGCGCGCGATGATCGACGATCGCGACGTATTTGTGTTGGAGGCAGACCCAGCACAGACGCCCGGTGGATTCTTGGATGCCACGCGGGAGCGGCTGGGGTGATTGGCTTCTGGGGTATCCATAGCAACGCCCAACGCCCTTCTATCCTCCGTCATAGCGGGGCTGGGACACCGACTTCTTTTCTCTTTTTTAATTATCCTACACCGACCATGGTGCACTTCCTGCGCCATCCCAGCTACGCTCACCTGAGCTTTGAGCCTCTCGCCCCGCCCGAGAGCCACATCCTCTGCCCCGACTACTCTGCCGACCACCGTGAGTCCAAACGCCGTCGCATCGAGGACTTGGGCCAGCGCTACCTGCAGGGCCACCCGCTGCACATCCACTCCGCTGCCCTCAAGGGCCCCTTTAAGCCTGGCTGGAGGAACCCGTGGAAGCAAGCCAACGATGCCGACCACAAAGCCCGCGAGAAGCGACGTCGGCGGCAGAAGCACAGGGCCGAGAAGGCCGCCCAGCTGCAGAAAGATGGCCTGGGCAAGACGCCCGCTCGGCCTGTGGATCTGACCGACGACGCCCAGCCATCTGACTATAGCCATGAGTGGCTTAGGCGTCGGCCCTTTGCCAAAAAGCCCTCAGTTGCCGCATCTGATGACCCGTCCGGCTTCCAAGAGCCTCTCTCTCACCTTGAGCATATTACTCCATCGAAGCCATCACAACCCCGGCCCGCTGGCAAGGTAAAGGATGTCCTGGACAAGATCAACCACGTGCCACAAACGAGGTCGTCTGTGCCGGAGCCGCCTCCTACCACAGCGGTACACGCGAGGAATGCCGGCCGAGTCCCTGCGCTCGACCATAACGCTGATATACCTTCCGAGGAAGGCACTTGCAAAGAAACAAGGCCACATTCCCCGCTTGGTCGTTCAGTGAATGGCTCTACTGCTCTCTCTGCAAGCTTATCCTCTGTAGAACGAGATCAGCTTGCAACAGACCAAGGGTACACGCCAAAAGCGAACGTAGCCCAGAAACCGCTCGTAGAAGATAATCCGCCAGAAGAGTCCGCAACGACATCAATGCAAATTGATACCAATGGTGGCGCAGCGCAACGCCTGCCTCTGCAGAGTATAGATCAGTGCGGAGACGATGCCAGAATGTCTCATACTCCTGTACCTTTGCAATCAAATGTTGAGCATGACAGTATTGTCGACGATGCTGACTCGGTTAACCTCATGGTACCTAAATTCCCGAAAAATTCCTCGGGTTTTACTGCGATCAATCAACGGCCCTTGCCGCTGACGGCTTATCCTCGTCGAGAATTTAGCGGCTCCCCTGTCCCCAGAACTGTGCTTGCCGACAAATCAGACAACAACAACAACAACAATCGCAACGTTTTGGCTGATCCAAGCAATTCTCTTAAAGACGGAGACCTGGTAGCGACCGCCATGCTTGGAGACAAGCCGTATTCGGTAGATGTTTCTACTGCACTGTCTCATAACTTAGACGGGCAAGAAAATGCGGTTGCCAATAGCAACTGCCGAGGTGGTACGCCAAACGTGAAAGAAAGGCAAATGCCGCTCAACCAAACACAGCTTCAACAGTCAACAGAGAAACACGTTGCAAAGAGCCCAGCTGTGGAGGAGTCTGCTCGTAAGCACCTAAATAAGAAGATGGCACAGAAGAAGAGACAATATCTCAATGCCTCACCAATGAACACGTCCTCTCCTGGATTCAGTTACCGCAAGATTTCTGATCCCACTAAGAACCAGCCACAGCTTGGGCCGACGGATGATAACAAGACAGAAACGACAACAACGAAGAAACAAGTCCCCCGCCGGATCGACTTTGAGTCCTCGATGGATTGTGGTCCCGCACCTCCAATTTTAGAACGTTCGGCTGAAAAAGAGACTGCCACTCTCGACACCCCAGAAACAGAAAACCTTGCAGGAACTACCCCACAGCGACCTGAAGCAGAGCATGAACACACTATTGTAGGCGATTGTAGTGGTGCATTCCGCATATCTTCCACGCGCGAGCTATCCACTCAAGCAGCTTTGCTTCTTGCGCAAGAAGCATTCCAAAAGGAACTAGTCTCGCCCCTCAAAGAAACCAGCATTGTCATATCCCCTCTGCAGCCGAAGATGGGTAAAGGTATCGAAGGACAGGACGAGTGGACCACAACACCCCCATCATCACAGCCAGAACAGTTTACGACAATTACCCCTTTTAGGGAGTTTAACCATCGAAAGAGCCCTTCGGCCTACGGTCCACCAGGCAATGTCCCAGTCAGCACGCAAGATCTGTTCAATGCAGCATCGCCGTTCATGTTCAGTACAGTGAAGAAGAAGGGAAAGGTCCGAAAAAGCGTCAGCATCGCTGATATTTTACTGCCTGAACCAAAGGACGACGACATAGGCAAAACCACCACCCCTGCCGGCAATCCCAAAGACAATCACGGCATAGGCCGCGCAGGCCAAGTCACTGAAGCCGATGGCAGCATGACCATGATGCCCCCTGACTGGAGCGCCACGAGCCTCGCCACCCCCTTCCCATCCAAGCACACCCAGTCACAGACCCCGCATTCGCTTCCCTCGGCGATGAAATCTTCGGCTTCGAAATCACTACCCCCAACGAGCTCAGCCATCGCGCCAGACACTACCACTACCACCGCCATGGACAGCAACGCCACGCCGTTGGCGGCGGCGTATGAGCACAATTCGTACACGCTGGCGCCTGAGTCGGAGCCGCCGGGCTCGGAGAAGCGGCGTGCGGGCTCGGTGTTTGGTGGGTCGACGGCGTTGTTCGAACCAGCGCAGCGGAGGCCTAGTTTAGATGACGTGGATGTGGATGAGGCGCTCGAGGATGCGGGGTCCTTTTTGCAGGGATGGGATGTGGGCGCGGAGTTGAGGAAGGCTGCGAGAAGTAGCAAGGGGACGCCGGTGAGGTAGGAATGTGTGGTTTGGTGTGAGTGGGTAATTTTTATTTTCAGTGTGTTTACGCTTTAGTTGCTGCTTTTCTTTTTGTTGAAAGTTTGGCTCTGATTGTGGGTTTGCTTGGGTTCGTTTCGTTTCGTTTTTACGGTAATAAGGCAAGTATTGGCTCATGTGTATACAGAGCCTGTATAGCAAATATTTTGTTGAAGTATTATATAGGACAAATTGTCTATAGAAGGTATCTGGTGTTTGTATGAAGAATATAATCACTGTGAGAGTATAGGTACTCTTCGCTCTTACCACCCCGTATACCTATCATTGTTACTCATCACACTGTTCTGGAATTGCCCGTGGGTACATATAGTCTCAAAAGCAACCGTTAGATCTGGTACGATATTATGCTCTCCTCTTTTGTCTTCCAAAAAACTAACCCAAAGACATGACGTTTACACTTTTGCTGCGTATTCAGATGTTTAGTCGGTGAGCGGTGGTAGTGATATTGCGGTGGAAAAATTTAAGCTATAGTAAGGGGTTGTATATAGGAGTTGGGAAGTTGTGTTTGTGGGAAAGGGGTTCCCATATGACCAGGGTCTCTGTCTTTGATGCAGATATGATTTGGAGAAAGGTTTGATGGTAAGCAAGGACACAGTGCCAGCGACTGATGTTTGTTCAAGTATTCGCCCGATCCCCGGATATTTCAAAAGAACAGGTTCGTTACACATCAGTGAAGCTACTCTCCCTTCATCTCGGCCTTCATCTCGCGCCCCTTTGCGCTCCACGGAAAATGCAGAATAGGAACGACAAAGAAGCTATTCGAGCTGTCCGTCAGCCCCGCAAGGGTATTATACCACGCGATAAACGCCGCGACGATACCAAACGCGCCGCCCGCCCTCGTAATAGCCACGTTGGCGGCGCCCGTCCCTTTGTTGTCCAGGTACGAGATACCGAGCAGCAGGAAGGTGATCCAGACGGTAAGGAGCAGCGAGGAGAAGGCGAGCGTGGAGCGCAGCGTGCACAGCCAGAGGATGAACGTGAATATGAACCAGCCCTGCTTGCACATCAGCACACGCCCAGAGCACAGCAACAGCAACAACAAAACAGCAACAAAAACAAGCGCACGCACCATAAGATAAAGGCCAAAAGCATTCGCAAACTCAGCCGTCTGCCCCCCATAAGCAGCAATAACGCCAAACCCGCCCGGCGTAAACACAATCCCCAGACTGATCCAAAACCCACCATAGCTCGCCAGCGCGGTTGCGCCGAACGTGTTGCCCACGGCCATTTCCCACATGCCCGCCAGCAGCTGCACGAGCCCACCGTACGCGAATGCCGGGCCCACGATCAGGTTCGGCTGCGCGACGCCCCGCGCCCCGAGGTTCACGAGTGAGAGTAGGAACGTCGTCAGCGCGAAGCCGGATAGGCCGAGTGGCGCGGGGTTCGCGAACGTGCGCTGTGGTCGCCAGAGCCCGGGTTGGAACTCGCCGCCGAAGGCGGGCAGGCGCGCCGAGTTGCTGTTGTCGTTGTCTGAGGGGATATGTGCGAGCGGATTGCCGCCGTAGGGGCCCCAGCTGTGGGAGTTCGGGGGCTTGGCTGCTGCGGCTGCTTGTTGCTGCGTGCGGTGGCTGCTGCGTGGTGTTGGTGGTGCTGCTGCGGGCTGGTCATCTGCGGCGTGGGAAATGCGTTCGTGGTGCTCGCTTTGGGGCTTGTGGCCGTCGGGGTAGTACGTGTCACCGACGATGCCATCGTTTCCGGGATGCGTGTGATAGGAGGCAGTTTCCGTGCTGGTCGAGTCTGACATGGTGGTTTTGTGTATACTTGGCGGGGCAAGGCAACGAAAGACGGGTTGTTTCTGATGACGATGGAAACGATGAACCGGAAAAAAATTGGCTGAACGAATGGCCTTTGATAACGGAAACAGAGACGCTGGAAGGGAAATGTGGGGGTTGCCATAACTCCGCACTTAAGCTGCTTATCCCACGGGGTAGTGTGTGGGGACGTGTGGGAACGACGGTCATCGGCAAGGAAAACGGCTAGTTATCACACTCTTACGCGTTCATCTGCTCCAATGGCTCTAGCAGGCTGTCTTCTCGGGAAGATCTAGGTTAGTTGGGCATTGGCTACTGCATGGTGCATCCGACCTTACGGTTAGTCATAATATCCTGCGTGCTAGGAAGATTGCGAAGAGCGGGATGGGAGATTGGCGTGGGGAAGCGTGTGATTTCACTTGGGAAGCAGTCGATGGCGTGCTGGTGCGGTGGTCTCCAGGATCGTCGTGGCGGTATGGCTTGATGCGGAGAAGGGTGATGGGAGGTGCAGGCGGCTGTCGAGCCGCCAACGTCATTCCTCCACGCGAGCGCCACGCTGGCTTGGAAAAAGCACGATGGGCCAAGACTTTAGAAAAGACATACATACTCCTCACCAGGATGTTTCAAGAAAACAATCCCTGCTGGATGATCGTCGCGACGGTACCATTGGTCGAAGAAGTGAAAGCAAACATATATAAGCCGACACCGCCCTAACCTCAACCACGTCTTCGATTCCGCCGAAACATCAGTGAGACAGAACAAACGGGTGCCTGACTAGACTCAGCTAACCAGGGAGAGAGCAGGAAGACCAATTGCAGCCGTCGATCGTCAGCAGTAACCCTAAAGCCAAACTCATGTTCCCTACATGCAAGGGGGTCAGAGACATCCATCCATCCACAACATCACCGATCCCTTTGGCGTGCTCACTGACTCATCGACCCCATCGGGCCCAACCAACCAACCCACCCTCGCACAACCTCAAGCCAAAAAGGAAACCCCCTTACATCGATCGCATCGCCCCCGCGCCCCCCTCGCATCCGCACGCACGCACGCACCCGCCCAGCCGTTTGTTCGCCCGCCGACCCGGACGCCTGCCACACCCCTTGGCACCGCACACCGCACCGCGCAGGCAAGCACGGCAGGCACGGCAGGCACGGCAGCAGGCGGGGCGCGCTGCCTCGTCCCGTCCCGCGCCGGTGCCGTCGTCTCGGCCCACCGTCCTGGTCTGCGTCGGCGGGGTGCAGCGAACCTACAGCCAGGCTAGGCCAGACGAGGCGGGTAGGGTCGTGTCGTGTTGGCGGCGCGAGGCCTCGAGACGGTTGGGTGGGTGGGTTTGTCGGCGTGCGTGCGTGCGTGGTGGTGTGGATGGCGCTGTCGCAGCGAAGGAAGAAGAACCTTGCCTAAGAGAAGGTGAAGAGGGAGAGGAAGAGCCTAGAGAGCGTGACTGCGCTTGCACGCTCGCGGAGGCGTGCAGGACAGTGTGTAGGTAGGTAGGTACGTCGTCTGCCCTGGCCGGGTGTAAATGCTCTTATACCCCTCCTCCTCCCCCTTCTCCGTCTCTTCCAAAAACAACAACAACACCACCCACAAAATCCAGCAGAAACAATGCACTCACAGTAGCCACTCCACTTCCGTCCAGCTCCTACACATGCCTATACGCAGCAGCAGCAGCAGCAGCACAAGGGCGATCCCCCTCCCCCGCAGCACCGATCACCGCTCCGCGGCACGGCGCGGCGCGGGCGGGCAGATCCCGCGCGCAGGCACGTGGGTAGGGCGGCTGGGGTAGGTGGCGATCGGGTCGCGTGGAAGCGCAGATAGGCGAGCGAGAACCAAGCGAGCAAGCATTGAGCAAGCGAAGTCGAGAATGCGGGGGTGCGTGGGTACTGGACTTGTGGGAGCGGCGCGTCGCGCGCGCTGTATAGATAGGGGAGCCATTGGGGCGTGGGATCTTCGTGGGCTGGTGATGGTGATGGTGGGGAGGGTGGTGCTTGGGAGGGGGTGTTTGGAAGGTGGGTGGTAGATAGGTGAGTAGGTGAACGCGTGAGTGAGTGAGGGAGGGAGGGAGGGAGTCGGTGGTGGGTGAGTTTGTCGGCCACGCTTTGCTTTCCGGCCATCTAAGCCGGGCTCGCAGTCTGCCTGCTTGCGTAGAATGATCTAGCCCTGTCCCAGGGACAAAGGAAGTATAGCATTTGCTTTTCTCTCTTCAATCTCCAAAAAATGCGAGTGAATCGGAACGCAGCCGCCTGGCGCAGGCGCAGCTGCAGAAGGTAGGTATGTCCGGCATAGCTCATTACAACAGGCCTCGAATCCAGAGTCGACCATACATACACAGCACGCCCATCCTCCGCGACCCTCCGTAACATCTCCTGACCGCAGCAGCGCTGGGCGAGACTGGACTAGACAAGTCTGCGTGCGCGCATGCATGCAACTGTGCGCATACATACACACACACACATACATACTGTACAAGGCGGCGGCGGCGCTGCGCTGGCGCAAGGATGGATATGTAATTTCTGAAACCGCCCCCCGCGGGGAAAACAATACGAGGTGCAGGACGACAGCGGCAGGCAGGTCAGGGCACACAAAGCCTGCGTGGCGGCGTGCTGCGGGCAAGGACTAAAACGACGACGAAGAAAGGGCCAGTCAGTGCGTCTGCTCGACTGGAAAAGAAATGAACGTGAAAAAAGAAATAATAATAATAATAATAATGAAAAATTTTTTTTTTTTTTTTTAAAAAAAAAAAAGCAAATGGTTGCAGAACTTGTACGTACCACATACAACGCAGCCGGGGAGAAAGCGCCGAGAGCCACGTTTTTCTTTGTTAGGTTTCCGTTTCCCTGTCCAGCAGCAGTGGCAGCAGCAAGCAGCAAGCAGCACGCAGCAGGGGCCGCAAGCGCGCGCCCAAATCCCCAAACTCCAACCGACAGACCGACGCCGTTTCCAATGCGCGCTGATGAAGCCAATCTCGCATCCACATCCACACCCACAAAGACGCGTCCCCTTTTTTCCCCCTCCCGCGCATTCACCTCACCTCCTCGCCATAGGTTGCTGCTGCTGCATCTGCTGCAACTGCCACTCGCGCGCCTGGTCCACCTGGTCCTGATAGCGGCGATATTCCTTTGTCCACACGCCCGCCCAATACCTGGCGTCGTCGGCGGCGCCCTCGACGCCGCGCGTAGCCACGTAGGTGCCCGCGGCGAGCAGGGCGGCCAGCAGCGCCAGCCGCACAGCCATGCGCACCCAGTACATGACGAGGCCGTAGAAGAAGCCGAGGATCTTGAGCGAGAGCCACAGGATGATGGCCAGCAGCGCGAGCGTCGCGAGGTCCGGCTTCTCGGCGAGCTTGGCCACGAGCGTTTGCGCGAACGGGACGACGTGCACGCGCAGCGTGTCGTAGAGCGGGAGTAACGGTTGCAGCGAACTGCTTCCGACGTGTTGGAGCAGCAGCGTCGCCCAGTCTTTTGTTTGCCGCGGAGAAAAGGGATTAGCCTTCTGTGTGTGCTTGTTGTTGTTGTTGTCTGTCGACGTGTCGCCGGTGGAGCTGCTGGGTTATCGACGTACCTTGGATCACGTCCATGGTTGGCAGCCGACGGTTTTATTATGGCCCGCGTGTGGTAATTTTGCAGGGTCCTCGCAGGGTCTTATTTATTCACCGGCCACGGTGGAGGGTGGGGATCAGCGTTTGATGTTCCGCTGTCGCGACGATGTTGGTTGGTTGTAGTGGATCGGCGGTGGAGCTGTTTTGTGTCGCTCCTCCGCAGCGGCATGAGAGCGGGAAGCTTGGCGGGGGTCCTTGACAACGCACGCCTTAAAACAACGCTTCTTTGCTTCGTTTCGTTTTCCTCTTCAATCTGTTTCGTTTGCTACTACTACCTACGCGAAGAAGCTAATCTGCAGAATGAACATGATTCTTCGTCGTCCTCAAAAGGAATAACAAATGATAAAAAAAAGAACGAGCAAAAGACGACTGCCGCCTCCAATCTCTTTCATGCCCATCCATCTCTCTCCATGAATGCTAGTCATATCCCTTCGACGCCGACATAGAACCCGTGGTATAAAGTTTGATATCTACGAAAAAAGAAAAAAAGAAAAAAAGAAAAAAGAAATCAAGAAAAACCGTGACGCCGTTACAGGTGGGGGTGTATATGCTGATCTTTCTTGTCTAGATCTTGTTGTACGCAGCCATGTGGAATCCAAAGTCAAAATCAGAAGCCTCGGAGATGGACGGATAGTGCACATGCGTGCTCTTGGGCGACATGGCCTTGGAGGCGCGCGTCACCGACGGCGGTGGCGGCGACATGGGCGACGCCGACTTTGTTAATGTTGATGGGTAGCTCATGTCGCTGCTCGAAGTGGGAGAATACGGCGTGGGCGGGCGCTCTTGCAGCGAGGAAAGAGAGGATTTGTTGCGGGCGTGGAAGTCGAGGTGTTCTCCGGGTTCTGGGGTCCGGCTCGGCTTGGGACGGTAGGTGTACATGAGGGTCGGGCTGTTGATGGGGCTCTCCAGGCTGTTCGGACGGCTGCGGCGCGTGCGACTTGGTAGGCGGGTGAGGGCCGGGGCGGGTGGTTCGGGCATGAGGTCGTATCTCTTCTCGCGCCATTGGATCTGCTTGCTTGGCTTTCTCCAGGACTCGAATTCGGCGTCGTCCAGCGGAGTGACGGCTCTGGGGCCCAGAATGGCGCCTTTGGCTCTCCTCCTCCTACAACAGAACAAGGATAGGCCGACCATGACGCAGACAGCTACTCCGCCTAATGCACAACCAATGATGATGGCGAGGTTACGGTTGGACGAGGCAGCGTCGGAGTCGGTGCTCATGATGCGACGACCTTCAAGCGGGCAGGTTGGAGCGATGGGAGTCTCCAGACCAAGAAACGGAAGGCCAATTGAGGCAGTATGATATAACCCAAAAAGCGATGGAAACGGTGAGGCAGGGTGGTACCAAGGGGCCAGTTGTCGGCGATGATAAGCTGTGGTGTTGCCGCTCGCGCGCCAATGGGGGGAAGCTTCAAGCGTGGAGTGAAAGGATCGAGGTTTGGGTGAATCTCATGACGGCCAATGGACGGTAGGGACAGGGAAGTCATGCGGTCGAGTGCATGCGGGCGTGTTGCACGAGGGTTGCATAAGACGTGGAGGAGGGCATAATGAGGGACGGGAAAAGGGCAACACGACAGGTGAAGAGATGAGCAGGTGGTGGGAGATGAGCCGTACTTCAGACGATCATCCAGAAGGGACATTAGCCCAAAGCGCGGCTAGCATGATAACGCAAGAGTGTTGCGGTGTGGGTGGGCAGATGAGAGAGAGAGCGGACCCCCCACATGGCCGCGTTCCTGAACGGCTCCTCCACGATAGGCAAGCCCGCCGTAGCTGTGTCGCACTTTTTCGGGCCAAGCCGTCGTTGGCGGGCGGCCTCGTCGACGCGTGGCTGGCCGCGCGCGGGAACACGGCGCGCCCAGCAAGCCGCGCCACCGCTCGGGGCCAGGCACACTCCCAACGGCATTGGCACTCTTCTTCTTTTTTTTTCTGTTCCTCTCTGGGGGCCGTATGTGTGGCGTCGTCGAAGGGGTCCCGCCGTCGTTACAGCACAATTCCTCTCATCAATCGCACTCGCATTGCCGGCCGATCCTCCTCCGCCCCCGGCCCCACGTCTTTTTCACCTTCTTCATCGTTCGCCCTGTCTGTCATCAATAGTGTCATCCACGATTCAGGGGCCTCCGCGTCCTCTCGTGTAGATCAGCCCTTCTTGTCAAGCCCTCCGGCCGACCATCATCATCTTGATACTTGGTTCATCCCATAAAAAGACACTCTTCCCCTGCTCGCTAAATCCGCATGCCTGCCCCCAAGCCCCGGCCCACGAACTCCTCCGGTGGCTTACATTCTGTCTGCGACTGTGCATGTTTCTGCCGGCTAGGTCGTCGGCTGTTTCTTGCGCTGGCATAATAACTTACAGACATATATCACAGTAGTCACAGCAGCAGCTAGATCGGAAATGCCCCTCTTGGCAGCAGAGCCCGGCGCTGGCCTTGTTTTCGCTGCTGCAACTTGGCGCGCATGCTACGCTAGGTATCTACTCCTATTCCCCACATACCGTGACACTGCGCGGTGTTGCGCCTCATCTACCCAGCACACGGCGCCCTCGTAACGACTGAACGAGCCTCGGGATCGCCGTTGAGATTTGCTCGCCAAAACACGCCCCAAAAACCAAACGCCCTGCAATGCTGCCCGGTTAAGACGAAGCGAGCGAGACACTCAAAACCTCACGGGCAGTGATGAACGCTGTGTGGGCCCGTCGCGTGTCTGTGGGAGGGATGGAAAGAGAGCCCCGCGCCGAGCTTTCTGCCGGCTGCAGGATGCGCGGAGCGGGACATGCCGATCGCGCCTCTGCCTCAGGAAGATCCTCCCCCTAGCACCTTTAACGCATGCACATCCGCAGCAGCCGCAAAACCGTCGAGCGGCGAGCCTCCCTTCCCATCCCGACCGTACCGGTCGTACAACTAGCTACTGATGCGACGGCAGGAGAGTGGAAGGAAAGCAAAACAAAAAAAACAAAAAAAGGTAATGGTCCGCGCCCGCGCCCAAAACAACGGCCGGCGCGCGAACAAACGACCGCCGTGGCCAGCCTCGCCTCGCGCGCTCGCTCGCTCAGGAGCGTAATTTCTCGGTGATCTTTATAAGGGGTCCTGGTCTGCCGCGTGAACAGTGTGCGACATATCTGGCCTCGTGAGGGCGGCCGCCCTAGGCCTACTGACCCCCGGCCCCGGGGCCAGACTCGCAAGTCGCGAGCACTGCGCATCCTGCCGACCGTTTCGTCATAGCCACCCGAAGGCGCGGCAAGTGTGAGTGAGTGTGCGCGTACTGTGTATGAGTGCGTGTGTATGTGTGTCTCGTGGACGCTTGCCCTGTCTCATTCGTAACGAGGACGGCCGGTACCGCGAGCGTGGTGAACAGGCCCGACTACTGAGGAGCTTCGATGCACGCTGGACGGCTGCCCGCCGCCCACACCTGCAACTGACTCGCCTTTTCCCTGGGCCAAGCAATGGGCTCGTCCACATGACGGGTGGCCTGTTGGCGGGATGCCTTTTGCCTACGTACAAGCTACGGCACTTGAAGCCTGCCGGAGGGAACCGTGGCGCCTCTTTTTGCACATTTGTTGCTTGTTCCATTTCTTGTGTTAACTAGTTCCTTCCCTGTGCTCCACCGCCGTTGTGACGTGCCTCTGCCGAATATACCCATCCCTGACCCCCCTAGATCATACCAGGCCAAGCTTGATCTTCCGCTTGCCAGTGCTCTCCTCAATCTCGTCGCTGATCCGCACTGTAACCTTCTGGAACAGCTCGAGCTTAACGCTCCTGCTGCCCGTCGTCTTGAGCACATAGTTCTCCTCGTCAAACTCAGCCTCGGGCTCAGGAGTCGCCAAATCTCTCAGCCGGATCAGACTTTCGATGCCAAATCTTGGCACAAAGACGACAAAGCCGTTGGAGAAGATGCGCATTACGAAGCCCTCCTCGTCAATAACACGCCCCTTAAGTGCCTGCCCAACATAGTACTCGATGCTGGCCCGGCCCGCAAACTGCGCATTACGGTGTCGGACGTTGATGTTCTTGCACACGCCCTCGAGCTTCGCCTTGCTGTGAAGCGAGGCGTCAAGTGGCTCGTACTCGATGGCCGCAGCGAGCTGTCTGTGTGCTTCGAGATCGGCATACCGACGGATCGGGCTCGTGAAGTGCGTGTAGATTTCGCTCGCGAGACCGTAGTGACGGAACTCAGGATAGGCCTGCGTACCCGAGCAGAAGTACTCGGCCGACATCATGCAGCGAGTTGCCATGATACGGACGAGCGTGTTGAAGAAGGGCTCTTCAGGGTCAACGCAAGTGTCCAGGGAGTCGGCCAGAGCCTTTGAGCTGTCGACGCGAAGCTCCATGCCCTTCTTAACCTTGAGCTGGTTCGCCAGGCCCTCGAAGTTGGTCTTTGGAGGTGCAGCGTGGCGACGTAGTAGGGCAGTTTGGGGGAAGGCCTCGTGATTTTTAGCAGCGACGCTAGTGTTGGCGAGCAACATGAATTCTTCTACAAGCGAGTTGGTGTCCAGGAGGCGCTTGGTTTGTACGTCGACGGGATCAGAAGTTTCAGACTCGGTCTGGACCTTGACTTCGGGACTGGCCAGATTCAGAGCACCTGCATCATAACGCTTCTGGCGGAGCTTCTTGGAAAGCATTAAGAGTGTCCGCATGCCTTCCGTCAGCTCATCCTGTTGCGACTTATCATCAATCCGAATCTGAGCTTGTTCATAACTGAAAGCTTCCCGTGAACGAATCACAGACTTGGTGAAGTCTGCCTTGACAATGTCCGCATCCTTGGTGATCTCCCAGAGGACAGAGAACGAGTAACGCTCAACGTACGGCTTCAGCGAACAGAGATCCGTGCCAAGAAGCATAGGCAACATGTCGATACGCTTGTCGACTAGGTAAACTGTGGTGCCCCTCATGCTGGCCTCCTTGTCCATTGCGTTGTTTGGTTTGACAAAATGAGAGACATCGGCAATGTGAACACCAACTTCGTAGTTTCCGTTGGGCAGGAGGCGGGCGTGAAGGGCGTCATCGATATCCACACAACCGGGAGGATCGATGCTACACACCAACAGGTCTCTAAGATCGCGACGACCCTTCCAGCCCGGATCATCGGTGCTGGCTGGGACGCGCCAGTCGTGGCCTTCTGCCGGTAGGCAGTCAAGAACTGTCTTAGGGAATGGTCGGTATTGTACGTCGTATTCGAGCAACAATGCCTCGGTCTCAGCGCCCTTCGATTCCAATTCGCCAAGGGATCTGACGAAGTGGCCCACCGGGTATCGAGCCTCCCGATCCCAGGAGTCGATCGTGACCAAGACACGCTTGCCAAGGAGTTCACCCGCCTGACGCGTCCTGACTCGGATTTTCGGTATGCGCTTATCCATGGGAATAAGGAAGACGGTCTGCTGCGCACGACTTCCCTTCGCACTGGACTTGACAGAGTCCTTGTCGACATGTCCAACATACTGCCGCCAGTTCCTTTTGATGATTCCAACGACACGTGCAGTGGGTTGAGGACGTCCTTCGGTGCTCTTGCTCTGTACTCTCTTCACTTCTTCTTGAAGTGCCCGCCTCTCCTGTTCCGTGACGACAGCCTCTCCTTCATCCACATCTGCATTCTCATTCTTGTTCAGAGATTCCTCCTCAATGATTTTAGTGGAAGGAGCTTTCCATTGGTCCTTGGGCAGGACTTCAACAACAACGACATCGCCAGACACGGCGCGACTGCTGTTCTCTCTTCCCAAAATCAACAGAGACTTCTCAAAGGCCGGTACGTGCACGGAACCCTCCAAATAGTTGTACTGGGACACGTTGAATGTGCCTTGGTGGAGGGTGCCAGCTTTGACGCCGGTCATCATCTTCGAGAGCGAGTAATGTTCAGGGTACAGAAGCTCAGCCTTGCCAGCTCTAACTTCCCGCTGCTCGCGACCTGTGCTAACCATATCCAACAGTTGGTCTGCGTTGGGCAGACCAGATACATAGTCAGACACTGCATGAGAAAGTCAGTTTAGATACATGTGCCTAGAGGGTGGAATGACCTACACGAAAGTGCAGGAACGCCATCTGCCTTTGCTTTGCGTAGGTTTTCCCTGTCATCACTGATCATCACGATAGCTGGAGCTTTGGCATCCCGACGCGACTTGACTGCTTGCTGGAGGTGTTCACCGTACCACTGGACGGCTTTCCTGACAGCGCGGTCATTGCGGTCGTTGATGCTCTCGCCCTCTCCCCGGGTAACGTAAGTGTCCAGTCTGAAGTCATTGAAAAAGACATAGAAATGCTTGTCCTCGTTCTTCGTGAGACTGATCAAACGGTGATAGAGCGGTAGAGAGCGATTCTTAACCTCCTCCAGGACGGTCTGCAGAACGATGACGTCATGGAACGCAGTCTCAATCTCAAAAAGATCCATGCCAGTAAGGAAGGCATTGGTGTCTGGGATGAGATAATGGCCGCTAGGAAAAGACTTGGTCCCCGCGGGACGTTCAGAAAGCACAAAGGGCGCGACTAGGGGTACTTAGTATGGAGCATTACGGGTGCTGGGTGTCTACGCACCCTTGTTGTTGTAGTCTCTGGGGGCGACATCGAGACATGCAGAACACAGCCTTGACGAACACGGAATGTCCTGCCTAAGATAGAGTTCTCTGACTATCTTCTGCACCTTGCCACTCCGGGTAGACCTCACGTAGACCTTGCTCGCAAGGTTAGGCGCCGCGGCATCGGCCGCAAAGGACCTCTTGAGACTCGTCATGGCGCAAAGCGGAGGGGTTGGTTTGGAGTGATGTGCGCTGCTTGGCCGACGGCGACGTTCTGCAAATGAAAGTTTCTGGGAACGGACAAACAATGCAAACCCCCGCGCCCGGTCCGTGCGCCTACCATGCGACTGCGCAGCAACTAAGGTAAACACCACGCCCCCGCGTCCTACGCGCACAACCCTCAATCGCTCCTTGTCAACGCGTCACGTCGCGCAATTATCGATTGCCAGACCCACATCCACACCAGTCACGCGTCCCGACGTCGTGAAGTGAGCCTCACCGCCCAACGAGCGCATTAGTGTGACCTTTAAAGGCTCTCAGAAGTTTGGAGACAGATAATACTTCATTCGTCGCCGTTTTGTGGCCAAACAATCCAACACGGTTACATCCTTTGGCAACAAGATCTGCACCTTCGTCACTATCAAGCGAGTCGCCACGCGGCCGCCCACTCGCACCGCACCATAGGCAACAGCCGACTGATTTGTTCCCCAATTCTGACTGTCAAAAAACGTCTACGCGATCTCGCGCTTGAGCCTATTGATATTGACAGAGACCCTTAGCTCTTCAACATCCATGGACGCCGGCAGCTTTCAATGGACGCCCGCGCCCGATCCGTGCTACAGTTGGGGCTGGTCACAACGTTTCGGCTCGTCAGCAGCTTTTCATTGCTAAGATTAGCGTTGACTGTTAATCTCTCATTTTTCTCGGTATAACGGTGAAGTCATGCAAGTAGCTATGCAAACCCTGGCCGTATATACCGACGAAAGTCTTTCTAAATGTCAGAAGTTGCTGACCAGCCCAAACTTTATAGGCTGTCTTGGCTATACCTTGATGCCGACCTGCTGAACACGGCAAGTCTCACACAGTATACTGCGACGACCTACTTAAACCTCGATCTGTCCTCAACCACCTACTAACAACAAATATCACCGTGGACCATCGAACAAAAATTCACTTACACTATAATCACTCTACCTACCGAAGACAGCTTCTTTCTCAATCGACTCTACCGATCGAAAATATACTCACTGTAAGACACGTACTTTACAAAGAAAATAGTGTCTTTCTTCACGTACTCCCGAAAAATGTACTCATAAGACTCGTTGACAGAAACCATCACGGAATACCGAGTCATGCCACAAGTTCAACGCGGCGTTAAGTGGGAAGAGATCAACTACATGTTAACGTGGTTTATATTGGTCTCTTCCTGCGCTGTCATCCTGATCGCAGGTCTTCATTGGAACGACCTGGATGTGCTGGTAAAATTTCTTCACGTTATTCATCTCTGGCTTGCCTGCATTTTTTGGGTATCCGGAATGTTAATGGAACGGAAAACAGTACGTCCATTCCCTCCTCGTTGTGTTTGCTAAAGCTGCTAATTATGACCAAGTGCCAATCTACACGATGAGAGCGGTGACTGGCAAGGAAGACGACGGCAACACAATTCTGAGTTTCTGTTGTGGTGTGCTTTTGAAGGAGGTCATGGCATGGCTTGTCGAGGCGTTGAAATCATCCCGCTGGATCGAGGCGTTAAAGTCCAGCATTGACCGTTATAACGGTTTCCCTTTGTAACGGCAAAACTAGTGGGCAAACAGCGACGCAAAACCTAGCCAAATATACCTATGGACAGCTTCTTAACAACCTGAAATTGCTGACCGGCTTAAATGGTGTAAACAGTCGTGATGCTTTTTGCTTCTTCTCGCAACAGAAGGTGTTCATAGGGTCGGCGCTGAAGGGTCTGGCCGGAGATTGGTTTAGGCTGCAGCATTCGTTCCTTGTAAGCATGGATAATACCTCACCTAAACAGTGACAAAAGTTCCGTGCTAAGATCTATGTTGGGCTCCTGCCTAGTACATTACAAGGCCTCGATGCCTCTACAAGGATGCCGCATCCCAGTACATGATATCATGGTCGATGATGATGATGTCGATATGGACCCTTGCCAGTGACATGATCTACTCAGTGGTCTCAGGCGTGCTACCGATAGGCCTCTACGCAGTGTAGGCAGCTCTGCCTAATGCATGACGATCCATCGTACGACTACAACGTCAATCCCTTAGCAACTGCCTCCTGAAATGGCTATTGACTTGGCCAATGAAGAAGATGGCTTCGCAGGATCGAGTGGATGGCATTGGTCGGAGAAGTGCGTCTTGGCCAAACAGGTCTCAGCCGTGAGAGGGCGCAGTTGAGCGATCATTTCCTAACGTCTCTGCATGCAGGCATTAGTAGGCGCGAACCACGGCAGTAGTGCAACTGATTATCTAAAGAACCCGAGACGAGGGCACTGCTCTAGACCGAGGGGTCTTTGATCGACGACGGCGGAGCGTGTTCGCCCCTAAAACAGCTACGGCAAGAGCCGTTTAGGGATTAGCTGGTTGGCGGCTGCGGTGCAAATGTGCACTATCTTGCGAGGCTGGGTCGTGACCGCGGCTGAGCAACGATGCACATCTAGTATAATCGATATTACCGTCTATATTCTGTGTTGAATCAGCGATTTCAGATGGTAGTGCAACAACCATCGCATGTAGCTGTAGTGACTATAATCCAAATGAATGCTGTCCGGAGAAGGAGCCGAGAGATCCGTAGGCAGGAATTATTCGGCATGGGTTCAATCTGGTTGTGTGACCTGGATATCGTCATTCCGTCCACGCAAACACACCGCCTGTGCTGTGCGATGGGAAAGCAGTGGGAGGATGATTCCGGGTTTTCGGTACTGTGCTTCTTCTTTTCCGTGAAGACCCGGGCGGGCGGAAGAGGTCAACTGACCCATAAGGGCATTCTTTTGATATCGTCGACCCGGCCTAGTGGCGCAGAGACCCTGCAGAGGACGAGCAGATGACACAGGCTGGCTGTGGCGCTCGTGTGGCTGGCGGGCGGTGATTGGGCCGCGTCGCCACGCCGCGGGCCATGCACTGATTCGACCCCTCATCTGCGGTCATCTGTCTGGCACGCCTCGGGGAATGCTTTATCACCCTCTTGCGGCGCCCTTGCCGTCGTCCGCTCGTGAAGCTTTCCTTCTTGTTGCTCGAGCAAGCCGCCGCTCGCGTTCAGCCTCGGAGACCGCTCCGCGCCGCGCGATTGCTTCTCTTGCTTCCCGGTCGGCTTGGCAGCGGCGTTGCATCATCGCTCTTCGCTTGACTGTGGCACCTTCGCAAACTCCTTCGCCGAACCTTGCATCCCTCACAACCATCCACACCGCCGCCGACCCCCCATTCAGGGTCCGTGGATCGATGCTCCGGGATCGTGCAGCACCTCCGCCCGCCTCGTAATCCACGCCGAATGCCAACGCCCGCGACCACCACCATTACCCTCCAATTCCCATGTTCTCGACCACGTCGACGTCGTTGAACGGCGCCATGGATGGCCAAGGCACCATCAATCCCCAAGCTCTGAACTCGTCAGGTAATGCGCCCTGCACTGCTCCGGCCTGGTGCGAGCGCGTCCAACATCCGCACCCGCACCCACACCCACACTCATTGTTTGGATGCCCGTCCGCTGACGCGTCGCGTCCCACGCCAGTCCTGTCAGCTTCCGCCTCCAGCGCCGCTTCCCAGCAGAGCCCGCGCGGCATCAAGCGGAGTCGCTCGCCCACCGAAGACGTCTTCTCGCCCGAGAGACCCGACGACGGTGCGTCCAATCTCTGTCAAGCTGGTCGCGCTCGAGCCGCCATGTGCTCTCCGTTATGCTAACACTTGTCTCTCGCCCGTCCAGATGACAAGCCGCGAAAGCGCGGTCGCCCGCCCAAGTCCAGAGTCTCGGAGAGCCCTCAGTCGACCCAACCCGCGCCCGGACCAGTGCAGACACCGCAACTAAAGGCGCAATCCCTGCCGCAGGCGTCGCCAACTCAGTCGTCGCCCCCAAAGACCACACCGACCAAGGGCACCGTGTTGAAAGCATTGCCGACTGTGCGCGACCACACGACGGATCAGCTGAACACCGAGGGAGACGAGTACATACCACGTGAATTCGACGAAGCCGGCGAAAAGAAAGTCACACCGTCCGGACACCCGCTGGACGGAAGGGAATACCGCTGTCGAACGTTCTTCGTGCCAAACAGAGGAGACAAGCTTTTTATGCTTGCAACAGAGTGCGCGCGCGTCTTGGGCTACCGCGATTCCTACCTGCTCTTCAACAAGAACAGATCGCTCTACAAAATCATCGCAACTCAGGCCGAGAAAGATGACCTGATTCACCAAGAGATACTGCCGTATTCTTATCGCTCGCGACAAATCGCCATTGTCACCGCGAGGTCCATGTTCCGCCAGTTTGGAAGCCGGCTGATTGTCAACGGAAGGCGCGTTCGCGACGACTATTGGGAAAGCAAGGCAATCAAGCAGGGTTTCACCGAAGAGGACGCCGCTGGAGAGAAGAGACCGGGAGCCGCGAAGCAGAGGGAGGCCGCCGCGGCTGAGGCAAGCAGCGCGCATGCCTTGACCTCGCTGCCCCACGGCGAGATCATCTACAGCAACGGGCCCGGAGCCATGGACGTGCCTCCCGGCGTCAATCCTGCGACTTTGGCGCCTTTGCCCATGATAAACCTGGCTCCGGTGGATGAGCTGCGCGCGAGGGATTACGGCAACGTGCAGCGCCCCAGGCACGAGATTTCCGGGCCGCCATACTCGGAGCGCATGCAACCAAGCACAGCCGCCGAAATTTTAAATCAGGCTGCGCACGCCGCCGAATTCAACAAGAACCTGGGGCAGCAACGGACGATCCGAAGCAATTACATAGACGATTATTGGAAGCGCCCGCACGAGCCAGTTGTGGCACAGCCGCGCCAGGCTACGGTAGAAGGCGACGTTCCGAATGTCCAGCCAGGCATCCAGTCTCCAAGACCGAAATCCAACCCGCCCCTCATGGGCGGCCCGTCACACAGCCTTCCATCGCAACCCGGACCGGCCTCGATGATGACGCCTCAGTCGTATTCGCAATCTTCGCACGCGACGAACCCTCTTGTGCAGACGCCCATGCGTCCAATGCCACAACCGCCCCAAATGCACGGCCGTTCACCAAGCTTGGGCATGGGTGGTCCGAGCCAGGCGACTCCGTACGGTTATCCACAGAGCCAAATGTGGCCTCCGTCGCAGCCGCAACCGTCACCGCTGTCGCAAACGCACCACAGCATGCAGCAATTCGGCCATCAACAGTCGCCAGCTCCGCAACAATCGCCGTTGCACGCGCCGCCTCAGCTGCATCATTCCCAGAGCAGCGGGTCCATGCACGGTACACCCATGGGTTTCTCGACTATGGGTGGCATGAATCCTGCTGCCTACAGGAACCTGACAGGCAACCCATACCAGCATAGTCCAAGCCCCCAACACTTTATGCACCAGAGCACGGCGGCGCAGCAGCCTGGCATGCAGGGCTGGGCCCCTGGGGCCCCTGCGCAGACGCCGCAGCAAAACTGGCAAGGCTTCTAAAAACAGCGAGGCTCTTAGACGCGCGCATCCGCATTTGCCGAATACATTCTCTCGCGCTTTCGGTCACTTTTCTTGGATTTTATGCGACTTCGCATTATATCCCGGCAGTTCGCTTCCTGATGTTTTTGCACGCAGTACGTTGTGACGGATTCGGTAACTCACGGTTGGGCCTGATGGGGATAACACATGGCGTTTTTTTTTTTTTTTTCTTTATTGCGGAGGAGCACGGGGAGGCGAATTTCTGGGCATGTTGGCATTCTCTTCTTCCTATGGCTTTCGCCCCTCTGCCCTTGTCCTACCTTCCCATACCCTGTATACTACACTGAGCACAGAGAGAGCTTGGAGGTTCGCATTGCTGCGTTTCCACACCTTCCATTCCCCCTTTCGCAGGACAGAAAGAACAACACATTCTTCTCTTTCTTCCACCTCTTCCTCTTTCCTTTTTCTTTTTCCTCTACTTCTCGGTACACTACTTTTTCCTTCCCTTTTTTACAATTCGACCTTAATATTCCCGGGCGGCGTGGTCTTTGAGGAAACACGCTGGTGCCGTCGACGTTTCCACCACTTTTTACTCACTTCCGCACTTTCCACACATTCGCTCGCACGCATCCGGCATCATCGAACGCGCATTGCGAAAGACAGGGCGAAAACACGCAAAGGAGACAAGGGCGGGCTTGTTCTGATTTGACTAGGTTGACCATTATGCACCCAGGCCCCATCCGCATTTGTACTGTACTGCACTGCGTTGCACTGCACTGCATCATTGTCTTTTGTCAGGACCTCATATGAAACCCCCTTCCGTTCCCCCATCATCCCCTCTTCACCTAATAATAAGCACCATCCCCCATGTTGCTGCTCACCCTCACTCTCATCTTAATCCCCCTTCGTGCCCTTCCCAAGCAGCTCTACCCTTTCCCCAGCACTTCTTCCCCATGTTTCTGCTCGCGTAGGTTTGTTTGTCGGTCTATCTTAATCTTATCTGGTTTCTCGTTCAGGCTCGGGCGCTCTGGTTTGGCGGCGGGGTTATACGGTGGCGCACTGCTGGTGGTTGTGGTGACTGTTTTGTCGGACTGAACGGAAGACGGGCGGCGGCTGTGTGGTGGGATGGTATGGGATGGTATGCGGCAAATCGGCCATTTGAGGGGGACGAAGACACTGGCAGCAAGCAAAGCAAAGCAAGCAAGCAAAGCAATAGACGGCTTCTCTCACGGGCAATGATGCTAGGTGGTGATTTGGTGGTCTCTGTTCTATTCTCTCTTTCTCTCTCTTTCTCTCTCTTTCTCTCTCTTTCTCTGTCGTGATGCATTCGATTGGGGGTTTAATTTTCTTGGTTTTATTCCATTTCATCTCATCTCGTATCCTTGACCGATATCTTTCTTTCTTTCTTCCCTATACAAGTTTCTGGTAACGGTTCTGGTTCCGGACTCTTTTCTTGCTTGCTCCTTCCGACGCCTCCTTGCACTCTCTACCCGGAGTCGCTGCTCAGATCCGTCTTTCCATGTTTGGAACCCCAGCCAGCCACGATGGCGTCTCCGCGTGGAGTTGGTGCCTAGGTGGGTAGGCACGGTAGGCACGGCAGACGGCTGGTCGCTTGCGTGGTGGCGGACACGAGGGCAGGCATTAGGTACGTATTTACGAACCGGACGGGGCGGGACGGGATAACGGTCGTACCTAGGTAGGTAGGAGGTACCTGGATACAGCCACGCAGGCACTCCATTTCGTCCATCTGGCCTCCTCGGTGCGGATAACGACGCTGTGACAGGATACAGTACCTAGGTATCAGCAACGTCGCTGTCGTTGTCGTTGGCGCTGTGTCCTACCTGGTCTATTCATTCATTCATTCATTCATTCATTCATTCATTCATCGTTTTGTATCGTCGTCACTGCTACTGCTACTGCCACAGGCACAACAACAACAGCCAACAACCAACCTCTCACGCCCATTAACCCATCCACCCATCAATTTCCCTCTCTCTCACCTACCAACCTACCAACCAACCAACCAACCTACCCACCTACCCAGACACGGCACGGCTCACACACACACACACACACACACACACACGCTAAGCCACCACGGCCGCGGCCGCAGCCTCGCCGTGCCCTGCCGGGCTGGAGCGGGGCGGGACGGCGCGTGCTTGCTTGCTTGCTTGCGTGCGTGTGTGCGTGCGCGAGCGGCGGATGTGGGTGTGGATGGGAACGTGGTCGCCCTGCTTGCGTACCTATTCGTTCTGCTCATACTCGCGTTCACATGCAGCTGCGTGCGTGCGTGCGCGTGTGCTGCTGCGTAGCTAGATTGGATGGTATGCTATGCAGGCAGGCAGGCAGGCATGCATGCATGCGGGAGTGTGCGCGTGCGTGCGTGCAAACGTGGGGTTTGCGGGGCGTGGTTGGCTGCGTGTGCTGGGGGTTTGGCGTCAGGGCAAGTGGCCGGGAGAAAGAGAGGAGGTGGATGGATTGGATTGGGAGGGCCCTGCATGCGTGCGTGCGTGCGGTGCAAGTGTTCTGGAATCGGGGTTGGCTTTGGCGTGGGCATTCGTTCGTTCGTTTGTTCAACTCCCGTGTCGTCAATCAAGTCAGTCAGTCAAGTCAATTGATCGTTCAAGCAATCAAGTAAATCTTGTTTCCATGGACGGAGACGCGAGCGTACAATATGTAGCCGAGGGCCCAATGACAAGGCGTGGATTAGCGGCGATGAAGAAGGTGGAGACAAGCAGGGATGGATGGTGCCGGTGGTGGAGGAGGCGATGGATGGAGATCCTCCTCGGCTGAGTCCGTCGTCTAGGGAGGGCCCCTGCCTTGTACAGTCGGCTACACAAATTGAAGAGCCGGGGCAAGCGAGCGACCGGGGTCAGCACCCACTGCAGCTATTTCAACCGGCGATTTCTCCACCACCTTCTCCTTCAGACACAAAAAATGGGTCGGGTTTACAAAACAGACAGGCAAGAATGGCCTGAGCATGAAATTCAGGCCATGTGGCTGTTATTCAAGCACGGAGTCTCCACCTAAAAAATTCGAGTAGAATTCGGTATCCTAAAGTCGTCGCTAAACACGATCCTTCGTAAGTATAGGAATAATAATTAGACTACTATTACTAAGTAAAAGTATCCTAGGTAACCTACGAAGCTAGACGAGCGAGCTAAGCGACGTTTTATTTAAATTATTACTAATAATCTATTTAAATTAATTACATACCTAGTAATGCCTAGTAATATTAGGTCTCGTATTTATATTAATATAGTATAAAAATAATTACTAAGTATAAGGTCTACGCTTTTAGGCTATATAAGAAACCCTATTTAATTCTAAAATATAAGGAGGTATAGCTTTATTTCGTATAAAAATAGATAAATCTAAAAGAGAAAGATCTTTATCTAATTTACTTTTCTAACGAGTTAACCTTCGAGATTAGTCTAAATATAATTTATAACTATATCTACTACTAAAAAGGCTAGGCCTATAAGAGTTACTTTCTTAAGCTAACCTTTAAGTCTAGTAGGTTCTCTATTAGTATCTAGGCGGTAATTTTACTTAGAGAGAAAGGTAATATAGTAATTCTTATAAAGGGAAAATGTATAAATTCGACTCTCTACTATAGAGATATTCTAAATAGTCCTATCTTCTCTTTTTATAGAAAAATTACTAATCTTTATAGAGATACTATCTAATAGGAGGACGGTACGAGATATTATACATCTAAGATATCTATAGCTTTCTACTTAGCTCTTTTTATATAGATACTTGACTAGCTAGTATAGTTACCTAACCTAAATCTAATTAAGAACATATAACGAATTATTAAGGCTTGTATTTACTAGCATAGATAATAAATAAATTTAATCTAGGAGATAGAGACAGTGCTGAAGGACGAGTAGGATAGGTTAACTCCTGTAGACTAGAAGAGATATATTTTAAACTAGTAGGACCGCTATAGAGCGGTAATTAAGGCGAAGGGAGGATCAACTCGGTACTAAAAGTGTCGCTGCTAGATTCTCTAGTATCTGTTGCATAGATTCGAATTTCTTGAATATCCTGGTGTTGAATTGATCGCTGAATGGGTGCTTCTTCGCAGCAGGGTAGTTGACTCAGAGCGAGCAGGGACCGGGATGGCCCTTCCATTTGTGTAGCCGACTGTACATACCATGCCTACCATACCTAGGTAGATGATCGCGAGTGTTCTAGACGCCGACATCAGCGTCGTCTACCTAGTCTGTCATGCACTCCGTTCGTCGTGTAGTAAGCTGGGGTATGATGGATGTACTAAGCCAGCTGCGAACGCATTCCTGCTCATCATTCCAGCCCGTCCAGTCACGGCCCTGCTCGCCGCATCCATGCCTAGCTAGGTATCCATCCATCCAATCCATGCACGCCATCCACCCACACTCACTCACGCATCAGACTTTCTGCACGCTGTAGCCGCGCGCCTTGCCGGGCAACGGGTTGCCGCGGGAGCTTCGCTTCCTAAGTGAAGCCGGGCGGGTAATCAGCCTTGGTGCGCGCGCGCGATAAGATGGCCATTAGGTAGGTGTCATATATCCGTATCCATATCCTTGTAGCATGTAGCATGGAAGTATGGAGCGGGCCCGGCGCGCTGGCGCCCGTCCCGTTCCCGTTTCGGCTGGCGAGGCTCGTGTTTGGGGCGCGCGTGCTCGGTTTGGGAATGAATGAATGATGGCGGGCCGTTCGGCGAGAGAGAGAGAGAGAGGGAGAGTGATCAGTCAGCTGGCCATGGGCCCGTTGCTAACTCCTGCAACCCCGTGTGTAAGTGGGCAGGTCTGAAGCCTCAGGCTGGGGAAAAGCTGCCGATAGTTACCTGCCAACCATTCGTCGCATGCCAGGGTTACTGTATCGCGCCTTACGAGCTTACGAGCTTGGCCCTGCCCTGTCTTGCCGATAACGCTAGGTATCGTTTAGGACCTGGCAAGTGATCACCACCCGTGGCCGAGCACGCAAGCAGCAGCAGAAAAAAGCCTAAATAAACCAAAAAGCAAAAAAAAAAAAAAAAAACGAGAAAAAGCAAAGTTAGACCCACGCAAGCAAGCAAGCAATGCCTTGCTCTCGTGCCGTCGTTGAGCATCCTTGCAAGTGGCGCTGCTCTGTAAGCCGTTTATCGTGGGCATGGCTGGTTGCTGGGGGGTGATTGCTCGAGGGTTATGTTGTGGCTGACGGATAGACGGGCGCGTGTGTGAGCATGCTTTTTGCGCGGATTGGGGACTCCGTTACTGTAGGTCCTTGTGTTGAGTGGGCTGGGCTGGGAGTAGGATGAGCAAGCGAGTAAGTGAGTAGCTGCCCGGGTTGCTTACCTGCCTATCTCCCTAGGTACCTACCTAGTCCCTACCTACCTACCTACCGCGCCTGCGATCACGCGTTCCTGATATCTTCACTCTAGGTAAGGCACCCATGTGCGTACATACATACATACATACATACACACCCCCACCCATCCATCCATACGTCCATATGTACAGCCATGACGCCCACGCACGTGCTCCCCACCCCCAACCCCACACACACCTCCCTAGGTCCTACCTACCTCCGCAGTCCCAGAGCCAAACCAAACCCACGCAAAGGTGACGTCCTCGATCCGGAGCGGAGCCGCCCCCGAGATCCTGCAGTGCGCGGTCATCTGGCGTCGCCGTGCAACGCGACGCTAGGCAGTGCAGCATGCCTTGCCTTGCCCTGCCATGCCCTGCCCTGCCATGCCCTGCCAGGGTCGGGTCAGATCAGGACGACGAAGGTACTCACTCCGTACGCGTGCGTGGTGCGCACGCACGCCGTACGCACTCGTACTGCGTGTATCGCGTGCGCTGGTGCTGGTGCTCGTGCCCATGTTAGGTCGCGCGTGAGGACTGACTGCGGAATACATACCTACCTAGTAGTGAGGCGCGCAAGCTCGCTCCGTTGCTTGCTTCTGCCGTGCCGCGGCGTGTCGTGCGTGTGCGCAATCGGAATCCAATCCCAAGTCCAAGTCCAAATCCAAACCAATCCGTAAAGGCAGGGCAGGGCGAATCGCGCTGCTCGTCTGCCCATGCATCCATCTACATATCTCCTCCCACAGCAACAGCAACAGCAGCCGACGCGGCTCCCCGCACCCCACACTCCACACCCTATGCCCAACTGCACTGGCTGGCGTGCACGCGCAGCAACCACCACGACGACGATCGCGCATTCGAAATACCTACATACCTACTAGGTACTCTGCGTAAGCAGCCGCGCACGCGCACACTCGCGTAGAACGCGTCCGAGCCCTTCTCAGCCGCATGCGATGTCTCATTGGCGGGCGGGCAGGCGAGCTTGTACACTGCCTACTGCGTGGGTACTGCGCACAGTGTACAGTAAGTACACACATGGCACATCAGTACGCGCACACACAGCACACCCACACACAACCAGGTGAGCACAAACCTAGTGCGCGGTTTCTGGCTGTCGACCATTTCAGTAGAAGATGCATAAGCATAAGAAAATAGGGAAAAGAAGATAGGAAAAAGAAAAAGAAAAGGAAAGGAAAGGAAAGGCCAAGACTCTGCAGACGAGTTAGGCAGTCAATGCAAAGCGGAACCTGCAGGAAAGCAAGGGAAGGGAAGCGAGGGAGGGAAATGGAGGAAAAGGAGAGGAGAGGGAAAGTGGGTGAAGGAGAGGAGCAGAGGAGAGAGAAGTACATACCAACCTACACACCTACAAGGACACAGCCCATACGTCTCCAAGAGCCGAGCCACATGTATATGTACCTACCACGGTATACACGCACCTACAGTAGGTAGAAGGGCAGATCCACTCGCCCGCACAGCTCCTACCCAGCGCAACGCAGCACCCAGCCCCCCAAAAGAAGAAACTTCACCAAACCTCACCTCACCAATGGATCCAAACCAAACCAACCAAAAGAAAAAAGAGGAAAAAAGAAAGAAATAAACAAAAAACCATGCATTTTCAAAGAAAAAGAAAACATATCGTCATCGTTTCTACAGTAAGGTAAGGTACTAAGGTCGTCAGCTACCCGCACACGCACACGCACATCCAGCATACAACCCCCTCTCTCTGTCCGTAATAAACACGCAATGAAGGCCCAAAACATGTCTAGGAGCCACGGTGCTACAGCAGCACTGCGCGCCGCCCATCATGCGGCCGAGCTAGGTAGCGTGTCCAGCCTAGCGTAGCTTAGCTCAGCTCCGCTCGTCGAGTGCAGCAGCAGCAACGGCCGGAGTGGCCGACTGGCCGACTGACGGCGTGCGCACTTGCTCGCCTTGCTTGCGTGCGTGCAGCCTCCTCAACCTCCTTCGCGTCGCTCCCCCTCCACCCGCTCCAGCCTGTACCAAAAGAACAAGAACCGTCGCCTTTCAACACGCACACACGCTTCTTCTTCCCCCACGCGCCCTACTCAAAGCTATACCGCAGCCACTCGCCCACGGCGCGCAGACTCTCCCACCGGACCGTCTCGTCCTTGTCCGCCATAAGCTCCATAACGCGGGCCTTGAGGCCCATGCGCTCCAGCGCGCCGCGCTTCTCCGGGCACTCCTTGACGAGGCACGCGACGTCGTTGCAGCCAATGGCGAGGACCTGCTTGTCCGTGTCCCAGGGCTTGGCCAGGATGGACGCCAGCGTCTTGGGCAGCGCGCCCTGCTCGTCCTCGATGATGCGGCGCGCGTTCTCCCGCCAGAAGGCCGGGTTGCGGTGAGGTGGCGACCAGCGCAGGTGCCCCGCGTGCAGCTCCGCCGCGTACTGGTCGAACGTCGTCTGCGTCTTGGTGTAGTCTTCCATGAGATCCTTGAGCGAGGTGAGGTCCTCGAGCAGGTCCTCGTCCGTCAGGTGCCGCGACTGCAGCGACTGCAGCAGCGCTGGCAGCTTGGCCAGCGTCGCCGCCGGCAGCAGCGTGCTGGGGTTCGCGTCCAGCAGGTTGCGCAGCGTCGACAGCAGTAGACGCGTCGTCTTCTCCTTGGGAGAGGCCCGCAGCAGCGCAGAGTAGAGAGTGATGATGTCGTGTTCGCTGTGTGCGTGATTAGTGCCTGTGCTCGTGAACGTGATTGGTGGCGTGCGCTGAGCTTACTCGTCGAGACCTTCGCCCACCAGCTTGCCCTCAAAGCTCAACTGCCATATCACGAGCAGGACGTGGTACAGCAGCTGCAAGCCCACACCTCCGCTGAGCCCAACATCGGCGTTGCTGCGAATGCTGCCGCTTCCACTGTACAGAGTCGAGTCAGAGTCCTTGCCATTGCCTGCGGCCGTCTTCAAAATCTCCATCAGCGGGTCCACCGTCTCCTTCCTCTGCTTCCAGAAGAGGGACCTGGACTTGGACGTCCGCAGCAGTGCCGAGTATTCTTGCACCGCAATGTCTTGCAGGCCGTTGTCGGAGCTCTTGGCCAGCGTCGACAGGTAAGCGTACAGCTGGGGCAGGGCCTCGTCGATCTGGGGGGACTGCTTGGGCTGCGAGGTGAGGGCTTCCGAGATCAGGCTCGACAGGACGGCGGAGGTGAGGAGGGGTATGGGATCCTCGGGGTTGGTCGACTGCTTGAGGAGGGGCAGGAGGGGCGCGAACGGGCGGGGGTGCTTGGTCAAGGCCTTGGTGAAGGAGGGGATGTCTTGGGCGATAAAAAGTCAGCGTGGGGCCGGGGCAATTGGGCGGGAGAGCGCACCATCGACCAGATCGCCGGTGAGCACAAGCATATACTGGATGATGTCCTGGCGCTTGCCCTTGGAGGCGGCGTCGAAGATGTTCTGGGCATCGTCGGCACCCAGCAGCAGGGCGACGAAGCTGGCCTCGTCGGCCTCGATGGTCTGCTTGCGCTGCTCTTTCCGCACCTTGTCAATCGACTTGATCTTCTTCAGGTCGGCATCGGTGATGGTCTTGGCGCGCACGGCACCTTCCCACGAGATGGGACGAGCGCGGATGTTGTTCTGCAGCGAGAGGATGTAGGTGGGCGGGTCCAGAGACATGGCGGCGATGGAGAGTGAGGGAGAGAGGAGAGGTCGGGTTGTGGAGCGAGAGGTGTGTAGTTAACTAGCTAACTAGCTTCCTTGGGCGGTGTTGCTGTTGTTCAAGGCCCATGACGAATCCCTGCCCGAGCAGTCCGAGCTCGACCGCCAACACCAACACTCTGGACTGCACCACCCGCGCCCGCGCCATGCCTGCTGCACCCTTCTATCCGGGGCGCCGCCTGTCTTATCAAACCGACCTGTGCACCGTCCGCTATGTCGGCCCCGTCCAGGGCACCAAGGGCGACTGGCTAGGCGTCGAGTGGGACGACCCCGCCCGCGGCAAGCACGACGGTTCGCATGGCGGCGTGAGATATTTCGAGTGTATGTCGTTGCGAGTCTGCGTGTTGCTTTTCTGACAAGCCCGCTCACGTAGGTGCCAGAAAGCAGCATCCCACGGCCGGCTCTTTTGTCCGCCCCACCCGGCCGTCTGATCCCCCAAATTCCTTCGTCGAGGCTCTGCACAAGAAATATGCCTCTGAGCAACTCGACGAAGACGTCGTCATTCCCGGTCTTTCCGTCCAAATCATTGGAAAGGCTCCCGACCATGTTCCCGTTGATTCGCGCGGAAAGGCCATCATGTTCAACGGCAAGGTTGCTGAAGAAGTCGGCTTCGACAAGATCCGAAAACGCCTTGCCGACCTGAAAGAGCTGCGAATCGTCATCCTCGACGGTATGTTGATGGCTCGTCCTTTGCCTGCGCTCCAGTTGCCAGATGGCGAACTTGCATCTGAACACTTGACGGACGTCAAGGATACTTCCCCCAAAATCTACGAGCTCGACCTTAGCCGGAATCTGCTCGAAGAGTGGCGAGAAGTTGCCTCTATCTGCATTCAACTTGAAAGTCTCAAGAATCTTCGAGTAGATGGCACCAGACTAAGAAGCATCCAACTGGACGCGAATCTCTCCTCAGCTTTTTCCAAAGTTACAACTCTTGGCCTCGAGGATACTCTCCTCAGCTGGGAAGAAGTGGTCGCAATTACCTCTAGGTTCCCAAGCCTGACATCGCTAAACGCTTCCAACAATGCCTTCAGCAAACTATCCGACGCTTTCTTGCCGAGCAGTATCACCGAACTCATCCTTGAAAAGAACGGGTTCCAGGCATTGAGCGATCTGGCCCCTTTGACGAAGTTGCCAAACCTCAAAGTTCTGCGTCTCAAGAACAATAAAATTTCAGTGGTCAATGATACTGAGACTTCCAACGAGTCTCCGGTGTTTTCTTCGAGTCTATTCGAAGTCGACTTATCATATAATGCAGTGTCCGACTGGGCCTTTATTGATGCCATCCCCAGCGCCTTCCCCGGTTTGACCGCCGTACGCTTTTCGGAAAACCCCTTGTACAAAGACCTTCGCACTGTCGACGGCAGGTCTCTCACGGCAGATGACGGATACATGCTCACAATCGCGCGTCTTGGCAACCTTAAGAGCCTGAATTACAGCGCCATTGTTGAAAAAGAAAGGCTGAATGCCGAAACGTGGTACCTCTCACAGATTGCGGCCGAGTTATCATCAAACCCCGAGAGCAAAGAAAAAGACATTATCGCAAGCCATCGCCGGTACGGAGAGCTATGCGCCGAGTACGGAGACCCCGTTGTGAAGCGCGCAGAGGGGGGTGCAGCGTTGATTCATCCGAACTCTCTGGCAGCAAGGTTGATTCGGTTCACGTTCTACGCCGGGGAGTCTGTCAAGACACGTCTCAGCGCAGAGGTAGAGACTGAGTTTAGCGTGGAGCTGCCTCGCAGCTTCACGATCTACAGCGCATTGGGCGTTGTGGGGAAGAGATTTGGACTGCCACCACTGGAACTGCGTCTTTTGTGGGAGACGGGGGACTGGATTCCGGTGGAGGAGATATTTGAACGTGGGACGGAGGAGATTGGGGAGTGGGACAGCGATTCGGAAGAAGAAAATAGCGGCAAGCAGGAGGCGAAGACGATCAGGGAGGTGGAGTGGGTAGCGGGGACTAAAATGGTGGGGACGTGGGTGGAGGGGATGGAGGGTCGGGTGAGGGTCGAGGCAATGGCGCAAGGCGTGAGGTTGGGGTAAGGTGTGGTAATTGCCAACTAGAGGGAGATCCAAGATTAGATTGCGTTTGCTATTCGTAGTTACTGGGAGGACGGCGGCTTTTACAGCAGCTCTATCGTCCAGAGTCGGGGCAATAGTCAAGCCGCATAGGGGCTGGCAGCCTTTACTTCCTACCTAGGTTCCTGGCGCGGCCCTGGTATAATTCTCAAACGGCAGGTCCTCCTCCTATTGCTCGCGGGGAGCTTCTAGACGGGCGAGTCATGCTGCTCCGCGTTGTCTTTTACGCCCGAAAGTAGCAGCGGGCCAATCAGCACGAGGGATTAGACAGCCTCGGTTCGAGCAGCGCAGGTCAACGACTGCACAGGCACGGTGATGCTCCGAGAAGATGCAAAGCCGCATAGCCGCATGTGATGGTGCTAGCGCCAAGCTCGTAAATGTGTTGAGATTTCGTTGTCGCGGGCCGGGGTGCGTCATACGGGAATCCCGATTGCAGCTGGCGTACTCTGGGTGGACCTAGTGTCAATCGCTGTAGCGGCCGTACGCCATCTTCGATTGCAACGTCAACCCCGAGGCTGTCCAAACAAATCCCGCGTGTACGGTTCACGGTGCAACTGTCTTTCCTTTGCTTCTTTCCTGCATATCACCTGTCCTTTCCTGCATGACCCCTCATCCGCAGTCTTACTTATATACCCTGCTACATCTGCCAGAATGCTCTCTCACTTTGCTCTAGTAGACCCCGCTGTACGCCAAAACACAAACATGGCGGACCAAGAGAACAAAGAGGATGTCCCTATTCCGCAGCCGCCAGGCTTGCCCTTCTTTGGCAACATTGCAGACATGGACCCCGAGTTCCCCCTCGGCTCGCTCATGCGCATGGCAGACACGTACGGTATGTTATACGCCTACACCTACCTAATCCGGCACAAGCCTGACACCGTCCTCCAGGCACCATCTACAGATTCGTCATCGCCGGGCAACCACGCGTCGTCATTGGCAGCCAGGCGCTGATGAACGAGGTGTGCGATGAGTCGCGGTTCATGAAAAAGGTCGTGGCCGGGCTGGAGGAGGTGCGCAATGGCGTGCACGACGGTCTCTTCACAGCATACGGCCCGCAGGAGCGCAATTGGGGAATCGCCCACCGCGTGCTCATCCCCGCCTTCGGGCCCCTCTCCATCCGCGGCATGTTCGACGAGATGCACGACATTGCAAGCCAGCTGGTTCTCAAGTGGGCCAGGCATGGCCCCGCCCACAACATCGAGGTCGTCGACGACTTTACCCGCCTGACGCTCGACACACTCGCTCTGTGCGCCATGGACTACCGCTTCAACTCCTACTACTACCAGCAGATGCACCCATTCATTGAGGCAATGGCCGGCTTCCTCGTCGAGTCTGGCAATCGCGCGCGCAGGCCTGCCATCACCCAGGCTTTCTACAGGCAGGCGCAGTACAAATACGAGGCCGACATTGCACTGCTCCAGAAGACGGCATACGATGTCATTAAGACACGGAGGGCGAACCCTGTCGACAAGAAGGATCTTCTGAACGCTATGATTGATGGCAGAGACCCCAAGACTGGCGAGGGTCTCAGTGACCAGAGCATCATGGACAACATGATTACGTTCCTGATCGCCGGCCACGAAACCACCTCTGGCCTTCTCTCATTTGCCTTTTACTACTTGATCAAGAACCCGCAGGCCTACCAGAAAGCTCAAGAAGAGGTGGACAAGGTCATTGGCAACGGCCCCATCACCATCGACCACCTGTCGAAGCTCCCGTACCTGAACGCCGTGCTGCGCGAGACGCTGCGTCTGACCCCGACAGCCCCGGCCATTGCCATGGCGCCCCTGAAAGATGAGGTTCTCGGCGGCAAGTTCCACGTCCAGAAGGACGAGGCTGTTGTCGCTCTGCTCCCTAAGATCCACCGGGACCCGGTGGTGTACGGCGAGGATGCGGACGCGTGGCGCCCGGAGAGGATGCTCGACGAGAACTTTGACAGGATCAACAAGGAGTTCCCCAACTGCTGGAAGCCGTTTGGAAACGGCATGCGTGGCTGCATCGGCAGGCCGTTCGCGTGGCAGGAGGCGCTCCTGGTAAGCTTCAATTCACTCACTTTATTCCGTGCCGTGGAAGCTGACATGACCAGGTCACGGCAATACTTCTCCAGAACTTCAACTTCGTCGCCGAAGACCCCTCGTACCAGCTCAAGTTCAAGCAGACCCTCACCATCAAGCCCAAGGGCTTCCGCATGCGCGCCACGCTCCGCAATGGCCGCAGTCCCACATCGCTGGAGCACCAGCTCACGTCGACGAGCATCACGGAACCCAAGGACAACGGGCGCAAGACCACTGACAGCAAGGGCGGTGCCACGATACAGGGCGGTGTCCCGCTGTCGGTCTTCTACGGCTCCAACACGGGCACATGCGAGGCGCTGGCGCGTCGACTGGCCGGCAACGCGGGCACGTACGGCTTCTCGGTCAAGACGGTCGACGCGCTCGACGCGCTCAAGGCCTCCGTGCCGACGGATCACCCCGTCGCCATTGTCACGGCGTCGTTCGAGGGTCAGCCGCCCGACAACGCCGGCCACTTTGTCTCGTGGCTGGAAAGTCTGGAGGGCAACGAGATGGACAAGGTCAACTACGCCGTGTTTGGCTGCGGGCACCACGACTGGGCGCAGACGTTCCACCGCATCCCCAAGCATGTCGACACGCTACTCGAGCAGCGCGGTGGTCACCGCATCGCGCCACTGGGCACCGCCGACGCCGCCGCCGGCGATATGTTCACTGACTTTGAGCGCTGGGAGGACGAGATCTTCTGGCCCGCCATGAAGGCCCAGTATGGCAGCCAGGCCAGCTCGGCCGCGGCCGGCGGCGCCCTCGACCAGTTTGAGGTGCAGGTCTCGAGCCCGCGCCCGTCGACGCTGCGCCAGGAGGTCAAGGAGGCGCGTGTCGTGGCGGCGCGCACCCTCACCGCGCCGGGTGTCCCCGAGAAGCGGCATATTGAGATCCAGCTGCCGTCGGACACGGAGTACTCGGTCGGCGACTACCTGGCGGTGCTGCCGCTGAACCCGAAGGAGACAGTCGCGCGCGTCATGCGCTACTTCGGGCTGGCGTGGGACAGCATGCTGACGGTGTCGGCGTCGTCGCCCACGACGCTGCCGACGGACAACCCCATCTCAGCCGCAGACCTGTTCGGCGCGTACGTGGAGCTGGCGCAGCCGGCCAGCAGGCGCAACGTAGCAACGCTGGCCGAGGCGACGCAAGACGAAGCAACGAAGAAGGAGCTCGCGCGGTACAGCAGCGACGACGCCGCCTTCAGCGCCGAGATCTCGGCCAAGCGCGTCAGCGTGCTGGACCTGCTCGAGCGCTACCCCAGCGTCACGCTGCCGCTCAACTCGTTCCTGCAGATGGTGCCGCCGATGCGCGTGCGGCAGTACAGCGTGTCGTCGTCGCCGCTGCAGGACCCCGCGCACGCCTCCCTCACCTACGCCGTCCTCGACCAGCCGGCTCTGGGCGGCGCGCCCGGCGCCCGCCACCTCGGCGTCGCGTCCAGCTACCTGGCGCGCCTGGGCGTCGGCGACCGCCTGCACGTCAGCGTGCGCCCCAGCAGCCAGGCCTTCCGGCCGCCCGTCGACGCCGAGAACGTCCCCGTCGTCATGGTCGGCGCGGGCAGCGGCCTCGCGCCCTTCCGGGGCTTTGTGCAAGAGCGCGCCGCGCAGCTCGCCGCTGGGCGGTCCCTCGCCCCCGCCCTGCTGTTCTTCGGCTGCCGCGACCCAGAGGGCGACGACCTCTACCGCGAGGAGTTCGAGCAGTGGGAGAAGGCCGGCGCGGTCGAGGTCCGTCGCGCCTATAGCCGCCAGCCGGACGCTAGCGCCGGCTGCAAGTACGTCCAGGACCGGCTGTACGCGGACCGCGCGGACGTGCTGGCGCTGTGGGAGCGCGGCGCAAAGGTGTTTGTGTGCGGCAGCTCCGAGGTGGGCAATGCGATCCGCGAGGTCAGTCTGCGGATTGCGCGCGAGAAGGCCGAGAGTGACGGGAAGGAGACGAGTGATGAGCGCCTCGAGAAGTGGTTTGAGGGTGTTAGGAACGATCGGTATGCTACGGATGTTTTTGCGTAGATGGGGGGTGGTGTTTTGGGATATATAAGGGAGGGCTTTTGTTAGATATTAGATATCTGTGTATGTGTATGTGTGTATATGGTATACCTACTATGCTATGCTATGCTATGCTGTTTTCTGGGTTCTGCTATGTATCCGTATCCGTATCTGTACGAGGGGAACTATATCGACACTTGCATCGACGACGACAACGACTAAAGCACTGTACACAGCAAGGACGAACCGCACGACGTCTGTCTATAGGTATGTATATGCAAGAAAGTAAAGTCCTCGGTAAGTAGAGACAAACACAAACACATACGCACACAATATCTACACATCCACACCACAATGTCCAAAAACAGCACTGTACATTCCACATTCCCGCCACCACGCCTCCTATACACAGCCAGCAACCAACGAGGCTCGGCTCGGCGCCTAACCCGAATCCAAACCACGGGCACACAACACGCCTCTTCTCTATACAACCAAGACCAAGTCTCGCAATCCCAACCCATCACAACCCATCACAGCCCACCCACCAGACAACCAACCAACTCAACTCAACTCAACTCAGCTCAAAAAGCTCCTCACGCGCCCTCCCCCTCAGCACCCGCTCCGGTATCAGCGCTCGCACCCGCACTAGCAGCGACATTGGCCGCAAACGCCGCCGCAGCCGCCGCGCTGCCAGCCCCCTCGGGCGGCTCCGGCGTCGGCGGCTTCGCGGGCCGTATCTCCTTGCGCCCGTTCGCGCGGTACAGGAGCAGCACGTCGCCGGCGCCGCGCCAGACGTGGGCGCGCATTGTCGCGAGCGTCATTGTGGGGGGGATGAGCTGGTTGGGTTTTGCGTGTTAGTATGTTGAGGGACAGGAGAGATAGATGGAAAGAAGGGAGGAAGGAAGGAAGGAAGGAAGAAAGGAAGGAAGGGGGAGTGAGGGTTGAGGGAGGGGGATAGCTGCTACTGCTACGTACCTGGCCATTACACAACAACTCCAAATACTCCTCGGGCTTAGGCGCGTCGGGCTCAGGCGTCTCCGGCAATGGCTCGATGCGCTCAGCCACGTACGCCATGATCTTGCGCGCGCGCAGCATGCGGTTAGCATTGAGGCGGTTGTTGCCGTCGTGCGCGATGGCCGGGAGGCCGCCCTCCCACGGCTCCAGCACAAACGACACCTTGACAATGTCCTTCAGCGGCGGGTTGTTGCGCAGCAGCGTCTCGCCCAGCCACATGGGCGCCACGCGCTCTATCAGCGACGCCTGCTGCCCCAGACTCGCTACCGTGCCCTCGAACAGGTCGGCTACCCCGCCCGAGTCTGGCCGGTCCTCTTGGATCAGGATCGTGGTGCTTGGCGGCGGCTTGAGCACCGGCGTCTCGTTCGCCAGGCTGGGCGTTAGGCTCGACGTGAGGCTGCGCGCGCCCTCGGCTACTTCGTCTTCGTACCGGTGGCGGAGCTTCTGGATCACGCCGAGGAGGTTGTCTTCGACGACGCGGTCTTCGGTCCGCGACGACCGCGAGTCCGAGTCCTCAGGTGTCTCGTCGACGGCGGCGGGCTTGTTGGCCGCTGCTTCCGTGATCTGTGTGCGGCTGTGTTTCCGCATGCCAAACGACATCTTGAACTTGCGCCCGAAGCTGGCGTCCTTGTCTTTGACCTTTTCCGGCTCCGACGGCGAGTTCAATGGTCCGTCATCTTGCTGGCCATTGGCCGTTGACGGCGGCGGTGGATTCGTGGAAAAGTAATCGCCTTTTTCCAAGGATCCCCTCTCGCGACTAAGCTGCGTATTAGTCTTTTCCAACTGCCCACCTTCTTCGACCGTCGTGGGGAGAGTGTTGAATTGCGCGCTGCTCCCTGGAGGCATGCCTGAAGGGGTAGCAACGCCAATAGCCAATCCTGGAGTAGTTGCGGGAAGGTGTGCGCCATTGGGCGGCCGGATGGTTGAGGCGGATGGAGGGGCGGAGCCTTCCTTCCATCCATTCATTTCAATCTGGGGTATCTGTATATTGTTTGGTGCATTGTTACGTTGGACGCTCGAGCTTTTTTCCTGAAAGAGTCCCTGTCTAAATTCCTCGTCTCTCTTGATTTCTTCATCGATGAGGTTTGCGAAAAGGTAACGCAATATCCACTTGCCAAGGTTTACTGGTTGGTGCTCGTCAGTGACTGCCAGCTTTGCAAAGAGGTATGTATCTGCAAAGCCTCCGCGCAAGGAGACAGAATCTTTGATGAGTCACTCACTTCGCTGGTCATCCCTGAACTCAACAGGTTCCTCGAGTTGCAGTTCATCTGCATACATTTCGGCATCGAAGCAGTGCTTCTCTTCAAGTACGCAAGTCAAGCTACCAGTCCTGGTATCGACTGCGCACCAATGCGCCACTGTCTCCATAGTGTTGACCTCAGGGAGAACGTCTTCCAGATGGCGCTTGCCGAAAGACTTGATGGGAACACACTTTGTGCTTCTTAGCTATGCAAAGGCAAGACGATGACCACGATTACTAACCTGAATGAGATCCCATAGCATTGCTTCACCGGCCGTATCTAGTGTTAGTACTCTCCTGCGATCATTCAACATGACGTGCTTGATAAGGCCGTGTTGCCCTTCTATGGTGTGCTCTGGCGAGTGCCTTATGGGCACTATATTATTGGCAGTGCCCTCTCCTAGGACTTCCGAAGGCTTTCTCATACTGATGGCTGAAGAGTGCAAAGTCGAAGTCTCCTCACGGTTATGGAAAAGATGAAAAGACGCAGCATTCGAAACACGAAGCAAAGCATTTCGGGGTATCTGTTCTTTTTGAGCACCAATCGGTGGAGGCGGACTGCCGGGCTGTGTTGGAGATGGCAGCCGTGCCGTGCGGCTCGTGGCAGTGCTCATGCGATGGTGTTTCCAATCGGGCGGCTGGACATCAGCCTCAGTGTTCACATCTTTCCAGCGGTTGATGCTTGAGCTCGAAGTCGCCGTCCAAACGTGCTCACCGGCACCGACGACCTTGGTTACGCCTCCGTGCTCATGGCATACCGCTACTGACAGACCTTCGTCCATCTCTATGCAACCTCTCACGTCCGTCTTCGCGACGAGACCTGACCGATCACTCGAGTAGAAGACGGACAGTTGTGGGTGATCCGAGTACAACGACCAGACGCTATCGTTGTGCATCGTCAAGGTGTACATGCACCTGCCAGCAATTAACGACCAAACCTTGACGGTCTGATCAGAAGATGCCGTCATAATGGTATCGCCTTCATCCGCAATCAAAATGTCCCTAATATTGTCCGTATGGCCCACGAACTTGGTGATGCGCTTGCCGGACCGCGAGTCCCATAGACGGACCACGCTCTCAGGGCCCCCACCCGCGACGATGAAATCGGTAGCCGCCAGCGCATAGACCGAGCCTTTGGCGGCAAGTCCGCCTTCGTCGCCGACCACGATCTCCATCTTCTTCCCCGCGCCGTTTAAGTCCCATAAGTTTATCTTGCGATCCAGGCCGCCCGACGCAACCCAATTTGCGTATGGGCTCGGCGAGGCCAGGCACTTGACATAGTCGCTGTGGAGACCGAGCGTCTGGGGCGGAATGACGTCTTGAGCGGCGGGTCTCCAGACCTTGACGGACAGGTCGGACGAGGCAGAGACGAGGGCTTCGTTGTTCTGGGCGAGAGCGATGTCGTTGATCCAGTGGGTATGCGCCTGGACCTGCTGGCGGAAGACGGTCGGCGGGGCGGCCGGCTTGGACGAGGCATCATCGAGCGAGCCGTGCCACTCCTTGTGGTCGGGCGGAGCGAGGTCGAGGTTGGTGTCCCAGGCACATATAACACCGTCTCTGCCGCCGGAATAGCTAGGGTTCTAGCGTCAGCGACAAGTCGACAATGCGCTGGCCGTTAGGGGCTTATGACGTACAGTATCGAGTTGTAAGGATCTACAGCCAATCCATTGACGCCTAGACGATGGCCGCCTGCGGAATTCGCAAGAGGCAAGACTGGAGGAGACGGGCATCAGTCGACGGTGGCAGTGTAACAGCCGGGGGTGCGTGTACTCGTACCGTATGAGATACGCTTGCGCGCGTTGCGCCCCATCCCACTTCGATGTCAACGGCGGCTGTCACGCATGTGGGTGCTGGCGCATGCAGTGTCGATGGTCGAGAGCGGCGGGCGGACGTGGGAGTATTTGGCGCGCTTTCCGGATGGCGTAGCAGTGGCAGCTGTACAGTGGAGGGTTGCATGTACCTGGTCTGGCCTTGCGGCGCGCAATGGGGTCGCTAAGCACGAGTCGGATGGCCGCCGGGGGGGTGTGCGCAGCCTGGGGGGGGACATGACAGCGGGCACAGCATTCTGCAGCCCTGCCTGATGCGCGCGCGCGCTGATGGACATTGGACTCGGACTCCGGATTCCATAAGAAGCTCCCGCCCGTGACCTAGAGTTCCTCACCCAACCCCACGTTTCACCAGGCCCGCTGATGTCACACGTGACGCCCTGACCGCCAGTCGCTGCGCCGTTGATTCAAGAGTCAAGACGATAGAAACATCCCCTGAGACTCCACTTTCCCCAACGGCTGCCCTGCCCTTCACCGGTGACCATTCACGCGGATGTCGTCCATCGCCGTTTCCATGGCTTCGGCGTCCGGCCATCATTTCCGCTTACGGACCAGTCCATTGCTGATCTCTGCTTTCGTGAATCATGTACTTATAAACTCCCAGACAACATTCGTAGGTAGCCATTATAAACCTTTTCATCCGCTCAATAAGTCCCGAACGCTCATCCCTCTCGCCTTACCCCCGCCCTCTCCACCCCACGTCCTGCCAGCACTGTTCAGCATCCCCAGCGCCATAGCCGCCTCGTGGTCCTCCCGCGTGTCTGGCTGCGGTCCCAGAGCCGGGCTGCTAAGCACAAGGCTATGGTGCCTTTCGCGGCTCTCCGACATCCCTATGACAGACGGCGAAGGCATTATGGACGGACTCGTCGTTGTTGATATGCTCCCAAAGGCGCGGTGGTAATTTTGTTGCGAAGAAGGTATCATGCCGTAGAAACCCGGCGATGTAGTTAAAGAGAAGTTACTCGGGCGCCGGTCCACGGGACCAAAGGCGGGTGATGTTGTTGCAGAGAAATGACTGTGGTCTGTTTGGTCCACAGGGTAAATCAATGGAGATGTGTTGGTAGAAGGCACTGTCTGCGTGTGGAGAGATTGTGGATATGAAGCAGCAGCAGCCGTCGGAGAGAGAGGTCCATCGATATCAGACATTTCCTCATCCTGGTCCTGGTCCTGATCCTCGTCTTCGCCCGAACAATCGTAGCTTTCATCCTTATTGCTAGAGACAGGTTGAGCCGGTGCAGGGGGCGTCAAGTCACATGCCTCGGACGGAGACGGATTCCCTGTACGTCGAGAAGCCTTGAGCTCCGAGATACATTTCTCAAGGTAACGCATGTATTCAATGCTCGCCTAACAAGTGTGTTAGCTTCTGAAGCATGTGACGTTTGCAGAAAATCCGAAAACTTGATCAAAACGGACAGCGGGAAGAACCTAAAGCACTGCTTACCTGCAATATTGCAAGCTTGTGCATGTCTTGCCCTTCACAAGCGGGAATCATGTCCTTCAGCACACCAAACTCTTCGTTCATTTTCGATCGTCTCCGGCGCTCGATGAGGCTATGGGCTGTCTTGCGGGCAATCTTTCTCCCCGCAGCCGTCGTCCCATCGCCTTTCTTCTTTCTCCCACCACCGCTTGCCTTGGTCTTGGCGGGGGCAGTCTCGCCGTCAACGTCGTCTTGTCCTAGCTTTTGCGCCTGCTGCTCAGACTTCGGCTTCATCTGTATGATTTTGCGACATCTCGTCGGCGGGGGAGGGAGATTAAAGTCATCCTTTGCACTCGCCGTCACAGCGCTGCTGTTACTGGTGCGCTTTCTCGACGCGTTAGACGGCGTTGGCCTGGTGGATGCTGCCGTGGCAGGTGGGGAGTTGGGCTGGTATGACGAGTCCGAGGCATTGCAGGAGGCAACGCTAGAGGAGCTCACGCTGCCCCTCAGGCTTCGGACGTCGCTGCTGCTGCTGCTGCTGCCACCACCCATGGCAGCCGGTGGCAAGGTCCATGAGGGATCATGTGCGACGACAGTGCCCGACTTAGCGGCGATATCAGTCGAGGCAGCGGGCGTGAGAGGCGGTGCTGGGCGAGGCATTGGGAGGAGGAAGGTGGGACGGGTAGTGCAAAGGGAGACATTTTGGAAGGCAGCGGTGGTATATGAACACGGCAGCGACAGAAAGACAGAGTGCTCGCGTGCGCACCTGGAGCAGGTGGCATGCGACGATGCTTTGATTGGCTTCGTGCTGGTCCAGCCAAAGGCGAGGTCGCGCAGCCAATAGGAAGCCACAACGGGCAACGTGCTCACGAACGAAGACTCGTCGGGATGATCACCATTACGCCTGTGATATCTACGATAACTCCCTCGGCCAAAGTCCCGCCACTAATTCCATAGTCTACACGTTCCGTCAGCTCCTGCGCTCGCGCACCACGGCTGTCGCGGGTGCCAGTCGACGTCCAGCACGCCGAGTTCCTTCTTGACCTGGTGTCCGCGGAGCACCTTCAGCGGCACAATCGTCGCATTCTCCATCAGGTCGCCTACCACCTTGCCGTGGAAGATCTGCAGGCTGCCGTCGTCACTTGCGTCGGCGAACAGGGGCAACCCGCCCTGGTGGAAGCGCACCGAGCGAATCGCCTTCTTGTGGTATCGCAGCGTCTTGTACGGCTTGTTCGACAGGTCCAGGTCGTGCCACAACAACCGCTTGTCATAGGATCCCACAATAAGGTTGTCGCCTCCAGGGTGCACATCAAACGAGGAAATCCACCGAGCGCCAGGCTGCAAGATTTTAAGAAGCTCCTGTTTGGCCAAATCGTAGCTGCGAATCGTGCGCTGGGTGGCAACAAAGAAAATCGGCTTGGAAGGGTGGAACAGTGCTGCTTGCGCAAGACCCTTGAGCCGGCGGAACGGAAGCTGCGTCAGGTGTTTCGACAAAGTATGAATGGCGACAGCACTGCTCTGGCCCTGGGGCGAGACCGTCGAGAAATACTCTCCGCGCCTGTGCCAATTGATGACCTTGACCGTTGACCGCACAGTTGCCTTGACCAGCACGCCGTTCTCCTCCAATTGGGAGCCGGGGCGAGTCCATTTGGCCGGAGGAGCCTTTTGCGTGCCATCAGTGCTAGCCCTGGAGGGGTTCGCGGCAGCATAACCCCATCCGGCATCGAGCAAGTCACGGCTTGCCCGCTCTACGTCAGGAGTGACAATTGAAAGCCCGAAAGGAACCATCAAGAAGATATCCTCTCCCGCAGCTGCAGCCAGAATAACCGCATCCTGGACAGGGCGCCACCTTACAACGTTGACAGCCTCTTCGTCTGACAATTTCGCACTCCACTCTTGCCGTCCCGTGAGGATATGCCAAATCCGCACATGACCATCATCACCTCCACTGGCAACGAAACGCCCGGTGGGGTCAACGGCCAAACTGCGTACACGGCCCTCGTGTCCACGGAAGACAGTCGCGCAAGTCGTAGGGAATGGCCTGAGTTCGTCTGGGCTCGGTAGCTTTGGCAACAGCGATTCGGGATCGATGTTGAGTTTGCTTCTCCGTACACGTGGAGCCAGATACAAGTCGAGGCATCTCTCGAACTTTTCCCTGATGAACCTGTCGTAGCCAGGAACCTTGCGTAGAGCATCATGGTCCGTGGGAAGGTATTCCTGCTCGCGATCCTCCTCATCCGCCGCTTGCCAATCCTCTCTCTCCTTCTGATCCGGAAGGTATTCAGGGGGCGGGTGGTAGCTCTCTTCGTAGCCTGGAGGAGGCAGTTTCGGTGCCGGGATGTGCATAACGTGGTCGGGTCGTGGTGCCTCATCTGCCCACAGATCGTATCTCTTGATAGCGGGATCCTCCTCCTCAGTCTCCTCTGGAGGCCTGTAGGGTTGTATCCGACCCTCCTTGATAGCCTTGACAATCTTCATTACCCGCTTGGCTTCGTGTTTCGACGGCACGAATCTCCGCTTAGGCTCCGGCGCTGCGCTCAAAGGCATGACTTCGGTCTTGCTCGTGAAGTATTCGATCATGTCCGGGTAGGGGTCGTAGCCATCAGCAGGAGGCTCGTTACGCGTCACCTGCTTGAGGACCTCCAGTTCCTCGCGACTGAGCTGCAGTGGCTTGCCAGTAGCGGGGTCGGTCAAGCCGGTCCATCCCTTTGGAATTTCGATGCTGTCGAGCAGAGCGTCCAGCGCCTCACCCTTCGCAGGCCGCATAATCTTCTTGCCATTGATATCATAACCAATGTGAGGGTAGGATTCGTAGAAGGATAGAGGGATGTCGCCGATGGTGTTCTCGCCAGCCGGCGCGTCCGAGTCGTCGGTGTCGTAGCCAGGCTCGATCTCTTGGTAGATATAGCGAGGGTTGCCGTTCGCATCAGTGGTGACTTTGTAGTTCTGCTCCAATTTCTCAAAATTGTGCAGATGCTCGTCGTTGTTGTCGGCTTGCGAATCGCTCTTGACCTTGAGCTTTCTGATTTGGTCGCGGATGTCGTCCTCCTCTTCCTCCGACTCGTCAGGAATCTCGTCGCTGTCGAGATCCTCATCTTCCTCGTCATCCTCCTCCTCTTCCTCTTCGCTGCCCTCGTCTACGTCGCTCGCGCTCTCGGACTCGTCCTCGCTCTGCGACAAGATTCCCTCGAGCTTGCCGCCGTGGAATTCGTCGCCGGCGGCCACGTCCTCGGGAGGAGAGACATCCCGTGTGACGGCCTTCCTCTTCCTGCTCAGGGTAGTAGGGGGCATTGTGTTTGCGTTGTGCGCAAAAGTTGGTGTCCTGCGCATTGCTTGTCGGGAACTTTTTTCGATATCAGCACGTGAACGGCGCCATCTCGGCAGCTTGGCACCCGCGGGCAAAACCCTCGTTGGGTACCCTTCCAGGTTGGCCTCCACCTTCAACTCCGCCGCTCCGCGTCACTGCAGCTCAGAGGACTGATCTTCATCCCGCACCGTCAGGCCGACCTCGCTCTCAGACGCTCTAGCCTCTTTTCACTCGCTAGTGCCCCGTCGACTTTACTCACCACAAACTGCAGTAAACCTCACTCAGTCACTTGGCCCGCGAAGATGGCCCGCCGTCGCACTCGCTCACCTTCACCGACAGGAAGCGCCTATTCCAGGCGCAGCCGACGTGACGACGACCGCTATGCCAGAGACCGGAGGGATGATGCTGGCTACCGTCGCCAGCGCAGCCGTTCGCGCAGTGTTGATGTGCGTGTCCCTACTCCTTCCGATGTTGGATGCTGACTTGTCCCAGCGCCGCTACAATGACCGGCGGCGCAACCGATCTATAGATCGTCGTGAGTCGCGCAGAGAAGAAGATAGCTACCGACCTTCGCGCAACCGTTCGCGCGAGCGCAGACGTTCCAGAGACCGTTCTCCGATCCGCGACCGCAGAGACAGAGATAGAGATTACCGCTTCCGTGATGATTCTCGAGAGCGCGCTCGCAGACGGCGCGAGGGCTCCACCGACTCAAGACCTACTGCTAAGCGTGATGCTAGTCCAACAAAGTCGAAGGATCAAGCGCCGGCCAAGTCCTCAAACGCGTCGCCACCAAGCGCACAAGAGACGAAGGAGCAGGTGCTCGCGCGACGCCAGGCCAAGCTTGAGGCTTTCAAGGCAAAAATGGCCGAGAAGCAGAAGGAAAAGCAGGCGGCGGGAAACGCTGGAGCCGCGGAGAAACCGGCTGAAGGTTCTCCGACTGTCACCGCTCCGCAATCTCCTGTGACGACTCCTGCGGAGAACACTGCTGCCAAATCTTTCGCCGGGAAGTTCGATCCGAAAGCAATTGCTAAGAAGGCTGCACCTAGTTCGAACGGCGCCGGTGCACTTGGCATGGTTGTTGAGGTGCCGGTAACTGCTGCTAATTCGCAAGCTGACCAGACGAACACTAACGTTGTTGCTCCTACTACAGGTAAGCTTCCTTCTCACTACCCCTCTCGTCTATTGAGGGCCTGTATTGACAAAATATAAAGCACCGCAGTCTCTCCGTCCATTGAAAGTCGGTCGTAACGTCAACGGTTTCGGCCTTGGAAGCAAGACCGCAGATACCGAAAAACCCGGAAACAAACGAGCCCTTGATTTCGAGGACGATGAATCTTCGCGCAAAAAGCTGGGGAAGCTACCCACTCTCTTACCAGACGATTCTGGAACTCGCGATGATACTGCGCTCGCTAACGATGCTGTTGAAGAAGGCAATAATGATGCCGATATGGCAGATGGCGGAGACGAAGAGGAGAACCTCGCCGCTATGCGTGAAGCTGCGGCAAAGCGTGCCGAAGCTGAAAAGGGAGACCAAGACGAGAAGAACCCTTCAACAAGGTCCGATGGGGATGTCCAAATGTCTGATGCTCCTGAAAGTGAACAAGCTGCTCGTACCGCGTCCGATCCTCAAACCAGTAAGAACGAGGAAGAAGATGAAGAAGATCCGCTCGACGCGTTCATGTCTGGTCTCGACAAATCACTCAACGCGCCAAAGAAACCTGTCAAATCTCTCGCTCGCTCGGGACAGAAAGGTCCTGAACTCATGCTTGACGATGAAGGCGAACTCGCCGTTGATGAAGAGGCTAGCCCGGAGGATATCCTCGCGATGGCCCAGAAAAAGGCGAAGCAGAAGGAAGTTGTCGACGTCGACCATTCGAAGATGAACTATTCGGACGTCCGCTTCAAATTTTACACCGAACCCGAAGAACTGGCAGCGATGTCAGCTGAAGAAGTGGCAAGCATGCGTTTGGAACTTGATGGAATGAAAGTCTACGGCCAGCAGCCTCCCACGCCCATTCAGCATTGGGCCCAGTCTGGGTTATCAATCAAAGCCTTGGATGTGATCAACAGGCTCGGATTCGAGAAACCTACACCCATCCAAGCGCAAGCTATCCCGATTATCATGTCCGGCAGAGACGTCCTGGGTGTTTCTAAAACAGGATCTGGCAAGACTCTGGCCTTCGTTCTTCCCATGTTCAGGCATATCCTTGACCAACCTCCAGTTGGTGATCGCGACGGTCCGATTGGTATGATTATGGCTCCTACGCGTGAACTGGCCAATCAAATCTACCGGGAAATCAGGCCGTTCGCCAAGGTGTTGGGCCTCCGCGTTGTGGTATGCGGTGGTGGCGCGCCAATTAAAGACCAGATTGCCGAGCTTAAGAAGGGCGCAGAGATTGTTGTGTGCACGCCAGGACGTATGATTGAGCTGTTGGCTGCGAATAGCGGCCGTGTCACCAACCTTAATCGGATCACGTACGTTGTGCTTGACGAAGCTGACCGTATGTATGATATGGGTTTCCAGCCCCAGATCGCAAAGATTGTCAAAAATGTCCGGCCTAAGAGACAGACCGTTTTGTTCAGCGCTACATTCCCCAAGGCCATGGAGAAGCTTGCGAAGGAAGCCGTGAGCCCAACTGCGATACAAATTGTTGTTGGCGGACTCTCGAAGGTGGCTCCCGAGATCACACAAATCGTTGAGGTCAGAGAAGAAGAATCCAAGTTCCACCGTCTTTTGGAAATTCTTGGAGAACTTTATGATAAAGATGAGGAAGCAAGGTATGTGCTCACTCTGAAAAGTTTCTAGTCTATGTTCATACTAACTGCTTCCACAGGACTCTTATTTTTGTGGAACGTCAAGCAGGTGCCGAAGACTTGTTGAACATCCTGTTGAAGAAAGGATATTCTTGCGATTGCATTCACGGTCGTAAGGACCAAGAAGATCGCGACTCGGTTCTTCATGACTTCAAGAATGGCGCCGTTCCCATCTTGATTGCCACAAGTGTCGCGGCACGTGGCCTGGATGTCAAGCAGTTGAAGCTCGTCGTCAACTACGATGTGCCGAACCATTTGGAAGACTACGTGCATCGGGCCGGTCGAACTGGGCGTGCTGGTCAGAAGGGTACGGCAGTAACATTCATCACTCCGTCCGAAGACAGGTTTGCCCGGGACATAAAGGTTGCTTTGCAACAATCGGGACAACCTATTCCAGAGAAGCTTCAAGAACTTGTCGACCATTTCGGGGAGAAGCTGAAGGCCGGTAAAGAGAAGATCTACAAGGGCGGCTTCAAGGGCAAAGGCCTTGAACATCTCGACAAGGACCGCGATTCCGAGCGTCAACGTGAGCGGAAGGCCTACAAGTCTGGCGATGACGAGCAAGAAGAGGAGAAGGAAGAGAAGGAGTCCGAGATTGTCATTAAGGCGGCTGGTACTTCGACCGCCCAGCCAGCAGGCGTGCCTAAGGGCATCAACCTCGACGGTGAGATCATCGTTCACAAGCGCGAAGTGCCTCCTCCCGGCGCCAAGACCGACAACCCGATGGAAAAGGTTAGACAGGCAGTCAACAATATCGGCGACCGCCTCAACCAGAGAAACCAGCTCCGGCCAGGTCAACCTATCGACAACAAGGGTCCGGACGCAGGTGCATTCCATGCGACTCTTGAGATCAACGACTTCCCACAGAAAGCCAGGTGGGCTGTCACCAACCGCACAAACGTTGCCAAGATTCTTGAAGCTACTGGCACATCCATCACCACCAAGGGCAATTTCTATGGCCCAGGCAAGACGCCGGCCGAGGGTGAGCCGCCAAAACTCTACATCCTGGTCGAGGGCGAGACCGAGGTTGTCGTGCAGACGGCCATGCGCGAGCTTATGCGCCTTCTCAAGGAAGGCACGATTGCGGCAGAACACACCGAGGCCAGGCCTTCGGCCACGGGTCGGTATAGCGTTGTTTAGGGAACACCAGGTAATGCATAGACATTCTACTCCAAATATCCATGAATTCAAGATATCTACACTGACATCTAAGTTTCAAGGGTTGCATGTATCTATGATCAAGTGACAGGGGGGTGTTTCCAGTTCCCAACCCCTCCATCCTGCAGCAACCTTGTCAATACTCTGTTTTGGTAAGAGTCAAAAAAGACAAAGCGCGACCCATTGGATATCCCTTGACACAATGCTGCTGTATGTAAGTAGTTGGCGCCGTAGTCTAAGTTGGCCACGAATGCATGAGATGCTCGGGTTAAGTAGGTGATGTGCCGTGATTGAAGTATGCGACCAAAATAAATATTAGCGACCACTATGTGTCTTACCAAGTAGCTGCACGAGTGTCGATGTCGCGCAGAAATGCTAAGCTCAACAATGAACCACCTCCCTGGGTATCCAGAATGCGCCGCCTCCCATTACACTTTCGCCTAAGAAGTCCCTGTTCGCCCCGCAATATACCAATGTCCCCGAGTCGTCTCTCCCCCCTCATTCCTCAGACCAACGTGGTCAGCGCCGACAGCGCATGCGATTCCACCAATATGGTGTACAAATATGCGGAGCCGCCGAGGAGGGACGACTGGCTACGACATCGAGCCTCAATTCCAGGCCCTCGCGTCGGCCATCTGGTCGGCGTCCCTAGCTCTACGCTCGGCGTAGCTGGCCTCCTCGAGAGTTGCGCGGCCGGTCTTGCGCTGGGATTTTGTCGTCTTTGCCTGATGGGCTGCGGCGCGCTCCTGTTGCGAACGAACGAAGAGAAGGTTAGAGACAAGACGTCATTCGCGACGGGCCCCACTATACGCACCTCGGCGGCCCTGGCGGCGGCACTTCGCGGGTTGTTGTCGCCGTCGGGGGCGGACGCGCTGCCACCCAGCTTCCGGCCGTTGCCTTGCAATGCGCTGCGCTGGGCGGGCTGGCTGTGGCGCTCAATGTCGGCAGGGGCGGCGGGCCGGGCGGCGGCATCGTTTGTGGCCGAGGAGCCGAGGGTGCGACCGTCGCCCTGGAAGTTCTTTGAGCCTTTGGAGCAGAGGTTTCCCATGGTTGGCGGGCGGGCAGAGTGACGAGGAGGGGGGGCCTTGGGGCCTGGGGGAGGGATTGCGATGGGACGAGGCTCGGCTGCGGCTGGCAGGGCTGGGCAGATCGGCAGAGAGGGTGCGAAATGCGTGGCTGCTCATTAGCCGGTTCTGTTACACCTCCACCCCACGATCGCGAAAGAAGAAGAAGAAGAAGAATCGCATGTCGCGTGGAGAGGTGGGGTGCGAGTGTGTGACGAGTGCGACGAGTACGACGAGGCCCGCGTTCCTGGCGGCCGGTTGGTGGGTTTTTGCACCTTGATGGCGGCATTGCGCAACTCTTTATGCGAAAATCCTCCAGCAGCACCCGCTGACCAGCTGTTCTTTCAGACGCCCGATTATTTCTTTGCGACGCTATGCGCTCTCACTCGCCCGATCAGCTGGCCGGCTCTAAGCGCGACTTTTCGTCGTGCGACTCCAGGCCACTGAGCCCGTCCAAGAAGCCCTTTCTCACCTTGGACTTGAACAACTCGGACGAGTGCTCCATCGCCAATTGCGTCAACCCGCAGCACCTCCACAAGGACTTCTTCCCGCCTGACTGCCCTGCCCAGCACTGTCTGAGGCAGTGTGACAACCTTCCACCTACTCAACATTGCTCCGCGCCATGCTATGACGACGACGCCTGCGCTCACCTGCAGCTCTGCGAGGACCCGGACTGCCAGGAGCCTCAGTGCTTCGACGATCACTGTAACGTCGATGCCTGCACCAGCCCTGGCTGCCAGACTCCTGCCGATTGCCATGGCGACACCGTCTGTCTCGAGCCGCCATGTCCGCAGGGCAGTTCGTGCGAGCAGACCAACTGCATACCGCCCTCGCATGTCGACGACCCCATACTCCAGTCTCTGTATAACGACCTTGACGGTCATGGCCAGGGCTGCCACTGGGCCTCTCAAGTCCTGCCGCATCAGGACCAAGGCATGCCCTATCACGGCCACGGTCATGGATCCGGTCAAACCATTCCTCTCTGCTCCAACGATTACCTGTCCACAGATCCTGCCTGCTCAATGTCGGGTCAAGCTTTTCAAAACTGCTTCTATCCCAGCGATTGCAACTTGATGCAGTACAACCACATCAACAACTGTGGCTATGGGGCGCCGACGTGCTACGGCCCATTAATCCAAACGTGCAATGGCGGAGTTCCAACTCACGAACAGTTCGGAAACCCACAACAAAATGTGCTGGGCCAGTGCGTCTCGAACCCAGGCGTCTCCCAGAGACAGATACTCATGCGCCACGCGCCTCCATCGTCGTCACGCACGGTTGGGTGTACTCCTAATCCGGGCAACGTCGCGGCAAGTTCGGCGTCTTCTGCCATTAATTTCAATTTCAATTATTTTTCCCACAGAGACTGCTTCGAGCAGCCAAAGTTGACGGACCATCTCGATTCATGCGGGACGTCTCTGCCTCTTCATAGCTCAAACAAGAAAGCGGGAGTCGGGTTGGGTAGAGGTACTGAGGCCATCAAGTTCAAGTCGGAGCCTACCATCGATACCGAAATCAGCTCTACGTCGGAGGCCTCAATGGCTCCACTGTTTGTCGAAGGCAGCGTCCATGTCTGTTCGTGGGTCATACTCGAAGATGACGGGAAGCAGTGTCCTCTTCTCTGCAACAAGACATTTGGGTCGTCAAAGGATCTTGCAGAGCACATGAAGGATTGCCATACCGAGGGGAAGGACGGCAAGTACTGTTGCCAATGGCAAGGGTGCACTTCCGGAACGGATTTCAAGCAGTCTGGAAAGCTGGCCAGGCATTTTGCAATACATTCAAAATGTTTGTGGCCGCTTCTGGTGCTAATGTTGATGAGAAAGAAGCTGACGTTCCCAGACAAGCGATTCCAGTGCGAATGGTGCGAGAAGAGCTTCAACACAGCGCAGACGCTCGAGAATCACACCAACACGCACACGGGATCACGACCCCATCGCTGCCAGTATCCAGGTTGCGAGTACGCAGCGGCCACGGGCACGCAGCTCAAGGGCCACATCAATGGCAAGCACAAGCAGGAGAAGCGGTTCCAGTGCAAGCTTTGTAGCTTCTGCTGCACGGACTCGTCGAACCTGACGAAGCACGAGAACGGCGTGCACGGGGTGAAGGAGTACCGGTGCCTACACCCGGGGTGCGATTTTGATAAGACGAGTGAGTGGAGCACTATTAGGAAGCACTTCAAGGAGACGGGCCATTGCGCGGACTTGCTAGAGAGCAACAGCGCGGCACAGAAGAAGTACAAGAAGGCGGCGGTGGTCAAAGACCAGGCCGGGGTCATGGCGAATGGACGGCGAGCGCCGATCAGCCGGAATCGGACGAAGCGGAGCGAGAGCGATGCGTAGGATGATACTCTTACAGATGACGGCCTAGAGAGAGGGGGGCAAAGAGAGAAAAAAAAGTGGCTTTGTTAAAGCGATGGTGTTTGTGGCGTTGTTATTGCTTGCTTTATTTTTCTTTTAGCTAGATACCTACATATGGAGAGGGAACAATCAAGACAAACACCGGGCGTGGAGCACGTGACCTGGCGGGTGGATATCAGCCATCAGGAATTGCGGCCCAGCCCAGCCCTTCGCTTCCTGCACCACCAAAACCACCCCGCATATCGCCAATCAAGCCTGCCTGGCCTGACGGCTGGCCTGTTCTTTTGACCCTGCTCCGATCCCCGTCGCCATCGTCGCAACGAGCGCCAACCCGCGCGCGCGCGCCCAACCACAACAGACACTCAACACTCAACACTCAACACACCCAAGACGCCAACAACACACGACGACGCCGACCGCCCGCCGCCATGTCTTCCAGCTCGCAGGTCGCCGAGTCGTGGATCACGTCATTCTGCAATCTGCTCGGCCATGAGTACTTTGCCGAGGTGTCGGAGGACTTCATCGAGGACGACTTCAACCTCACCGGGCTGCAGTCGCAGGTGCCCATGTACAAGGAGGCGCTGGAGATGATACTGGACGTGGAGCCGGAGGAGGACGACGAGGATGACGAGGAAGAGGACGACGACGAGGACGACGACGAGATACTGGGCGACGACAAGCCGATGGGGTATCGGCGGGGCGTGGGAGGCGTGGGAGGAGTCGTCGGCGGGGGAGGGGCAGGAGCGGGCGCGGCAGAGCGGCGCCACCTGCGCATGGCGTCGGACCTGTCGGTGATTGAGAGCAGCGCGGAGCTGCTGTACGGGCTGATACACCAACGCTACATAACGTCGCGGCCGGGCATCCAGCAGATGGCCGAGAAGTACGAGCTGCAGCACTTTGGCGTGTGTCCGCGGGTGCACTGCAACGGGGCCAAGGTGCTGCCGGTGGGCTGCAGCGACACGCCGGGCCAGGAGACGGTCAAGCTGTTCTGCCCGGCCTGCCTGGACGTCTACACGCCGCCGAATTCGCGCTTCCAGACGGTCGACGGCGCCTTCTTCGGCACCACGTTTGGCTGCCTCTTCTTCATGACCTTCCCCGAGCTGGACATTGGCGCGCCCCGCCTCAACGCCCACGCCCAACAAGCCCACCACCACGCCCACCTGCACCCGGCCGCCGCCCAAGCCCAAGCAAGCGACGACCGCCTGGCCGCCCTGGCCGACTCGTCCAGCACCACGTCCAACAGCGTCAAGTCGCGCGCCTCATCCGCCAGCACGGCAACGACGAGCCTGCCCCCGCAACCGGCCCTCATCAACGGCGTAGCTCCGCAAAACCTCGCCCCGGGCCTGGGCCAAGGCAACATCTACGAGCCGCGCATCTACGGCTTCCGCGTCAGCGAGCGCGCGCGCTCGGGCCCGCGCATGAAGTGGCTGCGCAGCCGGCCCGCCGACGTCAACGAGCTGGACGAGGCGCGCATCTTCCACGAGGAGCGGCGCATGCTGGTCGCGGCGGGGGAGGAAGGCGAGGAGGAGGAGGACGACGACGACGACGACGCCGCTGAAGGCGAGGACAGCGCGATGACGGACGCGGCGACGGGCGTGCCGGTCCCGCCCAGGAAGAAGGCCGTTGCGAGACGGAGGGGTGCCGGCGCTGCGGCTGCTGCGGCTGCTGTCGCCGCTGAGGCCGGCGGTCGTGGCTCCCCGATGGATACGAATGGCGTCGGTGAGGCGGGCTGACTAGCTGTTGTGCCGTGGAGGTAGGGCGTGTACACTCGCGTGGGCTTACTGCTGGGTTCTTTCTCTCGGCACTGATGGGCATGACGGTGAGATGGAGGGTGGGTGGAGCGAGGAGGCTACCACGTCTCTTCTGTTGTCTCTACGGCGGCTGGGGGAGGTGGGAGGTGTGAATTCGGATGTGGGTGTGCAATGCAATGCTGTGCAGTGCAGTGCAGTGCGGTGCGGTGCGGGGGAGCAGATATACGATAGGTATGAGGGACATGTTCATCTTTGCTTTGCTACGTTATTTGATTTTGCTGCTGCTTGTGTTGGTGTGTGCTGGTGTGGTTGTGTGATTGCGGTGTGTCGACTGGGCCTTTTGGCTCTTTGTGGTGTGGTTTCTGCTCCTCCTCCATCACTACCAACAAAGCTCAGAGCCCTCGCCTCTGCAACTTGCATGTACCCACCCGCTCACTCCACTCCACCCTCCTTTTCTTCCTGGCCTAGCATGCATGCATAGCCAGCTTGCCAGGCAGGTCCATCCAGTCCAGTCCAGCCAAATCACTCCTTTCGCACCTTCGCCCTCATCACGATCACGAATGTCTATTCGTCTACCTATCTATCTGTCTCTGCCTCTCCCTGTTTCTGACTGGCTAGGTAGGCTGCACTCAGTCCCTGCGCCTACGAACCTACCTCCTTCTCAACTTACGTACCACTCCACCAAGGACCTAACAAAGACACACTCACATCACCCAGTTTTGCTTATAGCTATGGCTATATAGATATGCGGAATATATATAGCTATACGTAATATATATATATGCATACACATTTTTCTTCCACCAACACTCTTCACCGCTAACGCCTCCACCGCTCTTATTTTTTGTGTTGGGTGTAGGAGTACTAACGCATACTACGGCCCTCTAGGACGTTGGGTACTTACTTAGTAAAGCATCTCAGTGCAGGGCGGGGTAGGGTTTACGGTCACGGTCTAGGAGAGAAGGTGCGGGATGTAGGTGTGGTCTCTACACGCTAGCGCCTGCTTGCGGCTAAAAAGGTGCAAGGTGTGGTATTTGGTGCTTAGTTTATAGTTAGTAGGGTAGGGAGGTGGGATGGTTTGAGTTAAGTTGGGCTGGAGTGGGGGTAATTGGGGTGGTGGGGGGTGGGTTTGGGTTGAGGATTCGGGGTTTGGTAAAAGGAGGGGAGGGTGGGTGGTCGTAGGAGATTAGGGAGGTTGTTAGGGGTGTTAGGGGTGTGCGTATGGGTGCGTGTAGGGGTTGAGTGCTTGCTTACTTACTTACTAAAGGGTGGGATGGAACAGTTTAGGTTAAGTTGAGCTGGAGTGGGGAATGGTGGAGAGGTAGAGGGTAGGGAAAGGCATGGTTTACATGTTTGTGTAGGTGCTGCGTTCGTTTTTCTGTTTCGGCGTGATGCGGGGTTAGGGATTATATATGGAAGTAGAGCCGGTCTTCGTGTTTAAAGACTTAGGACCTAGGTCGTCGTTTCAGTGGCGCTGCTCTCTTTTACTTTTACTACGCTCGGCCCTAGCGGGACCTCCGCTGATGCCGTTACTACCACTAATGCCGCTTAAGGAAGAAGGAGACAGAACAGTAAGCGGATAAAGACGTATAAAAGTAACACATCTAGCATGTTAAGGACTAAGGGCACCCCGTTAAACACTTTACGTACCTAAGAACGCAGATCAGCTCGCTCACGATACTCTGTGCCAAGTCGAAGGTCTTCAGGGGGGACTTCGAGAATATTTTCAGATCTAGAATCTTCTGAGCAAACCCGACTTAGGATAAGCACGGACAGTATTAAAACAGACTGTCATCAGTTCCGATAAATGAAGACGATCATCACTAGTGTCTGGAGTCAGTGAGCACCACCTACCGCGTAACAAAGCCCATGCGCGGAGTAAAGGCCATCTTGCTGTTCGAAAGACCGCCCAATCCGGGCTCACGCGGCTTTCTCGAGCGTGTCTTTTAGTGGCCAGCAATGGCGTGGAATTTTGTTGTATGTAAGTGTGTTGTTTGCTGGAAATGATGACGCAGTTGGTCCTTCTGAGTGGAGTGGTATATTTATGCTCGTTGTGAGCTACTGATGCCTTTGGGCTTTGTAAACGCTTCTTGTTTCCTGTGTTTATGTGCAGTCTGTACTTTCGCCACCCTGATAAACGAGATTAGGCAATTGTCTTTATAAAGCTAGAATAGCAGTCCACTTATGAGAACATAAGTCAAGAGACCGAGTCGAGTACTTTAGTGGCCATGCATAAAGATATCTGACTTGATTCTGAACGTAACAACTTTGAGTTTCAATATTAGAAGTACAGCTTTGCTTTGAAATGCTGGGAAACTTGCGTGAATTTATTAGGCCTTTGAGTTCTGACTTTTACTGGAAAGGGCTTTTTTGGTGCTGTGTTGTGTTGTTTTTGTTTTGCTCTTTTTGTTTTTATTTTATTTTTTTTGCTGACACCAACCCTTAGCTGAACACGATTACTATAGCATGTAGGAAGATAGTAAGGTCTCTCCACAATACACAATTCCGTAAGAACGTGTATCACGCACGAACCGCATACGTGATGACGGCGGACAGCAGAGAAGTGCCCAGCAACTAGAAGCATAAATCAGTGAACAACACCCCAAGCATCAGAACAAACACAAGAAACCCCAAGATCCCTACAATGTTCATCACATCTAGTTAGTTTAACTATACACGAGGACAGCCTACCACTTACAGCACTTTGTACGACCTACATAAGCACTCTACGCTGTTGATCACTCCAAGCAACTCTGACAAGCCGTGCAGGTAGGTGCGACTGCCGATGACATATACTGAGTCACTTTGCGGCGCACACGACCGCCTCACTGCCAGTACCAACAATTTCGGGCAGCAAAGCACAGCTTTACGCTCCCAAAGCTCCATACCAACGCCGTCTTCTCTCGCATCCGCAGCAGCAACGGCATCAAAGAGACAGCACTACAGCGCCGCGCAGCCAAAGCCGCATCCATGCCCCCAACAGGCTCTAGAAACTCTCGTCCTTGCTTACACACCTAGCGAGAGCCTCATTGCCGGGAGCTGTATGTATGTATGTACGTGACACCACCTCACTAACGGCATGCGCGCCGAGCCCGATGAATCAGCACCGGCTTCTGGCTGCGCCTGCTGTCAGACGCGGCTATCACGACGTTAGATCGACGGGCGTGCTGGCTGGCCTGCGTGCCGTGTGCGCCGGCTGTCGCTTTCTGGGGCCCTTGCGTGCGGCTCTGTGCTCTGGCGACGTATGTACTCTGTCGACGTTTCTGCTTGGAGGTGCGGCGTTTTGGACGAGTTTTTTGCTGGTGCTGTTGGGTATGGAAAGGGGCATGTGATGTGAGTACGCTGTACTGTATGTATGTTGGATTGTGGTGAGGAATAAGGGGGCTAGGGAAGCATGGTGGTTGTTTGACTGACCCAGCCTCCTGCTGCCCACGGACAGGAGGACATCATCTCTTTAACCAACGCGCAAAAGAAAACAAACAAGCAAACACTCCCAGCCCACTTACCTAGTGAACAGCATAAGCAAACGCCAAACTCACCACCGCACCCCAACCGCAAACGAGTCCCACCACGACAGCGCATCACGTAATCCGCCCACGCGCCTACCCTTCCTCCGTAGGCATGTATACTCAGCAGCAAGCCTCGCACGCACGCACACACACAGCTAACACAACAGCAACCGCCCCCGCCCAGCCATCCGCCTTACCGCCTTACCGCCTTACCGCCGTAGCGCCACCCAACCACGCCCGCCTATCCCAGCCCTACCCACCCCGCCGGCACGGCTACGGACGCCAGCAACCCACCGGCAGCGTCGCACGGCGGCGCACAGAGTTTTCGCCTGCGACGTTGCACGCGGCGGCTGCAAGGGCTGTCTTGGTTTTTTATTATTTCAGCTTCTATGCTGTTTTCGGGGTTTGGTGTGGCGGGCTGGATGAATTGTGGCGAGCGCGTCGGGGTGAGCGGGAAGGGAGATGAGAAATAGAGAGGATGTGCAAAGAGAATGAGGGAGAACGAGATGGAAGCTGAGGGTGTAGGGGAGGGGAATGCATCCCTGCTGTTGCGCGTGGGAGATGTGCGCTGGGCGTGTTGATTGGCGCGGGTGGTTGGGTGTGGCCCCCCGGCGTGGGCGACGGGGCTGAGACATTAAGATTAGATCGAGTTGAGTGTGTCGCTGGGGACTATTGGGACAATCCATGCAGCGAGTGGCTACCTGCCCCTTTAAATGGCTGGTGGTGTTGGGGGGTTGCTTGTCTCTGGTGCGCGCTAATGGTGCAGCACTTCTTGCACATAGAGGGTAGACAGGCCGACACGAACCTGGCTGAGGGGTGCAGTAGTCTCGCTCGCACGACCCGATGGCATGCTATTAACAGCAGCACATGGCAATCCAGATCCACCGCTCCTGGTATGCGCCAAGTTTGCTCGACGACAGGCCGGTGGGAAAAACTCGCCGGAATGGGCGGACTGTAAGAGGGCGAAGGGTGCGTGCCTGCTGTTTGGCCTTCAAAGGGGACAACGGGCGGATCAAGCCTTGCTAGCCCGATATATTAGGAATCATGATAAGATGCACAGGTAGCACGCATTCCGTACGGAGTCGCGCAAACTGCACTCAGCCCCTTCGAACATCTTTTTCGCTCGTGAAAAGCGCGGTGGCGGGACCAACGTCGACGCTGTTTGGCCCCCTTCCCCCTTCCCTTTGCATGGGAGTCGTGAGATAAAGTCTATAATAATTCGCCGTTGATGACGCCACGTGACAGGCACAGCCACGCGAGCTGTCATGGTTATGGCGAGATGAGAATGGACCGATGGCCGGGCTGGCGGCCATTCCAATGCATGGCTCTGGATCCAAGTTGAGTGCGAACCCTGGCCGGCTTTTGGGCGTGCGTGCAGGCGGCCTGCAGCAAGCAACAACACTGCGCTCTTGGGCCCTCTGCAAATCGCTGACAGCAAAGCAAGGCAGGATGAGCTGGCTGCAAGCGGCGGAGCGGGCGGAATCCAGCCAGACGGGATGGAAGCTTGCTTTGGGCCAATGGCACAGTCGATTCTTCAGCTCTGGCGATTCCGAACACGGCAGACGGTCTCGCGACGAGGCAAGTTAGGCTCAATGCAAGAGTCCCTCGCTTTCAGCCTATCGCACGCAGCAAGTCGGGAGGGAAGAGACAGGCAAAAGCTGAGCGGGTCGCGCAAGGGCTGATGGAGGGTTGATTTGACGCATCGGGAGCACCGCAGGCGCGCTGACGGAAGCCATGATTATATTAAGCAAATTCGAGGAGCGTGACCAAGATTGTATTAATGTGAACAAAAAGGACCGGTGTGACGATCCTCCCCCAGAAAAAAACGAGGGGTTCGTTAATAAGTACCTACCACGTCGCGCCCACTGCTGCTGCCGCTGCTGCCCTGTTCGCGCCGCTTGCGTGCCGCCCGCCTCGAGACCTAAATTAACAAACATATACACCATCTTTCTTCGCTCTTCTTCCATAGCACACTGTCTCTCGCCACCGCCCTCCAATGTCAATCCCCAAGGCGCCGGTTTTCCTTCCTTTTCTCGCTGCCGAACCTCCCTTTACCTACACATCAATACGCGACCCACCTCTTTCATAAATTCCTCCACACTCCACACACAGCCTCTCCACACATGTACTCCACACAGTATCCCGCCCCGCCACCGGGCTACATGCCCTTCGACTACCGCACTCCGCCTGTCTCGCCCTCGCCCGGCGTCCATGGCTACTACTCACCTCGATATTCGGTCCACACCGCCACACCCTCGCCGCGAGCCTCGCCCAAGCACCATTCGCGACGCGCGAGCCAGCAGGATCTCCCAAACTACGGCGCGTACACGTTTCGCGTGCCTTCTCAGTACTACAGCACCGCGTACTCGACTCCCCGGTACGCGTCTCGGTCTCGCGAGTCGACGCCGCAGCGCAGTGACTTTGTAAGTGGATCAACTCGCACGCGGCCCCGAAGTCGAAGCTACCGCGACCCCGACGGCGCGGCCAGTGGCGGGGACTGCTCGTGCAAGCACTGCCACTGCGGCGACAAGAATCGCACCGGCGCTCGCTCGCAATACGGCCACCGCAAGGTGGTGGTTGACGACGCCGACGACGATGTGTACGACGACTACGCCTATCGCACGCCGCCTCCGCCGTACGAAGCGCACACCAGCTACAGAGAAACTTACAAGCCCTTCTACGATCAGGTCCCAACCTACACCGAGTTCGAGGCCACGCCGCGCCCGCGTCCGCGCCGCTCGTCGCAATCGGCGCGCTTCTCTCAGCAGCAACAACAGCAAACGCCACCGCCCAAGCGACCCTCGTCAAGCACCAAGGCGCCCCCACCGCAGGCGACGGAAGAGGACGCGCGTCGCGCGGGCATACCGGCGGGCTACTCGTACAAGAATTGGGACCCGACGGAAGAGCCAATCATGCTGCTCGGAAGCGTCTTCGATGCCAACTCGTTGGGCAAATGGATCTATGACTGGACCGTCTTCCACCACGGGCCAGCGACGCCCATGTCAGAGGTCGCGGGCGAACTCTGGCTGTTGCTGATCCAGCTGGCGGGCAAGGTCAGGCGCGCCGAAGAGTGCATGGCCAAGATCCGCAAGCAGGAGAGCCGCGAGCTGGTGGGCGATTTCCTTGAGAGTGGCGAGCGCCTGTGGTCCCGCTTCTCGAAGCTTCTCAAGGCGTGCGAGAACTACATGTGGCGCGCGGCCAAGCGCGAGAATGGCGACAAGAAACCCGTCTCCATGGGCAAGAACAGCGGGTGCGAGTTTGTCGACTCCATCTTTGGCCGCGACCGCGAGCTCGAGAAGACGGAGAAGCTGATGACGGGAATGCGCCTCTGGAGCATGCGTTTTGACGCTAACTGCGAGGACATTCTGCGCTATCCTTCTGCCTAGGCAATCGGTTCTCTGCCTTCTCTCTGGCACGGAACCTCACACACTATACACTACACTACTACACAATTATTCCCAACCATCACCACCACCCCACTACTGCTACCAAAAGTTCCCCATATTCGGTTCTACCACTGTCTGATTTCCGCAAAGATACCACTTTCGCGTTCCTAGCAAGCCTTGTAATCTCACCACAACTTACCACCAAATACCTACCTACCATTCCCAGATGTTGTTTGTCCGCCGATGCCTTGTCTTGGTTATCTCGTGCTTCTTTTTTTCTTTTTCTTCTCTTTCCTCCTTGTCTTCTGTACACCACCACACAAACACCAGGCGGAACGGGGCCAGTCAGTCAGTCAGTCAGTCATGCATTCCAGGCGCTTTCTCTCAGTCGAGTTCAGTCGGCCACGGTAAACCATGTCAGACCAAGCCAACTCGGAGTCTCTCATCACGGCGTCTTTCAGATATCCCAGCGACAATGACGGCGACGGCGGCGGCAGCGGCGGCGGGGGAGGCGGGGCGCTGGCAGCGGTGGAGAGAGGAAAGGGAGGGGGTTGGGAAGAAGGAAATCCATCGCCGTTACCGTCGCCGTCGCCGTTGCCGTCGTCTCGCCACAGGCTTTTCCATTCATCATCACTACGCCACCACCATATTGCTAGATCAATACATCTTAATCGCGCAAGCACCCCCCATATCGAACACTCTCTCTACAATATCTACGCTTCTGCCTACTGAATCCCCTCCCTCGCTCGTTCTCGCTCTCGTTCCGTGCCGTGACGTGATGTGACGTGACGTATGTATGTATGTACGTACCATGCTACCTATCTATCCTCGCTCCCTCGCTCGTACGGCACACGGCCCACGTCTCACGGCTCACCCGCGGCTTTGGGTTGGGTCCGGGTCCGGGTCCGGGTTTTGCTTTTTTGGGGTTGCTTGCTTTTTCGCTCGCTTCACACACTGCTTTGGCTACCGTGGCTACCTACCTAGTTACATACATGCGCACGCACGGCGTTATGTGTGGGGCGTGGCGCCTACATACATACACAGTTGCTTTTTGCCCCCCGCCCCCTTTCGCCGGCGCGGTGGACGCGTGATGACGACCGATGGCGGAGGTAAGGGGGCGTGGGGTTGAGGTTGGTGTGGGGGGGTGCCCCTTTGCTGCTGCTGCTGCTTTCTGGCTAGTTACTGCGCTCGCTCAAGCGAAATGGACGGTGCGTGCGTGATGTGTTTTGTTTCGTTTCATTCAGTCAGGCAGGCAGGCAGTCAGTCCAATGCTCGGCTCTTGTGTGGGCGGGTAGGGTCGGCGTCGGCGTCGGCGTTGGCTCACGTCCATGCATCAGTGAGTGTGGGCGTTTTATTTGATAGGTAGGTAGGTAGTTATTGGCTGTACACAAGATAGACATGACGATGTTGCCGAGTTATTGGCTTGCGGCTTGGAGATGCTCGCCAATGGCTGCGCTGCTCGCTGCTCGCTCTACATATATAAGCAAGCCACTATCACTTCCATCTCTTCTTTGCGCGGTGCGTGCTGTCACTGTCATTGTCATTATCACAGTCATTGTCACTGTTGCGTGTGCTGGTAATAGCTTCGTCACTGTCACTGCCACTGGCACAGGCACAGTGGCACTACCTAGGTAAACGCTCATAGCCGCCAGGCGTTAAGCATATGGTCACGATGAAGGGGTCACGGTCACGGCCGCAACCACAATCACAGTCACGATCGCTCACAGTATTAGAGGCGGCCGGCTCCGGCGTCGAGATGCGTTCCATTGGAGAGGGGTGTGTGTGCGAGGGCGACGGGATTGCGACTGGATATTGGGGGATGGGGAATGAGAAGAGGGCGCGAGGGGCTGTGGTTGGTCCGATAAGCTGGATTTACGCCCGGCAGGGCGCGTGGTTGGGCGGGGCGGGGTGATTTGTTCTCGTTTTTTGAGAGGCGGGCAGGGGTGGTTGGGTGGGAGGGGCTGCTCGCTCGCTTGCTTGGTGTTGACACGGGTGGGTGTGTGATGGATCGGGCTCGTCCTTGTCTCCGTCCTCGTTACTTAGGTACTTACGACTAGGTAATAACATCCGCTCCAATAATCCAATTAAGCAGATAGATGATGGCTACGGATTAGCTTAAGCTGACTATCCTACCTACCGACAGGGAGCCAGATTGCCAGATAGACAGGCACGCGCGCCCTTTCTTTCCTTTCCTTCCTCCTCGCCCTGCCTTCCTGGCTGGCTAGCACGTGCGCCGTGCGGGGCAGGACAGGGCAGGTGAGCACCGACCTAGGACCTTTGGCGGCGCGGAGGGCGTGCGCCGCTGCGTGGGTGCGTGGTTCACGAGCAGACGAGCTGGCGAGTAAGCAAGTGAGTTCGTGTACATACCTAGACGCCTACCTCGGTAGGCAGGTAGGTAGGAGTGTGGCCGTAGTTGGCAGGTACGAACATACTTACCGAGACAGATGTCGCTACCTGAACTTAGTAAGGTGGTTCGCAAGGTAGGTAGGCGTTCGCTTCAGCGCATTCCGGACCCGCACGCCTGACAGGTATGGCGAGACAGCCTCGCCACGCCACGCCCTCACCCTACCCTACGTAATAACTAGGTACAGTACAGTGGAGACCGCCGCGCGCAAACCACGGCCCGGTATGGAGCGAGCACGCCAGCCCTTTCCCCCCGCGCGCGTCTATCCCGCTCTTCCGCGCCCCACGCCGCGCCCGTGTCTGCGTCGCTCTTTTCGCGGCACCGCGGGATCGGCAGGCAGCGCTGTACATATGTAGGGCGACGAAGCAAGCTGCAGCAGTGCCGCCCGCGGCTGAGGCCTGGGCGCGAGAGTTCGGCTGCAGCTCGTGCCGCCGTGGGCTGGATGGGCGGTGGGAATGCGCTGCTGGGCTGCTGGGTCTGGAATGCGTGCGCGTGCGAGAGAGTGGGCGAGTACGCTGTGGCACGCGAGGAATGCCACGGCGCTGGTTGTATGCGCTGCACGCGCCAGTCGGCTCGCGGGTTGGCGTTTCGGGTCGGGATGACTGCCTGTACGGATTACGGGTTTTTTGCTTTTTCGTCTGATGGCGTCGGCGTTGGCGTCTCTTGTTGCTTTCTACCTCCACACCTACGGCGCGGCACGGAGCGCGGGAGCGCGGACGCGGGACGGCGCGGTGCGGACGGGCGGGCGGCGCCGGCGCCGGCGTGGCCCCGCTACCACCCTTTGTTGGGACTCACACGACATACAGCATTCCAGCATTCCAACCAGTCTCGAGCCCGCAAACGCTCTCTTGTACCCCCTCTCTTTTCTTCCCTCTTTTAGTAAAGGAATGCAGCCACACGACCACGGCACCTAACAAGCGTGCATCGCGTCCATTCCGGGCGCGGCAAGCCTGCTCGTCCCGATACCGCAGCCCGGCCCATGCCGTCGCTCGGAGAGTTGGGCTCCCGTCTTACGGACGGACGGCTGACTACGCTGTATGCGTATGTCCTCATGTATGTATGTGCGCGCGCATGCACTGTACCTACGGACCGGGTTGGTGGGTGGAGTAGGTAACTGCTGTGGACGTCGTCAGCAGGCATAGGTAGGTGGGCAGACTACCTAGGCGGCTGGCAGACGGCTGCTAACGCTGCCGACGGATCTACCCTACCCACTCACCTACAGCGAACGAGGCAGCCATACCTATGCACACCCGCCTCACTGCCGCGTCCTCTCACAACCGTCACCACCACCACGACCGCGACTACCCCTTCAGTCACGCACCCCTTTCCCTCCGCTGACAGCGCAACTCATGACCCCCAGCCCAGCTCCTCGACTACAGCTCCAGCGGCTCCAATAGCGTCACGCGCGTGCTTTTGCTTGCGTTTGCCGCATTGACTGATTGATTGAATCAAGCAACGCGTTTCCGCGCGCGCGCGTGCCTGGCTCCTTCCCCGTGCCATGATGGTGCATACATACATACATACATACATACATACATATGCAGCCGCTGTCCGAGGCCCAGGGTTCGTGTGTGTGCTTTGTACGCAACTAATGCTGTGCTGTGGTGGTGCGGCGTGGGCGGCGGAGACGGAGTGGGGGCGTGGGGGTGCTGGAGTGGTGCTGGAGGTGGTGCAGGGAGCGAGTATACGCGCATGGCAGAAGCAGCGTCTTCCTCCACCTAGCCCGGCCGCCTGGCTCTACGCTAATCTGCGCATACCTATTCGTATTACCTACGGCAAGCGGGCCAGGACATCGGCGGCGGAATCCCACCCGCTCACTGCCGCTTAGACGCGCAGAGCCGTTCCACGCGCGGCTCTTGCGCTGTGGCGCCGCTGCGGACGAAGAGTGAAAAATACGGCGAGGAGCGGGTGGCACGGATGACGGACGCGCAAAGTAATTCGGGAGGAAAACTCGGAGAAGGCGCACCATTGATGCCCGGAGTGCGAGGGGTATCATGCAGATTTACATAGTCACTTCGCTCATCGCTGCCTACCATGTGTGTTTGGCACAACTTACAAGCAATGGCTGGCTCACTGTACGTCATCATCGACATCGCGTGCGGAAGAGCAATGGTACCGGCTTGGGGTGGCCTTTGTTGGCGCCGTGCTCTGTTGGTGGTGCTTGTCGTCTTTTGACGATGATGATGCTCGCCGTTGCTTTTGACGAGCGGAGACGGGTTGTAGAAGGAGGTATAAGCTCGTCTGCGGCTCGTGTCTGATCTGCTGGAAGTTGGAGTTTCTGAATATCAACCATCCAGATGTCTTCCGGATCGTTGCTTGCATCTTGGATGTAGCCGCGGAGGACGCGGTCGGTGGTGCTAGTGTCGATGGGTGTTGAGGAGCTTGTGTGGCTTATATACGATAAGCTACGCGGCCGGACTTGTCGTTTAGACGGTTTAGTTCTAGTTCAGTTTTGTCTTGGGCATGTGTCTGCCATTAAGGTGCTATGACTAGTAAAACTTAAAAATTTTACCCGCGTCGAAGTTGCTTCAGGAAGATGGCACATTCTTGACTGTTCTTGCCCGCCTTAGGCCAGTCCTCCTGCTTTCAGTTGTTGATCTCGTATATCAAATCATTTTACTGTTCTCTACTTTTTGCTCTCTTTGAAACTACGTACTGTCTTCGTCACTGACAGGACATGCTTGAAAACTAACGTCAATTACATCGGAAAATCACGCGTAGGAAGAATAAGCGCCACAGGACTGTCGCCGACTTGGTATAGTACCTTCTTTGTAAGTTTCTCGATCAACGAGTTCTCGGGATCTATTGTTCCGATTCGTGATATACACCAAACCTCCCATGGCATCAGTGGATCAGTGAGCGCTGGAGCTCGACTTGTCTTGCACGCAAACCACTACACATGCCAGCTCTCTACTTTGACTTTTAGGCTGATCAGCTCCGGCATCAGTCCATGATGCTCCAACCGCGATTCTAGCAAAATGCACCGCCGCCCACTTGGGGACTTGCGTTGGCCCCTCCACCGCCGCTTCCCGCAGGTATTACTGCCGATACCAAGGGTAGCCGCTTCAAAAATGGCTTTCCTATCCCCGCGAACCTACCACTCTCGACGAAGCTAAGCTTATTATGGCTTAATTGGGCCAGCCCGGCACGCTGCCTACCCGCAACGATTGGATGGCAGAGCTGTTCCAGCAAGTCCGCCTTCTTAACGGCATCCTTGGCCTAGACTAGTACAGCTTTCACTTAAGCGGGAAGAAGTCAACGACCTGAGCTGTGGGCTATGATGACGGACGACGAAATCGTCCCAAGGTGGCGTTTGCTATCTTCAAGTGTCGACAATGAGTTTCATCTCTTTCGAGAGTGAAGGCTTTCTTGTTACTGAGAGAAGAGACTAGAGATATACCGTAGCACGCATTTGCATACATACACATAGTGTATTGAGACAGCAGGTTTGAATGTATCCCTTTAAACAGTTGCGGGACCTAGATCTTGGGCATATCCAAGTTGAATTCGCGGGATGTTTCTCGCGTAGCGAGTGTGGAGTGTAAGTGCAGAATGCGCGATGGCATACAATGACGAACAGCGTAGCTTTAAGTTGTACGAGACGGCACTGATGTCATTAGCAGCAAGAAGGCAGACTGTCGACGGTTCTCGGGTCGACGGCGAGTAGATGGTTGCGCTGTTCGGTGGCAGGACAATGGTGGTTGTTGGAACTGGATCGAAGGAGGGTTGATTGAGCAGAGAGAGCTCCCAGCTGCGGATATGAAGGCAACCGGGTTAATTAATAGTGCTGGCGGGTTACTAGTATGCTCTTGACAGTAGTGCCGCACTGTGATAGGCCGCTTGCTGAGCTGGTGGTGACGCCGGCGCTGCGCTGCCTCATCTGTAACATGAGAACGCCAAAGCTCTTGTTGGCATTATCTGAAGTGTCCTTAGTCTACTTATGACGATGTTAGCGCCCTAGCGCAGCAGAAAGCACAAGCACTGTTGCTGGGGTTATAAATCACAAAGGCGGGATTGTTTGTCAGCGGAACACCCGGTGAAGTGGCGCGGTTGGAGGCGACTTGGATATCACGCAAGTGGAGCAAGTTCGATTCCCGTCACAGAGGGCTAGTAAGTTATTTCAATAAAATCTTATTCCTCCGTAGGATTTTCTCTCCGATTGCAAACAGTTGAGCGTTACGCTCCATCGAGAGTTTTTTGCTCTTTTGTTCGTCTCCATGGTAATGTATAGATTATTGCTTTTTGAATATATCTCTTTAACTGTGCTTCTCAGAACCACTACTGTCGAGTTCATTTTGCCTTTTCCTGTTGTTGTGTGCAAATATCCCGTCAGACGGCGAAGTTGTTTTCTATGACTACCATCACCACTACACCTTCAAGGTTGAAGACTTTTTAATCAAGCTAGCAGGCTGCTAAATAGGTAAAGGGCTAAAAAGAGTGATATTCTTTCGCCCTGTGGTTAGAACTGGCGTTTACTGTCACACTCATTCGCTTCGTACGTCACTGTTTGTGCGAAGATGGCTTAACGGCTCAACCTGCACCTGCAGCTCAACATCGACAACTAACACTGATTTGACATTAGTAACTATTTTATAAGCTATGTTTCACACATTCGTCCTAAATAAATCCTTAACAATCCTACACTGGCACGTTGTGCAGCGCAAAAACGAAGGGAAGCCCAAACACGCACGCCGTCAAACTCATCTCAGCCAACAGGCCGCAAGACGAGACCTATCTATGCCCGGAAGCTGAACCCTCCCTCCTCACTTGACCCCTGCCTTTCTACCCCGTCTCCCTCTTGCTTCTCATCCGCACCAAATTTTACCGCCCCCGACTCCAATTCCACATGCCACGCCGTACCCCCCGTATCCAACTCTGCGTATCGCGCTGTATCGTACGAGTCAAGCTCACGTGGTGCTGCCGGATCAGCAGGTGCCTCCACACACTGCTCCCCCACCTTCTCGTGGTATACGGTCACAGTGTCTTCAGGCGAGTGACGACCGCGGCGTCTACGGCGGAGGAAGAAAGCTATTGCAGCCAGCAGAGCAAAAGCTGCGAGAGTAACACCCACGCCAATACCGGCCTTTGTCCCCGTGGAAAAGGTCTTGCTGTCAGTGTCATGGCGCTGGGAGGGTTCGGAAGCGGAAGCGGCTGTGAGATTGGAAGCAGGTGTAGTCGAGGCAGGCAAGTCAAAGGCGCGCCGGTTCAGCTGGAAGAGCGGCGCGTGCAGCACCACGGTAGAGACGGTGAATACACCATCCTGCGTCATCGGCACCGTCCAGACCCCGTATTCCTGCGACTTGCCGCTCTCGCAATATACTGCGGTGAAGGTTGCCCCCGCCGATGCATCTCTCCGGCACGTCTGGATTCGCTTGTGCCATTTCATATCGCAAGAAAAGCCTCTGCCATGGTAATGACCCTTCGTCAGCCATTACAAGATTCCATGCTCCAACTCCACGGGAACAGGACTCTCAGCGCCTGGTCTCTAGCTAAGCATTTACTCACGTAGGGCAGCATCCATACACAGCCTCGTCCTCATCGAACGCAAACTGGAACGCAAACGAAGGCACGTTCCTTCCGATATCGCTGGGCGTCGCGCCAGCCGCACATGCGGTCGTATAGCCCACAGGGCACACAAGACCCGGCGAGTAGTAGCCCCAGCCATTGAGTGGAGGTGCGGGCGCGCTGGTCGTAGCAGTGGGCCAGCACGCGTTGTCATCCTCAATGACGTCGTGGCATCTTTGGGCTTGCCAGGCTAGCGCCCAGCTTGATTTTGTGTGCCGGTATTCATTGAAGATGGAGCATCCTTTTGGCTGGGTGAAGGTTGTTGTTAATGGGCCGAGCACCGTGCCGGATTGAGGTGTTGTTTCTGTTGTTGAGGTCATAGTGAGGGAAGATTCGAGAGGGAAACTTGGTAGCTTTCTGGAGATGGGAGAAGGACTGCTTTATGTTTATCATGCAGCCATCCGCGGTCAGCCTTATGCTGCGGAATTTAGGTTAATCAGGCTAATTTGTTAGCATATCCAGACTGATAATAATATTTTTCAAGGCGAAGGTTAAAGCTCCTCCCTGGTTTTATTGAAAAGTCTCCCATTACCACCCGGTCTTCCACAACCGCCTGCGAACATTCATGCAACACCTTCGTCGAACACTATAGTTAGATACCTCTATGCATCACTTATAGTTTAGGCACCTCCATAAGTCACTTGTCGCCCCTCCTTACCTCCCGCAGGCATCAGCTACCTCCGTGTGACCGTAGTCCGTTGCACGAACTAGTAACGCTGAGCAACAAGTAACACGCGGAGAGGTGTTTCGGCTGAGACAAGCGCGATTTTGGAGGCGAAGTTTGAAGAATGCTGTATTAGGCCGGCTGCGGATTCTCTACTAGGCACGCACTGAGTCCGCGGTCGGAGAAAAGGATTTTATTTTCTTTTGGTTTTTGGCGAAAACAGCAGGTGTCAGTTAAGAGGTATACTATGTCGGCTACATCACAGCCTGATGTGTTGAAAAAATTGGTTCCATACGGCTGGCACTTGTCGATCTAGAAGTCAGTGAAGTTCAAGTACATATAATACCTTTTGGCGCTCGACTACTGGTGTGTCAAGGGATTGACGTTGCGCATATGGATGTGTAATACATAGAGAAGGTGAAACAACAAGCCTGAGAATCTCATAAATTGGCATTCAATGCGATATCGCAGACCTGCAAACCCCGGATCATCATCATGGCTTACGCGTTACCGGTTTTGGTTAGCGAAGTTGTTTAGTCAGCCACCAGCTATCTTTCCTTCAGTCGCTTGTCTTTCCGACGAACTACCTCTCACTATCACACAACCTGGTCAACTGCACGACGTTTGGGCCAGATACTCGGCCCGCGCTCCAACATGGAGACTCCGGCTTCATCTGAGGATGGAAATGACAAGATTCTATCCGACACTGTGTCTGCATTCACCCCCGACACCGACTCTGTTGCTGCCCTATCGAGTTCCATGAGAGACACCGGTATCACTGTCACCCACCCTGACGACATTCCCCTTCCGAATATTCGCAAGCTCGAAGGACGCAGTCAATGGCTCTCCTTCAAAAATGAGATCATCCAATCTCTCAGTGTCTCCAACTCTACAGGCTACCTCATCGGCCAGATTCCCCCAGGCGGAACTGAGCTATGTGACCAGCATATAAAGTCCTGGCTATACAACTCTCTCAGCCCGACCCTGCAGAGATCTATCCTTCAGTACCTCCATCCCTACGTACCGAAAGATCATACTACCAAGGATTTCTGGGACGCCTTGCACGCGGCCTACAATGGGTCATGTCATAAATACCAAGCTTTTGCTAAGTTCATGAAGCTGTCACGTTCCGATTACAGCAGCGTCAGAGACTTCACTACGGCACTTATACACAGCCTTCTGTGCTGTTGGGAACTTGGCTTCAAGATGGACGAGTTGGCGGGTATTGTGAAGTTAGTGGAAGAGCTTGACGCCGAGCGCCCTACATGGTGTGACGAAGTTTGGGAACAGACAATGGATGACGACAGTTATTCCTTCCGCGAATTGATTCAGCAAGCCAACGATGGGGTTCTTTCTATCGCCGAACTTCCAACAAAGTCACCTGCAGATACGACTACAGAGTCCACACCATACTCGAACGACAACAAATGCTCTCACTGCGAAGGCGCCCACAAGATCAACCGTTGTTGGTATCTTCACCCGAATCAACGCCCGAAGAAGTGGATTCCGAAGAGAGGCATCTACGCGGTTCCAGCGAAGGGATAGCGACAACAACAAGGTGGACTACGATGAGGGAATCAGGAAGAGATCGATCTTCTACAACATCCTCTTATGGAATAGGAGGATCCAAGCTGTCTGAGTTCACTTCTTGATCAATAACTTTGCCCTGAGTAGCTAGTATCTCCTCAAATACATGCCAAAGCTGCTCCAACCACCGTTTTCCCCAGTGACGACCTCTGACACCCGTCTAAGTTGTGAAAACTCCCTTCCTGTCCAAGTCTTCGTCCTCTTCTCACAGTTAACCAGATCATGAACACTGCCCGACCCAAGCCACTGCAGCCATAGCCAGCAGCGCACTCCACTCGCAGCAAGACACAACCACCTTATCACACCACACCACAACCCATCACCCATTTGTCAAACATCAAACTAACCACATTTATTCATCATCTCGCACACATACGTATATGCACTCCACACTCCGCACTCCCCAGCATAACCATAAGTCCCGTGCGTATCTAGCCCCCTCTTCCAAATCTTTCCTTCCTCCCCATATACAGAGCAAGACCAAGACTAAGTAAGACCAAGCAGGCGCTCCCAAGCCAACGCCCGATATTTTGCATACCCACACACCCACACACAAACCCACATAGCCGCAAGCCCACCCATCCATCCACCCCGTCTTTTATGCATTACCGAAAAACGACGATGATAGCAAAGAAAAGAATGGGAAGAAGAGAGAAAAAAAGAAAGGAACGTCGCGACCGCGTATCGCGTGAAAGAATCGTCCAGCCTAGCCTAACCCCAGCCTGAAATAAACGCCCATCTGCCCATCCATCCATCCGTCGTTGTGCTCGTGAAACAAACACTAGAAAAAAAAAAAAAAAAAAAAAAAAAAAAAGAAGAGCCCAACCGCAAGCAAGCAAAGCAAGCAAGCTCTCGCACCCCCCACCCCCAAAGAACGCCAAGCTCGCGCAAACCCATCTCCATCTCACCACCAAAAAGAAAAAGCCTCCTCTTTCAACTCTCAACCCAATCAAACCAAACCAAACCACAAACCAAAAGCTCGCTCAAACAACCCCCCGCATCCACTCGACATCCCCACCGGCGCCCCAAACCCCCGCGCCCTCGCCCTCATGCGCCGCCCCCGCGCCAAAATCATGCAACCCAAACGCATCCCCAACGGCATCCATATTCAGCAGCGCGTCGAACTCCGCCGCCGCAACGCCGTCATCCAGCCCTGCGTCCGCCGTGGCGCCCACCGCGCCCGCGCCGCCGAACCCGCCTAGCGCGTCTACGTGCGCGTCCAGGCTCCAGGGGAAGAGGTCCGCGCCGCCTGCGTGGCCCAGATCCAGCGCGTCGGCGTGGGCGTGGGCGTGGGCGTGGCCCCCGGTGCCGTCCAGGTCCGGCTGGCTGGCGTCGCTGGCGTGGTGGTCCGACGCGGGCGGCGTCGAGGCCAGGAACGTCTCCAGGCGGCGCGCGACCTCGTCGTCGGGCGTGTTTTTCGCGCCAGCAGGGCCCGCCGCGGCAGGCGCGTCGGCCAGGTTGTCCGGCGGCGGCGTAATGGTATAGCCGGCGGGGAGGGTCGTGGTGGTGGTGGACGAAGCAGCAGCGGTGTCCATGCGGCGGCCGGCGTTGACGAGGTCGTCGACCGTGGTCGCCAGGTGTGGCGCCCCCGGCTTGCCGGCCACGCCGGACAGCGTCGTCGTTGTTTGGGGCGTAGCAGCGGCGGGGGGCGCGGGCGGCGGCGGCACCGGCGCAATGTTGATGCCGGCTTTGCGGATCGCGGCTTCCAGGAAGGCGGTGCTGTAGTCGGCGGCGGCGTACAGGTCGCGCAGCTTGCCCATGACCTGCATGCACTGGCAGAAGCCGCGCAGACTGGTGCGGCGCGTCGACTCGTCCGGCGCCTTGATGTCCAGCAGGTGGATGATGATGGCCGGCAGCAGCACCGTCACGCCCGTCGTCGGCAGGTACCGCACCAGGTCCAGCGTGTCCAGCTTCTGCGCGATGCCCGTGATGGCTGTCGCCGCGCGCCGCACGTTGCGTCGCGACACGTCGAGGACCTCGGTGCCGTCGCTGCCAGCCGGCGCGGGACCCGGCCCGGATGGAAGCACTTGCGGACGGTGCAGCGCCGACAGCGTCGTGTAGAAGATCATGTGCAGGAGGGCCTTGTGCAGATCGATCGACGGGTTGCCGCTGGACGCTTCCTCGTACTTAACCTCGTCCGGCAGGCCGTCTTGCCAGCGCTGCAGCTCCTCATCGCAAGCCTTGACCTCGCACTTCTGCGGGTCGAGCTTCTTGGGCAGAAGCATCATCGTCGTGCGGTCATTGAGGAGACCCTGGTTGTTGTTCAGGACGCAGTACTGCTTCGACAGGACGTGGCTGATGCAAAGGCACAGCTTGGCCTTCTGGATGCACATGAGGGCCAGCTTCCGCTGCGTCTCCGTGTCGCGCGCGACAATGCAGTCGGCGGGGATGCAGGTGACGCTCTCCGGCAGAGCCGCAATATCAAAGTCATCCAGCGTCAACATGGGCACGTCGTAATCCTCGTTCTTGATACGGGTGGGGCGGCGCATGCCCAGGGCGATAAGCCGGTCCCGCATATACGTCGACCACCAGATGCGCTTCCAAAGCTTCGTCCGCTTGGAGTCCATGTTGGACTTGTCGGGGTTCCGGTGGAGGCCGATGGTGTGGGCCACCGAGGTGGCCACCCCCATCCAGTGCCAGGTATCCTTTTGATCGTCCGGTGTCTCGTAGTAGTATGTCAAAAGGAGGAGTGCTTGGACCAACGACACGCGATCGGACTCATAATCGAAATCGTACAGCAACTGCAAGGGTCAGCCAAAAAAAAGCCCTCACAAAGGGATGTACCCCACACTGCCAGCTGGCAAAGCCAGTGGCGTGCTCCACATGCGGACCGTGCCGCTCTGACGATGAGCAATACGTACCCTGGTTTTCTGGAAGAAATCCTTCCGAGCCTCCTTGCGATTGGCGAATCCCGCTCGGCGCAGCTGTTTCATGTCCGCAAATGCCGACCCCGCGAACATGACGGCCTGAAACAGGATCAAGCTCGTCTTGCCGAAGCTGCCATCCTGGTGATCCACCGTGAGCAAAAACTCATGCAGATCCAACAATGGCATGTAGGGGTGCACGAATTCGACGTAGGCGCGCAGGAGCTCGGTCCGCAGGTCTGGACTCGGGATCGACAGCGCGCCTTTTTTCTCCAGATAAGCTATCTCATCCGGCCCTATCCGCGGCGGCAGCGGTTTGATGTAGAGCGGCAGGGTCTGGGCCGGGTTCTGCTTTGGCGCTATGTAGGGGAAAGAAGGCCGCGAGTCGGTAGAGATGGGACTGTAGCCCAAGATAGGGAAGCCATTGGACGAGGCCGACGACACGCGGCGGTCCAGCTCGGAGAAGCTGTAGTTGAGGCGCTGGCCATGGGTTTGGTCTGCGGAAGAAGGTCAGCAAAACGAGGCGGCGCGACAGAGAAGCTTCACTGACAGATGGAGTGCGGCACGTGCTCGTCGAGCAGCGAGTCTGCGTCATGTGACAGACGGTGGTGGTGAGCGGCGGGCGAGGGCTCGAGGTTGGTGAGGCCGTCGAGGGCATCGCGGGAAGCCAGTCTCCGCTTGGCGGGACCAGGGTTGACGTCTGCGGTATTATTGTTGGCAGCGTCGTCGTCCTTTGACCATTTCCTGCACCTTACGTCAGCAAGCTGCTTCATCGGGAAACGCTTCTCCGAGCCGGGTCCGGGGGGTGAGATTCAGCGGCGGCCTGATTGGCCCAAAGGGCGGGACTGACTTTTTCCTCCGGCTCTCCGACACGATGCATTCCACCTCGTCCAGTCTGCAGTTGGTGCAGGGCGCGCCGTGCTCGGTGACGTTACAGCGCACCTTGCGCGCCCGGCAGCACTGGCACGCCTTGGAGGCCCTTCTCTTGACCGACCTCCCTGTACCATTCGCATCCAGTCCGGCCGTCGACGCCTTCCGCTTGGCGGCAGCCGTCTGTTGCGCGCGCTGTTGCTGCTGCTGCTGCTGTTGTTGTTGTTGATGCTGGTGCTGGTGCTGGTGGAGCTGGTGCTGCTGGTGTTGCTGCTCCATGTCGGTGAGGGATGCTGGCGAGGCCGACATGTTGAACAATTGGGCGAGAGATGGGGGGAAGAAAGGGTCCGGCAAGACGGGTAGGGGGCTCTGGGCGACTATAAAGCAGCGGGCTTGGGCCACGGTGTACGTCGTTAGCGCGCGCAGGTCGACACGATTATGCCTCAGGGCTTGTGTGGAGAACGGCGGCGTCCCACACACCCCGGATTCTCGGCGCTATGGGGTTGGGTGCCAGGCCCAGTGGGGGGCTCGTTCGGGAGGCATTGCGCCGTTTGACCCTCGCCAGCGAACCAGTGCACCTCACCGACTAGGCCCTCCCAAGGCCTTCTGGAATCACACGCGCCAACCATGCGCCAGCCGCAAAGCAGCAAAAAATGTGCCATGTGCCCTTCTCCCCCCCTCGTGACACCTTGTCATGTCAGCCCTCTTCACATGAAGCGAACCGTGGTTCCGGCGCACTGCCGATCTGCTGTCGCGCGAGCACACTGCCGGCATGCCAGCCGAACCCAGGGCCAGAACCAGAAGCGTGCCGCCTGCCAGGGGGGGCGATTCTCTCTTGTCCCGCCGCCACAACCACCACCATGACCAGTGGGGCGCGGGAGCTTGGGATGGCGATCTTGGAGAAAGGGTAATGGGGATCATCGTGACCGGAGAAGACTCGGATTCCGGTCTAGTTTGTAAAATTAGGCCGCGCCCCATTCGCGAGCCGCTGCGTCATTGATGAGCTTTGGTCCGCTTTGCCAGTCTCTACGTATTTGATGTTCCCTTTCACTACTCTAGGCGAGGCGAGCCTGAAAACGTTCAGTGGCTACGAGATGCGGACGCTGCTCCATGGCGCATCCCAGACCCCGCAATCTCCCGGCCGCCAGCGGCTCCGCCCTGCTGCAGCTTCGCGCGCCATCTGTCCGCCCTCCAATCAGCATGTGCGGCAATCGTGGGGGAGGGGTGCGCAGGATGAGGGGGAACGGCAAAAGAAAAGGTAGAGTACGGGACGCTCACGGGACGACCCGATGTGTCAGCAGCGGCTAGGTAGTTTGAAGTAGAGAGAAGTACGAGACAAGGACAGTCAACCACGGTTGCAGCTGCCCACAAGGTGCTTGTCCAACACGTTAGGAAGGTTTACCGCCCGTTGCCTGTCTATCAGGGCCAGGTTAGCCGCTAAATCCAACCTCAAACCTCCCAGATTCCTTCTTGGATCCCAATGGCTGCTCGTCCTCTTTTATCTCTCTTCCCCCCTTCCCAACCACATCCGAAACAAGCCAGCACCGGCACCCGCCCCGAAGGTGGGGGATGCAACAAGGGCCTAAAACGCGCATCGAAGATTGCACAAGGGGAAGAAAAAAGTTCCTCCGCCCGTCCCTCTGTTGTCCGTCCCCACTCCCCACCCTGCCCACCCCTCTCCGGGCACTCCGCGCCGCCCACGACTCGCGAAAGGGCGTTGGGCGCACTCGTGGCACTTCACCGCCTGACCGCCGCCGGCGGGGTCCCCGCACTGCACCGCGCGGGGACGGGGCTTGGCCATGGCGGACGACGGATCGCGATCGGTGCGGGATGGGATCGGGGTCGAGGCGCGCGCGCGCGCTGCGGATTGCTAGGGGACGAGGACGACTGAGGTCCTGAGACGCATAATACGTGAGATGTGGGGTTGGTGGGCTGTGACTGGGGGGTCCTGCATGGGGGGTGCGGGTGCAAGCGGGTGCTGCTGCTCGTGCCCGGTGTGATGGGTGGGCCGCTGTGTGTGACGTCTGCGATGCGTTGGGAGTCTGCCCCGCGAGTAAGGCCTTGACGTGCGGTTTAGGTCTTTATTGCGTCGTATCCGCGCGTCGAGCTGTTTTGGTGGATGCCGTTGGGATCAGAGCCTTCAATGCGTGTTTGTTGCAAAGATTGGACGACATGACAGTGCGGCAGTGTTGTATGACATTGTGGCATGTCTGTTGGAGTTTGGGCACTCGCGTAATTGGCTGCTTCCCTATTCAACGGTAAGAAATGTCTCTACACAGCACATTCCAGCGAGCTCGTATGTTTGCGTTTTCTCGCAGACCATGTGCGGTGTGTGTGCCAGCTGTGTCTCCTTGATCTTCTCTCTGTTGAACATGGGGCATTGGCTGCTCACGTCGTCCTGCTTTTTCGGCAAAATAAAATAGCAGGTCAAGTTCAAAGCTGATTAGGTGAACAAAAGCCACGAAAGTCGCACCTAAATGAACCAGTCTCAGGTAAGCAAAGTGCTTTTTATCTCTGTTTATTTTTTAGCGATCGCGTGGTCTATTTCAGCTGTTTAGTGTATGTTTCTTTTCACGCGACGTCTAGCCTCATCCCGTTTCTGGATGGCCACATGACGGCTCGTTCTCAGCTTCTTACTCCACCGATCCTCCTCCTGTTTGCACGACGGCCTGCAAAATATTGTCAATTGTGGCCAACGCATGGTCACTCGTGGTTCAGGCTGCAAGCCGTACTAGGTGCAGCATACCTCACTCGCAATTGAGTTTTGTACCACCTATACGGCTTACTGCATGAGCAGCAGCAGGTGCCAACTCAATGAATTCGCGCTCCACGACCATTACCATACCCTCGGGACGTCTTCTAGAAATATGAGCGATTTCTTAATGGCCTTCGCCGGCGTCGTACAAATTTTTAGCTCGAAACCAGAACCAAAACCGATATATCGCCGAGGTCACCCTGGGATGCTTCTAGCTAATGTGGGTTCTGGAATCCGTGAAGAAGGTTGCACTAGAAATGCGGGTAAATGCTTCACCGGACGCCGGTGTCGACGAGATGATTTACTTCGGACATATGCGAATCGGAAATCCCGCGGAGAACTGACAGCGTAGCGGTCGCTGACAAAACCCTTATGCCGATTGCTTTCCGCGCTCATCATGGACGCGCGGGCTTCAATATGTATTGACATAACTGCGACGACGAAGATAAAAAAAAAAAAAAAAGTTACGAGGGTACAAGGGTACGAGAGTACCTTATAAAGGTATGAGGGTAGTGGAGCACAGTGGTATGAGTATATCTACCAGGCTGCGAAAGTACAAATATAAGATGGTACGAGTGCCTCTTATGAGGACACAAAGGTACGAAGTTTAAAGAGTTTGAAGCTAAGTTGTATGTCTATACAGGTTTGACATCACATGCGGTGGGCATTTTTCGGAGCCATGCTGTAAGTTTGGTTCGTGTGCTATCGAATTTCTGTCACGGATAAACGAACCACTTGAGAAATGGATAATGAATAATCAGTTGCCTAAAAAGGTAAATTGGGCAATCCATACTCATTGCTTCATCAGAACCAAAAGGTAAGCCCAGTCCTTCCAGTATTTCTCCCAAATTTTACTTTTGTGGTTGAGCTGAAGAATTGGCCGGTGTGGATATTAACGAAATTGCAGTGAGCCACTATGCGTCATCCACCATGGAGGATCACCATGGATTTGGCTAGAAAAAACACCGTGACTGTCCCCGAAAAGCACCGTTTGGACACCTCCTGCTACGACTCCACGTTCACTGTTGCAAACACAACCAGCACGGCAGAGTATCTGTACATGGTTAGCACTCGTCCTCAGAGCCGGTGAGAGTGGATATAGCAGAACTGCGTCTTACCCAGCAACAGCAGTAAAAAGCTCAGATCGTTTTGCGGTTGTGAGGATGCCCACGGTGATGGCGAAAACAAAGGTAAACCCCCCAATGATGCCTAACCTCAAGCCATGGTTTCTAGGTGATGCGAAGTTAAGGGCAGCAATGGCACCGAATAGTAGCATGGTGGCTATCAGAACAGTGATGATGGATACGAGTTTCGCCACACCCTGTTCTGGGTAGTAATAGTTGTCTCCCCAGGATCGAGGTACGGGTCGTGGCTCCTACATCTAAACTGTGAGTAACTGCCCTAAGAAAGCATGGATTTCTCGAGACACCGACCCGAAAGAAATACCCGAACATTGATTGGATAGACCGTGACAAGCGGTCGCAGTCCTCCGGAGGCCGCAGGCTTGCAATATCATAGGTATTGTCGAATAAGCTTCGTCCATGGCTTATGAAAGGAGTTTTCCTCTCAAACCATTTTTTAACAACCTCCAGGGTATGGTTCTCCGGCGATGGCAACTGCAAGACCGTACTATGCAAGACGAGCGCTTCCTCTGCTCTCATCAGCCATGTTGCTTATTCACAACATCTGTTTGTCGTAGACATACGATATTCCTTTAGGACCTGCCGAAGCTCAAGGACCTTTTTCATCTTTTGCTCCTGCGCTGGGTCGGTTTGCGAATGTCGCGAGAAGGACTGCCAGTCCTTGGCCGCCTCCAAAACGTTCATTGCCTCAGGCGAAATGCCATTTCCTTTGAAGACTATCTTTTTGTCTCTCTCGTCATATTCCCTTAGAGAGGCTTCGATCGCGAGTAGTTCGCCTTGGACGTAGAGTAGGTTTCGAGCCGCTAATACGTCGAATCTTCGGTACAGTGCAAGGTCGCGGCTGCTGCCTAGAAATTCCGCGAAATCGGTGAAGCCTTCGAGGTATTCCGGTCTTTGAGTACTCGTCTCTATGTCTGCCGAATATACTGACATGTATGTAGCGTAGCGGGAGGCTGTTGTGAATATTTTCTTCGGTTCTCTCGTCAAAGGGTAAGGCGAAATCCGACGGTTGTCAGCCCGAAGACCAAGTCCGAAAAAGGTGGCTTACACTGCCCCTAACTCCGCGCCTATGGTGGTTTCACAAGGTCTCACAATTTCAGCTCCGCCCCTCTTTGGGTTAGTGGTAGGCTGAAGGTAAGCGCACTACACGGAGAAAATTTTAATGGCTCGTCCATAGGTCATTCCTACTTCACCTTGTTTTTCAACTTGAGTACACGACCACGCTTGCCTGTTCTCTTGCTCCATTATTGCATTCCGCACTCGCCCAAAGAGTAAGTTGACGAGTAAGTTTAAAGAGATCGTGTGAGCGAAAATCTGACCTAGTAGCAGATGGGACCCATTGCAAGATGTACTGAAGATGTATTATGGTTATACGATGTAATCCAACCATTTACTGTGACAAGCCCTCCGATGTACGATACAATACACTCAATTCTAGAGGGTTGATGAACTCTCAAAATTGGTTATTCTAACTTCACTGACCGAACCATGTGTTTAGGCACTGTTTGGTTGAGCCGCCAAACCCTGAAAAGGCTGAAATTCCCATTCGGCGGGTCCATGACTTCGAATCTCACAGGCCATACGTTTACTATAGTTACGTGTCAGGCAATTCTATGTCCTGGCAGGACCATGTCCTCAAGTATTTCCGGGAGATGCTGCCCAAACTTGGACCTCCCAAGTGCAAAAAAGTCTATGAGATACACGGCATGCTGGATGAGATCAATACAATCGCTATACCGGACACCGGAGCCTCCGTCAATACCATCAACACCGCCTTCGCGCAAACTCGGGGTTATCGTCTCAAATCAGGACCAGAAAATCGCACCAAAATTAAAACCCCCAATGGCCATGAGACCTTTTCAGACGGCATCGTGGAGCTCTATTGGACTTTTGCTGATAGCCCTGACACAAAACACAATCTCGTCTTCCATGCGGTCACTGAGTCCCCCAATGACATCCTGCTCGGCATGCCATTCTTGGAGGCAACTGGGGCACTGACAACACACGCTCGCCGCATTACCATTCGAAAACGCGTTGCGGAGTCCAATAAAAGGAATGTCCGGTTCCAAAGCATCAACGACTCTGCGCTACCTCGAGCTCGTGGTCAGCTGGACAAGAGAGATGTACTGGCATTGGCTGACACTGGCAGCAAGGTCAACATCATGAGTCTCGACTATGCTAAGCAGCATGGCTACACCATCGATTGCAGTCCCGACGCCATAGGGGCTTTACAATTTGCAAATGGAGCAGAAGAACAGACCATAGGGCGTGTAATGGCGCGATGGAGGTTTGCGAATGGCACGGATGAGCACTTGCTTGCATTTGATGTGCTTAAGCATAGTCACTACGACCTTGTAGTGGGCCAAGACGTGCTCTTCGAAACTGGGGCATTCAATAACCACGCGGAGAGCATTGTGTATCACGTCGCTTCACTAGAGCAGAACTCCGGCAGGCCCTACTGCCCCATCAATTCTGTGCGCCGCAGCCCGAAGTTCTTCAGAGGTTGGAACAAATCGAAAGGGAAGGGCTCCGAGGATGGTTTGGCAGCGCAACCAGCCACTCTTGGACGCAATGCGGAGCTAGAGCGGCGAGCAAAAGCGCAGATTCTGATTGATTCGATGCCGGACGTTCCAGCGAAAGATGCTGCTATAGAGGTGGAAAAGCAGAGGTGTAGCGCATGGCACTCTCAACAACCTCAGCGCCAACAACAGGCCTCTACTACAAGGTCTTCTTCACAGAATGCTTCTACCAGTGCCGACGCCGGCAGCTCTCAGAGGAGCGCTTCTTATTCGAGTGGTTCATCCAGGACATAGACAATAGAGACTGGTGAGTCTTCTAGCGATACAAGCCATGCTTATAAAGCTGATATGTACCTAATTAGCATCTCTAGAGCCAATCTTCATTGCCTCCGCATCAAGATGTGCTGTTGATAGTGCCTTGGGTCTGATCTGGTTGGATCCTGGTGGTTTGGTGTTTGGTTAGGTTTACCCTTGATGTATGAAAGGAACACCGCAACTGAATAAATATGGGCTTCATAATTCGATCATTTTGCTAGGCTGGGAGATGCTTCCGTTTGGATCTCTCTCAATCGGGTGCAGAGAATGAGCTGGTTAAGTAAGAGCAAGTAACAAACAACCCAAGACGACTGAAATTCACCCAGTGAATATGATAAGCTAAAGAATCAAAGTGTTAGCCTTGAGGGCTATCCGAATATTGAACAGTAGGGTGTTGGGTTGTCGTAAGGGTACCTAAGACTAATCCAGTAGCATCGCGATATTATGATATACTGCAACCATCATTGTGGTTTAAGCATGCGACGACGCATCTGTGAGGGTTGAGATGGAGGAACATGGCAGTTGATGACCAAATCGGTACGACCCGGAGTAATTCCCTTCGGATGTAGCGCTGCGAAGCATGGTCGGAAGCTGTGGAATATTAGTACCAGGTGATACAGGTGCAAGGGCGATTGATTTAATAACAACTGAAAGAGTCCATGTCTTCAATCCTAGTTATGTGTTGGATGAGATACTGGGAAGTTAAGTGATTGCTGAAGTTTGACTACGTCTTGTAGAATTGCCCCTACAGTGTAAGATTGCGTAAACCTGTGCTGGAAATTCTGCATATTGAGAGTACTGTACCACACTAACGGCCCTCCCATTTTTATTCGGTAACGGATCCAACAAAAACACTCAGCCTCACGGATTCCTTGTAGCCATATATCCCAAACAGACCGTACAAATTGACACCCACCAACTCGCAACGCCAAACGCGCCCTGCAAATCACGCTGAAACACTGACCACAGAATTGCAAAGACGAAGCTGCCGAGCACAAACACGACCATCAGGGCTGCCCAGATCTTGTCCCAGGCCCAGCCCTCTCGGAAATGGATACCCCAACCATGTACAGCGTCGTCGAGCGCTGCGAGCTGGCCACGCATACGTTTCGGGAATTGTCGCAGCACACGCGTCTGCTTCGCGCTGATGCAGTCGGGATGTTGCAGGTAGTGCATCAGTAGGTTGGGGCCGATGGGTGGTGAGTAGGGGGGTGGGACTGGCGCGCAACGATACTCGGGATCGGGGTCTTCAGTTAGGGGCTTTGGTGGGAGGCATTCGCAAGCGGCTGGGCGACAGTACTTGTCGTGATGTTGTAAGTCAACAGCTTCGCCGGTGAAGAGGTCAAACTGCGATAATTCAGCTGGACTGTCCGTATTCGTATGGTTAGGAATTACACACCTTAACGAAGTCGATGCTCTCGACTGTGCGGAGAGAGAAGAATGAACGAATACGCCCGCGTCGAAGAGTATATGCTTCACGAAGATAGGGGAATAGCTCGCAATCTGCTTGCAGGCTGCTGACATCCTCTTGGTACAAGTTTACGCCAAACCTACTGGCACTCATACAAAGCATGAGATGAGTGGAAGGGAGCATTTTTGGATTGGTACTGTTCGTTGTCGGGGCATTGGCGACTTGTTGGGGGTTATACGACGGAAGACATGGATCTTGACAAGGGGTCGTGGATTTGCTGTTAAAGCAGTTGCGAATGCTGGCTCCTAGTCCTGAGAGAAGCCCTTTATCCGGAGATGAATTGCGGGTCTGACTGCTCCCATCTCTTTTCATTACTTTGGATGATTCTTCAAGAAATTCACGCAGCTCTTCCAAAGAATCCGGCTCCAACTCTCTGTAATCGTCAAACAGGCGCTTCCCACAGCTCTAAGTAACCTTGTCAGAACAAGCTTCCCGCTTAAGAACGAAGTACACTTACACATTGCCATCGTATTCTTTGCTTTCCATGCTCTAATGGCTTCTCAGCAAGCCCCATGCGTGCAAGTTGTCGTTGAATATCCGCGAAAACGCGTCTGCTCCAATTGCTCTCTACGAACGTGGCCAGTTCAAGCTGCTCTTCTAATGACTTGGACTTAAGCATCGGTGCTTTGGTTTCTGGTGAACGTTCTTCCGGGAGTGGTTGTGCCATGGTTGTCCGTTGGGATGGTAGGGTCAGCCGTACGAATCGCTCCAAGTTCGTCTTCAAATTTGCAAAAGCTGGCCCGTTTATCAAAAAACCCTCCACCAGCGCAAACTTATCAACACTATCTTCTCGGAACGTGGCTTGATCTTCTTCATCAGAGCTGCTCTGTATAGCGGTGACCTCCGAGCCGAGTTTAGTATTCGACGGCATTGAGGCATATTTTTTTCTGATGGCTTCTGCTACAATTTTTGCGCGAAACCGTACCAGTCTTGCTGCATCGTGGTGCAGACTATCCTCGGCTTGGTCCTTCAATTCATTCGAGTATACTTTGAGCAGTCTGCGGAAGTTACGAACAAACCGAACTGCATCAATATTCCGGCTTCCAAATGCCTCTTTGTAGAGAGGTACAAGAAGCTCGTTTTTGCAAAAGAAATTGATCAACTCCTGTGTGGCCGATACCAGTTCAGCTACAGAGTGTTGTGTGTTGGTGGAAGCGATAGTCGTGATTGAGGATATGGAAGCCGTGGGAGAAGAAGCAAGTGACGCTCTGTAATCGTCATAGCTGAGTGATAACATTCCTGAAGGCGATATACTCGCGAAAAGGGTTTCACCGCTTAAAGCCAGCTCGTCATTTCTGTCTTTTTTATTCGGTGTGGACGTCCTTGACCGGCGTAATGTAGACATGGGCTGAGAATCTGCGTTCTGGAGAGCTTGGCCCCAATCACCCTCGTGTATCAGACTGGTCAGAAGCGAGCGGCGGGCAATGAGGCTTGGTTTCGAGTCGGCTTTCTGGAATGACGCTTCGTCATTGACACTGGAGGGTCTTCTTTCGTCCTCAGAATCCTCCCATTGTTCGTCGTTATTTTCCCCAGTTGCACTTTTTGAAACCTCTTTCGCGCTGTCACTTTTGAAGATGCTTTTGCTCTCGTATGCCTTGGGATCATTGACCAAGGTGGTCTGAATCTTGTCCTTGGATGACTTTTGCCTTGATATAGCATTTAATCTATCAGCGCGTTCTTCGAAGTCAAAAGCTTTGCGGTTGAAGTAACGGTTGCGGTTCTGTTCACGGTCGTTGCGAGTTCTGTTACTGATGTGAGACCTGCAGGCGCCCGTGCACCTCCTCAGGCGACTGGTCTCAGTGGCAGTTGAGGTTGTGACGCGGTTTTCTTCTGATCGCCAACTTTTCTCCTTCTGTCGGCTTGAATCTTCGATGATGATGGTCTGGCTGCCATCGTCCCTAGAGACTGTTGTGTTATTACCAGAATAAAGAGCAATGGGCTTGTCCGCGTCCACACGGATTTTCGTATCATTATTGGTTTTGCGGATTGCCGCCCCTACGCCGCTGCGACGGCCATCGTCACTCTTTTGGCTTCGGTTTGCCCTCGTTGTATATCCTTGGCCGGTATGTGCTGGTACGATAGCGTTATAAATAGTTTTTGGCCTTAGCTCCTTAGCGTCCCTAAGTGTAACATGACGCCCTAGCCGTGAACCCTCGATTACCTTTTTGCTATTCTTCGAAACAGGAAAATAGCGTACCTGGCGCTCAGGGCCGACAATAGTTGAATGCCTCCGGGATATACCGCGGGTTATACCATCTTGTGTGTATGGTTCATCGTCCTCATCTTCGCTATCAGAATACTGCTCATCCAGCCTTTTCCTACTAAGGATACTGGAGGTAGTCTGAGCTTTTTCACGAAAGCTAGGGCGATTTTCAGCTGAACGGCCAATAGAAGGAAGACCTGGGGGAGGCATGCGTCTTCTGTTTTCCTCACTGTCCCACTCGTGGGGGTTCTCCTCATACAATGGTGCCGGTGTGATGGTGGGACCATATCGTGGGTCCGGCAGGTTCTGCTTGGGTGCTTGATCGCCAATAAAAGAATGTCGGTCCTGGTGGATGACGGGGAGATATGGCGAGACTGGCCCGCGAAGGCCGTGGCCGTTTGCCTGGTGGGGGTGCGGAAAGATAGGCGACGAAGGATACTGTGGAGGAACCTGAGAAGGGGCATATTCCTCAACTACACTGTCTTGATGTGGCCTCTTTTTTAGGATGGCGGGCATGGAGCGTTCCTTGGGAGCAAGCAGGTTTTCAGTTGGGCTTCGAGCTGAATCAGAACCGGTGCTATTGGTGGAAGCCGTGCGGCTCGAATACCCTGAGTCGCTGGCCAAGTCGGACAATTGCGAGGTGCACTTGACGGCGACATTGGACTTAAGCGGGTTGTCAGCCTCAGTGTTGGACTCAGTGTCGGACTGCACAGTCGGCGGACGGTAGCCGCGGTGCGATGATGTGGCAACCATAAGAAACTGATGAAGGCGACTTGTAGGTTGAAGTGAGGTTGACAAGTTCAGACCAAGGTTGTTGATCCGAGTATTCTTTGCACAAAATTAGAGTAGCAAGGCTGCGACCGAGTAATTATGTAGCGGCGGTGCTCCGCCCCGCGGCTGAGCAAGCAATCCAACCTTGGTGTATGTACAGTTTGCATGAGGCTGTGTAACATACTGTCGTCCAATAGCACTTCTTGGGGCGCATATCTCTACTCCAATTTAACACCGGCGGTTAATAAAAAGATGTTGAATCGAACTGAATTTGACATTGTCTTTGCTATGGCACAAGCACTCATTTAGCTTCCTCTTGCGTGTCTGGCCGCAGTTTTGAGAGCACTAGAAACAGCTGTCTGAGTACGCACGTGATAATGTGCCTGGCTTGCCAAGCTCAGGATATCGAAAAGTATCCGATAGTATTCGAACTCCAGGAAGCCAGTAGGCATAATCGACTTCCTGTTTAAGAAACAGACTCGAGAGCTTGAGTTGTAGGAGACAAAGCCAGGACAGCGACCGAACCCAGCTGCAATTCTCCAGAGATGAGATGCAAGATGCAGATTCGCTTCATGAGCCTTAAAGGGAAGAGAAGCTGCAAGGAGGCCAGACTTTGCCTAGCCTGCGGTTGAACGTGCCCTCGTGCATAGCCGAAAGTGCCAGGATTTGGTTATTATGACGACACCCGTTCAGCCTAAATACGATGTCTGGATAGCACTGCAAAGATCGTCAGTCAAATGGTTGATTAGGCATTCATGGAGAGGAATTCGTGAAAAATAATATAGTAACAAACAATTCCGTACCCATCATCACCGGAAAAAACGGAGGAATGTCAACAACAATACAAATATAGCGAATAAATCGATCAAAAATGAACAGCTACTAGAGACCACAGAGCGGGTTTGTACTTACAGGTCGCGAAGTCTTCACAGATGTGAGTCGCGGGTGCTGATGCTAGCCACCGCGGAGACAATAGTTTCTGCTTTGCCGTTCTCATGGGTCAGCGGGTTAGCTGATTTAGATGACGGTAGCCGTCGCGTCCGTCATCTAAATAGAGACAGTTAATGCTCGTGGTTTGAGCTCTCGGGTATAACTGGTCCAATCGTAATTATGGCCGAGGGTATCCATTTTGAAAATCTTCTCCATTCAAGGTGTAATTGGCATGGCTCTTGTTGGCAGAATCTAAAGAATGGTCAGTAAAGAAATTGACCAAAGAGCAAGTCCGAATTTGGCCTCTGATGGTCTCCGGTAACTATGAATCGTGGACAGATACGCCATATGCGCTCGGTTGTTTGAAAAATTGCTAAATTTTTATATGGAGAGGCGTGCGTGAGTCTTGTCTCTTTCAAAATGAAGTTGTTGAGTGTTTCCGTTTACGGTTGGTCGATTTCCTTTTTAGGCAATGCTTGAGATGCCTGGATGTTGCTCGGTTTCTGGCGCTCTGTAGGAATTTCATCCGAGCTTGCAAGGAGCGCGAACATGCGACTCGTAACCTAGAAATGCCGCGATGAAATTTTTCAGCAATCCCACGAGACAGATAATCGATTCAGCTGGGAAAGATTAATGCGGTCGAAGAGCAATGTAAAAAGTTCTCAAATTGTTTAACACGGGCGGGCGTACTACTAAAGTCATCGTGCAAGCAGTACCGAAGCCGGACAATGATTGGAATGCAAACCCCGATCCCGGCTTGTGTTGTCGAGCAGGATTCCTCCGGTGGCGGATCGCATCGCAATGTGCTCTAGGACAGCACCCTGATGGCAGCCCTTGGGATGCGACGAGGTGAGCCAGACCGGGATACAAATCGCTTCAGCACATGTGAATGAGGACGGTTGTGATAAGCTCCTTGGGCGAGCCCCGCTTCAGGCGAGGCCGTCCTTTTGAGTGAGCGGGAAGGATATCATGCCACTCTTAGAGCGTGATGCAGAAGGTATGAAGTAAGCGACCCGGTCGCACGGTGTCTTTGCGAGGCAACTCGCGTCTGAGACAGGATCCTCGTGGAGCAAGTCGTAACTCGACGATGCATGGCATCGTTCGATGTCAGCCATTCGGATTGTCTGGACGAATGCCATCACGTCACACTAAATCCTCGCCGCAATGGTCGGAGCAGAGGAAGCCAAGCGATCCTACTGCGCTTCGGGCCTTCGCGGCCTCCCGACGAAGTTCGAGGCTCGAGACATTCGCAAGGCTGCCGTATAAAGATGGAGCGTCTTCGGCGCCGACGGCGTAGGAATTTTAAGGCTGAGTGAATTGATCAGACCATGTCGTGTCGTGGTGTTATCTCTCGGACCCCATTTATCATAAAGTTGGTGGTTTGGCGTTTTAGGGGGCCCGTCCCGTCGTGAGAGACCACGCCAACGTCACACGGCTGCCCCACCAAGCTTGTCAGATTAAATGACCCCGCGCCGCCGCTGAGAGAAACTTCTCAACGATACCCAATACCCAACTCTCCCTCCACACATCAAACCCAGAGGTACGCTGCCATCGAGAACACCACATCGCTGCCCATTGAACTCGACTAACACAGTGCTACCCCGCAGCTCAACAATCATCATGTCTCTCTCCAACAAGCTCTCCATCACCGATGTCGACCTCAAGGACAAGCGTGTCCTGATGCGCGTAAGTTTGTCTCTACTACTATCAATTGGCAGCAGCTGACGAGCGACAAGGTCGACTTCAACGTTCCTCTCGACTCCAACAAGAACATCACCAACAACCAGCGTATCGTTGGTGCTCTCCCCTCCATCAAGTACGCCCTCGACAATGGCGCCAAGGCCGTCGTCTTGATGTCCCACCTTGGCCGTCCCGATGGCAAGAGGAACGAGAAGTACAGCCTGAAGCCCGTCGTTGCCGAGCTTGAGAAGCTGCTGAGCAGGAGCGTCGTCTTCACCAACGACTGCGTTGGCAAGGAGGTCGAGGAGACCGTCAACAAGGCGACTGGCGGCCAGGTTGTTCTGCTCGAGAACCTGCGTTTCCACGCCGAGGAGGAGGGTTCCTCCAAGGACGCCGAGGGCAAGAAGGTCAAGGCCGACAAGGCCGCCGTTGAGGAGTTCCGCAAGGGCCTGACCGCTCTGGGTGACATTTACATCAGTAAGTCCCACCGGCCGAGCTTGACTCAGAACAAGAAGCTAACCCGTATGCAGACGACGCTTTCGGCACTGCCCACCGTGCCCACAGCTCCATGGTCGGCGTCGACCTTCCCCAGAAGGCCTCTGGTTTCCTCGTCAAGAAGGAGCTTGACTACTTCGCGCAGGCTCTCGAGTCGCCTCAGCGCCCCTTCCTCGCCATCCTTGGTGGTGCTAAGGTTTCCGATAAGATCCAGCTGATCGACAACCTTCTCGACAAGGTCAACACCCTGATCATCTGCGGTGGCATGGCCTTCACCTTCAAGAAGACCCTTTACAACGTCAAGATTGGTAACTCCCTCTTCGACGAGGCCGGCAGCAAGACCGTCGCCGACCTTGTCAAGAAGGCCGAGAAGAACAACGTCAAGATTGTCCTGCCCGTCGACTTCGTCACCGCCGACAACTTCGCCGCTGACGCCAAGACTGGTTACGCCACCGACTCTGACGGTATTCCCGACGGCTGGATGGGCCTTGACGCCGGTGAGAAGTCCGTCGAGCTCTACAAGCAGACCATCAACGAGGCCAAGACCATCCTGTGGAACGGTCCCCCCGGTGTCTTCGAGTTCGAGGCCTTTGCCAACGGCACCAAGAAGACCATGGACGCTGCCGTCGCTGCTGCCCAGAACGGCAAGATCGTCATCATTGGTGGTGGTGACACCGCTACCGTCGCCGCCAAGTACGGTGTTGAGGACAAGCTGAGCCACGTCTCTACCGGTGGTGGAGCCTCCCTCGAGCTCCTCGAGGGCAAGGCCCTGCCCGGTGTCGTCGCTCTGTCCAGTAAGTAAATGTTTGTCCGTAACCAGGCGGGCTCTGATGGGAGGATTACAAAAAGGAAAGCCTTCAAGGCTATGAACATAAGATACACATGATGAGCATAAGAAATTTGACTTTTTAATGAAACGCAACTGCGTCTTGATATGACCGAGCCTTGATGTGTTTGTTTACCAAACTCCGCTATAACATCTAGCTCTGCAGTCGAACCGCGATTGAAATGCTAGATGCCTAGTTGGACCGCACCAAACTTGGGCAACCGTAGTGCCTGTGCCAGGTCTACCACATCTATTCGTCTACTAGATCACCTTGTTCATTGATCGTGCTGCATTGTCCTCATCATGAAAGATCTTGACCGTCGATACTTTCTCGCAGCTTCGCGCCCCGTCAACGCCGTATCCTATGTCTTGGTAGAGTGTATCTGTCCGGAACGCAGGAACGTGTTCGCTCTCAACCGCGCTTGCTGGCCTCGACCTTCTTAAGCTCCTCCCTGCGAGAACTAGCGTATCAGCGCAATTTCCTTTCGCAATGCCCAGAATAGGCATCATTCTGATGTGATATATAGTGGCGTGGGCTCGACTCACTTCAGCTGCACCGAGAAGTCCTCGCTCGTGTCATCGTCGTCCCAGCTCTCCTCCCAAAGATGCGTGCTCGCGGCGGGAATTTCCGCATCCTCCTGCTCCCAGTCTGTAGGGTCGCCTTAAGTATTAGCCCAGCGTGTTCTCGAAGGTCTAGCTTCCATAGGCCCCCAAAGCCCGCAGCTGCGCAGCACTACGGTCTGCTTCCGCGGGTGATGCTGACGGCTGAGTATATGGGCGGTGGAGGGGCGCACAACGCACCTTCGACAGGGAAGTCTTCGAACTCATCGTCCTCCTCGAGCGCGCCGGCGCCCGTCTTCTTCTCATCCATGAGCGACTCGCCCTGGGCCTTGTCGTCGACGACGGCCTTCTTGGTGTCGGGGTTGCCTTGGGCAGAAGCGGACATGTTTGCGGCGTGGGCTTTGTTCGGGAAGCAGTAGGGTGACGGTCGAAGGTTGCGGGGCGGCTCTTTGTTTGATGGAAGCGGCGTGGTGCGGAGGTTGCTGTTGGAGCTTCTGATGATGGGGCAGTTGCGGCGAGCTGCCGCTCTTGGGTGAAGCCGAAGCGCCGATTTGGACAGGGCCCGTGCTCGCCCCGGGTACAAACGACTGAGGTCATCGCCAAAAGGTGCCAGGCAGTCGATTACCTTAAAGCGCGCACGCGAGTGTCAGCCCTTCAGCCTTCCTGTTCGCTCGCAAGGCCGCCCATGTCTTGTCTACGTTTTCACATCCCCCTTCCCTCCCTTTTCCTCTGTGCATTTCCTTTCTTCTACGAAGCGGTCGCCGGTCTCACCGCGATTGGCCAACTGCCGCCCTAGCTTGGACAACTTAAAGCCGATTCCTCGCCTTTTAATTCCCGCATCTCTTATTCTTCCATAAGCCGTCGCGGTCATGCCTCTGGGTTCGTGGCTTGGCGGGAAGGGCAAAGCCCACTTACATGGCTCCACGCACTCATTGAGTGCGCTGGATGAGCCGCAGCAGCGTACATTGGACCCTATATGCCTTTCCGCTCGTGGCAGTCATGCTGACATAAAGAATAGTCGAAGATGCTATACGCGGTACGGTTCCCAAGCGCGACCTGGAGAAATATGTGAACGTAGCGACTGATGCGGAACTACCGGAACAGCCGTATCGCATATTATGAACGATGATGTAGAAACTGCCGATAAGCTCCTGGGAGACGGAGCCTCCCCATTTCACAAGGTACGGCGCGTATGATGCCTTGCGAACATGAAGGCATGAGGAGAGGCAGTGAGCGAGGCTTATGAACATTTGAAATAGCTGGGCAAGGGAGTGGTCGTATTCATGCGGGCAACTCTCGGCTTCGAGCAGGATGTTATGAAAGAAGGTACACATGGCCGCACTCCTATCGCGGCCGACGCTGACTAGCTCCAGCCTCCGATGTACTTTCCACAGCCGAGAATAGCGCATACGATCACCACCGGAAAGCACAACGTCACTCGCCTCAGTCGTCCATATACCCTGCCGGCTCGGAATTTGCGTCGTGCCTCGCTCAAGCGCAACTGATGAGCGCCATTGTCGGTGTATTGAACGAGAGCTTGACAGAAAGTATCCGCGGTTTCTACAAGCTACGGAAAGCTTTCATCGCTTTGGATGCTATCATGGAAGCGGAGAAAGCCAAGCTTGAGGGGAAAAGCGTGCCGGGCAGCTCGCGGGTGTCTCTTCACTCCGAAGTGTCAAAGGCTGGTAGCGCATCTGGGGCGGCCAAGTCTATATCTGCTTCGTCCGGATCTACATTGGTTAAAGACGACGAGTTAGCTTTATCCGGAGCGCCTAAAGGCGAACTTGAAACCGATACACCGCAGTCGGAGAAGGATGAGTTCTACGATGCCGATGAAGCACACGAAGGCGTCCCGACGCCGCCTGTCTATGAAGGGCACCTTGATATTAAAGGGCATATCGAGGTACCACCGGGAGCATTGCCTTCTTACAAAGGATCACCTGCGATGTCAACAGTAGCCCGGGATCTTGGTACGATGAGCATATCTGACGATGCTGATGGTCCGGATCCTGAGGTCTTTAACAACGACACAACGGACATCTTCATCCATTCAGGAGCCAACATGTGTTTTGGCATCTTGATGCTCGTCATTTCGCTGATTCCCCCTGCATTCGCAACGCTTCTCAAGATTGTCGGGTTCAAGGGCGATCGTCAGCGCGGCATATCCATGCTTTGGCAAGCCACTAAGTTCAATAACATCTACGGTGGTTTGGCAGGTCTCGTGATTTTGGGATACTACAACGGAATGGTAGGTTTCTGCGACATTGTACCCGAATCTGGCGAAGGCTCCTACCCGAAGGAACGATGCAAAGCTCTGCTTGCTGAGATGAGGAGACGGTACCCGCAAAGCCACCTCTGGATGCTGGAAGACGCACGGATGCTCGCAAGCGACAAGGAACTGGAACAGGCCATTGAAGTGATGAAGAAAGCGAGCAAGTCGCAGCTCAAGCAGGTCGAGGCACTGCAGTGGTTCGAGCGCTCTTTGGACCACATGTACGCACACCAGTACGAGGAGTGTAGCCATGCATTCCAGACGTGTGTCACACTGAACAACTGGTCACACGGATTGTACTACTACATCGCAGGCTGTGCGCACGTGGAGCTATACCGCTCCTTCAAGGCCGCGAGCAGAGAAGACGTCAATGCATCCAAGCTGGCGCAAGAGCACAAGGATAAGGCGGAGAAGCTGCTGAAGCTGGTGCCGCAGCACACGGGTAAGAAGCGCTTCATGGCTCGGCAGCTGCCCTTCGACATTTTCGTGAACCGCAAGCTGCAAAAGTGGGAGCGCCGCGCCGCGGAGTGGAAGTGTGATTTCATCGACGCAATCGGTGTGAGCCCCATTGAGGAAGTCATCTACTTCTGGAACGGATACAAGCGCATGCGGCCCGAGCACCTGCAGCGCTCACTGGATGCGCTAGCATGGTCAACATCCCCGGGAAATAACCCGCACTGGGAGAAAGAAGGCCTGGACGAGCACGCTATCCTTTCGTTGCTGAAGGCGACGGCGCTACGCAACTTGAAGTATACGGCTGAGGCAAAGGACTTGCTGCTCGACCAGATCATCAGCCACGACTGGCAGGAGTTCAAGGGCCAGTTCAAGGACAACTGGACCTGTCCAGCCGCGCACTACGAGATGGCAGCGAACCTGTGGCAGGAGTGCGAGTCTGGCGCTGGGGCCGGCGCAGGGGACGCGCAGCGCTTGAAGGAGTGCAGTGTTTGGCTGGAGAAGGTGGCGCGATGGGAGAGCTACGATCTAGACACGAGGTATGTGCTGCCAGCCCGTTTTCTCGCTCTTGGTTTGGAAGACGTGATGTGCTGACTTTGGGGTAGAATCGGGTTGAAGGTCACAACGGCTAGGGACACGCTTAGGAGCCGCGGCGTCGAGACCGCGGCGTAGAATATAGAAGGGATGCGGCTTTTGTGGTTGGCAGCTTCGTGCAGGTGGGCGGTGGCTAGCCGTGAGGCGTTGGAGGGGTTGCAAATGCAAACAGATACTATGTGGTACTACTTGGCTGGGAGATGCCTGGCCTTCTTATAAACACGTATACATGTAAGATTTTGAACGTCGTAATATGCGTGTGCGTTAAAGGACGTTTTGTGAATCTACTTACACTAGAGCAGTGACTGGTAGTGTTGACGGGGTTCGATAGCAGCAGCACAGGTGCCGATCATGGGGACATGATTATATAAATCCTGCTTGTGTATCTGGCTGGTCGAGGAAGCAGGAACCCATTATATGCATTCCTGGTGGGCAATTGGGCGGCGTGTTGATCGGTGAACATCCGTAAGTGGGGGGCCTCGTCTGCTACCTACCGAATATTCCAAGTACGGCCTGTCGAGGGGGTACAACCTGCTGCTTTTCTGCCAATGCGTACACGTGGTGCTGAACAGCAGCTACGAGAAGTAATGGTGGTGATGGGCATCTGCGAGTCGTGATAATCAGTGTCGTTAGCGAAGGGCTTGCGGCCCAGTTAGCATTTGGTAGATACTGGATTATGTTTATCGACGAGGCTTTTCTCGCTTTACGTTGTTGTCTTGCCCCATTCTATTCGTTGTCCTTCCAATGCTCCCTCTTGCTTGCCAAGTGAACCATGTCATGAAGTGGCAAGATGAAGGACTGTGCGGGATGTTTCTGTCTTATTAAAATTGATACTGCTTTGGCTTGCCGCATATAGATTGTTCGTTCTTTGATAATGCGGTTTGGTCATGGTCTTGTTATTTAAAAAGACGTCAACGGCGGAAGTCAGTGGAAGATTTCCAATGATTTATCTTGAGATATTCTGTCATGCAGCTCCTATAGAGCAGAGCAGCGACGTAGCGTTCGCCATATGTCCTATGGTCAATACTCAAATGCCCTACGATCAATACTCAAGTGATGAAGTCTTTTGACGTTAAAACCGTGAACTTGTAGTGAGTGAGCTTCCTAGAAGATCTTTGATGTGGTTGGCTGGTTTAGCGGCAAATGGGGTAATGCCGAGCCGGTGTGTTGTTGAGGTGGAAGAGAAATACAGGCTGTTGTGCGCAGAGATAAGTTCTTATAAACTTTGCCTTGTCGCCAGACTCAGTCACGGAGTCCCAATGTCATGTTGACCTCAACATACGGTTTGCTCTTCTCCTCATTGTACTGGACAATCACTGAAAGGGCTCCGTCTACGCACTTATATAAAGGCCGCTTATGCTTCTGGTTCCAAAAGAAATAACCTTGACACCGAAGCTTAGTTCGTTACTCTTTCCAAGAAAACCAAATCGATGCGGAATTAATCGTCGTCTACAAGCAGCTACCGTAGGTTTTTCATCATGCGCCTAGCAAGTAGCTACAGAGGTCATAGTGAATGGAGCGTGACTCTGGAGTACGGCGTTGATAGTGGCCATCAGCGTACAGAGTTGGAGCATAGCAGCTGCGGGAAATAGTAGTGTTGGTTGATTTGTGAACAGACACCAAGTTCGCAGGGCTTTTCCTTGCCGTCAGACTTCTGGTCTGCTTTAGTGGGGTCCCGGGTGAGTTCTTCTGTCATGTCGACTTCTGCACCATATAGTTCGTCGTTCTCTTCGTTGTACTGGACAATCAATGAAATCTAGGCCAGTAAGCTTCTTCCTTGGGGTTTTTTTATAAGCGCAATAAAGCTTATCAACGTCACATGGATGGTTGTTCTGAGCACTCATCATCTTTATGTCTTGAGACGGCCCCGAAGGAAACCATTTGTTTTCCATAGTGCTGGCAAGACACTTTGTAATTAATGGAATTGCTGACGGGTTCGCCCTGCTGCTTATGGGGAAGGGGGTGGCTGATTGCGTTCTTACGACATCTGTGGTAGGGGGTGGTATCAGTGACTGTTAACTTCCACCCACGTTCTGAAGCACTCCGCCTCTTACGCTATTGACCGTACAATAGACCACAAAGAACATCTGCAGCGAACATCAGCCCCAAATCCCAACCCAGACACAATCCACACCAGCACCACCCACCCACACAACCACAAAAACAAGCACACCAAGCCATCACACCACGATCCAGAACCGCGTATATTTCAGACATAGCAGCCGGGCTCTCAAAAGCCCGCCTATCCTACACCCACATCAACCGACCCGCCCGCCCGTCCTCGCTCAAGATAGCGAAAAAACATCAAACAAATAGGTAGAACTCCGCGCTAATGAACCCACCACCATATCGCGCCTCTCACACAGCCCCGCACCACCTCGCCCCCACCCCGCCGCGCCGCGCCGTCTACACAATATCCATCTCCTCGGCGGCGCCAAACGCAAACCTGCCCGTCTCCATCGCCTCCACCCGGTCCAGGTGCGTCTGGTACTCCCTGCGCACGTCCTCCAGCGTAAGGATGCGGCGTTTGAGCACCTGTGGCGCAGGCACCGCGGCCTGCTGGCCAAGCTTATGCGCTGCCGCCGCAGCGGGGTCGTCCACACGTGCCTCGGCCAGGATGTACGCTTCGTCGGGCGAGACGGATGCCAGCGTGTTGATGAGCAGCAGGTAGCCGTGCGAGAGGCTGTCGTCCTTGGGGTCGCGCATCGCAATGCTGCTGGCGTGCAGCCGCTGCAGGCGCTCGTACAAAATGCTGGCTGCGCCGCGGAAGTCGTTGCGCGCGATGCGGTAGCTGTATAGCACCTTGTGGTAGGGCGGCCCCGTCGCGACGTTGAGCGTGTCTTTGCAGAGTTGGGCGAGGATGGCGTCGACGTCGCTGTGGAGAGAGGCGAAGGGGAGGGCGATCAAGTCGGCGGTGCGCGACTGGACGACCATGGTCTTGACGAGGCTTGTGAGTGCGGCTTTGCGGCTGTGGGGTTCTGTCAGTTTTGACTTTTGTGGTTATGAACGTTTGGTTGGGATGCTCACAGGATGGCGTTCGAGTACCGCGTGAGCGCCGTGTGTGCCTCTCGGAACCTCGAGGTTTGAATTAGGGCGTTGAAGAGGCGCGAGAGTACCTCCGTTTTGATGGTCGGATCCTGCTGCAGGTGAACAATTGTGTTGATGTCTCTATCCCAAGTTTCGCGAACCTTTTTGATGTTGACGCCAAAGGACTGCAAGGCCAGCCGTCCAAACTCGACGACAGACGAATACACCTTGGCTCTGTCGAACAAGTTCATGACATGCTGGTAGTACCTGGCGAGACCATCTGAAAAGTATTCCCTCTCGTCAGGAGACAGGTAGCCGTAGGTATCGTTGTAATGTATGTCAAAGTATCCTAGGGCTTGTGTAAATTAGTGATTCTTCAGCTTAGATTAAGGGACAGCCACTTACCAGAACCGAAGGCAGCTTTCTTGAAGTAAGTGCCAGCCAGCATGTAGTCACCGATTGCCAAATAATACCTAGCCCTGAGGTACGTCGCCCAAGGAGACTGCGGCAGGAATGGCAAAAAATTGGTAGCTAAATCGAGGTTTTCGTACTTGAGCAGGTTACTCATGACACCGGCAGCGAAGAAGTCGTAGTTCTCGGGAAGTGGTAAGCAGAATATCCAGGCACGGATTGAATATGTGATGCGTGATGACTGCGGTTCCTCAGGGAAACACAGGTCGGACCAATCGCCGATGAAGAGGCTTTCGAACATCGTGACTGTCGGCGCACTGGTCTCGGAAAGACCCTGCTTGCTGGGCGAGAGATCTGATTCTGATAGCGAACCCCGTCTGCGCCTGGGCGGGTCGGCCCGGAGTGTCGAAGCAAGCCAGTGTGTAATCGTAATCCCCTTCAGTCTGGAGACCAGCTCAGCGAAGACATCGCAAGAATCGAATGGCACATCGGCAGGATCCAGTTCCTGGCTCATGAAGACAACAAGTACCAGGAGGTCCAGAAGAACGTCCGTGGTCAGCTCCAATGTCTCTTGCACGCCTCTGATCAAAGTTCTGGCTCCATATGCGGTGACGGCTCGTTTTCTTTTGCGACCCCGCTCGTCCTCGCCGAGTCGGTCAAACACAGCTTGGAGAAGCCCGGAGTTCACTCCTGCGAAACCGCCCAGCTCCTCCAAAACAACCTCCAGCTTCTCGAATTCGTCGTCGCCCACTTGACCGCAAAGATTGCATCTCGCCTCAAACGCCCGAAGGCGGTCAAAGACGGAGAAAGAGGGCTCCTGAAGAACCTCCGAGGCAACCGCCTGGCTGAGCTCGTGCTTGAATGAAGAGGGGAAAGTGCGGCGGAACTCCGAGGCTGCATAGAGCAACTTTGAGACGTCTAAAGACATGTCATCCCGTAGTGTCTCGAACAAAGGCCTTTCGGCCTGCGGCTCCTCGGTTATCAAGGCATGGTGATTCAAGCGCAGGAGTTCTATCTCGCTGCATTTCCTTACAGGCGAGGCATAATCCGAAAGTAGTATCCAAGGGGCATCCTCAGCGGCATCGAACGCTAGGCCTATTGTCTCACCTCTGCGCTTGTGGAGATCCCTAACCACGCCATAGAACACTTGCCATTGAGCAGCGATGTCGAGTTCGTGCTGGTCATGGTCAATGCCGCTATCCGGGCGGCGCCTAATTGAAACCCTTGATGCGACAGCGGCGGAGATTTGTTCCTTGAGAGCCGCTTTGCTGCTCGCGCCTGCAGCACCCAATGGGGCAACACCCTCACCAACACCTCTGCGATACACGCAAAGTGAGGTTTCCAGCGTGGCAGACGTGAAACGCCCAGGGTAGAAGAGAAAATCGAGCCATTCCTCCGACAGACTCCGAGAGTGCATCAACGAGTCCTCTGGGTCCGGCTCGCTAGGGAACGATATCGATGACTTTAATGCTTCTGCAGTAAGAGAGCCAGAGTCAACGGCGACCCAGTTGTTCCTCCACTTGTCTGCAAGATCGCCTTGAGAGTCAAAGAGATCGAATTTGAGGCCGAAAATCCTGCAGTTAGGTCCTGACCTGACACGTATCCAAACCTCGGAATCTCTCCACCCAGGTGTTGCTTTGATGAAGAACTCCTCCATATTCCAAACGGTCGTGTTCATGAGCTCGTCAATCGGTGGAATGAAGGCGAAGTCTGAGTGAACATCGTGGATACCCAGTTCAGCGTCATCTGCGTCCCTGATACCCCAGAACTTGAATTGGTGCCTCTTTGGGGAATATGTAGCGACGTAATACTCGTCACCATCATGCGGGACTTCCATATTTACTACCTGCATGAGATGCGGTTGCGCTGCGGCGATGTAAAACTGCTGCAATTTCTGGGGATCCCTGTCATTTTCGCCCAGAAGGTCTGTGTGGACGCCAACCCTGCCGGTCTCTAGATTCCACGCTTTCAGCGTATGGTTGAGGGAAACAGTGTATATATGACGGTTGTCCGGAGAGAGCGCAATGGACGCTGCTGTGGACGCTTCCAAATCGAGGTTGCCGAAGCGCACCGTGTTATGGCCCTTCCAAGGAATCAGACTTTTGAATGTCGAACCCCAGCCGCCCTCAGTAAAGAATGTCTCGCGCCACTGTGATCCATCGTCGGCAGCCTTCCTGGTGAGACGAAGTAAGCCCCCATCGTGCAACGAAACCAAAAGCTCCTGCGCGCTCGTCGCGACAATCCGGTATGGGTAGCGGAAGCTGAAGGCCGAGGGAGAGTAGGTTTTGCACCAGTCCTCCACATCGATCTCAGTAGCCGCAGGGCGGACGAAGAACTCCTTGTGTAGGTTCAGCGTATAAAGCTCGTTCGCGGTCGTCAGAACGAAAATGTTAAGCGCATCGCGCTCGTCGGGCTCCGCAAAAGCAACGCCAAATGGCCGGATGGGGTTCGGGAAGCTGAGCAGGATCGTCAAGACAGCCTCACCCTTGTGCTGGCGGTCAATGCTAAGGTCAACTGAACGCAGCTCCAGCACCTTGCGGTCGTCCAATATGCGCCATTGGAAGCTTCGAGGATACGGATGTTTGCGACGGAAGAATATGGACGCCTCGCTGGGTGCTAGATGACGTCTGGCAAACGCAGTCTCGTCCGAGCTCGTGAGGTCTTCGGTGAGGACGACGCGCTTGGCCTTGGTCCGCGACAGGAACGAAGAGTTGTGAGGAGGGAGCGTTATGCCAATGGTAGAGCCGGCGTAAGGTGGATCGAGGTTCAGTCGCGCCTCTCTGTAGAGGAAGGGTGCTGTAGTTGTGGCCATCGCCGCGCCATCAAGTAGCGATCATGGAAGGGTGAGGTGGCTAGGAAGCTCGCGAAGAGCAACGGTGGGCGTTGTTGTTGACAATGCGGGCGAGCCTGTGGAGAGCTGCTGCGACGCGAAACTTTGGAGAGCTTGTTGCTTGCAGTTGCAGGGATCGGTCCGCGACAGATCGCCATCCGCCGTCATCACCGCCACACCACCAGCCACATTCAACAGTGTTTGGAAGTAGATTGAGGGTAAGCTGCTCCAGCAAACCAAATCATGGATATCAAAAGTATCTAGTACGACAAAAGCCAAGTGGAAGCCAAACACTACTTGACGCCTACGCTTCGCACCGTCCATCCGCCAATGCAAGCCGAAGAAGTATGACAAGGAAAACATGCCAGAATACCATCCCGCCAATATGCAACCTAATCTACTAATCTTTCTCCAGATCCTTAGGACTGGGATCACCGATACCGTCTTCATTGATCGCAAACATGCAATCACTCTCAGGTAAGCAAGGACTGTCGTATATCTTGCATATCCTCGTCTCTCCACGTCCCTTCTTCAAGCTCAATCTCGTAGTACTGGCGTGAGCGATGATGTTGCCACCGATGGGCTTCTTCGGGTCAGGGTTGAACATGGCACTGGGGCCGCCGTCAACCTGTGCGACAACTTGGTTCGTGATTACGACTGCAATGCCAAACTCATCCGCCAGTCGTTGAAGTGTACGCATGAACTTGGCCAGATGTACTTGTCGTGCGGAGAGCTCGCCACGGCCCATGAAATCAGTACGGTATAATGAGGTTGCGGAGTCAACGATGAGGAGAGAAAACCGTGTTTCAGTCATCATCTGCGAAGCTTGCATTAGTAGCTGAAGCTGGTGGTCGGAGTTGTATGCGCGAGCATAAGCGACGTTGTCAAGGACTTCTTCGCCAGACAACCCATATCTGTTGGCGACTGCTAACAAACGCACGGGTCTATGTTACTGTCAGCAAAAGGCAAATTATGTGGCGACGAGCACCAATTTACCTGAAAGTGCCTTCCGTATCGATGTATAGGCATTTGCCTTCTCCGCCGCCCATGTCGAATGGTAGCTGACAAGTCACTGCAAGCGTATGGCAGATCTGACTCTTTCCCGTCCTAAATTCTCCGAATATTTCCGTTATTGATCCCGTCTCAATACCGCCGGCAAGCAAAGTATCGAGCTGCTTTGATCCGGTTGTGATGGAAATGAGTTCGCTCCGGCGCTGGTGCATTTCCGTTGCGGTCGTGAAGCCCATGGGAACCAACTTCGAGGCTTCAGTCAATATCTTGGTGGCCTTTTGCTCCGATATGCCCTTGATTTGTTCCAGCACTCTGCGCGGCGTGTACGCCACCGATTCGACTGTGTGGTAGCCTCCATCCACGACGAGTTTGATGTCACGAGCCGTCAAGCCGTTGACTCCCTGCAAACCGCGTCAGAACACTGTACAAGGTGCGAGGATGCGTGGTATAGGGGTGCGCACCTCCAGCGCGCTCAGTGGCGTTGGTGCGCCAGGCGCTCCCATTCCTTCATCGTAGCCAGACACTGACTGTTCGTCCTCGGCGCTCATAATGGGCTAGATTAAATGGTTCTGTGTTCGATAATGCGTGCGATTGAAGAAACTGAGCGGTTGAGTACGGTTGCTGGCGTCTGAAAGTGTGGAAGAAATGTTGTCGGAAGGCGCGCGGGACAAGTCAGACGCGACGCGCTGCCTGCCTAGCGGTGGTGGCGAAATCGCTGACGCCTAGTCACATGACACGCGTTTCCACTTCGAGGCGGGGTTGCCTTAGGCAGTGACGTTTGCAACTCCACGGCGGGGGTTGATGATGTCCAGCTACCGTGACGTCTTCTTCGGATTTCACGACAACCAGAAGGTTCGGTCGGTTCAAGGTTTTCTGCATACTCCCCTGTAAAACCCCACGCTCCCACACTGTATCCCTGTAACGATCACTTGAGCAATGATTGGGTATTCTGAAAGGCTCACAGTTCAAACAAGCCAATCAATCAAGAAGTGGGAAAGGCCATTGGCCGTTTGCTTTGTAGAATAACCAATCCACACCGGTGTTTTTGTCGATCACTTGTCCTTCTCCCCTTTCTCCCGCAAAGACCACCTCGACCTCGGGCTATTTAATCTGTAGTTTAACCCGGTTGATAAGCGGTTCGGTTTCACAACAGGAGGGGCTGATCAAGGGTAAGATTATGCGGTGACGTAGTACGTCAAGCACCTCATATAGGCCCATCGTCTTTATCGTTTCTATCGTTCTCCCAGTGTCATTTCATCTCTCTGTTACGACCATGCCTCAGGACAGAGCAGTCCGAATCGCAGGTATAGTCACACATAGTAGCATCGACTGTTCGTGTAGAGGCTGAAAATGTACCAGGTATTTCTGGTTCCGGACTCGACCGCCGCGATGCCATGTACGCAGTAGCAGCGAATTGCCCCGATGATCCTGTCGATGTGATCATTGGCGACTGGCTATCTGAGGCGAACATGACCCTCCGCGGAGCAGCAAAGATAGCTGGTGCGCGCTCATCTGCCTCCTTGAAGTACTGATACCGATGTCTTCATGTAGGCACGGGCGAGGCCTACGAACCTACCTTCCTCGACGCCCTTGAGCCAGCTCTTCCGCATATTGCAAAGCATCGCATCAAAGTCGTAGCTAATGCGGGTGCTTCTGATACAAAGCTGTTGCATGACCTCGTACTCAAGCTGATCAAAGAAAAAGAACTTGATCTCGATGTTGCCTGGATCTCCGGCGATGAGGTAATGCCAGCTGTAAAGGAAGCGTTGGAATCCAAGCAGGATCATTTCGAGAACGTCTACACCGGAGAGGTATTGGCAGATTGGAAATTCAAGCCAATTTATGCGCAAGCTTATCTGGGGGGCTTAGGTATTGCCGAAGCTTTCGCCAGGGGTGCAGATATCGTGGTTTGTGGAAGAGTCTCTGACGCCTCTCTTGCCATCGGTGCTGCATACTGGTGGCATAACTGGCAGCGCTCCTCACTGAACGAACTCGCCAACGCCTTTGTTGCGGGCCACCTCATCGAGTGTTCCAACTATGTCTGCGGTGGAAATTACACTGGTTTCAAAGACCTGGAATCCAAAGGTTGGGACGACATTGGATACCCCATCGCGGAAATTTCGAAAGCCGGAGAAGTTGTCATCACCAAAAGCAAAGGCTCCGGAGGTGAGGTGTCAGTGGATACCTGCTCCTCTCAGCTCGTATACGAGATCCAAGGTCCTTGGTATTACAACTCTGATGTGACAGCGATCCTGGACGAGACCTGGTTCGAACAGCTGTCAACTGATCGAGTCGCAGTACGAGGTGTCAAATCTGATCTACCCCCTCCCACAACTAAAGTCGGGATAACAGCAAAAGGCGGCTATCAGGCGGAAGTCCATTGGTTCCTCGTAGGTCTGGACATTGAAGCTAAGGCTCGCATGATGGAGGTCCAGATCCGGCGCTTGATGAAACCGTACATGGACCGTTATTCGAAGCTGACTTTCACTATCAACGGTTCCTGTACAGACAATCCAAGGGATCAGAATGCGGCGACAGTCGACTTCCGGATTTTTGCCCAGGCTCCAGATATGGAAGCGTTGAAGCCAGAAGCTTTCCTGCGGCCCTGTCTGGATCCAATAATGGAGGCGTATCCGGGAGCCACGCCTCATCTGGATTTTCGTCAGGGGCTGCCAAAACCGATATACGAGTATTATGTCACCCTATTGCCGCAGTCTGAGATCAAGCATCGCGTGCATCTCTCTTCTGGAGAAACAATCGATGTTGCGCCGCCAGCGACTACGAAAGATTGGCTGAAAAAGCAACCAGATCAGGCTGTCACGAGCGGCGTGGTCGACCATGCAAAGTTTGGAGAGACATTGAAAGGTCCGTTAGGCTGGCTTGTCCATGCGAGGAGCGGCGATAAGGGAAGCGACTGCAACGTCGGATTCTGGGTTCGACACCACGATGAGTGGGATTGGTTGCGGAGTTTGCTGAGTACAGAAATGATCAAGGAACTCCTTGGAGAAGAATATCGGGGGAAGCCCATAGTGAGTTTGAAGAGCTGCAGGTATTTACCCGGTTGCTGATATTGTTTCCAGGATCGGTTCGAGCTCCCCAATATGCGAGCAGTGCACTTTCTTCTCCATGATCATTTGGATCGCGGAGTCAGTTGCTCCAGCTCATATGATTTCCTAGGGAAGAATGTTGCCGAGTTCCTGAGGGTTAGGCATGTAGAGCTGCCAACGAGATTCCTTGAGCGTGGCAAGCTTTAGGTGTACACATATTCAAATAGCCTATCTGAATTTTAGTCACACTCCGTATAATTATCATTACCTCCGTTAGGCGGTGAATCTCGCTTGACGGTGACGGACGTTGTTGTTAGCCAGAGCGTGGTGATTTTCCTCCCCGCGTGCGGCAACGACATGAGATCACACGCTAGTGTCCTAAACAGGAAAGGTTAGCGCATGAGCTTAATTTTCGAAGCTCAACCGCGGCGACGACGCCGGGCAGACATCCACCGTGACAGACAGACAAGAAGCTCCACCCAACATCGCAACCATGGCCGTAAGATCTTCCAACTCCAATTTTACAAGGCTCCAAATAACTAACTCGTCAATTCAGAGCTTCGTCCCTCTCAACCCGCGGCCTATGCTGCAGTCGCTGTACGTTTGCCTACAACCGATCCGGCTTCCGCCAGCGCTCACGCACTGCGCCCATGTCGCGATCTAAGAAAGACGAGGACGAAATTATACTAACGGCGATCGCAGTGTCGGCAAGGAAGTCCTGATCCGCCTCAAGTGGGGTGAGACTGAGTACAAGGGCGTGCTCGTCTCCACCGACAGCTACATGAACGTCCAGCTGTCCAACACCGAGGAGTTCATCGACGGCAAGAGCACCGGCAGCCTGGGCCAGGTCCTGATCAGGTACGCGTCAATTCGCGCATGACGTAGCTGGTTGCCGAACACAAGCTGACAGATCGCGTGCGCAAACAGATGCAACAACGTCCTTTGGATGTCCGCTGCGGACGCTGCAGGCAAGGGAGATGCTGAAATGAGCGGTTAAACAATTTTTGATAACTACTTTTTTATTTCTAGCCCGGATGAACTACCGCGTGGCCGATGGCAAGAACTCAACCAAGTCATACGTCAAGAAGGAAGAGGAGGAGGGAAGGCGAAAGGGCGCAAAGTAAGAAGCAGCGCATGCTGCGCACAGACTTGCGATTGCCCCCCTGGAACTTCCCAGAACTACATTCAGAGCGCGAAGGCTGAGCGGGAGATCCCCAAGCTACGAAGAAGGAGACCAGGGAAGAGAACCCCTGCCGGGAAAACCGACAAGGAATGAGGGGCCATACTCTGGAGTTTTCGCGGATTCTCAGATACCACACACGATCGGATTGCTTAACAATGACACACGGCCACTTCCAACGGCCAATTCGTCAGCACTTCGAGCTACATGCATGTGAAATTACAACAGCGTATCTAAAGTACTTGCAAGGACTGCCAACATCCTCCGCCTCACTCCACCTCCTCAATCTTCGGTCTTTCCCTCTCCGCGCTCTCCTCACCCACTTGCCTCTCAGGACCGACATTCAAACCCCTCAACTTTCCCTCCAACCCCAGCCTCACGCCTCCCTGGTCGACAGCCGTCCCGTCCGCCTTCACGCCCACAGCCCTCTTGACCCTCAGCGCCTCCAACCCCTCTACAACCGCCCCCGCATGCCCCTTCGCCACCACATCCTCATCTCCATCCCTAACCCACTCCATCACACGCCCAATCTCAGCCCACCTCTCCGCTCCCACCGCCGGTCCCACAATCCTCTCGACGCCTTTCGCGACCTCTGCGCCCGCTTCCAGCCCAGCATCCATGCCTCGCAACAAGCTCATAATAACCATCGCGGCCGCGCGCCTCAAGATCGCAAAGCTCGCCTCCGTCTCCAGACTCAGCGCACCAAGCGCAATATCCACACCGCTGCGCACGGCGTCAGGCGCCAGCAAAGCCAGTGTCGCCGGCCGCTCCAGCAATGATCCCAAGATACTAAGGCCTGAAGTGCGCAGGCGCACATCCTCCTGCAGCCCAGTGTCGGACCACTTAGCAATGATGCTTTCGAGCAGCGCAGCATCAGCTCTATCCTGCTCCGTCTCAGGCTCTTCATCTCCTCCGTCCCCAGTGATGTTCAGCAGCGACGGCATCTCGGGCACACTACCGCCCCACTCCTTCTCTGCCTCGCGCTGCTTCTTGCGGCCGAGGGCCGCAGCGCGCTTCCGCGCAGCGAGGTCCTTGGCCCGCTGGCCGCGCCGGCTAGATACCGTGAGCGTGGCGCTGGCGATGCGCTGCACGAGAGGGCGCCAGGTGGCAGCTGAGCGAGGATCGAGGGCAGCGGCGCTGTCATCGCTGAGGTCCGCGACGACGCGGCCCAAGGTCTCGGCGACGCGGAGGCGGCCTTCGAGCCCGCCGTCCCCGACGGCGTTTTCGTTGGGGTCCGCGAAGGCGTCGACGAGCAGGTTGCTTACGAGGGGTGGGTCGCGCTGGGTTAGGGCGGCTAGGGTGCGCATGCAGTGCTGGTAGACGTATTCTTCTTTGTCGGTGAGGAGGTCGCGGATCAGGAGGAGGGTGATGGTCGGGACGTCGATGACGGGGGACCGTTTGTTGGTTAGGTCGCGGATTGTGGAGAGGCCCATTGCGCGGATGGGTGGAGCTGGGTCGATGAGTTCGTTGAGGGCTGCGTTGAGGGTTTTGCGGTCTGCGTCTGAGGGGGCCTCTGCTGGGGCTGCTGTCTTGGGGACGGGGATGTTTAGGATGCTGGAGATTTGCGTGATGAGGTTGTCGGCTGTTTGAGGTACGGATTCTGGGAGAGATTGCGCTCGGCTCACTAGTTGCAGTGGGGGGATGATGGTGGACAGCGTCTCTGATACCTGCTTGGTGGTCTTGAAGTTTGGAGCTGAAACGATTGTGCTCAGAAAGCTCAGAGCAATCGGCAGCAGTTCGTTGGAGTCGACTAAGGGAGTATATGTTTGTTCGTCAGTGCCGCCGACAGCTGGAGCATTCTCATGCTGAACGATATTGCTGAGACCGGCGTATGTAGCCTTTTCAAGATCTCGCTTTCGCTTCTTGTTCGCTTTTTCTGCCTCGACCCACTCATCCAGTAGCTGCTTGACTATTTGGATCATGTTTCCGGGGTCAGCAGCAAGTTTGTCCTTGAATTTCTCCAGTATGCTCATCACAAGCCTGGCGTTAATGAGAGATTGTAGTGGATCGTCCTCTTCTGGTGACCGCAAGCTGGGGCCTTTCGATGCAGTAGCAGTTTGTGGTAAGAGCCATTTCCTGGTTAAACGGACAAAGAGTTCGCCAATGTCTTGGTCCTCGATTGCGCCAGATTCAAGTAGCTCTTGGTAGGCTGACAACCTTGTTTCAACTTTTCCCATTCGCTCAAGAATGTTGTCTTCGGCTGGTGACTTCTCTCTTCGGCGTATCTCGATGCCGCCTTCACTGCCAGGTGCAAAAATCCAGGCTGCAGGTCCATCAAAAAGCAGGTTTGCTGCAAGGCTATCCAGTTGCTCCACGTTGGCGCCAAGTCTGAAGTAGATTTCGAGAAGACCCCAGGTCGTGTCGCGCCAAGAGCGATCCAGAGGCCTGGACTTACTGTAGGCAAGAAGAGCCCATAGTGGCAACATGAGTCTGCTAAGCAGACGCTTGTTAAGGCCAATGTTGGGCCGAGCCGTGAGAAGAGCCGTAAGTCGTGCCATGGCACGCTTCAGATCGCGCTCGGAGACAATGGTTGAGCCCATTGCAGCACTGCTTGTTGTTGACGCTCCCTCTTTTCCTTTTGCAGGTGGGCTTATGCTTGAGATCATGGGCTCGGCAAACAGCTTCCAGCCTATCGCGTCAGGCGTACCCAAGGCTCTCTGTCCAAGGACCGTACTGATCACTAAAGCTGAAGCTTTACTGAACTCCGGGCCATCATTCCCGTCAAGCATAGCCAGAAGCTGCGGTGCTAAGGCCTTGAAATAGGCGTCTGCAGACATGCCGCTAGGAACCGAAGATAGAAGCTTTGACGCCTGTAGCAAGGCATCAAGAGGCAGTGGTGGTCCTCTCGTGTCAACCTCGCGCCCGGGTTCAGCCGCCGGCTGGGGTGGTGGCGGGTATGAGGAGGCAATGAACTCGATGGTATACCGAACACCACGTGGACGAAGCGGGATGATAGCGAGTTGTTTCGAAAGATGGATCTTCAGCCATTGAGGTGTTGAAGGTTGAATGAGATACGTAAGAAGAGGCAGCGCAGATGCAGTCGGAGTCCTGATATCAATAGATTGAGTACATGCTGATAGCCTATTACTGGAAAACAGAAATTGATAATGGACGTAGTGGAAAACTGGACGTACTCTTGCACAAGCTTTGTGAATATCTCTTCGTATTTCGCATTGAAAGCTCTGTTCGATTTAGGAGAGAACGCAAGTTCACCTGCACCGGCTAGAACATCTACAAGAACACGCTCTCGTACAAGAGGCGCGAGACCAATCTGAGCATTCTGCAAAAATTTTGCCAATCCGTCAATAATTTCGGAAAGCAAGCCTACGTCCGGCTGCAGAGCATGTTCAGATTCAGCAGGCTTATTTAGGCCTTTGAGCACAGATTTAGGTCGACGTGTTATAGCGACACCTGGAGAAAGCGAGGGAAGGATGCCCCGAACGGCCAAGAGGTCCAGAAGGCCGTAGAGAGTCTTCCTGGAGTCCTCGTCATACTCCCCTTCGGAGATAGGAACCTTGGTTTGGTCTTGGCTTGAGACATCCGCTTCGTGGATCTGATGTAGGAGTGCCAGATCTCTCCGTAAAACTCCTTTTTGAGGATCTGAAGCCGTCGATTCTGCGTCATTTTTACTCAAACAATCAACAATGTCGACATCACCTCCTGTGTCTCCTCAGCATACGGTTCCGCAGCCAGGATGGACCATTGTTACCAGCTTTCCAAGCGGGGATCAAAAAGGCTTGGGCCTCGTCAAGTGCTTCCCTTAGAGTCGGCATGACGACTGACGATATGAGAGAAGTCGGGACGGGACGTTGTTGTAGGTTGGCGTAGAAATTCCATCGTCTTCTGACGTCACGTGTAGGCGTGGAATGCGCTAAGCCCGAAACGCGTCGTCCGACCACCTCCACCTTTGTTTAGAGCTTCCACTTGCTCTCACTCTTTCTCCCCAACAAACTCACCGCCAACGAATTGCGCGACACAGTCCACTCTCGTCTGCTCCAACCGCGTCAATCTGATCTGAACTCTCAAAACCATTCATCTGCTGCTTTTGAGGACCTTGCAATCGCGGGGTGAACGCGCGACGCGACGCGCTCTTCTTTCGCGCATCTCTCGCTCATTTGAGCACACAAATCTCACGCAGTTCCCTCCCCATACAGCGCCGATTCTCATTTCCCAGCTTCACGGCAGGGATGTGTAACAACGCCCCATGCGTGCTTGCGTCGTGGCATCGGCGCCTCACCCGAGCCTCATAGTACGGTCTCACTGGGTTATTGGCCGTTGGTGTCGCGGCGCTGCAATGGCAACATTGTACTCCGGGGGCCGTATGGGGAGAATGAGTCTCGGAACTTAACCCTAATCTTCTTTCGGTTCTAGTATCACGGACACTTTGTGTGGTTGCCGACCTCGCGACTAACCTCCGGAACTGAGCCTTAAAGGGCTCTCGGCTTGTCCTTGGGCGTGAGTACGGTTCAAGTGAAAGAGGCCAAAACGAGACTCGTGGTCCGACAGAAATTTCATGCGTCGTTTTGGTAAGATTCTCATGAGAGGACGCGCGTCGATTCTTTTGTCTGGGCATCAGATTCTGGTCACCATGGACGGCTTTTTTTCGACGACTTGCATGGCGAGCATGCCGGGAGAGATCAGGTGAGAGTTGTCGGACACCTCCAAGAGGATCGTCTTTGGGATCTTCACGTGCTGTTATGCTTTCGGAGCCTTGCCAATGTGGCGGAAGCCTGCAATATTGAACGCCAGCCGCTGGGCTTCGGAAGGTTTGACGCTCCTACCACATCGCACACTTCATTGGGTGCCCGTCGTCAACGTGCGCGCTTGGAAGCTTGTGGCATATCCAGAGGGACTACGGATTGAGCGCGGCCTCATAAAACACCTACACACAGAATGCATCATCCACTCGCCTCGATGCCTTAATCCGCATCACTTTGCTTGCCAGATCAACTCGTCTGAATGGTGATTCACTCACCTAGCGAGGTCTTCCGAGTTTTCATGCAGAGGCGAGCTGGACTGCTATTCGATTACATGGTGAGCCGATAGGCTCCTGTTCCGGAAGCCCAAAGGATGTGTCCGCTTGTCTTACAGCATCATGTTACACGGGTGGGACGGACGCAATCTGGAAGAAGCCCATCACACCCTAGCGGCGGGATTCGATTTGCATTTCCGACCTTAAATCATTGGCATGAGCAATGGTTGCACTAATGGCGAAGACGTCCCGCACGGCTCTCCTACTCCGCAGAGCAAAGGCAGTACGCCCGTTCAGCGAACCTGATCTCCAACCCGCATTCCTGCCATAGCGCTCAACGCAGCCCGCAAATTCGAAGAGCCTTTGCCACGGCACCCGCCATCGGCACTGTCAGCGTATGCTGTCGTCCTGACCAGTCGTGTTAATCGTCTCCTCGTACGTTTAGCGGACGAGTCGATTGATGAGCGCCGACAGCCGTCTTGCACAGCTTCTTCGGTTGTGTCTTGACACTCCGTCCACTAACGTGGGCATGGAAGCGGTTTTTGATGATGTACTTTGTCCGCTGATTCTACGCCCTTGGCCTCACTGACTTCGGTCTGCTGAGCGTCGAGCGGAAACAAAGACCGGTCTCTGGGAGGGCTGCCACATCACACAGAGAGAGACTCCCCGTCACCACAAGGTGCTGGGGTGTGGAAGAAGAGAGCGCAGTCGCGTACGGTCATTCTACGAAAACAAACGAGGAAGCTTTCAGGTGCGTTGGTGAGACTTCAGAGACGACGATTGCCGCGGAGAGCGATGGTTTTGGGCTGCGTAATTCGTTGGGCATTCTTCTGAAACCCGGCGCTCTCCACTCACTCTTCCGAACCAGCTCGCGGCCGTTTTCTGGAATATGCACACTCACATGCCAGCACGCACTTTTTGCCTAGCCAACTGCTCGTTCGCCAAATCCAGTAAGGGGTATGCGATCGTGGGAGGGCGGGATGGATCACGGTTGGGTAACCGGACGCTCGAAGCAGGACCTCTCTAGTGTGAGGCTCAAAGTCACGGCTTGTCTGCTCTCAGCGTCTGCCAGCTGCGTTCTTGAACGTTTTTCCGCAGTTGTCGCCTCGATAAGCCTGGACGTTGGTGGGGCAGTTGGTAAGGATGGCAGACAGATGCAGCCGCTTAGTGCAGGACCCGGGGCTCGCGCTGCGGTGCTGCGGGAAGTTGAGCTGGGTTGGTTTGCGCTTGGGCGGACGAGGGGTGCGCGGTGTGTTGTTCTGGGGACGTTGGACGGGTAAGACTGGGAGGGCGGCGAGGAGCCGCGCCGCCTCTCTTCGGAGGGGCGGCTTTACTTTTTTTTTTATAAGTCACCCCCACACTTTCCCTTTGACGCGAAGTTATAAGCTAATGGATGCTACCTAGGACCCCGGAAGGTGGATGTGGTGGTCGCGGCTGTTGGGGGATGGGTGTGTGAGAGGAGTGGTAGAGGGGTTTGAAACTAGGCCGCGGACGAGCTGGATCGGTTCGATGATGAGAAACTATTCAAAAGGCAAGTTTGCAGGCAGCCGGCCTCTACACGGGGGTGTGGTTGCCGATGAGAACACAAGAGGCTAGTCTGAGGACCGATCCTTCTCGCCCGGCCTAGGTATCTACTCTTAGATAGTCACTACTCATGCACAAGCAAGTCAAGCAATTACCGGCTGAACAAAGTGATGCTACATACATAAGGCGCGCGAAAACGTCCAAGGCAAGAGACATACGCAGTGGTGTTGTGTCCACCCCAGCAGCCTATCCCCTCGCCCCATTCCCAGCATGCATACCGCACCTACCGTTCCAGGTAACCTCGCACCGGGCCCTCCGCTGCAGCGCCGTTGCTGGTTGGCGGGCAGTCGCAGTGGCAGTTGCTGTCCGTCCGAAATGGTGGAAGGTGAGGTGGTGACGTCGACGCCAACGGGCCCGTGTCACGCCCCGGCTTTGCGGGCCACGAAAAGCGAAAGGCTGGGGCTGCGGCTGGGGCGATCGCGGCTGCCACGAGTGCGCTGGCTGGACTCTGGGCCGTTCCGTACCGTACCTTACCTTTGCCTTCAATTACTATTTACCACTACCTGACGCCTGTTTGTCGATCACTCACTCACTCACTTGCTTGCTTGCTTCGTCGTCGACCTGCGCACCTGTCTGTCTGTCTGTTTGTTTGCTCGTCCGCTACTCCACGTTCCACGCTCCACGCCCCACGCTCCGCGCTCTACGCCTCCTGGACCTCGCTGAGTGAAGTGCTCCTACATACCTACGCTAAGAGAGAAGGTGAGTGTGTACCCACTGTACATGTGGTTGCGGGTTACTGACGAGCTGTGTAGCGTGCTTTCTTCCCTATCCGCTTACGACCTGCTTGCTTGCTTGCGGACTGTCTACTGCTCTGCCTTCTACGTACATATCTGCCCTACGAATCACGAGATATTTCTTCCGGCTGCGATACACACATACCTACCGTTCTACCAACGGCCGACACGGCGCACCTGAGAGGCATTGCTTGAGCACAGCGTAGCATAGCCGCCCAAGAAACCAACGACAGCAGCAACCGACCAATTCACCCACCTACCGGCCCAACAACAACAACAACAATGCAACCCACGCAGCTCGTCAGCGCGCTCGCGCTCCTCTTCGCCACAACCGCTACGGCTACGGCTACTGCTATCGCTGCCGCCGCGTCCGCCCCGGCATCCACTACCACAGCCACCACACCGCAGACGACCACGGCCGCCGCGCTCCCCTTCCAGCTCCCCATGCTCGCGCACACGTCCGCCGTTGCTGCCACGCCTGCACCAACGCCCTTGGCCCTGCGGGGCTTGAAGCGGCATCCCAAGGCCAACGCAGCCGCAGCCGCCAACCCCGAAGCCAAACCCGACGCCAACCCCGCCGCGGACGCAAACGCAAACCCCACGCTCACGTCCCCCCCACAAAAGCGCGACCCCGCCATCGCCGCCGCAGCAGCGTCAACGCTCTGCCCAACCTCCTACCACGCATGCGCCGCGCTAGGCGCGCCCGGCCTCTGCTGCCGCGCCGACTCGAACTGCGCCGTCGACCAGGCAGGCCACGTCGCGTGCTGTCCGAGCCGGGCCGTGTGCACGGGCAGCTTGACGGGCGTGGGCAGCAGCAGCAGCACTGTGAGCGTGAGCGTGAGCACTGAGACGGACACGGCTGGGGCTACGAGCGCGAGCGCGACGACTACGCAGGGCTTTGTCGCGGTGGATGGCACCACTGTCGCTACGCCGAATGTGGGCGGGAGGGGGAGGGTGGAGCTGGGGGGATTGCTGGGGGGGTTGGTGGGGGTTTTGGCGGTGCTGTAGGGTGGCTGTGAGGGGGAGTGGGAGTGGTTGATTGATTCGTTGGTGGGTTCATTCGGGGGGATTGCTATGGTGGAGTTTTTTTTATGGGTTGGGAATTGGTATGGTTATGGATATGGGAATGGATATGGACATGGATATGGGTAATGACAAACAAACGCAAACGGAACAGAGACACGCATCATGATCACGCTGCTGATGAAGTTGATGCTGATGGGATGGGCATGGGCATGGGTAATGACGGGTAGCATAGCATAGCATAGAAGGGCATAGTTAAGAGCTTGCTTGCTTGCTTGTTTGCTTGCTTGCCTGTTAGCTACCTAAGTAGGGAATTCAAACAAAGCCAAACATAAACAAATGAACAGTCAACAACAAATATCTTGAATTCTGGCGTTGGAAAAAGGACTGGGGCGCGTGGCTTGTGGCTTGCTTGTTTGCTTGTAGAGGGTTGTGTAACAAGGGGGGTGGGGTTGTGTGCCTCTTAAGAGAGGGAGAGAGGGTGTGGTGGGTGTGTATGTAGCTGCTTCTGCTGCTGCTTTTGACGTGCTAGCTAGCTCTCTTGTCTGTGTCTCTTGTCTTTTTATTTGTCCATGCTTTTTTGTCTGCTCTGCTCGTCATCTGTTTGTTTGTTTACGTTGGGTTTGGGGTTGCTTCTTTTCGTGCGCTCTCTCTTCTTGGTCTCTCTCTTTTTCTTCTTGCACGCACGCACAGCACGCACAGCACTTCGTGTGCGGCATCTTCTCCCCTCTCTCCACCCGTCCACCCGCCGACCCGTCCACTCGCCCGACCACCACCACCACCGCCTGCCGGTGGCTCCCAGCTCCTGCCTCGCACCTCATCGCACCTCAGCCGGCCTAGCTCACCAAATGCCCAACCACTTCCTAACCGGCCTCTTCCTGCCCTCGAAGTCCGTGTACGCGGTTTTCTCCTCCCCCTCCACAGCCGGCGCAGGCACAGCCGGGGCAACGGGGCTCGCCTCCTCGGCCTGCGCCTCCTTCGCCTCCCCACCCAACAGCCCCCCCAGCAAGCCCTTCCCGCCCTCCTCGACGTCAATGCCATGCGCGCGCTTAAACTCATTGCGCTTGTCGATGTCGTCGACCTTGCGCTTGCGGCGCTCGGCCGTCTCGGCGCTGACGTGCTCGGCATGCATTTTGTAGACGGCGAGGGCCTGGCGGAGGGAGCGGAGCGGGTGGGCCAGGAAATCGCTCCGGCTGGGCAGGAGAGCCGCGTAGGGCGTTGTGTGGACGAAGTTTAGCGTGAAGGTGCTGAATGCGAGGGTTAGGAGGACGAACTGTGTTGTGCGTGTGTGCGTTAGCATCATCATCATCATCTCTCTCTACTTGTGCGAATGCTTTTGTGTTTGTTGGTGGGTGGTGGGGTACAGGGCAAAACGTACGAGCGAAATATACGCGTGCAGCATCCGGTTCGTCAGGAACCAGTGCATAAAGGTGCCCTCGGGCGGCATCATGTGCGGGTACTTCTTGGTGCGCTGCGCCATGCGCTGCGCGTCCGTCAGCTGCGGCCCGTACTGGTAGCGGGGCGTCTTGCGCGGCAGGCGGGCGGGGTGCGACGGCGGGCGGAACTTGTCGGGCTTCTCCAGCACAATGGGCTGTTGTTTGGAGGAGGGCGTGGTGCCGTCTTTTGCTTTTGTTGAGGCGGGGCGGCGGAGAGCGGGTTGGGCGGATGTGGTGGTGGTGGTGGTGGTGGGGAGGCCGCGCCGGAAGAGTAGTGCGTTACTGCTGGTGCTGCTGAGCAGGCGCTGCGAGAGTAGGCGCGGCATTGAGGCGGCGGGCGAGGCCATGGTTTGGTTGCGGTAGGGGCGGTAGGGGCGTGGGCGGAGGGTGGTGCGCGCGGAAGAGGTCCGAGAAAATTCGTGCGCCTGTCGTCTGCCGTATTTTCGGCGGCTGCTGGGGCATGTCGTGCTCCGTACAAGCTATGTATACCCACTACCAACTCACTCCCTCTCTCTCCCTCCACTGGTGGTCAATTGGTCATGCCGTCCCCTGTACATACACTCTAGCACTTAGCAGTAGGTCCCACAGCACCAACAGCACCACCAGCAACAACAACATGTGAGTCCCCCAGCTGAGCACCTCGCACCAGTCAGTCCCCCTCAATTACCACCACAACTACCACGCCCACCACGACGACCACGACTCCTCCCCCCACCCCGCTCCTCCACCTATACCTCCTCCTCCTCCTCCTCCTCCTCACCCTCCTCTTCCCCACAACCATGCCCCCACCAACACCACCCCCCTTCGCCACGCCCACATACTGGGACGCACGCTTCCGCGCCAACCCCACCTCCTTCGACTGGCTCCTCCCAGCCAGCAGCCTGGACGGGCCGCTCATCGACGCGCTGAACGCCTCTCCCGCGCCCAGCCCGCGCGTCCTGCACGTCGGCTGCGGCACGAGCGTGCTGTCGCTGCATTTGCGCGCCCATGTCCAGGACCCGCGCCAGGTGCATAATGTGGATTTTTCGCGCGTGTCGGTTGAGCTGGGGGCGAGGTGGGAGCGCGAGGTGTTTGAGGGGGAAGGGCTGGAGCGAGAGCGGGAGGAGGGTGCCGAGGCCGAGACTGAGGCTACTGGAGGGAAGACGCCCCCCCGCATGCGCTGGAGCACGCTGGACCTGCTGTCCCTGCCCGCCGTGCTGGCGTTGCTCTCGCAAGCCCAAGCCCAAGCGCAAAACCCATCCGCCTCTGCCGCAGGCGCATACGACCTCATCGTCGACAAAAGCACCTGCGACGCCATCGCCTGCGGCGAAGACATTCCCGTCGCGCTACCCTACCCCATCCAGCCCACCAGCACTACACACACTCCACACACACCAGCACCACAGTCCCCCTCGCCCACGTCCTCGCTCTTCAACTCGCCCTCCGCGACCCCTGCCCCCAGCACACCCACAAACCCAAACCCCCGCACCCACCCCATCCACCCCATCCACCTCCTCGCCGTCCACCTCTCCCTCCTCACCCCCCCAAAAGCGCGGTGGATCGCGCTCTCGTACTCGGCCTCGCGCTTCCCGTGGCTGGAGCCCCTGCCCACCAGCGCGGCGGAAGGACTGCTCAGCCCCGAGGTGCTGGGCGCAGGGTTCCCGGACCCGGGGCGCTTGTGGCGGTTGGTGGGGCGGGAGCGGGTTGTCGTTGACGAGGGAGGAGGAAAGGGGGGACATGGCGGCGTGGTGCACCGCCCGGAGATCGGGCACTGGCTGTATGTTTTTGAGCGCACGGGGGAGGGGGTCGGCGTTGTTGGTGAGGGGGTTGTGAGGGGCGATCTGTAGAGATCTGTTGAGAGATGTATAAAGAAAGAGAGAGAGAGAGAGAGAGAGACTGTACAGCTGAGCCGAAGATAGAATATCTCGTTTGTATGTATACTACTTGTACATACATGTATACATCTATTTCCACCACCACCCCACTCCCTTCTCCTCTATCTCACGCCCAAGCAAGCAAGCGTAAGCGTAAGCGAGACTCACTCACTGCTCGCTTCTACAAGCTGTAGTAGGTAGGTAGGTATGTAAGTAGGTAAGTATGTATGTGGACAGATAGGTACGCTACGCTACGGTACGTCTTTACCATCCACCATCCACCACCCACCGCACTCACTGACCTGAAGTGTGAAAAACTAGGTATGTGTAACAACACAATCTCTTTTTCGCTCTCGCTCTCCTCCGCTCCACCCACACCTCCACCCAAACCTCAAACCTAACACCCCACATCTGCATCTGCATCAGAATTCGTATCTGGATCTGAATTTAGAATTGGATTTCAATATGCCTTTGCATGCTCGCATGATTTCATTCACTCTCCCGTTCCCCTTCAACCCTTCAACCCCACCTCACACCGTCCTATCCGCCTCTCCCTTCCAGACTCAGACTCAGACTCAGACTCCCGACTCTAACGCCCGCGCCCACACCCTTGCCCGAAAATCTTCTCCTGTCATCTTCTGCTGCTGCTGCTTCCTTCGTCCTCCGTCGGCCATGCCATACCCAGGCCTAGACCCCGACCCCACTCACTCACTCACTCAAACAAGCCTCCCCTAGTCTAATAATGTAGTCAGTCTGTTCTCAAACACAACAACAACAACAACAACAACGTCTGCTTTTGCTTTTCTCGGGAAATCCACACTGCGCAATCACGAACCCTTGAACGCGTCGAACCGCTTGTACGTGTACCCGATGAACGGCAGGCTCATCTCCGCCGCCAGGTCCTCGCCCTGCGTCGCCGACGTCTGCGCGCGCAGCGCTGCTGACGTGTCGTGCTGGTCAATCTCGTCGATGGGGAAGTACTGCGTGTCGACGTTCGACTGCAGCTTGGGCTCAAACGGCGCCCGGATCCGCCGCAGGCCATCCCACTGCACGCCGCGGAAGAAGGGGTGCTGCTTGATCTCGTGCGCGCCACCGACGTGGCCGAGACGGTCGTCGGCATTGCAGATGAGGCTAGAGAGTTGTTAGCAATGAAACCATGGCTATTCAGTGGGAGGACAATAAAGCTCACCTCCGAATGAAGTCCTCGGCCTCAACACCAAGCTGCTGGTCGGGCGGGAAGTGGAGGTTGCGCGGCCAGTCGACAATCTTGCGGTAGGTATCGTGGGGCTCCTCAGCGCAGAATGGAGGCCAGCCAATCAAGCACTCGAACATGATGGTACCGACGGACCACCAATCGCATCCAAAGTCGTAACCCTTGCCAGAGAAGATCTCAGGCGCAATGTAGTCGGGCGTACCGACCGTCGAATAGGCGAGTTGACGACGAGACTTGCGCCAGGTGTTGATCTGCGTACGGTTGCTGACGGTCAGCTGGATCTGGTCCAGCGCGACCGAGTTGCGGTTGTCGCGGTTCGACTTCTGGCCAGTCGAGCCGGACAGCAGCTTCTGGTAGTACGACGCCTCGTGCTCCTTGTGGAAGCCAGTCGACAAACCAAAGTCAGTGAGCTTGATGTGGCCACCGCGGTCGAGAAGGATGTTGTCGGGTTTGATATCACTACAACGCATCAGAACTTGCACCGAAATCGCGGCAATTCTGTACTCACCGGTGTATGAAACCAAGCTTGTGCACAGCCTCAATGGCCAGAGTGAGCTCGGCCATGTAGAAACGAGTGATGTCCTCCGTGAAGATCTCATACTTGATGAGCATGGTCATCAGATCACCACCCGGCAAGAACTCCATCAGCATGTACAGGAACGTGTTGTCTTGGAACGTCGTGTGCAGCTTGACCACCCACGGACTGTCCGACTCGGCCAAGATATCACGCTCGGACCTGACGTGCGCAAGCTGATCCTTCTTGAACTGCGCGGTGTCAGTGATGCTCCTGTTGGCACTGGAAAATCCAAACCTACCATTTCTGACTTGATGAGCGACTTCAAGGCGTAAACCTTGCCATCGTTCTTGCGCTGCACCAGCTTGACCTCACCGAAAGCACCCTTACCAATGATCTTCACAGTGACAAAGTTCTCTGGCCTCTCCTTGGTGCGCAGGAAGCGCAAGAAGCGCAGCTCGGCCTGTTGCGTCTCGATGAGCTTTTGGTGCTTGCGGTTATCCGAGATGTTAGGGTTGTTGACGATCTGCTCCAACTCCAGGGCTCTGTGTGGTGGTCAGTGTCTTGATGCAGCAGCTTCATCGAAGTGCGCCTTACCTAGCATTGCGGTCACGAGCGCGCTGGACGCTCTGCTTGAAGAAGTCGCTGACCAGACCAGTGGACAGCTTGGCGCGGCGGCCAATGTTCTCAGAGTAGAGGTCGGGGTTCTTTGGCGGGGGTTCATCATCGTTGAGCGACGACTGCTTCTGGCCGGAGAAGGGCGCGCTCAAGTAGTTGCCATACTGCTGCTGTTGTCCAGAGCCAGCGGTGCGCGGGCGCTGCGTGTTGGGCGAGGGTTGGCGACCGTACGGGCTGCCCGAGCGCGGCGTGCCCAGGTTCTGGTTGCTGAATTGGTGAACGAGACCATTGGTGCCGTCGTTGTAGCCAGCGGGCGAGCGGTAGACAGCGCCAGGCGTCTGAAGGCCCTGCTGCTGCTGCTGCTGGTACTGGGGGTATTGCTGAGGGTTCATGAAGTAGCCGTAGTTGCCTTGCTGGGCGCCCCAAACTTCCTGCTGGCCATTCTGGTTGGGGTATACTGGCTGGGGGAAAGTCGAGGGCGTGGTGGGATAAGCACGGCCCTGCTCAGCGGCAAGGTTCCGGTCGTTGTTGAAGCCGAAGTTCAGGTGGAGACGGTTTCCCTGCTGATTATTCTGCATGATGGGCAGAAGTCTCGGCTAATGGTATGGATGCTGGAGGCATGGGTGTGTCAGCTCTCAAGGCGCGTCGTGCGAGGGGGGAGGGCGGGCAGGTGAGACCCCTACTGTCTGCGTACTCTCGGAGCCAAATCGAGGCGGGGACGAGGGCCTGAGCCTTGTTCAGGCGATGGAGCAATGCGAGCGCAGTGGCTGCAAACAATTCGACCGAGGCTCCAGTCGAGATTAGAAGCGGAGTGAGGTGGAGCGGCGAAGGAGAGTGGTGGAGAGGAGACGCGGTGGGTAGGTGAGCACAAGAAGGGAGTCCCGTCCCGCGTTGTTCGCTAGGTAGTAGCTGGCCCCGGCCCTACCCCGGCAGAAGAGAGCGTGTCGAAGGCGACGAGGGATTGTGCAGGTGAAAGGCAGCAGAGTGAGGGCAGGCAATGCGGTGCGACGGAATTTGGCCCAGAGGATGTTTGGAGCTGGACGGGGGGGCGTTGTCGGAATGTGTGTAAAAGAGAACCAAATCAAAGGAAAGACAGGACAGACATGAAGGGAAGGGGTGCCAGGGCCCAAAGGCCTATCGATAGGGTGGTGCGCAAGCCCGCGTGTTTCGAATCCGATTACGTGCCCGGTAACAGTTGCCGCATCGGGCCAAAAGTACACACCCGTCAACCCCACCTTCACCCCCTTGGTGGAACCTCCACTGTCCTCCCTCGCCCGCCCTCGACCTCGCCCTGCATCTCACACGTGCTGCTGCTGTTGCTGCTGCGCAGCATGCGTTGTGAGACGGCTGGTTGTGCCCGTCCGTATGAGCACCGCGGCTGTTTCACGAGGCGAATCATCCGTGCTGCACCTGCACCAGAGACGACACCCGTTGCTACCTACACCCGCTCCCTTTCGGCCCTCTCCCCACCCCCCCAATTCTCATGTCTGCCTTGTGACGTCTCGCCGTGCCTTGCCATGCCCTAGGGGCCTGCCTGCGCCTTTCCCTAAAAGGTCGAAAATGTCCGTCGTCCCGTCTACCTCGCACGCCTGCAATGATCGCCGTCGGCAAATAGAGCAAACCTGGAGGCGAGCGAGAGCGATCTGTATCCTGTGACCGCGCGGCCATGATTGCACGTCGGCCATGCGCTGATGATCGTGGTCTTTGGGCTGCAACTCTCTCTCGCTTCGCCACGCTTGTCGTCCTTCTAGTGCTTCTGCTGTGACGCCGACCAAAGTCACTCAAACATTACAAGCACAACTATACCGCAACGCGTCATCTTTGCTACATCTGCACAGCGCGCGCTCCTGGTGACCACCCAGAAGCGAGCGCCGCATCTATTTACATCCTCTCAGCCCTGCAGCCCAACCCAGCCCTACGCCGACCACCCACACCTTGCCATTCATACCTCTATACGTACCCAAGCCAACAAGAACAAGAGACCTTTTGCGCATCCGTATCCAAGACGAAACGCTCGGCTCCAAAACCGCGCTGTCCAACAGTCCAGATGGACAAAATTACCGTTCGCTGATAGCATCCAGCCAAAGACAACAACAAACCGCTCCCAGAGACACGCAGTCAGGGTATAAGGCAGCACGCTTGCAACCTGCAGTGCTCCTCCCGAGAGCACCGACCAAACGCAGAAGAGAATTAAGAAAGCCAAAAAGGAGCCGACGAAAGTCCACTCTTCCCAGCGATAAGACAAATAGAGAACGTGAAAAGAAGACAAGAGCAAGAGACCCGAATGAAACGCCTGCGATGCACTTTTTTGGTGGACCGACCTGTGTTGCCCGCTGTGGAACGAGGCCAAAGACAGACAAGAAACGCCAACCGCGCTTTGCGTGTGTGTATGAGAAGAAAAACCCGCTCGTGATGATCCAAAATATAGCAAAAACACAAACTCAACAAGTCCGTTTTACGTCAGAGTGGAGCTGACGACAAGAATGGCAGCATCAGATGCAGATGCGAATGGCGCTGACAGCCTAAGCCATCAACGACCTCACCTGCTCCCTCTCCGCCATAATTTCCGTTTGCAGTCTCCTCGTCTCCCTCATAGCGTCATCCCTACGTTTTCGTTAGCAGTTGTGCCTCTACACAGGCTTCATAAAGCCTGTCAATGGTCCAAGGAATCACTAACCTCTCGGCCTGCAGGTCTGCGACCTCGAGCTGGGCCCTGTTCATACGGCCCACAACCTCCTCCATCTCGCGGTCCGCCTCCGACAGCGCCCGCTCGAGCTGCTCCACGCCCACCTCAAGGTTCTCCGTGTTCGTCGCCTGGGCCATGCTGATGCCCAGTCCGCTCGTCGTCTTGTCAATCTTCGGCGAGCGGTGCGTGAACATCGGGCTCAACGGGCTCGACGGACCCATGCGCACACTGCGCACGTCGAGCAGCGCGCCGGCCTTCATGCGCTGCAGCTGCGCGTTCTGGCCCTCCTGCAGGTCGCGCAGCTCCTCCTCGTGCACCGCAATGGTCGATTCGGAGTGTTGCTGCGCCGCCGTGACGCGCTCTTCAGCCTTTCGCAGTTTGCTCTGCATCTCCATGATGCGCGTCGCCGAGAGGCGCTGCTCGCGCTCGCCGCGCTCAATTGCTTCGGCGAGACGCTGCCTAAGCGCCGTGTTGGAGTGCAGCTGCTGCTGAACCTGCGCCGCAAGCTCGTCCATGCGGGTCGCGGCGGCAAACAGCTGCGCCGCAAGGGTCTCCTCACTGGCGAGATGGCCTTCAGATTGCTGCAGCGCATGGGCTTGTTGCCTGTACTGCTCGGCTTCATGCTGCGCGTGGTCACGCTCGGCTTCCGCCTCCGAAATGGACTGCTTGAGCAACTCCATGACGCGCTCAGCCTCAGCACTCGTCTCACCCTGCTCGGCTTCCATGTCTTTGACGCGCGCCAGCGAAAGAGCATGGGTGGTTTGCAGTTCCTTGAAAGCCTTATCGAGCGAGACGACAGGGCCGGCGGGCTCGTCTTCGTACGCGCTGCTGGCGGCGGAAGACCGACGCTCCTGGACGAAAATGTCGCGTTCTTGCAAAAGATCACGGAGAGAGGTGGTTTCCTGCTCGGCACGACCAAGGTCCATGCGGATACCGCCCAGGTTCTTCTCAGCCACCCATTTCTGGTCCAGCGCATCGTCTGCACGACGTCGCAGGTGGTTGATCTCATCTCTCAGGTTGGAAATTTCCGTATGGAAGGCGTTCCGGCGGGGGTTAATGTTAAGAGCACGGTCTCTCTCCGTCTCCAAGAGATGAACCCGTTTCTCATGCTGCTTGAGCTGCATATCCTGGCGGATCAAGAGGTTCTTGAGTGCTTGGTGAAGAGCGCTACGCTGTTCCTCAAGGTCCTTCAAACGATCGCCAAGCTCGCGTGGGCTTTCCGCCCTGAGATCCTTGACAGAGTTTGACCTTGTCAAGGATGCCTTCGAACCGCGTCTCAGCATCTGCACGGAGTTCCGTGCGAGGGAATTGGAGCGAGAAAGCCCAATCTTCGGGGTTGCCGGTGCCCCAGAGTCATCACTCTCCTCGGCAATAGAGTTAAATTGGTTGCTCTGGCGCTTCATTTCGAGCTCCGTCCTTCTAGCGTTGGCCAGAGTCTGGTTTTCGTTGCGGAGCGACTGAATTTCCTGTTGGAGTTTGGCGTTCTCTTCCAGGATGGGCTGCAGTTGGGAGATCTCTGCGAGATTTGCGTCGTTGCGGGATGTGTCCAGTGCGCGCCGCAGGCGACTGTTCTCCTCACTGAGTTCTTGGACGTGCTCTATTTGGTTGGCACTACCCTTCTCCAAACCCTCTAGGCGAGCCCTCAGGTCTGGCAAAACTTGGTCTCGAAGATAGTCCCGTTCCTGGCGATCCTGGTCGTGTTCTTGCCGTACTGCGGCAAAGAGGTCTTGGAAGTTCTCTCTAGACTGTTGTTCTTCAGCAAGCCGCCGTCGGACATCCTCAAGGGAAGCATTGTCCGCGTTGCCATTTTGGTGCTCTTGCAGCTGCTCTTCAAGACCAAAGACTTGAGCTTCAAGGTCGGTACGCCTCCGCAACTCGTCCTGAAGCCTTTCCGCCATTTCACCCTTCACCTGCGCCTTTTCCTGTTCGGCCTTCCTCCGAAGCTTCTCCAATTGTTCAATCTTCTGCTCGCTGTCACCTATCGGGAACCTTGCAGAACTAGCACCTGAATCGGAGTAGTAGTCGCTAGTTCTGCGGTTCCCATCTGAGACGCTGAGAGGATGGTCGGACTGCAGTCGCTCGAGCTCGTCCTCAAGCTCCATCTCTCTCCGGATGGAGCCCGCCAACTCTGCGCTTATTTCGCGGAGCTCTCTTTCAAGCTCTTCCACATGTGCATTCACGCTCTGCGACGAGGAGAAAAGCGGTGTGCCAGGCACGGTGAAGTAGGAATGTTGAGCATCCGCATTGGCGGCAGACACATTCAAACCAGAAGGGGCGGCGGCCTTCATGGCGGGGGACGCCCGGGGAGACATTGACTTCTCGGAGAAGGTTGTCGTTGGCGACTCCGGCCCAAGGTTTTGAGAGGATGAAGACCTCCAGCCAAAGAGGGAGGAGAACTTTCCGGGGGATTTGGGCGGCTCTCTTGGAGCCTCCTCGGGTGTCGTGATCTGGTCATAGTTGAAGTGATCCCCCGTGACGCCGTCTTCTCCATGCACTTGTACAGTCAAGTCGGGCGGCCTGTTGGAGGCATATGAGGACATTGTCGGTGTTCGGGTGTGATTTTGGGGCCAGTGAGAATCCGGTTCGGCACCCGTTTCATCACCGGAGTTTCTTGCTGTGTGATAACTGGTGGCAGATCGGTCAAGCTGGGGCCGCGCGGGCGCGGCGTCCAATGTGTCGCCGTATTGTGAAGACTGCCTGCGCGCAGTATCGTCGTCGCCGTCTATATAATCGTCAAGGGGATCCAGAGGGGAGGATTGAGGGATTGCCGGGGCGTGGCCGTCCGAGTATCTAGAGGGTATAAGATCAGCGAGGGCGCTTGAATCATGGGAAATGGGATCAACGAACTCGTGGAGTGTTCTGGGGACGAATTCCTCTTGCGTCGTAGCCAGGGGCAAGGAAGGTATCTTCTCCGACAACGGTGTGTTGCCGAGCGGGGTGCTGTCGACAGAAAAGGCCCTCTGGCCCAGATCTCTCTCAGGGAGCTTGGGCTTCACGATATACGAGGCGGAGGAGAATCGCGAGGCTACGGGCGAAGCGGTCGGAGGCAGAGGCTTGCGCCGAACGGGCGACGAACTAGGTATCGAGGGCGTCTGAGCGCGAAACGACGCAAAAGAGGGCACCTGGACGTTGGCAAGAGAGGCGCGACTGTTGCGGAGGGGCTGTATATCAGACAAGGGCTTGTCGGAGGCCAGCGAGCCCTGGCGGGACTGTGGAGAAGCGCGTCCGGAGTGCATTATTCCAATTGGTGCGAGTTAGAGATAGCGGGCATGACCTTGGCACAAGCCGGTGCAGGTACGAGAATCTCTTTCCTCTTCGCTCTGGCGTCCGAGGGCGCGCTCTGGAGACTTGCGGAAAAAGGGAGGCTGAAAGGACGACGCGCGCTTCGCGACGGCTATCAGGCCGGGCTGCGCCTCTGGTCCAGGGCAGGCATGTGATTGGCCAGCGCGTCCTAGGATGCCAGTGACGCTGGCGGGCGCTTCCAAAAACAGCACCACAACACTGAGAGCAGAGGCCGAGTTGTGCTCCTTCGCCACGCCCCGTCTTGCGCAACATCGCAGTCCGTCTGGCTTGGCCGTGTCTGCTCATTTCCGCCGGCATGAGCAAAATCGCCGAGAATCTTCATCTCAGCTCATCGAGATCCGCAAGGGACAACGGTGCCGAGCGAGGCGAGCCGCCAGCCCAGCCCAGGGGACATGTAGCTATGTTTCACGCAGCCGCCGAGCGCCTTCGTCTGGCCTTATCATCCTTCAAGGGGCTGGCCGTGCTTGTCAGGGTTAGGTCCTGCCTATTGCTGCCCGGAGAAACGTTGTCCCTATACGCGGGGGAAGCCGAGGCCGCCTCGCTTGTGACTCGCATGAACTCGGTACTTAATTTATATCTCGTTCTCAATGCAATCGCTCTCTCCACCTCCGCCTTCGCCAAAGCCATCGGCTCACTCTAGCGGTCCAAGGGCACCGCTAACAGACCTATCTCTGCCTCCGGCTCCTGTTCAGGCGTGCCAGTCTGTGCAGACACAGAACACGTAGCTCGTCCGAGTCCACGACTGCAGCGATCCCTTGTGTACTTTTCAATCTACTCATTCCTTTTGCCTCTGTGCATACGGATCCTCTCAACTGTCCTCTTTCTCAAATTATCGCCCTAGCCGAATCCTTCAGGAATTTGGAAAACAGAGCAGCATGCCGAAAGGCTCCTCCAAGCAGTATGCATTTGTACGAAGCTCTAGTCTGTCAGCATTGCATCAGAGGTTAAACGCGGCAACTAGAGTAAAAGGCACTATGGAGTGCTTGAGAGTTTCCTCGAAAGAGATGGAAGGTACGCAGAACAGAGAAGAGAAGTTGCAAAGTCCGTACAGTATGAGAGATTAGCGAAGAGGAAAATTGCTTATCTCAGGATGAGATAAGAGTAGAGACGGGATGAGTAGAGTCGGTGATTAACGGTAAGGTTTGGCTGTCAAAGATGCCTTTGACTAGCCTATACGCAAGGAAGGAGCCCACCCTGAAGATGACAGCCGGCGTGCCTCTATAGCACACTGCGTACGCTGCAAACTAATCCCGCTCTTCCAGGTCGCGACACCAGTAGCTTCATTCTAATGTCACTTAGAGCATCTGCAGGGAAATTTCCAGTACTAGGAACTACTCACAACATTTCCGCAGGCATCAACAGTGCCAACACAGTTCCCCAAAACTCGTCAAAGGAGCAATTGAGATTTTAACGTTGACATAGGAAGACCAATATCGAAGGGCCCAATCAAGTCCGTCCTGGTGGACGCAGCTTTCGGGCAGTGTTCGGATACCAGGACGAGACATTAACTGGAGGTGGTCCGATACCAGACACGGAACAGTTTTTGCACCCGCCGTTCGGCAGCATGTGGTGGGGACAAGCCAAGCCTTGCATGGACGGCACTTGGCACTGTGTTGTAGTAGTCAAAATAAAATTCTCGTGGACATGGCAACGGCTTGGATTTGTGTACAGGTGCGACAGTGTAGCTGTCAACATCTGCGACCGGGTATCTCGGAATCAGGGTCCAAGGAGCTTCGATAGCCGGGCATCCGGCAGAAAGGTTTTAGCGGTGGGTCAACGCCGCACTGGCGACATTACTTATGATGAAAGCAGTAAGTTCCACAAAGTGGTTGGGCCTTGATCAATACCTAGCACTGATGCGCCGTAGATGGTGGTGAGGTAGTTGTAACTCTTTGTGCTCTGCCTATAAGCCAAATGGCTTCTTGACGAAGAGATTGCGGTGCATATGCTAAGGCTGAAATAAAGTTGGCTTCCATGCCACTGTCTCGGCAGGGACCGCAGGGTGTGGTGTGGGGTAGCAGCGCACCAATCAACGACGGGCACGCCTCGACCCAACCCAGCGTCTCATCTCGCCGCACTCAAGCTTATACCGGAGCCAGCTATAGTGCAATATTTTTTGCTGGAAAAGCGATCGCACGACGGCCATGGAGGCGCCAACAGGTGCCCAACATGTACCTTATCGGCCGGTTCAGCTGGGTGGCACAACAGTCTTTCCGGCATCTCCGGTCACGCGCTCAGCTTTAAACCGACGTAGCGACCGCAGCACAACAATCTACACACTTACCTCTGCCGCTGGCCTCTGGAATCTTGTCATCGCGTTTGCTGCATCTTGCGCCTCCTTCAAGTACCACTTCACTGCAGCCGCGTCGACCAGCCAATGATTATGCGTAGTTGACGCTTCGATGCTGCTGCCAACCCCACTTTCCACGATGCGATCCGGCCGCGCTTTCTTCTTAGTTTCTGCCTCTGCTACCGTCTTTTTCCTATGGCAATTTTATGTCCTCACATGGTGCCATGCAGAGGGGCCAGGACTGACGCTTGGAGACTTATCAAGTGGCGAACTCGCCAACGCCACTCTCGGGGTAAGTCATGATCTTGCTTCTGTAATAAACGCATACTTTTGAATAGACATTGACGCTCAGAACAGTTCCAGAGAATAATAGCAATTTCTTCCGAGGACCAGTCTTCGCCAACAGCATGGCGCCAGCGCGGCCTCATCGCCGCCGCCAACCGTACCGGTCTTTCCATTGACATCCACCAATCTCGCGACGTATCAGAGAAAGAGCTCCAGGAATTCCAAGACAGCGGGTCCAAGTACACCGAAAAGCCAGGGACTGGATCAGCGCTTGCATGGCTGGCGCACCATGACGCTTTGCAATAGTACGTCAACGGCATGAGACTTCGCCGAAGCCAACAGCAGAAGAAAACCACTAACCTAACACTCAAACAGCATAATCGACAACAACATAAGCAGCGCGCTCATCCTCGAAGACGACGCCGACTGGGACGTCCGCATCCGCTCGCAACTCGCCCCGCACAGCGCAATCCCGACGCTACTGCGCCGCCTCTACACAGACATGGACGGCGCCGCGTCGCCCTCTCCCCTCAACCTCAGCACCGCCACCCCCCCACACCCAAGCACGCAGCCCTACACCGGCAGCTTCGACGTCCTCTGGCTCGGCCACTGCACCTCGCTCTACGGGCCACATAGCACGCGCCTCACAGCGCCAAACGACACGACGCAGCTCCCCGGGCAGGCGCTCAGCGCGTACGCGAACCGCTTTGCGTACACGCGGCTGGACGACCACGAGCGCGCCGTCCTGAGCCGTCCGGAGTGCGCCTGCACGTTCGCGTACGCCGTCTCGGGGACGGGGGCGCGGCGCGTGCTTGAGCGCACGAAGGCGGGGGCTGCCGCCGCGTTCGATAACGCGCTTGGGGCTGCGTGCCGCGAGAGCCCGAAACGTGGGAAAGGGCTGCGCTGCGCGAGCGTGGCGCCTGAGCTTGTGCATCATCAGAGGGGCGTTGTAGATGCGGATGCGGATGCGGATGAGGAGGGGGAGGGGGCGCCCTGGAGAGGCAGTCTGGTTGAGGGATTGAATCGGGGCGAGGGCGAGCGTGAGGCGCTGCTGGCGCCTCGCCCGAGTCGCTTCTTCACGTTTAATATCATGTATAGCGCGCGCTGTAATGCGCACCGCGGCGACCGGAGGCTGACGCAGTGTTTGCCGACGGAGGAGGACCGCGAGGTGTGGACTTCGTGAGGGCGAGAGAAGGAGCGGGAAAAGGAGGAGGAGGAGAGAGAATAGGTACATACATACCTAGGCCCGGACGCGCTGGCGCTGGTCCGTCGGTGCTTCGGCGTATAGCATGAATCAAGATACTCAGCTAAACACGAGAGCTCTTTGTTCACCTTATCTACGCCTCATATATATACAAATAAACAACCCAGCCAGCATCACATAACCGCACCCACCTCCCCACAAAAGCAACTTACGCCCCCGCTCCCATCGGCATCGGTGTAAATAACCCCTCTGGTGCCTCGGGCCCTACTGTACCGAACACCGAAGCGCGCTGCGGTCAAAGAGGCGGCGTGCGCGCTTTGCTTGCTAACTAAATATCTTTTGTTCATTCTGTCTGCAGATTGTACTCTCTTCCTCTCTCTCCCTATTAGTTCTCTGGAGATTTGATTTCTGTTGCTAGTATGGCCGCTGCTTCAGATCTCGCCACTGCAACTCCTACTGCTGCAACAGTTCCTGCCACTACTGAAGCGACTGGCGTCGCTGGAACAACCAAACCCGTCCGCGTCGCCCAGCTAGTCTATCTCCGCCCGGAGTGCTTGGAGGAATATAAACGCTGCCATGCGGCTGTGTGGCCGGATGTGCTGGCTCAAATTCGGGATTCTGGCATCAGGGACTGTGAGTGTGCGCTTCTTTTGTTTGGGGCGTGTTTTGGTTGTTGTGCTGTTTACTTCTTCTTGTTTACTTTTCTTTATGCGGGTTTTTGTCCTTTCTTCTCCTACTCCTTCTCTAAATACTCTTCCTACTACTCATCTCTCCGTTCTTCCCGTCGTCGTCGTTGTCGTCGTCGCCGCCGCCGCCATCCCCCTTCACGCTCACTTACCACTCCACAGACTCGATATTCCTGACCCCAGTCCCCCGCCCCACGCTCTTCGCAACCTTCAAATACGTCGGCACCGACTGGGACGCAGACATGGCGTGCATGGGCGCGAACGAGCGCGTGCGCGCGTGGTGGGCGCTTACGGACCGCATGCAGGAGAGTGCGGTGCCTGGTGCGAAGGGGAGTGCTGCTGCTACTGATGATGATGCCGTCCCGCCTTGGTGGTGGAGGGCGGAGGAGGTTTTTTATTATGAGGGGTAGGTGGCGGTGTTGGGGTGGGGGTGGAGGTAGGGGGCGAGGGTTAAGGGGTCGGGAGGTGGAGAGGTGGGGGCTTGGAGGGATGCTGGGCGTGGGATTGCTTGAGGGGTTGGTGCTGGAGAGGGTTTTGGTGCTGGGGAAGGGTGAGAGGATGGGGTGGGCGTGGGTTGAGGCACTGAGGTGATGCTTCTTGTTATCAAGAGAGTCACTGTTCATTAAGATAGGAAAGCGATATAAGCAGTCCCTTTTTATTAAATTACTTCCTTTTTAGCTGCAAGCCTAACTTCTAGATATTAATGAGAATGCTTTAGAGCGTACACAACTACAAGCTTCCACTCCGTACAAGCATCACAATCTCTTTAGGCGGCTAACCTCGCTTGATGGTGACAGATGCTAGTTGAACGAGAGGGTAAGAGTATGGTCTTTATGTATCTATGAAAGGATTGAAAGAGATTGCATTGACTGAACAAAGCTCGGAATGAGAACGAAGAAAGAAGACGATGCCATTTTAAGCACCCACCCCCAGTTAACACACACATCTTCCACGCGCTTCTCTCCACAGCTCTCCCCCCTTCCACGCGCTTCTCCCATGACCTCACCACGCACGCACGTCCCCCACTCCTAGCATATATAAACGCCCCTCCCCCTCCCTCCCTCCGACTTTCTTCTCCAGTTCTCTTTGCCATTTGGCTTAGACCTAAATGCAGTATCTGTTCTTTCCCGGTTTAATCGCTTGGAAGCCCTCCACGGAGGCGCATTTTCGTGATTAACTAGTTTTTGGACCTAGTGCGGCGGCTGCGGGCTTTTCGCTCGTATGCCGCTGCCACCGTGTCACTCGCGCTGCACTACTGCGGGTCGACGCAACTTTGGCCGCCGTTTGAAACGTGCCTTTTCGTTGCTGTGCTCGGCTTGTCTGGGCTGGTGAGGAAGATGCTTTGTTTTGCTTTGCTTTGCAGCATTTGCTTTTGTGAAGCTGGGCGCGAGGAATTAGACGCCGCTTGTCCTCCTAAATTACTACTACCTATAGAGGTATATATGCTGCTATCTAAAAGAACACGTTTTCTTTTAAGATCCTTATTCCCTTGCAGTGGATAAACGTGTGGTGTAAGGGGTAAGGCTGTAGTGTAGCAACTGACTGTAATAAGGCTGGAAAAAACGAGAGTTATCGGAGTGATCCTGGCTGACAGCTTTGCTTTGCTTGTTCTTTAGGGCTTTTGTTTTGGAAGGGTTTGTTGTGGAGTGCTTGTTTTTTGATGACTTGCTAATGTTTGCAGTTACGAGAGGTGTATATCTACATGTACTGGACTGGACGTTTCCGTCTCTTCCGTGCATATAAAAGTCAGTTACTTAATGCTCTTTCTTTGCTCTGTGCCTGGCCGTCATATAGACGCGAGAAACTATCAAATTGACCGGATTCCTGACGGACACACCTGAGGTCTACCCATGCAGCTGTGTCTTTCGCCTGAAAGTATCGTTGACACCAGAACGTGCAAGACTTGCGCCACACCCTGTTAACATCACTATCTACTACCATCTCTCCGTGCTGCTGATCCCCACTATCAGTGAAATATGCTGGTAGCGCTGCTCTATGCACAACCATACTGTCTATCGTTACTGTTTGCCTTGGCCATCATCTCAGACATTTCTCAGTATCTTGCTCAAGGTAACGGTTGTAGTTAGGGTTCTTATTTTATTAACACTGCCCGTTTCTCTTCAATGTCAGCAAGAACATTTTTTCCGCGTGGTTCTAGGACTCCTCTCCTTTTTCTCCTAAGCTTGCAGCTTTTCTACTTATTTATGCTCGTACGTACACTTAGCGCGCTTCTTTTGCTGCGTGTACTAGGAATCAGTCCCTTTCTAAGCAACATCAACCTTTATCACCATCATTTCTGCGGGCGAAAGATGAAGGAGGCTCTGACAGCGTTAGCAGCGTATAGTCGTCACTACAGTAAGATCAGTAGTATAAAACGCCCTTCCTAACACCTCAAAGCCTAAGTTCCTTAAGCTAGATGTAGTATGAAAGCCATTCAAAGATCTCAGACCCACCCACTCCCCATTCCCCAAAACAGACAATTAAGAGCAAAGAAACAAGAACACTATCTCACAGAAGTAGCAAACCCACCGTAACCCCATCCCGACCCGACCCACCCCAACCACCAACACACAAGCAAACCCACCGCACCCAACGCCGCCACCAGTCCAACCGACACACCAGACCTCTCTCACGCGGCCTCAGCCATTATCCTGCGACATCATACACAGCGCAGGCGCCATGCACGCGCACACGCACAAACCACCAAACAAATAACCAATTGACACACTCACAAAGCAGCACTCACCACCATTTCCCCGCTACTAAGTCCAGCACCAGCACAAGGCGCAGACAACGGCAACACACAATTAAGCATGATGTGCGTCGTCACTGTTAGCTGCGTGTATTGAGTACCAGTTCCCTTGTAATATAATAAAGGCGGATAAAACGTTAATGCTGGGCGAAGTTGGCCGCGCTATTGGGGAACAAATGTCTGGTGCCGGTGCTAGCGCCGATGCTGGCGCTTGTGCTGGTGCTTGTGCTGGTGCTTGTGCTGTCGGAATATTCAGTCTGCTGTCTATCTGGTTTGGCTTTACGTTGGCCGTAGGTATGGCTTTTATATAGCGTAGTAGGTAGAAATGCGCGCAGGTGGATTTGGACTAAGTGGTATTATGTTGTGCCGTGGTGTACCAAACAACCATTGCCGCCACCACCGTCGCCGTCGCCGCCGGTACGATAATGGGAAGACAAAAAGAGACAGGTGACTTGTTCGTAGGCCGAGCATACAGGCCGTACGTATGCACTGATCCAGTCACTCAGTCAGACACAAAGTTCCGATTTCAGTCCCAGCTGCTATGCATGCATGCTTGCTCGCTCTGCGCCGCAAAAGAAGCGCGCGCTCAGTTCAGTGATTTGGTCTAAAGAAAAAGGTATAACACGTTTGGTAACGTAAATCCCACAACGCCGTGCCGTGCTTTGTTCGCCTACTCGCCTGTTTGCTCTCTGCCTATTTTTGCTTTTACTTTTTTAGTGTCTCTGCTCCGCGGACACGCGCGCAAATCTGGCCATTGTTGCGCAGGAAAGGTGACGGTCGCATCGTTATCGTTATTATTCAACGCCGCGCTCGTGCGCTAGAAATCGCTCGCGAGCAAGGAGGTAGATGTGCGTGCGTCCCCAGCGGAGGATACGAAGGAGGTAGTGGCATCACTCGCCGATTACCGCGCCTCGAACTGGACCATCCTGCACGCCGTTAGCGGCGTGCGCTTCGCGAAGCAAACGCTGGCGACGCGCAGAGCCCTAGCTTACCTGTTGGTGCGCTCCTTGTAGAGCACGCGGTGACCGCACTCCTTGCACAAGATGGCGTCGCCGCGGCGCAGCACGACCTTGGCGTCGCAGTCGCCGCAGATGTACTGGACGGGGCGGGCGGTGTCCTCGAAGCTGCCGGCGGCGGCTCCGGCGCCGCCGTAGGCGTTGCCGCCGGTGGTGGGGGGTTGGTAGGCTTGCGACATGGCTGGATCGAGTGTTTGCGTTGGTTGTGTGAGAGTATGGGTGTGTGGAGAGAAGGCGGGAGTGGATGGCTTGGTGGAAGAAAGTCAAAGAAGTGTCGACGGAAGCGGCAGGCGGTGAGGATGGAAAAAGATTAGAAAGCAAGGCGATAAGATAGGCTGCCGGACCCGCCACCTGCATGCGCGATGACAGGCGGTAACTGAACTTCGAGTATTTCCAAGCAACCCAACGACCTTCTCCGCTGACTACTACTGACTGATTGTCCGACTCTGCTTTTTTTCTTTTCCTTGCGCCTGTCTCTCTGTCTGTCCTTTTTTCCCTTCTCGATACCCCCCGCTCTGCTATTTTATCTAGACTTTTTCCTTGTACTTCCGTTCCTACGTCACACCTTCGCCGCCATGAGCGCCATTCTCTCCGCCGACGATCTCAACGATTTCATATCCCCTGGCGTCGCATGTATTAAACCCGTAGAGACGCTGCCCGCCAAGGCCCAGGACAGCTCGGTAGGCATTGCTTCGACTCCGTGTCCTAGCGCAAATGCCAACTAATCCTCTGCCAGAATCCGTATGAAGTCACTACCGAAGACAGCGTTGCGGCGGCAAATGCTCCGCCCGCCCAGATCTCGCTCACCGACTGTCTCGCGTGCTCCGGCTGCGTGACCTCCGCCGAAGCCGTCCTCGTCTCCCTCCAATCGCACACCGAAGTCCTGAACACGCTGGATTCGTGTCCAGAGCTGGCACCGCCGTGGCTGGCGCAAGAGCATGGGGCCGGGTTGGCGAATGGCACCCACAACGGCGTCAACGGCACGGCAGCTGGAGGCGCGATGAGCGAGGCGAAGATATTCGTGGCGAGCGTCAGTCCGCAAGCGCGCGCGAGCATCGCCGCAACGTACGGTGTCAGCGAGCGGGAGGCTGGATACATGATCGAGCAGCTCCTGAGCGGGCCGCAGGGACTGAAGAGCGGCGGCGCACATGGCAGCGGCTTCACGTGGGTCATCGACACGAACGTCGTGCGCGAAGCCACGCTGGTGCTGGCGGCAGACGAGGTTATGTCCGCGCTGGAGAATCCCTCGACGCCCAAGCCTGGGGAAGAGGGCTCCGCCTCCGCCGCACCCAAGAAGCCTATCCTCACGTCTGCCTGTCCCGGCTGGATTTGCTACGCTGAGAAGACGCATCCCTACGTGCTTCCGCACCTCTCGCGCATGAAGTCGCCCCAGGCATTAACAGGGACACTGATCAAATCCGTCCTGTATCGCAAGTACGGTATCTCCCCAAACCAGGTCTGGCACCTAGCCGTTATGCCCTGCTTCGACAAGAAGCTCGAAGCCAGCCGCTCCGAGCTCACCTCCACGGCCTGGCTTCCCTCTCAAGCACCCGAAGCCGCAACCGGCGTCCGAGACGTCGACTGCGTGATCACCGCGCGCGAGCTCCTCATGCTCGCCAGCAGCCGTAACATCCACTTCCCCTCGCTGCCACCGACCCCTCTACCTCAAACCAACACCACTGCCTTCCCGGACCCAGACCTCCACGCCTTCCTCTTTCCGCCGCCGACTTCCGCCCGCCACAGCAACGGCGGCTCCATTGCCGGCTCCTCCGGCGGCTACCTCTACCACATCATGCGCACGCTGGCCGTGCACCGTCACCCGGGCGCAACGCTGCACACGGAGCGCGGCCGCAACGCCGACGTCGTCGAGTACGTGTTGCGCGGGCCAGACGGGGCCGTACTGATCAAGAGCGCGCGCTACTACGGCTTCCGCAACATCCAGAACCTGGTGCGGCGGCTGAAGCCAGCACGGGCAAGCCGACTGCCCGGCGCCAGACCAGTTGGCGGCGCACGGCGGCCCGGCGCCAAAGCGGGCGCTGCTGCTGCGGGCGCGGCGGGCGACGCGGGCAGCGAGTACGCGTACGTCGAGGTCATGGCGTGTCCCGGAGGCTGCACGAACGGGGGCGGGCAGATCAAAGTCAGCGATCTGGCGGAAGTGCGGGCGCAGGGCGGCGCCAGCCAGCGCGAAGTCGAGGAGCAAGGCGTGCCGGCGCGGAAGCCGGGGCCGCAGGAACAAAAGGAGTGGTTGCGCCGTGTCGACGAGGCGTATTTCTCGGCCAGCAGCTCGGACGGGGAAGACGAGATGGAGATTGATAACGCGGATGTGGATATGGCGGATATCAATGCCTCGGACGCGGCTTGCGCGACTGTTGTTGAAGGGGACGGCGACGCAAAAACAAATGGCAACAGGACTTTCGAGCTTGAGCGCCCCGGCCCGAAACCGAATGGTGTTGATGGGGGGAGTGTAGGGGGAGAGGAAGAAACAGAAGACGACGCGATCAATGGCATCTCCCCCCGCCGTATCCATGCGGTCTTGGACCGCTGGGCGCAGGTCACGGGCGTGCGCGTGCAGGACCTCACGTGCACGAGTTTTAGAAAAGTCGAGAGCGATGTTGGCAAGGCGAAGAAGGCGAGTGATGTGGAGCGGGTGGCGGGGCTGGCGGGCACGGTGGGCGGTGGGTGGTAGTGTGGACGAGTCTTGGGACGTGTTTTCAGGTGTGGTTGAAGATATCGCGAGGACGGGGTGGGGTGGGGTTATGCTGTTAGCGCAGGGTGTTGGACTAAGGTGCTGCCTAGGTAGCTAGCTGCTCCTCCTGGGTATAGATGGTAGGGTTCCAGATGAGATGAGACAGACTTATGTAGTGCGAACGAATGGACAAAGAAAGAAAGATAAACGCCAACGCTCTTCCGTGACTGAGTTGCGGCTTCCTGCTCGTGCTCGTGCTGCATGGGGGTCTCGTGAGCAGAGTTGATACTCTGTGCTCTGGGATCAGGTCTTGGACAGAAGTAGGTAGGCGGGTAGGTAGCAAACTCCATGGATGATTCATCGATCCAGCTAGCTAGACCTAGATGGGGTACCTACGGTATTTACCTTCTCAAGCGGCAGAGCTAGGTAGCAACGGCCCAGACAATGATCTCGTGAGAAAGCAGTCAGTCAGTCGGCACGGCACGGCATGGCTGTCTCAACATCACCAACCAACCACCTTCAAAGAAGCAGCACAGTCACCACAGCACCTCAAACCTCAACATCCCTAAGGTACTCTTACCCGTATCCAGCCACCGCACGCACACACAGCACAACACACACCACCACCGACTAAGCAAGCAGACAGGCAAGCAAGCAACCACATCCAAACAACACGCGGAGTCTGCGCTCAACCAAACCGGTCCGGTCTGGCACAGACACTTGCCACACGCAGCCCTTCTCACCATATGATCCCAGCCCGCCCACCCAACCCCAACCCAGCCCATCCCAGCAGCGGAACCAAGCAAGCAAGCCTCCCGCGCCACACCCGCCCCATCGTCGTTTCAGCGAGAGGAGGCGGTGAGGGCGTGTGCCCTACTTTCTACTGTCTACACTACTACACACCCGATCAAGACAACAGCGAGAAGCGGGTTAGGAAAGGTCTGTGCTGTGCGCGACGGGCGTTCCAGAATCGCGCGCGCATGCTCGTGCTTGGGTGATGCGGCCTGCGAACTGCGAACTGGGATATAGGAGCGGACCCTGGAGATCTGGGTACCTAGCCTGTGCGTGTGCGTGTGCGTGTGCTTGTGCTTGTTGGGGACGTAAGTAGTTCGTGCAGAATGGCGAGGCAGTACTTCAGGGATCCCTGATACCGTGGTGCGGCAGAGCGAGGACGGGGTACTACAAGGAAGGGGTAGGGATGATGGCGCATGATATGCGTGGTGTGTGAGTGTTGTGCAGTGTGCTGTTCGCTGTCGTTGACCGGTGGGAGGGAGGCGTTTTTGAGGGAAGCCGGCGCGCGTGCTGTGCTAGGTGTGGTGCTAGAAGTTGGAAGTGGGAAGACGGCCGGTGGTTTTGGGGTCGAGCGATCGTGGCGTTATTGTCTTGTAGGCGTGGAGTGGCGTGGCGTTTTGCCTGTTTGGGGGCTTGGGCTGCTGTCCCAGCGTAGGTACGAGTAGGAGTACTGTACGGCGTAGGCCGCTGCTAATTGCTTGCTTTCATCAGCGCCTTGCCTAGCTGCTGCTGCTGCCAGTCTGTCTGGCAGCAACCCGCCCAGTCAGCACTCAGCACAAACATGTCCGGTGCTAACTAGCTACGAACTAACTACTCCGTAGACCACGCCCAGAGCAGAGTAGTCGGCAGTCAGTCCGCAAAACCCAAACCCCACAAAAACCACGCTTCACGTGTTCGTTGTCGCTTTTTCAGTCCAGTCTCATATCACTCGGCGCGCATCCGCTAACCTAGGTATCGACATATGGAACCGTCGCTACCCAACGCGGCGCAACGCAACCCCACCACCGGGGCCCCCACACGCGACTGACAAGGAAAAAGGAAAAAAGAGAGCGGAAAAAGAAAAACTAAAGGGCAAAAAAAGGGAAAACTTGCTGTCGAGCCGACCAGGACTGCGGCCACGCCATCGTAAACAGTCAACAACAAGACAAAATTACCTAGGCGATGGCGCGGCGGCGGCGGCGGCCATAGCGGCGGGCGCAGCGCCAGCCAGGCCTCCCGCCCGCCACGCCATCATGCGCTCCCCGAACCGCATTAGGCTGGCGCAGCTCGCACCGCCGCTGTTTCTGCCACAGCTTGTTGCGGATGGGCCCCAGAGCGAGGAAAGAAACGGAAGGTGTTCGTCGATGATGATGCTACTCAGGAACCTAACAGAGTTTTGCCGGCGGCGGCGGGCGGAGCGAGCGCTAGGCGCCGTCGCTCTGGAGATGTGCCTTGTGTGTGTGTGTGTGTGTGTGACTTGGATTCTGGAACCATAGTCTAAGGTAAAGTGTTATTTGCACCCAAAGCACCGCCGACATCACCACCGACGACAGACACACGACCTACGAGCATCGGGAATACGACCGACCGACGTGCTGCTGCTCCTGCTGCTATTGCTGCTGCTCCCCGCCCGCCCGCTCCGGGAACAAAAAGGAAATAAGCAGCAGGACGAGATAGATGAGCCTCTGTCTGGCATCGGCAAAGGAGCAAAATATAGCACAGCACAGCGCCGCTCTTGGCCCCGCGCGTTTTGGCTCTCCGCTGCCGAGCTCGTCGCGATTGCCGATGAAACAGCGCCGCGCCGGCTGAGGCGCGCCTCTTTTCGGCTGAGCTACGCTTTCCAGCGCCCATGGCCCGCCGTGGGTGAGGCGTCTCTCTCTCTCTCTCGGACGGTGGGGTGTCACGCCCGTCGCGGGCCCCAAATTTATTCTTCACGCCCATGCCTGGCCTTGCCACTGCCATGCGACGCGACGCGATGCGATGCACTGCGCTGCGCCGGGCCTCCTGCCGCCATGGCGGCGGGCCAACCAATCCTTCGCGCTGCGAGGGGGTGCGAGGAGGGAATATCCCTTCTGCGTGAAGAAGAACAAGAACAAGAGCGCGTGGACGAGATTGTTGATTGATTACACTGATCAGGCACGGCGATAACAGCAGAAGCAAGCAAGCAAGCAAGCAAGCAGGGGAGGCGCGTGGGCGAACGCGTCGAAAAGGCACAGGCTCGCCAAAAGCATTGGCGGCTACAGGGTGCGGCGGTGCGGTTTTACGCGTTGCGTGCTTCGTTTCCCGGAGAGTGAGTGACAGGCGCATGACTTGACCTCATTTCTTTTCTCTTTCGCCGGCCCTGTGGGCCTGTCGCTTCTCTCTCCTCGTTTTTTTGCTTTTCTGGCGGCCCGCAAACGGTCGCCTGCGCTTTAATGCATGGCGGGGCGCCCATATCACTGCCGTTAACTAACTTGTGCCTTGCCCGGACTCCGGCCACTCCCCCTCCCGGCATCCCATCCCATGCTGCTACTGCACTGCTGCAGCCTACGCCGCAAGGGGGTGTTGGGCACTGGGGTCACCGGGGTCACTGGGGACCACTGGGGCGTAGCTTGCCTGCCTGCTACCTACCTTGTTCTTTCAGTGCCCGCCAGCCTTGATGGGTTCGTTCGTTCATTCGTCCCATCGGGATCGGGGAGGGGAGGGGCGCGGCGCGCTGGGCAGACGTCGTCGCGCGGGATGCAAAAAGCAGAAACAAGACACAGGCCCTCTCGATCGGCGCCAGCAGGATCTGGGGGATATGCTCAGCCGCGCCCTGCATGCGCTGGCAAGGCACGGGGATAGATCCGCTGCGAAGGCTCATCATCAGGAGGAGCTGCGGTATGGGGCCCCGGGCAGGTGAGCAGCGGGCTGATCCCGCCGTTCGGGCGGGGAAAGACGAGGTCAGCGCTGACGTTGGATTTTGCGTTCTTGCGGACCTGTAGGTTGGGAACGATGACGTGCAGAAGGGAGGAAAGAGAGAGCCCAGCTGATGAGCATTTTGGGCCGAGGGATAGAGTTTTGGAGTGCGCGAGCTCCCTTTTTCGGGACTCGGAGCGGAGGGGCGGGCTGACATGCCGTGTCACGCAGATGGTGAGCTGAAGAAAGGCAGGTTGCATTCGTGGGGACGCGTTCGCATGTCAACGTCGACGGCGTCGGAAGACATCTCCTGAAGGTGAGGCGATGGAGCTAATGGGCCGCGAAGGATCAGGTAGGTCGAGGAGGGGCGGCTTCCCCGTCCGACGGGGGGGACTCGTCTTGTTTTTGGCGTTGCAGAATGCAAGACAGGACGCATGTACGGCCGTTACGGCGTGATACGTAAGTGTCAATTATGGTCGCATCTTGGGTTGACAGGCGGCCATGTTTCGTGGGGGATGTGCTACAGAGCACACATGATGCAGGCGGATCGCCGGTGCCTGTTCCCCTTCACTCGGGACCGAGAGGGACAAAAAGGCAGGAAACATCAAATAGAAACGCGGGATGGGCACTGCAATTACGGTGTTTTGGCTTGATGGCTTGGATTAGTTGGGGGGAGGGGAGGGGAGGCGCGGGGAGCGGGAGCGGGCGGGCTGCAAGTGAAACGGCGCAGGCCACGAGCAAGGCAAGGTCAAGGTCAGGGCGGGGCGGGAGAGGCTGGTGTCACAGCACGAGGCGATATGTCCATGATGGTACGGGCGAAGACGATGGGTTGAATTATGTCTTGCAGCAGGCATTGGAGAAAGTTTGGAGACGCAGAGGGCAGCATCAGGCTCCGACGCGCGCTGGGCGGCCGGGGCAGCGGGAGGGGGCGCTGACTCCCGCTGGCGCCGGCGTCCGGCCAATTGCGGGCACGATGCCCAAGCTAGCGTCTCAATTTCCCGGAGGCCTGGCCTTCGCGCGGGAAAAAAAAGGGGGGGCATCGTTCTCCCCCTCCCTCCCTGCGACAACGTGGCACCGAGTCACTAGGCGATAGTTAATGCGCGAGATGCTGATGCTGCTTTGCTGCTGATTGCTGCTGCTGATGCCGCTTTTGCCCAGGGGGCTCGCGCGCTGCTAGTCGATATTGTAGCAATCTCTCTCTCAATTCTTGTTGGTAGTGGCGGCGGCGGATGGAATTGTCAGAGGCAGAGAGAGAGTAGAGAGAGTGTGTGTGAGAATGAAGACTGACTGACTGACTCCATCATCCATCCATCCATCCATCCACCCATCCCATCACTCATCGCCCTTCGCACACTGACGCCTCACCGCTTCGCGTCCGTTGGCCGGCCAGCTCACTCTGCGCGCGCATTATTCTTATCCTCGGCCGCGTGCCCCCCGTGCCCCCTCACCATAGCCCGTTAATCTCGACGTCAGTGGGCCCGGTCCCTAACCAGCCCTCAGGCGAGATTGGACTTCCAGAAAGGCCGTCGAAAAGGGCTGCCCACCTGCCTCGGCGCGACTCAGGCCGCGCTCCCACGAAAATCACCGAGGGCTCCTTGGGCGAAGATCACGACGGATTCCCATCACGCTTCGGCGCGCACGCCCCAGCGCCCGCTAGAGGCAGGGCGTTGCTCCTTTTGATCGATTAAAACGAACCGACTCTCCGGCACGCCTCCCGTCTACCGTGGTCCTGGACTGTCTCCACGTTGGCCTGCAAGCCCTTTTCTAAACAGCCGCCGCACTTTTCTCTCTGTTGTTTCTTGGACCCTGATTCCCTCCCTTCACCACCGTCTCCAAGCCCAACCCCAGTCTCACTCTCTCACACACACCCACACTCACTCTCTCTCTCTCGCGCGCGTCCTTTGTTCTGCAATGAGCACGACTCCCGTATAGATTCAATCCCACCTCCCCCCCCTCCCCCCCAGTTCCGCCCGCCGCTTTTTTTCCCCCTCCCGCAGCTGCCGTCCGGCTGGTGAGTTGTCCCCCGTGCCAAGACCCGAGCCACGTCCCCGAGTTGACTCGGATAGCTTCCCTCCACCCTCATAATCCCGACTGCTCTCACCAAGGCCGCTTCCGAGCAGCCCAGCATGACGGTTGCTTACGACTCCTCCTATCGGGGCTGGTCTTCCGGTTCCCACAACGCCGCTTGCCTGGAAGACAAGTTCGAAGTCCTCAAGGATGTCGGCGACGGGAGCTTCGGTAGCGTCTCGCTGGCACGTGTGCGAAGCGCAGGCGCTCACATTGCACGGAGAGGCACCCTGGTATGCGCTCTCCCGCCGCCTCACCACGCGTTAACCTGCCCCCTAACCGTCCCTGCAGGTTGCTATCAAGACGATGAAGAAGTCGTTTGACAACTTCAACCACTGCCTGGAGCTCAGAGAGGTCATCTTCCTGCGATCATTACCTAACCACCCGCACCTCGTTCCTGCCCTGGACATCTTCCTGGACCCCATGACCAAGAAGCTCCACATTGCCATGGAGTACATGGACGGCAACCTCTACCAGCTCATGAAGGCCCGGGACCACAAGAGGCTCGACTGCTCGACCGTCAAGAGCATCCTTTTCCAGATCATCTCCGGCCTGGAGCACATCCACGAACACAACTTCTTCCACCGCGACATCAAGCCCGAAAACATCCTCGTCTCCACCTCCGCCCCGGACACCGGCAACGCCTTCAAGCGCTACTCCTCGCTCGTCACCCCGCCCTCGACCCCGCCCTCGTACACCATCAAGATCGCCGACTTTGGTCTCGCAAGAGAAACCCACTCGAAACTGCCGTTCACGACCTACGTATCGACCCGTTGGTACCGCGCCCCCGAGGTCCTGCTGAGGGCCGGAGAGTACTCGGCGCCCGTCGACATTTGGGCGATTGGCGCCATGGCGGTGGAGATTGCTACGTTGAAGCCGCTGTTCCCCGGTGGCAATGAGGTGGATCAGGTTTGGAGGGTGTGTGAGATCATGGGCAGCCCGGGCAGCTGGGTCAACAAGCATGGTTCCAAGGTCGGAGGCGGCGAATGGAAGGATGGCGTCAGGTTAGCCCAGAAGTTGGGCTTCTCGTTCCCCAAGGTAATTTCGGCAGCTCGCTTGAAATCTACCTGACACTAACAACGTTGCAGATGGCGCCCCACGCCATGGACACGATCCTGCAGTCGCCTGAGTGGCCTGCGAGCTTGGCGAACTTCGTCACTTGGTGTCTGATGTGGGATCCCAAGCACCGCCCGACGTCGACACAGGCGTTGTGCCACGAATTTTTCCAAGACGCCGTCGACCCCCTCCGCCCCAAGTCGTCTGCATCGCGCTTCCTCGGTCGCAAGCACTCCGACATTAGCAGCACCGCTTCCGGTAAGGAGTCCGGCACCGAGAGTTTGACATCCAAGACGTCGTCGTGGTTCCGCAAGTCGCTAGTGGCGCGGGATAGTGCGCCGGCGGTGCCACAGCATAACGGCGGTTCGCAGACGCTCTCGCCTCGCCCTTCGCCGCAGAACGCCAACACCTCGGATCCCACGATCCTGACCAAGCAACGGCCGAATGCGGCTAAGAGGGCGACGTGGACCAACGGCGTCACGAGCAACGGTGCGCCCATTCCGATACTACCCTCGATCAAGCCGATCTCGCCCCTTGCGGACACGGCGGCTGCGCAATCGAATCAGAGGGCAGGAGAGGATGAGAGGGCGTCGAAGAAGATTGGCAGGCAATTGTCGCTGGCGTCGCATGGCAACCACTATGCGGACCTTCACAGGCAAGAGGCGGAGCGCGCGTTGAACGGCGGTGGTCTTGCATCGCCGTCGAATCCTTTCAAGGAGGGCTTCTTCTCGCATCTCCGCAAGCGTGCGAGGAGGCTATCTGGCCGCTACAACAGCGGCCCTCCTTCGCCCGCCGACGACATCGAGGCCAGCACCGCCTGCCTTCCTTGGGGCAGCAGCAACAGCAACCGTCACTCGATGAACAACATGAACGTCGACCCCCCTCCTGCGCCTACTTCGAATCCTCAGTCCGACTTTGCGGAGATGGACAAGGCTCTGCAGCACGTGCGGTATAGCCTGGAAACCATGTCGCCCGCTCCTGCTGCCACCGCGAAAACTACTCCTCGCGTCGCCAGCAATCCCATGCTCAAGCGTCACCATTCGCTGCCTCACGGCGGTGGAGGAGGAGGAGAAGGCAGTCTCCGCGGCCCCATCTCGAGTAGGACCCGCAAGGCTCTGCAGCAGCAGACGAACCCGCCGGCTCGCTACGAGACGCCCAACGAGGAGGAGGAGCTGCTCGACGAGGCATTAACTGCGGCGCAAAAGGCTGCCAAGCGGATGGTCAGGCAAGATCAAGCTGCGCAGGAAGCTGTGCGGCCCTCGTTGCAGCAGACTACCTCGGATGGCTACCCTGCAGCGTCGTACCTGACGCCCTCGCCGTCGGCAAATCGCAACGGAGTGGGCTTTGGGCAGGGCGATTACACCTCGACCCCGTCGAAGCCCGTCGACATTGCGAAGCCCCAACGGGCCTCGAACAACGACCCTAAGTGGCCGACTCCACCGTACGACGAAAACGAGTGGGCGGCCGCGGCCGCGGCAAGCATCTTCGCCGCACAAGCCGCGTACCGGTGATAGCGCTTCTCCGATAGCGGAACACGCCTTCTATTCCCGGACCTTTGTTACCTCTTTGCACATACGATAATTATTGTAATGGATCGATGGCGATCGTAAAAAAAGAAGAAAAAGAGAAAAGACAACTCCTCCCCCCCACCCCGCCTACCACACATTCTTACTCACTCACTCTCACACACCATCCACACCATCTTTGGCGGCCGCGGCTAAGCGGAGGCTTGATACCAAAAGGTTACGAAGCCCCGCGACACGTGTTCCTCGCGCAGAGGGACATCCGTCAGGAACGGATCGGGGGGAGGAGTCCACCCACCACCTCAAAACGGAAGGAGCAGGGAGCATTTCGGCGTTTGGGCGGGCGACGGCGTTTTTTTGTTTTCTGGCTTCAGGACCCCGGTCGGTCGGGTCGACAGGGGGGTCCTGGATGCTGCCATCATCACCACCACCATCATCATCACCACTACGACCACGCACCTCACCACCACCACCTTCGCTGCCGCGCCATCTTCCTTGCCGCCATCTCCGTTTTTCGATTTTCTGCATCTGCGGCATCGCGACGGGGTGCGTCGCCATTTCGATGCCGTTGGCGTTGCCGTCGCTGTCGCCTTACTCGCCGCCCTCTGTGGCGTGATTTTGACCTGGGATTTGTATCTTTTTTTTCTTTTCCTCTCTCACCACCTACCGCCGCTTCTCTTTTTTTTTATTTATATTTCTTCTGTGTGACATTCTCGGCAAGCAAGCGAACAAAGAATCGGGCGGCTCAACTTTGCTTCTTTCGTCTTCGTTTTCTTCATTACGGTGTTGTTGGTGCGCTGCACAGATATCAATCATCGCATTCGGTGTCAGGGATGGGGTTTCTTCCTACTACTTACTACTACTTACTCTCGTCGAGGGAGTCGGATCGGCTTATTTTTCCTTTTTATTTTTGACTATCTACTATCTACTACCAGGGCGGCAGGGACGGGACAGGATACTTTTTGCTGGGAAACACTTGCCTTGCTTGCTTGCTTACTGCTTTTTGACTGCGTTGCTTTGCTTGCGTTGCCTTGCGTTGCGTTGCTTGTTTTGCGTGGTTTTCCGCGCACATACGCGCGCTATTATTTGCGCCTTGCACTGCACACACTCACTTCATACCCGCTTGCTCGGCATCGGCTTACTACACTACACTACACTACACACTACTGAGAGAGCCTCCTTTGTTCGTTTTATTTTGTTTTGTCATCTTGGCGCCGCTGCCGCTACCCGTCGTTGCCGTTGCCGACGCCATTGCGCTGTCTGGCTGCCGTGTGCGCGCGCACATACACACTGCGCACGTTCGCGGTGGGCATGCAGCGCACGAGCTCGCGCACTATGCATGCGGGCGGGCGCGCGCGCTGGCGGGTTGGCTGGCCGCTGCCTCCACACACCTTTTACCATTTCATACTATTTTCTTGTCGTTTTTTTTATTATTGTTGTTTGTTTTGCTGTTCTTTGCTGTTCGCTTCATACCCCCAAGACCGACGGCGCTGTTATACTGTTGCCGTTGTCCTGTTCAGTTCAATTCAGTCCAGTCCAGTTCACGTCGAATTCAGCTGGCTATGTCCACGCGCGATTGCTTGCTTGTTCGCTTGATTGACACCTTGTCTGTCTATAAGCATATACATAATGGTTGTTTATATTATTGTACTAGAGGGTTTCTGGTTGGTTGGTTGGGTGGTGGTGGAGTGGGTGCGGGGCCCATGTGCGGATCATACACGTATGTAAGGACAAGGACATAGGCATGCCTAGAAGGGTAAGTGAGCGGGGGTGGGAGGTGGTGTTTGTTGTGCGTACAACTGGATGGCGAGTGGAGGGACGGCGGTAGTGGCGTGGCGTGATGGGCGGGGGTGGGTGTGTTGTGCTGTGGAGTGTGGAGGGTCGGCGGCTGCGTGCTGGCTGATTAGCTGACGGGCTTGCTTGGGCTGGGCTGGTTGGCTGGTCGCGCGCGTGCTCGCCGTGCTAGTCGTCGTGCTAGGAGAATTTTTTTTTTTGTAGATGGATGATGCGTGCGTGCCTTGGGCGCGGGGTGGGTGTGGGGAGGTTCGTCGATGGGCAGACAGGGTGCGAGTGGTGTTAATTGTTAATAACGATTGGCTTGATGGCTGATAGATACATAGTACTGTACATACGGATACACTTATTACTTAGTATAGTAGATTATTGCTTATTAGATTTTTACACTTTATTGGTTGTTACGCTAGTGCTCAGTGTGTCTTGTGTTTGTGCGTGTTTGTAGTATGGGATATATTGCGATGGTGACGGTGATGGTGATATTGGTGTTGGTGTTGGTGGATGCGGGGAAGGCAGGCAGGCAGGTAGGTACTTTCCCTTTTCGTCTTTGCCTTCATCTTTCCCTTCCTTCCAATTTCTCACCAGTTCCTCACGTTCCGCTCTATCCGCTCCCTTCTCTAGTCTTTCTCCTTTCTTGCGTCTTTTTCTCTCTCAAGAGCTCGCCCCTCAGCCTACCAAGCTTCCGCAACCGCTTATTACAATGGATGCAGTGAATCTGCACGTCCTTACCCCTGTGTACCCCGCCTGGGCTCCCGCCTCATCTACATTGCGAGTGGAGCGGCAGATCGCAGGTGCCATTGTTCTTGCCGACCTGGTCAGTGACAAGTAGGCAGTGCTGCTGCTGCTGCTGCCTGGCGGAGAAAAGGAGCGCCGAGCAAAGGGGCGATGAGCTGCAGTCGTGAAGAGAGATTGTAATACGAAATGGCAAGACTGATGTACTAAATGATGATAGGCACGAGTGACGCTGAGATTGAGCAATGGAAAAAGACACCAGCCGACAGAGACGTCTCCCAGGCAATGAGATTCCTCAACTTACGCGCGCGCAAAGTCCATTGAGGCTCACTTCAACCCCCCGATCTACCTCCCCTTTCTCCAGATCACCCTATGTCGAAAGTCCATCAATCAATCCATCACAGCCCTCCCCCCACTGCCATACCCACCTACCCGGAGACGGGCCTCCCTCAACACACTGCCGACCCCAACCAAGCATGCCGACAAGACGGCATCACATGTCTTGCCGCGGCGAAGGTGGCGCCCACCGCACCACGGCGCGCAGACCACGCGCCGGGCAGCAAAACGCGCGCAGCGAACCCAGCACACCGCCCCTCTGGAGCAAAGGCGAGGCCAGAGCGGTCTTCAAACAAATCGAAACAAAACGATGGAGCCGAGTCTCGGGGCCGGCGCGGAAGTTTCTCGAAGGGCGCCGTGCGACAGCGACGGCGTCTGCGACGGTCAGGTTCTGCTGCGACGCTGTGAGGCTGTGGGTGAAGTGCGTCTGCGGATGTCTGTGACGGCGGTGACGGACGGGGACCGCTGCCCGCGCTGCCGCCACACCGCCTCTAGCCACCGTCTTTCTTTTCGCACTCCACGGAACCTATCCAGCTCCCCGTTTTTGCACCCATGGCCGCTGGCGATTCGATCTCTAAACTCGCAGGCTGGTAAGCAAGCAGCCAAACAGGCAATGTGAACCAGGCAGGCAGCCCAGGGACCGCAGGCCCGCAGCGCCGCCCGTCCACCCGCTGCGCACTGACGCACAGCCCAGCACAGCGTCCCCGCAAACAAACAAACGCGTTCGCCGCAGGGAAAAAAAAGTCGCTGAGAGAAAAAAAAACTTCGAGAAAAAAGGTTGAGGAGAACAGGGTGAAACAGAAAACCGGAGCCCCATTGTCGCAGGCGCAGCACAGCAGCTCCACCGCCACGCCCACGCGTGGCTCGTCGTCGTCTTCTTCCTTCTTCCGACGATGTCGTCGGGCGCTGCTGCCGTTCTCGTTGCCGCAGCAGCTCTACTTCCGTAGCTAATGTACGATGACTATTGATTATCGAATGCTTATTGCATAAGGCTACATACGTCAGGTCAGGTACCTACCTGGCGCTCCTCCGACCGCAACCGCGTTAGGAAGCGGCACGGCCGATCGCCTGCCCTTCTCCGCCTGGCTGCTGGCTAGCTGCCGTTTCTGCTAACGCGGCTTGCCACTTGGAGACGCGAGCTGCCGCTTCGAGATGCGAGATCCGCTGCTGCTGCTGCTGGGCAAGGGCAAGAAGGGCCAGGGCAGGGCAAGAAGGGCAAGGGCAAGGTAGGGCAGGGCCACGGGCAGAATGGCAGAGCGGCTGCGCGCACCGCGGCGCGGCTTAAGCAGCGCATACTGCCACGTCTTTTCTGCTGTTGCTGCTGCTGTTGGGCGGTCTCGTCTCGTCTCGTCTCGTCTCGTCGCATCGCGTGTCGCTATCCCGCCTCCACTTCCGCTTCTTCTTCTTCTTCTTCTTCTTCTTCTTCTTCTTCTTCTTCTTCTGTGCGTGCACCCTTGCGTGCATGCATGCTTTGCGGGTCACCTGCTCGCTGCTGGGGCTAACTCGCTTTGTATATCCGTCGTCTGTCTCCACTTCTTCTGTTTCCGCTAAGGGAGTTGGCTGGCTAGTTACTGACGTATGTACGTGGTATGGATGGATGTGAGAGCAGCGGCTACGCCGCGTGGCAGGGTAAGATTGCGCGCTCCCTGCATTGGCATTAGGCATTAGGCATTAGGCATTAGGCATTAGGCATTAGGCATTAGGCATTAGGGAGGGCGTGTACACTGTAAACAAACGGGCATGCTAACTACGTGGTATGCTGTCTCTAGGTAGGTAGGTACGTGGTAGGTAGGTCTCTTCTAATCGCCATCAATAACATCATCAATCATCAATCATCAATCATCAACCTGCCTGCCTGCCTGCCTGCCCGCCCGTTCGTTCGCTCGTTCGTCCGCCGCTCGTTCACGCACGCATGCATGCATCTATCCGTCCGCCCTAAGTGCCTAGGTAGTACCCGCGCCCTGTCACACCTGCCACCCCGTCGCGGGTTGTGGTTGTCTAGCGCCCGATGGCCGTTTTCGCCAAACCCGCGTTTGCGTTGCGTTTGGGTTGTGTTGTGTTGTGTTTGCTAGTTATGGGTGTGCGTTTGTAGGGTGGGGGAGTTGCCCTACATACCCTCCCCCACCCTTGGGTCCGGGTTGCTTGTCTTCTTGCCCTTTGGCCTTAGTTCTTTGCCCTTGACGGAGGGTATGGGCATGGGTATCGAGGGAGGGGGCTTACGGTACCCTACCCTATGCTACGCTACGCTACCCCCTGCTGCTACATAGTCTGATCTAGGACTTTGTCTAGGTCCAGGTCTTTTGCTGTCCGTCCTAGCTGGTCCTGTACATACGGGCATGCGTCTTGGTGTCTGTATTGAAGTGGAAGCGGAAGTATCTATAGTCCGAACGCCCTGCTGTTAGTACGTCTGGCGTCTCGTTTTGGACAGGTAGACTGCCAGTGTTGCTGGTTTGGGAGTGCGAGGCATGTGTTTGTATTCTTAGGTTTGGTGCCCTGGTCTTAGTATTGCTGGATTGGGGCACGCACTTCCGTACGAGGAGCTATAGTCTCGCTGCCCTGGCGTTACTGCTGCTGTTTTTGCGCGAGGGTTGCTTGTTTTGGGAGGGGAGGGCGTGTGGGGATGTATTCTTAAGTTTGCTGCCCTGTTCTTAACGCTGCTGTTTTCGCGCGCGAGGGCTGCTTGTTTGGGAGGGGCGAGTACGGATATGGACGTAAACAATAGCTTTGGGGCCTGGCGCTAGCTCGTATGTTCGCATGCCCGCACGCTTGCATTGACTTTGACTTTGACATTGGCACTGACACAGGCATTGACACAGGCATTGACGCCCGCGTTGGCGTTACCCAGGCGCTAAAACACACCCGTTCGTTCATTGACGTCGTCGGCCGCCGATACAATCTGTACGTGGTGTGCTAGCGGCAACGGCGAACGCTGCCACGCCATAGCAGCGTCTATCCGGATCTGGCCGATCGGGGTGCTGGGTGGGACGGTGGAGCGCGGTGGTGGGTGCTGTCTTGCGCTGCTTTGCGCTTGCTCTAGCTCTGTTGGGTAGGTATGCACGCCCACTGCTGTCTAGCTTGCACGCAGCTCATCAGCAGCTCGGCTCGGCTGGGTGGAGTCCTCGTGATGTCCTAGCCTGCATGTGGGCAATGGTGGTGCTGGTGCTGGTGGTGGCAGGGCGCGCTTGGACTGCTCTGCTGCTTCCCCCTCCGTGCTAATTGCGAATATGGACTGCGGTTCACTCATCATTAATTCTGCCCGGGGGGCTGGGGATGGGGGATGGGGGGCTGGGGGCTGGGCTGGGCTGGGCTGGGCTGAGCTGCGTTGGGTCGGGTCGGGTTGGGTTGGTCTGTGTGCGGCGCTGTGCTGTGTGGACTGGGCGGCGGCGCTGCTGCTGCTGGCCAGCGCAGCGGAGCGGAGCTCTGCACGCTCGCTCGCTCGCTCGCACGTCCCGTCGATGTCCTGGCCTTGTGGGGTGCGCGCGGTAGGAGCGGGAAGGGCGGCGGGATTGCTGGACCGTGGGAGGCGCGCGGGAGGGCGTGCGTGTGTTGGTGCGCGGGTAGGGCAGATGGGGCGGCCGCATGGGGGCGGTTTTTGCTGTGGGCGTGCTTGGGTGGTGGCGGGTTTACGCGCTGCTGGGATGGGGAGGAGGAAGGTGGATGTGGATATACGGAGAAGAGAGGAAAATGTTGGTGGTGGTGGCTTTCGTTTTTTGTTTGGTGTGATAGTGTTTTTGGCTGGTTTTGATGGTGGAGTTCACGCTGTGTGCGGTATGCCATGTGAAGATGGTTAAATAGTAGACGCGAGAAAAGACGGAACGGATATGTACTAGAGAGGAGAGGAAGGAAAAAGAGGAGGATGGAGCAGTATATATATAGTTTGATCAAAGGTAAGTAGCGTGAATATCTTAACCATCTTACCGTTTAAGGATCTTTATTTAACTATCTTATACTATTGATATTACTATTACCAACAAATCGCCACGGTAATCCTTTCACTCAGAGACATGCGCCCCGAAGGGGGTGAAGTCTGATAAAAACGATATGTCGCAGTGAGATGGTTGTAATGGTAAAGGCAAGAATAGTACGCACAGGAGCGAAGAGAGTAATATGAGCTTTTTATAGCAATATATTGTGTTCGTTCGAAGATTATAACTTCATAAGTATGTATAATGAAGTATAGTAAACATCACGTTTCCTCTACTCCCGACTCATTCACCTTCAACCTAACTAAGTAAGGAACCACAACCTATAAAGATTGTCCGTATTTCATATCATCAACGAAATCGTTAACGCTGGAATCGCGAATGTGGTCCTCGTTACGCAGAGAAAGGGATCAGAGTGTTTCAACGAGGAAGCAGTGCCAATTTATATACACGAGAGGCTCCAATTCCAAATCATATCCTCCATTGTCACCAGATGGACGCACTCCACTCGATTCAAGATCTACAAACAAATCATCAAAAGCTATGATATCTACTGTAAAGCAAAACGCAAGCACTCTCCTCACGACAAACGCATTCTTGCTTGCGTATAAAACCCCGCCCCGGGCAACACCTTGAGAGACGCCCCAGCGACGACTCCGCCGTTTTAGACCCGGGCTATCAGGAGCTCAGCTACTCCACAACACGATCTGGACCCTTGATCACTGCCAAGTCAGACGTACACAAGCCGGCTGGAAAGTAATCAGGGCGCTTGTTGGATGAGTTGTTGCCGCTGAGGGCAAGTGCGGTAAGTGCTGGTGCTTGCTACATAACATAGTAATGATGGTGACGAACAGCATCGCGATGTACAGGTCTAGGCTATGGCTATCTATGTCTTCCAATGATGACGATGTTCATCAACGGAAGACGATGTTAATGGAGAGCAAACGAGTCGTCTTGTCTTTCGTCTAAGAAATACTACCGGCAGCGCACGCTGCTCCTCCCCCATCGCTCCATCTCCAGCCGCATTTTCCTCCATGACCTCCGATTCTGCCACCGCCAGGCCTCGCTGGGCTATATGCGGGTTGGTAGGTTGCTGGGAAGTATGTGTGTGGGCAGTTATATTAAGTTACCCGCCGTCGTTTCCACTGCCGTTACTACCACATCGGCAAAAATTACTATAAGCCATCACTCTCACTATAGTACATATGAGCACAGTAGCACTTACACCGAAAGTGGCTAGGAGAGTGTGTAAAGGTCTTTTAGGCTCGAATGTGTGATAAAATTTACTACAGTTTTAAGTCTTCTGTTTTCTATTTAGACTAACGGGGGAAGTACTTAAATGGCTTATTTAAACAGTTTAACACCGCAGCTTGTTCACTCAACACAGAATCCGAGATGTGCAAATCATCCAACAAGGCAAACGAAATTTAATGCCGCCACCACCGCCGCCACCACATCGGCCGGCGGCCTAGCATTATCACATTCGTCCCTTCACCACGGCACACCCCCGCACCCCTTACCTCACGGCCATTGCCACAAAGATGACACTGATGCCTACCATATACAGCATACAGTGATGCACAACAACACCAACTCGTGCCGTACAAACTCAGTGACTGCTCAGTCACGTCGCAAGACCAAGTGGGGAGAGCGGGTGACACGCACTACGGACACGGCCACCCGTACGTTCGTCACTGGAACCCATGGAGGTTGTCCAAGGGAACGGGGATGGTCTCTCTGGTGGACAAATGAGGACTTTAAGTTTTAAACGACATCGTAGACATACGACCTATAGTGCTGCGGGCACCAAGAGATCCGAGGAGCAGGCCCTTACTCCCACTGCCAGAGGATAAAGCTTCGATTGCTTTTCCATGATCTCGGGCAAGGAGCACCAAGGCGAGCTGTCTCTTGTAATATAGCGTACATACAAGCCCTGGCACTGCAAAAAGGGTCAGCTCCAGATCAACATCTTTCCGCATCGCTGATCTGTTGGGTAGGTGTAACAGACAAATCTCTCTCAAAACACAACCCGCGAAAAAAGCAAAGTCTTATATCCAACAACCCGACTTCAGTATCCATTCCCGCGCATCGAACACCTCGCAGCGCCCCAAGAAGCGTAGAGCCACTTCCCCAATCCCCATGCCCAGAAAAAACCCAGGACCGAGGCAAACAAGGCACTCCCATTCTTCAAAACCAGCTCCGGTACTTTCTACTCTCGCATTTTCTGCTCGCATACGCTCTACGCATGCAAGAGTTGCAGAGCGTGAAGTTTGCCAGATACTGGGCCTAATACTCGGGTAGTGTCCTCCGTTACGCCAACTTTGACTTCGAGAGGTAGCGGACAGTGAGCTTGTCAACATGCCTTTTTCTAGCTCACTACTACCAGCGTCTTCTGCCGGCAATGAAGCTCATTGGCACAGGGTGATGGTGGTACTAGATAGCGTGTTTGCGGCTTTGGGTGTTAGGTTGTTAAGTTGTTGATGTCTGGGTGAGTGAATAGGTGTTTGTTTACTGTGTGGATTGGTGGCTGCCGCCGCGGGGTCGGGGGGCGGCAGGCGGATAAGTGGGCTAGGCTTATTGTGCAATTGTGTATGTATGCTGTGGTGCCGCTGTGGTTGTGGCGTGCTGTGGTGGGTTGGACGGGGTTTTATAAGTGGGTGGGGAGGGAGAAAGATGTTCATATGACGCTGCCGTGGGATAGACTTCTACAAATGGGCGGGTTTCGTAGTATGTATGAGTGGTGTATGCAGTTGAAGAGCATACGAAGTTACTGCATAACTCACAATTTATTTACTTCAATCTTGCTTCAATATAGCATGACGATCGTGATAAAGATTGGCACTGTACTACACCCTTAGTACACACAGCAAACATTACATCCCCTCCACACTCAAGCACAATCGTACACCCTAAAATGCTCCCTCCCGCTCACTCCACTGGCTGACATCCAAGACCGCCACATCGCCAAACCCGCTCTTAACCGGCGTGCCAGCAACCAACTCCAAGCTCTCAAGCCTCGCCCCACCCTCCTCGAGCGCCCACAAGCTCAGCGCGACGTAATTCGGCCCACTGTAGTCGAGCACGCCGGGCGGGACGGGGAACGCATCCTGTGGGCCGACATTGTGCACGTACTTGCCGAACTGGAAACCGTTGACGAAGAACTGGACGCGATAAGCCGCCGTCGCGGACGCGGTGCCATTAGCCTTCTGCGCCGAAGCAGAAGCAGAAGCAGAGGCCGACGCCTCAGACGCATTGCCGAACACAAACGACAGCGGAATGTCCCAGCCCGACGGGAGGGCGAGGTCGAAACTCGTAGCGTAAAACGCGACGCCCGGCTCGTCGATGCCAGCCAGCGGGCCGCCGGCCGGCGCGTCCTCCCAGTCCTCGCTCGGCGCGCCGGGGAGGTGGAAGCCGTTGCGCTCGGCGAACAGGCCGCCCTCGTTCAGCGGCCCGCGCGTCTTATCCTTGAAGTCCTCGCCGCCCAGATTGCCGGCCAGCTTCCAGGTGACGTCGGCTTGGTCGTCGTGGCCGTCGAGTTCGTACGCAAGCACGCCGCGTGGGTTCTTCATCTCGTCCGTGCCGACGGTCCAGTCCTCGTTCAGGCCCATGTTGTCTACCACGACTGTGATGACGTAGTGCGCCTCGGCCTCGAGGCCGGTCGGCAGCGTGAATGTCGCGTTGCCTATCGACGCGGCGTCGTACCCGGCGAAGGAGCCGAGGAAGGTTCCGTTGAGCCAAGCGGAGAAGCCGAACGCTGACCCGCCCTCCGCCGATACGTAGAGCGTCTTCTCGGCGCCCGTGGCTGTAAAGTGCCCGCGGAAGAGCAGCGTGCCCGTGTGGTAGCCGTAGTCGCTGCCGTAGAGACTTGTGGGCGTCGTCAGCTTGCGGAGAGTGTTCTTGGTCTCTGTGAGCGAGGCCTCATTCCATGCGTCATCGGAGTAGTCGTCCGTGATCTCGGGGAGCGTGTCGAGGTATTTCCAGGTGACGGTGCTGAGGTCTGGAAGGTCGAAGTTGGGCACGTCGTAGCTGACGCTGCTGAGGACGGAACCGGTGGCGGTCTGGTTGAAGGGGATAGGCTCGCCGTTGAAGGTCAAGGTCTTGAGAGACGATGATGCACCGCCGATGATTTCGACGGGGGTGGTGGCGTTGACATCGCCCACGAGTGCGATCGTGCCATCGCTGACAGTAACGTTGCGCAAGAGGTATCCGGCTTGGACGATGAGACCATTTGCATTGCTCTTCGCGGAGCCGGTGTAAGGAGTCGACGAGCCATCAGCAGGGTAAACAACCCAGTAGTCATAAGCCGAGTTACGGTCAAGGATGTAGACATAGAGGTCGTCTTCCACCTTAACGATCCTGCGCGAGGTCGTGGTCTTCCAGTTCAGGACAGTTGCGCCATTCTTCGACGCAATGGTCACGCCGGAGCCCTCGACGAGCTTGGCGCCCGTGGCATCGGAGAAAGCCAGTTCGTGAAGTTCCTCTGGACCACCGTACACGACCAACACGGTCTTGTCGTCGTACTTCTTTTGCGTGAAGATCTCCGCGGTGGAGTAGAGAAGGTTGTAGTCGCCGACGTCGTAGTCGGTGACGTGGAACTTCGAGTCTCTACCGTTCAAGGAAAGAGTGCCGTTGAGCTGCGGGACGGTGATGTTTCCGGCGCTGGTCGGAAGCGTGATCCTGTAGCTCGTGGAGTCCAGAGAGTTGTAGGCCGAGTGACTGCATCGCATCAATCAGTACAAGTTCGATAAAGGAATGCATGTAAACGTACCGGATGACGAAGAAGTTGGTCTTCTCCCCAAACAGAGGGGTGACAGTGAGCGCAGGGTTTCCAGTAAACGTTCCGTTGGTGGTACCATTGGCAGGAACGGCAGTCAAGTAAGCCGGAGAAGCCTGGATGAAGTTGCCCTGAAGCTTCAACTCGCTGTACTTCTCACGATCAATGACTCTGTTCTCCTTGATGACTGAGCCGTAGTCATAGGAAGTATAGCCTCCCGGGTGCCCCAGGTTGCCCCAGTTAGTTCCACCGAAGATCTAGAGTTGAGTTAGCGTTTGTTCTATGTCAATTATAGCAAGATCATGTGCCATACCATGTAGATGTTGAACAACGTAATACCGAAGCCGTAGTTGTTCTTGTAGAAGACACGCTCAAATTCGTTGTTCAGCAAGATTTCACATTGGCCGAAGCTAGGGCCGCCCCAGGGATCAAAGGCACCTCCTTGGAACTGTTCGCGGCATTAGAAACAGAGCCACAATGATTGGAGTGATGACGTTACCTCAACAATCGAATAAGGGGTCTCTGGGCTCGTCGCCAGATGTACCGACCGCCAGTTCGTAGGAAGCTTGCCATCTGGCCAAGTGTACGGGTTCGCGCAATCAAAGCCCAGCGGATAGCCATCGTGGCCGTAGATGTCGAAGCCAGAGGGCGTGTCTGGTGCAAGGTATCCGTTGGTGCCGGCATCATTGGCAATGGTGGGCACCACAAATCCTCCTTTCCTGTATTGCTCCTCGACATACGCGATGTAGTCAGGGTCAGGGAACTTGATGTCATCGGTGGCACCGCTGTACTCGTTCTCTGGCTGCAGCAGAATGACAGGGCCGCCTTCGGTGATCTGGTACGGGGCGATGATCTCTGAGATGGACTGGACGTATCTGCATGTGATCAGGTGAGCCTCAACAAAGGCTTAATGGACTTCAGGACTTACAGGTCCGTAGCCTCCAGATACTCCGTTTGGTTGGTGCGCAGAATACCCTGGTTCCTTTGGAGCCAGCCCGGGAATCCACCACCAGAGACTTCAGCATTGATGTAAGGACCAGGTCGCTGTACGAGTTAACCCCTGCTTTCCCTTTGAGGCCGTTGGACTTACTGCAATCAAGTAGATACCAGCTTGGGTTGCAGCTTCGAAGAAGGGTTCCCAGGCGAAGATTCCTTCGGCGCTGAACTCGCCAGGCTTGCCTTCGAGCAGGGCCCAGTCAACGTAGAATGAGACGCCATTGAAGCCCAGACCCTTAATCTTCTGGAAGATATCAAGCCACAGAGAAGGGACTGGAAGTCTACAGATCAATCAGCGACTAGTGTTTAATGTACTTGAACCAGTTCAGACATACCTGTAAGGGTGGAACTCGCCACTGAGGAAAACGATGCGCTCTCCATTCACGAAGAGCGAGTGTTCGTCCCAAGTGACCTAGAATATCTTAGTGCCGTGTCTCTATCACTGAACAGAACCAAAACGTACGATATCCTGCAGTAGCTCACGCTTGTAAGGCTTAATCATTTGATGCGGCTTCCCACCAATGGCCAGACCCAGAGTCTGGGAGGCCAGGGTCGCCAGCACCAGCAAGCCGGCGCCGAACTTCATGATGGGCGCCTCTGCAAGCAATTGACCAAGACAAAAGGCAGAAAAGAGCCAATGGCTTCCAACGAGCAAGTCCAGAAGGTCAGCGAACAGACCGTGGGGCCAGCTCAACCAGGGCGACCCTCCAGAGCTTTTAAACGGAGCAGCTCTCCAGCAGCACCCCCGCGGGCGCCCCGCCTTTGGCTTGGCTCGACCGATGGTCTCATCATACCTGCCTGGCAGCTGCAGGAGCTGCCAGAGCTCCCCTTGTTCGTGCAATTAACATCCCGACTGCCGAACGGCCAATGGGCTGCTGAGGCTCAAGCCAGTTCCTGCAAGACGTCATTCTCCTTCATGACTGCTCACCCCGACGATCAGGTACAGGCGGCGATAAATCTTCCGGTGCGGAAAATACGACGTCAAGCCGACTGGGTTTGTTTCTGGGGTTGGGTGGGCAAAATGCGGGGCAGAAACGCATAAACCTCGCTTCCGGGGGCCGGGTGAATTAGTCGTAGCCTGGGTGCCATGGTTCTGCAGGTAGGTAGAAGCTCAGAGTTAGACGGTATAATAACTTCTTTGTGTTGGCAAACATCTCATCCTCAAAACGAGTTCTTTTGAGTGTTGCGTATTCAAGAGTTGCTGTTTGACATGGCTAGCTATCCCCGCGTCCGTGTGCTGGAGGTGGACACGACTAAGTGCCCAGTATACCCGGCGCGGAGAGCTACCCGGAACCGAGCTCACCAGCCGATCGCTTGCCCTTGCGGGAGCGGAGAAGGAAAACACTGCATGATCAGGCGCCTTGGAATTTTCGTGTTTCCGCTTAAATCTGGTGATGTGATGCAAGATCCCGATGATTTTTGGGAGGCCAGGCCTAGGCCTTAAGGTAATCTGCTATTGAGCCAAGGGCTTGGGTCTCGAATACTCATAGCACGTGACTTGGACGAGCTGTGACTGATGCCTATGTAAGTCAATTGCTCAGCCGTGGACAGTCAGATGCTCAATTATAATGGTGTCTGAGTGGACGCTATGCAAGCTGCCTGTCGTGCCGCCAAGTGCCGCGATTGTCCGCCCCGCTCGGCTGCTTTTTTCCTTGCCTAACCAACCCACATACCTCAGACCACGATGCGCCGATAGCCGGTGAGTGCTGAGGTTATGAGAAACGAGGTCTTCATTAAGGCGCCAGTTTTCCACCATGCCCACCAGCCGGTGTGCTCTCACTCTGCGTGGCTAATTGTTGTCCACTCACCCACTTTGTTTCCCATCCCGGAGAATGAGAACACAAACTTCGCCTCATGCTAGTCAGACATTGCAGCCCTGTTCATGTGAATAACGGAAAGGCAGGAGATAAATAGCCTGCATATCCCGCTATTGAGGGATATCCCCTTGTATTGACACTGTCCATGGCTCCGGGTTGCTGGGATGACAGGTGCTGAAAGCATATATGAAGATCATTGCTCGACACGCACAACAGCAGCTTTGGCGGCTGTCTTTGAGATGTCAATTAACGCAGTGTGGCTCTTATTCGCTCCAGAGACGCAAGTCGGGAAGCCCAGCGTAACAAGGAGAAGACAGGTAGGCTCTCAGGCAAGACACTCGACGATCAGACAGGAAGATTGATATATAGGACGAAGAAGGAAGAGCTTGCGAGGTTGTTTGGATGTCGATGTCGATAACCCATCCGAAGTGCACCCGCGGGCCGACAGCCCACCACCTACCTTTACCCCACACATCTCCCGTCCCGTCTACTCGTACGTCAGTCGCTTTCGGACTCGTTTTCATGCATCGTGGTACTTACACGTAGATTGAACTTTAAAGCAGCTTCCGTTTTCACCGTCTCTCTAGTCGTTGCTATTCTTATCAAACATCTCCTAAGCAATACAAATTTCCCTATACTTTGATACAACCTGCTCCCTATCTCTAACATAGACGTCCTATTTCCTCTCCCATGGCCCTCCAAGCCTCCAATAATGGCGGGTCATCGACCTGCGTAATGGAGCTGCAAGAGCTAGAACCCTCCCACCAACCCACCACATCCCCTAAGCAGCAGAAAGCAGACAGCATCCGTAGCATCAGCCTCTGCGACGGCAATAACAAGACTTCAGAAAGCCGGCCAAGCGCAAACGACGACCCGATAGAGACGCTCCCATCCCCGACAACAACCGCCCACGAACGCCTCCAACGGTGGAACACCCCGCGCATCCACATCTACCGCACCCTAGCAGCATTCTTCGCCTTCTTCATCATGGGCGCCAACGACGCCGCCTACGGCGCCCTCCTCCCCTACCTCGAAGCCTACTACCACCTCTCCTACACCGTAGTATCGCTGGTGTTCCTCTCCCCGCTGCTCGGCTACAGCGCCAGCGCGCTCCTCAACAATGCAGTACACCTGCGCTTCGGCCAGCGGGGTGTCGCGTTCCTGGGCCCGCTGTGCCACCTAATCGCCTACGTCGTCATCGCGCTGCACCCGCCGTACCCGGCGCTGGTGGTCATCTTCGTGCTCGCAGGCTTCGGCAACGGCCTCGAGGACGCGGGCTGGAACGCGTGGATCGGGAACATGGCGAGCGCGAACGAGCTGCTGGGCTTCCTGCACGGGCTGTACAGCGTCGGCGCAACACTGAGCCCTATTGTCGCGACGACCATGATCACCAAGGCCGGTTTGCCCTGGTACGCCTTCTACTACGTGATGGTGCGTAACGTAGCACTTCTCTCCTCTTCCCCCATCCCCATCCCCCTATCATAGCCAGCATGTCTAACCCCCCCGCCACGCACGCCCAGATCGGCGGCGCCACCCTCGAGCTCCTCACAAGCCTCAGTGCGTTCTGGAGCGCGACGGGCGCCGTGTTCCGGGCCCAAAACCCCAAGTCCCCGCACGCCAGCGACAACCGCATGAAAGAAGCTTTGTTCCACGCGCCCTCGGCACGCGTGACCTGGCTCTGCGCCATCTTCCTGCTCGGCTACGTCGGCACCGAAGTCGCGCTCGGCGGATGGATCGTCACCTTCATGATGCGGGTGCGCGCCGGCGCGCCCTTCGCCAGCGGCATGACGGCGACGGGCTTCTGGCTGGGCATGGCGGTCGGGCGCGTCGTGCTGGGCTTCGTGACGCCGCGCGTGGGCGAGAAACTCGCTATTGCTATCTATCTCCCTCTCACTATGGCGCTGGAGCTGGTCTTTTGGCTCGTGCCCCAGTTCTATGTCTCTGCTGTCGCCGTCTCCCTCCAGGGTTTCTTCCTTGGTCCCATGTTCCCCGGCGCTGTCGTGGCCGCGACCCGCCTCCTGCCGCGCCATCTGCATGTCAGTGCTGTGGGCTTTGCTGCTGCGATTGGTGGTGCTGGGGCGGCTGTCTTCCCTTTCGTCGTTGGCCTCGTCGCGCAGTCACATGGTGTCAAGGTCTTGCAGCCGATCGTGCTCGCCCTCTTGGTTGTTATTTGGGGGGTTTGGATGGCGTTGCCTAGGCTGGGGAAGAAGAAGTCTTAGGCGCGTGGATGGAGTATTGGGGGAAGGGATGGAGTGTGGGTTTAGGGGGGTTGGGATGGGGTTTTCTGGGTTAAAAAACAATTTGGATCTGGAAGGCGTCGGAAATTTGCTGTCTGATTCCGTCCTTAGCTATGCGGTCATCTACGGTAAGGGAGCTAAAAAAAAGTCTTGCATCATGCAGATATTGCACTCTGGATGGCATGGGAAGCTTTTTGTATACCGCAGACGCATAGGTAGACAGGGCTTCAATTTAACTAAAGATAGGCCAGCTCGTCTCGGAAAGTAAAACAACATCCTCCGTACCACCGAAGACCACAAGAACCAGAGAGAAGAGAAAGCCTCCCATTAATCCCCAACGCCATATAATATCAAGATGTATAACTCACTTGAATGACACATGTTTAGGGCTTGAGCAATGCTTGGATTTCCTATCTTCCATGTAGCGAATAACTTCTGCCAGGGAGAGAAGCTCACATCAAGAAAGTAACAACCACCGCATGCTTCCTGGCGAACGCGCAAGGTTTTCAGAGAGCTGTGGATGACGCCGGAAACGCAGTTTCGCTTGTAGTGCGCACCACTACCATGGACCAGCGCCAGAAAGATGCATATGCAGGCGTATACAAGCTTCTCCTTGTGTGTGAGCAAAGGCCGGGGCTTTGCCGTAAAGTAACAGGGTGGAATATTAAGGCAGGGAAGGACGCATCAGAGGCAGGAAAAAGAAAGGAGATGATAACGATTTTAGGTTCGTGGTCTCGGAGGAAGATCTCTTCATCGCTGTGTGCGCCGGTAACGTAGCGCCCGCCCGCCTTGTGCAATGGCGCCGTTGCCCGTGCTGCGTGACATCGTACAGGAGGGCCTGTCCTCATCTGAGTGCATGGATCCAATGGCCTTGTAAATATTAGTAGCTGCTGGGAAAATGACATGCACCGAGGGAGTTATCTACTTACGAAGGAGTCCGTGTTGTGCGCAAAGTACAGGTACAGCCCGTCGCGCATCTTCTTGACAGTCAGAACCCCGATGGCGCCAGCAGAGGCGCTGTTAGTCACGCTGGGATGACCTATTTCTGTTAGCAAATGCGACAGGAAATCCAATGCAAGATAAAGTTACCCATAAAGTCTTGCTCGATAGTGGCCCTGATAGCGGCATCCTCTGTGTTGGCATGCTCCAGCGTGCCTTGCTTGGTTTTCTTGACATTGTAGTAAAGCCGCTCGGCAAACACAGTGGCAGCCATTGTCGTAGCCATGTGTTCACCTGTCCCGCTGGTGACAGTGGCTACAGAGGTATCCTGCTTGTCTTCGGTGTTGTGTGGCACGACAGCTGCTCCTACACCGACAAGAGCGGCAGGTCCAATCCGGCCACGATACTTCATGCCAATGCCACCAGAAGATGCTCCACATGCCATATTACCATAACAGTCTATGGCAATTGCACCGACGGTATCAGTGATGTTGTCTTGGCGCTGTTCCTTTGTTGGCGGAGACTGCCGCTTCTCACGTGGAGGGTCCGGAGGCAAAGGAGCATGCTCAATCACATGTTCTAGGTTGGTCATTGACCGAGACAATGTCGATGTCTTCGATTCTCCCTCAGGGGTCATAGGGAGAGGCTTCTCCAGAGCATCTTTTGGCGGGGGACTAGGAGTCAACGAGGGCAGACGTAATGTTCCTGATGAAGATTCCGATTCGCTCGATCCGTCATGCCAGGCAGCCCTTTTATGCGGACGGCTTTCGTTGGGGTCGCCGACAACAAGATCGCCATCATCATCAATATCACTCATCTCAGCGTCGGCATCGTGACCTTCGTCCTTGACAGGACTTTGCTCCTTGTAAAACGACGAGAGGGTAGGAACGGTTTGAGTGCTGTTGATGAGCGGATTTTGCGCTGCCTCAGCAAGAGATGCTGGCTCCGTGACGTTTGCCTCATCAGTAATTGACAACGAAGTCCTGGATGAGCTCATATCTTCCAGGGAAGTGTCCGTATTGCTCTTCGACGTAGGCAGAGAATGAGCCCAGATTGATTGAGAAAGGCTGTCGTACACAATACCACTGCTAGCGATCATGCTCTGAGTATGCTCCTGTCGGATCCGCTTGCGTACTTGCTCTTCATGGTACGGGTCTACGTCAGGCAACGCTGGGATTGCCACCCGAGACATTGGAATGCCTGCGGCTTGTCGAGCTCTGCGTTCTGCGTGCTTGAGATCCGCCCTCCATTTTACCCACCGTTCCCTAGCAGCCGGGGAAACAAGAGCATCATGAGGAAGTACCGACAATCCTTGTTCGAAAGCAAAGTCTGTTGCTCCTTGGGATACAAGCAGGTTCGGGGGGACGCGCTTCAGGAGCAACGGCTTGGTGGTGTGGTCAAGGACAACCCGAGCAAGCGAGATCGGGTTCTTGATTTCTGTTTGAGAGTTAGACGAGTCTAGTGTGAGGGCGCAGATGGCACTAACGAGAAACTGCTCCAACACCTCCGCTGCGTCCTAGATGATCGACCATTACAGCGTCACATTCGACTACACCATCCATGGTAAGATTGCTTCCATAACCAGCATTGGTTATTTCACGATCCTCAAGTACTTTAATGGCGATCTCCGTAGCGTCGACAGCCGTACCTCCGTTGCGTAGCATTACCATGGCAGCTTTGGCAGCGCTATTTCAAAAATTAGTGATTGGTCCATCCAGAGGCAGCGAGGCATTGCAGACAAGAACGATAAACCCTTCGACATAGGAAATCAAAGAAGTATGACTTACTCATTACAAGCCTGAAGGTGTATGGCTTCATTTTGAACGGAGTGATAGCCTGCTCCAGCATGCACAAAGATGGCACAGACATCGCCAGCTTTGCGAACCTGACCACTGTGTTGTGTCATCGGATATCTGGCTGACTTCCTTGCCCGTGTATTATCCAGGAAGGGCTTTCCAGAATACGTGCTCGTTCTGCTTCCTTTCCAAAATTGGATGTGACGCCCAAGATAGCGTAGCCGAACGTCGAGAGCAGAATGGCGCTTCGCTAGACCCAGTGTGCCTCAACCGTGATTTTATTTGTTTCTGAAGCACCGCGCGTAGAAGGCTCGGAACAACTGGTGATTCTGAAAGTGTTTGCTCCTTTGATGGTGTTTGGAAACACAAACAAAGCTGCTAGGGCGTGTTGCTGGATGGGTCGATTATCTCTGGTGTTTTGGGGTCGGACTGCTAGAAAAGTACTTGTCTCACGTAGAGGCGGAACAAAAGCGTCCTCACTTAGATGGGAATGTTTGTCAGAAACCAGGCGTAAGCCGGTGTTGAAAGAGTGACGAGTGGCCGAGGACGTGCAGAGCAGGTTAGATGTGAGCGCTCGACAACGAAAGAAGCATCAACAGGCTCAATTCCGAAAGGCTTGCAAGACGGCTGAGGAATCGAAGTTGTGCCTTTCCGAGATTGATGCTTCAGAGGAGAGAAATAAGAAGGTGAGAGCGACAGTCGAAAGAATGGCTCTGTCCGCCAGGAGAAGACTGCAGTCTCAAGTGCGGTAGCTGTGCGGGACGACTTGGCGGTAGCAGAAGGTCTTGGTGGCCTGGTGGAGGTGAGGATAGGCAGACAAGCGGGTAGTGGATGGGGGAGCGTAGTCGACTGCAGTCCTAAAGGATGCTGGCAGCGAGCATCAGATTGTGCCTTCCATTCTTAGGGTAACACGCTCATCTAGCAATTCCGACGGCAATCACGCCTCATGACGGTGCGCTTGGGGCGTGCAGCCCACCGCTGCTAGGGCAAGAAATACTATGGAAAGGTGCACGATGGCAAGCTCTATCGACTGCCATGTAACGCTGCGATTTGTGGCCGTGATGGTGACCATTGACTGTCTGCCCGCACCCCTGGCGGTTAAGCTGAGGCTGGGCGTCTCTCCGCGCCCCGCTGCATCATCGCTCCGCCGGGGCCAAGAAACGGCCGCCTGCGCCCGCCCACATCCACGTCTACCTACCATCACCCCCCGAGCCCTATCAGGCAGTCAACCACAGTAGGACTCCCAACGCGAGAGCTCCTCCTATCCCGCTGTAGCTTCCTTCTCGTCCCTTCAGCGCCGAATTCCTCCAGCTGCCACGATGGCGAACCAAACTCCGGCCGTTGTCATGGACAAGTACGTAACTGGGGGAGCTCCCCGCTCCCGAGCACCACTGTTGCTGCAACACGCTTTCGTGCGCGGCGCCCCGGAAAGCAATTGCTGACAACTGAGCCCTCTATAGCGGCACGGGCTACACCAAGCTAGGTGCGCAAACATATCCCCTATTGCGACCGACGCCCGACAACAGCTGACCGCCTGTTCCCCGTAGGTTTCGCCGGCAATGACTCCCCGTCCTTCGTCTTCCCCACCGCGATTGCCACCAAGGGCCCGACTGGTGGCGCTGGTGGCTCGGGGTCCGGCCGCCCGGCCATTGCGAACAAGCCGTCGTTCCTGACGGGCGGAGCGGGTCCGGGCGGACACCTCTCCGCGAAGCGTGGAACTGAAGACCTGGATTTCTTCATAGGAGACGAAGCTCTGGCTGCCTCAGCTGGTCCTGGTACGCTATAAAGATGCGCAGAAGCGGGTTTATAGGAAGGCGATTGACAAGGGACAGGCTATGGCATCCATTACCCCATCCGTCATGGTCAGATTGAGAACTGGGTATGATCACGAATGGAGGCGCGAGAAACGGATGCACAGCTGACAAGATTTGTAGGATCTGATGGAGCGCTACTGGTCCAACTCGATGTTCAAGTACCTCCGCGTCGAGCCCGAAGACCATTACTTCCTCCTGACGGAACCCCCTCTCAATCCGCCCGAGAACCGCGAGGCCACCGCTGAAATCATGTTTGAGTCCTTCAACTGCGCCGGCCTCTACATTGCCGTACAAGCTGTGCTCGCCCTCGCAGCTTCATGGACTTCCTCGAAGGTCCAGGACCGCTCGCTCACCGGTACTGTCATTGACTCAGGTGAAGGTGTGACCCACGTCATTCCTGTCGCGGAAGGCTATGTTATCGGATCCAGCATCAAGAGTGTTCCGATTGCTGGCAGGGATATTACATACTTTGTGCAGCAATTGCTGCGTGACAGAGGCGAGCCGGACAGCAGCTTGAAGACGGCGGAGAGGATAAAGGAGGAGTTCTGTTACGTGTCCCCGGATATCGTCAAGGAGTTCTCTAGGTACGACAGAGAGCCTGACAGGTTCGGCAAGCACGAAGTCAAGTACCCCAACGGCCGTAGCGTGACGGTCGACGTCGGATACGAGCGCTTCCTGGCCCCCGAAATCTTCTTCAACCCGGAGATTTACTCCAGCGACTTCTTGACGCCTCTGCCCAACATTGTCGATACTGTTATTCAGACGAGTCCTATTGATGTCAGACGTGGTCTGTACAAGAACATCGTTTTGTCTGGTGGTTCGACTTTGTACAAGGACTTTGGTCGCCGTCTTCAGCGCGATATCAGGCACCTTGTGGATGCGCGTATCAAGGCTTCCGAGGCGCGCAGCGGTGGTGCCAAGAGTGGAGGTCTCGACGTGCAGGTCATCACGCACAAGAGGCAGAGGCACGGTCCTTGGTTCGGTGGTAGCTTGCTCGGCCAGACCCCCGAGTTCAGGAGCTACTGCCACACGAAGGCTGAGTATGTGAATATGCGTTTTACAGCGAGGACGATTGCTAATGACGATGGACTAGGTACGACGAGATTGGACCCAGCATCGTCCGAAGATTTGCTCTGCTGGGTGGCCCTGGCAGCACTTGAGATGCAAGTGCAGATGTCTGAGTGGCCTGGTTAGGAAGCACTGCATCCACGCCGAGCGCGCGGGGCAAGGTGGGTACGGCGTGCACTCGGTGGATGTAGGAGTTGGGAGGAAGCAGCAGCATTGCCTCGGCAACGGGCAAAAATGTAGACAGCATGCGCGATGCGCGTGGAGTTTGGGAGAGTAAAGCAGGAATTTCAAGTTATCAAAACAGCAGGCGTTCCATTGCAGATAGGTCGGTGAAAGTCGTGAGCCCTGGGTGGAAGCCGCGGACTCGGAGTCGGGCCCGGCGAGTTTTTGGAAGCATGACTGCCTCGTGGCTCTAGGTAGGCATTCATCATGCGGAGACACGTCTTCATCGACGTTATCGATGCAGCGATTATGCACAGTGCAGGCGATCGGCGGGTGGGCGGATTGCGACTCAGCGAGACCAAAGACTCGAAGCCTCGGTCGGTCGCGTCACGCAACACGTGAAGGGCGCATGTTTGCTTCTTCTGCCGACTACGGTAAGGCGAGGCATCGATGGTGGTTTTGGCGCGGAGTGCCGTCCATGGACTTGCGCGGAGCTTGATTCGGAGAGGATCAAAGCTTCTCCCTCGTCACTTCCCAGATCTCAAGCTACCTAGTCTTAGGGCCTGACGAGGCTGGACACCCTTGAAAGATGGTCAGAACGCGGAATAACAGTACGTTGACCTGGCTGCCATTCCTCTCTACAGGATGCGTCCGTATGGGTCGCCCTCACAGCCTTCCCATGCTAACACTGACCAGCCAACGACTCGTCCACGGCGCCAGACTTCCAAGCAGCTGCCTCCTCCACTGACAGCCCGCACTCCCAAAAGCGTGCCATACCTGCTCCCGCGCCTGCCGGCACCCTGTCCAGGAAGCGGGTCAAGTCCGACGGGCACGTCTCCCCTCTCGACACCCGCCATGGCCTAGCCCAAGCCGCTCTTGCGTCGGGCTTGAGCCATGCGCCCTCTGATCCTTCCATGCGCACTCCCGGCGCCGCCATGCAGCTCAACCAAGCCCAGCCGGCCGATACGCACAATGGCTTCTCGGTTGATTACGCGCCAGCGAACCCGGCAGACGCGTCGGGCTACAGTGCTGCTTTTGGGGCCTCGTGGCCGCAGATCCCCAAGGGCTACTACGACTCCACCACCACCTACGGCGCGCCAATCCCGCAGCCTCCCTTCCCTCAGTCACAAGCCACTTTTGATCCGCCGATAGCCTCTCAGCTACAGTCCGCCATCTACAACGAGCAATACCCGGTGATGAGCGAGAATAGCATGGCGGCTACCAATTTGCCCATTCTTGGGAACCTGGCAAGCCAGATCCTGACCACCTTGGGTCAACCCACATTCCAGGACACTTACACTGCTGTCAACAAGGTTGACACGCCCACGGGTCAGGAATATGCCACCAAGAAAGGCCTCTTCGAGCAGACCTTCAAGCAGTTCGTCCGAGGACAGCCGTTCATTGACGCGAAAGCCCTTCACCTAGACAGCCAGCCATATCTAGACGTCGTTCGGAAGTCGAACCTCGCTGCATTCGTCCTTATCATCTTCGGCGGACAAGAAGTTAGCCTCAATACTTTAAACGAACATTTCCTAGATATTTTTGCACCTGGAGGTGCCAGACTCTTGAAATGGCAGGGCGGCCTGTGGCTCGAGCTTAAGACGCAAGCCTATATTCAGAGCGTCATGAAAGGTGAGGCGCGACAAAAGGTCGTGGATAGCTTGTTTCCAACAAACATGGAAGACGTGTTACTGTCTCGTCTGTCACCGTCAGAACCCAGAAGGCTCTCTCCGACTGAGCAACAGATCGCTAGCTTGTCACTGCAACGTAGGCAGTACTTGCTGGGCGAGCCGGACACAATCGAGGGCAAGATTGCTTTGTCGAGAAAGTATGACTGGATCGAGTTCCTCAAAGAGGTCAACCGCTGCATCGGCAAGAACATGGATGGTTCTAGTGCTGCAACCGAGAGTCGACATAACTCTCAATCCTCGCCCTATGGTGGCAACAACTACACGCACACGGCAAGTCCAGACGGGTTTTATCCTCAAATGCATGAACCGTCTGGAGGCAACTACGACGAGACAATTACCAGAGCAGCTCTCATGGCTCATGCCGCCATCAATGGTCAAGCAAACAACAGCTCTGATATACAGCAGAATCCCACGCCGTTCTTCCAGGCATATCCACAAGTCGCTCAGCAGCATCAACCTTCGTATCCAGCCAGCAAGACTGTCACGCCTCCCAGCCCTGTGCCCGTCCAAAGTGCACCGACTCAAGTCCTCTATGACCGCGCGCGTCAAGCCTCAACCGTGCGCGCACCTCCAAATTCTCGTAAGCCCGGCGCAGCGAACCAGCGACGGCCGTGGTCTTTGGATGAGGAACGCGCGCTCATGGATGGCCTGGATCGTGTCAAGGGCCCGCATTGGTCTCAGATCCTAGCTCTGTATGGCGCTGGTGGCACAATCTCAGAGATTCTCAAAGAACGCAACCAGGTGCAACTGAAGGACAAAGCACGTAACTTGAAGCTCTTTTTCCTTAAGAGTGGTGTCGAAGTCCCAGTCTATCTGCAGGGCGTCACGGGTGATCTGAAAACTCGGGCGCCGGCGCAGGCAGCCAAGCAAGAGGCGCTTGCCAAGCAACGACGCGAAGAGCAAGAGAACATGCAGAGAGACCAGAGGGCGCAAATGGACGCAGCAGCAGTGTTGGCTGCGGGCCCGCGCTGGCCATCTTCAGCGGGTATTGCCATGGGAACAAGCGTTGCTGAGCCTTTTGGCCACGCGCTGGCCATGGGATTCCCTCCAACTGCGACCGGACAGCCGCCTGGAGCGATCGATCCGACTCTGGACCACAGAGGCGAGGGCGCAGGAATGGGTTAGGCGACGGCGAGGCCTTGTGAATGAAAAGAGACTGTGCATAGGTGGTGCGGACTTTTTTGGATAACACGGGTATCTTGCGAAGATGGGAGAGGAAAAAAGAAAGGATGGGTATCACGGCAGCGGTTATGCACGGCGGATGTTCTTGACTTGAAGCATGCATTAGAGGCAGGCTGCCGATGTTCTAGGGGGATAGGTTGGACAGATACTAGCGGGATAAGTCTTGGGTTATGGGGGAGGGCGGAAAAGTTCTTGGTTTTGCTATGCTGGTACTTAGCTGGATGGTTAATGCTGGGATTATGCCGGGGGCCGGAACTATGAGTAGGTATGATACCCAATTATGGATTACGCAGGTTTACATGTTGTGATGGCTCTCTCTGGCTACGGGAGATGGTAAATGGAATCACGCACGCAGACAGAACCCGGAGTCCCCGTCCCTGTCCCCCACGCGGGCTCCCCCGTACGTCAGCGGGCCGGAAGGAGCCGCGGCTCGCAACGTCGATCGCTCGATACCGACGACTGCACCTCGCACGCCAGACCTGCATACCAACGTTACACGCCCCCAGTCAGGTGCAACCAACCCGTTTCACTCGCCCACGCCAAACCCAGCAAATCAGCGCCGCGCACGCAAAAACGCACCATGTCGGAGCCGACGCCCAGCGACGCCGTCCCCGCCTCTTCATCCGGTGCTGCAGCAACAGGCGAAGCCAACACCAACGCGGCCAACAACGCCCAAGAAAGCAGCAGCACCGCTGGCAACAACACCAACGACGGAAGCGCAACTGCTCCCGGCCCTGCAGTCAAAGAAGAAGAGCTCGACAAGACCATCGACGCAGACTTGAACCTGAACCCAGACGCAGGCAGCAGCGCCGCGCACCCTGACGCCATGAATCTCGACGGCGCTCCCAACGATGCCGATGCCGCGGGCAATGGCTCTGGTGCTGGTGCGCCTGGCCAGGAGGGTCTCAACAGTGCGCAGCCGGCGCTGGAGTCGCGGATCCCGACCAAGAAGGACGCGAGTCTGCGCGAGTTCATGGGCAAGATGGACGACTATGCGCCAATCGTAGGTGACCCTTTCCGCGCTGATTTCCCTTCTCCTGGAAGCTTCCCATCGGCGCGGCATATCAGCGGAGAAGCTCCACCACAGAAACGTTCCGCGACTGCGCCGCACCATGCACAATCCACACCAAAGAAGCAAGCACGCGCTAACACGCCCCCCACCAGATCCCCGACGCAGTAACAAACTACTACCTCACGCTGGCGGGGCTGCCACCACCACCAGAAACGCCCCCGCACCTCGCGCGCCTCCTCGCGCTCGCAACGCAAAAGTTCATCGCCGACATCGCCGCCGACGCGTACCAGTACAGCCGGATCCGGTCCAGCAACACGACGTCGAACAACCCGATGGGCGGGCTAGGCGGGGCTGCGGGCTTCGGGCTGCCGGGCGCTGGTGGCGTCGCCCCCGGCGCTCCGGGTGCTGCGGGTGCGGGCGGCGCGGGCAGCTCCAAGGACAGCCAGGGCAAGGGGCTCAATCTTGGTGTTCAGAGGCCGGGGTATGGTGGTGGGGGGCAGGGAGGGAGTCAGGGGCGCACGGTACTTACGATGGAGGATTTGGGCATGGCGGTTGGTGAGTACGGCGTTAATGTTAAGAGGGGCGAGTTTTATCGGTAGGTTGGTGTGTGGGGGGAAGTGAGGTGAGGTGAGAGGGATGCGAGGGTTGGCGGTGTTGGTGGAGTGGGTGGGGCGCGTGGGGGTAATCGGATGGTGATGGATGCAGATTTGATGCTGATGCTGACGCTGACGCTGACGCTGATGCTGATGCTGATGCTGATGCTGATACTGATGTTGGTGCTGCTGATGGTGGCGCGCGCCGCACGCACATGGATGGGACGGGCTGGGCTTGGGTTCGGACGGGGTCTATCCGCGGCTTTCTAGGTATGGTTTCAGATTGCACTCACTCCCGAGGGCGGGCGGCGTTTCTGGCGTTTTTCATAGAGTCCATCGCGGCTATGTAGGTACGCTACAATCACGGGCGGCAGGGCGCGGACGAACGAACGCTTTGCGGCAATATGGCAGAAAAGAATCGAAGACATGTTTTGCAGAGATCGTATATGGACGGGGGAAGGAATGTAGTGTCGTCCTTTTTCAGAGTGGGCTTTTTGTGTTTCTCTCTGAGAATGATGTACTGGTGGTCATGACTGTTCGAGCTTCTACGTGCACATAGGTAGGTGCGCGCAACCTACCTAGATTATTCGCACGAGACGCCGCGCTTCGTTTTTGGCAGAACACACAACGGAGGCAGACTTTCGTATTAACAAACAATTTAAAACTTTTCGCGTCTATTTGTTCTTGGTCATCTTGTACGAGAAGCGCTTGCGGGTTCTATCATCGCAGAGCAAAAAACCGTCAGCACAAACTATCTTCCTCTCCCCGGCAGGACAATCTCATCCGGTTCCACAATCTCTTCTCCCTGTTCACAAGCGGGTTTAAGGGTTGGGAAGAGCACTACTTACGCGGAGAACTCGCCCAGCTTGCGCCCCACCATGTCTTCGGTGATCTGGACCTCGTTGTAGATCTTGCCGTTGTGGATTTGGAACTTTAGGCCCACAAAGTTGGGCAGGATTGTTGCGGAGCGCGCTTGCGTTTTTATGGGGAGTTGGCGCTCGCCGGGCTTGGGGCGCACAATGGGGAGGCTGGGAGCTGGTTAGTGGGTGTGCGGAGGAAATGGTGGTGGTGGTGGTTGTGCGGTTGCGGGAATGGTGCTATGGCTGCGAGAAGCGGGATTTAGGATTCGTGGAGTATGGAAGCCAATTCGGTAAAGCGCGGAGGGGAGAGGAGAGAGGAGCGGTGCACAGCGGTTTGAGAAGCATGCGGCGAGAGGATAGGTGCGTGATGGTGGCTTACGGGACAATGTGAGGGCCTGCGCAAAGCGAGTGTTAGCTGGAAACATTGAAGAGCAAGCAGAGGAATCGCGCGCACCTTTCCAGACCGAGCGCAGCAGCGCCCGCGTTGGCAGCATCGTGAAGAGGTGGGAGCTGGGGCGGGATTTGCGGAGGCGGACGTTGCTCTTCGGAGGTGCCAGCGGGTTGTGAGAAATGCGGGAAGATCCGCGCGCCGGCGCGAGCGGTGGAGCTGGCGGCGGACGTCAATCGCTCTTGTTGCGCGCGCGCCAGGCAGCAGAGCTTGGGGAAACGCGCCGCTTTCTCTCTGTCAGTCGCTGTCGCGCGTTGCCGACACTATTATGGACTGATCCTTCTTCGTGCGATTTCTCTCACTGAGTCTCGTGGAGGCGTGGCCTAGCTACCTACCTTAGCAATTCAATCAACTTCCCTCCAACGACACCCAGTCGTGCCAGTGCCGCCACCATCATGCCCGCAGCAACTTGTTCGTATCTATCTGTACTTCTCACACGTAGAGAAACACTAGCTAACCAATGCCTTCAGCGGCGGACACGATCCGCATCCTTGTGGCGACCGACAGCCACGTCGGGTACAACGAACGCGATGCCATCCGCGGCGATGATAGCTGGCGCAGCTTCCACGAGGTCATGTGTCTGGCCAAGGAGCGCGATGTCGACATGGTACTGTTGGCCGGCGACCTGTTCCACGAGAACAAGCCCAGCCGCAAGAGCATGTACCAGGTTATGCGCAGCCTGCGCATGAACTGCTACGGCGACAAGCCGTGTGAACTCGAGCTGCTGAGTGATGCCAGCGAGAACTTCCAAGGGTATGTGAGGCGCGGTATATAGCTCAAGAGCTTGGGCTGACGGTGGTTGCTGTAGCGCGTTCAACAACGTCAACTACGAGGATCCAGACATCAATGTTGCTATCCCGGTCTTCTCGATTCACGGCAACCATGATGACCCGTCGGGAGTACGTTTGCGCTTGTCTCACGGTTTATGAGATATACAACTGACGCATGCTAGGAAGGCCATCTGGCAGCTTTAGACTTGCTTCAGGTCTCCGGCCTGGTAAACTACTACGGCCGCACTCCAGAGGCCGACAACATTCAAATCAAACCCGTACTCCTTCAGAAAGGCCGCACCAAGCTTGCTCTGTATGGCATGAGCAATGTCCGCGACGAACGTTTGTTCCGTACATTCAGAGACAGCAACGTCAAGTTCTTCCAGCCATCGCAGCAGAAAGATGAATGGTTCAACCTCATGAGCGTTCACCAAAATCACCACGCTTATACGGAAACCGGTTATCTCCCCGAGAACTTCCTACCAAACTTTCTCAACCTCGTGGTTTGGGGACATGAACACGAATGTCTCATCGAGCCTCGGCACAACACTCAGATGGGCTTCAGAGTTATGCAGCCTGGATCCTCCATCGCCACCTCCTTGATGCCCGGTGAAGCAGTGCCAAAGCATGTCGCCATTGTGAGCATCATAGGCAAGGAATTTGAGTCTGAGTCAATAAGGCTGAAGACTGTGCGGCCCTTTGTGATGAAACATATTGAACTTTGCAAGGAACGAGGCTTGAAGGATGTCGCGAAGATGGACAACAACCGTCCCAAAATTACCCGCCACCTGACCGACATCGTGGAGAGTCTGATTGCACAAGCGAAGGAAGAGTGGCTAGAGATCCAGGACCCTCCAGGGGAAGACGACGAGGAGCTAGAAGTGCCGCTACCTTTGATCCGCCTACGAGTCGAGTACTCTGCGCCAGACGGCGGCAAATTCGACTGCGAGAACCCCCAACGCTTCTCCAACCGGTTTGTTGGCAAGGTTGCAAACATCAACGATGTCATCCAGTTCTATCGCAGCAAAAAACCTCCTAAACGGTCCAACAAAAACGATCAGCCAGAAATGCCTGAAGAAGAAATAATAGCACAGCTCTCACTGGACAATAATATCAAGGTCGAAAAGCTCGTCCGCGAGTACCTTACCGCTCAGTCTCTCACCGTTTTCCCTCAGAATTCCTTTGGTGATGCCGTCAGTCAGTTTGTTGATAAAGACGACAAAAGCGCCATGGAAATGTTTGTCAACGACAGCTTGGCAAGTCAGGTTAAGTACCTGTTGTCACTGACCGATAAAGATATCGAGAAAGAGAACCTTGGGGACGAAATGGAAAAGTATCGTGAAAAGCTTGAAGAGTTGTTCGCCGCCGGTCATCTGAAGAACAAGACGACTCGGAAACTCAAGCCTAAGCCAGATAACTGGGATACTGACATGGACGGCGATTGGGCAGACCAGCCTGGTGCCCACATTCATGATGAAGACCAGGCTGGTGAGGACGATGATGACGAATTCGGCTCCGTTCCTCCTAAGCCTGCCGCCACTCGTGGCAGAGGCAGGGGTCGTGGCGGTCGTACAGCGGCATCAGGAACAACACGCGCCACCGCAGCCTCAAAGAAAAAGGCACCAGCCAAGACTACCGGCAGAGGCAAGAAGAAGAAGCCCGTTGAGGAGGAGAAAGAAGAAGAAGAAGAAGAGGATGAGGAGGCTGACGACGATGTCATCATGCTTGATGATGATGATGATGATGATGATGACTCAGATGCCGAAGAACTCTTCGTGCGCAGTAAAGCCAGGACGGCCAAGAAGCCGACTGCGAGCAAGGCGAAATCTCAGCCTGCCAGGAAGACCGGAAAACAGACGACGTTGAATTTCAGCCAGGCTAGTCAGAGTCAGACAGCTACCAAGGGCGCGGGCAAAAAGGCCCAGCAGATAGTGAGTAACACTTATTTCTTTTGCTGGAGCATTTACTAACGCTATCTACCAGAGCGATGACGAAATTTCCGATGACGACGATGATGCCTTTGAGCCTCCGGCCCCAACTACGTGGTCGAGTCGGAGCAGGAGATGATCTGGGACCTACGACGCGATGAACAGTGACGGTGGCTAATGCTTTAAACTAGCATATTAACGGCTGCGAGTGAAGTCTCTGATGGTGGTTGCTTGTTGAAAGCTGCATATCAAATTAGGGAGAGGCGTTTTTAGGCTGCGATGCACAAACGGCGGAAGCTTACTTACTTGCTCTTTGTAACCACAGGTGGCAAAACTCATTAAGGCAGTACGATAGCTAGGTTGGCCTGGTGGTTTCGGGCCTTAAAGAAGCGGTAATACCAATGGTGCGAGGAGAGTCTCACATCCAAAAAATAAAAAAATAAAAAAATAAAGATGGACGTTTGGACTGTGAACAATTTTATGTTCACGTTAACACCAGCTTAACAGGAGGTGGAGTATAGGTATTTACCCACGCATTTTCCGTCGTTCACTTTTTCTCCGGTGTTTTCGGGGTCCTGCTCGTTCTTTCGGTGTCCTGGTGCTTCCTGCCTTTTCGTGCTGGCGATTTCAGGGGCCCGCCGCTCTCTCGCCGCTGCTCAATGTAGCAACACCAGCCCAAACTAGGTTCTCTTGCTCCAAGCGATACCCAGCGTCATATCCACCTACCTTCTCCATCTCCAACCCGCCTCCATTTCTACGTCACTATCCGCAGTAGACAGAAAGTGCGACTTGGGCCAGCAGCATACTACTTCAGCGTGGCCATCCTGCTCTTCTCTCCAACCCCAACTTCCATCACTCCCACTTTGCTACGACTGCACGTACGACTTGCTGTCAGTCTCTCATTACCATATCCGACAAGCTGTTGCGCGTTTGGATACACCCCTGTCTTGCTTCAGCTCCAACCCCCGCCGATCAATTGCTGTCACCGTTGTATACTGTCCTCCCTTCCTCAGTCTGCACTAAGAGGTGCGTACATACGACTGGTATGGCCTTCAGAGCAAGCAATGCTAACATATGAACAGACTCGCCTTGAGGCCCTTCAATTGAGCTGGACCTTTGCTTGGTAGCACTGCCAGCACCCAGAGTCGGATCGCATCGCATCGCCTTTCGAAGTCTGTAACTGCAACTGCATTGTCGAATTTCATTTGTGGAAAGCACACCAGAAGGATGTCTGTAAGATCAAAGGTTGCAGAGCTGCTCGCTCTGCGGGACTCTGTGTCGGAGTCGGCGGTGTCGCTCGACAAGTTCGCAGACGAAGACGCTGTCAGAGGTACGTTTTCCGCAGTCCGTTCTTAGAGTTCCTCCGCCCTTAGCTCCGTAGGCAGTCACCATGTTTTGATGTTATTTCTGGCACCGTCACCCCCCTCACCAACCTTCATTTCCTCTCTTCCCTTTCACACAACCTTCCCACCGCAACAGTCAACCTTAATCTTTCACAACTTTGTTCTCCCTCTCAAACACACATTTCGCAACAATCCGCATCGCAGAAAAAAATGTGGACTACACCTAGCAGCTCTAGCAAGAGCGATGTTCTGGGCCCCAGCCCGAACTTCTCGACGCCGACGCGCAGGGAACGTCGGGGTACCAACGTCTACTCCATGCTAACAGACATTCCAGAGCATGTGCTGCGTCCCTCTGCCTCTGTCAATAACATGGGTCCGTTGCGGACGCGTGGTTCTGCCCAGAGTTTCAACAGCCGCCTTGACAGCGCTCGTTCGCAGACGCAGCTCATTTCACCTTCTGCGCTCGACGGCACCCGCGACATTATCCAAGGCAACGGCATCAAGAAGCCTTCACCTTCACCGTCAATCAAGCGCAGCAAGGCTGAGAGGCTTCTCAAGGAACATGGCTCACCTCCAGGCCTGCGTGTCACTGCTGGTGGTCGCATTGTCCCGACTGACATGGTGGCTCTTGGAAGCCCTCAATATCCCCTCAACAGTGCGAAGCCCACGAACATGTCGAATTCCTCGCTCCGTCAGAGTGCTCTTGAACAGAGCAATGGGCAGCCGTTTGTTGGCACGCCGTTCGCTGATCACTTCACCTACGACGCTCTTGGTCGCCCAATCGGGCTTTCCGGCCAACCTGTCTTCAGTGTCCCACCTACGGCACTGTACTCTCAGATGTTTCCGTACCCTCCTGGCACGATCCATCATGTCGTACTCCCCAACGGTCAAGTTGTCTATCCGCACCCGCCGCAAGGTCAGCCGAAGCAGTACGTACCCATCCCTCCTGTGTCGCCAGTCTCGCCCACGCCTACCGAAGCCAACTCTGCTTCTCTGAACAACCACCTTCGGATCACCAACTTCAAGAAGCAGCTTGAGAGGCTTCACCTTGAACAGCGTGACCTGGAGAGAGACCTTGTCATCCGCGAGAGCCAGATCACTCCGGAGGAGCGTACTCGCCTGATCGGTCGCAAGATGGAAATGATAAACCAGGCCGATGAGATTCGGAAGGAGGTCAAGCAACTGCAAGCCCTTGTGAAGGCTGACTCGAGCGAGTCTATCCAGAGCGAGACCCAGAAGCAGCAGCCTTCTGTCACACAGACGATGCCTATCTACACGCAACCCCTTGGTTTCGCACCTGGTCAGGTTGGACCTCAATCCTTCCCTTACCAGTTCCCTCAACAGTCAGGAGAGTACCCAAGTTTCGCACCACAGGTCAACCAGATCTCCGCCTTCTATCCGGGGATGCAGCCTCTTGGTGGAACGCTTGCTCCTGGTCCTGCTCCTGCTCACCAGGGTAACGGCACCGCCTCAGGTGGAAGCCAGGTTTCGCAGGCCCCTTCTGCTGATCAAAGCAACGAGTCACCAGTCTTGAAGAAGACTCCTGCTATCAGCAGCCGTCGATCGCACGCTCTAGAGATCAAAGATCCACGGAAGGTCGCAGTGGCTGAGAAGGAGAAACCCAGCAACTTCAAGCGTTCCACTCTTGACCCAACTAGTCCTACGTATGAACCCAAGAAGTCGACTACCCCCGAAGTTGACTCTCAGTTTGTTTTCGTGCCGCCTTCACCATCCCCCATTGCCTCTCCGAAGCGCAGTGCCGGCTTCAAAGCACACTTCCCTTGGCTTTGTGACACGAAGTCTTCACAGGATGCTACTGATGTGGGTCAACCCGACAGGACTCCTCAGCACAAGACCAGTGCTTCGAGCATCAACACTGAGGATTTCTTCCCGACGAATCCCCATGAGCATTCAACTACCAGCTTCGTTAACAGAGCTCTGAAGTCTGGTGTTCGTGTCCAAGCTCCGTATATGAAGGCAAGTACCCACGACACACCTGAGAAGAAGCCGTCTTGGGATCTCATTCCGTGGAACCCACAGGTCGTTAGCCCGTCCAACACCGAGGAAGGAGATGATCTACTGAGAGCGCCTCAGGTATCCCCAATCAGTGGCACTGCTACGTGTAGCGAATCCAAAGAAAGCCAAAAAATTGACTACTCCGATAAGTCCAGCTCCTTCCTCGAAGGTCTTTGCGCCGGCCTTACAGGAGGATCCATCAATGCGGACATGGACCCCGACTTCATGCTCGGTTACAGCACCGGCTTACTCAGGAAGCGTGGCGGCTCTTCGAACAACATCACCAAGACCGTGTCTCGCTCCCGCCAGCCCAGTCTCCAGAGCCAGAGGCCTTCTGAGATGGCGACGATCGATGCACCGCTGCAGGTACATGCCCAGACCCAGACCACGAAACGCCAGAGCAGCTTGCAGCATGTCCTGAACCATCTGAAGTCAGTGACTGTTGACTCCACGCCAACGTTTCCTACTGAGTATGGTCTGCGTCCTATCGCACCTCAATTCAATTCGTTCGATTCTAACCTCAGTATTACCTCTGGTATGGGAATCCCACCTATTGATGCTGCGCTGCGGTCTATCACGACCGACAAGGCTCTTCGACCGGTTCACAACGGTGGCTTCGACGCTTTCCAGGCTCAGTACCCAGCACCTATCAGCAAGCCCATGATGCACTTTTCTGGAAACCAGCAAGAGGAGCGCAAGAGTGTGTACCGTGCTGACAAGTCTCCTCCCAAGTTGAGCAAAGCCTCGCCCACCAAGCAAGTCAGCACTCAGACTCAGCAGAAGGCTGCTGAGCCTCAACGTCCTATGCGCAGCTTCACTCTGTCCTGTATGGGCGAGCAGGGCCGCGGCCCCAGTCACTCCTTCGACGGTGCTATGGACGACCTCTCAGAGATGATTGAGCCTATCAGTGCGAGCAGCAAGCCTGAGTCTTCTACTAACCGCTCTTCTCCCTCAAAGTTTACCGAGGCCCATGATGCGTCGGCTGTGTCCACTGGTTCTCCCAAGAAAGTTTCACGCACTTCTCCGACCAAGGCCAAGTTTGAGGAAATGGCGAACAAAGTCATGAAGTCGAAGAAGACCGACAGGGAGGATCCCGCTGCCCCAGCGTCCATGTCTCGTGACGATAAAAAGAAGTGGCGCGAAGAGTGGAAGCGCCGCTTCATTGACATGAAGCAAAGGGACCAGAGCATGGTCGACAAGTACCGCCATGATAACCCTCTTCCCTAGTGAAGCATTCTGAGCGACTTGACTATGTGCTCAAGCACGGGGTACTTTACTATCAGCGCTACAATGCAACGGCTCTCTCGGCTTTGGACGACTGTTCATCGCTTGGAGCATACTACGGCGGTCATTTTATTGATTGCAAACCGTATCCATCGGCCTGCAGTCTGGACCGGTGCTCCCTCTTCGATCTTCATCGTCGACAGGATCCAACTCTTTGGCACCTACAAATACCGGTTCCTTTCATGCACGCCTTCTTGCGTATACTTTCTGTCTGTTTTTGATTACTGCTTTTGTTACCTGAGGTTCCCTCTGTTGCGCAACACATATTCCTCTTGATGGACTTCGGTCCACACAGGAGGACCCTATTTCGTCCCTGCTACCCTTTCGTTTCGATGATTTGTTACCGACTGATTTTAATTCTCCTGAACGCTCACAAGATGAAAACATTAGAAAAACATGGCGGAAGAGACAAAGAGTATCCTTGGGTGGTTAGAGGAAAATGGCAGAAAAAAATGGCGGAGAGTTGAGATGATGGGAGGGATATGGTTCTCTCGGCGGCCCTGGGTTTGATCGGTTCATTGACGGCTGCCCTGAGGCATAGCGTGAGATGGTTTTGTTCACCGGTATTTTGTTTCCATGCTGCTTTTCGTTCTCAGCTTCCCCCATCGCTTACACCCCGCCACCAACACCGAGAAAAGCCCTACATGTCATCACCCCGGCCTTCGGTTTGGCTCGCTCCATGAGCGGACAGGAACCTGACAGGCGTACTTTCCTTCTGTTTCTGCTTCTTTTAATTTTTGCTTTTACTCTCTACAACACGATAACTAAAAAACGATACGATTTGTCCATGACGGGTAGATAGCACAAGCACGCAATAGAACGACCAAAGGAACTACTTGGAGCCGGCGTCAATAGTGCGAGTGAGGCAACGATTGGGTGCAGTGACGGAGACCAGTAAACTAGCAGCGGAAGCGGGAGGGCTGAAACTCGGTTTCAGAAAGGCCTCTGCAGCTCGACCCGCGGTGCGGTCTCTGGCAGCAGCTAGCGCCCGGGGCCTTCCGCGCAGTAACGCCTGATGCTATGATTTCAAAGCTTCGCAGCCGCACGGGCAGATGGGCGTCAGGGAGAGGTTGATTACGGATCGGGCACGTCAGGAGAGAGAGCCGTCACCCGCGGGTTGCGGACGTGAGCGGACGTGAGCAGACGAGGTATTGTAGGCGAATGAGGCGCAGCAGCAACTACTATGGGGGCCCCGGGGGTCCGCAGGGCCGTGTTTGTCGCCTCATGGACCGTGAGCGGGCCTGGTGTGACTGGAGGATGATGGGGAACACGGCGGCGCAGCAGGCGATCACCGAGTCTTGTACGGAGTAGCCAAGCCTCAAGTCCAGGCCGCGCCTTTCGGCAGCTGTTTCGCCCGCCAAGCCGGCGCGCACCTTATCCCCACCTTGGCCGAAGTAGCATTCCACACCCATATCTTCGACTTGACGAGCCACGACTCCCCATCCTCACTACTTTGCCTCACTCACTCGAGCCTGTACTCGCAGCGCCATCCCTGCTCCGCGTCGAGCAAAGACATGGCCCACTGAGCTGGCATCTATCCGGGCCGGCCCATTCTAAAGTCCTCCACCTACCAAGGCGTGCATTGAACATAGCCAACCACACCAGACCGCTCACTCTTGTACTCACCGCACCCAGCTCCGGTGGTCAATCCGGGCCCGCTCTCTCCCCATGACGCAGCTCTTCAACTCGTCGTCGGGCCACTCGACGCACTCGCACACCCCGTCGGCTGAAAAGCGCGCCTTTACCGGCGCGCCCATCTCTACCAACAAGCAGGTCAACGGCTCCAACAGCCAGGTCTCGCAGAAGATCAAAAACTTCTTCCGCATCAACACAGGCAGCAGCAAGGACAGCATCGACACCAAGCACAGCGGCGATGGCGCCTCGTCGCACTCCAAGTCGGACAACAAGTCCAGCTTCCGCCAGTCGCGCTTCTTGCCACACATCGGCCGCAATCGCTCAGCCACGGTAGCCAGCGAGGGCAACCCGCTTGACGAGGGCATGTCCCCGACCGCGCACGCGAATCCCTATTTCATCCATCAGGGCCCCCCCGCCCTGCGCCACCACAACGAAGGCAGCGTGCCCCCTTCTCCGCCAGACACTCCCCCGATTGCCATCACCAAGGCCGAGGACGTAGAAGTATCTGGCGACCAAGCGACAACGGCTGGCAAGGAAGAACTGGCGCGAAAGCTGCGTCGTGTGGCGTCGGCGCCGAATGCGCAGGGGCTCTTCTCCAAGAGTGGCTCGGGCGATCGCCCTCAAACGGCGGAGATGGGCAAGCAGCCACTCGTACAACATGGAAACAGCTCCGCGCTAAGCATGGTCGAGACGGCTGTCGACGACGACCACCTCGCGATTCCCTCGGGAGAGGGTACCATTCCCTCTCCCGGCCAGATTCGCAACAGCCTAGCATTCAGGAGAACGTATAGCTCGAATTCGATCAAGGTGCGCACCGTCGAAGTCGGCCCGGGCAGTTTCGACAAGATCAAGTTGATCGGAAAGGGAGATGTGGGCAAGGTGTACTTGGTGCGCGAGAAGAAGTCTAGCAGACTGTACGCCATGAAGGGTATGTGACATGCTCGGTTTGCGACCCGGTTGCGCCTACTGACCCTTTGCAGTGCTCAGCAAGAAGGAGATGATCAAGAGGAATAAGATCAAGCGCGCGCTGGCCGAGCAAGAGATCTTGGCCACCAGCAACCACCCGTTCATCGTTACCCTGTACCACTCATTCCAGTCCGAAGATCACCTGTACCTCTGCATGGAATACTGCAGCGGCGGAGAGTTCTTCAGGGCACTGCAGACGCGCCCTAACAAGTGCGTCGACGAGGATGCGGCGAGATTCTATGCTGCCGAAGTCACGGCTGCACTGGAATACTTGCATCTTATGGGCTTCATCTACCGCGACCTGAAGCCTGAGAGTGAGTACACTTTCACGCGCGCCTCTCCCTGAGCAAGAAACTAACTGTATTAGACATTCTTCTTCACCAGTCCGGACACATTATGTTGTCAGACTTTGACCTGTCCAAGCAGTCCGACCTCGGCGGAAGGCCCACCATGATCCTTGGCAGCAAGGGCAACTCGGTCAACTCCCTCCCCACCATCGACACCAAGTCCTGTATCGCAAACTTCCGCACGAACTCGTTTGTTGGTACCGAAGAGTACATTGCTCCGGAAGTCATCAAGGGCTGCGGCCACACCAGTGCCGTCGACTGGTGGACGCTGGGCATTTTGGTGTACGAGATGCTGTACGGCACCACGCCTTTCAAGGGCAAGAACCGCAACGCCACGTTTGCGAACATCCTGAGGGATGAGGTGCCATTCCCCGAAAGCTCCAACGCGCCGCAGATTTCCAAGTAAGTCAATGACCGGTCTTTGTATGTACTACGTGAATCGCATGAAAGCTAACAGCACGTCAGTCTCTGCAAGTCCCTCATCCGCAAGCTCCTCATCAAGGACGAACTGAAGCGTCTTGGTTCCCGCGCGGGTGCTTCTGATGTCAAGGCGCATCCATTCTTCCGCACGACGCAGTGGGCGCTGCTGCGCCACATGAAGCCGCCAATGATTCCGAACCAAGGCACCGGCATCGACACGATCAACTTCCGCAATGTCAAGGAGAGCCAGAGCGTCGACATTGGCGCCTCGAAGGTCAAGGGCGTTCCGCTGGACTCTGGTCTTCAAACTCCAGGAACCGAGCCGGTCAACGATCCGTTTGAGGAGTTCAACAGTGTCACGTTGCATCACGAGGGCGACGAGATGAGCGGAGGATACGGGCAGAATGCCGAGGGAAGGTAGCGAAGGATGAGCAATGAGCGCCGAGGTTGAAAAAAGTTTGCTCGGTGGCTGGCTTTTAGCCGACCCACGAGCGTCGGGGCCGGGAGTCTCTTTGACATCCGTCTCCAAAGCGACGAAAAACCATGGGAATTGGTGGCTGCTGTCTTTCCCCTTTTCTTCTCACTTGGGCGCTCTCCACAAATCATATCGATACGGACGCGACGGGCTGTGCATTGACAGCCCGTCCGTCAGGCATGAGCGTACAGTCGAGTGCGGGCGGGGTATCTGTTTTTGCACATCTGCTTCGACTTCGCTTTCCCTCACGCTCTTTTCTGCTGTTTGTTTGGTCTGCTTGGGAGGGGGGACTGCATGCATACACCAGCTCGCTGCTCGGACAACAATAACTACTACGACTACGACCACTACTACTACTACTTACTACTATCATCGAAGCCGGTAGCACACGCTCGGCCCAGGGCTGCACGCCTGTTTCTGTGCCTCCCCTGGACGGGCAAGCACGGCGAGGTGCGGGCGAATCGCAGCTGCGACGATCGGTCACTTTGGGCTCTGGCGTTTGAAGGGGTTTCTACCTGTGGTTTGGTTTTTCTTTTCCCTCTTTCGTTTCCGCGTTCTTCACTTCTCTGTCTCTAACCTTTAGCTGTCTCTGACCTTGCTTTTTTCTTGCTGTTGCTGGCCGAAATCCTGATTTTGCGTTGTTGTTTTCCTGTTTTCTTGTCTTCTTCTCGGGCCCGCTTACGCTGCGTCTCTGCGCGTGTGTGCGTGCGTGGCTGGGGCGGGGGGAGGAGGTACCTGTTGCTGTTGTTTGTGGGGGTGAGCGAGCGCTTCGTCGTGGGGTGCGGTGGGGTGTGGTGGTGTGTGGGGATGCAGAGGGGAGGGAAGGGGATGGACGAGTCCAGACGAGCGAGGGCGGCTGTTCGGCTCGTTGGGGCTGGGGCGGCAACGGGGACATGGACCTAGGTGTGTGCATGGATGCAGCCCAGTGGATGTCGTTGCGCGGGCCGAAGCGGGGCGGGACTGGACTGGACGGGAGCGCAGGTGTGTAGGAAGTAGGCGTGTGTGTGTGACGACGACGTACCTAGAAGTACCGTACCTACCTAGTCCTTTTTCTTTATTGGGGACCGTGTCTCTTCTGTCTCTCTGTCCTGGAGGCGCGGGGGAAATGATGAGCGTTCGCTTGGTGTTTGTTTAGCTGCTGTGGTTTTGTCTGTGATTCGTGTAGGCATGTTGAGGTGGGTAGTCGTGTTGTACAAAAGGTCACTTGCCTATACATAAAATGCCTCGCCGGGTAACTGTACAGTAGAGAGTCGCCAGAACGCTCGCACCATGAGTGCGCGCCAAGACGCGCCAAGACCGCACCGCACCACCCCGGCGCTGATCGACAACGGCGGCGGCGGACGACGACAACGAAAACAAAAACATTGGAACAGTGCTTGGCCTCCTCTATTCCTTCTAAGCTTCCACCTTCCTCACCCTACCTCCCCACCCGTCAAACCTCCTCCATTGGACATCTACCCCACCACATCACACAAATCGCAAAGCAAACCTCACAACAACAACAAACAAACAACAACAAACAAACAACAACAACGCCGCCGCAACAGCAATGGCAGACTTCACGCCCAACGCGAGCGCAGGCGCAAGCACGTCTCCCCCGGCGTCTCCGGGCCCGGAAACCCTGTCTCCGCTTGAGCAGGAGGTGCTGGACGAGTATGCGCGGTTGGCTGGGAATCTGAATGATGTATGTTTGTGTGCTTTTGTCTCCTTTCTTCACGTTCCTGCTCCTTGCCTTCCGCTTTACACCCTCGCTTCTCACCCATTCCGCATGCTCACATCTGCTCGCACAGCTTTCCGCCCTCCTGTCAACGCTCTCCCAAAACCCCAGCGCAGGCATCCTCGACGCGCTGCGCGGCCTCGAACGCAAGACGAGTCTGGTCTTCACGCTGCTGAAAGCCAGCGTCTACAGCATCGTGCTGCAGCAGCAGATCTATGGCGAGGATGAGGGTGGTGAAGGTGAAGGACTTGAGGGGGGGATGGGGGAGGGTGAGAGCATGGACGTGGACGTGGACGTGGAGTAAGAGTGTGTGTGTGCGGTGCGGGGTTATGAGAGAGAGCGAGAGAGACGCGCACCCTACCACTCCCACCGCCAGCATTACAACCACCCCGGATGGACGGACTACCCCACCTATCGAGCTATCGCGATATCGAACACCGAATACCGACACACCACGGACGAGCAACACGCAACACGCAACAAGCAATAAGCAAGCCAGAGCCGCGCAGCCACAGCCACAGCCACATCCCCACCTAAGCACGCACGCGGCACGCCTATGCGCGCACAGTGGAGGGCAGCTAGCTAGCTAGCTAGGAGACGAGATGCGTACACGTGGGAGCGCGGAGGTGCGTGCGTGCGGAAGGGACAAGAAAGGACAGGACAGGACAGAGGACGAAGAGAAGAGCTCTCGAGGTGTGCGGAAGGCGGAGACGCGTTTTCGGGTTTACAACTGCGAGCTTGTCTAGCTGGGTAGGTACTTAGCTATACGTACGTGCGGCACGGTACTTCGTACGGTATACGCGGCTTTGTGCTGTCTTGCTGTCCTGCTTTGGGGGTTTGATGTCTTGATATAACGGGATTTGATATGGTATGAAATGATATGCTCGAATTGACGTTGCTTTTTCGCGTTGATTCTCTGCTCCGCTGCTTTGCTCCGCTATGCTGCGCTGCGCTGCGCTATTTTCACGCCGTATGTAACTACGAATACAATACACCCCTCCCCTCCCATCCCATCCCAGCCCATCCCATCCATTCACATCGTCGTCAGCCTCACAAATAACGTACACCTCCTCGCTCCCCCACAAAGAAAAAACCCCCCATAAAACCCCCCTCCCTCCCCAAATAACTAATTCACCTTCCCCCCATAATAGACCTTGCGGACATCAACGAGCTTGCGGCCGCGTGCGCGCGCGATGTCTTCAGGCAAGCGCTGGTTCAACAGAGCCTGCCAGGCGGCTTTGACCGTGTTCATCTTGTTGCGGCTGCGCAGCACCTTTGCGGATAGGTCGTGGATGCCGGCTGCGCGCGCCATTTCGTGGATGAGGGATTGGCAGCGGAGCCCGAATCCTGTTTGGGGGGAGGGGGGCGTTAGTGGCTGTTTGCTTTGTTGTTGTTTGGTTTGAGGGGGGGTAAAGATAGTTTAGGGATTGTTGGGGATTGTACGTACCAGGTTGGCGAGCACTCAGACGCAGCTCAACGGCACCGCACTTGCCCTCGACCTCGCCGTAGATGGTGCGGTTCTCGTAGCGCGTGACGGGGCGCATGTTGCGGATGGCGCTGAAGATGCTCTGCTGGCGGCCCTCGGTGGACTCGGTGCTCTTGCCCTCGCCGACGCCGAGCATGCCGTTGCCGTCGCCGGCAATGCAGAGGTAGTAGTAGGATTGGACCTTGCCGAGGCGGGTCTGGTTGACGACGCGGTGGTCGTGCAGGACCTTGACGCGCAGGCTGCGCAGCTGGAAGCCCGACAGCCCCGTCTGCTGCATCAGGCGCTTGCGCTGGGGGTCGTCGCCGTCGGAGCCGCCGCGCGGCGCCACGACGCCGTCGATCTTGGGCATTTCGGGCGCCAGCACCGTCAGCGCCTCGTCGCTGAGGGCGCGGTAGCCGGCCTCGCTGTCGGCGTGCATGAAGGTGCGCGGGTCGTCGAGGAAGCGCAGGAAGCGCACGCGCGCCGCCTCCTCGTCCTCGGCGCTGTTGGGCGCTTCGCCCCCCGACGCCGCCTCCAGCCGCTCTCCCTCGTCGACGTAGTACATGGCCAGCGCCTGCGCCATCTCGTCGTCCGTCTTGGGCCGCACGTCGTAGCTGGCGTAGGGGTCCAGCGGCGCGCTCGCCTTCTTGTCCAGCACGGGCTGCAGGCGGCGCAGCTCGTCGGCCGTGTATTTGAGCGCCATGGGGTCGCCGTCGCGCGAGCGGCTCTGCGTCAGCAGGTCGCGCGCGTCGATGGCCGCTTCGGCCGCCTCAATCGCCGCGTACTGCCCCGCCGTGTACTTGGCCTTGAGCAGGTCCTTCTCCTCGCTCGTGTACTTGGGGTACCGCTGCACGGCCAGCTTCTGCAGCTGCTCCATGTCGGCGGCTTTGATCGAGGGGTAGTGCGGGCGCCGCTTCTTGCTGTGGGCGGGCGAGGCGTGGAAGGCGCGGGCTTGGACGGCCGTGGTGCTACTGGCGGCGGGCAGGGTGGTGGATGCCCGGGCGAAGAGGCATCGTGCGGGGCGGCAGACGCTCATGGCGGGCGTCAATGGGTGGATGGCGATGGGGGACCTTCTGACCTCTGAACCTCTGAACCTCTGTGAGCATCTGCCGTCGTCGGTCACTTTTGTCCTGTGGCTGGTGAGAGATTTTCCTCCAGCCACAGCCACAGCGACTCGCCGCGCCGACCAACACCATTGCGCCTTTTGTCGCTGACAATAATTTTTCTTGTCTTCCCCGTCAATTTACCTCCATGATCAGCGCTGCAGCTCGGAGAATTGCTGCTGCTGCTACTACCAGTACTACTACTCACTCCCGCACCTACGCCATGGCTTCGTCGGCCCCCAAGCGCGCCTACGAGGACGGCCGCAGCTATCGCTTCAAGAAGCAGCAGAAGAAAGAGCAGGTTGCGGGCAAGCCCGACGGGACCCACGAGGAAGTCCTGCTCAAGGACATTACCGCGCTGCTGCAGAAGCACAGCCTGAACGAGCAGAGCGAAGTAGAAGAAAAATTGCCCGAGCCCTTCTCCGAGATCGACGTCACTGTCGACGAGATCTCGTCCACGGGCGACGGCCTCGCCCGCCTGCCCGGCTCCCGCCAGATCTACGTCGTGCCCTTCACCGCGCCCGGCGACAAGGTCAAGGCCAAAGTCATCCGCCACTTCCCCAAGAACGGCTACACGACGGCCGACTTTGTGTCGGTGGTGGAGCCATCGCCGCAGCGCGACGACTCGCTGATCCGGTGCCCGTACTTTGCCAGCTGCTCGGGATGCCAATTCCAGATGCTGCCGTACGCGGCACAGCTCGCGCACAAAAAGACCATCGTCGAGAAAGCGTACAAGAACTTTTCCGACCTCCCGCCCGAGCTCGTGCCCGCCGTGGGCGAGACGATCGGCTCGCCGCTGCAGTACGGCTACCGCACCAAGCTGACCCCCCACTTTGACGGCCCGCCCGGCATGAAGCGCAGCGACGGGCGCAACGGCATCAAGCGGCATTTCGAGGCGGTGCCGCCCATCGGCTTCATGAAGAAGGGCACGCGCCACACCATGGACATCGAGGACTGCCCCATCGGCACCGACGCCGTGCGCATGGGCATGAAGCGCGAGCGCGCGCGCGTCGCTGCCGAGCTGGGCAGGTACACCAAGGGCGCGACGCTGCTGCTGCGCGAGAGCACCAAGCGCCTGCCCAAGGACCCGGCGCCCGCGCCCCGCGACGACGCCATCCTCGAGGACCGCGGAACCCACTTCCATGAGAAAACTTGCGTCACCGATCCTAATGGCACTACCACCGAGTTCATCGACGACTACCAGTTCTCGAATCCCGCGGGCGCCTTCTTCCAGAACAACAACAGCATCCTCTCGCCCTTTACGCAGTACGTGCGCTCGCACATCCTGCCGCCTTCGCCCACCACCACCACCACCGCAACGCCCACCGCCCCCTCTCAAAACACGACCCCAATCCAACACCTCATAGACGCGTACTCCGGCTCCGGCCTCTTCACCATAACGCTCTCGCCCCTCTTCCCCTCCTCCCTCGGCATCGACATCAGCGCCACCTCCATAGCCTCCGCGTCCCAAAACGCCGCCCTAAACGCCCTTTCACCCACACACGCCTCGTTCCTAGCCGCCGACGCAGCCCACCTCTTCGCATCCATCACCTCCCCCGCCGCCGAAACAGCCGTCGTCATCGACCCCCCCCGTAAAGGGTGCGACGACTCGTTCCTGCGGCAGCTGCTGCGCTACAGCCCCGCGCGCGTGCTGTACGTCAGCTGCAACGTGCATACGCAGGCGCGGGACGTGGGCGTGCTAGTCAGTGGGATGAAGGGCGTGGACGCGGGCTTTGGCGTCGGCGAGGGCGCGTACGAGATTGAGAGCGTGCGCGGGTTTGACTTTTTTCCGCAGACGGGGCATGTCGAGGGCGTGGCGGTTTTGCGGCGGAGGGAGGAGGGCGCGGTGAAGGGGGTGGAGGTGGAGGTGGAGGTGGAGAAGGAGGCGGACGCGGCTGCACAGCTGGTGCCTGAGGTGCAGAAGGAGGCGTAGTGTGCTATACTGTCTGTGTACTGTATACGTGTTTTATGTCTTGTACCATTTCCATCCCCTCCCGTTTCCGTAAAAGTCTCCTGCTGTACCCACCCACCTACCTACCTACCTACCTACCTATCCACCACCATAGACCAAGACCAAGAAGCAAGAACCAAGAAGCAAGAACCAAGAGCCAAGAGCCAAGAGCCAAGAAGCAAGATACGTAGACAATTCCATAGATACGTTAGATATAACTAAACATAAGCAAGTATAACCAAGTATACAATAAGCACAAGCACAAGTATGTTCAACACACTTACCCGTGTTTTAATAATATAACACATAAACAAACCCAAACACAACAACCTCCCAATCAATCCATCTCACGCACAAGCCACAAGCCGCAAGCAAAAACGACAAAATCTCTACCTGGTTTCTTTCATTCCTATCCTCGTTCTCATCTCCATCTAGTATCTACTATCTACCTACCTACCCAATCAACGCCAACGCCAATGCCTGATTTCTCTAGTACCGCGCCGACCCTACCCTACCACTAGCACCGCGCTATCGCGCCGTTTTGCTCCAAGAATGAACAAGGGAAAAGGAAAGGAAGGATATGCTTTTACACCAGCACCAGCACCAGCACCAGCACGCCACCAGTCGAACACACCACACCGCACAACACCACAACACCGCACCTTACACCATTCAGCCATTCAACCATTCGGCCATTCATCCAGTCATCCAGTCAGCCAGCCACCAGACCAGACCAGACCAGACCGTCATTTGACACCTACCTGCCTGCCTGCCTTGCCATGTAACAACCACCATCACAACAACAATAGAAAAAAGCCCAACCCCCAACCCCGACAACGCAAACCCGCAAATCCCACAGCTCCCTGCTCCCACTCCCGAACCCCAGCACCAGCACCAGCACCAGCACCAGACCTGCTTGCTTGCTTGCTCCCTCCCTCACCGGCCCCAGTTCAACGAATCGAAACCAGCAGCGGCAACGTCGACGTCAACGACGCTAGACGTCAGATGCACAGCAAGGAAAAGCAAGGCAGAGAAGCAGCCCAGAAAAAGCAAAGTAAAGAAGCAGCCCAAAAAAAGCAAAAAGGAAATTAAAAAAAAGAAAACATGAAAAAGAAAACAAAAGCAAAGCAAAACGAGGAAAAAATCATTGCTTTTTCCGCCCCTCACTGCCTCCCCCCCCCCACGCACACACATACACACTAAGGCGCCAACCCCCCATGCACCAATATTTTACTAACAAGGCACGCCTCCCACTCGTCCGGCCGCTCGCCCCTGAAGCCGCTCTGCCGCCGCTCCGACAACCACCCTGGCGTAATCCGCACCTCGGCGAACCACTCCTTGGCCAGCGCGTCCGACGCCGGGTTGATCGTCGCGTTCGTCGTGCTGTTGTTCGTCTGGTTGTCAATCGGCACTATCACGTTCGTTATGGGCTCCGTCGTCGTCTTCGGCGGCACCCCCCGCATCTTCAGCAGCATGTGCAAGATGTCGCTGAAACGCTCCCCCTGCTGGCTGTAGTACGGTGGCTGCTTGTCCAGCGGCCAGCGCGACGGGTTCGGCCGCGGATGTCCGGCGTGATGGACATCTGGCGCTGATCCGGGAGCAGTGCCGTCGGTGGGCGCCTGCGTCGCGTCTGCGGCTGAAGTGGAGGTTGCGTCATGGGCTTGCGCGGCAGTGCCGTTGCCATGTCCCGAGGCGTGGTTATCCGAGTTCTGGTTGAGGCTGTTTATGCTGGCCTCGAGCTCTGCCTTGAAATCGCGCTCAGGCGGTGGAACGCTGTACGGACGCGGTTGCACGGGCTGTGCGGGGCTCTCCCACGTCTTGAAGAGCCAGCACATGCGTTCCACGCACGCCAGTAATATCATTGAAACCAAAAAGGTCTCAAAGGGGTTTGCCTGCTGCCGCTGCAGCAAGCGGCGCTCAAGGTCGTTCATGACGAACTTGCTCAGGCTCGCAGCACGCTTCTCCGTCGCGCCGAGTATCTGTTGCGTGATGAGATTGTAGGAATCGGGGTGAGTTCCAACGTCTATCGCAAAACGGGAAGCCGACACGGCAGAGTCCAAATCTTGTTGATTGAGAATGACCGGATCCTTGTAAGGTGGCATGGCATGGTTGAAGAACAGCTGTAGGCTGAGATTCGGGTCGACGAGGATGCGGGTCGCTATCCACAGCTCGAGAACCTTGGAAAGCAGACCCTCCTTGTTGTTCTCACTGAGCCGCTGAGCCATCAGCAGAGTTGGCTTCATGAAAGGCGATGTCTCATTCTCGAAAAAGGTAGAGGCTATGCGCTTCATGTATAGTTCAAGCTTGCCGCCAATGTCATCGATATCAGAGTCGATAATCTCAACGTCTTGAATACTCTCGACGTGCATCGTGGCATCAATGATGGCCGGGTCTATCGGAGCGTGGACTCCTCTGAACCCCTTCAGCGTGGTAAAAGTGGCATATATAGAAGCCTCTTGGTGATGTGTGGCCTCGATCCGTCCAGGAATGTGCTCGAAACGCACATTCGCCTTGGCCGAGCTGACACTATGGAAAGCCAACACGGAATGCAAGCCTGCCGAATACAGATTAAACTCCTCTGCGATGCGGGTACGAATACACGGTTGCTTCCAGAGACGCGCGCTCTCTACGTTGAGACAAGTGCTGCAGGGGCTTTCCCCAGAACACTATGCTTTGTGAGCTCTGCCCTTTCTGCCAACGTTTATTCAAACTTACCGGTTTCTTCAACATGCGACATCTAATGCACGCACCGCGCTTCCTGACCTCCTGTACCTCTTTGCGTCTGCTGTCGGTGAATCTGCCCCTGACCTTGGGCTTGGACGGCTTTTGGTTTATGCTGAAATCCGTTGTAAAATGTGCCTGATGTCCGTTCGGATTCATCGCAATAGGCCTGGGGTATGAGGCTGCCGCATTGTTGCCATGGCCGGCTGTGCCATTTTGTCCGTTTTGCCCCTCGACAGACTGCTCTCCATTGGAATTCTGCAGCATAGGGTCTATGGCCTGCGACCAGTTGGGACGCCCTTGCTGGTGGAAAAACTTGTCCGATATACCCGCATTCGACGTATTAACATCTGGCTGCTCCATTGTGTAGTTGGCGTTCGGCATCGCCGCGCGAAGTTCTTCTGCAGCAGAGGCAGCCATAACCAAGGACGACGGGTGAGGGGCCATTTGCGCCGTGGATGAAGGGCTGTGCTGCGCCATAGAAATGGCGGGATGCTGCTGTTGTTGTTGTGGAGAACCATGGGTCGTGGGGAGGTGCTCGAACTGGTAGATGGACTGTGGTGCCTGGCCGGTGTTAGAGGTGTCGGGCGCGCCGGCGGCTGCGGCTCTGTCAGTCACGATCAGGTCTGCGACTTCGGCAAACTCACAGGCGGCATCGTGAAGATTGCCGTTGTCGTCGAAGCCGGGCTTCTCGTCCTGGACGAGGAAGTCCTCAAACACCTGGCCGCCGTTCTGCAGCGCCTCGTTCCTGATGGAGCCCCTTCTCTCCTGGTGGTCGGCGGCGGCGGGTGTTGGAATGCGCTTGCCGGACAGGTCGAGGTGCTGTCGCGAGACCTCGGCCAGCGTCTCGAGGGCACTCATGCCCTCCTTGGGGGCAGCGAAGGGCAGCGTCATCGGCTGGCCGTTCTGCGCGCCATTCTGAGCGCTGGGGACAGCAGGGTTGGAGGGCAGATCGGGCAGGTCGTGGAATTGCAGAATGGCGCGCTGGCGATCGCGCTCCGTCAGGGCGGGACATTTCTTGACGAGGTGCGCCGTCAACGTGTCGATGCGGCCCTTGGGAAACTGCGGTGTGGCCGGGTCAGTATAGGGCTTTCGGGGAGGCGCGTGCGTGGGGCAGTGAGCGGTGTGCATGCGCGACTGCCTACAGACCTTCTCGCCGCAGGAGCGACATGTGTGCTGGTAGCGGTTGCTGGCGTCCTCGAGTTTGGGGCCTCGTTCGAAGAACTCGAGGATGAGCTGGTTCGGCTTGCGGCCCATCGTTACTGACGGCAGAATGGGAGGGTTGGATGTGGTTTGACTGACGTCGAATAGCGGTCGAGAAGGCGGAGAGCTGCAGCGCTGCGAGGCCGTCGCCGGCTTAACTCCGGCCCGAGCTGCCCTCTGTGCTGTTGCGGTGCCGCTGCCTCGGCCATCCTGAGGCATCCATTAGGTAGTTTGTTTGTTAGGTACAAGTCACCAGGTCTAGCTACTATTGAGTACATTTGTCCCCCCTACTCCGTCGCCATGTGCGCCGCCGGCCCGGCCCGCCGCGCCATCGCCCGCTTCCTCCACGCCAGCGACACCACCGCCGGATCCACCGCCTTGGTGCCCTCCTCGAACCGCTCGTTGCCCAGCGTGATGATCTTCAGCGTGTTGCCAAACCCGACCGCCACGCTGCGTTTGCCCACCCGCACCATCGGCCCCGGCTTGGCCACAAACAGCTGCTCCTCGTCCTCCGTCGCCGCGTCCCCCGGGAACAGCGGCGTCGTGTGAAGGTCGCCCGTTGCCGAGAGTGTCCACGCTTCCCATTCCTCCGTCTCCGAGCTGTGCGTTCGCGACATGTTGGGCCTCGCCGAGCTGCCCCCCGAAGCATTTCCGAGCTGGCCCAGCCGGGAAACGCTGTCGCGCCGTCGGTGCTTCATGCCCCCGTTCGCGTAGTTGGCGAAGTAGCTGGCATCCGAAGACGTCGAGACGACCGAAGCGGGCGGCGTTGCTGGCCGCTTGCGCACTCCAATTATCGAAGGCACCTTTGTCGACTCCCAATTACCTGGGTCGTTCACCCAGTGCAGTGCTTCCGTGGCGCGCTCGAACCCAGTGCAGCTAACCTGTCCTTCCTCCAGAAGGCTCACCGGACGGAGGCATATTTGCCCATTTGCAGAATCTGGATTCGGCGAGTAAGTCTGCATCATGCAGTTTTGCGTTTCCGAGTCGGTGTATGTAATCGAGAAGGTCTGTACAGCGGGTGAATGGCACCCGCATATCTTTCGTTGCGCATACAGGATGCGGAGAGATTGTCCCTTTATCTGTCCGGTCTGGAAAGTGTAGATGACCGTCCGCGTAGGTAAGTCTACGAGATCAACCTCGCAAGTCCTCACCGCTGCTATCATACATAGCGAAGGTATGGGGTAGGTGTACCTTACTTTTGAGACAGTTCCATTCGGAATCTTCCTGTCTTCATTCATATCGAGAGCTTCGGAAACCCATTCGCCGGATAGCGGATAAGTCATAGTGATCGCGCCGGTCTTGGAAACGCTAATGACTCTGGTCCGTCCTTTAACGCAGCACGTAAGATGCGCATTGGACAGCTGACCTTCGGAGACCTGGTGTGTCCAAAGCTGGCCGGACCGGAAATCCAAGTTGTTCAAGCGTCCGTCTGGCGTGACCACCACTAAGCTCAACCTCTCAACATCGTCCATTTGGTGAAGAGAAAAGGCGAATATTATCGGCATCTGGCCGCGAAGACTCAAAACTTTGGACATGACGAAACGACGTTCTGTCAAACTCCACAACGCTACTCGACCGGCATCTGTGCAAAGAGCAAGCCATTGTCCACTATCGTCGATAGAAGAGGCAATGATGGGCCATACCGGAGGCGAGAGAGTGCCCGGTTGTAGGACGACATGGGAGTAGATGTGGGTACGCTGGTCGAGACACCAAATGGAGATCAAGCGATCCAAACTTATTGCCACTAGGTGTCCTTGGCCGCAGGACCAGAGTTTGACCACATCGAGCTCATGAGACCTTGGAAGGGTTTTGACAGACAGGGGTAGTTCAGCCTCAGTCCCAGAGTCAGAGTCCTCGTCCGGTATTTCGTTCCAGAGGAGGTAGTTCATCAGCAAAGTAACAGTGGCTATGACGAAAACCACCACGACGGCGAACGGGAAGAAGTGCCTCTCGGCGAGGCTACGGAGGGCGAAGAAGATCGACTGAGTTTGGCTGAATCCTCGGCGGTCAGAGTCTTTCATTACCACAGCCAAAGGCTCAAAGATGTTAGCAATGATGCTGTGGGCACCTGGCTTGGAATAGTTGAGGAGTTCCTTGGCCGTTTTATGGTCTTGCATCTTCAGCCATGCTTCGGGCGTGCGGGCTTGGTTGATGGGCGGTGGAGTTACTACGTCGGCGAGCTTCCGCCGCTTGCCGCTCTTCCGCAGCCATTGCAGATAGTAAACGAGCGAAAAGGCCTTAGAATCGTGGTCGAAAAAATGCCAGTTGAGGGCCAAGATGAAGAAAACCAAGGCGATGGTCCCTGCAGTTCTCGTGCTGAAGGGCCAGCTCTCCCGTACAAGGGCTTCAGTCCAAGTTCGGCGCTCGTGCTTCGCAATGTGTAGCTTGCGCTGGGTTGCGAGATTAATTCGGTCGAGTGAGTCTTGGAGCTCCATTCTCCGCACGTCGACGCTTAGGACAGCGACGAAGAAGGTAAGGTGGAACAAAAAGTCAAACACGAGCGCCACTGCCGCGAAAGCGCATGCAGGTGCCACACCGGGAGATACTATTTTGGAAAGTAGCCATAGGATAAGCAGGTTTTGCGTTGCGGCAGCAAGAGAAAGATGGCCGACGTCACCAAGCGCGTTTGCAACGCGCGAGACCGTCGGCATATGCGCGGGACTCTCAAGAACGGCATTGATCAAACGAAACCTAGCGCGGCCGGTCAGTGTTGCGACTTTGCGACTACAAACTCTTGGCGAGATGTAACTTACATGTTTTCCAAACCAATGACTAGTACCACAAACGGGTAAGCCTCCCCGGGGACGCTAGTCAAATTGATTTTCAGCAAACCACAAACAGTGAAGCTGGCGCAAATAGAAATAAACATCTGCCCTTGTCAACAAAAGACCGTTGCGGACAAGTCCATAGAACCCACCTGAGCTATAACAGTGCAAAACAATCCAAATACACTCTTGACAGCCTTGAGTTTCCGCAGGCTAAACAGAACGTAAAAAAGCATGAGAGAATAGGCCAAGATTAAGGTGGACGCATCATTGATGCTCAGCGGTTGATAGCGGAATTCGTACAGCTGATGCCTATACGTGGAGCCCGTTGGCGGATAGAATGACCACGGATCAGGTGATTCCGATGTGAGCATCCGGGAGCGTCTGTCGAACTCATCCGTGACAGCGCCACCCGTGCGGTCCATAAGAGTAATCACCAGAGCGTCGGCGGCCAATAAACGAGTGCCGTTGAAAGATTTCCCAGCAAAGAGCGACGTGGGCTGAAGGGTAAAGTTCATGTAGGACAGGCGGCCCTCCTGCGAATTGATCGTGTGGAGAATGTCCGTGTCGGCCTCGAGAGCGGCCATTGAGCAGTTCCAGTACATGAGCGGCGAGTGGTAGCCCCAGAGCGCATTGCCTCCAGCCTCCGGAGCGCAGGCACCGTCGAGCGCGCCATCCCGCGCATCGCCGGCGCGCCCGCCAGGCAAGCCAAAGCCGCGGCCTATGAGCTTGTCCTGGATGCTCAATGCCTCGCGCAAGACACGCGAATCCAGCGCCTTCATGTAGCTCCCGTGGACCCACAGCTGCCTCATCCCAACATCAGGCGTGACGTCGGGCGGGCCGTCGTACGCGCGCACAGAGGTCCAGACATGGTGTGGGCGGTGGTGTTGGCCGCCGGGGGCGGGGCTCTCGTAGAGGAAGACGACGGGGTAGCAGAGCAGGACGGCGACGGCGACGGAGAGCAACAGCGAGAGCAGCCAGTGGCGCGCGGTGGCGGTGCCATAGCGGGCAAAGGCCTTGCGGATGGGATGCTCTGGCGATAGCTTAGGAGGCTCGGTTGTACTGGCGGCGGGCAGCAGGTCAGCGGCGGCGGGCAGGCATTGCGGACGTCGAGACAGGCTTGGTGGGAATTTCTTTGCGGCAAACGTACCCGCGAAAAGCGTACAACAAGTACCATATCATTGGCGCCGTCGGTTCGCATTAGTGGGAGAGCATGGGAGAGGGAAAGTAAGGGACAAAGCTATGTGCCTGCGCACCCATGTGCAGATGTATGCGGAGGGCAGAAGGACTCCCGGGCTAGAGATGAGCTAGAAGCGATCGGCGGCCGGGAAGCTGGCAGGAGGAGCGTAGGGACGGCATCTGTCGCGCGCTGCCTACTCTAGCCTTCAATTCAAGTACTCTAGCAGTATGTAACCAAGAGATGGCGCCGATCCACCCGCGCACGGGGCCCCGCTGCACCTCGACACACCCGACTTGCGACTGACTCTCTTCCACTGCGCTGCTGCTGTGTACCATCACTCCCGCCACTCAGGCCGCCCTACGTGGGTGGCGTCGCATATCCCCCAGATTTCTTCGTCATCAAAAAAACAAACGCGAGTCATATGTAGATTCTACCTAGGTATCTTCGCTGTCGCTCCTCAGGTCCCCTCCATCTCCAAGTCCGAGCTCGCTGCGTCCTCGTCCACCCAGCCCTCGCCGTCGTCGTCGTCGTCGGCCTCGTCCTCGCCTTCCACCGGCGGGCCAAGCACCTTGTTCAGCCCTTCGATCAGCTCGACCGCGTGATCTTTCAGCCGGTCGTCCTCGTATTCGAGCATCTGGTACAGCTTCATGCTGTTCGTGAGCCATTCTCGACTTGCCTTCATGAGAGCTTGGACCGCCTCCTCCGGCTCCGCTGCCGTCTTCTTCTCCGCCATCAAGTGCAGGCACCATCCGCCCAGGTACCACGCCTCCACGCTCGAGTCGTCCTCCAGCACCAATCGCTCCAGGACATCGAGCGCATCGTCCTCCATTTCCGCCTCCATCAGCAGTCTCGCAAGACTAATCCGCGTCGGGTAGTCGGGCACCTTGGGGTCCGCGGGCTCCAGATCTTTCCAAAGGTCCATGCTCATCTTCAATGCCGTGCGAGCCTCGTCGTGCTTCAATTGTGATATCCTGACCGACGCGAGCGTCTGGAGCGATTCGGGGACGTTGGGTGCAATGAGCAGCGCCTCGGTGATGAGAGCCTCGCACCTCTGCTCAGCGTCTTCTTCCCACCTGCGCCTAGTTAGAGCAATTATCGCGTGAAGTCTCCTCGCAGGTACTTACGACAGATCCGTCATGTAGACCTCGACAACACCACACAGGGCATTGGCCAGCTTCTTCTTCTTCTCCTCCAAGAGGAGCTGCCTCTCAGGACTCTCCCTCTGTGCCTCCACCTCCGCAATCTCCCTCCTCAAGATCTCGGCGCCCTTGTCAAACCAGCCCACGCTCTCAGCGCCGCCCTCCTCGCAGAGCTGCGCCAGCCACAAGAACTTCTCCGCGCCACCACCCTGCGCCTCGGGCACCCTGCCCTCCTCGTCCAGCGCCACAGCCACCGTGAAGTAGTCTCTCGCGGTGTCGGCATCGCCGAGCTCAATGTTGATCTCGCCCAGCAGGTTCAAGGCCGGCAGCGCCGCGAGCGAGGGTTGCGCGTCGGCGGCGGGCTGCAGCTGCGCCAGCGCGCGCCGCGCCTGCACGAGCGCTTCCTCGGGCTCGTTCGTGTGGAGGAGGGTCGTGGCCTGCGCGAGTAGCTGTTCGGGCGTCATTTTGGCTTTCTTGGCCGACGAGCCGCCAGCCTTGTCTTGCTTCCTGGACTTTTTCGAATGCGGCTTCGTCTTGGCCATGGCAGGAGGGTGCTGGGCAAAAAAAAAAAAAAAACGGGCGGGCAGAAACGAGGCGAAATCGACGTTGTGCGTGTGTTTGCGATTGCGTGGTAGGTTTGCGCGCGCTCGTGGCGGGCAATCTATCTCGGCCTTCAAAAATCTTGGGCGGCCGAGCTTGATTCGCGCCCACATCATGGGCGCCATTCCCGTTCGGTGCGGGCGGTGAAGCTATCGGTTATCGCAACAATTACGCCCGCCGTGGCCGCCAGAGACCGACCCGCCAACACCAAGGAAGAACAAGACCAACCCCAAACCTCCAAGATGGGCAGAGAAGAGCAGATAGAGGAGCGCGAGGTGCTCGACTCCATTTTCCCGGACGAGATCCAGGGTGCGCACACAACACCGCTCCCAGCACCACCTTTCGCCCAGAGGCAGCTAGGTACCTAACATCACCACCACGCAGACATCTCCGACACCGAGTACCGCGTGACAATCGTGCTCGATGTCACGAACGAAGACGACGAGGAAGCCGAGCCGCGTGAGCCTTCCTCTCTCCCCTCTCCAACCAAAAACCACCAGCACTAACGCGCCCCGCGCCCCGCCCCAGCGACCATCATCCTCGGCGTGCAATACCCAGACAACTACCCCGACGAAGCACCCCGGCTGGACATAACGACACCCCCCAACGCGCCCAAACACGCGAACCTCGACATCCAAACCGACAAGGCGCGCCTGCTGGACGCGCTCGCGCCCACCATCGACGAAAACCTCGGCATGGCCATGGTGTTCACGCTGGTGTCGACGCTCAAGGACTCTGCCGAGCTGCTCATCGCCGAGCGCCAGGCGGCGCAGCGCGCTGTCGTCGAGATGGAGGCACAGGCTGCCGAGGCGGAGGAGAATAAGAAGTTCCATGGCACTGCTGTCACGAGGGAGAGCTTCTTGTCCTGGCGCGAGGGCTTTATGCGCGAGATGGAGGAGGCGGAGAAGAGGGCTGTTGAGGAGAAGGAGGCTGAGACGAAGGGCAAGAAGGGCAAGGAGGAGAAGAAGCTCTCCGGGCGCCAGCTTTGGGAGCGTGGCTTGGCGGGCAAGGGTGAGGAGGATGACGAGGGTGCGGATGTGGCGGAGGGCGTGGAGAGGCTGAAGGTCGAGGCTTAGAGAGTGGGCTGGGCTGGGTAGCGGGGGTGGTGGGTGGGATGAGTGGATGGTAGGGTTAAACGGCGAGGGTATTTCTGCCCTGGGTGTCTTATGAGCATGCATATCTCGGTACAGAGAAGTTGGGTACGAACAGCTTACGGAGATATATCCCGTTGTACAGCACTTCTGACATCAACACCTCGCATCAGAGACAGAAGGCGGTAGCCATTGCGTTTCTAAGCAAAAAAAGTTCCTTCTTCGCAACGAAAACCGCCGATACAGGAGCTTCTTCTCGCGAAGAGCATGGCAGATATACCCGTACGCGTACCCAAATAAGCAACGTAGTCCCTTCCCCATCCAAACCGACCTCCCCTCACAACCACCACCACCACCCCTCCCCAACCCCTAACAAATCCGATGCTCGGGCGGGCGCCACGGCACGCCCAGCACGTCAAAGATGCGGCGCTCGCACCGACCCTCGACCAGCTCCCCCTCCGAAATCTTCTCCCGCCCCCCCCCGCGCAGCACGTCGCGGTACAGCCCGCGCTGGTTCAGGCGCATGCCCTTCCGGCTCGCCAGCAGCCGCACGCTGCGGTTGAAGATGTCGTTGCCCGTGAAGTAGAGCTGCGCGGCGCCGAGCTGGGAGGCGGGCACCAGGAGCAGGTCGATGCGGCGCCAGATCCCGCGGGGTGGGGGTGCGGAACCGTCACCGTCACTGGTCCCGGTAGAGGGAGCGGGAGAGGGAGAAGAGATAGGCAGTGCCGACGCGCCGTGCCATTTCGTCCCGCTGCCACTGCCGAGCCCGCCGCTCGCACTCGCGGCCAGCGCCGCCTTCAAGAACCCCGCCCGCTGCAGCGCCGGCACCAACTCCTCGAACACGACGGCCTGCAGCCGTGTGAGCGTCGCCCCGGGCGCCGAGATCAAGCAGTCGATATCACCAGAAGTGGCCGCGCCACGGCGATACGACCCCGCGACCGTGACGGTGAACGACGGGTCAATAGCGCTTAGGGCGCGGCGCACCACGTCAGCGTGCAGCGCGACCTCAGCGCGGGGAATGCGCGCGTTGAAGTCGGCGTAGTGCGCGATGCCGACGCGCTGGTTCGCCGTCAGCGGCACGTTGTGCGTCTCGAGATCCGCGAGCGTTTTTAGGCCGCGCTGCACCCATTTCATGGCTTGCGAGAGGCCGACCCCGTAGATGCCCAGGAAGGTCTGCATTGCTGCGGTTGTGGGCTCTAGTCGCGCGTTGTCGAGTCGTCGGAGGTGGTTCGTCCATACGATTTCTTCGATTTTCGTGGCCAGTCGCGAGCCTACCCATGGCAGTTCTAGGGCTTCTTCCTTCGTGGTGATTTTGTGGTTTTGTTTGCGGAGGCTGGAAATGGCTTTGCGGTAGGCGCGCGAGCGCCACTCGTCTCTCGTTTGCTCGTAGTAGTCGCCCATTGCCGTGAGGATCTCGATGGTCTTCGCGTTGGGGTTAGTGTCCGTACTCTTGCCGTCGTGCTTCTGCATGCACTGGAAGTGTTCGTTTGATGGGCCTGTCTTTTTCCTGGGTATTTTCTTGGGCCGCTCGTCTTCCGTGTCTGTCTCTTCGGCCTCACTGGCGTTCGGGGAGCTGTTTTCATCGTCATCTATATCTATAGGCTACGAGCTGTTAGCGATAGTCTCAGATATAGTGTGTGCTTCCATTTGTATTTGTGCTTTCCCTATTTACAGGTGTTGGAAATCAAGAGACAGTAGGAAAGTGATTAAACGTTACCATTCCGATCTAACGCAACATGAAGTACACAGAAGCATTGACTCGCTGTTCTACGTAGCTATGCTTCACTTACAAGGTGCGGTGTGCCCTTTGCCTGCGATATAATCTCCTCTAACGCATCGTCATACTCCCCACCAGAGGCCTGTTCTGTGTTTTCCTGCACGCGTTTTGCCTTGACGGTGTCTGGTATGACATCGACCTCGCTTTCCTCATCAGTCTCCGAAGGCGTCTTAGCCTCTCGAGCAAGATCCTTCTTTGCCGGCTTCAGTTGCAGCGAGTGAGATGACTGCGCAGTGGATGTTGTAGTGTTATCGATCGATGCTTCAACAGTCGCTGGTACGTAGCCCTGTACTTGGTATTTGGTTTGCTTCGGATTGACTAGCGTGCGATAGATAATGCAGTCTGCCGGATAACATTCGTTGACAACGATCGATTGACCCGGAAATGTGGTGAGCTTGAGATAGTCTACCATGCTGTCGAATTTGACGTTCTTGTCCACTATGACATGGGTGACCTCATCGCTCCAATCAACTACCCAAGTGGCTCCGAATTCAACCGCTTTGGTAATCCTCATCCGACGAGCAGTGTTGGTGTCATTGTTCGGGAAGAAGAAGAACACCAGGCCCTTGAAGACCTGTTGTGCCTCTGGAAGTGCCTTGATGTTACCCGGTCGCTTGCGTTTGCCCGCTGCTCGAGGGACTGCTGCTTGTCCAGTGAACGAAGAGGCCATTGAAGCCGAAGAAAACGGTGTGAGATGTTCTGATCTAGGAGCTGTAGGTGATGATGCAATGTCCAGGATCGAGTCGATGACGCGGTCCTCGCCAGGTCCTATGGTGAGGCTGGCGGGTGTGGTTCTAGGATCAGGATCTGGGCCTTCAAGTCTGACAGAAGCTCGGCGTGGAGTAGTCGTTTGGCGAGGAGAAGGTACACCGGAGAAGGAAGCCGCGGTGCGAATCCGCGATGGGCGAGCTGGTCTTGAGCGAGCGGATTTGAGAACTTTAAGTGAGTCCAGCCAGCCCTCATCGACCATATCATCATCCTCGTCATCCAAGCTTTCCAGGTCGCGGAAGAAATTCTCCTTCTCCTTTAATGATTCTTGCTTCGCCATTGGTGCAGCTTTTCGATGGATCCATGAGCTCGGCCGGAAAAATCGCTCTCGGCGTGATTCTGTAGGCAGCAGTGTTCTTTGTTTGAACAAACGGACCTTCACATGAAGAACCGAAGTCAATGCCCCGGCACGTGATCTGACGGAATGACGTAAGACCTCGATTGCAACCACCGTAACTATTATGGCAGTCGCTGCTTCTTCAAATAAATAAATCACGCTTCAGCTCCTATTATGCTTTGTATGAACAAGAGCCAAACAGGTATAAAGGCCTAATGGCGGCATGGTCTCATATATCTGCTTCCGCTAAGCGCCTACCCGGAAGTTTGGACACCATTTCAACTGGACAGCACTATCTTTATCGCGTCAACAGCGACGCTTCTCGAGCATGCAGCTGTGTAGGGTGAGTGTGTATGCGTAATGATATAGCCTTATAACAAAAAATATATATTTCAACTGAACATGGCTGACATAGAATATTGCTCGATTGGTCGAGAAAACAAGCTGCAACAAACAAAAAGCAAATTACAGCTATGCCGCAAAGCAGCATCAAGAACGCGAAAAAGGAAAAGAAGCAGCAGCCATCATCAGGGCACCCACGCGCACCCTACTCCTTTCATATCACCCCTCAATCAAACCCCAAACCCCTCCCCCACACCCTCCACAACCTTTACCAACCCTTCCAAGACCTCTCCATCCCTCCTTGCCACTCCTGCCACAGATACCGCCCGACTCACCAACGGATACAGCCGATGCAAATGCTTCTTATTCAGCCCTTTCACCCCCGGCGTATCGGGCATACACTTCGGCTCAACATCCAACGCCCGCAGCTCCCCCAGCACGAAAAGCAATTCCTGCCTTTGTGGCTGCGGCTGCGGCATCCGGCCCCGTAGCGGCGTGTCCGCCACGTATGCCTTCAGCGGCAGCGCCGCCCGCAGAAGCAGGTATGGCGCGGCGGCGGCGGCAAGTTTGACACGCTCGTCGCTGCCGTCGTGCACGCGCGCTAGCGCTATCAGCTCGCACAGGCAGAAGTACGCCATTGCGGTGCGTGGCGTAGGTGCGGGGTCGTGTGTGCGGCCGTGGCGGATGTGGTAGAGCGAGGAGAGGGGCTCGGTGGCAAGAGTAGACGTGGGCAGTTCGCCGACCGATGGCGCGTGAATCAGAGAATTTTGGAAGAGGCTGAGTGTGTAGGTCCGTCTTGTGCTGTCGGGAATGTAGGGCTCACCGAGGCCAGGGATTATCGCGTCTCGCAAGGTCGTAAGTGACTTAATGTCGAAGGCTTCGTCTTCGAGAATAACATTTGGCGAAGGCGCGGCGGAAGGGTCAGCTTTGGCAATGCCGTCTGCGATGTGAACGATTTGCTCCCACAATGGAATCATTTGGTCGTCAGGGGTGGATAGACGTTGTGCATTTTCAAGGGCCGGAGCGACGATTTTCAATGCGGTCGATGTAGCCTTTTGCCATGTCGGTGGGGATTTGCCCTGAGTCTTCCATTCATACTTCAGCTTGATGGGGATGCGAAGACTCGTCAGTGCGGCAAGTAGAGCGCCTTGAGCGAACAACTCCGCCTTGCCAATATGCTCCGAAACTTCTGCCTCAAGGAGGTCCATCGATACTTTGCAAAGAGCGATGAAAGTGTTTCCCGTCCGGGCTTCTGTAGATGGCTCTTTGGTAAAAGGCAAGGAAACAAGATCTGCCAGTAGCTTCACAACAATCGTTGGGATCCCTTCAAGGTCAGTGCCGATCATCTTGATGCTTCCGGTGATCTCTTTCTGCAGAGGTGTCAAGAGATCCTTGTCAGACGAGTAGGCTGTACTCTCCTCTTCTACTACACATCTGCGTAGATTTGAAGCGGCCTTCTCGATGTCGGCAACGTCTAGAGTCTTGCCGATCAAACGATAGACCTCTTTGAAAGCTCGAACATATGCTGAGAATGCTTCGTGATTGCCAGTAATTGATTTGCTCTCAGGGAACTTCTCGAGCCATATTTGAGAGCTCTGACGAACGGCAGTTTCACCCACATGTTCGGCAGAGTCGAGCTTGCCGAGAAGGCCACCGATGGCATCATAAGCTACAGCATTTACCGCATGCGAGTCGCAAGTCAAGTACGCCTTGAAACAATCTAGAATCGCTTGCCAAAGTTCGGAAAAGCGCGGCGCCTTCAGCATGCTGTCTTGGTAATTGCCGAACAGTTTGACCATGCCATTCAAGATGATGCTTGTCGTCTCAACCCAACCATTGGCTTCCTCAGCATCTGCAAGGTCGCTTCCGGAACGGAGTTCTCTTTGACGCTGAACATTAAGACGTAGCAAGCGGAAGGTGATGCTCCTGTGACACAAATTCCATGCCGTGGGCGAAAGCTGGTCTCCATAGTTGTCAAAGATTCGGAGCAATGTGTGTAACGTTCCGTTGCGTACATCAGCTCGTCGATCGTGAGCGATGGAAGCAATGCGAAGCAAAAGGTGAAGCCACATTGCAGGTATTGACTGCGCCTCAACTCCTTCCTGAATTTTCTCATCTGGATTCGCAACATCGACGGACTTTGCGGCCAAACCCTCCATTTCGGCTAAATCAATCCGATTGTGGAGATAATCTGAGACGTTCCAGAAAAAGGTGATGGTCTTGGAGTTTTTGTTAGTATTTTGCATAAAACCCCAAGACAGGGTAGACTTACGGTCAAAGAAATATTGAGGTCTTCTCCCTGGTCACAGAAAAGATACAAAAGATCCAAAAAGATCAATATCGCATCATCAGGGATAGATGCCAAGAAATCAGAGCAAACCAGTTGTACAGAGCCAAAAGCAAGTCTACCGAGCTTCGTAGAGATCATTTGCGATGACAACTGACTGCTTAGTTTCTCGCTTGATCCTGCATCATCAGGATGATTTTCGTTTTTGAATTTGGCCGAGGTGAAAACGCTTTGTATCAGAGTGAAAACCGATCCCCAAGCAACCGTGATTGAGTCTCCACACTGATCCAAGATAGATTTGACAGCGTCCAACACAACCACGTGCACCTCAACATCTGTCTCGTCGAGCTCGTCCTGGGGACTGTTTGCGTTTTTGTAAAGTGCATCGACTACCTCTTGCAGCGCTGTAAGGATCCGACCGTGAATCTCGTTCTTCAGGTCTTGGTCTTCCGGTTTGGTTTCGTTGGCAAGGTCTTGGACTAGTCGACTGAGAACATCCGTCGCCAGCAAACGAAGCGAGCTGACCATTGTCGTACTGGTAATGATAGAGACAAGAGATTTCATCAAGATGTCCCAACCGCTTACATTTGGCTCAAAACTGATAAGGCGGTTTGAATTGAGCGTCCCAATATCACCAATCTTGTTGAGAGCGAAAACGTAGTCCTGGACCTGAGACTCGGCTTTGATAGAGATTCCGGCGAAGCTGCTACCTCTCCTCTCAAGCATAGGCGTTGAAGGAGGCTGAGAGGCCGCCCCAGACTTGCCTTCCAGCAAAGCACAAAGTGCGTTCAGGACCTGGCTAAAAGACTCATTGGGGAAGTCGACGGTGCTCTCGAACAGTCGAGAGGCAGCAGCCTGTACAGCGGAAACTTCCGAGCCCAGCATTTGCGCCAGTGCTCCACCGTCATACCGGTTGCCTCGTCGGTCTCGGCCACTGGAGGTGGCATTCGCCGTCGCCATGATCATGTCGGCTTGTTGAAGCGTTTCGAAGATAATGGACCAAGCTCCTTCTAGCGTTGGCCCAAGGGCAATTGCGAGGTTGAGGAGCGCCCTAAGGCAAAGTAGGTTACGCGTGCTGAGAGTTGGTGCCCCAGATTCCATAGACTGCCGCCTGCTTTTGTCCGAATTCTGGCTAACTAGACTGTCGACACTAAGGAGGCCTTTGGGGTTGCTCACAGCAGTAGGAGTCTCATTACCTGCTGCCTTGGGAGCAGAAACATTCGCTGTGAAGACGGTAGGAGGCACTGCAGCCTTACCCATCGTCGTGAGGAAAGCGTCTCTTGGCGTCGTCAGCCTCAAAAGACCGGCGATTTGCGTGAACTTTTGAATGGACCGTACAAGCGCGTGGTAATATTCAGCATCAAGCGCTGCATTCAAAAAGGTTGAACAAGTAGCGAGGACCGCCGGCCAGCAATCATCGATGGCTGCTGCCGTCATCTTGATGGCTTCCTCGGATGGGTTGTTTTTCAGCTCCAAAGGATTTATTGGAACCGTCCGCCGACGGAACGACTGTGACCTTGCCATTCGGCTTTTAGGTTTCTCCTCGGTAGGTGTAGGAGGGGCCGACTGGTTTTGCTCATTGTTTGCAGCCTTCTTCTTCTTGCCACGACCCTCGTTGTGGACAGTGAGTGGGAGAATAAACTTGGCCAGACTCTCAGAGAAGTTATTGATGCAACTCAGAACAAGACTGTAGATGTAGGTCTCGGGTAAATTTGGCGGTTCTGATTTATCGAGATGATCCATACAAGGTATCCTTAGGGTGCTCCACTGAGTACTGATACCTGGCACACTTGCAGTGTTCGGGGCTCCTCCGATGATGCCTGCGACAGCTCCAGCTTCAAGTGCTGCCTGTGCTGCCGGGGCGTCATTTTCAATTGGCGCGCCAACAGGTGCCGTTGAATGTTGGCCAAGCCCAATGACCGCAGGCCGCTCTGTAGACAGGCGGACAAACACTGACAGGTTGTCACGGATGATTGACCTTTTACCTTCTGAAGCATCATATTGAGAATAGATTCGGAGGATGAGATTTGGGTCCGTGTAGACATTGCGGAAGATCTCCATAGACATGGCGCGCTTCCAAGGTGCTGCGGCATCCGGATCAAGCATGTGGTTGAGCAAGCCCAGGGCGATCTCGCATTCGGAAGACAGGATGGTCAGATGTTGCCTCAAAACCATGCTAAAAACCCTCATAACCCTCAGGGTGATAGGAAAGCTAAGTCTCTCTGACAAGCATCTGATGATGAATGGCATGAGATTGCTGCGAAGAATATTACCCTGTTCTGGGTGTGTCAGAAAGACATTGCCATGGTTATTTAAAACGGCTTCGATCAACTCGAGCCCAGCTGCTTGCGTAATGGGAGAAAACCGAATCGACTGTGGCCTGCCGCCCTCCGTGATGAGACATATGTCACGGAAGACCTTGTATGCATCATGGGCTGCAGGGCGTACAGAGACGGCGCCATCTTCGCCTGGCACCTCAGTCACAGTCGGTATCTGCAGTTGTTTCTCATCTTCGGTCACGACCTTTTCAAAGGTAGATATGATGAGTTGCTGGAGTGTTGCGGCTGCAGTACCACTGACGGCGGGGTTCTTTGTGGTCTGCAAAGACGAGCAAACCTGGAGAACAATGGAGAGAAGCTCGCCTCGGATGTCTTCGGAATAATTCTGAAGAAGAGTAGGCAGGGCTTGAAGAATCTTGAGCTGTATGTCCAAGCCTAATGGAACTTTAGTATCAAATCGGGCCCAGTGAAAGAGCGCTGGTCGTACCCAATTGGCTGGTTTCTCGGAAGCTCTCAAGCACTTCCTTTAACCGATTTCGAGGAATTGCTCGAGAAACGATGAGTCGCTGCAAGCAGACGACCGCAGGGCCGACAAATTTGGCATTTTGCGTCCCGCAAGCCTTGATAAACGGATCAATAAATAGCGCGCGGCGGTGGAGATCTCTTCCAGCATCAGTCAGGTACGGTGGCACGGCAGAATCACAGTTAGTACCAACCAGCTGCTAATTGAGCTTCGGAGGTCGATGGCAACGACTTCAGCTCTTGGAGAGATTTATCGGCGGCCTATACGAGGCCCAGTCAGTGCTTCCGAATTCGGTCAAAGCCGGGCGGTAGGGGATATTGACATTGCGGAGATCGGAGTTCTTCCTCTTGGACTCTTGGATAAGATTTGTCAGCTCGGAGCTGAGTATCTGGGCCGTCATGCTCGACGAGTGTCCGGCGCCGGCATCTGTTCGCAACTTATGGCGCTGGTGAAGTTTGCTGCCGGCTGAGATGATGGTTGCGTGGCTTTAGCCGCGAGCGCGACACGTGAAGTTACCAGCCCTACCTACGAATGCCAAGACACACCCCTGCCGCGACTGACGCCCGAAGTGGGCTGGCTGTTGGCTACCATATCGAACATCAAACTGCCCGCATCATCCCCGCATCTGCGTGATTCTTTTTTCTACACCACCGACACGCCTCTCATTCTTCGCTTGCGCAGCCAGCCCGCAAGCTTTTCTGTTCTATCTTCTTTCCCTCCCTCACGCGACACCTCCGCCAACCGCAAATCCTCCACAATGGGTGCCAAGGTCCCCAGGAACTTCCGCCTGCTCGAGGAGCTCGAGAAGGGCGAGAAGGGTCTCGGTGCTGGTATGTCTCTTACACTACGGCTATAATCTTAATATCATACTGAGCCTGACAATCTGCAGAGGCCTGCTCTTACGGTCTTGAGAACGGCGATGACTTGCTTATGTCCAACTGGAACGGCACCATCCTGGGCCCGCCCCACGTCAGCCACGACAATCCATACCTGCCACATCAGCACACTGTGACTAACGGAGCTTAGAGCGTACATGAGAACCGCATTTACAGCGTCAAGATTCACTGCGGCCAGCAGTACCCCGACGTGCCTCCCGAGGTCACCTTCGTCTCGAAGATCAACCTGCCTTGTGTAAACCCGAACAACGGCATGGTATGCAAACGGATGGACAAAACAATATGCTGGGATATGTCCGACTGAGACCGGTTTACAGGTTGACCCCACGAAATTGCCGTGCCTTACCCAGTGGAAGCGCGATTTCACGATGGAGACGATCCTCATCGAGCTTAGGAGGTATGTCTTATTTGGCAGCTTTCAGACATCATCACACTCACATTTACCTAGGTTCATGGCCCTTCCTCAGCACAAGAAGCTGCCCCAGCCTCCAGAGGGCTCCACTTTCTAAGCTCGCGGAGCCGACGCCAGTAGCCCTGTCTTGAGATATTGAGCGAGCTTGGTTTAAGAATTGAGGGTGGCGGACATTATGGAGTCAAATATGGTCGGCCGAAAGAGCACCAGACTCCGGTGTATGCTGTGAATGCCGGCAAGACGACTATCATGATGCAGCGTGCTTTTCATTGGCCTTACGAATGTTTACTCTGCATGGGAGCGGAGTTTATGGCTTAGCGATGATGGAATAGAGCAAATCAAATGAGCCTTTGCATCCGCGCCTGGAACTCCGACCAATTCCTCATTCCGCAGATCGAACGGCGATCGCCACACGTGACTTCGCGACCCCAGAAGTTTTTTGAGACGTCATCGCATCGCTGCACCTTCACTCCACGCGCCACGCATGGCAGCCAACACATGAATGCCGAAATTTTTGGTCCCCAAGCAATCAAGCCAGCATCGTGTAGCTGGTACGCAAATCTCAGCCTCCCGCGATAGTCAGATACAATAATCTCACTCTCGCTCTCCAGCCATCGCGCTCTACCGCGCTCTGCTCACGCAATGCGCCGCCGTCCCTCTCCCCGATGAGCAGCGCACCGCGCTCGCCAACATCGCGCGCAACAAATTCCGAAAGACAGCGAACATGCACTCGACGCCGCAGCTCAAGCTCGCCTTCTCAACAGGCTACGAAGCACTGAAGCTGCTCGACCGCCTCGAACACGAAGCCGACACAAAAGCCAAAACGGAGATCAGCGAGCTGCTCGCACTGACGCCACACTACTTAACGCGAACACCAATGCCGCGGCACGCGCAGCCGCCGCGCGACTTCGTCCCCGAGGCGACGCTGCCGGCGGGCCAGAGGTTCCTGGAGACGCGGCCGCGCGCGCAGGTGTCTGGCCGGCGTCGCGTGCCTGTCCTCGTCAACGCGAACAAGTTCCCCTTCCTGCGCTCGACGAAGCCGCAGCCCCGCAGCTTGAGCCGCATCTTGACGTATCGCATCAAGCAAAGGCAGGGCTGGATGGATACGCTAGGCGATTCGGCGGAATTGGCGGCGCTGGCGAAGGAGGAGGATCATTGGGATTCGTTGGTCGATGAGATGGATGGTGTTGAGGAGGAGGAGGATGATCAGCCCAATTGGGGCGCTGTGCCGCGTGAGGTGACTGCGCATGTTGGTAGGAAGTTGCAGAAGCAGAAGGAGAAGAGCATGATGTTGGCGCATCAGATGCAGGAGATTGTGCTCAAGGAGAGGGAGCTTGCGGCGAAGGAGAAGCGGGAGAAGTGGTTGAAAAAGAAAGAGGAGAGGTTGGCGAGGCGGGAAGCGCGGCTGAAAGAAGGTAGTGGAGAAGTCACCAATGAATAAGAAAAAATACAGACGATAATGGTGTTGTTGTTGGGTATGACATGAATTCATAGAGGTCTTCCTAGATCGACTGTTTGATCGTTCGTAAGGCGTCTGAGGGAAGACAGGTGACACTTAGCGCCAAAGAGGCTCTCATGAAGTTGCAAGGCCATACCTTCGCCTACAATGTCATTGTTTAGTACACGGCTAGTCAGTCGTGCTTAGTCCGTGGCTTCATGCATTTCTTCACGCAACTGCAAACAAACGTTTCCATAACATCTTCAGAGTCTTTTGTTTTCAGCATTTGATTCAGTCCTTCTAGTGGCCACATGGCGTTCTTCACAAGTACCATGCTACCATGTGTCCGTATGCTGAAGCAGTTTTCGTAAAGCCTTGAATGGATCTCTCAGATGATGACTTCTTGTTCCATCACAAGCCCCGTTGTCTCCTCTCACAGTATGCACAAGACATCCTCGTAGGTTCTGCAGCCATCAATATCCTTCCAATCGCCCTGTTGTCATGTCTGCGGCTTTGGGGTGAATAGGTCCGTTTTAGCTTGCTGAGCTTGGTCTGAGTTGTTGTTGTTGTTGTTGTTGTTGTTGTTGTTGTTGTTGTCGCACCGTGGTTCGCCTTCAGGATGTTCGTGATACTGACATTTATCTTTCTGCCAAGGCCTGAATCCTCCAACATTCTTGTGTCTGATCTCTACAAATTTGCGAGCGATGTCGACAAAAAAGTCCCTTGGGGCGGTGTCCACATCCTTTGCGGAAATTTTCGAGGTGTACCAAGTAGACGGTGCTGCGTAAACGTAGAAATCGACCAACAGACGTCGTAGACCGGAGCTGGGCATGGTGCGTTTGTACACGCTGGATGCCATGCTGTCTGGGGTCATAGACTTCTTGATGACCTTATTGATGATGGTATCAATGACCGCGTTCTTGAAAGGTAGATCCATGAGCTTGTCGCCGAGGAAGTATGCCTCGAACAGGTCTGCGGCCTGGTCAGGTGTGGGGCAGTTATCAAGGTAAAGCCACTCTAGATAGATTTCGAAGATTTTGGGCTGGTCGTCGGAAAGGCGTAAGACACCTGACGCCTCCTTCCAGGGCGGCTGGCAGGCTTTGCGGAAGAAAGGAGATGAGGCGCATATCAGGTCCTTGTAAACTTTGAACGGTGCGGCCTCAGTGCCAATTAGAACGTTGAGGATGTCTCCCCGGAGTCTGTACTCGTCATTGGGCCTTCCGATTCGGGTGAGGCTGTGTGAGGTGGCTTACGATTTGACGAGAACGGTGGCTTTGGAAACCTTTTTGTCGGTTGTGGGTCCTAGAACGCTCTTGTCTTTGTCGACGGGTTTGCCTGGCGGTTGGTCTGGCGGCTTGCTAGAGGAATGTCAGTCAAGTCTTCACCAAACGTATGCGATATGGTGAGCTTACGTCGGCGCCATTCTCGGATCACCCTGAGAGGCCCAGCCTCACTGTTCCTTGACAGGATGGTAAGGGCAGAGCGATGCGGACAGGGAGAGTGGAAGGTGGAAGGTGGAAGGTTGGGAAAGTTCGAGGGCCAGGAAAGTTCTAAAATAGGCAAGCGACAAGCATCATTCACTCGGGGGTGAGTAATAAAATTCCATAGAAGGCAGCCTATTGACACAAGGTGAAGTTAACGAGCTAGGACTGCCCGCATGGTCTGAACGCCTCTACTGACTGTCAAGCTTTTAGAAGGCATTATCAGTGAACGTTTTAAATATTAACTGTCAAGTATCGCTACTTTAACGTCGCAAGCCAAACATGCATGAGAAATATTATATTAACTTGGACCGTCAAACCTCCTGCTCAAAATATCACCAGCTCACAACGCAAACACTTGAAGGAAGTCCTCATTGAAGTCTGGAGAAGCTACATAATGAGTAGCTCAATGAAGTGATCCTGCATCCTGTTGTAAAGCCGTAGTCCCTGCGAATTGCCATCCGACACCATACATGCCCTTAAATCTGATGGTCGCGGACTTCGTTGTAACCGAGCTTCACGCCTACCAACATGCGGAGTTCATGTGTCCTTAGTGGTCTCTCCTTTCTTCTTCGTATGCTCGAGGTATTGGCTAGGGTTTGTCACCCATGGATATCGTCCAGCTGAAATGTCGAGTTGCAGGTCTTTGCTTTCCCTGCTTGCGAACAAACGTTCCGCCAAGGCAATCCAGAATTCCGCAGAAGCTTCTTTATCGCAGTTGGGTTCGTAGCGCAACCACCCCGAGCTTCCGGTGAAGATCCAAAAGTCCAGGTAAAGGGACCGAAGTGGTGATGATTCAGGTGTATTGTCCCATATGAGAGATGCTACGTGTCCAAGCCTCTGGCTGAAACCGATGTTTAAAATCATCTTGCTGATCACGGCATTTTTGTACCGGAAATCGAACAGTATGCCACCTAGGATGTACGCTGCCACGAGGGCGCTCCAGGACTGTACAGTGCTTGGCAGCACAATCCCACCGGTGTAAAGCCATTCGACGTATACCTCGAAATTGCCGGGGCTTTCTTGCGGAAGTTGAACAACTCCTTGTGATTCCTTCCAAGGTCGTTTACAAGCTTTGTCGAAGAAATCGGAAAAACCACAGATGAGGTCCTTGTGAACGGTGAAGGTTTTTTCGCTGCTGCCGACAAGGACAGTGATTGCCTCTCCTTTGACACTTGATGATTGTCAGTAGAAGGTCAGGAATATGTGTAGAATAGATTTTACTTACGCTTGTGCGACAAGTTCGGTATGGTCAATCGTGAAATGCTCACTAGGATCGTCTCCTGGTTTGGCTCGTCTGGTGAGAGCGACGGTCAGCAAAAAAAAAAAAAAAAAAAAAAAAAAATAAACTTGAGACGGTGCTTAGAGGTTTAGTTACCTTTTCCCTGCACCTGCCATTTCTGACAAGGGGTCAGGCAGCGAGCTTGACCCCAGATCTTGAATTGTACGGGTTTTGTAGCTGTAGACAAAGGTTGGCGGTGGAATGGATGGAGACAGAAGCTGTTTAATTACCTAGACAGGCGGAGGTGGGCATGACGTAAGCGAAGGGGCTGAAGGAGAGAAAGTGAAGTGAGGTGAAAGACCTTGTGAGAATGTATGACAACCTTTGTCCTCGTCGAAGCCCATCGTATTATTGTATCCTTATACGATACTCACGCGCCTATATACGCCTTTGTTTCACACTATTTGGAACACCTTCCTATCCCCGCATATTCACATATTCATACTTTCACAGAGCAACCTCATCCTTTGTAGATCTACATATGCGTAGACTTCTAGCGACCACCGACCGTAGCATAATAACTCACTACACCTGCCTAAAGAGCATTGCATGGGTACAGCAGATCCAACTCCATACGTAGTAAAAAGATGTGCAAATATCCAGGACAATCCATGATAGATAATCAAAGCCCCACAAAGGACGGACACAAACATTGTAAGATTCGCATACATCCAAGCACCAGCACGATTTCGCACACCAACCCAGCATCTCAACAAGTTCACCAACCGACTTCCCCCATAAACAAAAACCACACCATAAAGCACATCGCCGCATCCAGCAAGCCCCCGTACTACCCCGATATCCCCCATCCCTCAAACAACCCAATCCAACCCAACCCAAGCCAACAAACCACAACACCCCTCCAACTACAGCATCAAAACCCCCAGCTACTCTATAACCCCCTCACCTATAAAAGTGTTTACTGCGTAAAGCGACCTTGGTGTAAAATAGTCCAGCTACCGCAAGCCAAGCTGCACTAACTTTTGTCTATACTTCTTTTGCACCCGGCGATGCCACTCCTAGCACTGTTCTAGTCTTACTTGGTTACTATCTGTTTCTAGCTCTGGAGCAATAGGTAGCAGTAAAAATGCGAGGTGGTTTTCTTGTGTCGAGATGCCGAGTTGGTTTGCTGGCTGCTAGGGTGTGGTGTACGGTGCGGTGCGGCGAGGGTAGGATGTGTGTCCGATCAGTGTCTTGTCTGTGGGGGCGGCATAGTTGTGTGTGAGTCGAGTGAGTTGTTTTGTGTTGCCGAGAAGAGACGATGCTCGAGTTTATACAACAGTGTTGTAATTAAGTTTGAACGTGGCATAAGAGTTCAGTGTTTCGGGCAAGCCCGGACAACCACGATCACAACACCATAAGCCACAAGCGAAAATGACCAACCAGATTATTACGATACCTACCCTATACGATTGCTTTAAAGCCTACTCTCACAGAAAAACCTTTTGGGTAACAAGCCTATATCTCCTCCACACCACATCTCCTCACTAGACCAGCCAACGGCACTCATGGCACCCATGGCACCCTACCGTTTCTGCAGACCTCCAAAGTTCGACCACGCAGCTGTCCGTCCAAGCGAAGAATTCATCTGCTTGCCTGCCCGTACGCCAGAGCTCAACCCATACCCACCAAGGCCAGGTCCAGGAACCGAGTTCGTGCCCAAATTACCGAGCGGTTGCCGCAGTGGAGTTCCGATTTGGTGCAGGCCGGTGTGGCCGAGGCGGGTGCGATGCTGAGACGGGGTCGGTTGGATGTTGGAGTCCTCTAGGATTGTGCTCGTCAGTCATGGCAGCAGGAAAGTGAGGTCTCGGTGGATACGTACGGCCAAATAGGCGAGCATTTTGCATCTGTCCATGCTGCGAATGCCCTTGGAGTCGGGTGCGGTAGGCGTCGATTGCGTTGCCGCTCGAGACGCTCCCCCGATCGCCGCTCTGCAGCCGCGTGCCAGTGTGCATGGCGGGATAATTCTGCTGGCGACTGGTTCGACCACCAAGCCCGTCGATGAACCGCTCGCCATGGACGGATTGCAGAGTCGCTTCGGCGTCGTCCGAGGCTGCCGTAGCCACTTGTCCGACAAGCACCTGCGCTTTGAGTGTCTGGTACATCTTGTTCGTCTTGGCATGGCTTGCGGACTTTTCTCTGAACGCTTCGGCGAGCTTGTGGTTTTCGTTCTCGAGCTTCTTTTGGTCAACCTGTACAGCTGTTTCAGTCAGTAACTGCCACGCTAATCCTCTCTCTACCGTCGCACCTTGTAGCTTCTCCCGGAGACTTGCGATTTCGGCGTTGGCTTCGTGAACGATCTTGTCAACCTGCGCATTCAAATTGCTGTACTTGTCCGTGAGGCTCTTGGCTAGGTACTCTTGATAGACGCTGCTCGTGGCGTTAGCCTAGTGCTACCCCCAGTCATCACTTCACTCACATTTCTTGTGTGGTCTGGTAGCTGTAGAATGCCAAACCACTTCCTGCGCATTCCATGATGATGCTTGGACTGAGGCCACTGAGCACGCTTGTCTTGTAGTCTTCCGATGGATCAAGGCATGTTTCGACTGCATCATCGGGATTGGAGAGTGCTGCTTCGCACGCTGGACAGACTCGCATTGCAAGATCGGCATTGGAGAGCCCGAGATTATTAGAGCAATCGAGGCAGAAGATGTGACTTGTAGCGAGGTTAGAAACTGCTCTAGAGTGCGGATGAATGCGGACTGACCTGCATGTTGTCACTACCGCCCTGTCATTGACTTGGCGGCGGCACTTGAGAGAATTGCATCGCAGAACGAAATCCATAGAGGGCTAATTGGGTTGCTACGAGGAATGTTGGCACGGTTTGAATAACGAAGATGGTTTAGGAAAGAGCAAAATGGCACTGCGTAAATATGGAAGTTGCGACTGACCCAGTCCTCATTGCGACCCGGTAACTCTATTTTGCTTGCGAAGCATCTTGCTCTCCTTCCTGGGTATATCTTGAAATGTCTCCGCCATGAGACAGCGATTGTTTTCACCCGTACATTTACACGCTGGGTATTTACTGTCCACCCACATACTTCACGCACATGCTCTCCTAACAACAGCACCGCACCCAACGCCACGCTCTAAAACCACACACGCACACGGCGCAAGCGAACAACTTCATACAATATTCGCTCACTTAAGCGCCATTGACGACAGGTTTGCTCTTCGAAGGCAAGCTCTCCTGCAAGTCCTTAACCCACTTAAGGCGACCCTCCGGGAAGATTTCCCCACCAGCAGGGATGTCGTTACCGCCATCAAGCAGCAGGGTGCGCACAATAACTTTGTCGGGCATGGCGTCCTGATGATGATAGATATGCGAAGTGCAAGTGGGGCAAAAGTAGCAGTTTACGTCCTTGCCTAGGTAGAGAGGAGAAATCGTTAGCCAGAACGCCGAAAACGGAACTGAAGGGATGGAAGGCACTAACCGCTGGCGCCCTTGTACGTGTACTTCCCCGGCCGCCCCTTCGTAATGCGCAGGTCTTCACGCGGCACAATGTAGTTGCACGAATATGGCCCGCCGCCCAGCTTCTTGCACGTGTCGCAGTGGCAGAGCACATGCTTGAAGTCCTCGCCCTTCGCGTCAACCTCCCACGCCATACCACCACAGTGACAGGCGCCACGCCAAATACCTCGCAGGCCCGGTCCTCCCGGCCGCTGCGGCGCCGCACCGAACAGCTTCCCGTCATGGACGTCGACGACGAGGCTATCTTCGAGCAGCTGCGCGGCGCCGGCCGAGAAGGCGCGGTGCACCGGGTCTTCGAGCAGGTAGTAGTCGAGGTGTTCTTGCGAGGCGAACTCGAGCACGAACCCGTGCGTCATGCCTTTTGCGAACGGCTCCCACGACATGTTTTTGCCCATGCGCAGCGAGAGCATGTATGGCTGCCCTGTGGAGGGGTGCGTGCACCGCGTGCGCAGCGCTGCGAACGTTGCGAAGTGCTCCTCTAGCTGCGCCCAGGAGATGTCGGGCTTGTATCGGAAGAGGACGATGTGCGTGATTGGAGGGGCCATTGTTGCGGTGGTAGTAGTGGTGGTTGTGGAGAGAGCTTCCTCGATGCTAGGGAAGGGGATCTCGGGAAGTTGATGCGGGCAGCCTCTTTCGAAGAGAACACAGCAGGAGGAGGAGGAGGAGGAGCTTGAGGAAGACGTCGAAGGAAGAGAAAAAGAAGGCGAAAGCGGAGCGAAAAGAAAAGAAACAGTAGAAGAACCGTGAGGTCTTTCAAGCGCCATCAACGCCTACCAAGGCATAGCCAGCATTTTGTAGCCGCTGCCGCCGCGGCAGCTCCTACCCCAATCTCATCCATGACGGGGCATCATGCTCGTGCGTATGCGAATAGCTTGCTCTTCTAGTTGGTAGACACCGCGAAGAGAGCTGTTCCGCGCGTTGACGTCGGACGGGCCCTTGCAGTAGCGCTTCCCGCTGCCCGCTGTGGCAGGTCCCGCCCAAACAGGAAACTTTCCCCGCGCGCCGGAGCAACTTTCCCCGCACTGGAGCCTAGGTCCTTCCCCTAGGCACCTCCGCAAGCTCCGTTCCCCGGCACGCCGCCGCCGGTTCAAAACGCTTTCGTAACCATCTTTTCAATGACGGCGTCTTAGTCACTAACTAACGGAGCCGGTGGCGGTGGCGGTCGTTCTACTCTAGAAAAACTAGAACAACGAGGGGAACCACGCTCAGCCACACTTATAGATAGCATGCCGGCGAGGGGTCGGGTAGGTGGGGGATTGTCGTGGCCACTGGCCGCCTCGACTGGGTAGGTAACTATCGTCTGGCATCGATCGATACGAACGCCTGGCTGCTGCTTCTAGTAGTTGTGGTTGGAGAAGAAGTCAGATCTACGTGGTATGGAGATGATGTGCTGCTGATCAGATCTAGATGATCTCTGTTGTTCGTGTGTGTAGTTATACATGTATGTACATGTGGGTTGATTGAATGGGTAAGCTGTGTCTGCAGACTGGATTAGCAGAAGGATTGAGTGCTTGCTTGCTCTGCTGTCCGTCAACCCTCTTCCTGTATCTTTATACCGGATGTGGAGCTAGCCAGCGCAAGCATCCAAAACCCACAATCACGACAACAATTCAATCACATCACACCCAAAACCACCAACTCAATCATAGAAGAAGTAAAGTCATGAAGCATCCATAAAGGTTCAGGTATCCTTTCAACCTCTCTATCTCGCCTAGACATTAGCTATTAAAAAAATTCGTCAAATCATGCAATCATGCATGTCCCTCCCTCACCACCACGCAGCCGTCATCGCCGTCCCCTCTTGAAGAGGGAACTCGCTACCAAGAAAAAGCAGAAAGCAGCGCCAAGACAATGCTAAACCCACGCATGCAGCCCAAACAAAAAACGCAAGCAAGCAAGCATCCCGCCCAGTCCGTCCGTCCGTCCGTCGCTGAGTAGTCCCCGCGCCATGCAGAAAAAAGCCCACCTAAGGCATCAAGCAAAGGGGGCGCTGAAGTCGTAGAAGACACAACGCAAAAGCAAAGCAAACTAAGCCCGCGCTCGCAAAGAAGGCTAAAGGGAGGGGAGGTGTGCCGCGCACGCCTGGCAGAGGAAGCGCCACTGCGCTGCGTGCTGAACCCGTTCGTGCGTTCCTATCTCGCATAGGAAATGCAAGACGGAAGAAGGCGCGACCGCCGCGCTTCCCGTTCCGCGAATGCAAACGGGACGTGAGGTAGGAAGGTACCTAGCGCAGGCAGGCGCCGCCCGACGCAGTGGGGCTCGGCGGGTATGTGGTAGGACGACGACACAGGGTGTACATCGCAGGGAGAAGGCAGCGCGTCAAAAACAACATCATAAAATCGTATCAACTACGCCGCTCTTCAACCCAAGAAACCGAACGCGAGCACCGACGCCGCCGCAGCCAGAACCGACGCCGCGTTGGGTGCGCCAATGGAAATAGCCGCCGCGCTCTTCTTGCTCGAGCTCGAGGTGCCGTTGGTCGAGACAGCATTAGAACCGAGCTTGGCACCAACGTACGCCACGACCGCCTCAGTGTCACGCACCGAGATGGTGCCCTTGCCGTCCTTGTCGAGAGTGACCGTGTGGTCCGTCCCGTCAGCCGTCGTCGGCGTGCCGTCGCCAGACGACTCGAAGCTCAGTCCGTTGAACGTCACGTTGGAGTTGGACTCGGCGCCCGCAGCAGTCAGGTACGCAAGGTGGACCGTCTCGCCGCCGTGGCCGGAGAAGGTGATGTCGAAGTCGAGGGAGCCCTTGTTAGTGTCCGAAGAGTTGGCCATCTTGGAGTTGATCAGGACGACCGAGGTGAGCTCGCCACTGCCATAGCCGGCATACATGCGGACGTAGTTACCGTAGTCGTTGGGGACACCGTCAGTGTCCAGAGGCGCGATCTGCGTGGTACCGTTGCCAGAGCCGATCAGCTGCGCCATGGCAGCGTAAGCGTAGTACACGGGGCGCACGTGCTGAGAGATACCGTTGCGGTCGACCGGCTGCCATGGCGCCGCGTACGAGTTGTCCGTCATGTGCATCTCGACGGAAGAAATGTTGAGCGAGGCGGCGTATAGGAAGAAGTTGAGGTTCCACAGTGCGGCGCCAAAAGTGTCGCTGACGCCCTGCATGCCGGTGGGGCCGACGCTCTGCATCTCACGCAGGTAGTAGGGGAGGCCAGTCTTGAGCGCAATGCCAATCTGCGTGGCCCAGTACTTGAACTGGTCGACCGTGTTGGACAGCGTCATCATCCACTCAAGCGTGAGCGTGAACTCGGAGACGTCAATGAAGTAGAGGTAGTCGTGCTGGTTCCACGCCCTCAGGTACGGGTTCGTCTCGCCGTCGGCGTTGGCCTTGATGCCGTTGTTGACGAGCTGCTCCATCTCGAAAGTCGTGCCGATGGTCGAGGCCGTGCAGGGACCCTCGAACGAGTTGGCCGACCAGCCGCCCGCGGGCTTCAGAACACGTTCCCAGACAGCCTTTGCGCGAGCCTTCCATTCCTTGACGTACGTCGTGCCGTCCCATTGGCCGGTGCGGAAGCCGTTCTGACCGTACAGATCGGGCTCGTTGCCAATTTCAAAGGAAACGAGATCGACGTTGGTGAGGTTGTTGAGCGCGGCTGAGGCCATGAGGGCAATCTGGTCCTCGTAGTCCTCGTCGTCGTAGGCCAGGTTCAGGCCAAAAGTAATGGGAGTTCCCTTGGGGAATCTGCTGATAGCCTCGAAGAAGCGGGGGCCAATGATATCGGCGTCGCTAGCAATGGCACCCTGGCCTTTGGAGTTGGGGTTCGTCTTGACGGTCCACTCATCCATGTCGACTTGGTAGAGGAAGTAATCCTGGGTGTTGCCACCGAGACGGATGTGGGCCGGCTTGCCGGCATAACTTGCAAGGTTAGACATGAGGTTGACGGTAAGCTTGTTTTCGCTAGCCTCTCCGGTGAAGGAAAACAGGTTAGAGGGCTCGATACCTGCGCCATGTCAGCCGCAGGAAAACAAAACACATTTCAGCTCCGCCTAATAACTAACCGAAACCCGCGAAATCTTGAGGGATGTACTGCGTGATGCCGCTAGCCGAAGCAGCCTTGGAAGCAGCTGTGGCAGAGGCAGACTGAGCGTGGGCGCCAGCCGCCAGCGACAGGCCGGCGACGGCGAGAGGCACACCGTTGCGACGCATTTTCAGAGCGCAATCGGATTAGAAGTGTCGAGAGAAAAAAAATCGGCGAGAAAAAAAAAAAACAGTCGGATCGGCAGGCGAGTGCACGGGGACGGTCGTTTAATGGGAGGAAGAGCGGCCAAGCGAACGGCGGCGGAGGAGCAGCGGGCGTGGGCGAGGGAGTTCGTATAGGGACAGACTGAAGAGGGAGAAGAGAGTCCAGGACACAGGGAAGAGACGAGTAATAAAGGGCCGGACTGTGGTGACGTCCCTTGGTTGGTTTCGACGCGTGGCCGAGGCTGTGGCTGTGGAGCGGGAGGGTGCCTGTCAGCTTCGCTCCCGCCGCCAGCCCCGGCACTCGCTCGAACACGTCGCATCCAGACGTCACCTTCGCGCCAGCCAAGATGCACCAAGCCGGATCGCGCGGGATTTCGGCTGAGAAAGCGCTTTGTTCTAATTCAGGATTCTTCACATCCCAGCCTCCAACTTCTGCCCGAAGCTTCCCCTTCCCCAAAATCTCACCCAAATCATTCTCTCACTTTCCCCCACCCTCAGCTCATACGATACAATAGTTCTTTCGCATCCTTCCTTCGCCGGGGATCCGCCACGCACGCGCCCCGCTCCGCTCCGTCCGTTCACCGCCTGGGCAAGCCAACCCACCCAACCCCCTCTGACGTCGTCGCGCCCCGAGCACCCTGACTCCCCCCTGTCGAGCGCCGATCTCAGGCCAGATCCCAGATCATCTCGCGGCCGGTACGCCGGGTCTTGTCCCAGACGCACGGCGTTTGCAAGCGCCAAACCACGAACCTGCGAAGAAAAATCCAAAACTGCTAGTCTTCAACTCTGGTGCCGCTTGCCGCCGACGCCACCTGCGCGCTGCCGGCGCAGGGCGCAGAGCCGCCTCGACCTTGCAAGGCACGCCAGAAAAGCTTGCTTTCCCCTATCTTTTCCCTGCTTCAAGTCTGTGAGCACGTTCTCCATCTATCTCTTCCCTGCTTTTGCCGCCTAGGCGCGCATCCAGCCCAGCCATGTTGACAATGACAGTTGCAGCCAACGACGTGCTTTACCGCTGGCGTCTCGTCCCCTGTCTGTGACCCTGATTCTGCCTGGCGCTCCACACCAGCATCACCATCACGACGACCTCGACAAGCTCGAAACACCACACGTGCTCTGTGGTGTCTTGTCACTTGTCTTGGCATGTCTTGTCTCACAATCACCATCATCATCACCAACCACCACGCGCGACTCGTCGCACCCCGCGCACGGCCGCACACCCACGACCCAGACCCAGGTCCCGCACCCACACCCCACCACCCGCGACGCCAGCGCCGGCGGCCCAGGCCACCCCGCGCCGCTGGCCGCTGCCGATTGCGCGAAAATCCGGGCGCGCCAACTCAGCGCTGATGCGTGCGTTTTTCATGCTTTGCGACTCTCAGTCGCGACGTTGCAGATGCTACTTTCTACTTGGGCTTGGCGCGGCGCGTTGTGGTGCGGTGCCGGGGCTGTAAGTAATAGTCTTGGTGGTGGTGGTGATTGCTGATGCGGCGATGTCGGCGCTTGCTGGGAATGCGTCTGCTGGTCTGCTGCCTGCGCTGCGACAGGTTCTGTAGCCTCCGCGCCGCACGCGAGCATGCTGCGACGCGATGCGCTGCGATGCGATGCGGCTCAAGTATCGCGTGGCGAGGGTGGGCGCCCTGGCGCGTGCGTGCGTGTGCGCGCCATCTACTATACACTGATGAAGTTCAGGTACAACAATACGGCTAGGTACATTGGACATATTGCGCGAACAGCATCTCCACGGTACGCATCTCCGTCCAATACTCCGACCCCTACACGAATTCCCATTCCAAGCTGGTCCCAATTGCCAATGTCCCAGCACCAATGCACCCAGCACCCGCCGCCCGGGTCTACCCCATCCCTTTCAGGCCCCCCTCCCCATCCCCATCTTATCCCTTCCCTTCTTCGACTCGCCTACCTCCCCAATCCCCCGCCACGCGTACCCAATACCCAAGTGGAGGCGCGGAGTCGCTCGGCACGCGTTCCGACCTACAAACACACCTAGCGCCCACTGCTGCAAGCTATGACTAGGTATTGTACCTGCGATAGTTCGGCACCGAGCCTCCCCCTGCCGAACAGAGGCCCCTTGCAACCTGCAACCTGCACACCTTCCTGCCTACCTACTCAGGCACAGCACCACACAGGAACCACCTCCGTACATGCTTCCGTACATACCTCCGTAGATACCTCCGTACCTACCCACCCACCCACCCAAGCACGTCCCACCGCTAAGCGCGCAGACCCTGATTCGCGGGGCCTTGCCCCGTGCGGGCTTGACGCTTGTTGACGACGACGCGTGGAACGGGGGTTTTGCGGTGGTGCGCGGGGGAGAGTGGGTTAGGTGGACGGGCGCTGGTGCGGCTGGTGTTGGTGTCGGTGCGTGCAGTGGGGTTTGCGGCGGTGGGTGGGTGGGTGGGAAGGGATAGGATGGCAGGAGAGGAAAGGGATAGGATGGCAGGAGAGGAAAGGGAGGGGAGGGGAGGGGAGCGCTGCTGGTTGCTTACCTGGCCAGCGGTTTAGACGCTGTTGTTGTAGTGGTGGTGGAAGTAGGTAAGTAGGTGTCTGGCACGCAAGTAGGGTCTGTGGCGGTGATAGCTGGGACCGGGAGCGGGCCATGCGGATGCTCATATTGTGCAATAGGAGGGGTATAGTAGATGAAGTACCTATTTGTTGTGGCGCTGTTTGTGCGAGTGGCGCGTACTGTGCTGTGCTGTCTACGTTGTGTGTACGTATTGTAGGATCTCTAATTTTGTAGCTTTAAAGCTTTATTGAGGTGTACGATAGCATTTTCTTCCGCGATGAGTGCGCCAGCCAGCAATTCATCCCACTCCCAACCCTACCTACTTATTAAACTGCATACTATACCCCCCACTCTTCTCATCCTTAACAAACTGGAAATTATCCGTACTCAGCCCAAAAGGGCTCAGTATGCCATTCCCGAGCGTCTTCAACTTGCCCATCATATCCGCCAGCTCCGTCTGCCTCGCCTGCGCCACGCGCGGCGGCAACTCGCGCAGCGCGGCATCCACGGTCCGCCGGTCCAGCGGCGTGAGGTCCTGCGACCGCGACAGCCGCGCGTAGTCGTCCTGCGCCGCCTGCAGGTCTGCCCACCCCGCTGCGGGCGGCGTCCGCGCTTTCGCCCGCCGCAGCAACGCTTTCGTGCGCAGCTTGCGCACGTCGTGGGTGCTGCGGCCGGTGCGCTGGAGCGCGGCGATGCGCGCGGCGGTGGCGTCGTCGATTTCCGCGACTTGTGCTCCGCTGCTGTTGTTGTTTTCGGCGGTGCTGCTGCTACTGGCTGTGGTTTGCGCGTCTGGGGCCTTGGCTGCGGCTTCGGGCTCTGGCTCTGGTTCTGCCGGCGGCGGGTCCACGCGGTCGAGGTGCTCGATCGCGAGCGAGGCGGCGTCGACGGCCTCTTTCCACTCGCTGAGCTTGAGGTGGCAGGCGGCGATGTTGGCGCGCAGGACCGCGATCTCGTAGTCCAGGTACGAGGGGCAGGAGGCGAGGGCTTTGTCGTAGGCTTGGATGGCCTCGGAGTAGGCGGCTGAGGTGAAGAGGGCGTTGGCGCTGGTTTTTTGGGAGTTGGTTGCCGCGAGAAGGGACTGTGAGCGGGGGGAGGGGCGTGTTAGTGGGGTTGGAAGTGCGGGGGAGAGTGCGGAGTCTGCGTGCTGCTGCTGGTGGGGGGGAGGGACTTGCGGCTTCTTCCTCGGGGGAGAACTGGGGGTCTTCTGCGCCGGCCGAGGTAGGGTCGACGGTGGCGTCTTTGGCGGCGGGGTCAGTGGACGCCATGGTGGATGCGCGACGGGGTTGGGGGAAATTAGAAGAGACCGAATTGCCTATTAGGGCAGACGTGGCAGAAAGGTGGGCTATCGCGGTTTACTGCCGGGCGGTGACGGCTTCCGCGCCCGCGTCCACGCGCACTGATCTACGTCATCGGCATTCCTCGCTCGCTCGCTCCCGTCTCGAGCCACAACCTAGCACGCCACGCTCACGTTAGATTGCAGCACTGCCGAGCTTCCGCATTGATTGTCATTCGCCTCCACGCCTCCAATCACGTCTCTCTTCACTCCCTCTGCCCCCCGGGGGCCGGCTCGTTCCAATTAAACCTTCCTACATGCAATACCCGCACAGCCCGGCGCCCAGCGCCTCGGCGGCTGCAAAGATCGCGATCGGCGTCGCGTCGGTGAAGAATGCCAAGCTGAGCGTGATCGAGACATCCAAGACGGCAATATAGCTCAAACGGTCGAGACCGTCCCCTGGCTGTAATTAGGCGCGCGAAGATCGTCACTGTTGGCGGCTGTGACGTTCTGATTTTAGTGACGAGGCCCTCGCCGCGCTTGTTTCTGGCTGTCGACATCGTGCTTGCGGTTCTGCCATGGAACTGGTGGAACAGGCGCGCGCTGCGTTCGAAGACCCGGCGCGTCAGTTTGTCCTGGTTGGTGCGCTGGTGTCGTGGTGCAGCCGCTCATCGTCCTCTTTCTCGAAGACGTTCTCTGGGTATTTTAACCGGTAGTTGCCATGCGCCTCGGCGTCCTTGATGTACGGCAGCTGCATCAACTGTAAATGTCCGTCACCGTCAAGCAAGATTCACCGTCTAGCGAGATAGAGAAGGAGACAAGCAGTTCCCATGGAATACTCATTGCCTAGCTACATGTCTAAGCCCTGGATATAGGCAAGGAGACCTTTAGGCATTTATATACTAACAGATATCTTGACTGGCTTTCGTTTCCATCTTACACACGCATTGTTGTGCTGTAGGCATTTCTGGCCATAGACAGGCTCAGCAGCTTCTCTTTCTCTTTCCCCAACAGCAGTGTGTCTGCAAACAAACCCATTTCTCAACCTCTCTGGAGCCTCCCTTCTGGCCTGTCAGCGCGTTACTCATTCGGCATTCCTCTGATCTTCAGCAGAAATATCTGACCCATCGTCGACGACATCTGCCTTGCAATTCGCGTTGGCAGCTGCCACTGCATCTCTTTAGTTATACAACTCCAGATGCCACGCAGCACAATGCTTCAGCCTCTGCACCTCCTGGAGCCTACTCTTCTGATAACGAGTTGCGATGCCCTACTGCGGTAACCAAAGATACGAGCACCAGGCTGAGCAGCCCAAACAGCTTCTCATCCTCCATCCACTGTTCACCTCTCTGACAAGATGGTGTTTGCTCTTAACGTACTATCTGCCCAAGAATATAAGATCATGAGATGACTGCTAAAGATAACAGAACAACCAGGTCCTACACATCTCTCTCATCCATACGGAAAGTCTTCAATTGTCTACTGAGCATGGAGAATGAATTTTCCCTCTGCAATCACCACCTGCACCCTGCGGCCATTGATTGCAGGCCTTCGCCTGAAAACATTGCTGCCGCGTATACCGCTGGAATTTCGACTTTCGAGTTTTCGGAAACGCCGTCATCTGCCTGTACTACCGCGGATTGCCCCACCAGCATCCTTGCCCGCGTCCTCAATCTCAAAGGTTACAACAAATAGCTCAGTGCTTATAACACGCTGTAAGTCTACTGACTAATGCTCTCTAAGACCAAGTACATCCGTCACCTGTTGTGTGGGACAGAATCGGAGGAGCTTGGGAAAGATTCCACATGACCTCTGCAGATCCCCCAGGGCCCCCGGACAACTCTCCCACGTAATAGGAAGGCGAAGAACCTGAACCGACCATGACTCCGTAGCTGAGGCGGGGTAGCAAAACAAAAGTCTTACTTTGATTGTAAATAGGGCTACTTGAAATCTCTCAAAATTCTAATGTATCTTCCTGCCTTATAATTGTCTCCCTTCTCCGGCAACAACAACAACAACAACAACAACAACAACCATGGCTTCCGCGAATAGCAAGCTCTTCAAGCCTATAAAGATTGGTGTCTCTGAACTGGAACACCGCATCGTGATGGCACCTCTCACCCGCTTTCGCGCTACCGACGAATACGTTCCGACGAATTTAATGGCACAGTATTACGCACAGCGCGCCGTCACGCCCGGTACGCTTATACTCGGTGAGGCTGCGGTCATTTCTCCTCGCGCTGGCGGCTACTCCAATGTCCCTGGCCTCTGGACCGATGAGCAGCTTGCCGGCTGGAAGGTTATCACCGACGCAATCCATGCCAAGGGCTGTAAGATTTGGGCGCAGCTCTGGGCAATCGGCCGCCCTGCTTACCCCGACCCGGATGGATCTGGCGGAGCAGTTAAAAATGACGACTTCGACTTCGAGAACGACTATGTCAGCGCGAGCGACGTCCCCATGGCCAAGGGCTTGCCTGCCCCTCGTCCCTTAAAGGAAGAGGAGATATACAGTTTCATAAGCGATTATGCCTCAGCTGCCAAAGCTGCAATTGAGAAGGGTGGCTTCGATGGTGTTGAGATCCATGGCGCTCACGGGCGAGTCCACACCAACACCCACAACCAGCACACACTAACGGCGCACCCAGCTACCTCATCGACCAATTCACCCAAGACGTCTCCAACAAGCGCACAGACGCATGGGGCGGGAGCATCGAAAAGCGCTCCCGCTTCTGCATCGAAGTTACCAAAGCGGTCGTGCAAGCCGTCGGCGCCGAGCGCGTCGGCATCCGCCTCAGCCCCTGGAGCACCTTCCAAGGGATGCGCATGGCAGACCCAATCCCGCAGTTCACATACCTCATAACCTCACTACGGAAACTCGACCTCGCCTTCCTCGAGCTCCTCGAACCCCGCGTCGCCGCGATCATCGACCGCGACCCGCACGACGACAGCCTCGCCTTCGCGCTCAAGGCGTGGGGACCCGACCGCCCCGTGCTGCTTTCCGGCGGCTTCAAGACGCCCGCGAGCGCGTACGACGCCGTCGACGCGACGTACAGGGATTATGAGGCGGCGGTCGTGTTTGGCCGCCTGTTTATCTCGACGCCGGATCTGGTCTTTAGGGTTAAGAAGCGCATTGCCCTGACGCCGTATGATCGCTCCACGTTCTATAAGCAGAAGTACATGCTGCCTGAGCCCGGCTATGTCGATTATCCGTATTCGAGGGAGTTTGTCGAGGAGTTTGGCTTGCCTGCTGAGGCGTAGTGAGGGCTGGGGTTGGGGTTGAGGGGGGCGGATGGTGGGCGGACGGGGGAAGGGGGGTGGATTGGAAGGATTGAGGGGATTGGGGGGATTGGGGGGATTGGGGGGAGGACGAGGTGGGGTGCGAGGATGAGGTGCAGTGGCTACCGTGCCGAAGCCCTGGAGATTAACAAGGAGAGCGGAAGAGAGGCAGGGCGTGGGCGCTTCCTCATCGGCGACGGCCAGTAAATCATTGTCCCCCACGACTATCAGACAAACTCGTGCTGGACTGTGCTGCAGCACCTGTGGTGCGTCGTCTGTGGGCTGTGAGCCGTACGTTCTTATGGGACATTGTGGGCGTAGTTACCTACGTAGGCAATGTCTGCCTGCCTTCTTAGTCCGGAAGATGGAAGTGCGTGTGCGTGTACATGGGTGGTTGTGCGGGTGGGCTTGGTGGCTGAGTGGGTGGTTAACTGATTAACTGGTTGGTTAATTTGTCTGAGCTCTACATGTTGGAACGCGCTTTAGCTCTTTTACTGCCGTACACATGAACGCTGAGTTTGCATAGGTAATAGGTAGTTAGTTAGGCAGGAGACTTGCCTATGCCTTTCTTCTCTTCTCCTGTTCTGTGTTTTCTGCTCTGTTCTGTTCGATTTTCGACGCACTGGTACAACAACTTGTACTTGTCCTCGGCCGCGGTAGCGCTAACGTCGCTGGGGCGACCCGTGAGTAAATGCAGGAGCTGGCCATTGCCTTCTATGTAGGAGTATCCCAAGTCTATATATATGCCACTGCGCCCGCTGTCCCCGCCAAGAAGTCGTCAGCCGCGCTGGTATGCAATCCACCCACACCTACGCCTTAACAGCAATGCCATAATCGGCATACGGGAAATCGACCAAGCTGTCAAACAGCCTGCCCCAGCCATCGTCCAGCTCGCCGGGAGCACCCGGGCGTCTCGCAATGCCCGCCTTCTTCGCCTCGACCGCCTCCGCCTCCTCCGCCAGCTTCTCGCCCTTCGTCACCGCATCGTCGTCGTCCTCCTTGTGCTCCCCCGTCAGCCCAGCCAGCACCTCCGCTTCCCTTCCGCGGTACTCCTCCCGCAGCCCCGGGTGCGGACACCACACGACCTGCATGCCTGCCCTCCTTCCGGCCTCCACGCCCGGCACGCTGTCCTCGAAAACAAGGCACTCGGCGGGCTTAACCTCGGTGCCGCCTTCGCGCCGCAAGCGCGCGTTGATCGTCTCCAGCGCAAGCAAGTAGATATCCGGCGCGGGCTTGCCGCGGCCCGGCGCGACGCGGCTGTCGTCGCCCAGCACGCGGTGCTCGGGCGCGAAGGGCGCGAATAAACTGGTCAGGTGCGAGGTTTTGAGGCGGAAGTTTGCGGCGTGCGAGGACGTGGCGAGCGCGAGCTCGACTTGTGGGGAGGTGCGTTGCTCGAGCGTGGTCAGCAGGGCGGGGATCCCGGGGAGGGGCTGCGTCGAAGGGAAGTATTCGTGCTGCAGCGCCGATTGCTTGCGCATGAACTCGTCGTGCGTGATGGGCAGTTGGGCCCAGGCGTGGAAGATGCGTTGGGACTGCGCTTTGGCGTCAGCTGTCTCTGTCTCTTCGCCTCTTAAACTGCCCGCCTTCCTCTCGTTTTGCCTGCTGCGCGGCCGCGCCCATGGCGTGACAACAAGAAAGACATGACAGACGTACCTCGGGCCCCGGCCGCCCTTGTAACTGCGCCTTGATGCTCCACGGCAAATCCGGCTTGCCGTACTCGTGCAGCAGCTTGTTCGTGCAGATGGTGTACAAGTCCTCGGTGTCGATCAGCAGACCGTCCATGTCGAAGAGGCAGGCGCGGATGGCCGGCGGGGCGGCGTGGCTGCTGCTGTCACGTCAGAGAGAGGCATTGGGATGTAGATTGGGGCAGCGTACTTGGTCTGGGTTGCCATGGTGGGCTCTGTGTGGGGAGTGGGTGCTGGGGAAAGTTGTGGGAGGAAGAATTGCGGGAAGGTGGGGTGTCGGTCAGGCACCAGGCACACAGGGTCGTCGGCGCCGCGGGGTTTACGGCGTTTGACTCCGACGCACCGGGTCGCGTCGGCGTGGTTATGTCTACTGTACTTCATGCTGTGCTGACAACTGGAATATGTGTCGGCCCAGAGTTAGAAGTATCTACTAAGCCATCTACAATCTGAACTTGTGCTGCCTCCCGTATCCCCAGTTCGGCAAGCAGCTGGGTATCCCGATTCGCTCATGAGAAGAAGAACGAGTTCCCCTCTGTATCCTTCCGATTGCCCTTTGTGTAATCCTTCTTCGGGTCGAATTCCTCCCACACACTGGCTGGGAAGATGTGCTTGTTCCGTTCGTACCACCTGCGGTCCACGACCTTCGTCATTGTGGCATCCTCATCCAGACCCTCTAACAGCGATTCGTCTACCGCCGCGCTTTTCTCCTTCTTCGGATCCGGACGGGCCAGCGGGTCATAGGTAGCCAGGTCAACATCTTCCTCCGATTGCGGCAGTGGTGTCGCCTTGGTCGGCTGATCCGAATGCTCAAAAATCCGCCCACCGAACCCGACCGTCTTGTTCATCATGAAGTAGTAAAACTCGTAATGATGGGGAATGATGATCTCGCCGCGCACGAGCATCAAGTCGTCGACGCTGACACGCGCCCACTCTCTCCGGCTCTTGTCGCCGCCCACGCCCAGCTCCGCGCCCACCTTCCGCGCCTTGTCTAGGAACAACCATACGTAGTCGCCCTTCTTGACCCGGCACTTGCCGCCCGGGATGTTGGTGCCGTCGTAGAAGACGAATGGGAGCGCAAACTCTGTCGCTTTGGCAAGTTCTTGCTTCTCCAGAAATTCCTTCCGCGCCTGTTCCCGCCTTTGGTCTTCCAGCACCATTGCCGACTTGGTCATCACCTTCGGCTGAACCGCGACATTCGTATTAGGCCCAAGCCGCCTCTTCGGCACCGCGGGTCCTTTCTCCTCCTCTGTGGCGGTGGGCGCTCTCTCGTCCGCTGGCATGTTCGACATGCTCCGCGGCGTCACGGCCGCGGAAGTGCCCGTCCCTGATTCCCCTCCCTCTTCCTCATCATCTAGCCCAAACGAAAGCTTGCCCTTCGCGACTGTCTTCTTCTTCTTTTTCTTTGGCGGCCGCGGGGTCGACTCTGTACTTTGACCAATTACTACGTAGCTCCGCGCAGGCACTTCCGACACGCGCAACTTACCTTCCGATGGCGTCGCCGCGCCTGACGTCCCCGGTGTTCCCTCCTTGCCCCGGAGTTGGTCTTGGCGCTCTCGGTCCTTGAGCTCGAGTGCTTCGGCGCGGCGCTTGCGGAAGTCGGAGAGCTGGACGAGACCGACGGTTTGCGATTTCAGCAGGTCTTCTGCGGTCGAGGCTTGCGAGGTGAAGCGCGGGTTGACGAAGGTGTTGGGGGTCCCGCTCCGCGACGGGTCGGCGGACGAGGGATTGGATCGGTCCATGTTGGAAGTGTTGATTGAGTACCTTAGGGTGTGACGCGCGGGATGGAATCATTAATGGCCGGCAAAACCGCGGGCGTCGCAAACCCCAGGCGGCGGGGAGCGAGGCGCGCGTCTCGAAAATTCCGCCCGCATGCCAACACCCATTCGCGCCTGCCTGTCGCTCTGCTTCCTTGCGCTCGCATTCCCTCCCTCCTTCTCCCTCTCCCTCTCTTCACCATGGACGCCTCCGCCAATTACGACGACATGCCCGTCTTTTACGTTGGCCACCACGAGACCAAGCGCTCGTATCCTGTGACGGACCTGCTGCTTCTTCAGGCCCAGGACTGCAATGTGAGCTTCCCCCGCTCGCTGTAGCCGACCTCGTGCTAATTGCGCCCCAGTATGACATGCTCACTGCTCCCATCACCACCGCCCACTTCCACACGCGCGTGCTGAACCTGCTCTCCGCCCACAATGCCGCCCTCGCCGCGGCCTCGAACAAGGACGACGTGCCGCTGCCACTGATTTCTCCTCTAGGTCCCGAAGACACTCTTATGACGCCCAATGACACCGTGTCCCAGCTTCTGGCGCTCACCAGCCCATGGATCGACTTGGCCTCTCCGGACCCGGTCATTGCTCACATTTCGCGCCAGGTCTTCACCCAGGAAGTCGCCTATGCTTGCTTCTGCGGCGTCGGCAACATCATTATTCAGGGCCCGAAGCTGCATCACGGTGACTTGAGCCAAGACGGCGTTGCGCAATTTGCGCGTGCGATCCAAGAAGCCCTGTCCATCGGCCCGTACGTGAATCTTCAGATCATGCTGCCCATGGTCGACGACCCGACCGTCGATTCGAGTGATGAGATGGGAAGCTTGGCGCCCTTCGCGAGAGAAGAGTACCTCCAGGGCAAGGGTGGAAAAGGAAGCAAGACGGTGGACCACTTTGGCGCCTGGGACGCGTGGAATGTCATCCGGACCGTATGTAAATACAACGCGAGGCTATCCGTAGGTAAGAATCAAAATCATTCAATGCGTACCTTTTTCCGCTCGTTCCTATCGTCATTCGCTACTTCATTTTTGGGGTCTCTATGGTCAATAGTTGCATGCATCGAGGTACTGCTCTCCTGTGGCACCGTCATGCGCGTGCGCGTTGCTGACATTCTTTATGACAGCCTTGATCTTGCCGTCTCAACTTCCTCCCATGTCCGTTCAGTCCAGATGGTTCTCCGAGCCTTTGCGTCTCCTTTCAATTCCCGGCTCCACCTTCCTCAAGAACAAGAAGGGCTACTCGGTGCTTTCCGTGGGCCACCAGGCGCTCATCACACGCTATATGCGTCTGCGCAACCCACCATGGATCCTGTTGACCGACGTCGGCCCAATCCCGGGCGTGGACAACCCGGACGCAGTCATGAGCATGTCCACCGGCTTTCTCTCACCCGAAGCCGTGTCCACCACTCCTGATGCTAGCCCATCTCACGATCCGACGCCGGCCGAAGCAGCGCAGATTCCCAAGCAGAAGAAGCCCCAGGACCCTACACCCCACCTCAGCTACATCCGCTACCTGCAAAAGCACCAGCCGGCGAAGACTCCGATTGAGCGCTTCGGTTCTGGATACCAGGACTACCTTCAATCTCCTCTGCAACCACTGGCCGATAACCTCGAGAGCATCACCTACGAAGTCTTTGAGAAGGACCCAGTCAAGTACGAGTGGTACGAGCGCGCCATTGAAGCCGCCCTGCGTGACTGGAAGGCCCAGAACAAGACGACGTCTTCCCCCGATGGCTCCGTGGTCGTGGCGGTAGTGGGCGCCGGACGCGGCCCGCTCGTCACTCGCGCACTCAAAGCGTCTGCCAGCTCTGGTGTCAAGATAGACATGTGGGCGGTGGAGAAGAACCCCAACGCGTACGTGCTGCTCCAACGGCACAACCACGACACGTGGAACGGCGCCGTGACGGTCGTCAAGTCGGACATGCGTTCCTGGAAGGGCCCGCACCGGGGCGACGGCAGCCACGGAAACGTCGACATCCTCGTGTCGGAGCTGCTAGGAAGCTTCGCCGACAACGAACTCAGCCCGGAGTGCCTGGACGGCGTGCAGCACGTGCTCAACCCCACGCACGGCATCAGCATCCCGACTAGCTATACGGCGCACCTCACGCCCATCGCCGCGCCAAAACTGCACAACGACGTCGCGGCGCGCGAAGCCACGGACCCGACCGCCCCGGAGACGCCCCACGTCGTCATGCTGCACGCGATCGACTACCTCTCGACGCTCGCGCCCCCAAGCAGCAGCAGCAGCAGTAGCGGGCCGAAATCCGGCGCCGCCGAGAACCCCGCCACGCCAGACGTCCAGCTGGTCTGGGAGTTTACGCACCCAGTCTCTGCGGCGGTGATTGCGCAAGCGACACTCCGCCAGGGGGGCAGCGCGGCGGGCGGCGCGGGCGGCGCCACCGGCGGCGATGGCGCTAACGAACATAACTTCCGCTGCAGGAAGATGAGCTTTGCGTGCCGGGATCGTGGGATTTGCCATGGTTTGGCTGGATACTTTGAGACGGTGCTGTATCAGGGCCCGAGTGGCAAGGTTGAGTTGAGCACGAATCCGAATACGATCGATGCCAAGAGTAGGGATATGATCAGCTGGTTCCCGATCTATTTCCCGCTGAAGGTATGTTGTTTGCGCTATTTCTTTTTCTGTTTGCGTGGGTTGGAAGAGAGGGATTGAGGTTGCGGTTTTTGTGCGGTTTCAGTGTGTGTGCTAATGCTGCTCTCGCCCCGTTTTCTAGACACCGGTCCTTATCCCCGACGACGCGGAGATCGACGTCACCATGTGGCGCCAGACCGACGACCGCAAGGTCTGGTATGAGTGGCTCGTTGAGGCATTTGTGACCGTGCGCGGTAGGCGCCTGCGCGTTGCTGTCTCGGAGCTGCATTCGAGCAGGAAGAATGGCTGCTTGATGTAAGTGTAGTGGGGTGAGAGAGCCTGCTGGGTGGGCGTGGAGGTGGGGGGAGGAGGGAGGGGAGGGAGAGAGAAGGAAGGTGTTGCTTGTCGGGCTGTGGCTATGTAGGTGGGGATGAGTGTAGTGCGGTGCCAGCGGAGCGGAAGTGCAGTATGTATGTACCTACAGCCAACCGCCTTGGGTCCTTCTCGCTCGTATCTGTATCCGATTCAAGTTTTCTATTTTTCTCTTCCCTTCTTTCCTCTCGTCTTTCCTCTTCGTGCTACCCATCTGCATACCCGCCTAACCTCGCCCAAACATCCCACCCCATCTTTCCATCTTAATACAGCCCATCTCAGTCCAGTCCCGTCCCGTCTCATTCGAAGTTCTCGCAAAAACCGCACGCAGGAGGTGCGCAGTGGGTGCTGCGTGGCCGGTAACGGGTGATCGCCAGCCCAGTCAGCCCAACCTCAGCCCATCGCATCCACGGCTTCCGCGGCCCGCGCCACGCGCGCGTCGCTAAGGCAGGTTTGGGTTCGCGCCTAAAAACATCAGTCAGCAGTCATCAGCAGCCGCGATCGGTCAGTCGGTGGTGGTGGTGGTGGTGGTGGGGCAGCGCGGCATGATATATCTCCGCGAATAGCAGCGCTGCGTTGGCCGCCAGGCCGCTCGCTTGCTTGCTCGCTCGCGTCGCTACCCGGGGCCCCTGCCGCGGATCCCGGGCCGAGAATTGCCTGGGTGAGGAAAATTGCGGGGAAGGTCAAAGAGTGCTTGGGCACCGCCTACTTAGCCTACCTAGCCTTACTTGGGTATGGGGGGGTAGTGCGTGGGTAGACGGTAGTGTGTGCAGCTGCGGAGCGGCGGGTCCGACGCGGCTGTATGGAAGGTAGGTTTGTCTGGCTGTTTGTCTGGCTGTATGTAGGTACGTATGCAGGCACAGGTGAGGTATGTACGATGACGGTGGGGGGCGTGGGGTCCGGCAGCGTGCAGCAGCTTGCAGCGCGCATCTGTGGCGGTAGGTGGTGCGTATAAAGCGCGGCCGGTAGCAGTTTGCCGTTTGCCGTTTGCCGTCTGCTTGCCTGCCTTCACTGCCTTGCCACTGACTACTGAATACCCCCACAGCTACGACACGATGCACAGCATGCTGTATCTCGCGTCCGCCAGCCTGTCTGCGGCGGCACTGGCTGCGGCTGTCGACGTGGTCGTCCCGGCTTCGGTGCCCTTGGGCGCGGCGAGGCTGGATAAGGCGCCCGTTGGTATCTCGTACGTTGCTGTCTGCTTCTGCTTCTGCTTCTGCAGTTATTTTCCTGTTTAGGGTGTGAGAGATAACTAGTGGCTAAACATTGCGTGCGTCCGCAGATACGAGTTCTTTGCCTTCCCATCCTATCGCCTAAACGTCTCTGCTACTGCGAGGTGCGAGCGCAACCTGAGAGACCTATCTGGCACATGGCCGCCCGTGCGCATTGGTGGGACGACGCAGTGAGTTGGCTGATTTATCCGTTTGTTCGTTTGAAAGTACGAAGTGGAAGGCAGCTTTAGATAGGAAGGCTGACACCATTGCCCAACAACAGAGACCGCGCGCTCTTCGACCCCGCGCTCGACGCGTACGTCAGCTACAGTGTCGCGGACCCGGCGGACGCGCCTGCGGACCTGACGTTCGGGCCAGGGTTCCTGGAGCTGGCGGGCGAGTACGAGGGGAGAGTTACGCTGGGTGAGTTGCCGACCTCTTTACCTGCCTAAACTTCCCTACCTCGTCTTGTAAAAGAACATGTCTCGCTAACTATGCTTTTCTTTGTTTTCCGCAGGCCTCAACAGAGGCCGCAACAACCTCGACAACACCATCGCTGCCGCCCGCGCCGCCGTCTCCGCTATGCCCAACCTCCTCGCCATCGAACTCGGCAACGAGCCCGAATGTACCGTCCTGCCCTCCCCCCTCACAACCCCCTCCCAGCCGTATACTAACCTTCCCCCCCTTTCCCTCCGGCAGACTACCCCAAAGACGGGCAGCCCATCGCTGCTGGGACATGGGACCCAGCCACGGACGCCGCCTCGCAAGCAAATTGGCAGCTGGCGGTCGGCGGCGCGCTAGCGTCCGACTCAACATTAAACACGGCGCCGCCGGTGTTTGAGGCGGGCAACTCGCTGGAGAGCCCGGACACGTGGGGCGCGAGGGAGCTGATTCAGGCGCAGAACGAGAGTGCGCGGGAGTGGGTGAAGTCGTATTCGCATCACAATTACCCGGGCGGCGGGATCGAGGACCTTATGAGCCATGCCAATGTGGTATCGAACGTGGAGCAGTTCGGTGACGACGTCGTTGCTGCGCAGGACCTTGGGTGGGAGTATGTGCTTGGCGAGACGAACTCGGGTGTGTATACTGCATCTCCTCTTTCCTCTGTTATCTTTCTCCCTCTCCTTTTCCCTCCTACCCCTCTTTCTTTCCATTCCTTGTCTCTGCCGTGAAACTCACGCACCAACACACACACACACACACATACACGCACAAACTAACACGCCACCCCCACAGCCACCGGCGGTGGCGCCGCCTCCGTCTCCCCTTCCTTCGGCGCCGCCCTCTGGCTCGCAGACTACGCCCTTCAAGCCGCCAGCGCAAACATCTCCCGCCTGTACTTCCACCACGGCACCGTCGGCAACTGCCAGTACTGCTGGTGGGGCCGCTACAGCATGGGCGCGCCCTACTATGGCGCGTATTTTGCTGCTAGTGCGTTTGCGCTGGGCGAGTGGGTCGTGCCTCTCGACGCAGGAGAGGACGCTGGAGCGGGGGATGTGGGTGCTTATGCGGTATATGATCTCGATGGAGCGGTCAAGGGCGTCGCGCTGCTGAACACTGCGTACTGGGATGGCAGCGGCGAGAGGGCGGGTACCGAGGTAGTACTAAGAGGCTTAGGGAGCGGGGGTGTTAAGGCGAAGAGGCTGACGTCGGAGAGTGGTGGCGCGACGGCGAGGGTGGACAAAGGCCAGAAAGTCACGTTTGCGGGCAGGGAGTTTGAGGACGGAACTTGTGTTGTTAGTGGGGAGGAGGTGCTGGAGGAGGTTGTGGTTGATGCGGAGGGCACGGCGAGGGTGAGTGTGGGCGCTTCGGAGGGGGTGTTGGTGCTTTTGTAGCGTGGGGGGGTTGTGTGTACGGCTGTAAGTAACATGCACGGGTCCGACACCGAAAAGATAGGAGAGAGAACGAGGACTGAGCTCTAAATTGTCGGTGAGAAGCATACTACGTACGTCCACTGCTGCTACTCTACGCGGATATCGGGCTGCGTTGGGCAGTTTTGCCGATAGGTACGGATGGATAGGTAATCGTGGGTAGGTACGGAGTAGGGGGGGCTTCTTTAGATCGGGATCTTATCGATCTGCAAGATCTGGAGCTACTGACTCGACTTGATAGGACTGAGGACTTTTTTTTTTCGATACTGTGGGGATAGCTTCATGCCATGGCAGTGGGGGGTTCGGCTACATCGTGTTTGGTTTCTGCTCGTCGAGATGTCCTGGGTATCAATAACTCCGTCACCCATCCAACAACCTTAGCCGGCATCAGCAACATTGGCAACCTCCACTAACAGGAACCACGTTCCGTCACACCGTCGTCTTCACCCTGACCAACAAACACCAAGCCGCAACGACGAACCCAGATGCCCACCGCCCAAGCACCAATCAACCCGCCCCCTCCCAAAGCCGAGCCGTATCTGCCGACAGCAAGCAAACAAACACCTCGCCCTCGTATGACATCATCGCCCACTCGTTCGGAGGAGCCGGATTTGCTTCATCATCATCGTAAATCCGATTGGTTGCTGTAAATCCGACCGCTCGACTACTGCCGACCGACGCGAGGCGGGGTAGTATGCCGTATGCTGGTCTTAGAGCGTCCAAGGGGGCTCATGGAGGCCTGCGCTGATGCTTCTTGGAGGCCTGCGCTCTCGCTTCGTCGGTCTTCGTCGGCCATCGCTGCTGACATGCAGCTTTTCTCCATCACGAGCCCGTCAGCAGACCAGACCGCTCTTCTCCTTGCTAATACTGGGACGACGAGGCTCGCCGGCCTTGACTGTGGAGTAGTGCCAGCCATGCCATTGGTAATGGATGAAATGGGATGGGCCGATTGAGGGTATATAGGGGAGGGTTATACGCCGTCTGCTGGTGCTTTCTTTTGTATTCTTCTCTTGAACCAGTCTTTCTTCTTCTGTCTTAATCATCACTATGAGGCCGCTTCAGCCATCGTCGGTCTTGCTGGCCGGCTTTCTTTCCGCCGCGTGTCTCTCCCCAGCCGTAGCAGCAGCCAAGTCGACGCTCTTCGAGGGCGGCACCATCATCTCCTTTGACGACGATTCCCAAACCATCAAAGTGCTGCGCGACCACTCCCTCCTCGTAACAGGCGACCGCATCGCCGCCATCTTCGACACCCCCTCCAATGCGACCAACGTCTCCATCCCCGCCGACGCCGAGAGAGTCCCAGCCACGGGCAAGATCATCTCGCCCGGCTTCGTCGACACCCACCGCCACGGCTGGCAGACCGCCTACAAGACCCTCGGCTCCAACACCACGCTGGGCGAGTACTTTTCGCGGTACGGCGAATTCACGCAGGCGGCGACCGTGTTCACCCCAGACGACGTCTACTACGGCCAGCTGGCGGGCGTGTACGAGGCCCTCAACGCGGGCGTCACGTCGATTCTCGAGCACGCGCACGCCACCTTTTCGAACGATACTGCCCGCGCTTACCTCAACGCTTCCCTCGACAGCGGCGTCCGCATGTGGTGGTGCTACGCCTTCCATACCCTCGACAACGGCTTCTCCGTCCCGCAGCAAATGGCAAACTTCCGGGACCTGCTGGCCGACGAGCGCCTGCAAGCCAGCACGACCGTGCTCCCCGGCATCGCGTACGACGCGTTCGCGACAGGCAGCGCGGACGAAGTCGCCGCTATCGTCGACCTCGCCACGTCTGAGAACATCTCCGCCATCACGACGCACTACCTCGGCGGCCCGTGGTTCAACGCCAATAGCCCCGCCAAGCTCAACGACCTCGCCCTCCTGAACGGCACAACCCCCATCGTCTTCTCCCACGCCAGCTACCTCACCCCGGAAGACGCGGCCCTGCTGCGCACGCACAACCACTACATCTCCACCACCCCCGAGTCCGAAATGCACTACGGGCACGGCCACGAGTCCACGGACCTAGCAGCCGACCAGGCCGCGCTCGGCGTAGATACGCACTTCACCTTCTCCTCGGACATATTGACGCAAGCCCGCCTCTGGCTCCAGTCCACCCGCCTCAAGTGGTTCGTCCAGCGCCTCCACGAATGGTCCATCCCCGCCACAAGCCCCATGTCCGCCTCCCAAGCCTTCCTGCTCGCGACGCGCGCGGGCGGCCTCGCGCTCCGCCGGCCGGACATCGGCGTCTTGAGCCCTGGCGCTGTCGCTGATATCGTGCTCTTTGATGGCACGGCCCCAAATATGCTCGGCTGGTGGGACCCGGTTGCGGCGGTGATTCTGCACGCGAATGTGGGCGACGTCAAGGACGTCATGGTCGGCGGCGAGTGGCGGAAGCGGGATGGAGAGCTGGTTTTGAAGCAGGATAGGAGCGTGGTCGAGGAGAATTTTTTGAAGTCTGCGAAGAGGATCCAGAGGGTGTGGTTGGAGACGCCGGCGCCGCTGCTCGAGGGCGAGTATCAGGCTGGTGTAAGGTATGAGCGCACGCATATGGTGGATGTCGTTAGAGGGAATGGGACGGGGTATTAGTATTAGGGGACGTGTATAATGCTTGGCTATGTAGGTGCTGATGGTAATGATAATGTCTGCTCTCACCTCTCTCTCCGGCCGCACGCATCTGTTAACCTACTAGGTAGTCAACACTCGACACAGCGCTAACCAACCTACCTACCTACCTACCTACCTACCGATCTTACCTCGCGCACTAACCACTAACCCTCCTCCCCTTTCCCTCTCCCTTCTTCACCATTAACAACATCCTCATACTTAGGCAGCCCCTCCGTGAGCGTCGCGCGCGGGTCTGCGGAGCGCGCGGGCAGCAGCGCCTTCACGTGCGCGCGGAAGCCGTGGGGCGCCGTCCAGGTGGGCAGGAGGCGCGCCGAGTGCCGTGTGCGCGTCGCGCTGTGCGTGCTGCTTGCGGGGCTGAGGGCGAGCGCGGCGGAGGCGGCGCTGCAGCGCGGCGTGAAGCGGAGGGCGTGTTTGCGTTTTTTGGCCACGGTGAGGACATGCAGGTGCGTGCTTGGGAGGCGGGCTTTGACGTAGTACTGCACGAGCTAGATGCGGCCGGCAATGCGCGTCGAGATGCTGGGCGGGAGAGCGTGGCCGGGCGAGTGCGCGAACGAGGCGCTAGGAGCGAGCTGAGTGCCCAGTCGGTTGCCCATTTGGCGGGCGCCTTGCACGGCGGACGGGAAGCGGAACTGGAAGGGGAGGGCGACGAAGGCGTCGTTGGCGTTAGTGAGGGCGCCAATGTCCTCCCCGGCAAACAGCTCCGCCTCGTACTGGAACAGGATGCTTTTCCCGATGAGCGTCTTGTACGTGTTGTTCCCGCTGCTGACGACAATGTGCGAGATGGCGCGGCCTTTGAAGCTGACTGAGACGCATGATGGCCCCAGCCGCGAGCTGTCTATTCGCACGCTTCCGCGCACGACGTCGCCCTCGGAGTAGACGACGGCGTCGGCTTGCGCTTGTGTTTGTGTGTTGTCTAGGACGATTTGGAATGCGTCTTCGGCGCTTGAGGTGGCCATGATTATGATTGTAGGGTTGAGGTAGAAATGAGGTGCGATTAAAGAAATATGGTGAGGTGAGACGGTGGCTGTTACCTATTAAGCCTTCTGTTTTCCCCACATAAAGACGGCAGCCGCGACATGTCTGATTGGCTTCTGAGCAACACTCTTCATAGCGTTGGCTGATGAAATATTGTCGAGGGCACGAAATAGAGAAAAGAGTTGAGTTGAGTTAAGTTGCTGGCGAAGAGATGAGGTGGAGCTGTTGCTGACTAAGCGAGACTAGCTACACTACATAGGGCACAAGCTAAACTACATCAGGCAAGAGAGCAATGCCTGCACAACACATTGACAAACATGCTCGATCTATGCGACGAAAGTGCTTGACGAGCTAGCTTCTTCCCTTGTCCCACTATAGATCTAGAGACAAAGTAAGTCATAGTTCAAGGAGAGATTGGAAAAGCTTACGCTCCGAGCAGTAGCGTTCGTTATCGCATCGTCTTATATTGCAGTATTCCTCCATGCAAACATCTAACAAGCTTTAGTAAAACATTTCCCATCACATTATACGTAGATAATTATGAGAATTGCACCACTGAGATTGTCCAAAGCATTCCTTGAAACAACCACCAGCTGTACATACATCTATACGGAACTAAAGTAAGCGTACAGGTCGATAGAATACGTAAAGCACACCTACGCTCTCGGCAGTAACTTCCGTACTCTCTCTCAGAGTAACAAGTTCTGTTGCAACAAATATCTATCGCCACTGTTAGCGGAAGGGTTCTTATTATACTCATTAAGTATAGATAGCTTACGCATATCGCAAAACTTAGTGCCAGCAACCACTACATTATCACAATGTCCGGAATCTCCTGTACATCGGTCTATTCGATTCTCATTTTTAGCTTTAAACCCCACTTTCAATAGACACACGTGAGGGGAACCAACGAGTGTTGCATAGGTTACTTCCAGAACAAGGTCTTTTTTGACAACCCCACATCTGGCATGTGGAGATTCGTAAAGAGGGCCCGAAGAATGACATTGGCAGAAGGAAACAGCAGTTGAAAAGCCACAGTTAGAAAGATTCGAGTAGATATCAATGTACGACGCTGGGATGTTGCAGTGATGTAGAATCATGGAACGGAATCGCGAATTCAGAATTATATATTCGAGCGAGAGTTTAATACAATCCAGAAGACAATCCATCCCGCGGCCACATCCATGGCCTTTTTAATCCCTCATGTTGGTGGCACATTACAAAAGACCACGCGGCTTGATCCTATTTGTTGTAAAACCGGTTTTGTGTATTTATTTGCTGCCAAGCCGGACGCCTTTCAGCTGCTGCTGAATGCCTCATGGCGCGCAGCCTTGCTGGTAAGCAGCCACAGATGCGCATCTGCATGCCGTTCTTAGAGCGTAGTGTGATTGCTCTGTACTAGGCTGTGGCTTGTGTGTATAAGGGAATATTAAGCGATTTGCAGGGTTCATTTTCGTGATATACATATAGAGCCATCGGCTTGGAAAAGTGCCGTCTATACCCGTAGCCATTGCCAATGGCCTAAGTAAGGAGACTATTACTAGCAGAAATTAAACCATTATTTATTTACTATCAACCGATAGTCTACAACTATATCTCAATAGCACTTTCTCCCCGGCATGAATAACAAATAGCTATCGACGGAGCTAAAATACTTAAATCTAAGTCTTAGCTACTAACTAAGCATACATACAAAGCCATCCTCACATCTCCAGGCCCGAGCTATCACATTTAAGAAACCAGTGACGAGACCTTCCACCACAGAATGCCAAGCCCCTAACCCATTATCTCACCCGTCCAGCCGGTGTTTATGAGACACAGTCTGTAGCTTAGTGAAATAAAATAGATAGCGTAATGGAATAGAGCGTTGATTGTTGATAGGTAATAACACCCTAACCCCCAGCACTAGCATACCCGCCCCCACCACCATAAATACTCGCACCCGGCGCAAAGCCAACAAGCCTCTCCCCCGGCCCAGGCCGGAACTTCAGCTCCTTATACCACTCACACGCCGAGGGCGCGAGCTGCTCAACCTCCGCAAACTCGAAGCCGGCCTTGGGCAGCTTGTCGAAGATGCCGCGCGAGTACTGCGGCGAGATGTTGTGCACTTGGGCTAGGTATTTCTTCTGTGGTGGCATTAGTTTCACGGCTCATGGCGTTGGGGTTTGTGGGGTTGAATTTCGGGACGGCAATGGCAGCGCAGCGAAACCGTGCGTTTGGAAACAAGTCGGTTTGCGCGCCGTACGTACCTGGACCAGCGGGCTCGTCACCCGCGCCAGCAGCCGCGCTGTGTTGGCAATCGTGTTCTGCCGCGCTCCCTCGTCCATGACTCGACTCCACAGCTCCCTCGCCTGGTCATACTCGCTGCTCTTCCCCTCGTGGAAATAGTGGCTCTTGCGGCTGACAATGTTGTCACTGACGGCGTTCGGCGCCTCGGCAGCATCCGGGCGGAACTTGTGCGCGTTGCTGTTGGGCACGTACTGCTTGTTGCCAGCATGGTTAGCATCGACGCGCATCTGGCCGTCAAAGTTGAGCGGCGAAAACGACCCCGCCATGAACGGGCAGTTGACGGGGATCTGGTGCAGGTTCACGCCGATGCGGTGGTACTGCGCGTCGCGGTAGAAGAACATGCGGAACTGGAGGAGCGGGTCCGGCGAGTCTTCGATGCCCGGTACCATGCTGCCGGGCGAGAAGGCCGCTTGCTCGACGTCGCGGTGGAAGTTCTCCGGGTTCTTGTTCAGGACGAGGCGCCCGAACTCGCGCATCGGGAAGCGGTTGCGCGGCCATACTTTCGTCACGTCGAATGGGTCGAAGCCGAGTTTCTCGGCGTCGGCTTCCTCCGGCTTCATAATCTGGATTTTGGCGGCCCACTCGATGTTCTCCCCCTTTTCGATTGCCTGCCAGAGATCGCGCTTCGAGTAGTCTGGATCCTGGCCCGACACGCGCGTCGCCTCGTCGTCCGTAAACTGCTTCTGCCCGTGCTTCGCGATGAAGTGGTATTTAATGTAGACGAAGCCGCCGTCCTTATTAACCCACTTGAACGTATGACAGCCGTAGCCGTGGTTAAAGCGCCAGCCAACAGGGGTGCCATGATCGGAGAAAAACATCAGACCAGCGTGGTTGGCCTCGGGAGTGTTGGCAAGGAGGTCGAAGGTGGCGTCGAAGTCGAGAAGAAAGTTGTCTGGCCGCCGCCATTGCGAGCGGATTACGTCTGGTCCTTGGATGGGGTCGCGGCAGAAGAATATGGGCCAGTTGAGCCCTACGATGTCGTAGTTGCCTTCTTGGGTGTAGAATTTGATGGCGAAGCCACGCGGGTTGCGTGCTTCGTCTGGGAATTCGCGCCTGAGTGTGACGGTGGAAAAGCGGACAAATACCGGTGTCTTCTCTCCAACCGACTGGAGAAAGTTTGCTTTCTGTTTCTATGTGAGGAGCTATCCTTAAGGCGATATCCGTTACTTACAGTCAAGTCGCTCACATCCTGGGTTGTCTCAAAATAACCGAATGCACCGCTGCCGCATGGGTGGACCATCCCTTGAGACCATTAGCCAATCTGTACATTTGTAAAGCCTCCGAAAGCCACATACTCTCCAGATTCTTGGATCGATTGAATGTTTGCTGCTTCCTTCCCACGAGCATTAGTCACGAATTTGTCACCCAAACAACAAGGAAAGTCCTTACTGGAAAAGGAAAATATCGCTAGCGAGCGGAATACCACCGATAGTTTTGCTATGCGCACTGTTCACATATTAGCCTCGCCGAACCACAATAGACTCTCCAAAACACATACGGGTCAGGGAAAGGATGTCCCTCATTGTTAGTGAAGTACGCGCCGTCATCAGCCCTCTTGCCGCCTTGTACAGTGCCAGACACCTTAGCGATAATGTCGGCGGGTCCCTCGTTTGCACTCGCCATGTGCGACATGCGGTTGCTGCGGGACTCGCCCTGCAGGGCACTTCCAATTGCTGCGGCCGTTGCTTGCAGTGGGTGCTGCATCGGGTGCATCTGGTTGCTGTTGGACGATGTGGTAGTTGGCATTTTGGGCAGTTTTGACGTTAGATTTGATGGAACATCCATAGAATGTCAGACTATGAGACAGAAAACAGTGCTGTTTGTCGGTGAGAAGACGTTTATATTACTCCTAGTACCCAGTGATTGCTCATTGGATAGTGCGGACGACTGTCAGTATCATAGCATCATCATTGTTGTCAGGGGAGGTGGGCAGCACGCATGCGCCATTTGAAAAGCGAATCAGAGGTGTCGAATTGTAAGGCTGCTCTATGTAATGATGTCAACGCAGCGCAAGAATTATTAACACTCGAGCTCCCATTGAGTGAATTCGAGGGTTGGAGGTACAAGTCAGATATAGGTAGTACTCCTAGGAATAAGTATGACGAAGAAGCGTGTAACTGTACTTTAGCTTGCTAGGAATTCCATGACAGAAAGCCGGAACCAACACTGGACCGTTCTACTCCGGCATACTACTCAAACGCATTGAGAAAAACTGTAGATATCAAGCAACGAGGAGAGAATGAGATGATTGATGTTACGAAAGCAAATGAGCATCGACGGCAGAAGTGGGAGTTGCAGGCAACGCGCGGAGTAGAGGCCCGCGTCGCTGACTTAGCTGCGCTAAGCCTTTTAAAGCAAGCTCTAAGCTGCTTTAGAGCCTTAGGGCCGTGGTCACCTGCTAGCGCGCATCGACGCGAACCCCGCACGTCAACGTCAATCCCCATCGTTCTCTTTCCCCACAACTTCTTCGTACGGCGGCGGCGGCAACTCCTCACCCCCGTCTTCATCCTCCCAGTACATTCCACCGTCAGCAGCGCCATCTTCCGCAAACGCAATCCTTTCCCCAGCCTCCGCTTCACGCAGCCCCGGCCACGGCAGTACCGTCGAGCCCTTAACGTGATCGCCCACAGCCTTGACGTCAAACATCTTGCCCGCGCACTCGATGCTCAGCACTGCTACGAGGTCGTACGACCGTACGATGTTGTACGACTTGAAGGACGGGGTGAAGTGCTTGGGCACCACGAGCTGGCCCTCATTCTCCAGCAGCGACGCGAGCGGCACCATCTCGCCTCCAGCCGGCAGCAGGAGCGGCGGCGCCGAGGAAGATGAAGATGCCTCGCCGTGCTTCGCGTCCCAGTGACGCTCGGCAATGGTGATTTTGCGCGTGGTGGCTCGACATATCTGCGACAAGGAGACGACGCGGACTTGGGTGTGTGCCTTGATGGAGACGGTGAGTGCGTGCAGGTGCAAGGGCGGTGGCGTGGCTATGTCCGCGCTGCGCTCGCCGTGCGTGATGCCGAATGAAATGCTGAACGGGTGCCCTGCCCTGATCGTCTGGGGCAAGTGCATTTTTACCGCGAACGAGGCGGATGGGTCCTTTGAGCTAGGGATTAAGTCACAGAAGTGAGCGCGAAGGCCGTGCGGCTCGTAGTCGGGAATGAGGCGGCGCGACTGGCGCGTGTGTGACATGGTGCGGGTGGTAAGTGCAGGAGAAAGGGCAGGCGTGGGATCGGTACAGACGGGGCTGAAGTTCAGGTAGGTGACCTTCTTCTTCTCGCTGCTAAAGATCTTGAGGTGCATCGTCAGGATGCTGGCTTCGAGGTAGTATTGCACCGACTGGGGCTGGCCGCGGACGTCGGCTGTGAAGGTGGGAGGAAGAGCATGGCCGGGCTCGCTTTCAAAGGTGCGGCTGGGCTCGCTGTAGGTTCTGGCCTGTACGGCTGCCGGAAAGCGGAATTCGAAGGGAAAGGTTGCGAAAGAATCGTCCTCCGAGGCGGAAGAGGCAATGTCCTCGCCGGAGAAGAGGATCGTGTCGTATTGGAGGAGAGTGTATTTGCTTACGCGGGTGGCATGGCTATTGCCCTGCCGTTCGTTGATGCGGGATATGGCTAGGCCCTTGAAGCAGATTGAGACGCGCGAGGACTGGAGCTTCGTGTCGACTCTCACTTTTCCGCGCACCACGTCGCCCTCGCAAAAGACAGTGCGGGCACTGACACCGTCCAGTGCAATCTGCAATGGTTCTTCAGTCGCCATTTTTGTTGGCCTTAACATTGCGACCAAGGATGACATTAATAAGTTCGAGGTGAGTGTGGCTTTGGCTGCTATTTATAGATAACCCGGCCACGTGAAGCTGACGGATCGTCGCAATTGCTGCCTGAAGATGCCCCAAAGGCTTAGCTTCACTCATATGGTTCACTGATCACTCGCTTTAGCATACCGTCAGATTCAGGATCTCGATTACTACAAGAGGCTGAAGTGCTAATGGGGACAAAGTCTAAAGCTGCCTGTTGACAACATTCTTGCTCCTCTGGCGAATCATCGGGCCATAGCGATACAAGACAAACGGAATCGGAGCCAAAAGGACACTGATGCAGCCTAGCAGTGTAAGAGTCCAATGCGGGCCAAGACGCTCAAACATCGGGATACCAACGACAGTCATACCGCCCGCGACAGTGTAGCGCGCAAAAGCGTTGAAACTCAGCGCCGACGCAGCATATATGAGGTAGACATCGATGATGTACATGTACGCGCTGGTGAAGATAGTCATCAAACCATATCCGAACAAGACAGTGCCACAGATAGGCGCCCAGATGCTGACGGAGCTGTAGCATGTCCAACCAACCCAGAACAGCGAGATGGGGATCGAGACTGACCCGCCGAGCATGGCGTACCAGAGGCGGATTTCCGGGCGCCAGAGCCGGCCCTCTGCTTTTGCGGCTTCTAGCTCGCGCGCGGTTTGCCGGTACAGTATAGGAATTAGAGGGCCTGCGAGGAAAACGCCAAGCAAGACAGCGAGCCAGATGATGTTGGTGAGGCCCTGGGAAATGCCGTAGGGCTTGGTGAAGATGTACGCGAAGCCGTTGAAGAAGGTGAAGAGCACGATGTAGATCAGTGTGAGGTAGACGGCGAACAAGAGGACAATGGGCTCGGTGATGACGAAGGCGAATGGACGCCACAGAGCCGTTAGCAGCCTTGCAGCAAGCGGCGTCGACTTGATCTCCATCTCAGCGCGGTAGCGATCGTCACCGGTTGCACGCCGCAGGTGCTGAGCCCTCCAGCGCAGAAGGAGGGGCGAGTACGTCTCTGGCTGGAATGCCATGATGAGAGACAGTACCACGCCAGCCAGGATAAGCATGAGCCACTCTGCCCAGCGAAAGCTGATGTTGCCTCCGATGAATGCACTGATGACTGGTCCGAGAAGAGGGCCGCCGAAGGCCAAGAGCGCCATTAGAGGGAAAGTCCATGCGGCCTCGAGAGGCGTCCAAATGTCGGCAATGGTGCCGCCCGCTACGGTGAGTGGCGTGGATCCGAAAAAGCCTGAGAAGAAGCGCAGGATAATTGCGCCGGCGAAGTTGGGCGCAAGTGCGGTGCCCATGATGAAGAGCATGTAGATGATCATGGCTACCAGGTAAACCAGATTACGGCCGAACATCTCAGAGAACGAGCCCGCGAAGAGGGAACCAACGGCGAACCCTATGAGGTACATGCCTAAACTTCAACGTTAACATTTCAACGGCAACCACAAGAACAAGTAGACACTTACCCGTTGTCAACGACCCAGCAGTCTCGCTAACGTGAAAAGTTGCGCTAGACTGAGGCGTAACAGCAGCTTCAACAGACGAAGTAGCTGTCACCGAAAGCGCAATAGCGGCGACCAGGAGCGTAGCAACCAGGCGCCTCGCGGTGCTCCAGTTGTAAGGGTTCTGGGGATTGTCTTGGCCCCAGCCCACCACAAACACCAAGCCAGTTCCGCCCTCATCTTCGCTGCGTTTGCGACACTCTACGCCGTCAATCCTGTTGGCAACGGCGCTGCTTTTCTCGAGTTCGGAATCAGTGTCATTGGGGGCGGATGCGGCGCCGGAATTGTCGCTTTCCTGTTTCGGAATGGCGACGCTGATGTCTTTCTCGCTTAGGGTGTGGAGCTGCTCATGGACCTGCTGGCGCAGGTTGCGGAACTGACGGATTGACTGCATGGCGGGTAACGAGCTGATGAATGCGATAGTGATGCGCTGGTAGAGCCATTGCGTCCTAGGAATATATACACCGCCAAAGTTCCTGGCATTGACTTTGGTATAATGATATTTCCAAGCAGTCAGGATGTGTTCGAGCGGTTTTCGTCCGTCCTATGTCGACACCTGGGGCCAAAAGACGTTTCTCCATTTTTATGTGGGGACGTTGCCAGCGTGGTAGGGATTGAGCGAAGGAAGCGGCAGCGCAAGCGATATCTGCTATGCCTTCCTATAGTTTGGTTTGTCAGACTCGGAGATTTAGATTCTTAGCATTGTCTGTTTAGAGATTCTAGCATTGATTTGCTGATTGCTCTCGAGATCAACGGTTTAACACGACATTCTTTTCGCCCCCACTTACAAACCTAACTGTTTGGTTCGTCGAGATTTGCAAGTACACGTCAACGGCCCATACTAGACTCAGATGCTGGTTGCATCTCAGATGGTAACCATTTTCCATTGTTGTTTTTCTTTCCACTATAATCTTTGTACGTCCTTCCTTGTGCGCCGTGAAGCATGTCCGAGTAATAGTACTGTTAGGGAATAAATAATGGAGCACAACATTTATGGTTAGTCAATTTGTAAGTCTGTACAGAGAAAAGTCCTTCCAGTTTAGGTTTTTGGATTACGTCTTGGGTTGGACAAGATGGTAGATCTCCGGGTCGGATCTGTGAGTTTCAGCTACAGCGCACCGCCACCACCGCCACACCAGTCTATGACTCATGCGGTTTACGGCTAATCTATCATTATGATTCATTTGCACTACAGGTTCACGACACGACTCCTCAGCCTGATATTCAGTGCCATTCCCCAGGGGGCATCTCTATATCAAAGTGTGGCCAAGCGCCTTTGACCTCTACTCAACAAGAACTCGAACATTCCAATGACAGCGCCTCCTCAACCAACCAACATGCACAGCACGACACACCTTGACGGCCACCTGGACATACTTGGACAGCAACCGCTGCTCCAGATATACACGCAGATATGCCTTTGCTTCCCCGTCGCTGATGCTTCCTCGCAACCGGCAATTATTGAAACGCTGGGAAGAGGCATGGAACGATTATCTGCGAGTTTCCCGTGGATAGCCTATCAGGTCGTGAATGAAGGAGCAAAGGAAAGAAATACTGGCACCTTCAAAATCATCCCGTTCAAAAAAACTCCTCCTTTAAACTTCGTGGATCTCAGGCTTGATTCCTCGACACCAACGATGGACGAACTCAGGCGAGCGAATTTTCCCATGAGCATGCTAGATGAGACCTTCGTTGCGCCTCGCAATACCGTTCCAGGAAGCCGCGGCGAATCTCCGTCAGAGACTACACCAGTCTTCCTTGTTAGAGCTACTTCCATCATCGGCGGTCTTTTGCTCACATTCCTTGGCCAACACCAAAGCATGGACGGGACTGGCCTAGGGCAAGTCATCCATCTTTTCTCCAAAGCCTGCCGCAATGAGCCATTCACAAGCGAAGAACTATACTCCGGCAACCTGCCTCGCCGTGACCTCATCCCCTTGCTCGATGACTACAAGCCAGGCCCCGAGGTCGCTCGCCAGATTCTGAAGCCCTCTCCATCTACCGACTCTACCAACACCACACCTGCTCCTCCGCCATGCACTTGGGCCAACTTCACCTTCTCAGCAGCTTCGCTCGCGGCACTGAAGTCTCTCGCCACCCAGGCGCTGGCGCCTTCGACAAGCTACATCTCCACCGACGACGCGCTCACAGCCTTCATCTGGCAATCCGTCACGCGCGCCCGCCAGCCCCGCTTAAACCCCAGCACCGAATCCAAGTTCGCCCGCGCCGTCGATGTGCGCCACCACATGGGCGTCCCAGAGACGTATCCCGGGCTCCTACAGAACATGACGTACCACGGGTACACCGTGCAGCAGCTCATCGAGGCGCCGTTGGGGCACGTGGCATCCGAGCTGCGCTCAGCACTCGACCCGCAGACCTCGAAACTAGAGCGCGACACGCGCGCGCTGGCGACGCTGCTGAGCCGTACGCCGGACAAGCTGACGGTGTCGTTTATTGCGTCGGTGGACATGTCTGCGGGACTGATGCTGAGCTCGTGGGTGAAGCAGAAGTGCTATGAGGAGGATTTTGGGCTAGGTTTGGGGATGCCGGAATCTGTGAGAAGGCCGAGGTTTTCGGACTTTGAGAGTCTGGTGTATTTGTTGCCGAAGGCTCGGGATGGAGCAATTGCGGTGGCGATTTGTTTGCGGGATGATGATATGGCGAGGTTAAGGGCGGATGAGGAGTTTATGAAGTATGGGGAGTTTGACGGGTGAGGGTTCGGGGACATGATCTCGAAAGCCGACATACATCGACAGTTTTTACTCTACCGAAGATGTTGTCCAACCCGTCTGGCTTCTTCGGACTTACATTCAGATGCGAGCATCGTCCCGGCTTTTCCAGTCTCCAAAAGGAAATTTCCGGAGCCGTCCGGGCACCATCCGGGATTGCGCCATAGCATTCTTCACTGCCGGTTTGATCACTGCCGACGACAAGGCAGTGAAGTGGGTCAAGAACGCCAAACGTCCTCTCCCGCCACAAGACTGAAGATCAGATCAATGCGTCGGTAAAAAGGTCGATCTTAAGAAGTGTGGCTTGGACATGCAAGTTGCAACAGCTTGAATCAGAAACAACAACACAATGCCTTGGCGAATTGGCAACTTAATCATGGCAAGAAATTTCTTAAGAATCTCTTACGGAGTACGTACGGTGTTTCGTCAGCTGCTCGCCGATTTCGGATGCGCTTCATGGGTTTTCTGTTTCTTGTGTCGCAGGAAGCGACACTGAATCAATTGTCCTGACAGAGTGTGATGAAGCACAGCAGACACCAATGAATCTTTCGCCTACCCCAAGAGCGTAAATAGGCAGCTCTTTTCATCAGGCCATCTCTTCAATTCCGGGCATAACCGAAGCGTCTGCACTCGCGGCCCCTTCATCTTCTCGGATCGACCCCATTCGGCAACAAGTGGGTCCAGGGACCAGGATCAGCACCGTTGGCGACCAAAGCGCCGAGACAGTCGTTTGCGGCCATCGTCTCGTAACCCGGAGCCGGGACGTGCCGGGATGCCGCGCATGAAACACCAACGGCTCTTAGCTCCTGCCTATCGTGACCTAGGCCACGCAGACCCCTTTCGCTTCCAGCGCGCATCATCATTATTCTAGCCCGAAACGACGCAGTCTGGAGGCGCAGATGCCACACGTGGGCGAGGTGTTGGGCCAGCAAGCACTGTTGAAACCAAATGCCGGTGCCGGAGTCGCGACGTTGTACATAAATTGGCCGGCGCGCCCATATGGCTCCGGCTTGTTGTGCTGCTCGCTTCAGACCTCAGACCTCAGCCTTCAACCTCCACCGCTTCATTCTTTTTCGCGGCTTGTGTCAAGCTGCTCTCTGTTCTGCTACTAGCTATGCGCGCCGCTGGTCTTGCTTGCACACTGCTTCCTGTGGCAGCTGTGAATGCCGCGAAGCTCCTGCAGTCCAACGACGATGGCTGGGCGGAGATAAACCTGCGGACGTTCCACAACGTCTTGCGCACAGCAGGGCACAACGTGGTGCTATCCGGACCTGCAGAGAACGAGTCCGCGCGAGGTGCGCATGCTCTTTTCCCCACTGGCTCGAAGAGATCGGTCCAGGCTAACAACCTACCCAACCAGGTTCCCTCGACAAAGACCCCACTACGCTCAGCTCGCCCTGCGAGTACGACAGCTGCCCCGAAGGCAGCCCCGCCACCGGCTCCAACGCCACGGACCCGCGCCTCAACTACGTGAACTCGTACCCCGTGACCTCCGTGCGGTACGGGCTGAACACATCTGCGGCGAATTTTTTCGACGGCACAGCGCCAGATCTCGTCCTCACGGGCCCCAACGTCGGCACGAACCTCGACATCCAACTCCCCTTCTCCGGCACCGTTGGCGGCGCCTCCTACGCCGCGCACACGGCCAAGGTGCCCGCCATCGCGTTCTCGGGCAAGACGGGCGACCCGACCGCTTGGAACGAGGAGACGCCCCTGTACAGCACTGTCTATGCCGACCTCGCCCAGATCGTCACCGAGCATGTCCTCGCGGGCGGCGCGCCATACCTCCCGGACGACGTGTTCCTAAACGTCAATTTCCCGGCCGTGAGCGAGGACAGCTGCAACGAGGCGTCGCAGTTCAAGTTCGTGCTCACGCGGGTGAATCTCCATACGCCTGGCCTGTCGGACGACGATGTCCAGACTTGTGATCGGGAGACGCTGCCGAGGGAGCGGGAGGTCATTGATACTGATGGCTGCTATGTCAGTATTAGTGTTGGGGATGCCGCAGATAAGACGACGGCGACGGCCGATAAGCAGCAGGTCGTGCTGGACAAGCTGGGGGATTTGCTGACTTGCTTGCCTTGAGGGAGGTTTGGAGGTTTTGGCCTGTTTGGGATACGGGCAGTGAGATACCCACTTAATTTTAATGGACGAGAGAGCAAGCACCAAGCTTCATTTTTTCATGCTCAGCTGAAATGGCTTCCTTGATGCGTGTCTAGGACTCCACGAACTACCGAGGCTCTTTCTTCCACTGTCCCACAAAAGAGCTGGTCTTGCGTCATGCCAAGCAGGCAGCGCCCATCAGTCACGATATACTGCACAAGGCGTAGCAACAGCGGGATTGATCTGCGGGTGGGGGAAAAGCACATTTGCACTCCGGCAGCTACTGAACCACGCTCATCCCTGCGCGGGAGGCCCTGGTCGTGAAGAGTTTGGATATTGTTGCGAAGCGCGCGGACCAGTCGAGCTGGCCATGGGTTCCTGGCAGCACGAGTTGTGCACGGAAGTGGTGTGGTGCTCAGTGTACTACATGCTGCTGGACCCGCTACGGCAGAGAGAGGCAGCCTCTACGTCTTTGCTCTTCGGCAAAGTCTCAGTATCGGCCTTGCCGTTTCTGATATCGTCACTGTCCTCTGTTGTTTTGCAAATCCCGCCTTGATGAAGACCATACGGAGTAGAACAACGTGGGGCCTAGGTCGGCATGTCAGAGTACGGCATATCCAAGGTGAGCTTACTCAGACCCTCGACGCAACTCGCGCTGACACGGAATAGCAAGCGCTAGCCTGGTAAAGGGCTCGGTAGTTGCTGCGATCGACGGTATCATGGTATGATAATTACTCGTTACATAGGTTCAACTGCCTAGCTACGTTCTATGTAATCTATCACTAGGTATGAACAATATTAGGTCTACGATGTCACCAAAAGGTTAGTATGTATATAGTACGATGCATGGCGTGAAGAGACATGTTAAAACCAAGATAGTTTCCAACAGTCCTAAAACCTGAAATATTCTTTAATTGACGAAGATACAAAAGTCTAGTTGAATTACCAAACAATGGGCTTACAGTAGTTAGAGGAATACAAAATTGCATGACAGCTTCTGCCGCATCTCACGTAAACTGTAGGGATGCATATACATAGCCCCACTAATTCTCCGCTTCTTCACGCTAGGCAACAACTGCTGGTTCTAAAGTTCTACTGCCACGTACACATGCATAAAGAGATTAAGCTGTCTATCCTTGCCTCTAAACAGCTGCTTACGGCTGTGCGATGATAGGGCGGTCACGCCATGCTGCCATGATGGGTGCAGAAACTTATATTCACTGTTCAGTTTGGGCTGTTATTTACCTGCCTGCAAGTGCCATCTCTTGCGAAAGCTACGGAACCACAAGCAATAAAAGAGTTCGGGCGATTTAGTTATTTTGTTTCTGTGAAGCTGGGCGCGAGGAATTGGACGCCGCTTGTCCTCCTAAATTACACTACCTATGGAGGTATATATGCTGCTACCTAAAAGAACACGTTTTCTCTTTAAGATCCTTATTCCCTTGCAGTGGATAAACGTGTGGTGTAAGGGGTAAGGCTGTAGTGTAACAACTGACTGTAATAAGGCTGAAAAACCGAGAGTTATCGGAGTGATCCTGGCTGACATATTCTTTGACTCTGTTTGGGCCGACTTTGGTTCGCGCTTCAATTCGATTCTTGCAAGTCTAACATACCATACCGGCCTTGTTGACAAGGAAGCTGCAGCAGCGAACATTTCCGAGGCCATGGAACGTAGAAGACAGGAGAATGATCAATGGGACAAACTGGAACGCGAAAGGCAATTGACCAAGCGTCTAGCTGTGATGTCTTGGCTACGAGTCGGCGATACCTTGATTGAGGATGAAGTCGATAAACTAACAAGGGATTGCCTTGAAGGAAGTTGTGATTGGTTTATTGAACACAACAAAACCAAGTGGTGGATGAATGATGGCACAGCTAACGCCCTACTTTGGTTATGCGGAAAACCTGGAGCAGGTATGTCTATGGAAACCGCCGTAATTTTTTGCCGTTATTGACCGTATGTGGAAGGCAAGAGTGTCCTCTGCTCGAAACTCATACAGTCCATGGAAGCTAAGAAGCTCAACGTATTCTACTACTCCTGCAGCTACCTGGAAACTGCCGCTGAGGGTCCTACTCGACTTCTCCGCTCTCTTACAGCACAAGCTGTTCAAAACAATCCAGACCTCATCATATACATTCACGACGACTATATACCATCTCATCCAGTGGCATCCAGGAGGCCGTTAATGGGCATTCTTCCAAATATCCTCATCGACGTCGGTTCTTCACGTCTCATTATCGATGGAATTGACGAATGGGACCGGAAGGAGCAAAAACTCATTCTCAAGGATGTTCTACAACTTCTCTCTACTGACGCATCATCCCATACCTGTAAAGTCCTTATATCAAGCCGGGACGTACCAACGGTTTCTCCGGTTTTACGAAAGAATTCAAAGACGTCAGTCTCCCTTAGCGATGAAAGTAGGCAGAGCGCGGAACAGGCCAGTCCAATCAATCCATGGATTAACTATATAGGACTATGCTTCATTAGGCACGGTCAATTCAATTCAGTAGCGGCGTGAATAGGCTCTAGTCCGGTTGGTTTCGACTGTACCAAAACACTGGGACTTTGGACACGCCTTCCGTTTTTGAGCAGAGCCAAGAGTTTGTTGTCGATGTTGAATCTCTCTATCCTGCTATGAGTTCACAACAAGGACTTGAGAAAGTGCAAATCGAATTTCAGACCGTGGTCCTTGCTGCACTCAATGCATGCATCAAAAGTACTCTTTTAGCAAACACTTGGGACTCGGAGCCTCTTCTAAATCTTGTTGTGGGCATGCGAGATGTGGTGAACGTTGGCTGAATCATGCTCGAGGGGACTCTAGGTAGCATAAAGAGACACATGTTGTCAACTATGGTTTTAAACAGTTCCATATTTGAGAGGGTTTGTTGTGGGAACTAGGGCCACGTTGCTGATAACTCTTTGACATAACCTACTAGTGTGGGGCCTCTTGCTGTGGTCGTCCTGGAAATCGCAATTAAGAAACAATCTAAAATGGGCAGTGAACAATTGAAAAGACGGCAAGCAAAAAGACATATTGGCTGAACTGGAAGGAAAATATTGACACTTGTCCTATCCATTTGTCCGTGTCCGCCAAACCACACAAAACTCACCCTGCCTCGGACGCAGAGTCAATGCAGTCCTTGACATCCTTTTCACAATCAGGCCCATACACAGTCAAGCCCCAACTGTGGATCTCGTTCACCCAATTAATAAACCCATGTACGCCCTCGGCAGTACTACATTTATCTTCGTAGAGCCGGAACATTCGACAGCCCGTCCAGGTACCGGAGGAACCTACATCTGCTTCAATACACCAAATGTCGTAGTTGCAGCCAACAAAAGTAATGCCGTAGTGTCGCAACATCTGTGCTGTCTTTGGGCCCCATTGTTGACCAGTGGCGTCGAGTGCTCTCTTCTTCAGTTTCCAACGATTGTAGAGCCCGATTGCTGAGGCAGCAGCGATTTGGTTCCTGGCTGTCTTGAAAGTGGTACCATTTCTATTGGACTCGCTATCTTTTTTGAATTCAATGATGAAATACGGCCAGAGAATGCGGCCGTGTCGAACAAGGACATGCTCCTCGATTCTCTTCCGATACTTAGGATGGAAGGCTTGCAAAGTAATCCAATATGAACAGTCAGGTCGAACGTCGAATGCGTAGTCTTTGCGTGCCACCTTTTCATGGATTACCGGGGGTGTCTCCCAGTGATGATCTCCGGGTCGGGTAGTGAACTCAACCATGCGTTCCGTCAACCATGAGGTGGTATTGGGGAGGTGAGGGCTACGCATTTCTCTCTTCAGGAGATTTTCGAAAGCATATAACGAGTACTCTGACTCACAAAGCTTGAACTCCTTCATGCTCTTATACTCTCGCAAGATATCTTCCGTAAATTGGTCATCTCCTTCCAACCACAAAGATGTATCTTGCAATCCATTCTTGCTCTTGTAATGCGAGATAACTCCAGTAGTTGGCGCTGGGTCAGTGGCAAAATGTTGGAAAGGATTTACATGCTTCCGATCATCTTCAATCGTAATGCCATGGGGCTTCAGGGCAAGGGTCTCGAACTCAGCATGTTTAGTTTTGATACCATTATCAGAAACCTTTTTCGACGGTTTTTTTCCTTCCATCACCTTTTGCAAGGCTAAAAGGTCTAGGCTTAGTACTTGTCGATTAAGTACTGCTGACTCTTCCATTGCATTTGATATTTCCTCGGCATCAGTTGCACTTTTTCCTTTTTCAATTAAACATAGGTCTGACATGTCTTCTGCTGGTTTGTCTTTTTCCGGAGGTATGACCTTCTTTGGGAGCGTTTTCGTGCAGTCTGTAAGGGTTGTGGTCTCCTTTTCTAGCCTAACGTCCTCTTTGTAGGGTGCACTAGCTTCTTTCGCAAGCGTGGTTGTCTCTTCTGAGGGCGCGCTTGCCCCATTTGCAATTGTGCCTTTTTCTCCAGTCTTTGAATTTTCTTTCATTGCAGGTACACTATCTTCCCCAGTTGGTGTTGGTTTCGCAGTAGCCATGACTTTACTCATTGGTTGGTGCTTAACGACAGAAGCGTCCTTTTCTGGCAAGGTAAACTTTTCCTCTGTACACAAGTTCGTATCTGATGTTGAAGTGTCCCTCGGATCAGTTGACATAGTTTCTTGCGGGGGCTTTTGCTTCTTTTTCGTGCATACAGCTTGTTTCTTTCCAAAGGCCCCTCGATTTTTTGCCGTTGTGAGTGCATTTTCTGTTGGCATACTATGCTCCTCTACGTCTGCCTCGGTGTTCTTTCCTAGCGCTTCGTTGTTGGTTGCGCATATACTTTCCGGTTCAGCTGGGCTCGTCGCTGGAAGACCCGTGGCAGTAATGTTCAGTGTTCTTGTATTCATGTTGATTTTTGGTGCATCACTTGCTGATGCCGTATTTTTCACTGTGGGTGATTGTTCGTCGTCCGATGTAGTACTAACTATTGCTAGATCTCTCTTAGGCATCACCGTAGTCTTGGTTTCCAGCGTCTTCTCAGCCAGGGACATAGCTGCAATATTGTTTGACACTTCCTTTGTCGCGGGTGTCTGTTCAGTGATCGATTTAGTAGTAGCGCCGGCCCTTTCTAGGACCCCTTCTCCTAAGGCCATACTTTTAGCTGCTGAGAGCTTTTCAGTAATCGCAGTTGCCTTCGTTAAAGCTCTTCCAGTCTCGACGTTTCCGTGTGAAACCTTTTGTCCTGTCGGCTGTACATTCCCAGGAGAAACATGATTCCTTTCATTCGAGCGCAAAAGAGCCGAGGCAATGGGGGATTTGTAGCGGACCAAGAGTTTCCTGGTAGCTGCAACACGTTGTCTAGCAGAGATGTTTCTTGAAACAAAAAGCCGTGATCCAGCCTTGGACCGGATATCCGGTGTCGCTGATAGCGGCGAAGATTTTGTTGGCGTAGGCCGATTTAACGTAGGCTGAGGGTGAACTGAATTGACGTCGATCTGCATCTCAAAGTTCGCAAGCGCAGAACCATGCCCTTGCCCTTGCAAAGGAGCGCCATTTTGATAATTCCTTCTGTCCCTTAGACGTGCGACATGTTCGTAAGTAGCTGTCAAACGTGCCCCGACTGGCAAATTGGTAGCTCTAATGCTGAATTTCATGTTGGTTCTGTTGTGTAGAGCTGTGAGTTCCGGAGCATGATAATATAGAGGGCATGGAAGAATTCTAGAAGAATTCCGGCCTACTCTTCCTTGTTTGCTCCCTGGTTTGTCTAACAGGAAAAACAAAAGCTCTTTGGTGACAAACCGAAACGGAAACACCTAGAGCGCAATTTCAAACATAAAAGCTTTACTTGAGATAAACAAACATGGTTAAACAAAGAAGTTTTACAAAGTTTGCGGCAAGTTAGTAGGCTTCTGCGTTCTACAGAATCCAATCAGCTTCGCAAACAATTCTGTCGCATTTTTATGCTATAACTTGAGCGGTAGGTTTAAGTGATTCTGTAAGACGGAGACGTTTGTCCAATTAATCCGGTTAGATGATAAGCAGAAACCTAATGAGCTAGTCCATTATTTCAGCAGACTGTAAGTAACAGAAAAGCAAGGACGAGGAATCCATTGCATAGTCAAAAACAAGTAGTATGAAGAGTGAGCTAATCGGTGACTACATATTCCTTTTTCTCTACTCGGTAATCCCTTACACCGTCACAGGGCACTCATTGTTCGAGCCGGGAAGTCCCCAAATATATCTTGCTCCGCAAGCGGCACCATCCCCGCCACCGTTACCGACGCACTGGAAAGTAAGCTCTATTAGTAATTTTTATAGGAAAAGATATCCTGTTACTTACGGATGTGCCCTGCTTGCAACTGTAGTTTATGCCTCCGACTTTGCATGAAGTGCCGTTGCATTTCTATCAGCCATGTTAGTTTTTAGGCAAAGCACAAGGGGGGTAGCTCGAGTAAGCGTACTCCGCAGGAAGTCCATCCATTCGGGCAGTTTGCTTGCTTGGCGTCTTTTGCAGGAGCTGGAGCGCTAAGCGCTGCGCTGACAAAGAAAGCGAGGACAAGAGTCTTGATCTGCATGATTTTGGTGCTTGTTGGAGCTCGGTAATGGATGATGAGCAAGGAGAATGATGAGGAGGTGATTATGGAAAGCAAAGAATGGAGGCGGTACTTAAATACTCACTCCCAGGCGTCCAAGGGCCAAGCAATGGAGGGATTATCCGAAATCCATATGAGCCAGAAGAGTGTAGTGAGTGGGGTGGAATGGTGACTGTTGCTTACCTGCATTTCTCACACGCCAGTTGGACTTGAAAGAGCACGCACGATAGTGGATGCATTTACGACTGTTGTAGACTGTGAAGAGTGCTGGCAGGTTAATAAGCGGTTTTTATGGGGAGTCATGGACTGAGAGGCTCCACTATTTGGGGGCCATGGCCTTTTGCCCCACATAAGACTCTTCCACTGACTGCCGCATATGCACACATGGTCTCTACCAATGAATTCGTATACACTTAACAGGGGGTATTTTCCGCAGATAACCTTAGACGATAGATTTTAATGACTTTTCCGCAACGAGTAAAAATCGATGCGGACTATTGGGTGCAGAAACTCTCATCCAGCCCAAGTCCTTTAAGATTTCCTACCTGCAAAAGGCAATGATTTGCAGATACCACCGACGTATACGCCGACTCTATCAGGTGCGAGACGGCATTACCTGCCAAAAACGAAAAAGCTTGCGAAGTACCCCATTTCATGCTACAAGCGCTGACCGTGCTGAAGGGTTGGGCTCGCCTCGCACTCTCCAAAGTGCTTCCAGAGTCCAGACCGAAACGAGAAGTTTAGGGCAAAAAATAAGCTCAACCTCTGGGCATAGTCGAATGTTCCAAGTGAGTGAGGCATACTTGGCAAATTGTATATCTGTACGATCGTTCTTCCGCATATAAGCTCTTACCTAGTTAGCCCTTGATGGGATCGCTTCGGGCCGAAGCTGTTGATCTCCTTATTTAATCTGCATTTCCCCACCTCCCTATCTTCCCTCCATTTTCTCAATATCATCAACCATGCAAATGTCGAATCTCTTTACTGGAAAGAAAGACAAACTCCATCACCGAAAATGTCGCCTCCTCTTATACTTGGTCCAGAGGATCCTCCCGTACTTCCATCGCCACGTCCGCGTCCGCTCACGCCGTCGGATGACAATAATTTGACTATGCACCCACAGGGTGAATCTCCGTTTTTCAATCGGTTGCCTTTGGAAATTCGTTTGCAAATTTACGGATTCCTTTTTGGAGACCGCACCTTGCACATCGAGCTATCATATGACAGGCCTAAGACCAAAGGTCTCCGCCACGCTGGTTGGAGTGGCGAAGCGAGTCCTGACCGACGTGTGGAATGGAGATGGATCAGCTGTGCGTGCTGTGATAAGCACGGTATGTGGTGGCGTGACTCTTGCTTGAAGGGCGGCACGTTTCTTTCCTGCGAAGATGTCGATGGCATTGCGCATGACCCAAGCGCGTGTAAAGTTAACGCAAAGTGGCTTCTTACATGCCGCAAAGGGTAAGAGCCTTTTCTTTCTTTGCCTCGTTTTGTACCTCTTCTTTTCGAGCGGGTGGGCGTTTGTGATGTGATGATAGTAGACATCTTATCCATGACTTTATATCAACCGGCTGTAAAATAAGCAAACTCGCTAACCTCAATAGGTATTCCGAGAGCATTGCGATTCTCTATAAGACCAACACTTTCAATGTCCCGTTCTCTATCTATACTAGCCCCAGGGACCACCAACAAAGGACCTTAGGTTACCTGGAAGAGGGGAGCCATCATGTGCCATTTCTTTCACGTGGTATACCCTCCCACCGGTTCTCGACTATTACATCTCTCGAGGTTATATCCTGGTACATTGATGAACCTCCTCGACCTAGCGACCCACTTGCCCTTGCAGCCTACGAGATGTCGTGGCGCGAATTGGTTCTTCCCGGGCTGCGCAAACTGAGAGTAGCGGCCGACACTAAGCCTTTTCCTAATGGAATGAACGTTTCTGTAGGAGTAGAAGCTGCGTGGTTTGGTATTGTGGACGATATAGTCAGCGAAAAACGTTTGGATCTTGAGTTCAAGCTTCCACTGTCGTGGTTTTTGGGCCTCAGAAGGGGCGGCATAGTGGAATCTTGGCACGATAGCAATGATTACAGAACATGGAGGTATTGGAGGAATGTTGGACTAGACGAGGCCACCGACGGCTGGGATGCCAATCCTGGTTACTGGGTTACAAATCTGGGCTGACTACTAATTGATGATCTGTGGAATCGTTAGCCTTGCCAGTTAGTAGTTTATCAAGTTCCGTTGTTAAGTTCCGTTGTTGATGTTGATGTAGAAAGGCTTGCAAACATGAACGATGATTCGACTGAACTTTTCTTATACAAGCAGAACTAGGATATCAAAAACTAACAATTAACGTTACGTTCCCGTACGAAACAACTATGCACTGATGAAGACTATTGGCTCTGTTACCATTCTCAGCTTCTTTCTTCGTACCTTCATACTGTATAGATTTTGCAGTGCACCGAATGGCTTCCGTAAAGTGATAGCATCATAGTAATCTTATGTTAGCTAAAGCAGTGCGAAAACAACCTGTACTGTCGATATTAAATATCGTTTATAGTGTTTGCGCTTTACCTACGACTATTATCCTAACCCAAATATATATACATGTCTACGTTACTAAGAATCGTTCACAAGGTAGAAAATTAAAGTTTCCGTGGTTAAAAACAACTGTAAGTTGGTTTTCGACTGTGATGTTGCCAATTTGTTGATTGAATCAACTTAATATAGGTACTGTATATTTTTTAGAGACTAATAAAGTTGTTAAATATAGTACTAGGCAACCAATATCGCGGTTGATGCAGTGTCGTGTAAGCAGTGACATGATTGGACGTACGGCGCCTTGAGGACGGAATGAACTTGCTTTTCCGCGCCTACTCAAGCATCATGGCAGTCACGCTCGCGCAATCCTTGCAATACTCTGCCGAATAATGTCGAAATACCTACTTTAGCATTTATATTTAGAGGACCGCGTTCGGGACACTTAACGCACGTCGCACATCCAACTAATACCCATCGAATGATAGCTTAGAGCTTTTCTATATTTCTCAGACAACTGCAGGGATTTGACAAAGAGCGTTTTAACTAGTAGCTTTATATAAAGCACGCCGTGTCTCCTGTTAGTTATAGTTAGTTCCTTCGGGTAACGTGCCGAGCCGCGGGAAGCTACGCCCGGGCCTGTCTTAGTGGCAAATAGTAGCTCTACTAGCTACTCATAGCCTAGCGCCTTACTGGGAAAAGATTTGTTGTCAATGCTTAACCCTAGATATGTTTCATACAGTACCGGGCCTTAATATGGCAATAAGCACTTAAATCGTTTAAAAAGTATTTCCATAAATAGTAAGAGTATCTAAAGTGCAGACGAGGACCATGTTACTAGACAACGTACTTTATGACAAAAGATAAATATAGGATTTCAGGTGGGCGGGCGAGCAGGTTAGCGAGCTAGCGATAATGCGGTTGCGCCAAGGTGCGAAGAGATGAAGGTACTGAGAAATGGAGGCACGAGATAAATGAAGGTTGGGACTCTGCATGCGCGCTAGGCAATCTAGTACCTTTCCGCTAAGTTTCACCGCCGCAGTCACGACTTATCTGCTTGGTTGCCCGGCGCTTACCGCCTACGAAGCGGCGTTTACCGTTAACGAAAGCTGACTAGCGTTGCATCCTCTTGGGGGCCGAAATCCAGCTGAAATAATAGAAAAGCCCCTATCGTGTAAACATTGGCTTTTCGGCTTATGTTCTTTTCGAGAACACTTCGGCGACAGAATGGCGTCGACAGGATATCACCTCACCCATAACAAGCCTGAACCTGAGACTGATGTCAGGGAATCGATCGAGCTTACTGACAGCTATGCGGCATCTCGGGGCAATGAAATCTCTGGGTCAACTTTTGGAGCCGAAGGGCTAAACATCCGCGCTGCTGGGTACGCACTGTTCACGCGTTCGTAACGTAAACACATCTAAGAGTCAATAGGAAGGTTGATCAGCGCAGCATCCACTGGAGAGCACCCACTTTAATAATTGGGTTGTTTCTATGCGGAGTTGCTTCCGCAATTGGACATCATGTCTACTACCAGTCTCTCAAAGGAACCTTTGTTGCCTCCGAAACTCGCCAACAGTGGGAAATCCGCATCGGTACCGGCCTTGCGTTCCTGACAAAAACTGCCCTTGCTGCGTCTGTCGGAGCTACATTCACACAAAGGCTATGGATTACAATGCGGAAAAGACCAATCAAACTACATGCCATTGACAATCTGTTCTCTTTGACTTACGATCCAACGTCTTTCTTCAACTGGGAGGCATGTCGCAAAGCAAAGACACTGTTTGTCCTTGCGCTGATAATGTGGTAAGGACTCTATTTCCACTTGGAAGAACCTCTCTAAAGTCTTCAAGGTGTATTCCTTTAAGCGCCACGGTCACACCCAGTACACTCTCCGTGCGATCTCGAATGACGCCAAAGGACATCACTGCCAGCGTGGCCAGCAACATTCTTAACGACACAGGAACTAGAGCGTATCTCTGGGCCGATTGGCCAGGAGTGGGACGGTTTGGCTCTGTTTCACCGCACGTCAACCGGCTGTTGGCAGCGACATCTTCCTCGGGCTCTATCTTGCAACTCACACCACCTTCTCCCAATGCAACATACACGCTAGACTTTCACGCGCCGTCCTTCAAGTGCGAGAACCTCAGCATTGCCCTTGCTTCTCATTCAAACAACGACAACTCTTCTGAACTAACAACAGCCTGGAACTCCGCAATGGGAAAGCTACGTTCGTTGGCCGTTTACACCGGGGCGGAGAGTAGAGGGTCAACACAAAAATATTTCTTCATCAACCTGAACGGCAAAAGCGGCCAAAACATCACTTGCAGGCCCTGGAACACGTCTTACACCACAAACTTCAATTGGGTCAATGGTGTTCAAACTTTGACAATCACAAACCTCACCCATATTGATGTCCTAAATAAACGGACAGATACGATTTACACGGACTTTGCACCAGGCGAAATTGCTTCCTTGTCTATAACAGAGGCATTAATGGGTCTTCTCACCACCGAAATCGGATACGGTGCTAACGGAAATCTCTACGGCGCCGACACCCTCTTGCCGAAAACGGGCATCTTTGCTTGTCCTGAAATAGCAAACTCCATGACCAACAACAACAATTTCGGCCTTCAAAACTCGCCTTATGATTGCCGGAACGGCTCTGTCCTAAAAACCATCGAGGATCTGTCGCATAACTTTACGCTGAGTCTTTTGTCCTCAAGCTTGTTAACCGAAAGAACGGACACGGTCGTTCACATACTCGAAGCGAGGAACGTTTACGCGTACAACAGGACTGTTCTTGTCTCTGTATACGGTGGTTGTGCTTTCATTGTACTCTTGTGCGTCTGCGTGGGGTTGAGGTCGCTGTTCAAGAACGGTTACAGCGCAAACATGTCGTTCTCGAGCATCATGTTGACCACAAGAGATTCATGCCCGGAGCTGGCGCGGGTGGCTGCAGATTATCGGTTGCCGGCGGATTCACTGCATAAAGAGCTGGGGGATGTAAAGCTGCAGTACAAGTACAATGAAGTAGAATCTCCGTTGGGCTTCAGGGTTATTAGGAGGCATTAAGATCTGACGTTTCATAAAGTACGGCTTTGAGAGATTGTTTATTGGGATCATGTTATATTTCTCCTTTGTAAGGCAGACGCGGCATTCAATGAAAACCTTTGGCCTTAATATCAGTAGATACCACCACTTGTTCACTTAAAGCTCGGACCCCTCCACCCCAGGCAGCAGACGTACAGCCTACAAAACCCCATCTCCGCCCAACCCTCCACAAAACCCAAGAACAACTTCACCAAACCACCCACCAAGATCCCCCCAAAATGTCCTCACCCCGCAACCCCCCAACCAAAACCGACGTCCTACAACTCAGCCAAACCGGCCCCCTCGAAGCCGCCCTCGCAGCGCGCTCCGCATGCACCGACCCTCCCACTCTGCGACAGATGGCACACTGCGCAGCACCAGCCGGCCAAGCACCCATCCTCCAGCACTGCCTCTCGCACGGCGTGCAAATCGACTACCTAATCCTCTCACGCGCCCTCTCCAGCCACTCCAAACCAACACTGCAAGCGCTCTTCTCCGCCGGCCTCGACCCCAACGCGCACGTCCAAGCGCATCTCGGCAGCGTAATCGACACGGCGATCACGCTCAACCTACCAAACGACATCATCGCGTACCTTCTGCAGCAGGGCGCGGATCCACGCTCCGCGAGGGAGAGAGGCGGGATGCCCAATCTGACGACTGCTGCTTGCACAGGGAACGCCACGCTTCTGCGGCTGCTGCTAAAGCATGGGGAAATGGTCGGCGGGTCAAGAGCGCTGCATTTGGCTGCGAGAGCGGGGGAGTTGGAGGTTGCTCGCGTCCTGCTTGAGGAGGGAGGGGCTGATGTCAATGAGGTTGCGTTTGCGGCGGAGGAGGCAAGGCCCCGGTGGTGGCGGAGTGGTGATGATGAGGCGGGTGCGCCGTTGCATTTTTCTGCTGCGGCGGGAAAAACGGACGTGGTTGTGTATTTGCTAAAGAAGGGCGCGGATGTCGGAACACGTGATTTGAAAGGGAGAATTGCGAGGGAGCGGGCAGAGGAAAGTGGGTATCCTGAGGTTGGTGCTGCTCTTTGTGGGTTGTAGCATCTATCAAGCCCGAGAATGCCTTTGACTAGTTGTTTGTAGGTGATTGGGTGTCCAGTGATTGGTATTTTCGTGCTAAATACGAGCCTTTTCGCTAATGGGTAGTTGAATCAGAAGGACGCCAGGGCCGGGTGGCTTATTATCAGATATAGGCGACTATACAGACACAAGCACAATCACTATACAAAGCAAGTTACAAACCAGTCATAAGATCCATTATTTAGCTCTATCAAGTATAAAAGAATAAGTACGACAAGAAGAAACCAAACCCCCCCTCACCTGCAACCCCCACATTAACTCCTCCCCCACCACCCCTAAGAAGTCGGGCCAGTAATCTCGCGATAAAACGGCACCGATAACGGCGAATACACGCAATCGCCGGTGCGCGACGTCGCCTCCGAGCAGCTCTGCAGCCCCATGACCTGGGGGCTTCCAAACCGTTCATGGAACTTGCTGTAACAGGCATTAACTAATTAGTCTTGCGGAAGTTGCGAGCGGAAATGGTGAAACAGAGGGGGGAGTGGGAAGTACGCACCGCGCCTCGCGGTCAATGTACGTGTGCCGCAGCTCGAGCCCGAACCCGTCGCCCCAGCTCGTCACGTACCACGCCCACGACGTGGCGTTGCAGTGGGTCTGCGCGGCTCAGTGGGGTCAGCAAGCCTCTTATATGCATCCAAGCCAGCGCTCTTGCTGGCATCCTCGGCAGTCCGTCAGTCTCGGCGGCTTTTACGTACATATTCAGTGGGGAACTCCTGCTCCCTCACGTCCCAGCTCGCGCCGCAGAACGCGGTGACCGGGTCCGCGGAGTCGGTGTCCTTGACGTTGAAGCTGACGCTGCGCTCAAAGTCCTCATTGCTGGCGGGCGCGTGCGTCTCGATGCTGCTGAGGGATGCGACGCCTTGAGCGGCGGCGGCCACGTTGGTGGTGAAGAGGGCGAGGGTGCTGAGGAGGAGGGTTGGGGCGTGCATGGTTGGCGTTGCGTAGACTGTTCTTGAAGGGAGTGTTTGAGTGATCGAAGCTGTTGGCTTGTCCGGTGTGGTGGTTCTGGGGTTTTTGCTCTGGTCGCCTGGCTTTATATACCTGAACACGGCAGCAGCTCTGCAGCGATAACGTCGCATGCACGAGCGTGTCTGCTCTAGCGCCTAGACTTAACTGCCGTCCGTTGCGTGATTCCTGATGTAACGGGATGGATGGAATACGAGTGTGGCCATACGAGACTAGATGCTGCAAATCCCACGACTGGTTCTGAAAAGTCACGATCAGCCCAGCCAAGAGACAAGCAGCTGGACTCGTTGTCTCGCCGCTGCAAGTGTGTGGTATGACAGCAGCCGCTCGGGTCGATCCGTACATATGCGAGCGTGTCATGCACTAATCGGGCGCTAGGAGGCTGGCCGGTGAGCCAGTGTGGTGGGTGACTTGCATGTGGATTACGCCCTCGCCGCTAGTGATGGAGCTTTTCGGTGCTGCCTACCTAGACACTTGGGTAGCGTGCAGGGAAAGGCAATGACTTGCTGTTGGGAAATGCAGGCACGGTCTTTGCTGTCCTCTCGGTTGCGGCGAACAGTGATGTCGTTGGATGTGGGAAAACGCTTAAGAGGAAGCTTTGCCGTTGGGACTCTGCGGCGTCCTATCAACGATCTTACTCAGCTTATTATGAGTGGAGAGAAGCCATTTACGTTGCTATGAAGTAAGCATGTTTAATCAAGCAGGACTTTCGTCCAAGTTTCCGCTGCGGGCAGTACGGATTAGTTCAGCAAGGAGCCAAGGGCCGGGCATTTTCGTGCTCCTTACCCATTGCGGAAATACATCCGTAAACACTGCAGGAACAGGTCCAAAGGCTACTTACCACCGTCCAAGTGGATGAGCATCCACGGAGGATTCTATTTTTAGCACTGGGCCTTTACCCGGTGAATGTGCAGGGATAGGCGTTCCCTCGGATCCGCAAGTTAAAATCGACTTTGCGCCTCGAGCGATGCTACCCCCCGTTTCTTTTCTTCACCAATGTTACTGAGAGTCTGTTTCGCACGATCTTCATTCCAAATCGCATCGTTAGAGCAGCGAAGCTAACGCCGTGCTCTGCTGTCCTCGTCGCACCCAGATAAGGTAGCCGGAGGAATTTCAAGATTGAGCTGGTCCTGCTGGCGAACGCGTTGGTGTGGGCTGCCTTGATACCTTCCTAAACCTGAGGCTTTGACGAGAACGCATCCGCCTATCCCGGTGCCCGGCGACGCAGGTCGGGTATTGGAAAAACTGGGACGGCGCTTTGGCGAGGCGGCGAGGTCGTTGAAGAAGCTGACAGCAACGCTCCGCGCCCAACGAGGCATTTGCAATGGTTGAGTGCATTTTGTCGTCGGTCGGCTGTGGAGAGCAGAATGGTGTCCCACTTTTTTCGTGGCTGGCAGTGGCTGTCTGCATACGCGACGGCGTGCGACGCGAGTTTCTTGCTCGAGGACGGAGTCGTGCTCCGTCATTCTACGACACGGTCCTAGGCATAGGAAGGGTCGTGTAGACATATCGGAGGTTGTTTCTGAGCTTTTGAGTCGTGGGTAACGTGCAAGAGTCGCAGGACATGGCATGCATTTTGCAGAAGCAAGGGAGGATGGATGATGATGGGGCAGCTGCCCTGGTCCGGAGCGGCAGGCACGGGGCCGGGGCGGAGCGATGCGCGCGCGCACTCAGCCCTGCAGTCCGTTCGTTCCTCTCGTCGCGTCTCCACCTCCACCGACTTCATCCAATTCTCCATCCGTTTCATCAGACCTAGTCATGTCACGATTCCTCGCCGTCCCTCGTCGCTCTATCGATCAATGTATTGACATGAACCCAGACGGCTGGTTCGCGTTCGGATGACATCACCTTCAGCCAAGACGTCCCGTTGGCGGGGGTGAATGAACGACTAGCTGACCGTAACAGAACTTACCTACACTTGACAGACGGCGGAGAGCGGCACCAGCGGAGCTAAAATGCGCACATATACCCCGACACGTAGGCGCAGACCGGTGAGAGACTAGTCGAGGAGAGACGGGACGCCTCTCAGGCTGACTTCCCAATGGAAGCCTAGCTGCTGTGGAAGAGCTGGTGCGCCGCGGCTTACTACATACGCTTTCCAGCCACCACCTCCATCATACCCAAACTCTCATCTATTGATTGACGCGCACGCCCGCGGCATGTGCTTTGTGGGAAAGTCAAGCGGTATGTGAGTCGGGAGGGGTATAAAGAAACGGACGCGGACGGACTCCCTCAACGGACGACGCACCTTTGGTCGCTGCTCAGTAGCGACATAAGGTTACCCGTCAGTCCCAAGGCATTCATCTGCTTACCAGATCCAAAATCATGGCGCGCCTCTCAGCCTGGGCGCTTCTCGCCGCCCTAACCACAGCCGCACCCACAGCCTCCCCACAGAACAACACGAACCACACCATCACATGGACACCCTGCTCGCCTTCACTCAACACCTCCAATACGACCATCATCGAATGCGGCAGCCTCGCCGTCCCGCTCGATTGGGCTACCCCACACGGCCCCCAAATAACAATCGGCCTCAACCGCTTGCTCGCCCGTGACCCGGCGAAGCGCATCGGAAGCGTCGTCTTCAACCCCGGTGGGCCGGGCGGCGTCGCGACCGATGACATTACGCGAGAGGCTGCTGCCGAATTGGATGGGATTGATGTTGGTATCTTTACGCCCGGCGTGCGTGATAGTTTTGACATTGTGGGTTTCGATCCGCGGGGTGTGGGCTCCAGCAATCCACCGGTGCGCTGCAATACGACATTATGGAACGAGCGGGTTACGCTATTCCCGACCAATGAGACGGAATTTGAAAAGATGGTTGCACACAACAAGGCGTTGGGGGAGAGTTGTTTCGAGCTTACGGGCCCGTTGTTCGCGCACTTGGACACGACGAGCGTGGCTCGCGACCTCGAGGCCGTGAGGCAGGCCCTCGACAACGGCGCAAAGCTCAACTTCCTCGGCCTCTCGTACGGCACCCAGATCGCTGCCGCGTACGCGGAGCTCTTCCCTGAAAACATCCGCGCCATGGCACTCGACGGCAACGTCGACCACAGCACCTCTGAGACATCGACCCTCTTCGCCGAAGCATGGACCTACGAGACGGAGCTCACGCGCTTCGCGGTCTGGTGCGCCAACGCGACTAAGGAAGACTGCGTCCTCTACGACCGCGACGTCCTTGACCTCTGGGACAATGTCACCGCTGCAGCCGACAAGAAACCGATCCCGGCGCCCGCATGCACCGTCTCAAATGCCTGTCGCGCAGACGTCACAGGCGAAGAGATCCGCCAGAATGCGCAAGGGTGGCTGAGCTTCAAATCTGCGGCGCCGTTGCTGGGGCTCGGGGGGTGGGGCGGGCTCGCGGGCGCGCTGGCGCAGGCTGCAGCGGGGAACGCGTCGTTGCTTTCTACGCCGGTTGTGCACAGTAATACCAGCGTCCTGTTTCCGAGCCTGGCGGTGGGCTGTCTGGACTGGGAGCATGGGGCGCGCGAGTTTGCGGATCTGGCGTATAAAGAGGCTATGGGGAGGGTGATTGCGCCACATACGTGGGGTATGTCGCAGTCGTATAGCTACCAGGCGGGATGCCTTGGCTGGCCGGTGCCGGTGACCAATCCGCAGCATTTGGCAAACGCGAGTATGACGGCGAAGGCGCCGCCGCTGCTGATGGTGAACTCGGAGTGGGATCCCTCGACCTCGTATATCTGGGCCGAGGGGCTGCGGGAGCAGTTGCCCAGCGCAGTGTTGTTGACGAGGGAGGGGGATGGGCATATCTCGTATATTCTGGGAGGCGAGGCGGCTAAGGTGATTGATCGGTATTTTGTGAATTTGACGTTGCCGGAGGACTATGCTACTGTGGAGAATTAAGTGAGGAAAGGAGGTTAATCGAGTGAGTATTTAATGTTTCTTTACCTATCTGAACTTTTCATCTCTGCTTCCATAGTCCAAACACCCTTAATTCATGACAACGCTGTCATGAGAGCCAAAGAAGTCGCATTTCGGCGAATCATCCGGATCACTCCCCACAGTTACAGAGTCGTCCCCCCCTACGCTCAAGACATTCGTCCCCAAAGCACCACCCTCACCACCCGCATAAGCCGGCCAAATCGGCGCGCGCGTATCCCTCAGCGTGTTCGGATTATAGTGACAGTAAAGCTAAGCCAATACGCCGCTATAATATCCAGCAGCGTCCTGTTCGTCGCCCGCGGAAAGCCAACGTCTCGATCTATTAGATACGGCCTCGTCGCCGCGTGCTGCCCGCCATCCGCCCCAAACACCATCTTCTATACGCGCGCGCCATACTCCGCGTCTGAGCCTCCACCTACACCATTATATTAATAACCAAACAGTCCTCCCCCTGCTTCCGCTCCTGGTTCCAGTACGCCTGCCCCGGCGCCGCCTCCCGCGCCCACAGCGAGTACGGCTCCGCTTGGTAGCAGAGCAGCGCTGGGGTCGTCGCGTCCTGCATCCCTACCTCCTCCCTCTCCTCCTCCTCCTTCCCCTCTTCCTTCTCTTCCTTCTTCGTCTCCTCCGTCTTCGTCGTGCTCTTCCCCCCCTCCTCCATCATCACAGCCCCAGCAATCGGCCGCAGTTTTCGCCACCGATGTTCCCCCACGGGCGGGTGGGCGTAGCGCAGCCCGCGGAAGTGGCGCATCCCGGCGTGGATGTCGGTGATGCCGACGTAGCGGGCGTAAGGGAGGTCGACGATGGGGTTGGGGTTGGGGTTTTGGGTCGTGTGTGGTGTGGTGGGGGAGAAGGGGGATGCTTGCGAGGAGGGAGAGGGAGAGGTGCGGCTTCATGGTGGTGGGTGAGTGGGTGGGTGGGGATGGAGGCGTCGTTTTCTGTTTGCGGTCTGTTGCTGGCGTGGCGTGGCTGCTTTGTGGGAGTTTTGGGTTTTATAGCGGAAGGCTATGTACCTTGCTGGGCTGGTAGGTAACCGCGGTAGGTACGGACTGTGGTTTTTTTCTGGAGAACTGTGATTGGGGGCGCGAACCGTAGTTGTTGGAGTAGGGGGAAAGTAGACTTACTTATAACTGCATGTCGATTCATAAAGAAGTTTTTGCATGTTTTTCGAAGCTGTTGCTTGCTGATTTAGATGCTGCTTTGGGTATAGCTGATGTTAGAACTAAGACCTGCGACATCTTCTAAAAGAAACGTTATTCTCGATATCCCCATTATTGCAAATGTATAATGCGAGTACGGATGATATCGTCGACTTCATTTGTTCTTAAAATTCTTTATAGGGACGTAGACTTCTCTGCTCATTTTTAAGGGGGTCATTATAATATAGACGTGCGGCATTCATAGTGGTAGTTAGATAACTTGATTTGAATGTATATTGGATTCGCTACTGCTATTTAGCTAATAGCTTTGAGTGAGTGGTTGAGCTATATACTCTTTGTTAAATACATTTGGTTCGCCAAACTGGTCTCTCTTGTCGCACGCGCTACAATAATATCAAGTAGTTGGAATTGAGATAGGAAGTCCACCCAGTCAAGGAACTTAAATAACCGTTACGCCTATAACATTTACCAAACCTCCTTTGCGAGAATATTGGTCTTATATGGGTTTGCTCCGCTATTCCCAGGCTAGTAGCTTTTCTCTGATGATGTGTTGGACTCAGTGCTAGGTATCAGAACGAAAAGCCATTTTATTTGACCAAATAGAAGCTGTAATTTCCTTTGGCAACTTAGGCGGTCCAACCGAATTGTTTGGTAGTATTGAAGCCCATCGAAGAACCGCTTCTTGGTGGTGATACGGGCTCGATAGTTGGCCGAAAGTCCCACTTCAGTTACACTGCCGATATATACGTGGACGGCTTTGCTTCTATGAGATGGTAACCTGAAAACAATCGCTCGATAGTCTGGTAGATGTTAGCAACCTGTTTGTTTCATTGGATTGGATATTAGAAATCATACTTCTCACTTCATCTAGACTTTTGACGTAGAGCTTTTCTTTTTCGGAGTCGTAGACTATAACTTTTGATGATCTGGTGTGAGGTTGTCTGAGTGCCCCTGGAGAGGCATTATCGTCTGGATGGCCCTGTTCAGCCTGTATCCATTTAGGACTGCAACTTCGAGTTTTTGCGATGCTGGCATCATCTATGCTTGGATATTCAGCAGACTCTTCGATCGAAATCCTTGTGTTCAAGGCCCCTCCACTATGCTCGTCCTCAGGACCAAGAGTTTGAACACCTCTGTCGATTACCGGAACATGGGGTTTGGGATCCATGCAACCTTGGATGGAATGATATTGAATATGAACGAAAATAAGTTGAGCGATTATAGATTTTATGATGTTGGATTCCTTGGTAAATGGTGAGTGATCGCGCGGGTTATATATGGTTGCAATGTAACTGTGATCACTCGCTTTTACAAGGCGGACAATGTTGACGTCTGGGTAGGTATCACAAAGCCTTGCAGAATCCCGACCGCGCTCCCGCCCCCGCCACCACCGCCGTCGCTGCAGGATCATCAGGATCCCCACCCCCGACCAAATATGCAAGCCACTATAGTCTGTAGCCTATGGAAAATCGATAACATAGCTAACGTCACCTCGTGTCAGCAGGAGCCATTTCCGCCCTAAGACAAGACGAAAAGGACAAGTGTGTGGCTGCTCACGAGACCTGTAAATGGACCTATCTTCTTAAATCCCTAGGATCTGCTGACTTTTTACGCTACACCACTACAATTTAAGAGATAAATATGGTCTGGCTGAACTACAGCCTTGCGGTGCAGACTTTTATTTACGCACTGCAATGCATCACGTTTATGGAGAGCTGTAGTTAGCCGTCCACGGAAATTGTGCTTCAGAATGAGGCTTTCTCTACCAAAAGCCACAACTGTTCATATCGCTTATTTCCACGCAGATTTTCTTGCGCCCAAATTCTGCCTCACGAAAACTAATATGCAATTTAACACTAGGCGCAGTATTAAACGCATAATAAAAGGGAATTTAGACAGCCCATTTTAGCACTGAATATCATAGGTAGGGACCAGGGAGCTTAAGGCATAGATAAATAGTTCTCATTTCTCGGAAGGGGTGTAATTGTCAGACAATAAAACTAACAACACATGGCAAATGAGATCAAACCTCAATTTCATTCGCTAAATGAATATGGACAGCCTGTCGGAGGTAGTCCTATAAACCATTGGAATGAAAGGACAATTCTTTCGTTCGGTACGATAACTTCTTTGATTGAATCATTTAACTGCTCACCATACTATAGATGGTGGAGGTGTAAAAGGTTACGCAAGCCTTCTGGTGCTGCAAGGACTTATGAGAGCCATCGCCAGAATCGAGAGCGAACATCTTGACGGACCACACAGTTCAAGCTTCTTGCCACGAGACCCGCCGACATGTGAGCAGATTTCTGCTTCAGGAACACTCCCAAATGAGGCATCCAATATAAAACCAAATGTGTCCCAGACACCAAGACTTGATGGCTTTCTGCCCTGCCACTACTTCGACTATATGATTGGGACAAGCACTGGAGGGTAGGACCCACTATCTTTCAACGCCAAGCGGATTTTGTGCTAATCCCGGAAGGCTCAACGCTATCATGCTCGGACGTCTACGTATGAGCATTGAAGAATGCATTAGCCTATATCCGGCCATGGCTAGAGACGTCTTCAAGAAACCCAAGAAGAAGATACTCCGTATATTGCTCAGACCAAAATACAACGCAAAAGGTTTGGAAATTCAAATCAAGCAGATCGTGGAAATGAGAACACCTCGACAGAGTCAGCACCGTGACATTTTCTCCAAATATGAGTCTCCAGAGGACCTTTGCAAGACGTAAGTGACTTTTTGTCCTTATCATGATGGAACTGTCATCCACTAACTTTGTAATAAGTATTGTCATAGCGAAATCCATCAATGGACCATTACTCGAAAAACCATACCTCTTCCGAACCTATGACAACTCCTACGTCCCCCAAGATTACAGTCTCCATATCCGCAACCCTGGACGAGCGAATACAGATCATATATGGCAGGTTGCCAGAGCGATATCCGCTGCTTACAGCTACCTCGATGGAATGGATATCGAAGGAATTGAATACACTGATGGAGGATTGGGATTCAACAATCCAACGGTGACTGGATTTACCGAGGTGTACCTCAAAGAAGGTTGTTACAATAAAACAACATCGGGCGCACCGCGTCGCCTTACAATCAACCACGTAGTGAGCGTCGGAACCGGTTCTAAGCCAGAGCCCGTAGTTGATAAGGTCAAGCGCCGCTTACGGCCACGCCGAATCGCAAAAACCACCGACCAAATACATCGAGCAGTCGAGCACCTGACGGATGTTTTCGAGAATAGCTTGACAATGTCAATAATGATGGGCCTGGGGAGCCGCCCTTATTTTCGATTCCAGGTTGGTCCCGAAGTGGGGGGCTTGAAACTCGATCAGTGGAAAGAACATGACTCTCTTGGTATTGGTAAACCATCTACGAAAACTATTATCGAAACTGTGGTACGAGAATTCCTTATCAACGAAGAGAGTCAAATCACGGCATGTGCGAAGCTACTAGTTGACCTAAGAAGAGCCAGGATACGCGAGGACTCTGGAAGGTGGAACCGTTTCACCTACTGTACTTACTTCCTCTGCCCTTCATGCTCGACTCGGAAAAACACGCATGCAGAGGCGAGGAGACATTTCCTGACGAATCACCAAGATGAAGACCAACCAGAGGATCTAGACACCTTGATCAGGGATAGTGAGAAACAGCCTATGTTCACTGGCGGTCCCTATTGATTAGCAGATTCTTTTTATTCTTTCTGTGTATATTTTTTAATGCCAAGTAATCTATTCAGTTACGGACAATAGGCTTTGACTAGGGCTATATCGATCATTGTTTAATGTTTTATTCCTTATTGCAAAATGGGGCAAACTATAACGTTCACATTTCTATCAGAATCTAGTCTATTCAACTTCAGCCGTAGCAAAAGCTCACCTCCCAATAAACTAGGTTCAACAAGGGTTTCGCCAGTTCCACATTATCTATGGCTGTGACCTAGAAGTTAGAACACCGCCCCATTGTACGCCCCATTGTACGCCGCCTTGCACAGAGGCCGAACCACTCTAAAATTGCGTAATGGTCTCGAACAAAGCCTTAGGGCTGGGAGACACGTGAACACACCTGCCATAATAAATAGAAACTGACTGGAGATTATGCGTGTGTCGTGGCTGGCTCTAATGGACATCGACTTATAATGAGGCTTGTGTCCGGAGGCTGCCGTTCGCAAATGACCCTGCAAGGATAGATATGCACGTCAGCAACAGCTGAATGTAGCGTAATCGAAAGCTCATCGTGGCGCACGAAAACAACTACACGTGTAGACGGTGTAGTATGTACTGATGGTGACCGCAAGCCTGGACGGACGCTCTTCTCCGTTGGAACACGGAGACGATGCGCCCAGCTGAACAGAACAATAAGCTAATGGCTATGCAAATCAGGGGGCCGGAAAGGGTGGGGAAACCGATGATATGCTCGTGGGCCTGACCATCACCACCACCAGGGAAGCCCTGAGAGGTCATACGGCTAAAATTTACTATTTCAACAACCCCGCCCGCTCCAGTGCATCCACAATGTCCACCGCCATGCTGATCGACTAATGCATGGCGCAGTTCAGAGTCTGCAGCGTGTTCAGTGCCATGTAGATGTGACATAGGCTAAATCAAAACCCGACAGTGAGTTGATTGGAAGAGAGGTCGCTGCGAATAACGAAGCTGAGAAGATACACTAACTGAGCTGACTACGCATATAAGTACCTACGGGCTGTTAGCACGTCAGTAAGTCCACGCAGCCTCAATAGTCTTGACAAAAGAAGTCTAAAGACCGACTCTTTTCTTAGTACTTGCTTATATAATACTCTTCTTCTTCTTCTTCGTTCCTCTTCATTACTCTTCTTCATTCTTTGTCTTCGTCTTCATCTTATTCTTTCTTTCCTTCACTTCTTCTTTTTCTTTTTCTTCTTGGTCCTCTTCCTTTTCTTCCACGTAATCTCTTTCAATCTTCTTCCAGCCTTCTCCATTTCCCCATAACCTATTCACAGCGCACCCAGATTCCCCTCAATCAACGACAACGACTCAAGCACGCTACGAACCTGCTCCAAAGCAACAAACCACAAACACGATACATTACAACCAAGTCAGAAGAACAACTGCATATTCTCCCAACAATTAACATTACTTGATTAACCACCACATCTTCATCCCCAGCATCACCACAACACGCGCAACCATCTACTCCATCTACTGCGAGTTGCAAACATCCTTCGAGACCTGCTGCGTCTCTGTCACAACACACAAACACATTAGCACCGCACCTTCTTTTCCCTATCCCCCCAACCAGGCAGCAGTAGCGGGAAAACTTACTAATCAGGTCCTCATCCGAGCAGCCACTAACGACGCAGTCGGCCGCCTTGCTCGTCAGGTCCTGCAGCTTGTCGCAGTGGCAGGGGATGTCGTCTTCGCCGCAGCCGACCTGCTTCGAGGCCTTGGCGATGCAGGGTTTCTGTTTTAAGGGGGCGCGTTAGTGGGGGGTGGTTTGGGGTTGTGGCTTTGGTAGATGGGAGGTGGGAGGTGCGTAAAAGGAGACTTACAGCGCAGGCGGGCATGTCGTCGTTGGTGTACGCAGTCGCGAAAGCAGCGAGGGCAGCGACAGCGGCGGCGGTGAAGAACTTCATTGTCGTGGGTGCGGTAGGAGTGTTGATGAAGAAAAGCGTTGATGAAGGAGACGAGAGACTTTAGAGGTGGTAGCGGTAGTGGTGGTGCTGCTGCTATCAAACCCGTCCTCAAGCGCCCAAACTGCTCTTCTTATCCCACGCGCAAGAGATTGCACCACGTAAGTCTTTCACCCCATTCACGCTCCCAACACCCACCTCCGGGCTCCGGCAGGTGGGCGGCGCGTCAGTGCGCCTGCCAGCACCCGGCACGAGCCGCCATGATCGGCGCCGCATATTAACTGCGGGGAACTATAGGCCCACACTGGCTCGAGCGCTGACCGTTGTTGCTGCCCGGCAGACCGGGGGTTCCAGACGTCAGTTCTGGAAGCCGTCCCCTGAACCGACAACTTACCGGCACGGCACGGCACGCACGTCGTTGCCTACCTAGAATTGCCGTTGAGGACCGTGCTAGGTGGACGAGGGCCTTGGGAACGCGGCCCCGCTGAATCATTCCCCGCCGGCTTCTTGCCGCAAGCCCCGGAATTGGCCTGACGCGTGCCGCTGTCCTGGCCTTGCCTGCGGGTTCCGTGTTGTTCGAGACCGCGCAACGGCTATCGAAATGTTGGCTACGGAGTACCTCACCGTCTTTTCACCCCTACCTAGGTCCAGGGTTGCTTGGTACAGTACAGCTGGTGCGGTGTTGACGCAGCGGAAGCACGAACATTGAACGGTTGGGGTAGGTATTGTGTATTGTGTATTGTGGAGATGCTGTCGGTCGTCGGCTGGGCGGAAGTCGAGATCCAACACTCTACCGATCTACGTTACTACGTACCTTGATGTTTTGTTTTGTTGGGTCTGATCAGAGGATAGTCAACAGAAGAGTGTACATACCTGGTGATATTCTATTTCCTTGACATCTACAGAAGCTGCCTCGTCAGTCGTCATTGTATGAAGTCACACCCAACCTACCAACCACATACCGCCCCCTCACGCACACGAACGCGACAGACGAGCTGACACAGCAGCCGCGCAAAACCAGTGCCCTTAGTAACCGCAGTCTGAGCGAACGCTCCTCCCAATTTGCAGACCCTGTCACCGGGCAGCCCCACCTCGTCTCCGCCATCCACCGCATCGGGGTCGCCATGCTGGCAAACGCGTGGTCCGAGCGTGTGGATCGGCGCCCGGAGTTATGGGAGCTTTCACGGAGAAGGGGGTGAAGGGGAGAGAAATAGAAAGGGAAGATCGAGTCGGTTGGTTGGTGGCTTTGGAAGGCGTGTTGGCGCTCTGCTGTGGAAAAGGAAAAGAAAAAACATGAGAGCTGACCTAGCGAACGCATCTAGCACGCCGAAGATGTTTGCGCCGACTACGTATGTACTTACTCGGGCCCCGGCGCGACACCTGTCCGCGACCGCGGAGCTTCTCTTCTCCCGTCTTTTGAGGAGCGGATGGCCGGAAAGGCGTTCAAGCCTCAGAATCCATAACTGACGCGCTGCATGCTGCGACGAAAATGCTGTTGCCGTCTGTACGACCTCGGCCATCATGGCGCTCTAGCCCGTTCCGGAGCTTCGTGGCTACGCGCGCAGCCTGCCACCCCGCCAGCTGAAGATGCATCTACGCAGTCGCCGAGTATATAACGCGCACTCATCCGCCCGCACCACCACAACCACAACCATGAAGTCCTCCCTGCAAGCCCTCCTCCTTGCCGGCGCCGCCGCAGCAGAGAACGCGACCGCGCCCTCCTACCTCACCGCGACGGCAATCGTGACCAACGCGCAAAACAACTCGGCGCTGCAGTGCTGGCGCTTCTCGGACGCGCTGCAGGCGCCCACAACCCCCGGCATCATCGGCGCGCAGCGCTTCGGGCTCGACGTCGCCAGCGGGGCCGAGCTCGCCGTCATCCCGCCGCGGTTTGACGGCCAGGTGCATAATGCGCCCGTGCCTGCGTGCGTGTCCCGTGAAGACGGCGAAATACCTACCTTACATACTAATGTGCGCGTGTATGTTTATAGCTTCGTCAGCTTCGCGTCCGGCCTCGCGCACCTCTCCCTCCCCCACGGCGCCGACGAGGCCTGGATCCTCGGCGGCGAAAACGGCCTCATCGTCGCGGTGGACACGACGGGCTCCGGGCACCGCACGCGCTTCCCGTCCGACGAGACGACCATTTCGCTGTTTTTGCCGTTTTTGGACGCGAGGGTGCCGCCGCATGAGGTGCTGAGCGAGGGGCCGTGTTTTTATCATCGGTCGCAGATTGTGGGGGGCGGTGAGGCGTGAGGAAGGAAAGGGCTTGTGGGCACTGAGGTGAAGTTGAGTGGAGTGAGGACCGAGGACGGGGTACCTGAGCGATGAAACGGCGGGCTGAGGGCCAGTGCTTTAGACGTCATCTTCGGCGTCCAGATGTAGCTCCGAGAGAGTCAACAAATATCCCACTCACTGCGCGCCCATTGCCCCCTCGCTGTCCCTCCAAAAATGTCTCTCACCCTCTCGCGCAGCGCCACGCGCGCCGCAACCCGAACCCCCTCCACCCTCTTCGCCGCCTCGACCCGCCTCGCCGCCGCGCGACCCCTCACCATCAACGTCCGCGCCGGGCGCCGCTACTTCCAGAAAGATGCGCGGCCAACCCCGGCACGACCAAACGCGCAAGCACCCACCGCCCCAGTCGTCAAGCGCGGCGAGTCGAAACTGTACAAAGACGCCGACGCCGCCGTCGCAGACATCCAGAGCGGCTCCACGCTGCTGAGCGCCGGCTTCGGGCTATGCGGGATAGCGCGTACGCCCAACCCTCTCTCCCGCATTTCCTCAACCAAACCGCTAACACCTTTCCCATCGACAGAAACCTTAATCGAAGCCCTCGCCCGCCGCGGCCCCGCCTCCCTCCACTCCCTCACCGCCGTCAGCAACAACGCCGGCAAAGACAACTACGGCCTCGCCCTCCTCGCCTCCACCGGCCAGCTCTCCCGCCTCGTCATGTCCTACCTCGGCAACAACAAGAAGCTCGAAGCCGACTACCTCGCCGGCCGCGTCGCCATCGAGCTCTGCCCCCAAGGCACCATCGCCGAGCGCCTGCGCGCCGCCGGCGCCGGCGTCCCCGCCTTCTACACCGCCACGGGCGTCGGCACGCTGGTCCAGACGGGGGGTATTCCCGTCCGCCTCGGCGACGCCGGCAAGTCTGTCCTCGAGATGGGTACGCCCCGCGAGTCCCGCGACTTCAACGGCCGCACCTACGTCCTCGAGCAGGCCCTGCCGGGCGATGTGGCGGTCCTGCGCGCGTGGAAGGCCGACGAGGCCGGCAACTGCGTCTTTAGGCACACGACCAAGTCGTTTGCGCCGCTGATGGCCAAGGCGGCGAAACTCACGATCGTCGAGGCCGAGGAGATTGTGCCGCTCGGTGCGATCCGCAGCGATGAGGTGCATTTGCCGGGTATCTACGTCGACCGCATCGTCCCTGCGACGGCGGAGAAGGCGGTCGAGGTGCGCAAGGTACGGGAGGAGGCGGGCGCAAAGAGCGTCAGTGGCGAGAAGAGCGAAGCACAAACGCGGCGCGAGCGCATCGCCCGCCGCGCAGCCAAAGAGCTGAAGAGCGGGTACTACGTGAACCTGGGCGTGGGCATCCCGACCCTCGCGCCATCGTTCCTCGACCCCACTACTAAGGTCTGGATACAGTCGGAGAACGGAATCCTAGGCATGGGCCCGTACCCGACGGAAGCAGAGCTCGACCCAGACCTCATCAACGCAGGCAAAGAAACCGTGACGCTCGTGCCCGGTGCATCGACGTTCGACAGCGCCGAGAGCTTCGGCATGATCCGCGGCGGGCACGTCGACGTGTCTATTCTTGGGGCGCTGCAGGTCAGCGCGGCCGGGGACTTGGCCAACTATATGATTCCGGGGAAGGTGAGTTGAGTTGCCGTTCTGGCTCATCGAGCTGAACTAGCTGTCTTGAGAGAGGTGAACGCAGTGCTAACGCAGTAAACACACCAGACATTCAAAGGCATGGGCGGCGCCATCGACCTCGTCTCCAACCCGGACGTCACCAAGATCGTCGTCGCGACCGAGCACGTCGCGAAAGACGGGACGGCAAAGATTGTGCAGTCGTGCGCGCTGCCGTTGACCGGGGCGAAGGTCGTCAGCACCATTATTACTGACTTGGTGAGTGGTTATTCTTTCCTTCTTTCTATTCATTTTTTCCGTTTTCTTTTTTCCTTTCTTTTCTTGTTGGAGATGGCGTCGGGACAGCTTGCTGACGAGCGGACAAACAGTGCGTGTTTGAAGTCGATCGCGCGAATGGCAAGCTCGAGCTTACGGAGCTGGCGCCGGGCGTCGAGGTTGAGGAGGTTAGGGCGAAGACGGATGCAAAGTTTGAGGTTGCGAAGGATTTGAGGATTATGGAGTAGGGTAGGGTAGGGTAATTTGGTTGGGGGGTAATGTATACATTATAAATTTATAATAGAGCATATAGAGGAAATAGGGATTATTTACGACTTGCCTTAGGAGGTCTTTCATGTGGATATTTACTTAGACACATACACTATGAATTTCGGTATTGTTTGAACAAGGTGATAGAGAAAGCAATTGCATATGTAGAAGAACTATTTACAAATAAAACTATAAATCTCTCATCTCTAAACATCTACACCGAAGAACCCACCCACCCATCTACAGTCCACACACACCATCAAAGCTACAACTTGGCCCCCACCCCCGGCGCAAACGTCGAGCCACTCGGCTCCCCAAACGCCCTAACAATACGGTCCACAGTCTCGAGCACCCACACGCTCCCCTCATCACTAGCCAACCACCTCGCGCCCGGCAGCGCCGTCTCCGCGCTCGCCACCGCCCCCGCCTCAAACGCCTTGCGCAGCCCAAACACGTGCGACACCACCTGCGGCGCCACGCCCGTCTGCGCGCGTAGGCACGCTATCGCGATCAAAGACGTGAGGACGCGGCCGGCGCGCGGCCGTGCCTCTTCTTCCCCCTCGGCTGTGGGCGCCGGGTCCGACAAAAGCGCGCTGTAGTGGCTGTGCAGAATATGCACGGGCAGGTCTGGGTGCGACTCGCCCAGCTTGGCGAGCAGCTTCTCCTCAAAGGGGCGGTAGAGGTCGTCCCAGAGGGCGCGGCCGCGCGCGGATATCGCGGCGATGTTCTGCGCGTTCGGCTCCCGCGTGGGTGTCGTTGTGAGCCTTGCGCTGATGTGGGCGGGGAGTGACGCCCGGAATATGCCCAGGTTGTTGATGCTCCGCGGGATGCCGTTGAAGGAGATGCATTTGAGTCCGACTTCGCGCATGTGCTCGGCTGTGCGGAGCGCTTCTGCTTCTGTTGAGGCTGAGGGGGAGGTGTTCGCGACGTCGTAGAGCGTGCTGAGCGACGCGGGCGAGTTGAGCGTCATTGTCGTCGCTGTCTGTAGCATTGGTTGTCAGATTATGTCGCGTAAGGGAAAAGCAGGGGAGCCGTTTCTGCGCACCGCAATCGTCAGCCAGCACGGCTTCGCGACGTCCCGCGCCGCGGCATCTTTCGCTATCGACTGGTAGACGGCGCGGATGGCCTTGGGGGCGGCGGTGACGTCGGGCCGGGCAAAGGGCGCGTGGATGAGCGCTTTGAGCGGAGCGGAGAGTTTCGACATGATGGGTTTGGGGGTGTGTGGGAAGGTGGTGGAGCGCGGCAGGGACGGGTGGCTGCTGGTCGCTGGTCTTAAGGCGTCGCGCGTCGACGAGGCTTCGGCCCCAGAAGTAGCTCCGGTGCGTGTCTGAGCGCTGGCTGTGCTGCGCCCGAGAGAGCCGAAGGGCGTGACGCCAATTGGATGAGGTAGGCTAATGAGCGCGTTGTGCGACAAGGGCCGGGCAATTACCCGCCGGAGAGATGGCCTTGGTGATGCATGTGTGCCATGAGTGTGTGTTTGGTGTTGGTGTTGTGGTTTCCCCAGGGCTTGTCGTGCCGCGGCAAAGGAGCCTGCTGAGTCAAAGCTCGCGGGGATTCTCTGCCCTCCCGTCTGCTCCCGACCGACGACCACCGTGCCACTGTACCCGTCTCCCCGTCTCCCCGCCTCGGTGCCGATCATGGGAGACTCCGGAAGCGGTAGCAGCAGTAGCAGGCAGGCTGCCTGTCTGGCCTGCAGAAGAACAAAGACAAAATGCCATCGCGAGCTCGGAGACGCGACCTGCAGACGGTGTCGCCAGAAAGGCGACGAATGCGTCATCACGTCCCATCACATCGGTAGGCAGAAGGGCACGAAGAAGTAAGTGAAACAACGCGTGCTTCGATGGCTGGCTGCGTGCTCAGCCAAACGCAGCAAACGGACTGGGCTCGACAAGGTCATCTACCAGGTCGAGCAATGCATTCAGCAGATGAAGGCCGGCATCAGTGCCGACGAGACTGATCCGCAGCTTCTCCATCTCCGAGATGTCTTGTCTGCCGTAAAGGATCTTCCGCCGCTCGAGCAGGAGGACTTGGCTGGCCCTTCACGGGAGGCCGACACGTTTTTTGACGTGGGTGAATATCTGTCTACGTCTTCGGACGCACACGTCGAAAGCCAGCTACCGCAAGATGACGCGGCTTCCGAGATATCTTCTCTGGGTTCTCACACGCCTGGCCCTACGCCGGTCGATTTTCCGTTGAACGATGCGGAAAACCCGCTCCAGTTACTCGCCCACGCTTCTGACCTGTCACGCTCGAGACTAACCCAACAGGATGTCAATCGAAATAACGATGCTGGACAGGGTTTCTTTCGGCCCTTGAAGCCCAAACTTGACGTTGGGCCTGATATGGATCCGATAGAGCTGGGGCTCGTCACACAAGCCGAGGCCGAAGAACTATTTGAGTAGTAGGTGTACTGCCACTTTCTTTGACGTCTCTTCCTGACTCGAGGCAGCTTCTACACACACTTGGCACACACGAGATGGGGACTCGACCGAAGCATACATACTTTGTCTTTTGTACAAGGGAGGTCGTCCTTTCTTTTCGTCTCAATTTTAGCTGCTGCGGCTCTTTTCATCCCGTCAGCCGACGCAATTTCAAAGCGGCTCTCCGCTCATTGCAGAACCCTCGCGCACAAAGCGATGGTGGAACGCTACCGATCCGTCGAGGTTGTTCTTGCGTTCATGGTCAACGTTCCATGGCTATCCTTTGGTGAACACATTGCAGATGATGAGACCTGCGCGTACCTAGCCTCTGCATTGACTATTGCAATTGATCTCTCGTTGCACAAGACCGTCAATCCCTCCCCGAACAACACATTTAACGCGAACCTACAGAGAGGCTCGGGATCTGACTGCATAGATGCGAAGAAGGCACTCGCCCTCGATGGTTTCGAGTCCGTGGAACCATCTTCTGCGATAGGTCGAAAGCTTTTACGACGACGAGAAAGGACGTGGCTATCGTTGTTCGTTCTGGATAGAGGGTATGGCTGCCTCACTGCTTACACGACTACATTGCTAATACGTAAAAGCGTCTGCTTGGCGCGGGGACGCGTTCCTGTAGTGCCCGTAACCTTCCTCGTACAAAGATGCGATACCTGGCACATTTCCGACATTGCCGACGTCTGGGACAGCTCAATCGTTTCGATTGCGGTAATGAGGCGAGACCTTGTGAGTTTCAAAAAGACAATCATTTCAGTCATTGCTCTAATTTCCAGGACGTCCTTATCACAAGCATCAAGTTGAGTTGCGACACCTTCATCCCAGGCGTAAACTCGTCCTCAGATACGGTCGAAAGGTGCGTGACTCCACCCACACACGTTTATGCCACACTTCCTAACTGGCCCAGGATAAAAATCACAATCGAAAACTTCTTCAACCAATGGCACCGCATCTGGGCGTACGCGCAACAACGTATGTCTAGTTCCCATCTCCACCCCATCTCCGTCACCCACCCCACCACTAACCAAACCACCACAGCAACACCGTCCTACGCCCTCCCGCCCTACGTCCAGATCCTCGTCTCGCACACCCGCCTCTCAACTTACAGCAGCGTAATAAACCACCCCACGGCCTCCCCACCCGTCCGTCGTTTCTTCCGGGCGGCTGGCCTCGCCGCCGCGCTCAACGTCATGCGCGCTGCTGTGCGTGGAGAGAAAGAGCTGGCGTCGATGCCGAATAACACGGCGATCATGGTCGCGTTTGCGGCGTGCTTCACACTGCGGCTGTGTGCGCTGGGCGTGGGCGTGAGCGTGGGACTGAAGGGCAGCGTGAGGCGGTTGGTAGAGGAGACGGCGGGGGCGCTGGAGCGCATCGGTGGGACTGGAGAGGGGGTGGGGCGGCGGAGGGGCGTTGCTGGCTTGCTGGGTGGGCGGATTTGGGGGGTGTTGGGACGGGGAGGGGGGAGGGGAGGGGATGTGCTGCGTGTGACGCGGACGGAGAAGCGTGCGCCGGACGGGAGGGAGACGGATTTCTTGAGCTCGGGGTGGGGGACTGAGGTGCGTGAGTGGGTGCCTGCGCCGAGGGCAGAGCCTCCGTCGTTGTTGTTTTCCGCGATGGCGGACTGGGAGATTGATGCTGCGGTGCAGAGTGATCTGATGGAGTTGCGGTCGGGAGAGGGCGATTCGGAGGGAGAGGGGGAGCTGGGGCTGGAGATGCCGGTTGGCGGGCCGGATCGGCTGGACTGGATGGACTGGCTGGATTGGTCGTATATGTGTAGTTCGTGAGGCGCTTTGGGCGGTGGTAAGTTTCTAGCTCCTTTGTTCTCGTTTCGCCTAATCGAGGCTTTGCGGTTAGTGTTAAGTCCTCCGATCCATTCATTCACTCATCTCTCCCAGCCTTCTACCACAAGTTAAACCAAACATGGACCACATACGTCAGTAGTGTTCTCCATTAACACACCCATCCCGCTATCTATAAATTCTCCCTCCTCTTCGCAACCTACAACCCCACGCGACACGCCATGAAGATCAGCATCAAAGCCAGCAACCTGCCCATCGGGGTGCGCCTGACGACTTCATTCGCATACGTCGCCCGTCCGAGAGGCCTCGTTGGCAGAGCGCAAAGCCTCGTTGGCAGAAGCTCTTTGCGCTACAGGGTCCGCGCTACGAATGCTCTTCGCCGCTGGAAGGCGGACAGAGATGCTTTACGGACACGATTCGCGAACGGCTTAGAGACCATCGCTACTTCGAATGAGGGCACGTCGGCAGCGAAGACTGGCCCGGTTACTAAGGGTGTGATCGCGGCAAGCACGTCGTTGGCCAAGAGTGCATTTCTGAAGGATCCGGCTACGGCGGTGCGCGTGTCAGAGAGCATACTCGCTGAGACGAAGCAAGTCCTTACGGAGAAGGGCTCATCTACTGGAATCGAGAACACGCTTCCAGCGGAAGACGTCGGTGCTAACGACGGCCCACACCATATCGATGTCGCGAATCCAAACTTCGAAACCAAGGTATTGAACGTCTGTAGCATTCAGATTGACGACGTCCATGAATTCGTAAGTCCTTTCGACCACTTTGGTACAGAATCACCAGTCACCAGGACTACATCATCCTCGGAAGAGCCTTCAACGGAGTACACCAGTGCCCTCGACCCACAGCCCGCCAGTATCACTGATTCGGACTTCGAGACCACGGTACTGAATCCTCGCGGCATCTGGATTGACGACAAGCAAGATTCTGTAAACCCTTTCGATCACTTCGGTACGGATCCACCGGGTACCAAGGTTTCAGCCTACTACAGAAGCATAAAGAGATTGGAGAACACGACGATATGGCTGGAAGGAGACGAAGGATTCACGAAGACAGTCATGGACGAATACGAAACCATGGAAACGTTCGAATACTGCAAAGCGGAGTACGTCTTGTACGTGCTCGAGACCTTCAAGGGAGAGGCACGCAGATGCGAAGGTCGTTTACCAGACACGCCTTCATGGATGACTGAGCGCATGGTCGACCTCGACATTCGTCCGGAGGGCAATCTCTGGCGCGCACCCCCCGTCGTCGACACCAACATGCTCCATAAGCACTTCAACTTTAACGTCCAACCCGATTGCTCGTACTGGCTTACCATGCAAAGCTTCAGTCCTGACACCCGCAACACGACCACCGCCCACGTCCGCGACGGCCGCATCCTCTACCCTTACCTGACCATTGGCATCGAAGCGGCCGATAACTGCACCCGCCAGGCCAGGAACAAGGTCGCTGCCGCCGCAGCCCTTGAGCTGTACAACCGGCACAAACTCCGCGAAGCGTGCGCGACGACTTGCCCGACCGAGGCCCCGCTTCGCCACTACGGCATCACGTTCGTGGGGTCCGGCTTTGAGGTCTGGTGCCTTGAAGCGGATGAACCTGAGTCCGAAGACTACGTCGACGTCTGGACGGGCTGTCGTATGTACAGGCTCTACCAAGCCTCGTGTAGGACTGCCGAGGGCATGTGCGCGCTTGTTTGCTGGGTGCATGAGATCCATCGGTGGGGATTGAGCGTCCATGGACCCGACTGCGAGAGAGACCTTACGGATACTCACGTTGCGAGGGAGGATGAGGGCTCTGACTGTGAGGGATGATGATGAGGATGACTTCGATCGCGAGGCTTATGGTAGGCAGTTTGAGTAACTGCTGCTCCCGAGCGGGGTCTCAACTTGTAGGTTTTTAGTGTAGCACTGAGAATCCCGAGATTTACGTAGTGAAGCGGGCGCTCGGGAACTTAACCTTTCAGTGGCACAGTGGCTTTTTGCTTTGTTTCAGACAATGATCGGCATTTTGCTGATTGCTGGATAACATTCCCCGCGTAAAGCGAAGTCGACCAATCAGAGCATAACTTCCTTTTACCATAAACGAACCTCACCGTTTAGCGAAGATGGAACCACACCAATTAGAGCATGCTGTGTGGGTCCTTGCGCGCTCTGATTGGCGGGGATGTTGGGGATCGCTGAGCGGTGATGTCCGTTTATGGTAAATGGCTGTTTGGCCGGTTCCACTTATTCCGCGTACTCCGCGGACCGCCCCAATTCCCCTCGGCTTTTAAAAGAGCAGCTCACCCAACACCCTTACTTTCCATTACATCCTCAATCAACACTTGTGCAAAACATCATCATGTCGGCACTAAACTGGACAGATCTTTCCATCCCTAACCCGGAATACAAAGCTGTACGTTGAGATTATGTATAAATAGCTTAAAGAAACAAACTTACAAAACGACAGCGTTACGACGAGATAGGGCCTCTGCCGAGTTTTGGTGATCCTACAATTCCAATTTCTGTAATCCGCTCAATGCAGCCCGTCCTAAACACCGCCGGTGTGACTGCTCCAGAGAACATGGAGAACGTGGAGAAGAGCATTATACAAATCCCGGTTCGGGACGGCTCCACCATTCCTGCGCTACTTTACCAACCAATCGCTGCTCCGAAAGGAGGTAGCCCGCTCCTTGTTTGTTACCACGGTGGTGGATGGTGTTTGGGCACTCCAGAAACAGATGAATTGAGTTGGTGAGCGTTGTTTTATTGTCCTTACGATGCATTATATTATACAGTGAGTTTGAGTCCCGACTGATAAATAACCTATTCGACAGCGTGAATGCAGTCCAGCACTTCGGTGCCGTCTGCCTCAGTGTAGACTACCGAGTGGCTCCTGAGCACCCATTTCCAACACCAATCAATGATTCCTGGGATGCACTGGAATGGGTATAACACCTCATTATTGGCACAGTGTGGTCTCTTTTGCTAAAGGTTATTTAGATTGCGAACAATTCATCCCAACTTCGAGCCAGCCCATCTCAAGGATTCCTCGTCCACGGTGAATCCGCTGGAGCCAACATTGCCATCGTTATCGCATTGTTGGCACGCGACCGAAAGCTCAACCCTCCGATCACCGGTGTCTCTGCTTCGGCCCCTGTTGTCTTGTCGCCCGAAATGGTACCCGACAAGTACAAAGCGGAATATCAGAGCCGGACTCAAAACAACGATGCACCTGTTCTAAGCGGGAACTATTTGAGCTATCTCGTTGGTATGTATTCATGATGATGTGCTCAACATTTTGCGGATCGGAATCACTGACTGCCTCGCTATGATAGGTCACTATAAACCAGACCAGAACTCTCCGCTTTTCAATTGTTTCAACTGGCCCACTGGTCATCATGGCCTTCCTCCGATCCATTTCCAGATCTGTGGTAAGTAATCCCATGGTGAAAATGCTATTGTACGGACTTTCCATGTTAACAATGCCATTGGTAGGACTTGATCCGTTACGTGACGAGGGTTTGCTTTATGAGAAGGTGCTCAGAACGGAGTACAACGTTCGTACAAAGCTGACTATCTATCCCGGTCTGCCGCACACGTTCTGGTATTTCTTTCCGGACCTTGAAGTGTCCAAAACTGTTGCGGGGAATACTACCGCTGGCTTTGAGTGGATGCTGAACGGGGTTAAGTTGAGAAAGTAGTTTTATAGCGCTTTTACTTAGAAATCTGATTTTCAAATGTATATTTGTATAATCTAGACACTGACAGAAAAACGACGGCTAAATTGTAAAGAAGCTCTACTAAATCTATAGTTCAAACCGTTTCAACTTCCTTGGTAACCGCCCGCTACTCTAGGTTGGCGAAATTAGCAGATGCATTGACGCCGTAAGTCTCCCCAACTGCGCTCTTAACATCCTGGGCCAAGTCGTCGATAGCAGCCAACAATGACAAAAAGGCATCTATGGCAATGCAGTATCGCCGGAACCCGCTCTCGCGGATCATGTCCGTGCTCAGCGCCTCTGTTTCTTTCTTCTCAATTCTTCTGGCAAACCTCGCCGACACTCGCGGTAGAGCTCCACTAGGGAGAGGATCTCCAGTTTTGATCGTTTGCTCGATCAAGCACATCATGCCCATTATTTCGCCAACACATCTTTCATTGAAGGCCCCGGTTATATCAGTGAAGCGCTTGCGGAGGGTGGGGGGCAAGTCAGAAGTGTAGATGCCCATATGTGCAAGGGACACGTTGAGCCTGGCGTGCGTTTGGGCAATGCGCATCAATGTCTCTGAATCAAAGACATTCGAAGAGACTTCGAACTTGAGCAACGCGATAGGACCGACTAATGCTTCAATTGTTTCGGCGGTATCGATGGCCGAAGTCTTGGTTGCTTGGGTAATACCATCGATGTTTTTGCCTCGGTCAGCGGAAGACCACGCAGCGAGCAATAGAGCGAAGAAGTCTCTGTTCGTGCGGAGAGAATGTGACAGAGACTTGGTGATGTAACGCGCCGATGAAGGAGGGCGTGGAAGGAAGTTGACAATAGCTGCGGCGGCAAATCCAATCAAGACGAGAACTGTCCGATGCCAGAAAACAGAGTACCCGATTCCTGGATTACCGTAGGAAGGTATATGCCTGCATGAACAATCAGTCATTGCAAGCAAATGTAGCTGTTCTTCAATCAACTTACGTGTCGTCCCAACTGTACCCAACTACTAAGAGAAATGTTGATGCCATGACCATTGAACCAGGTAAGATGAAGGGAGATCCCCAAAGTCGGGCCCACATCAAGCATACAATCACGGGAGCCAGTATTGCAGCAAGGCCGTATGGGTTTCCAGACCCGGAGCCTGCCCCGATATACCAGCAAGCCATGCCAACGACACCGCCAATCAAGGTTCCCAAAATCTTGGAAACAACACCATACGTGTATTCGGACGAATATTTGGTGAGTGCAGTCTGTGTTGTGGGTTAGCATATTGACTCAACGAAAAACCGAATTTACCATACCTGAGCCATGATGAGGCCCCACATCCCTTTCTCCCTGTAATAGAATCCCGCGCTGCTGGGTATTACTGCGGGAAGTGCCATTGCAATCGTCACGATAAGAAACCGAAGGGCATATGCTCCATTCTCATTGCCGAGCCACTTGGTAATGGCCAAGACCAGTTTTCCACCACTGGATCGTACCTTGCCGCGGTGGCACTCTCGTAATGAAACAAGAAGGGTTTCTGCTTCGCTTTTATTATCCTTTTCATTCAGCTTCTTCTCTTCGTCTACCTCGAGAGCAGCGCTGAGGTCTGCGATTGGAGAAACTGGGTCGCTACCGAATATCCAGGAGGTGGCTTTGCGTATTTTCGTAGACGGCCAAAACTGACTCTTTGTCCTATGTTCTTCAAGGATGACGACCTTTGCGAGCATGGCTTCGAGGGATGCGCCAAAAGTGTGCAGTCGTTCCTCATATGTTAAACATTTCAAGAATGCTTCAGCGTGACCCGCAGTTGCATCGGTTTCATCTTTGAGCGTCCCTTCCTTGTCGAACAAGTATCCATAAGTAGTGAGCAGAAGATCCGTATTCGAGTTTGAGAACTTTTCGAGTTGATCGCGAAGCCGGTTGAGAGTAGCTTGGTGTCGGTTGCGCATTTCAGCTTGCGCGTCAGCTGTCAGGCGCCCGAACCATCTTCTGCTGTTTGCATTATGCGTTCCTTCAAGGATAGCACTGACAGTGTCCATCAAGGTGGAAAGGAGCGGATGCGAAGATTCGTGCAAAGCTTTCAGGCTGTGACGAAGTGGCTCATCTACTTCTCTGTTGTCTTGCCTATCATGAGGATCGAGCAGCTGCATGATTGTTTGGTTCCTGGAACCCGTATGGCTGGTCACCTTCTCAATCGGATTATCCGCTCCTTGGGGAGTTACAGAGAACTGCTCCGCGCGAGACTCCGAATGTGAGTCAGCGAAGATCAACATGCCTAGAAAACCGGCAATGATTTCTTTCAGAGGACCTCCCAGAGCCTCAATGTCTTCGGCATTCCAGTATCCAAAAGAAAGGTCGAGCGGAAGGAATACCAAGTTTGCCTGTAGGGCTTTGAAGTCTTTGAGTATGCTCCGTCTAATCCTTGGAATGTGCTGTTTATCCAGTTGAACATCTCCGCGGTGTTCTAAAAACGCGCCGTAAGCCTCCAGGAAATCCTTTAAGGGTGCGATGATGTCTTCAATTTGTCGAAGACAGATATGAGACGTCGACTCGGGGAAGAACAGAATGTTGCAAGCAAGTCCGATTCCTATCGCTGTGGCCGCAGGTTTGATTATAGTTGCAGGGATAGTGCCCATAAAACTTGGCAGCAGAGGCCCGATAACCAAGAAGATGTCTGCGACAATAATCGCGAAGAGCTGGGTTAAAGCCAGTTTCGGGACCGCTGCTTTTATCCGAGCCTATTTTCAGAATTGGTTATCGGCTGCAGGCATGATCTTGACGGGGACAAATGCTTACCATAAAGTATATAAACAGGCCTAGCATGCAAAAGTACGTGACCACGACTCGAGTGTCAAGCATGAAGCCGCTGTAGATGAGCTGTTTGGCGTAGCTCTTTACCGCCAATGCTGACGTAGGGTTGGGAGAATTTCTAGCTGCTAGAGCACCCATCTCTGCAATTCTCGCTTTAGTTTCTGCTGATGATCTTGTCGCGAGTGCAGCTTTCATAGTGATAACACCCCATGCCCACCCAATTGCCATTCCAAGGACTGCGGAGATGCCACCCAAGACAGAAATGAATACAACACCGGTAGGCGGAATGATGAGTAAGAGAATTCTAGAAGGAGGTTAATAACAAAGTGGAAGCCAGTGACGAGTTAACACTTACGGGCCAAAGAATACAGCCTGGCCGTAGCTCTTTAGAACGGGGTTGATAAACATCAGCACAGCCGCTATCCAAACCGCGATCGAGCATTTGAATAGAGTCTTAAGGTCTCGCGCATTGAAGTGATTCAGCCAGTCAGGCAAGACTTTTTTTGGCTTCTTATTCTCTTTCCCGGTGGTCGGAGTAGTAAGGAAAGGATTGTCGGATACTCCAAGCTGCGTTATAGCTGATTTATCAGCAGTACTTGCAGTCGCGACGGATGAGCGACGATCCATCGCGCTTGATTCAAGGCTGCTTTAAAAAGCAGAATCAGCGACAATAAAGGAAGGATTTGGAAAATGATGAAGTGATTGCCAGAGAGGAAAGGTGTTGAATGTAGTTGCAGAAAAGTTGCAGAGACTAATCTACTTATGTAGAACGAAAGGCGTGGCTGGTTCTCTGACGCAAATTTGGTGATCCGATCTGGGACGGGACGCGTGAAATTATACACGAGTTGTGCACAGATTATGCTAATTCGGGGGTTCCGCTAACCGAACGCCCCTTTCGTCCCGAAAAAAGCGGCCCGGTCGGGTGCAAAGAAGCCGGGATGTTACCCCTTGACCTGCACAACCTTAAATACATTAACAATGCCCTCCCGATGAAGCGGATCGAGTTTTAAACCTAACCTTATCTCATTAAACTACTACACAGTGGCGCAGACGCTTGACTTTGTCGCGACTCGCGAGATGTGATGTGTTCGTACACACGGTATCCGGAACCAATCGTATCCGCGTATGCTAGGTTGTAGCGTACGAGATGGCAAGTTAAGACTATTTGCTCGCCACATTGACTATCTTCCTACTAAAAGATAAAACCCGACTTTAATTAAGTTTAAAGAGCATCTCCGGGTTTATTGTAGACGGACGGCGATCCTTGAACGACTTGTGGATCGGTCCACACACACTAACTACCCGGCGGCTATTAAGCGAGACCCCAATATTTGTACGTGTGGCCTTTGCGACGCGACAACGAATGCCTCACAGACATCAAAGCACTTTTTACAATGCCAAATCTCTTTCACTGGCTTGAGGATCGAACGTTGTTTATTCGGGGCAAGCCTATGAGAGAGGGCCGACCGAGCTTCCCGCCCTGCTTTTTCCGCGTCCTCGACCGCTCACCCCCGCGCCCGACAATGACCTTGGTCAGCACATGCATACACAAAACCAGTCATCTTTCTTTCGGCGACTTCCAGTAGAAGTGCCTCTCTGCATATATGCAGCGCTGTTTGGAGAGCGAACCATCCACATTCGCATGCCATACGACTTTCCAAACCGTAAGGGAAATGGCCATGCGTGACTCAACTGCAATTCAAACGGTCTGGTGAAAGAAATAGTGGGCCAGCGTAAACAGTGACAGTGGTTTAGTTGCGTATGCTGTCGCGACGGGAATGAGTTCTGGATTGATCGCTGCTTGGATGGGCTTGGGATTAGCCGCAAATGCGACGCACAGAATTGCAAAATTGACGCGAGATGGCTCTTTTCTTGTTGCAAATCGTAAGTGGGCTTTAGTGGCTTGGTATCTCGTTTATTGATATGCGTATAGTTACAGCGAGAGCATTGCCATTCTCTACGGGACCAACACCCCAGGCCCGAATCAAACAACAGAAAACCCGGCTCGGAGACACATTCCCATCCTTCAACAAGTAATATCACAGTACCGCTTTGCCTCTATAACATCCCTCGAGATTGTGCATTGGTCACTTTCCCTGCCCCCTTCAAATGATCCCTCTGCACTTGCAGCATACCAGGGTGCTTGGCGCGACATGATCCTTCCAGGCATACGAAAGTTAAAGGTAGCACTCCTGACCTTACCTTTCGAAGGGACAGTAGTATCGTCAGAGGCGGAGGATGCTTGGTTCGGCATATTGGACGAAATTGTGGCTTCAAAAAGGTTAGAAATTGAATTTGCCGTCCCATATTCATGGTTCGAGGGATTTGAAAAGCATAGTGCAAAGATCATCGGACGGGACATCTCGGTATGGACAAAATATTGGCGTACTATAGACTCAAGTGTGCGTGGAGTCGCTGGGGAATAACTAGGTTACTGGATTTCTCAGCGCAATGACTACAGCTGGTGGCCATCCTAACAAGAACAGATAAAGCAAGGCCAAGGCCAAGACTAAAGAATGGAATTAAAGAGAAGAAGAAGAAAATCAGAAGATTTCAAAAACCGTCAACATCCAAACTACTCCGAACAATTACAACTACGTCATCTCTCGGGCACAGAAACGTCCCATCTTTTGTTATGGCACACATGCCAGTACTGATATTGCTCATCCAGTCTGGAGGAATAAAATAATGGCGCCGGAAGTAAACAGCTTCTTTGTCGTGGGGCATTGCAAGTTTGAAAGTGCACACCCAGAGGTCGTGGTCCAGGAAGATTAACCTTGACCCGGGAAGCACTCCTAAAGGCACCTTGACTCTTTCCGATACTGCATTTGGTATGCGAATAATGGTTATGGTGGCCGAAGAGTCTCGATATTCGGGAATGGTGAGGTTGGTGATAGGGATAAGAAGCAGACATGTCGTAATTTTGCCATGGACGGAGCCATCTCTCAGGTGGACAAGCATATGCATTCCCTCTTGCGTGATAGCCACTTTCATAATGGATGACGCATCATGCGAGCCGCCTAAATGCTTCGGGGACTCTCTGTCATCATCATGGCTCGAGCGCTGGTCGAATGATGACGATTTGTGGGACTCATGGAAAATGAGAGTTGGCAGCACATCGAAATCGCGCCAACGAAATACTTGTATATCGACCGGACCAACGCCAAGGAAGAGTTGATCGTTAATTGGGTGGTTGATCCATTTCCTGGAAGAACTGTCTTGAAGAGCACGAGATGATGCTACCTTACCGTCTTCCACTGTACAGATTTGACTGGTGCCGCCAGTGCTGATCAACAAAAGAGTCGAGTCGTGGCTGAAGAGAATTTGGTGAATACTCTGCTCACTGAGCTGAACACCAGGGCTTGGTAGGGCCAGGGTTGTTATCTTCGAGATGGGATCTATGCTGCCCATTGGTATTTGAATATTCATGATGTTGATCTGCCCGCTTAGATCGGCTGTAGCGATGTATTGTGAATTCGGGCCCCACTCCACATGGCATACACTCAAGAAGTTGTGGAATTTGAGGATCTCAACATACTCAGAATTCCGGATACTGTGCAGCCGAACAGATCCATCTTCGTTTCCAGAGCAGAAGAAATCACTGTCTGGTGCCACCGTCAATGCAGATATGGCATCAAATTGGGACAACCACATCTCCGACGCTTTGGACACGCAAGTCGACGTTTGAGCCTCACTGGAAGTCTCACTAACCACGTCTTCATCATCGGCAAAGCGGATCAGGCTGTTGGATTCCCAGGCATTGACGCAATTCCCGCGCATGTCGTAAAAGCGTCTACAATCCGGGCTGAAGGTCAACCCGGTGACCAAATCATCCGAGAAAATTTGATAAATGACTGAAAAGTAGGCAAAATTCCACACCTTCACAGTACCATCACTGCTACTCGTGATGAAAAGTTTCCCGTTGGAACTGACGGAGATCTCGTCCGCGGCTGATTGGACCTCAAGATTTTCGTCGGTAAGGGGGTGCCACTTGAAGACGCAGCCGTCTTTGTAGACGCCAATAATGTGGCCGGTGACAGGGTTCCAAGTAAAACGGTCGACAGCGAACCAGCTGGCGGAAGCTTGGCTAGATTTCCCCTGAAAGCTGGTCGCGCGCCTACACCTTTGCACAGTCCGGGTGTCATTGAGGTTGTAGACTGATAATGGGAATCCGCGGTATGAGACGCCCACCTGGGAGGCATTTGCATTCAAAGCCATGCATACCGGGGTATTCATGAGGGCTCCTTCGATCTTTGCTCCGTCCTTGTCCAGGCTCGCTTCAATGATGCTCCAACCCGTCTCGATATCACTTAGCTGAAGTCGTCGTATTATCTTATCATTCGACCCTGCTACCAGCACCGAGTCATATTCTGCAAAAATCATGGTCATTGCCCTACTCCCCGTAGGATTTGGCGTTGTTCCCAACAATTCGCCTGAAGGAATCGACCAAAGCTTCGTAAATCGAAGACCGAAAGTGGCCAATTTCGTCCCGTTGCTGTTGAAACACATGGCTGTAACATGCTCTGAATGACGCAAAATGGCAATTTCTGTGAAGTTTTGTGAGTTCCAGATGAATATGACGCCAATAGGTCCAAGAATAGCGATATGCCTTCCTGCGGATGCAATATTCCAGGCTTGAACACCATCCGGAAGGTAGATCTTCGCTAAGTTATCGCTCCAGTATGTTCCAAAAGTGCCAGAAAGTGAGATACCCGACAGTTCTGGCTGATAGAATTGCCGGTGGAGGACAGAATTTTCCGGGCAGAATGGGGGTACCAGCTTGTAAATAGTCGAAGGATCGGTGAGCAAGTGCTTGCTGAACTTTCCCACGACCTTCACCAGATCTACAGCCCATTGGTCCAATAAGTCAAGATCCGAAAGCCTGTGAAGCATTGGATTTCGAACCTTATTGCTTTTGCGGATCTTGGCAACAAAATTGCTCAGTGTTTTTGAGGACTTTACAAGAATCTCCAATTGGCCAGTCAATGCCAATACATGGATCCAAACCAGTACTGAAGTGCTTTTAAAGAAACTTCCAAGGATATCGAGAATGGTATCGGATTCTGATTCACTATGTTGCAAGTGAAATGACCATGAAGTGGCGGCATATACTGTGAAGGGCTCTCTGTCCTGGAGAGTCTGCGCGGTGTGTGGTATTCGGGACCTTAGCTCGGGGCTAAGAAGTATCAACAGAGTCTTCGTAAGAAGCTGTTGGTGCGAGTGCTCTAGGTTGATGACCAACTCGCTGTTCCTTGGCTGTATTAAATAGTCGCGCGCCGTCTGATGCAACATTACAACTTTGCCGTTTGGCTCAACGCGAACGAACTGCCCGCAGATATCTTGAATAGTAAGTTTGAGATCAAGGATGCCAGGGAAGTCTTCCGTCAGCGCCTGGGACAGTTCGGTAAGGCTCAATGACCTTCGCGAGCAAATCGTCCATTGAAGTAGTACCTTCGCCAATCGCACGTCGGATTGGCGGGGGCTTCTCATTATGGCAACTTCCATTCGGTGGTACAGTCTGTCCATGTCGGTTGGAATCTGATCCAATGCCTCTTGGATACTTTCGTGTGTGTGGCAATCGACGATATCTTCCAGAATTAGGCGAGCCCAGAGGAAATTGCCGTGTGCTCTTTCCATGATCCTTTTGACGACCCTTTCTTTGAACTCATGTTCTCCTCGCATATGCTTGACCTCGCTGTCAACGAGCATTTGAATGTCCCGAGAATGCCGGCTTTGATCGGAAAGTTCCATCAGGTTCACATCCATGTCATGAGGAAAACGTTGAAAGGCAACACGTAATTGGTGGGACTCGCGGCTCAAAACTAAGACCTTTATGCCAACATGAGAGGTCGATATAGTCTGCAGCAAATCTCCAAGTCTTTTTGGGGATTCGCACTCATCCATCGCATCGATGACCCAGTAAAATGGTTGTGGAGTTTCCATGTGGAATAAGAGGTTCTGGAAGACTCTCTGCCAGAGCAAACTGGGCTCCGCTGACTCCAACCTAAGGTCTTCCGTTGTCAAGTCTACAAGGAGCCGCCTCAGTTCCGGTGTGTCTCTGGCAAGCTGATAGGCCATCGACCGGACGAAGGCGCTAAGTGAACGTTTCTCTTGATTATCGAACCTGAAAAAATGGTATTGGCAAGCCGCGCCTGTTTGTAGGAGATGATTGATAACGTGAGATGCTAAGACGGATTTTCCGCTGGCTGGAGGTGCATTATACCATAAAATCCGAGATCCAGGGGTGGGCTCCAGCCAGGATGAAACCTGAGGCTCGGATAGAAACCAGCTACAGGTCCCTTGCATCCACAACCGATGAAAGGCATCAAAGTCATCCTGTGGGCTGTTGCGAATGCGAAATAGTTTTCGGGAAAATTGCTCTTCTTCGTTTGCTTGATTGTTCATAACTTCAGCTCCCTTGAAAATGAAACGAGTAGCTAATGTTTTCAGAGCGTTTCGAACACTCAAATAATTTGCGTCGTTGGGGCCGGAGTATTTGCATACCTCGTGGTGGTCCGCATTCAGTGGCCTCGAAACTTCTTCGGGGTAGCCGAGAACCGATGAATCTTTATCCACAATCATGAGTTTTTTTGGCCCAATATTAGTGGCCAATGTTTCATAGAACGACCACAGTGACATGTGGGGAGAGAAGTGCCGAAATTCTTCATTCACCTCCCCGACGGCTCGAGAGCTCTTCTTGAGATCGTCAATGAAATTTTTGCGCGACTGAAAAGAGGCCGCAAGCACTCGGTTCAACGTCTCGGCCAGATTTGAGCCTCGGTGCGGTGTTGCCAGAAAAACGATAGCCGATACAGAGCTTACAATGTGTCGGTACTGTTCGTCCTTGTTGCCTAGTAGGCAAGCCTTCTTTACCACCAAGCCGCCCATGGAATGTACAACGAAGATGATAGGTACCCTTCCGATGTGGAGGTCTTCTCCTGAGGTAGATTTGGCGAAGCGCATTTCAAATAACAGCTCCTTGGCAAAGTCTGCAATATTTGAAATGCTCTTCCCAGCGTTGGTCCGAAAGGACGAGTTATATCCGAAGGTGAATATGCGTGCCTTTCCAACGTCCGGCTCGAGAGGTAGCCAAAGCCTTGGCCAGAAGAGGTTCTCATCGTGGCCCTCGCACCACGTCTTCCGACTATGACCACCTAGGCCGTGAACGAATATTATATCGAGGGGTGCCGAGGGTCCCGGTTGGTGAATTATGTGAAGACCCAAATCAGTTGCCGCGTTCAGCGCTTCCCGGCTCGGAAGCGAAGCATTGTCGGATGAAAAGCCTTCGCTTTTAGACCTGCCGACTTGAAGTCTCGCAAAGAGCTTTTGGTTCAAAACGGAAAACGATGAGTCTGTTGATCCATGTCGCTGTGAGGAAGCTGACTCTGTCTGAAGGCTCTCTTGTTCGCTCCCTCGGTCGGACTTCGCGCGTCGGAATCTTTTGAACTGCGAGTCCATGAACATCAGCAACAACAGAATACTGCATGAAGGCTAACACACCATCGCGGCTGTTGGATTGCGACGCCTAAACCGGGGTTTTGATGGTGCGTGCCTTTCGCTTCCTTCAGCGAATGGCGAAACAGGAGCACTGAGAAAAACAACTAACAAGAAAGCACTGGTTGCCTGAGGATCACTCTAAAGTTGATAGGCCGCAGGAAGAAGTACAAAGCTAAAACGACGAAGTAGGGTGTTGCGAGACGTAGGGCCAGGCAGCTGCGCAAGGCTGGGGCTATGCCAACATTTGGGCCGACCAGGGTTAACAGTGGCACAGTGCATGTGTGACTGCGGCAAAGAACGGCGGCTGAGGCAATGAGGGCGTCAAAAGGTGTGATGCGAGGTGCAGCGACATGAGGCAGGCCAATCACAGGCGAGCACTACCATGTCAATCAGCGTGCACCTAAAGAAAATTCGGGAGGATGCATGGCTCATCCCGACTGACCCCGCACTGTACCCCAGTTAAGCGCTTCTACAAATAGCTTCAGCTGCTGTTGTGCAACGCACCCTCATTCTGGAAGATATAAGTGCTTGAAATATCCTACACTACGAACAGCATCCGCTGTCCTCAGCTTTACGCTATTTTTATGTTGTCGTTAGTTCAAAAAAAGTACCTGCAACGTGACAAAAACACTAACTCCGATGCATCGTAGGATTCTATCAAAGATTCGCTTCTCGCTCAACAGCTTTGCTGCCCCAGACGCCCGCCATGAGTGTGGCAGTACACGAATTGCTCAACAGAGATTCTCTAGACACGTGCTCTCCGCCTGGAGGGTTTCCGGTTGATCCCGAAGTCCTTTCTAAATTTCCTGCTGGAACAAAGATCCTCTCAGCCGTCCCGTTCGGGACGTCGGCCTGGACCATCACGGCTTTACTGGAAGTTGAATTGCCTGGAGGCTTCACAGAGCGTTACTTTCTGAAATGTGCCAGCGAAGACTCTGGTCGTGCCCTCATGGAAGGAGAGTTCCACGCCATGTCTGCACTTTATATGGCTGCACCTGACTTCGTTCCAAAGCCTCATTCGTGGGGAGAGTTTCGCACCAAGAAGCCGCGGACATATTTCTTTCTCTCTCAGTTCATTGAAATGAGTGACCGGGTTCCAGAGCCAAACCAGCTTTGCAAGAAGCTGGCGCGCTTGCATCGTGAAAGCGTCTCTCCCACTGGAATGTTCGGTTTCCACATCAACACATGCCAGGGCCGTTCATCGCAGGAAGTGGGTTGGGAAACCAGCTGGACCTTGTGCTTTACAAAGATGCTGAATCACGTCATACAGCTTGACACAGAGACCAACGGTTATTGGGGGGAATTCAACCAGCTTGGGCGCAGGATCACGTCGCTTGTAATCCCCAGATTGATTGGTGCCCTCGAGACTGATGGAAGGAAGATCAAGCCGTGTTTGATCCACGCTGATCTATGGGAAGGCAACACCGGAACTTCATACGAAACTGGCAATATCTACATCTTCGATGCTGCATCCCTGTATGCTCACAACGAAATGGAAATTGGCGACTGGAGGTGCCCATACAACAAGATCCACAACAAGATATACACCAAGACATACCTGCGACATTTTGGCCCGAGTGAGCCGAAGGAGGAATGGGATGACAGGAATCGCATGTATTGCATCTACTACAACGTTATCTATTCGGTCAACCACATGAACCAGGGCAAAGCCGTGCGCCAGAGGAAGGTTCGCCTTATCAAACTTTTGTTTCACTTACTAACTTATCGCCAGTGCCTACGAAGACATGTATAATCTCATCGATAAGTATGCACCATTTGCCGATAGAGAAGGCCCTCCAAGATTATCTACGGATGAGAAGGTTTCTTTATCAGCGGAACGAGACCATACCGCGGCCTAAGGCTAGTTCTTACAGCTATTTTAAGTAGAATATAGATATAGCCTAACCCAAATGATTGAGTTGAGTTAAGTTAAGTTGATTTCATTTACCCTGACCTATCGCCCTAAGATATACGGTTAAATGTATTCAGCCCTCTAATAGATTGAGTTGTTGAGTTAAGTTGTATTTATTTACTCTAACCCATCTGTAAGAGTTAGCCGACGGGTAATTACTAGGTTACTAGGAAACGTAGGTTGTACGCAGCTAGTCCGTACTAGGGTCGTACTTAAATTAGTATATAAACTATTTCCTCCCCTAGCGCCTATTGCTCCTAGGGCAGCTATTTATCCTTATACGTAGCCTCCTTCGGTAAAGGGCTTAGTATCTACGTAACTCGTAATAATATTATATTACTTAAGGACTAGTCCCTCGTTTCTAAGTTTCTTATAAAGCGTTCCTACCCCGGGTAATCCGACCTCGGATTACTAATAACTTCGTATAGGTCCGAAGAGAGTACGTTCCGCGTAGGGAGGGGCGTACTATACGCTTCGAATACGGTTATACTTCTCTTTCCGCGTAAGGCGTATATATTATAAGAACTATACGTTGCTATTCGACGAGGTATATTCGGGGGTTATAGTAGTAGTAAGATAAATAGCTTCTAAGCTACGTAGATCTATCGGAGTTCTTTATTACGCGTATATTATATATAGAGTTAAAAGGAGTCTTTATATAATCGGGGTAGCGTTGCGTATCTTTTTCGTATAATTATAGTAGCTACCGCTTTACGGTAATAGCGATTAGTATCTTTAACCTAGATCTTAGTATACGTCTTCGTATTTTCTTTTTCTCCTTATTTCTACGTTCTAGGTACGAGGCGGTAGCGTATTCTATACTTACCGTACGCGGCTAATCTCGTGCTGCTTACCGTTCTGCTTGCTAGTAGGACTCTAGTAGTAAATGAACCTTATAGGAGCTTTCTTCCGTTTAGGCTATAGCGCGCGCGCGGGCTACCTACGGGTAACTACTTATACGCGTATAGTTACCTTTACTTAGGTATAAGGAGATACCTTCTGCTGCTACTTTCCCCTCTCTTTTATAACTCTCTTAGCGCGTTCCGACCTTTATCTTCGTACGTGCTTAGCCTACGTAGCTTTCTTATCTTCTATTATTTCTTCCTTATCTAAAACCTTTAAAATCGTACTAGAATTACGCCTTCTTAAGATATATATCGATATCGCCTAGATATTATACTATCTACTTTACTTCGATATAGCTCCTAAGTTAAAGGCTTCTATCCCGTAGTATCTACGCTATAGTACCGGTACTAAATCGCCTATATCCTATCTACGCTACTTCTTCTAGTAGGCTTATCCTAATAACGACTTTACTTAGAAGAGCTATACCTTTAAGAATAGTAATAAGCTCTATACCTACTACTCGAAGAGTTACCGCGACTATATTAAGGTAGGTTTTATATATCTTTCGTAGATCGATATACGGCGTTACGGTCGCGCTATAGATAGGATCGCTAAGGCTATTACTAAGTAGACTAAGTTTACTACGGGTAATATAGCGCGTTCGTAGAAGGATTATAAGAAGCGCGCTATCTTAATCCGCTAGAGTATAAGAGCTACTAAGGCCCGTATATATCGCGAGCGTACTACGCGTAATTTTATCGGTAAGGACTAGTCCCTCTTCCGTAACTAGATCCTAGTAGAGATTTAGACTATACTTTCTCGAGGTAGAAGGGAACGTAATAACTAGCGCTCCTAGGAACCTAAATCTAGCGCTAAACGAACCGGTATAGCTAGCTTATCTACCCTCCTAACTTATACTAGGCCCTAGGCCTTAGTTATTATATTATAACTAGAAAACATACTAGTCTTTCCTCCGACCTAGCGGGAAAATTTTTCGGCGTTCCTTACTAAGAAAAACTTCTCCCCTAGAAACTACCCGGAACTATAACTTCGAGACTAAAGAGGTACCTAGCTAATCTCGAGATAGAAACCCGCCCCCCTAATATCTAGGAGGATCTCTCTACGCCCCTCTTAACCCGCCTAAGAATTATCCTATCCTCTCTAATCCTAACGGACGACGATATAGATATAGAATAAGAAACGAACCTAACCTAACTCTAGTTTATAGAGGAAAATACGCTACTAGAAATAACCTCTACTCTAGAGATCTCCCGCTAAAATAGGAAATCCCTAGTAGTTATCCCTACTCCTATCTACGGTAAGCGCTAACGGGAGAATATTTTCGCCTTCCTAGCTACGCTAGATAAAAACCCTAAAAGGACTCGCTACCCTAGTAGCTTTCCCGTCCCGAAAACGTCTACTAAATAGCTCTAAGCCTCCCTAGACTATCTTCTAAAGGTAGCTAACGCGGAATAAGATACTATCAGCCAGTATCACTCTAACAACGCACAGCTTCAACCCTACGGTTAGTT